GACAAGAAGACGACAGCCGCGTTCGAGTCCGTTCACAAAAGCCGATGTGCACAGACCCAGACGGTAGCCTGGCTGACTATCGAATGAGGGGGACCATCTGTGTAAAGNGCGACCGGATGTCAGCCAAAGACGGGTGATCTGCTGTGATGCCGACAAAGCTCATGCACATCATCGGGAGGCGCATCTGCTCGTCGGACAAGAGTATGACTCTCGCCATCGAACCTGCCGACAGGAATCGACGACTCAAGCTCAAGCTGGATGACGGTCAGACTCGGCAGGCAGCAAGAAAGAGACAAGGCAAGCGCCATACCAGCCACCAATCTCGCGAGCGTGTTTCTATGCGTCCTGCGTTTTAGTCTGCGTGCTCTTGCTCATCCGCTAGATTGCACAATGCAAGCTGTTGAACTCGCCATCACTATGGCTGCGCCACTGCGAGGTTGAAGGCGCGCGCGTCAGCTACCACTTGCAATGCAGCTCTGACCCATCTATTCTAGCTCGCCGAGCATCACTCTCAATTCAGGCTGCCTTACGGCCAGATGCATCTGGTCACAGCTACAGGCATAGCTAGAGCAAAGCTATGAGTGTCCATTGACGCCGTTGACATGAGGCTCCGTCCTCGTAAAGCAAGTTGAGAGCGGCAAGAGCTTCGCGGCTCTGGCTTTGTATTCTGTGATGCGCTCTGACCGTGCGAGCTCGAGCAGCTCGATCGCTTCCTGACACGTGTGCATGTGCGGCGGCGACTCCTCGTCGAGCTGAGTGAACAGGCGGTCTTCGACCTCTTTGAGGCCCTCGGCCCCTCTAGCTTCGAAGACACATTGAGCCATCCGCACGGGCGCCAGCTTCAGCTCTTCAAGATACGTAGCCGGGGAAGACGCCTTTGTAGCAGAAGAGAGGACGTCAGTCAACGCTTGTCGTACCGCAGGCTCGATACTCTGTCGTCTTTCCAGCGCTCGCATAAGACTGATGTACCGCAAAGGCAATCGATCGTCATCTTTGTTGAGCGCATGCGCTTTCGCTAGGCTCTGGGCTGCCAGTATTAGACTATCTCGACGGATATCAATATCGAAAGCAAGTAGCCATGTCTGGATCTCTTTGGCAGCACTAAGCTTGAGAGGTTTCAGTAGCTGATTCGCCGATTCGAGCGGCTCCGTGGTGGCGAGCAACGCGTCGCCGTTTGGATCTGTATCTTCGGCGGAGACAAGCACGTCTGCATCTTTCTTAGGTGTCTCTTTGGACTTAGCTTTGGCCTCTGCTTTTTTGTTCTTTTTCGCTTGTTGTCGTTCTGCATCCCGAGCAGCCTCGTCCATTACTGTGACCTGCACATCAGCGCTGGGCATAGAAGCAATAGGGTCAAATCGCACCTGGCTCGGGACGAACAGGACGGCCAGCAGCCTTATCTGCCAATTCTAGATATATTTGCACTGCACCCTCGACTGCGTTCAGACATGCTGTATGCGAATGCAGTTGATCTTCATAGCGCAGTAATCTGCCGGTAAGCTTCGTGAGTAGATATCCACTGTCTGATAATGCCGACTGACTGTACATAGGCTCGCAAGGTGAACCTCCTTATTGCGTAAGAGTGAAAGTCGAATTCATCTTCGCGTATGTCCGCAAAGATCTGTTCGAGGTCTCAGTGTGATCGATGTAGTAGCGCACAGGAACCTACTGCTGCTATTTGATGATAGCGCTTAAGCGCCATGTTGAGCCGATATTGCCTCTGGTGGGATTGTGCTTCGGCTTGCAAGAACCAGAAAGCTTGCATGTCGATCAGATCTGCTATGGGAGACGCTGCGTCTTTCTAGAGACGGCGTCGCTCAGCGACGATTCGTTGGAGACACATGACTGCGTACCCTCGTGAAGAGACCAGCGGTGCTTTCCGCAGCAGCGACATCGTCGACTCTGAGAAGATATTTTGCGTGCTTGCAGTTCAGGAACCGGTCCTGACCATCCAGTGCTCTTGCTTCTGCCATTGCCTTCTCGGCACCGACAAAGTCACCAGCTCTTTTGAGTATTCTCGCCTTCATCATTGGCAGCTCGGGCAAAGTAGGCGTGTGGTCGAGCGCTTTGGTGATCGTTTGGAGCGCCCCCTGATGTAGCCCCAAGCCCGAAAAAAGCTGCGCTTGGAAGTAGAGCGCCCAAACGAGCGTAGTCGGCGGATCGATGCCCTGTGCGTCTATCAATATTACAGGAGATCAGTAGGGTCCAGCTGGTACGACGCGAGGCTGACCTTCTGTATCCAAGACGTGTTTAGTCGTCAGTGTATCTACAAAAGTCTCGACGCATTGCGTAATGGCTTCGCGTTTTTCGTCTAGCAGAAGTAAAGGCTTTAGGTCGTTGTACAGCGAAGGGACGCCTTTGGAAAGCGCATCGGCTAGATAGACCTTTACACGACTCGCGAATGACGTGCCTAAGGACATCAAGCCAGTCAGACCGCTGTGAAATGCGCTGTATGTATCTGCCTACCCCGGCTGATGATCAAAGTAAGCCTTCGTATTGCTAGCGAACGCGGGTATTGGCCTGCGAGGTCGTCCAGACATCGCAAGCAAGCGTCACTTTGCTCGGCGTCCTCTGCGCACCAGCATGAGCTTATCGACATCGAGCGACGTCATGACTTACCCGAGTTCAGGTCGCTAGCGGCGAGGTAGCCCCGCAAGTAGGTGTAATTTTCCGCATTAGAGGCAAGGAGCTTGCGCCAGGCTTGTAAGCCTTCTTGCTTCTCGCCGACCTTTACAAGCAACCGAGCTGGGCAGCGTCCATCAACACGTCTGTCATTGAGTAAGTCGACAGCGACATACCAGTAAGTTCGTCCCGCGTAGTCTTGTCAACGATGAATTGCGTGTGACCGTGTAAAGCGTCTAGTGCTGTTCGCGGCTGGTCGGCTTCCTCGAGTACGGAGACCAGATACAGAACTGTTTCAGAGTATTCGTAGTCTTGCGGTGGCACTTCCTCCAAGAGACTCAGGTAGGCTCGCAAAGTATCTGCAGCCCGAGCAAGATCGCCTAAGAGGTGGTAGCTTACCGCCAAGCTCGCCCAATTCGGTCTGATCTTGGGTTGCAACCGAAGCATAAGCAATCTAGATTCGAGTGCGGCCTCGTACTGGCGTTGATAGATCTGCAATGCTGCCAAGTCTCGGAGTATGTTGTAGTTGTCCTGCGTCGCGGTCTATGAGCTTGCCACCGGTCGGGGATCACGTAGACTGACCTTGTCGAGCTTATGAGCTTGCAGATAACACGTCAGAGATTGATCGTAGTCTTTGTCGGCTCTGTGCATGAGCGCTTGGACATGCCAGCAAATATGCGACTTGATGTCTTTTCTCAAGCCACGGTTGGCAAGCTCGAATCCCTCGGCCTTTCTGTTCATGTTGTACACAATGATGCCCTTCATGCAGAGAGTTTCTCCATGATCGGGCACTTTCTTGAGGATTGCGTCTGCCGTTTTGACTCCTTTCTTGTACAACTTGTTCTCAAATTCCACCTGAAAGCTGTCCTTAGAGCCTTGTACAAGGTCGTGAGCTAACGCGCGTACCAGGAGCTCCTTGAAGAGCTTGGCCTCTTTCGCAGGCAGAGCCCGCGCATCGATCGCAGACTTGCCGGGCGCCATGACGGCCTCACGCTGGTTTTTGGGCACGATCACAGGCGCACGGGCTGGCGCGTCAGAGTTAATTCAAAGCCCCAAACACACTTGATCTCACTTGCGTACCGACCTGAATCCGACGCACAGCCTCATTCGAAGCACGGCGCACCTCCGTCGCCACTCGTGCGGCACGCTCAAATTGCTTCACGCTGCAGTACAAGACGGGTGTCACGCTTCGATCTGCGCCAAAAAGTGCGCAAAGGCTCGTCGTGACAGAGCGCGACAAGTGCGCAACGGCGTCAATCGGATTTCACGCAGTCAGACGACCATCCCACGACTGGCACAGGGCGTCATCTCGATCTAGCTAGTGCTCCGGCATCATGTCCTGCATTAGACCTGCCACACCAGGCACGATCTGCGTGCTGGGAGCAACCATACTGTCAGTGCAACCAAGATCTACTATCGAGTCCTCAACAGCTTACGTCTGGCATGCTTTGAGACAGATTGGTACTCTGCTCCATCAGCGTACCTGTGAACCAGAAGTTCTACTTTCTCTCTGCCGATATCAATGCGACAATCTCTGGTCTCTCTGTCGACGGACTCGTGAGGCTCGGCGTTTGGGGTCACTGCGCAGATGTAGCTGGCGAGAACAAGTGCACGCCCGCCACACTGGGCTACAACTTTGGTCGGTCTCTCGATCATGCGCTCTGTACTGAGCTCATGTTTCTCATGGGAATGACAGATGCAAACGCATTGCTTGGCATCTCGCGCAGCTTAGTCAATCTGCCGTCGGCAAGTATCAAGCCATTCACCTATGTCCTCATTCTCCATCCTATCGCTGCCGGCCTCGCCGGTCTGACCTTCATCTTTGGTCTCCTAGCTCACATCCGTGAATTCGCCATCGTACGTTTCACGACCTGCCTTGCCTCACTCGCAACGACGGTCTCTCTCCTCGCGTTCATATTCGACATCATCGCCTTCTCGATTGCCAAGTCGCGTATCAACGCAAGTGCGACAGCGGATGCGTCACCTAATGCGACGCTAGGCAACGCAGTCTGGATGACGCTGGCTGGTTTTGTCTTGCTCCTGCTATCTGGCTGCTTGCTAGGAGTCGGCCAGTGCTGCTTCAGAAGTCGACCATCGCACGAGGAAAGGGATCGAATGAAGCCCCTACCCGACCCCGCCTACCGGAGGGACGCAGAGAAGGCCCGTTACCCTCGCGAGACAGGCCTGCCCGTCTTTGCAGCAGGCGAGGTAGTACCCCTCAATTCTCTAGACCATACCGATGCGCGTAACAAGTCACATCCCGAGCGGATAGATGGCGTAGGCTATGGCGAAGCGAGATACGAGGATGCCTATCCCAACACGTATGCCGGCATAGGCACACCAAGGCGGCATGACTCTGATCTGACGCATAGCTCGTCGCTCCCTACACATGGCCGATCGCCCTACGAGCCAGAAGCGCCGGTGCAAGGGTATGAGAGCTATGCTGCTCGAGCGACAAGGGCGGATGAGAATCCATTCGATCCTCCCGCCCATCAGACACAGGGGTCTTATTACCCTGACGAAGCGTACCTCTCGCCAACAGCGCAGAGATCAGGTTATGGATCTCCTGTCGACCCAAGACAGCCTTATTCACACGAGACCTATCCGCCACAATCTCACCCGCAAGAGGCAGCATATGGCGGGCAAGAAGATCCGTACGAGCAGCCTGCATCTTATCGTCACGGGCAGGCAAGCTACGGACACGCGCAAGGGTACAATTATGGCCAGTCGGATCCGTACGAAGCGCAATATGGACAACCGGCATACGAACAGCCTCAGTACGGTTCTTCGACGGGCCACGCAGCACCGCATGCATACAGCAGGTATTGAGAATCGCCGAGACGATGACCGACGTCGAAGCAAAAACTGTGCAGAGCCATATCGTGTTGTACCCTTGCTGTTGCTTATCTGTACATCTCTTGCTTCCTGGGCTCAGGCGTGCCTATAGTTCTTGAAGCCGCCCCAGTTGAGGATGACAAAGACGAGACCGACGGGGACGAGCAGGGGAACAAGGTACTTGTAGTGCTCGTCCAGGCCGACAGCATCAAAGATCTTGTCTCAAGCCCTTTAGCTCTGTAGATCTGCATTGCGACAGGGCCTACCGGGTTGCCTGTGTTCGTGTTTGACGAACTGAACAGCACAGCATACAGGCCGAGTACGAATGACAAGCCCGAGCCAGCAATAAAGGCATAACCCGTCAGGATCATCGAAGTGCCTGAAGGATCAGCATCTTGTTGTGGCCGACGCGAGATGCGAGGCGAGGGCGACCATGAAGAGCCTGCGCTGAGTGGTCGGGGTGTAGATGCGGGCGCTGCGCTGCGTAGGTTGTAGCGATTCGAGCTCATGCATTGCACGCTGTCGACACCTCGGCCAATCGCGCTCGATCTTTTTCCGAGCTGGAAGGCATTGTCGCGATCTCGCCAGGCGAGACAGACGAGCGAGATGGCAATGCGAGCAGCGACGCCTTCGAGGGCCATGCTGAGCGCACTCTCACGGACAAGCGTACCGGCAGCACAGCACCTCGCCCGGAGAGCGTTGCATGCATCGGCGAGAGCTCACTTGGCCGAGCACGTCGGGCCAACTCAGATCACCTCAAAGGGCACCCGATCCAACTCGCCACCGCATTCTTCTGCAGTCAATGCAGGCACGGCCGGTCAGACGCAGCACTGGGAGACCCCTGTGGCGTCGGATGTAGATTACAGCAAGGGTCCCTCTGCGCTCGACAAGGCCGCTCGATTGTTCTTCTTTACCGAGATTGCCAGAGGTCAGTGGTCGTCGTGACGTGCGGACGCAGTCGGCTCAAGCTATCGAGAACCAACAGGCATGTGGGTCGTGCTTGAGCAGTTCTTCAGGCCGCCTTACACGATCATGTGAGCCCCTCGTCAGTTCCTGGAGATGAGCTCGACTGACGCTGGATGAAAGGTATCCGTTCGAGAAGGGACCCATGAGCCCCCGCTTCAGAGGCGAGCACGCACTACGACGCTACGCCACCGGAGAGGAGCGTTGCATCGGTACGCCCAGTCAGTATACTTTTGCGGCGTTCGTTCTTACGTCTCTGGACAGCTTGCAAGCTGTGCGAGGCTATCTGTCCCGCCCAGGCCATCACTATCGAGAGCGAGACTCGCGAAGATGGTGCGCGAAGGACGACACGATACGACATTGACATGACCAAGTGTATCTATTGCGGGCAAGTCCTCTCCCGGTTAAGCATGGCTTCGGCTCATGTTGACTGGATCTGTTCATGCAGTTTCTGCCAAGAGGCTTGTCCGGTCGATGCAATCGTCGAGACCCAAAATGTCGAATATACGACAGAGACACGCGAGGAGCTGCTCTACAACAAGGAAAAGCTGCTCGCCAATGGCGATCGACTCGAGGCAGAGATCGCAGCAAACTTGCAAGCCGACGCGGTCTACCGTTGATGTGATGTGATGTGCATGCAATGATCTCGTGTGGAGGCTCCGATTACAAATTGGCGCGGGCATATGGCGAATAACTCTTTTGGGACTTGGCTCTGTCGATGTCTTGTTGAGTGACGGGACGGCATTCTGCCCCATGGTTGTATCCCATACGATCCCTCCCATCTTTGCCGCCAACTTTGTAAGATGCGGGACGCTTCAGAATGGTGACGACGGCCTGTGAGCAGGTCAGCAATTCCGCCGATGAGGAAGTCGCAGCTCAGCTTACAGCGCCACCCAGACCGAGGTTGTGAGCAAGGCAATACGCTTCTCTGCCAGATTTGCCAGGGACCACTTCGGGAACTTGCATGTCGCCACCCCATCCGCGCAGCTGATTCGTTAGATAGAAGATCATACCTAACCCTGTTGCTCCGAGCGGGTGCCCCTTGGAGAGCAAGCCCCCACTGGGATTGATGACCCATTTGCCACCATACGTGTTGTCGTCATTTTCGACAATCTTGTGGGCTTCGCCCGGTTTGCAGAGTCCGAGCCCGTCGTAGACCAGCAATTCGTTGGCAGCAAAGCAGTCGTGCAACTCAATCACGCTGATATCTTCCGGTCCCACACCAGCAATCTTGTAAGCCTCCTGAGCGGCTCTTCGTGTCATGTCGCTACCTGCCAGCTCGATACAGCTCCTGTCGTCGAACAGTCGTGGTGAATCGGTGGCCATGACCGAGGCGGCAATCTCGATTGCTTGGTTTTGCAAATTGTGCTTCTTGACAAAAGCCTCGGATGTGACAATAGCACATGCACCCCCATCGCTCGTAGGGCAACACATGCCTCGAGTAAGTTGCTCAGTGACTGGCTTGTCCTTCATGACCTGATCGAGCGTCATGTTATTCTGGAACTGTGAATAAGGGTTCTTGGTCGAATGCTTATGGCTTTTGGCAGCTTAGAAAAGCAGAAGTCAGCGCGGGTAGCTCTGTGCGAAAGGAGACCACATACCGATCTTGCCAATATGCTCCCAGGTCGCGCCGTACTTCTCGCAGTATTCCTGACCGCCATTGCCGAAGATCTGGGCAGCGAAGGGACCTGCCGAGATTCCAACGACATCGCCCATGAGCTCGATCGTCTTCTCAAGCGGGTTCGTGCCTGCGCACGAAAGTCAGCGCAGTGAGCAATTCTCCGAAGACAGAACTGACGATCTTCAAAAGTCGCCGAGAGCGAGCCGGCGGCCATCTTCTCGAAGCCTATAGCCATGCTACACTCGACCATGCCGTGCTGTACTGCCTGGGTAGCCAGCAAGAATGCGCTCGAGCCCGTCGAGCAATTGTTGCTGTTGAGGTCGATCAGCTTACCCCGCGTGATCCACCGGGCGCAAGACTTACTTGACGTTGAAGATGGGGATAGAAGTCATGCCGAGGCCATAGAGAGCTCTTTGACCGCATGTCGAGTCGCCATAGCAGTAGCCGGCGTAGGCAGATTGTACTTCGTCGTAGGTGATGCCGGCATCGATGAGCGCTTTCGTGCCTGCTTCGACTGCTAGCTCCGGGTAGTCTACGCGACCTCGAGGCTTCTCAAAAGCCGTCATGCCGACGCCGACAACATACGCTTTCTGTGGCATCTATGTAAGGCGGAAGGTAATGCGTGAAGGTGGTCAATGTCGAGCTGAAAGTCGATGCTTCACGTCACGAAAGTCTCCGTTGCTCAGCGCGAATACTTGAAAAACAATCTTGAATTCACGCCCGACGCGGCCACGCAGATTCGAGGTCCAGAGCCGTAAGTTTCAGATGGACTCAAGCTTGCGCCTGAGGCGCCCGCCAGAGGTGCATCTCTCCGTTAGCATGATCTTAGTCGACTGAAGGCGGGCAGACTACATCTGGCTCCTCTGCGCCGCCAGAGAAGCAGCTAGGCCAAACGCCTTCTAAAGCAGAAGCCGCATTGGCAACAGCGTACAGGCAGCACGTCAGACCGGTCATCCGAGCTGATCCTACGATGGCTTCCGCTTTCGATCCTACGGAAGATCCTGAGCTGTATGCTCTCTGGTGCAAGTGAGACGCTCAGAAAGGGCGAGCGTCGTAGAGAGAAATGTCGCCCAGCTCGAACGTATGTCGGCCTGCTTTAGGCGTCTTCCATTGCGTCGCGGTACCACCCATGGCAAGATCTAGACGATGCGCATCAGTCAGAGTAAGAGAACCCAGTGAAAGGGTGAGACAGACTGAGGATGAGGCAAAAGTCAGAGAGATCTTTGGCGAAAGGAGGCGAAGGGCAGCGACATTCAGCGACTCTCTCGCGATCGCTGTACCATTCCAATCGTACGCCATGCTCGTCTGCAGGCCAGAACGCCAGGCCAACGGTCTGGCTGGGCTTGTGAGCATGTGACTGAGCGTGATGCTTGCCGCCGTCCTCAGGCAGATGATGTGTGCCCCAATGAGCTGCATGGGTGACCTGCTCATCCAGACCGAACGTCTCCATGATGTCTACCTCGCCCAGCGCAGGCCATTGTATGCTACCGTCGATGACTTGCTTCGGCAGCAACCACAGAGCAGGCCATAAGCCAGATGAGCAGGGCAGATGCTTCACCTGTGCTTCGATGTAGCCTCGTGGGATGCCCAGCGGGGTCTCACAGATCAGCTTGGCACTCTTGAAGCTGTTGCCCTCTGGATCACTGTGGCCATGGACTGTCAGGTGCGAGGGAGCGCACTGGACCTGTGCGTCAGAGTAGTGCTGTATCTCCTCATTCCCGAAGCCGCCCCCGCCTTCATGTGCAGTCCAGCGTGAGCCATAGTCTGCTGACCATGTCTCCTGCCAGACGAGCTTCGCTCTGCTTCGCTTCAGCTTGTCGAGCATCGCCCATCGTCGAATGTCGCCGCGAACGATTTCTCAGGCGCAGCAGCGCTCAGCTGATGCTCAAGCTGCTACGATGTACATGCTGGCTACGAGCACCAGATGTCCTCCTCATACGATGCTCAAGATCAAGCTCGAGCTTAGCTGCCCTGTCCGAAGAGCACCGACTAATCATCAGAGCAGCCGAAGCGACGCTGTCTGCAGCCAAGCAAGAGACAAATGACATAGAGAGAGCCAAAGCCATCAAAGCCACCGAGTCACTCTCCGATGCTCTCGCTCGCTTACATACTCAGCAATCCACTCTGCATAGTCTGATCGAGATGGCTAGAGGCGACCCAGACGAGACAATGCGTGAACTGGCCGAGTTGGACGTCCAAGCTGAACAAGCCAAGATGGACAGCCAAATCTCGAGAGTCAAGGACCTCGTCCTACCTCGAGATGAGATCGATCATTCTGGTGCGCTCGTAGAAGTCAAGGCAGCGGTGGGAGGCAATGAAGCTGGGTTATTCGCTGGCGATTTACTGAGGATGTACGCACGATTCGGACTGCGGCATCAGTGGCCTACAACGATGGTCGAATCGACAACGCTTCAGGGTCTAGATGAGGCATACAGGGAAGCGATACTGGAAGTACGCGGCCAGGGAGCTTATGGCGTCCTACGTAACGAAGCTGGCGTGCATCGGGTTCAACGGGTACCCAGTACAGACAGCGCGGGAAGAGTCCACACGTCCACTGTTGCCGTCATCGTCCTACCTCTCGTCGAAGAGGGATCAAGCTCTTTGGATAATATACTCGATGAGAAGGATGTCAGAATGGAAGTCACAAGGTCAAGAGGTGCGGGCGGCCAGCACGTCAACAAGACAGAATCGGCTGTCAAGCTCACCCATCTGCCAACGGGCATCACTGTCTCTATGCAAGAGGACAGATCGCAACACAAGGTTCGAACCTTTACCGGATGAGCTTATGCAGCTTATCCTCGATGGCTTGCAACAGAACCGATCAAAGGCGTTTCGAGTGCTAAGAGCAAAGCTACTGGATCGGCAGATCCTGCTTGACCAGGAGCAGAGGCGATCTGTTCGACGCGGTCAGGTCAAGAGTAGCGATCGCAGCGAGAAAGTGCGAACGTACAATTTTGCTCAGTCTCGCGTAACGGACCATCGCATTCCGCTCACGCTACCCGCCCTCGATGACATTCTCGAAGGTGGCGAGATGCTCGATCATCTCAGTGCACGTCTCAGAGAGCTAGACGAGCTAGAGAAACTGGCTTCTATCGTCGAAGATGCAGGTGCATAGAATACAATGGTTCGTGTATGTGATCGTGAGACGGCGTGAATAGTATCAGTTATTGTCCAGACTGTCCTTGGTTTCCACAGCTCGGGCGGGGGGCCAAAAGACATAGTCTTGCGGCAAGGCCGGATGGTATGTCCGACTCCGCTTTTGCATCCGATATTCGACAGAGGTATAGATCTTTGCGTCAGGCGCAGGCAAGTGACGATGACGCCCCAAATTTGGCCTACATGCTGTGTCAGTCCTGATCTACGCGACTTCACAAGCGGAAGTACCAATATGAAGTCTTCCAGTGACCCGGCGACGTTTGCCATGTACGACCAAGAGGCAAGATCTCCAATAGCCACCAAGGTGAAAGCCAGCTGGCAAGGTTGTCATGCATGGGCGAGGTAGCGTCGACCCCTCGCCACCAATCGTCAGCATTCTGCTCGCTCAGATTGACGTCTATGCCGGAAGCGACGAGTGCATCCGCATCAAAGCGGATCTTGAGCTCTTTATGAAGTAGCAACATCTCGCGTACCATCCTGTCGTGCTCGTCAGCGCAGTCTTTGGCTAGTCAAACGGATCGCACCAGCCTAGTCCGACATTGGCCAGACTAGAAGGGGCGGTGTCAAGCGAGGATCCTCCTCCGCAATCTGTATGACAACCCGAGACCCAAACTTCTTTGACATTGGTTGTCGACCATTTCTTGGATTGATCGTGATGCTGCCGCGCCCTCTCCTGGATCACATCGATCGGCGTCTTGTCGAACGCCGACGCAGGTACAGGCACGTGGGGATTCCGTTCTGACTGCGACTCTGGCCGAGCAAAGATGGCAGGCTGAAAGCGTGTCCTCCGCTCGTCGAGAGCGAGCACTTGACGGAAATAGTTTATGGAAGTGGACGAATACGTAAAGGGCAGCGTCTTGGTGAACAGAACGCCCACGCTAGAGACGGTGTCGAAGCATCCCACAAAGTCCACTCGAACGTTGCGACCAAAAGTTGCCTTGAAACCACGCGCAAGCTCTCGCCCAATAAGTGTCTTGTCAGCATACATCGCATACGCCTTGCTAAAGTTCTCCTCGTTCTCGGGCATGAGTAGGCCGACCTTTTCGATCATGCCGGCCACACATCTCGCAGTGTAGGCTCCGCGCGAGAAGCCGAAGATACAGATCCGATCGCCTTGTCTCCAGTTGTTGCAAAGATAGGTGTAGCCGCCAAGAATGTGGACATCGATGAAAGCGGCAGTGGCCAGGTCGATGAGTTGGGCTGTCCACTTTGCGAGCTGGCTGAACAGTCCTGGAGGTGGGTAGGTACCGACGCCCGACTGATAGTAGATCGTCTGATCTTGGCGCGTCTTGTCTAGGAGTGCAGTCAGCTTGATAATGTTAGTGTTCGTTGCAGAGAATTGGTTCGTCGTGCCATCGAACAAGAGGATCAGTGTACGACCATCGGACTTGCTGAGCGTCGACGAGCTGGCCATGAGCTTGCTAGGATCACTTCAGCAGGCTGTCTCTCTTCTTCAGGATGCGACAAAAGGACAATGCGGAGAGTGCCCCGCTGAGCAATGATGTAAGATGAAACATGCGCGACGCGACTTTCGCGCAACGTCAAAACCACGGTTCACGGCAGGCACGCTCAGGCTTTATGCTGCTCGGCTCGCCTTCAAAGCGGCGCATAGGCGAAGCACCATCACTAGCAGAAGCAGCTGCGGCATCACTCTTCTCAGAGAAGAAGTGGATATGGCTGTCAGATGCGACGCACGGATACGTTCGCGGATGGGTCTCTCGCGAGTGGACAGAGACGGAAGCTGTTGCTCTCGTTCCAGGCGGGCGCAAGGAGACGGACTGGACCGAGGCCGTCATCGAATCATCTAGAGAGGTCAGCCGGGAGGAGTGAAGAAGTGACAATGTGCTGAACGAGAGTGACAGACCTTGCTGATACCGACAAACGATGTGTCACGCATGAACCCGCCCAAATTTGATAGAGTGGACGACATTGCTGATCTCACATTCCTCAACGAAGCAAGTGTAGTCAACAACTTGCGGCTTCGCTATCTCGAGCAAGCTATATATGTACGTTGACGAGTCCGGACGCACTTTCGCTCTGACGAGGCGGCGCAGACTTATTCTGGCCTCTTCCTGGTCGCCATCAATCCTTATCGAGATCTACCACTCTATTCGCAAGAACTAGTCCAGCGTGAGTGCAGCTCGTGGTCAACATAGCCAGGCCTGAGCGCGTCAAGGCAGATTATAAACGTCGCCGGAGAGAAGATGCGCCGCCGCATGTCTATGCAGTCGCACAGAAAGCATGGCAGAAGATGCTCTCCGAACGGGAGTGTCAATCCATCCTGATCACGCAAGTCTAGCTCAGGCCGGTTTGTCATGCATTGCTCACTCGTGCACGCGCAGTGGCGAGTCGGGAGCGGGCAAGACAGAGAATACCAAGCGTGTCATACAATACCTCACTGCAGTCGCGAGCGAGGCTGTAGCGGATCGGGCTTACTCCTCCTCTACTTCCCTCACGCCTGCACGTACCGAGGATAACCGACTCGAGCAACAGATCCTAGAAGCCAATCCTATCCTCGAAGCATTCGGGAATGCACAAACAGTTCGGAATAACAACTCCTCTCGCTTTGGCAAGTTTGTTCGGATAGAATTCGACTCAGCTGGCGCCATTGCGGGCGCCAACATTGAATGGTACTTGCTCGAGAAGAGTAGAGTGACGGGTCGAAGCCGCCACGAACGAAGCTTTCATATATTCTATATGCTGCTCAAAGGCGCATCTGCCGATCTGCGATCTCAGCTTTTGCTAGACGGCGGCGCAGAAAAGCAAGAATATCTGTCAAAGTCGCAAATGACGGTCGATGGCATCAATGACGCCGAGGCGTGGAAGGCATTGCTCGTTGCTTTGCACACCGTCGGCTTCAGCAGGGAGGAGCAGCTACAGCTCTTCAAGGTCGTTGCTGCCATTTTGCACATCGGCAATATACAGGTCTCCACCGATCGATCGGACCAAGCTCTTGTCCGAGATAACACTTCACTCGAGAAGGCGTGTCATCTTCTGGGACTGCCAGTCGAGGACTTCAGACGTGCAGTACTGACGCCAAAAGTGCGCGCTGGTCGCGACCTCGTGACGCAATCTCGGACGAAGCAACAAGTGACCGACGAGCTAGCAGCGCTATGCAAGACCATATACGAGAAGGCTTTCGGCAAGATGGTCGATCGCATCAACCTTGCGCTCGATCGCGACGTACCCAAGTCTGCTTTCATCGGCGTGCTCGATATTGCAGGCTTTGAGATCTTCGAAGAGAATGGCTTCGAGCAGCTCTGCATCAATTATACCAACGAGAAGCTGCAGCAGTACTTCAATCACCACATGTTTGTACTTGAACAGGAGGAATATGCAAGAGAAGACATCGAATGGGACTTCATCAACTTTGGTCTAGATTTGCAGCCGACAATAGATCTGATCGAATCCAGTCAGCCTATCGGCGTCCTCAGCTGTCTGGACGAAGAAGCGATCATGCCAGGGGGTAGCGATAAGACCTTTACCGAGAAGCTCGGCGTCGCAGCCCGGGCCTCGTCAAAGTTCAGCGGGAGTCGCTTTGCAGACAAGTTCTCTGTGCAACACTATGCAGGCAAAGTCGAATACACCACTTCCGGCTGGCTCGAGAAGAACAAAGATCCCATCAACGACAACGTCACCGCATTGCTATCTCAAGCGGCTGACGTGTTCGTGCGCTCGCTATTTGCCGAGTTTGCCGAGCAGACAGTTGCTGCGCCTCTAGTCGAGGGCAGAGACGGCCCTCGGCGTCGGGTTCGCCGGGGCGCTTTCCGCACTGTGGCGCAACGACATAAGGAGCAGCTCAATGTTCTTATGGCTCAGCTGCGATCCACTCAACCTCACTTCATCCGGTGTATCGTCCCCAACACAGTGAAGCGCTCAGGCCAGTTCGAGGTCCCTCTCGTACTTGATCAGCTTCGCTGCAATGGCGTGCTCGAAGGCATTCGCATCGCCCGACTTGGCTACCCTAATCGCTTGCCATTCATCGAGTTCAGGCAACGCTATGAGATTTTGACGCGCGGCGTATCGTCAGATGGCTTCGTCAACGGCAGGCTGGCATCGCAACGAATGGTCGAATCGCTCGAGCTGGATCCCACTACATTTCGTATCGGTCTGACAAAGGTGTTCTTCCGGGCCGGCGTCCTCGCTAGTCTCGAAGAACGTCGCGACACTCTCCTAGCAGACACATTCTCTCGGCTGCAAGCGACTTGCCGAGGAATCATCACTCGTCACGCGACTCGCAAAATACTACATCGAGCGAACGCAGTGCGTGTCATACAGCGTAATGCTCGCGTCTATCTCGAGCTACAAGATTGGCCTTGGTGGGATCTCTATACCCGCGTACGACCATTGCTGGCTGCCTCGAGGGTGGATGACAATCTTCGCAAGCGCGAACAAGAGCTCGTCCGCGCCAAAAATGAAGCTGTGCGTGAGAAGCAAGAGCGAGACAAACTTGAAGCGGTACAGGCAACACTCCGCGCAGAGCGGAGGCAGATCGAGGACGCGCTCCAGGCAGAACGTGCCTTGACGCTGGAAAAGGACACTCATTTGCTACGCTCGAAAGAGAAGGAAGCTGCGTTATACCAATCGGTCACAGAAATGCAAAAGGTCAGCTTATGTCGGCATAGCTCGATATGCGCTAACGGTCTGGTGCTTGACTCAGGATATTGATTATCTCGAAAGCCAGCTGACCGTCACGCTAGAGTCTCTCAAAACAGCCGAGATCAAGTCTGACGAGCTCGAGAGCTTACATAATTCTACACAAGCTCGTATGGCTCAGCTTGAGCAAGAGCAAGTCAAATGGCAACAGCAAGCAGACGCGATGAGCAACCGGGCCGAAAACACGACGGAGCAGTGGAAGGCTCTGAACGTCGAGAAGGCGGCCTTGACAGCGCAGCTCGCTCAACTCGAGCAACAAGGGCGGGAAGGTGCACAAGACGTTGTTCGCGCTCGACAGCGCATCAAGGTCCTCGAAGCCGAAGCTGTTGCTCAACAGACTGATCTCGCCCTCGAGCGCGAAAGCATGAAAAGACGCGCGGACATGCTCATCAAAGAAGCACGATACGCGAAGGAGCAGTACACCAACGCAACGCGCAAGGCGACGGGATACGAAGCGCAGCTACAGCGTAAAGAGCAAGACTTGCAGGCCTTATCAGCTCAGCTGCAGCAACAGCAGAAAGACCGCGATAGCTTGCTATCTGGTCGTGCACGCTTACAAGCTCAGTTTGACGCGATTGCGCGAGAGCGACAGCAGCAGATTGACGACTACGAGAATTTGCTGGTCGAGAAGGAGAAGATCGAGGGCGATCTGGAAGCTCTGCGCGCTTCCATACAGACACATACATCGGAGACTGCTCGACTCGATGTTGCTGCAAAGGCCAAAGAGGCCGAACTTGCCAGTCTTCGAGCTGACATCGCAAAGCTAAGCGGAACGCTGGCCCAATCGCGTCAAGAAACGACCGAACAGAGCGCCAAATTGCTGGCTGAGGTAGGCCTCGATCGTGTGCTCGGTAATCCGCTGACCCGCCTTCTCGGGTGCTACAGGTCGCAACGGCTAAAGCAGAGGCAAGCGCCCGTTTGCAGGCACATGAGCAGGTCACAAGGCAAGTCAATGGCGCAACAAGCAAGCTGCAAGACGCCGAGGCTGCATTGTCTGCCGCAAAAGCCGCGCAAATTGCTGCCGAGAATGAGCTGGCTTCACTTCGTGCTATCCAACAGGATGCTGGACGGGACCTGCAGGCACTGCAAAAAGACCACGTCTCAACCAAGCAACAGCTCTCTGCGACGCTTGCACAGCTACGACAAACGGAAGAAGCCAGCATCGGCCTTGAGCGCGAGAAGACAACTTTACTTCGAGAGCTCAAAGCGTTCGAGACGAGAGTTGCGCAGAACAACGAAGAGAATGTCGCTTTGCGCGAGCTTTGCAAACGAGCAGAGACGGACGCAGCTGCATTGCGCCAACAAGTCATGGCGCAGACGCGCCAGAACTCGGAGCTACAGGCGCAATTAGCAACCTTATCGATCGAAGTGAAGAAGGCGCAGTCAGCTCAGGATAAGACGGTCGTCGAACACGTGCATGTGCTTGAAGAAGCCAAGCGCTTTACGGATAGGCAGCTTGCCGAGACACAAGCTCGACTCGAAGAAGCCTCTCAGCATATTCGCAGTCTGGAAAAGACCAAGCAGCGACTCGCAGGCGAAGTGGAAGACCTCAGTCGGGCTTTCGAGCGAGGGCAGCCACGTCGAAGTGATGCTGGTCAACCAAACCCCTCCTCGCGTCATTCGCTCTTGCAGAAGCTGCAAAGCAACAATGCTGAGATTGCGAAGGAAATGGCTTCAAAGCTAGACAGATTTGACAAACCCAGCAGTAGTGCCAGCTCGGCAGCATTGGCGCTTCACAAAGACGTTGTTGATCTCAAGAAGCAGCTCGAGGCGCGAGAGAAGGAGCTGGCCTTGCACAGATCAAGTCAAGGCGGCATGATACGCGACGAATCGCAAGCAATGGCAAAATTGGACCAGCAGCGCAGACGGCTTGAGGAAGACTTGCTTGCCGAACGCGAAAGGGCACAGCAAGAGCTCGAGGAGCGTGATTTTGCCATGTCGGCCATGCGGAGGAAGTACCAATCAGAATTCGACCAGCTCACCGAAGAGCTGCAAGCACAGCGGGAGCACGTCGAGAAAGAACGTCAGGAGAACGCCGAGCTGAGTCGACTCAATGCTTCGCTCGACGCTCAGACAAAGACGATGAAGAAACGCGTCCTCGATATGGAGACACGAATGATGTCGGCTTCGCCTCGCAATGGGTCCAGCCTGTCTGGCGATGCGGAGACGCGCATCCGCGAGCTTTCAACGCTCTTAGAGAACGAGCGTCGCGCCCATTCAAGCGGCTATGGTATGAACGGTGCAGACATAGAGCGCTACAAGCAAAGAGCGGAAGAGAAAGCCGCTGAGAAGGATCGTCGAATTGGCGAACTGCGCAAAGCGGTCGAAGAGCTCGTCAGTCCTCTCTCTGATGCCGAGAGAATTCCACTGATGCAGGCATTGTAGCAACAAGTCGAGGCAGACTTGCAGCTGAACGCCCGCAGGACGGAGCGAAAGTTGCAAGCCGAGAGAGAGTCGTCAGCGCGTCTCAGGGCCGAGATGGACAAGATGCGCTCTCGATCAGAGTTCAGCGGTTCCAATGTTGTCAATCAGCTGTAGTGTATGTGTGTGTGTGTTGTACACGTGAGTGCAAGTTCGGGACACAACAAGACAATAAAACTACAGCAACGTCTTCATTTGTCTTTTGGCTTGACGACGATGCCAGGCAGCATCCTGCTCTTGCCTTTCGGCTTCGCGCCCGTCGCTTTCCAGCTATCGGGACCGAATGTGCTCGGGCTGGCGGGAGGAGGAGTCGCTTGCTCTTCTTTTGCTCGAGAGACTTTCTGTAGACTGGCAAAGAGCGATCCCGTCGTTCTTGTCGTGCCAGGCGCCAGAAGGGAGGGATTCCGTCTCGGCAGGGCTTGAGGGCCCTCGGGTGCAGCTTTCATATCTCGTTCTGCCTGGATTGCCACGAGCGCGCTCGGTCGCGCTGGTAGATTGGCGCTGGCCCTCGAGGTAGATGCCACTGGAGCATGAACCGGGTCATCCTCGTCCATGTCCGGCTCGGGCGTAGGAGGCCGCATGGAAGCAAGCTTGGCCTCGAGTGCATTGATCGCTGCGTCAGTTCTGCGAGTGCAAGCGATCCATCACGTCAGCAGGGCGAGATATGTGGAAGAACGAGAGACTTGCGATTTGGGTTTGCGTTGGTTCTTGATGAGGCTGAGTGTAGTGGGCTTGTGGCCGTCTAGCTTGTGTCTCCATGCGCCACCCGTTGCTGGTCCCCTCTCGTCTGTATCTGGCTGCGAAGGGGGAAGACGGGCAAGAGTCAGTCTGGCGCGTCCAGTTGGCGATCAGGGTGAACTGACGTTGTCTGCCCAGGAGACGATGAGCTTGCGGCCTCGTATGAGCTTATCGTGCAGCTCCAATTGCGCTCTTTCCGCTTCCTGTCGTCGTCGACCGAGCCTTAGACATGACACGTCTGAGGCAGCATTGACGGACCCAGGTCTGTTCGAATTCGACAAAGCCATAGCCTCTCGGCTTGCCCTTGAGAGGGCCGGCAGTATGGTAGAGCACGTCGAGTTTGACTATCTTGCCGTATTTGGTGAACAAATGGGCAAGGACGTACCTAGACACTGGTCAGTTCTGAACTCCGCTCGAGGGGACAGGAGCGATCACGCACTCGTCGATGGTCGAGGATAGGTTGCCGATGTAGAGTCGCTTGCGTGACTTGGACTTGATCCTGTCTGGCTCTGTCATGCTTGTGCAGAAGTCCTGCTACCTCGTCATGATGATGATGATGATGATGATGCTCAACATGGACGACGCCTTTGCCTCGAGTTGCTGGCCAAAGAGAGACGGCGCGGTTTTGCCTGCTTGCTTGCTTGCTAGCACGACGTTCACCTCACCTTGCAAGCGGTCGAGTGCATCGACGGAGATGAGCTTGAGTCTGCTGAGCGACAGCCGACCGAGCTCGCAAAGGCTAATCAACCTCACCCGAGCAGCCTGTTCGGGCGGCAGCAAGCGGCACTATGTCGCTCGCAAGCTAAAATCAGAGGATCCGCTCCACCCGTCCATCTCGCCCAATGCGATCTACTACACGCTCGAGGACCGCTCCACGCTGATCGTGCGACCTCCGCCATCGATTGCACCGCCGGGGATCGCCTACCCCATCCCAGGCGGGTCGAGTGCAACGCTGGCCACTGCCCACCACCACCAGTCTCACCCCTTGGCAGCACCTTCCTCTCCTGCAGCGAGCAGGATGCCAATCGACCTGCCACCGCTTGCCACCCCTCGCCCGAGGCAACCGAGCAGACATCTGTCAGAGGAAGAACTGGACAAGATGAGGGAGATGAGGACGAGTGATCCTCTCACCTGGTCGCAGAGCAAACTGGCAAAACACTTTGGCGTCAGCAAGGGCGTCATTGCCGTCGAAGGGTTCAAGAGCAAGACACCGCTTGCGAAAGAACAGGCCAAGCTCGTCAAGAGCGTCCACCAGAAGATGCACGATCTCAGGCAGTCTCACCTCGGCTGGCGGAAACGTTCGATCGAGGAGGAACGCAGGCGGCGGAAGGATCTCTGGTGAACAGACTGCAGGCAGCCACGACTTGCGCAAGGATGCATGCTGTGTAAACCCCTCATGTCGTGCCGAGGCTAGATTGTCACACAAGAGTGCATTCTTGCAAGCTCATCAGATGAAACGCGCACAGGCGCTACTCTTGTTTGCGAGGTAGACTCGAGCACTGCTCGATCCGGGTTTTTCCTCTCTTCCATCCTAGTTGACCTCTTCGAGTCTCGATCCAGAGTCAACGCCAGCCGGCTCGAGATCCTGCACCATCAACCAACGTTTAGCCCGAGGGAGCATGAGCAAGTCGCGCTACTTGAAAGACTGACCGGTACATCGTCCTCTGAGGCAGCACCCAGACCGCTCTGGATGCCCTGATAGCTTCTTGCGAGCGAGTTGAGGTTGGAGAGCGCTTCTGGGCCCATCTGGGACAAGATGCCCGGCAAGAGATCCGTGAGATCTTTCTCTTGTCCGTGTCCGTAGATTGCATATGTGTTCGATGGCGCGGATGCATGAACTGGTGGCCGCGAAGTCAGGCAGCAGCACGGGGGGATCGCTGACGCTCTCGAATCGACGAACCTTTTGGCTGGGCAAAATGGAGAACGGTGCCCGAGTCGTCGTCTTTGAACATGTTGACTTCCTCGATGCCCGCCAGCGTCTGGACGGGCAGCTTGTTCAGCGCAGCTTGTAGCTTCTTGTCATCTCCCGATGTCGTCTTTGCCTTGACGGGCTGCTTCCTTCGTGGTGTGCCTTTGCTGCCTGTACGCTCGCACACCATCGTCAATTTTTCTCTCCTTTTCGCCTGACGCAAGCTGTCGTCTGAAGCACGCGAAGAGTTGACTGACCCTGGCGTGCAGCCGCTTGCATGCGTGCAAGCTTGGCAGTATCCATGATGGCAGATGTCGAGCGTTTCTTTGCGCCGCTGATTCTGACTGGCAGGCTTGGGCGCGAGTGGCTCCCGGCCCGGTTGGCCCGGCGAGAACTGCCAATCCGCCTCACGCGCGGTCTCACGCTTCGAGCTAGCAAGCTCTGCATCAGGTCCACAGCCGGCTCGGGATCGCCATGGCCACACATAGAGAGGCCAAGTTCCCAGCGGAGCCGTACATCGACCCGACCCCGCTGCCCAAGAGGGTACCCCATGTGGCAGAAGTGGGAACGACCTCTGCGCCTCTCAAGTCGGCCTCCTTCTTCATCGGAGCAGGTTGTGAGAAGTACAACGGTTCGTTCTGCTGCTTCTGAAGCGTCGGGCTCAGGTCGTGATGGGTGTCAACAGATGACTTTATGCTCTGCAAGGCCGAGAACAGGGATCCTGAGCATTGCCTCAAGGAGGGCAGGAGGGTGACTCGTTGCGTACAACACATGTCGGTCTCTGATCAATTTCGTCAGATGTGCATCTGTCTCAATGGATGGGTCGCTTGACAGGATCAATCAGCTGCAGATCAACTGTGAAGCCGAATGGAACGCGCACTGGAACTGCTTAGAACGAGGCAACCAGGCAAGCTTGCCTCTTTTCAGCTGCCCGTTCCAGCTGAGACGAGTGGCCGCCCGCAGGAGTTCTACAACTGTCGCGACTTAGAGCGACCGTTCAACAAATGCGTCTTTGACAAGCTCGTCCGTCTCACTTTTCCGTCATCCTCTCAGACGCCTTGGCTCACGAGTGACCGAGCACAGAAGCTGAAGAAGACCATCCCGGGATCGCCGCCCGGGCAACCCCAAGTGCACGAGAAGCCAAACCAAGTCTACAAGCCGTTCCAAAAGTAGATCTGTCCTCTCGCATCTCATGCTCGCAGCTTTGCATTGTTTGTACAGCGATTGTCTCTTCCGTGTGATCCTGCTTGAATCTCAGTTATGCTCGCCGTGAGCATTTTGAGTATCGATCAGCAACGAATGGAGGCTCCTTCCAACTTCGAGCGACACGCGCGCCGACTGCGAAATTTCAACGCTCGCCCTTTGGCATCATCGTTCTGTGCCTGCAGCGTCAGATCGTGGCAGCATTGCTCCGCGGCACTGGCGAGACTATCACGCCTGTTCAGCTTGGCGAGGCGGTCGCTCGTCAAGCTCTCGCCCCTGAATGAGGCTGTCATCAAGCAGCGCATCAAACTCGTCAGACGACCCTTGCCCATCCCTGCAGAGCTAGCAGACGAGCTACCCATGACAAACGCTTCCAACGGTGCTCACAATCTCTGGGGCATCCAGTCTGCTTGTGGCAGGAGCTCAGATACTCATCCTGCTTTCTGGGTCGTCTTTGACAATGCGCGCTACCTCTTTACGCCTGGCGAATCGATCGCACGAGCGACGACGGCGCAACGCATAAGAGTCAAGAAGATCAGGGCTTGCTTCTTGTCCAGACTGGATCCAGATGCTGCTTCGGGCCTGGCGAGCATCATACTGAATGCGGCAGCGAGCGGGCAGAGCAAATTGCAGATCCACGGGCCGCGCGACGTTGATCATCTCATTGCGTCTTACCGCTTGTACGTCAGACGCCCGGCACTCAGCTTGTCCGTGCACGAGCCAGAAGAACGAACAGACTCGCCCGCGATAGCATACCGAGATGAAAATGTCATCGTCTACACACTACCGCTCTTGCCTCCCACAACCGATTCGACCTCTGTTGCGCCACAGGAAGCGGCAGACGAGCAACAAGCAAAGCAAAAGCGACGAGCAGCGATCGATGACATGTTCCGCGGTACAGAGCTAGACAGCCTCAAGCCCGTCTTTCGTACCGACGCCTCTACGTCTCGTGCATCATCTTCATCGCAAGGAAATCAGCAGGAACAGACGCCTGCTTGGTCTCACATTCGCTTGCCAGCCCCCAAGGCTGTTGACCGTGGACCAAGCAGCTATCTCATTGTCGGACCTCGCCGTCCGGGCAAGCTGTCGCCTGGCATGGCAATAGCCAGGGGCATCAAACCAGGACCGATCTATGCAAAGCTGAAAGCGGGCGATCCCGTACAGAATAACAAGGGAGAATGGGTCGACCCGATTGCAGAGGGTATCGTCAGCGGTGGCGAGTCGCCAGGAGCAGTACTGAGCCTTTGCTGTCCCTCCCTCGACCATCTGCCTGCATTGCTCGCAATCGACTTCCAGGCGCTCCTCGACCAGCATCGCGCTGTCTTGCGCATCGTGATGCACGATGTTGGCAAAAAGGTAGCAAAAGACAAGCGCTATATCGACTGGAAAGCATCGTTCAAACCCGATGTACTACACGTAGTATCAAGAGAAGACGACACGACAGATCACCTTCAGATCACGAGCTCCGTACTCAACCAGCATCGGCTGCATCGTCTTGATCCCGATATTTTCCCGCTGCCGTCCCATACGCCTGGCAATCCGAAACAACCAAAGTCGATCTACTGGGATAGCCAGGTCCGTCTTTCGGTCTCTGCCACACCTCGGGAAGGCTATGGCACCGATCTAGAGCATTTGACGTCGCTGAACCACCCCAATGATTCGTCGGAGATGACATCCCTCGTGACCTTCTCTGCGAGAGCGGGCCAAACGCGGACAGAGAAGGAAGACAGCGAATTGAAGGGTTTTCGCGAGTACGAGTCACAGATTGCTTCCGCTCGCGAAAAAGTTGCGGCTGAAGCTGCTTTGCTCCGCACGCGTGAACTCGCGCCTGGTGACGATATTATCGTGACGCCGCTGGGCACGGGCTCCGCTTCGGCTTCGCAATTTCGCAATTGCAGCAGTACACTCGTCCAAAGTCAAAAGGCCACCGTCTTGCTCGACTGTGGCGAAGGGACTTGGGGTCAGCTCTGTCGACGCTTTGGCAGAGTGGAAGCCGTCAAGATCTTGCTCGATCTTGATGTCGTCTTCATCTCTCATGCGCATGCGGATCATCACATCGGTCTTGCCAGGCTGCTATACGAACGGGCGAAGCGCAAACCTCACCTTCACAAGCCCATGTATCTCATCTGTCCCTACTTTGCCGAGGTCTACACGAGCGAGCAGCAGTACCTGACCAATCTCGGACTGAACGATCACGGTGCAAAGTCTGTCAAGATCCTCGATGCAATGTATCTCATCAAACCGTCCAGACGCGCTCAACCATCGCACAACAACGAAACGGCCAGATCAGAGCAGACGAGAAAGCTAGTACAAGCTCTCTGCGAATCTGTGGGCTTCAAGTCCATCGAGACGACCTTTGTCAGGCATCGCGGTCGTTGCTACGGCATTCGCTTCGATTTGTCCGACGGTTCCAGCTTTGTGTATGTTTGCCCCGCGCGCGTTGACTGTACTGACATTGGCGCAGCTATTCGGGCGACACAAGACCCGCTGACAGCCTCGTGCAACTTGGTAAAGGAGCGACTTTACTTATACATGAAGCGACGATCGACGACAGTATGCCCGCCATGGCTGCCGAGAAAGGTCATAGCACGTTTGGACAGGCGATGCAGGTCGCACGGAGGTCAGTTCCTGTGTGGTCTCTCCGGTTCGACGCTAAGCAGACCATTGACGGCAGTATGGGCGCAAAGTACTGCCTCTTGACACATTTCAGTCAACGCTATCCGAAATTTGTAAGCGTGACATCTTCAGCAGAATCTTCACATGGTCCAGTCTTTGTGGAAGCTTTCGATGGCATGTCGATCCGCCTGCAAGATTTTTACAAATGGAAGCATTACCTCGAGCCCCTCGAAACGCTCCTGAGGCGTATCGAGAGAGACGAAGATGACGAATCACCGCATATCGATGACGAAACGGTGCCTACTGTTGACACGATCGAGCCTGAGCCGGAGATCCAGCCACGCGGTCGAAAGCCCAAAGCGAGAAAGATAGGCGAACCTTCTCCATCCAAGCAGGCCAAGAAAGCAAAACGCAGCAGCTCATAGCTGGCTGGTGTTGTAGATGCAAATGCCGATGCTGCTTGCATGTTTGCTGAGGATTACAAAGATCATCAGAAATTAAAAGCGAGGTTCTGCTATCACACAATACGCAAAGGAGTACCGTCGCGTCATTGCCATCGCGACTGGCGGCTTGGCTGCATCTGCATGTGTCAACAGCCAAGCGCTTTCCTGCCCTCGTTACGCCCACGACCGAATTCACATGTCCTCACAGCTGCGTTTGCTCGGATTGATGCCATTTTGCCTTTGTCGGACCCCCTGGAAGTCAGATACACTACAAATTGGCTTACCCGATTATTATCAAACTCTTCAGAAGAGCATGCGTCTCTCAACGATTCAGCTGCACGGCTGCTCATCCTTCTTACGGCTGGTACAGGTTTGCTGCCTAACCTGCGCCTCTCTATACCTGCTCAATTGGCCTGCAGCAGGGAGCGGCGACCACACAAAGCAATATGACTTTGCCAATCCCACAGGCAATCTGAGTATCTCGATCAAAGAGACCAATATCGCAGACGGGATCGGACATCGCACATGGGGCTCAGCACCTCTTTTGGCTCGTCTCATGGCTGCCAGTCCGAGCTCTTTTGGATTAGACAGCCAGAGCACGCTCAGAATTCTCGAACTCGGCAGCGGCACGGGTCTGGTCGGCTTGACGATTGCAAAGCTTCTGCTGCCTTCAAACGCAAGCTCTCGAATCGTACTCTCCGACTATCATGAAGCTACACTCGACAATCTGCGGGCAAACGTGAAAACGAATGGATGCGACGCTGTGGCGAAAGTACAAAAGCTCGACTGGCGCCATGCATACTGCGACGAGACGTACGACATCATAGTCGCAGCTGACGTCACATATGAACTTGACCTCATACCGCTCATCGTTTCGAGCGTCTCGCAGCATCTGAAGAAAGGCGGCGTCTTCCATCTCATGATGCCCGTACGCAAAAGGCATGAAGCAGAAATCTCGGCTGTCCAGGCAGCTTTTGATGCTTCTGACTTTAGCAACAAGCTCGTCGCTGTCACTTCACTTATGTATTCGAGCACCGACGACACGGGCACGCTCGACTATCAGCTGGTGACGATCAAGTTCCGTGCAGATCACAGATAGAGCGAGCTCAAGTCGGCCTTGGCCTTTTGCTGGTTGGCTTTTCTCGCTATACGCAAGAAGTCGTAGCCATCTGCTCGCGATGGGCTAGCCAGACTCGCTGTCCACCCTAGCTCCGACCACTTGAAAGTCCGGCTCAATTCGTGAAGCATTGCGGGACTCGCCAGAGCCGAAGTCGCCTCTTCAGTCTGGCCAAAGTCGTAAATCTCTGAGGGTCGGGCTTCTCGTATAGCTGCATCGATCGAAGTCGCATTCGACAGATGAAGCGAGTCGGAAGGGAACAACAGCACAGTAGCAGGAATGGAAAGCTCTGTGGCTTGCGTGACGATCGCAGCTGTCAAGCCTTGCAGCACATTCGGCGGCTCATATGTCAATGCTGCAGTCGGCAGAATACGCTCATCGTCGTCCGACTGCAAGTAGCGTACGTTCCGCTCGCTCGCTTGACCTCCGCCAATGTAGTATGGCGCAGCATACGAGTCAATCACAGTCAATCTGTCCGCAACCTGAGTTCGACGCGAGCGCTCGAGGCGAACGACACACCTTTCTGGATTCGTGGCCTCGAGGATAGTACTGGCATAGCCCCAATAGTCGTCGAGACGTATGCCAGATGTTGAGGCGTAGCAGGCTGCTGTCGTTGCACCCAACTGAGCGAGAGATGCAACCTGTACGCTGCCAGCTTGGACGCTTGCTCCTTCGGCGTGCGCGCTTTGCAAGTGCTTTGACCACGCCGAGCCGGCTTCGCCGAGTAGTAAAACAAGCTCGCCAGCTGGACTCAGTTTGGCCTCTGCACCCACTGCAGATAAGCTGAAGGATTTCGCTTCTCGAGGCGTCTTTGCGGGCTTCGTGCGTAGCTGACGACCGGCATTGTCATCTTCGAACTCTGACTGGCTTGAGTCGCTCTCGATTGTGTAGCGAGCGGGCGCAGCGGTCGAGAAGGGTTCGTTCAAGTCCATCGTTCTCTGTCAGCGCTTGGGCCGCTGCCACTACCTGGGATGCTCAGCGCCCGCGTATGCCGCGTATTCTAGCGCGAGTCGTCGTGCAGGTCGGTTACAGATCGAGCACAGAATCTCAAGGATCATACGCTTCACCACGCATGCAGTATACTGAACGATGTAGGATTCCGCTCTGCATGCCTCGTTGCTGGCGCTGGGCAGTCATTCGCGTGATCACTTTTCTCTCCTGTCTTGCGGCACACGCATGCGCTATACATCAACAGTATTCATTTATCAGATATAGTCAGACTCGAGCTCGGCCCCGGAGTCGCTCGCCCCAGCTTCGTTCTCGCTATCGGAGAGCTCGTACGAGGGTCGACGTTTCCTGTCGATGTTTGTCAGCCAATGCAACGCGCTAATTCCATTTGAACTGACTTGGCGCGTGCCTTTGCGCGCGGTTTGCCGGTCGCAGGCGCCTTGCGCTTCGCAGCAGGCTTGGCGCTGCCTTCTCGTGGTGCTGCAGACTTTGCGCTGGCACGTGTTGCATCGGGCAGACGCTCGAGACCGTCCAGTAATTCAGCAGAAAGATACTGCGTGTTCGCCACCTATGGGCATATGTGAGCTCGATGGAGATGATTGCAAACGAACGGACTCGATGGGACTCTGCCTTTGAATGGAGCGGTTTGTAGATATCGCCGGGCATGCGCATTCGGCCTGGAAACTCGCTGAGGACCCAGGAGCGTGAAGACGCGTGTTGCTTGAGGCGATATTGAGTCAGTTCGGCGAGGACGTAGATACTCTGCAAAGTCGTGTCAATTGTGCTTCACATGAATTTGTAGTGACCGTGATGACGCACCTCCGTGGTTGAAGCGTCGTGCTGGTCTTGCACAGTCTTGCACTTTGCCGCGAGATAGTAGAGGAGAGACGCGTTAGTTGATGTCGCGACACTCTCGATAAAGAAGTCGATATACTTCTGCGAGAGCAGCAGACCTTCTGGCGTAGCAGCATAGTCTGGGTGATGCGCGAGCATGTGCAGTCTGTGGACTCAGTCAGTCAGTCAGAGGAGTCGCTTAATCGGCTGGTGAGCTCACAGTCGTACGAGCGCCATTTCCACTTCGGGATTGCCGACGTCTGCCGCATTTGCTGCAATTAATCGAGAGATGCCCGCGTTTGCCTGCTGGGAGTTCAGCAGTATCCCGTCCTCAGTGAATGTGCTCACATTCTGAATATTCTCGGCTTCCGGATCATGAGCGGTAAGGAACAGGATCACCCCAAATTCGGTAACAGGCAAGCGGCGCTGCAAGAGCCCTTTGATGACCGCGATCAGAAACCTGTTGCGCACAGAGAACACGGGATCTTGAATCGTCCATGCAAGGCGTTCGAATGCGCCGAAGCGGCCGGCTGATCTGCGAGGCAATCGTAACAAGCGCAGCAATGCCTTAGCTGACGCTAGTCGCATCTCTGCGCGAGCCTCCTCAACACTGCGATGTTCGCTTGAGCGCTGTCCTCACGCAGCATCAAAATGAAGTCCTACCTCGCGTCGCATACTTGATCGGCGGTTTCGAGGACAGAGGTGCATGCTGCGATGCTACCGAGAAAGACTTCCTCGGCCAGATCTTTCACAGCCAAAAGACGCTTGAGCAATTTCAGTGCCCAGTAGCCAGCAGTAAGGTCATCGGGGCTGCCAGCCTGCAGCTCTGACTTCAGCACTTGACAATCGACAGATTCTCACACCCACTGTAGCAGCCCGACTTATCGTCGTGAGCGCCAAATCCAGAGCCGTACGAGAAACAGCGCCATCAAAGATCTTGGGGTCGGCCTTTGCCAAGCCTGTTAGGCTCGCCAGCCGAGATGATGTTGGCCGATCCTGAGATGAGTCCAGCAGCGCATTCTGCAGCGCCTTGCTGTCCTCAGCAGGGCTCGTTACCGCTAGAAACCTTGCAGTAATCTTTGCGTCATTCGGAACGAGTACTAACAGGCGCTCTTTTGCTGCTGTAGTAGCGGCACTGCAAAGGTTTCAGCCTCTCATTCGATCAAGTGAGTTGACTCTTTACCTGTCAAACGTAGACTCAAGGTCGTCTGAAGCGATGAGCGCAGTCGTTATACGCATTGCTGGATTGACTAGACACTTTGGCGCGCCGGTCGTGATGATCATGCCAAGTGCCGAGACAGAGTCTTTACAAAGCTGCGGCTTCGCTTTGCTGACATGGGCAAGAATGCGAGCAAGCGTCTTGTCTGCTGCGGTATCGGCCCCAGCATTGAGTGCAGCGGCGTCGACGAGCGCTTTGATAGTGCTACGATTGATAAAGTGTAAGGCGTAGCGCTCGTAAAGACCATTGACCGTGTCGTGTACCTCGGGGATCTTCTCGCGGAGGCGCAGATCGAGTGCTCTCTGTGGAAGGTGTGAACACACGCCAATGCACTCGCAGGATGCTGACCTTGGCTTCGTGCAGACCCTTGAGTGTCGCGTCTACGTCTACACAGGCGGCTAAAAGCTTGAAAAGACGCGCGTCGTTAAGCTTGGCCAATCTTTGCAGGTCCGCAACAGCCTTTGCAGAGTCGACGAAGCCAGCTTTTCCTCGAGTCAGCCCACGCCAAATGTAAAGATGCCCTGGCTGACCCGACAGCTTCTTGATGTAGGAATGCAAGCCCGCGGCAATCTTGTCCTCGTTCTTGTCCATTACACCGCCCTGTCAGATCATGAGCTCGGCAGAACAACGCGATAGACGTCGTCGCACATTGTACTTTGCGGCGAATCGCAGGTAGCTATCCATCTCGTTTGGGCGACTGCGAAGAGCTTTAGCGTTGCATCTGGATGAGGCATCAGACTGACTGCTCGCGAAGATTGCCGAGAACAACGAGCAGGCCAAGTTGAGCGTCAGGCAAGCCAGAGCAGATGAAGATGAATCGTTGCAGCCAGCCAGACAGCTCATCTGACTGCTCAGGTAGCTTGAGAATCGTTGACAGGAAGATGGAACGAATGGTGTTCCTGTCCGCATCAACGTAGTACATTACTTGCTGAGCAGCTGGACTTCGATAACACGTACATGAGGCCTCGATCGACGGTCGAAAACACGCTGAGCAGGCTTGTCGGCACGTCTCCAAGCAAAGCAGTCGCGCGAGTATCCTTTGCTTCTAGTAGCGGCAGTGCGTGAACGTATAAGTTTGCAGCCGTCTTTGCTGCAAGAGTCTGTAGGATCGGGCGCTTATCGCAAACGCGTTCTACGAGGGTTCTGAAAGTGGCTGGCTGGACATGATGTCGGAGCATGTCTAGATCGATAGATGCAAAAGCCAAGAGCGCTGCTTGTCTGACTTTGTCGTCTGGCTCCTGAAGCTTGATGCAAAGATGATCTGCTGTCCGAATCAGCCTGATACGAGAAATAGACAATACGACTCGCTGTCCAGATCAGTCGATTGGAATGGGTGAGCCTTCCACACTGGGATAAGATACTTGAGCGCGGCGATCCGCACGCTAGGCTCGGAGTCATAAAGGCGTCGCAGCCAAAGGTCCCAAATACGTGGATATGCGCGGGTAAAATCTTCTCTCGTCGACGTCTGTGCGAGCATTCGAGCGAAACTATGTGTGGCAAGCGTGCGGACTTTGACATCGCGCGAACCGAGTTGTGACTCTAGCTGCGGTATTACAGACAGCAGAACGGGCGAGGCATGCTGTGCGATAGCGATGATGACCTCATGCGCGTTCTCGAGCTCGTCCATGTCGAAGGCAGCAGATTGGCCGGCGTCATCTGTCGATGCCGTATTGAGCAGAAGCTCTGCAAAGTATTGGCCGACATTGCGCTGGAGTCTATCTGAAGTCTTGATGAGTACTTGTGACGCGGTCTTGAGGGCAGCTGGAGGACGATCAGGCTCGAATTGGCTCAGAATTGTTGTCAGTAGATCGGTGGAGATGGTCTGGGCCTCATCGATGAGGTGGACAAGTATATCGCCGATTGCTGACCGAATCTCAGCCGGCAAGTCGATACTGTCGCGGCTACCTAGCTCAGAAAGACCATGCGAGTCTGATGAGCGCGTCACGTACGCTGTATACGTGAAGAGATCTTCAAAGATTGTGATGAGGAGAGCATCCGCGCTCGGCAGATCGCAAACAAGGACGATGCTCTTGACCGCTGCAAACGACTCGAGCAGATAGAAGTACTGCGGGTGATAAGTCGTAGCACCTGACTTGAGGCAGGCCAGTTGTCGAAAGGTGAATTGGAATATCAACTGCCGCAAGAGGTCAAGCAGGATCGAAGTGACAGCTCGCACGGACTCACTTTGAGCTCATCCGCAGTGTAGGGAGCGTCCGGCGCGTAGAGTCGCAGGATGTCGGCAAGACAGCAAGCTAGGTAGGCCTTGACTCCTCTGTCCTTGGAATGAACGATAAGAGAGGCATGAACGAGTTCAGCTTTGACTGTGTCTAGCGAAGCGATCTCCACTGCGCCTTGCTCGAGTTGACTGAGCTCAGCGTGAAGCTCCTTGAGTCGCTTGACGAGCTCTGGAGCAGTCAACTTGTTCGTCTCGCTCGAATTGGATCCTGACGTCGTCCTCGTTCGCTTCGAGTCCTGTCGCGCAGGTTCGATCAATGCCAGACCGAAATTGAGCTTGGCCAGCTCCTGCTCGATGCCTGCCATGATAGGGAGCGGCGCAAGATCACGCTTCTACGCGTGACGCGTCGGTAATTGGGAAAGTCGGAAAGTGCTTCGCGAACGCCGCGAGCGAGCCAGCCGGCGAGCATGTCAGCGTGAGCTAGGCCGATGCAGGCATGGCTGAGCATACAGCAGCTCCGCCTACGCTTGAAGAGCTCAGAGCTGCCGCGAGATCACGCGAGACGAGCTTGGAACCAGACAAGCCAGCATCAGCAAAAGCAGCACAGCTATCGCCAAAGCTCGCCTCTCGCTTAGCCAGGGGACCTGTGCTCGTCACTGCGGACCTGGTAGCTCATGATAATCGTTCAGCTCGACCGTATCTCTCTCGTGCGACCATGCTGCTCATCGTGCTTGCGCTGCTGTTCGCCAGCTTGCTCGGTCATTCTCATAGATTGGCCATGAACGAAGTCGCCCGGGTCAATGCGGGCTGCGAGATGGCTTACATGAGTCCTTCATATATCAAGCTAGCAGCCTTTGGTACGGAGTACAGCAGGCTAGCAGGCAAATATTCGACCTATCTCTATCGCGAGGTGGGTTGGGATCTCGAGCCCCACCCAGCCGGCATTCCTGTGCTTTTCGCGCCCGGGAATGCAGGCTCCTTCAGGCAAATCAGATCACTTGCTGCTGCAGCTGCGCGCCAGTTCTATGACAGTCCGGGCGTACCGAACTCCGCGCTATTGAAAGCGGGTGCTCGCCATCTAGACTTCTTCGCGGTTGACTTCAACGAAGACTTCTCTGCCTTTCACGGGACGACGCTGCTCGAAGAAGCGGAATATCTGAATGACGCAGTACGATATATTCTCTCGCTCTACACGCAAGAGCCATCGCTACGTCCCGACCTGCAGCCTGATCCGACCGCCGTCGTCATGATCGGACACAGTATGGGCGGTATCGCAGCACGAAAGATGCTGCTCATGCCAAATTACCAACCCGGCAGTGTCCTCACCATCGTAACTCTCAGCACGCCGCATGTAGTCCCTCCAGCAGCATTCGACGCCGTGACAGAGTCTGTCTACAGTACCATCAACACATACTGGCAGCAAGCCTTCTCGCGCGCAGATCAGAGCCGGAACAGCCTGCGAGACGTAGCTCTCATCTCGCTGTCCGGCGGTACGTCAGATACGACCATAGCATCCGATTCGGTCTCTGTCGCTGCTCTCACACCGCCTACACATGGCATGACGATCTTTACGACCTCTCTGCCAGATCTCTTTTCTCCTGTCGACCATCAGGCAATGATGTGGTGCAATCAGATCAGAAATCGTCTGGCGTGGGCGTTGTTACGCATGACGAATGTGCACTCGGCCAGTCAGACCGTCGCGCTGCCTGAACGCATGCGCATCTTTCACGAAGAGCTGCTGATAGGACTGGAGGACGAAGAGGTCGGTCTTACACCGCTGCCTTTCAGCGGCACATTCCGTCTCGATCTATCAACACAACAGCACGCATTTCTGTCTCTGGGTTCGCGGCTTGTGCGAACTTGGTTGGCGTCGTCGGCGAGCGAGAGCGCTATCGATCTCATGCCAATACCTCAGGCGCCATCTTATGACGATCAACTCTACTTCGTTTTCCTCACTGATCTAGCATATGCGAAGGATCAGTCGACGATCTCGCTCTGTCGCGCCGGTGCCGACTCGCAGGACCACGTCGTCTGCAGTGAGCTGCCGCTGTCATACGTCAAGCGGTTACCATCGACATTGCCCGAGCACGATAGCAAGTATGCAAGTCTCTCCTTTGTTGAGCTTCCGCTGTCGGACTTGCGCGAATACGCCCACATTGCTATCAGATCGGCGTCGCGAACTATATCAAGCTTCGTCCTCGCAGAATTCATCGATCGTGACGCGACCCGTCTCGTGCGTCACACCACTATGTCATCATTGCTGTTCGGCGGTCTTCATGTTGCAAATGTGGTTGAGCAAGCTTCCCTCTTGACGCATCTACATCTGCCCGCGATGGATAGCTCGCTACTGCAATATCAGCTCGAGTATTTCGATCCCTGCAAAGAGTCGAGCATTTTCAGCCCATTGCTACGTGTCTTTTCCAATGTCAATTTCGAGTCTGTCTGGCTGCCCAACGCAGGCAAGAGTATCGTCTATCTGCATGGTACCGCGCCCTACGTACGAGGTCCAACATCGCCATATACCCGGCGTGGTCTCTCGCTCATGCTCTGGCGCGATCCTACATGCGAAGCGCCGGCGGCTGTCTTTATTCGACTGGATCTGCTCGGTAGCCTGGCCAAGCTCATCGTCCGCTATCGTATGGTGCTTGCAGCCTGGCCACTCGCGATCACCCTCTTGACTTTCAGAAGACAGACGACGGGATACGATGGCGGCGGTAAGCTGTCTCTCTCTTGACGAAGCTTGACAGATGCTGATCCGGTACTACAGAATGCTTCCGCACTTTCAGTTCTGCATTCAATCAAGTCGTCGCGCGAGACTTTATCTGGCTTCTGCTCGGCGCGACGTCGTTTGCGTTTGTGCAGTGTCTTGCAGTGGTCCCCGTCTCGCTCCCCAACCTACGTCCTCCTGCAAATTATCGCGATCCTGCTCCTCATCTAGGCGACATGCTTGTCGGAAATCACGACCTGCTCTTCGTACCTCTTTCCGCCCTCATCTTAGTCCTGAGTGGCGCGGTCGCAATGATATCGCATTTGCTCTTACAAAGCATCGTCAGCATTGCAACGACAGTCTACACATGGCTGGAACATGCTGCGCCAAGCCGATTACAGCCATACCTTCGTATCCAAGAAAGAAACGAGAACCCGACGATACAGCGCATCGTGTCTTTGGCTGCTCTGCTGCTCCTTGTGCTGCTCTTCGCGCCCTACCAATTTGCCTATCTCGTTCTTACGCTCGTGCATCTCTTCTCGACCGTACGCGCCTACATTCTCCTTCAGGATCCTTCGGTTAGTCTTGCCTTTTGTATGCTCACTAACACGCTAATGCTTGCTTGTAGAGCGCAACCGCCTTAGTCTGGCGAAGGCGATGGGACCGATATCACTACTACATGGTCGTATTGCTCATCATGCTTTGGCTGTTGCCAATGAACGCGGCCATCCTGATCGTTTGGGTCAGGAATCTATCCGCTGGCTGGATCGCGCCATTCTCCTCAGATCACAACGTGCTTTCAGTTGCCGGATTCCTACTCTGGGTTGAAGGCGTCCACACAGGTCGCATGCTACCTCGTAGCCAAAAATTGTGAGAAATATCTGGCTTGAATTGGCGTCCTGCTGATAAGCAACAACAGGTGGAGACGCAATATTACCTCATTCGCAGCTCTCGCAATCGCAATCATCGCAATCCTGTACGGCATCCGATACACGTATCTCATTCCAGCAGCAGTCAATATCTACTTCTTCTGGCTCGCGTTCCTTCATGCCAAAGGATTCAATACAGGTTGAGCTGTACAATCACCATCCCATGCGTGCGCTCAGTGCGTGCCATTCGAGGTCGACGGCTGAACGATCGTCGAAGCATCCTGTCAGGCTCGCATCAGCATGGTCGCGTTCCTATGGGTGACAGGCAACGCACGGGAATGCCGGGCAAGGGGAAGCTCGTCGAAAAGGCGATGACCTCTTTGCCAAGTTCTGCTAGGAGCTGTCGACCCTTGCCATCGCCTTCAGTGGCGACGCGTGTAAAGTCCTTCAGCAGCTTGGAGCCAGCCTCCTTCTGCAACTGCAGAGCAATTTCGACAGCGCGATGCAGGAACTCTCCGACGACCTTCATGTCTTTCTCGAGCATGCTGCGGCTCGTCAAGGCAGAAGTACCGACGCGGACACCGCCAGGAACGACGGCGCTTGTGTCACCTGCATAGACAGCATCAGTACCCTTGTGTGTAGCTAATGCAGCATGCCTTACCGCTCACGGCGTTCTTGTTGAGCGTGATGTGGCACAGATCGCAGACCTTCTCGAGCTTGCTGCCAGTCAGACCAATGGGGCGCAGGTCCCAAAGCGAGAGATGGTTGTCTGATCCTTTGGTCTGCAGTGCGTAGCCGTGTTCGAGCAGAACATCGGCAAGAGCGCGAGAGTTATTGACGACTTGGGTGGCGTATGCCTTGAACGAAGGCTCAGCAGCTTGTTTGAGTGCAACGGCAATACCGGCAATGGTCTATGATGAAGGTCAGTAGGTCTACTGGGCAAGAATGGTCGATTCACGTTGTTATGAGGTCCACCCTGGCAGGCCGGGAAGACTGCGTTGTTGATGCGAGTCTCCATGTCGCTCTCCTTGTCTTTGCGGAAGAAGATCAGACCAGCGCGCGGCCCACGAAGGGTCTTGTGCCTGTCAATCCAATATGTGTCAGGAAAACTTACGCTGGCTGAGAAAAGGCCACCGACGTTGTTGTGCAGACGACATCGCAGACCTCGAACGGATCATTCTGAACTTGAGCGGCGACGAGGCCAGAGATGTGAGCCATGTCCATCATGAGATACGCTCCCTGCGAGTCGGCGATCGCACGCAGACGCTTGTAGTCCCAATCACGTGGATAGGCGGAAGCGCCACAGATGAGGATCCTTGGCTTGAAGAGCTTTGCGTTCTTTTCGAGCGCGTTGTAGTCGATCAGACCGGTCGACCTGTCGACCTCGTAGGGCAGAGATTGGAAGTAGATGGAAGAGGCAGAGATCTTTCGCTTGGGCGTGTAAGCGCCATGAGTCAAATGACCACCGTCTGCCAATGCCAAGCCCATGATCCTGTCTTGCGGTTGGATCAAAGCCGTGAAGGCTGCAAAATTGGCCGTCGATCCGGCATAGGGTTGTACATTGACGCCCCAGATTTTTGGGTCAAGGTGGAAGGCAGCGAGCGCGCGGTCTCTGCAGAGATTCTCAAGTGTGTCGACGTGCTCATTGCCGCCGTAATACTGATGTCACCATGAGCTGGCGTTCATCTTGGGGCCAGGCAGTACTCACCCTGGCACCGGGCAGACCTTCCGAGTATTTGCTGCGTGACTAGCGTAAGGCCACCGTCAAGGGCACGCGTCAGGAGAAGGACTGACTTGGTAAAGATGCTGCCGTTGGCTTCCATGACCGCAAGCGAGGTCAAATTCTCCGAAGCGATCAGTTCCAGCCCGCAGAATTGTCTGGGAGCCCAACCAGATGGCATGAGCGCTTGGGCTGATCAGATTGCTCAAGACTGACCTGTAAGTCTCCAGCTCGATCAACTTCTGCACCTCGGGGTCGTACTCCTTGAGGGACGTGTAGAGGTCCTTGTTGAAATCATTGGGCACCTGAGGCGTGCCATTCGAAGCTGCCGAGACCATCCTAGAGCTTGTGAACGTTCTCTTGTTCGAGATCGCGGTGGGGTGCTCCTGTTGGGCTAGCGCGCCTTTCGCTGGTCGTAAAGCTAGGCTTGAAGCTGAAATAGGTATGCGCTGTTTCGAGGCACTTCTCAGGCTTGCTGTAAATGTCTTCTGGGCGGTTCTTATCATTCAATAGTCGAGTCGACAAGGTCTGCCTGCAGCCAAAATTTTGCTGGGAGCGCGTCGGCAGTTCTCAGATTTGATTGACAACTTGAATACGACATTGACGCTCGTCCAAAATTTTAATCGTGAGGGACGACACGATGAGTGCTCTACGCATGGCTGCGATCAGTGGTCGCATCTTCAGTGCGGCCACGCGGCACACGACGCTACTGCCCATTGGTGGCAATCGGTCACACATTGCCGCAAGAGCGGCCTTTTCTTCCTTTCAGATATCGAGTGCCCCGAGGCTAGCACGGCCGTCGAGCAGCCAGGGTGAGCAAGTCTGGAGATCAGCCGTCTGTGCAGGTGCTGATGTTCTGCTGCATGACAGCGCCAGCTTTACTGAGGCGGACACTCGCGACGGCAGTCGACTTGCCTGATCTCGATTTGCCAAAGAGCGCAATCGAGAAAGCCAGCCAGCTCAAGGGCGTCATCGATCCTCGTCTGTATAGCGCTCTCGTCGATGCGCCGTTCCACTACAAAGACTTGACCGTGCCTCAGAAGACCGTTCTGTCACTCATGCCCGAGCTCGGCCTGCCACCCAACTCGAATGAAGTGCAGGCTGGCGGGCTAGACTTGCTCATCAAGTCTCGCACGGGAACCGGCAAGACGATCGCGTTCCTCCTGCCAGCTCTCGAAGCCGCCTTGCGCAAGGTGGGACAAGATCCAGAGCCTGTGCGAAAGCCGCGAGGTCGATTCATGCGCAACACGGGCATCGCGCCCGTCCGAACGCTTATCATCTCTCCAACCCGAGAACTGGCGTCACAGATCGCAGACGAAGCGAACAAGCTCATGAGCAACATCAGGGACTGCCGTGCAGTCTTTATCTGCGGCGGCATGCCAAAGGGACCGCAGTTCACCGATCTGCAATACTCGACACACAATCTCATCCTGGTCGCAACGCCTGGCCGATGCATAGATCTCATGCAAAACAGCCCAGATTTTGCCAAAGCACTCGAGGGCTGCGAAACGCTCGTGCTCGACGAAGCTGATCGACTGCTCGACATGGGCTTCACGCCTGATATCGAGGAGATCTGCAAACATCTGCCCAATGTGCACAACAGGAGGACACTGATGTTCTCCGCCACCATTTCGCCGCGTGTACAACAAGCCGCTCGTGCATTCTTGCAGCCGCGCTACAAATACCTTGACACTGTGCCTGCTAGCGAAGCCAACGCTCACGAGCGAATTCAGCAGACCGTCATCACTTGCGATGGAGCTCACGACCAGATCAGTACGCTCATGAACATCCTCGCACAAGACCAGCTCGAGCATCCTCTGGGCAAAGCGATCATCTTCTGTTCGACAACCAAGTTGACCCAATATCTGACCCGTACCTTTGCCATGCTCAAGCGACATCTGCCCTGGGGACGAGGTACCGAAGTCGTCGAGATCCATTCCGGCAAGGAACAACGATCGCGAGATAGCGCCAACAGGCGTTTCAGAGGACATGACAGAAGTTACGCCGTCCTGATCACAAGCGACGTATCAGCGCGTGGTGTCGATTACAAGGGCGTGACACGTGTCATCCAGATGGGACTGCCCAAAGATCGCGACACATACACACACAGAATCGGGCGTACCGGACGAGCAGAGGCAAACGGTCGAGCAGACCTGCTCCTCCTACCGTTTGAAGCCGATTCAGCGCAGGTCATGCTCAATAAGATGCCTTTCGAGACGCTGGATAGCGAGCAAGTCGCTACTGCGACCAAGGAGGCAGCCGAAGCCTTCGACGAGCGAACGGCGAACAAGGTCAAACGTTCGCCCGAAGCGCGCGCCATGGCTTCTATACACGCCGGTGCTCTCGTTTCGGAACAAATATCAGCAGTAGAGTCGACGATGAAAGACGTTGTGGCTCCCAACACCGAGCCTGACGATATCAGCGATGTCGTTGGCAGTCTGTTCGGCTACTACCGGGGCATCAGGGATGGAAGTCTGAGAGATGAAGAGGTCTATGAGGGATTGAAGGAATGGGTAGATGCCTTGACAGGCGGCGCCGGTCGCGTACCGAGTATGAACTTTCTCGTCAAGATCGGATATGGCGGTTTGCAAAATGACCGCCCTTCGCGCTCGGGTGGATCCTTTGGCGGTCGATCTAGATCTGGCAGCGATTTCGGCAGCTTTGGTGGCAGATCCAGCTTCCGGGGGGCTGGCAACAGATCAGACGACCGCAGCTCATTCGGCGGATCTCGCGGCGCGCCACGCGAGTATCAAGGTAGGAAGTCAGATGCAGCATTCGGCGGACGATCGTTCGACGATGGCAGGAAAGGCCGTCGGACATTCGATAGACCCGACAAGTTCTCGGACTCGCGAGGATCACGCAGTCCATTTAGAAGCTACTGATGATTTGTATTGTTCGCTTACAATGTGCTGCTACAACAACCCCGCTCGCAGACCTGTGATATGTCATGTTTGCATGATCAGTTGCGCTTCGTTGGCGAGTCCGTCCCGAATGAAGTGATCGTCAGGAGCTCTGAAGGCGTCGTTGAGTGCTTTAGCCAACCGAAGTCCGCCCTTGGCGAGCTGTTTCTCTATGACGGCATCATGCTCGATGGGTCCGAGATAGTCTTTGGTCGCAATGTCTCGCAATGGTTGTGTATGCTCGTAGTGCGAAGGATAGACATAGCGACAGTTCAGATCGTGTGTCTGTTTCGCCCAATGGTAAGGGCAAATCGTCGCGCTATCGCTCGTAGTCGTATTTGTCGGACATGCGATCCAATCGGGCAAGAGACTCCGCCAATCTCTCAGGATACCTTGCCAGATAATTTTGCGGACGAGGGGCTTGTAGATCGAGTCGCGACCCAAAGAGTCTTCTATTCGCTTTGATGGCAAAGGTCGCTCGTACCCGCGCATTGTTCTGATGAGGCGCGCAATGAGGACAGAGTCCCACAAGCCGTGCATGCTCATCCTACGACCCTCGAAGAGCTATCCGACGCGTCAATGATCTGTCGCATGTGCCAACGCGTAACTTACGATGGGATCCCCATTGCCGCCACGTTCGCGGTGAATGAGATGCAAAGGCTGGGTCAAGTCGCCATAGTAGTGCGTGGCAAATCTCAGTGCGAGGTCGCGTTCGTAGATTGGAAGGCTTGTGTCAGCAAGGCGTGAAGTGTAGTTGAGCACGGCCGCCATGACATTGTCCTCATTGACGAAATGAACTTGGTCGTAATGACATGCCATCGGAGGATCTTCTCCCGTCGCGTTGGGTCCGGCATAATGCAAATGGGAAGACCAGGGGTAGGCGAATCTGACTCTGTCTGGCCATGCTGCGTAGAAAGCGAGGTGACCCTGAGCGTTGGGCGGCAGGATAGCTTGGATGCCTTGACGTGCTTCTTCGGTGAGGAAGACCTGCGCGATCGTTGCAACGGCTTCGTGTCCGACGACACCCCAGGCGACAGTGAAGCGAGCGAGCCCGAGCAAGACCAAGACCAGCATCATTGTTGGTGCTCGAAGCGAGCGCGACTTTCGCGTGTCGTAGACATCGAAATTGCCACTTTCGCCTCTCCAGCTGCCCAGACAGTCGGCTTCAGCTGCCCATGAGCTTTGCTGCCACGCTATGCCGACGAGCGAGTGCAGCCGTCAGTGCTCCAAGACGATTGACTGGGCTCCAAAAGTCGATATACGCTCTTTACAGGCGATCCTTGCGTATGGTACTCAACAAGCCAAAGGTCAGTACGGTTTCGCCTCGCACGTTCTCGGCTGACACGTCTGTCTGTAGGACAACAGACTAGAGTGGTATCTGTTCGTTCAGCACCAGTTCAGGTCGCCGTCCCTTGGTGGGGGACTGACTCGGCGACAAATCGGCGCGATCGAGTATTACATCCGCAAAGGCAACAAGCAGCTCGAGTTGCTCGAGCAAGACAGTATCAGGACTGTGCACGTGCCCGATGAGGCACACGATATGCTCAGCCGAGGCTTCTATTCGCGAGGTTGGATCGTCAACCGAGCTGCCTGACTCACTCACTGAGGCACACGACAAGGCTATGAAGCGAGTGTGCAATGATCACACAGTGACGCTTCTAAGACGAGAGAACCAGCTCTGCGTCTGCTGCAGCGGCGTACGAGGCGGAGGCAAGCGGCAGTATTTTGGCCCGAGCAAGTAGTCGAGCGTACGCTTGCCGGCCTCATTCGGACCATCGTCGTAGCATTGGCCATCTTCATCTTGAAAGATCGAAGCATAAGCCTGGCGGATCTGATCGACGTACTCCCGGCAGCGTTGTGCTTTGACGGCTTGCAAAGTCTTGCACATAGCTTTGCAAGATTGCACGGCAGGCTGCATGGTCTGGGCTGTCCTTGACTCGGCTGGTGATCGCGTGATCCTGAGGATGGCTCGATCATGTGGTGGGGCGGAGTGAGTCTCAATGATCGCAATGCACAGTACGGGAGGTGCTGTTGTGGCTGCAGAGAGCAGGCTCGAGCTGCTGAAAGTGCTCGAAGCCGACGAAGAACTGCTCTTCGACGAAGCGGTCGAAGAGCGACGCAGCAGTATTGACTTGAGCACAATGGGCTGCTCAACGACTGTGGGAGTCGACGCATCCGACCGCTCCTGTCTAGCCCGAGGACGCTGGGTTGCAATCTGTCTGACCATGCCTTGCGTGCATTTGATTTCGCGTTTCTGCTCGCGTTCAGCAGCAACAAGTGCTTTCTGCGCTGCAATCCTGGGGAGCAAGCAACGTCAGCAGACGTATGTACAGCAGCGTTCCGTACTCACTCTTCACGACGAATGCGAATGCGGACACGCTCCTGGCGTACGAAGACGTGCTTCAGATCCTTGGGCGCCGGCATCGACATGACTTTGCATTCGGGGGCAAAGCGGATCTTGCGGTGTCTGCCGTAAGTCTTGACAAAATCGATCTCTTGGACTTGACTAGGCGTGAGCATGATCATGCGAGGTTGAGCGTATCTCTTCATCATGGCGTCCATGTCAGCAATGATAGGCGATCAAAGTGCTTTCGATTATGAGGAAAGATGCTTTGTGAGCAGTGTAGGAAAGCAGGCAGAAGGAGCGCTTCTTATGCTCCTCTCCTAGCTCAAGATGGCCCGTCTGAGCCATCCTAGCGTCTTGCCTTCCCTCCATTTACAGGAAGATGGCTGCCTCTATCTGACCAGCCAAATTTCTCTGAAGTCAAACTGACCCGGTTTGATCTTGGCTTTTTCCAATTCGGTCAACGGCATTGATACCGTCGGATTGCCAGATGGCTCGCATGATGATAGCAAGCCGATAGAGAGCACGAGAAGCGAGGCAGGAGGCCCGAGAAGAGAGCTCTCCGACAGGCGCAGCGGCAAAGGTCGTCATTTCCACGCGTGCCACGTCATCACTGCCCCGACCGTCGACAATGGCAGCTTGACCAGACCGCCCTTCGCTACCCGACAGGGCTCTCACGCCCAACGATGTCCTTTGTAGAAGCAGACAAGTCCACGCTTTCCAACTATCGAGACATTCACACGGAACATGCCGTGCTCACGTGGACCATCGACTGGTCGAAGCAGCTCGTCCACGGATCTGTCGAGCACACAATGATTGTCAAGCAGAGCGGCCTCAAGCATGTCGTGTTCGATACTTCCTTTCTCGACATAGCCTCTGTCAAGGTGGCAGGCAAAGACGCCAAGTGGACCTTAGCTGAGCGCAAGGGCACCATGGGGAGCGCGCTCACTGTCGACTTACCTGCCGTCAAGGAGACCGATCATGTCAAGATTTTGATCGCTTACAGCACGACATCGCAATGTACAGCTCTCGGCTGGCTCACCGAAGGCCAGACAGGCCCAAAGAAGCACGCGTTCGTCTACTCGCAATGTCAGGCCATACACGCTCGCTCGTTGCTACCTTGCCAAGATACGCCTGCGCACAAGTTCACCTACTCGGCGAGCGTAACGTCAAGCGCGCCTGTCTTACTGTCTGCGTTGCGTGTGTCTCCCCCAGAGAGTGACGTTAACGAGCTTGGCAAAGAGATTACGTACTCGTTTGATCAGCCAACGAGAGTGCCATCTTACCTTATTGCAATTGCTTCCGGCGACTTGGCTTTCAAAAAGACAGGCAACCGTACGGGAGTCTGGGCAGATCCCACCGAGCTCCAAGCGGCCGCTTGGGAGTTCGAGGAAGACATAGAGACGTTCCTTGAGACGGCAGAGTCGCTCACCAGCTCGACGTACCAGTGGTCGACCTATTCCGTGCTCGTTTTGCCCAAATCGTTTCCCTTTGGCGGCATGGAGAACCCCCAGCAGACCTTCGTGACCCCCACCCTTTTGGCCGGCGACCGGTCACTTGTTGATGTTGTCGCACATGAAGCCTCGCATAGCTGGTTCGGAAACAACATCACATGCTCCAGCTGGCGAAGTTTCTGGCTCAATGAGGGCTGGACGACCTATCTCGAGAGACTGATCGTCGGGAGACTTCATGGCGAGCCCGCTAGATCTTTCTCCTATATCATCGGTGCGACGGCACTTCAGAAGTCTCTTCAGGAGATGAGATCCGAGCCCCGCTACCAGCGACTTGTAGTAGAATACAAGGAGGGAGAAGACCCAGACTCGGCCTTCTCGTCGATTCCGTATGATAAAGGGTCCAACTTGCTACTACATCTCGAACGCAAAGTAGGAGGTCTCGATGTCTTCTTGCCCTACATGGCCGACTACTTTGCGACTTTCAAGAACACCTCATTGAGTACGGAAGACTGGCGAGCGCATCTCTATCGCTACTTCTCTAAGCATGGAGGCGATGAAGCCATTGCCAAGCTCGACGCGGTAGACTGGCAATCCTGGCTACACGGCGTCGAGATGCCCAAGATGGAATATGATACTTCTCTGGCCGATGCTGCCTTTGCGCTCGCAGCTCGATGGTCGAAGGCTCAACAAGACGGAACAAGCAGCTTCGGCCCAGATGATCTCAAGGCGTTCAATGCGAATCAGACCGTCGTCTTCCTGGAACGGCTCGAGACGCATCCGAAGCTATCTGACGAGATTATTCACAAAATAGATGAGCTCTACAAATTCACGCAAACGAGCAATGCCGAGATCGCGCTACGCTGGTTCCTTGTCACGCTCAAAGCCGGCTTGTACCTACAAGAAGCAGCTGACTGGGTAACGGACAAAGGGCGAATGAAGTTCTGTCGACCGATCTACCGCGGCCTAGCAAAGAACGATCTCGAGCTGGCTCGAAGGTATGACTATTATCAGTTCGCATGTCTAATAGCTCACGCAGATTGCGCAGGACGTTCCTGGAGCACGAGGCCTTTTATCATGCAATCGCAGTAGCACAGATCAAGAAGGACCTCGGCTTGAAATGAGCAAATGTTGCAAATGTTGTATGCAATCAGTCTGTCCTCTGTCGCTTGGTCGCTGGCTGTGAAGGTGCTTGCGCAGGGATCAGATTTTCTGGCCGAGCGTCTTCTGCAGGCTTCCTTTTGGTCTTTGCGACGATACGATCATGCGGCTTGGTGACGAGTTCGGTCGTGCCAAGCGGCTTGATCGTCGGCACGCCAATGACTGCGCGATGCGTTTTGCGTATCGCATCTATTACTCTGTCAGACCATGAGGCGATGAGACATCATCACAGAGACTCACAGCCGTGTAGAACTGCAGCTTTTGGGTTATCCTGAAGCGTTTTGCGAGCGTCGTCCGACTTCAGTCCGAATATGTGGCATCTGTGCAACGACAAAGCGTCAATCCAGCACAGCGACTGCCATCTCGCTAGCACGCACAGATTGAAGAGGTCTTCTGGGGCACGCAGCTCCATCGCACGCCTGATCTCTGACGACAAGATGATGTTCTTGCCCTTTGTCAATCTTACAAGCTCTCTCGCGCCGGCGATGATGTACTTTCTCGCATCTTTCGGTACTTCTCTTCCCGGTCCACGGCCAATGAGCCCTTCGGGCAAACCCTGATAGGCTGTCGACGAAGCAGAAGAAGAGCGCATCATGGGACCATAGGCAATCTCGAAAAAGACGCCTTGTTTGACTGCAAAGACGACTGCAGAGCGCTTGAGTTGGAAGGGCAGACGAGGCGCGATCGCGAGATCTAGCGTGATGATGTCGACACCCGATGGGCCTGGCCCGCTGAGCGAAAGACAAACATAGGTGAAACTGGCTCCATCGAGCGGATGAGCAGCAACGATGTCAAATGAAGCCAGAGCCGAAGCATTCGCCGACGTCTGTGAAACGTTCGCATGTAGCATGAGCATGAGAAGCTGTTAACACAATCCAGGTCACGCACGAAGAAGAGTCCATTGCCTTTGCCGCCAGAGATACTTTGCTCATCTACAGCGATAGTGACGCGACTGAGCTGCAAGAGTCTCTGTGTAGCAACCGAGCTGCTGTGTCGGATATCGAGATCAGGAAAAGGTGCTACAAGGCCCTTTATGCCGAGCGCATTGAGTGACGGAAGCTGAGAAGGACTGGCAAGAGCTCCCACTGGCACGTAGCTATTGAACGCAACGGCGTCGTACGACACTGTACAGCTGGCCATCAAATCGTGCGGCCGTCAGTGAGAGTGAGGAATGGCGTACGCTGTGCTGCGAGCTCGACAGCTCGCTTGATCTGATCACGGCTGACATGACTTGAGAGTGCCTCTACGGCTGCTCTTTGCTTTATCTCTGAGCCGTCATCATCGCTCGGCTTGGCCTTTTGCTTCCCCTTGACGCTCTTTGAGCTCTCCGCGGGGATGGCTGGCCACGGCAGTGATAGGTCGTAGTACATCACTGCCTGACGTTGGCTTGCGTCGTCTGTGCCTCGTCGACTGGTCGCGCGACAGCTGGCGACTGTCTGGAAAGGAGAGCCTCGTCGACTTTGACTTGCCCACCGCCTGATTCCAACGTCAGAATGGCTCGCAAATTCTTCGTAGGAGGTCAGTCCTCCCTCCAGAGATGAACAGAGACTCAACGTGAGATCATGCAGGCAATCTCAAGATGAACGGCACGCTCGACAGCATCAAAAAGCTCGTCGAGAACCTCAACAATGCTACGCTGGATAGCAACACCGGTGGGCTCGCTCATTGCATGTACATCTGCACGCTTAGACCTGTACACACCATCAGAGGTCGTCATCGCGCCGCCTGCGCTGTATCTCATCCCTATCCGCGACCACTTGCGCAAAGAGATTGAGCTATCTGCCCAAGACGCCTACACGAAAGACCAAGGCGCATTCACCGGAGAAGTGTCGTATGTCATGCCCGCGTGAGCCTCTAGACGTCGCTGACTTGTCGCTGCGCCCTACAGTGCATGGCAGCTCTCGCAAGCGCAGATTCCTTGGACCATCATCGGTCACTCTGAGCGTCGCTCGCTCTTTGCCGAGTCAGACGAAGCCGTAGCAGAGAAGACGCTCGCGTCCATCAGCCACAACTTGAAGGTCATCTTCTGCATTGGCGAATCTCTCGAGGAGCGTGAAGCCAACAAGACAGAGGAGATTGTGTTTCGACAGCTCAAGGCAATCGCAGACAAGAAGCCAGATTGGTCGTCGGTGGTCTTCTCACTTCCCCTTGCGAAGCTGATCGTGTATGCACGATCGACAGGAAGCTTGTGATTGCCTACGAGCCAGTGTGGGCAATCGGCACAGGCAAAGTCGCGACGCCTCAGCAAGCTCAAGACGTTCACGCTGCCCTGCGCAAGTGGATCTCCTCAAACGTTGACGACAGCGTAGCCAGCAGCATCAGAATCGTCTACGGCGGCTCTGTGAACGGCGGCAACGCTGCAAAGCTAGCAACAGAGCCAGACATCGACGGCTTCCTCGTCGGGGGTGCATCGCTCAAACCAGAATTTGTCGATATCGTCAATGCTAATCACAGCAAGACGGGAAAGCTCTGAAGGATGTAGGCAAGGAAATGCAGATTCGAACGAATAGCTTGCAATCAAACTCGAACGAGTAGCCACATTGTCGCGATTTGTGAGACTGCGATGCCAAAGAGGAATTGTATCCTCCTGCTTCGTTGTGCATGCCCCACTGTACTCGTCGTCGTCGCGCCACCAAACGTTGCTGCTAGCGAAGGATCGGGCAAGACGACATAGCGTAGTGAGCGTAGCTGCGTGAGCAATTCTCAGCCTCGTGCGACGTTCAGGTTGATAACTCACGAGGAAGAAGGCATTGGCGCTGAAGACGTAGATGAAGATGGACCAATACATCCAGCCTCTTAGCTTGACAAGGCCTGCCAGTAGCGTGATGATGATGCTATCATAAGCCATGTCAGCCCTGACAGTCTGTGACAGTAATGTATGACTTCGAACGCACCCGACGAATTTGTAGCCACTGTATGCCAGCAAGTCGACAACCGTCCCCTCTCCGCCGATGTTGAGCAGGTAGCAACCTAGCTTGATGACCAAGAACTCTAGGAACACGATGCCTGTCGATGCCATCGCGTCAGCATGCCTGCCAGCGCTCCGGACTCAATGGCTTGCCCAATGATTTCGATGCAGTCACGCCCAGTAGCTCAGGATGAAATCGGCTCTCGCTGCCAGCTACGACGCCAGAGAGCAGAATGTATGTCACGAGCGCCATTACTGCCAGTCAAAGTGTCAGCCGTATGAACCGTACTTCTGAGCTTATAGACTGGCCTGGTACGTATAGATCCGGCGAGTTCACGTCTTCCCGGGGTGGCCGATAGCCTTCAGCCTGACCAGATGCCTCCGATCTTTTCACAAGCCTCGACCAGGGTTTCTGCGTGCAGCACGTTTGAGCGCGCGTCGTTGGGACGCCAGGCAGGCTTACATGACGCCAAGGGAAGAGCACAAGTCGGATCTTGTGCAGAACGTACAGATTGGACACGTTGAACGAGTGGTGCAGATGCGCAACAGGAATGTAGCGAGTCACCTATCAGCCAGGTTGCGTCAGTCACGTATACTCGACTGATCGTTCTGTCACCGACATTTCGCTCCATATAGTCCTGACCTGCCATGACGGCAGATTTACCAAATTGCATGCCCATCTGAGCAGTCACATCATTGACACCCATCATGTTGTTCCATTGCTGCTGTGGCCCTCCGGTCTGTTGAGCCGACTGAGCGCCATTTGGCGGACGCCATTGCTGAGATTGCTGTTGCGATTGCTGACCCGCCGAGCCAAAGGAGGAGGGACCGGCATGCTGGTTCGCAGCTGCTGCATATGTAGCATATGGGTCGACGGCCGCAGCAGCAGGATTGAGCGAGACAGGTGTCGACACAGGCGGTGAGCTGAATCTCATATATTCTTGTCCTGCATGGCTAGCGGAGCCAAAGCCAGTGCTTGCATTCCCCGCAATCTCATGACTAGGCCTGCTGCTCTTTGGCGGAGAGGATGTGACCGAGAGAGGCGGTGATGCTGGATTCTGTATGGCGTAGGCTGATGCAGGTAAGGTCGGTCTCGGGTGCTGCAAGATTGGCGGTGATCTCGCGCCTGTATCCCTACTGACCCCTCCCGCTGTTCTGCGCTGCATCTCGCTGTGCCTGTTGTTGCAGGATCAGCTATTGGCTCGCTCGCTCGCTCGCTATGCGCCAAACGCGACGCGTGTCATCGAGCTTCGAGCTTCGAGCCAACGCACGCTCAATTCGAATTCACAGAAGTCCACGCCTCGGTTGCAGAATCCTGAGAATGCATTCAAATTCGCTAGTGGTGTGCACAACGCTTATAGCTTGGGTCTCGTGGGGGCAGCGAGATCATCGAGATGGGGCATCATGTCAGTGGTGAGGAAAGTGGACAGCACATCTGCGTGAACCTGTTGAGAGATATATCGCTTGGCGGCATCAAGATGCTTTGGTACCAGTCCTTGCGACTTTGAGGCTTCCTCGCTGATGATGCCATCGAGATAAGATGCCGTGATTTTCTTGCCCGAGTCGGTCGATGCGCCGTGATGAGCCCAATGCCAGAGCTGCGATCGTGCGATCTCGGCAGTTGCAGCATCCTCCATGAGGTAGTTGATGGGCACGCAACCCAGACCGGCAGTCCAGTTGGCGACATATTTGAGCGCTGCAGACACGTTGCCTCGGATACCGGCCTCGGTGATCTGGCCAGGCACATTATTATTGAGCAGGTCAAGCGCGGTGACTTGCACTTCCTCGCGGCGGATATAATACTGGTTAGGTCCCTTCATGTGCTCGTTGAAGATCTCGAGAGCAATCTTGACCAATGCGGGATGTGCCTGCAGGATTGCGTAAGCGAGATCATCACTGCTAGGCGCGAAACATACGACCCAGGTGCCGTCATGACCCGCTTGGACTTCACGAAGCTTATCGGCCTTGACCTTCTCCATGGCTACCTCGTTAGCCTTGGGATCATCCTTGATCGGGATCTGAGCCGACATGCCGCCCATTGCTGCGACTTGACGTCGGTGGCAGGTCTTGATTAGCAGACGAACGTATGCGTCCATGAAAGGCACCGTCATCGTGACATTGTTGCGGTCAGGAAGGACGTAGTCAGCCTTCGCGCGCATCGCGCCTGTCATCAGGCGGTCATCAGCTTGGCACAGAGCCCCAAGCTTGTCACTCACGAATGAAGCTGAAGATGTAATCCCATCGTCCACAGTTGAGACCAGACGAATGTTGACGAAGCTCGAAGATGATTTCGTCCATCTGGAAAGCAGCAGTGATGGTCTCGATGAGGACGGTGCCGCGGATGGTACCTCGTGGCATGCCAATATAATCCTGCGCGGCAATATGAGCTAGGAAAATGCGAGCCGATGTGGGCAATGTACCTGCGACATGTTGAAGATATCGTTCCAGAGACGTGCTTCGAGGTAGTGTTCCATCTTTGGCAAGTAGTAGTAGGGGCCGAGACCGCGCTTGACTTGCTCGTGAGCATTATGGAAGAAGGACAGTCCGAAATCGAACATGCTGCCCGACATGGGCTGTCCGTCGATGAGGATGTGCGACTCGTCAAGATGCCAGCCTCGGGCGCGAATGATAAGCGTGGCGATCTTGTCGTTCAGCTTGTATTCCTTGCCCGACTTGGCATCCTTGTAGCCGATCTGACGGCGAACTGCATCCCGGATGTTGACTTGACCTACGGTAGACAACCTCTCATCATCCATGTCCAGGGTTAGCAGAGCACGAGTGACCCACCATCAAGGCAATTGAGCCAGGTCGGTGAGTTAGAATCTTCATAGTCGGCCATGTAAGTTGCTGCGCCAGAGTTCAGTGCATTGATGACCATCTTGCGATCGACCGGTCCAGTGATCTCGACACGGCGGTCTCTCAAGCCGGGTGCTGCGTGACGAGTCAGCACAAAGCTTGGAAACAGAACGCGTAGGCTGACCTGGCGGAGCGCCGACCCAAGTGGGGTCATCGCGAATGCTCTTGGTCTCCGGGAAGAAGTCGGGCAGGGCGCCGGCGTCGAGCGTTGCCTGATAGAGCTGACGACGCTGCAGCAATGCCTTGCGCGTCGGATTGAAATTCCTGCGAATCAGACCCATCAGCCTTGATGGCTGATAAAGTATGGCGACTGGCCTGTGGAGGACAGCCAGGAATTGCAGAGCCTCTGGAGTCAGGATAGCTTCGTGCGCCTTCTCGACCGGGCCTGCAACGTCACGTCAGCTCCAGCTCGATGGTGCCGAGCTCTGCGAGCATGTCCACAGGCTGTATTTGACTGACCGTTGATGCGGACACCGGGCGGCAGCTTCTGTGACGACATATTGATGTTCTGCGTTTGTGAACTGTTTGTATAGATGACAAGAAGGAGTGAATGCAAGCGACAGTGAGCGCTGGCTCGTCGATTTCAGGCGTTGTGCGACTCACGCTTTCGCGATGGCTGGATGTACTGGTAGCAGGATGTGCTACGAGCGGGGGAATGAGGCGTTAGTCGGATATGACTGAGCTGTCAGGAAGGTCTCAACTGACCTGGTGCGTGCGGAAGTTGAAGTTGGCTGCCTCGGCAATCTACGGATGATCGATAGCCCGAGTGGCGAAGATATCCGGCGTGCCGTCATCCGTCTGCGCGACAACACTTGCAATTAATTATGCAGTCTTGGGCTTAGCTAAAGCCCTCAGCCGCTCTAGCTCATACACAAGCTTGCCCGGAATCGGTAGCACTAGCTCGTCGAATGCAGGCCTGTTGTCCTGTCAGGTTTTGCCTTGGCATGGCTTGAGAGACTCACGCAAGATCATGCAGTTCTCGATAGAATGAGCCAGGATAGATTCTAGCCTTGATATCCGCTCTGTCGTACTTTGCTGGCTTCTTGAGCGGTATAGGGCCGATCGCGAGCGGCGCAAGCAGACTCCACTCGATCTGCCGCGCTGCTTCCACATGACTTTGTCCGATTGACCAGATAAGAGGAAAGAGCAGCCCGAGCAATATGAGCCTCGATATCCGTGTGATGACATGTAGCGGATAGAGCACAAGCTTGCCTCTGTACGGAGCTGCATCTGGTAGGGCGATGCGAGCCATGTCGCCACGTGTCAAACCAGCCGAGAGACTGCAGAGCACGACAGGGCTGGAAAGCGCATCCACATTTGCTTGTGCTTTGGATGCAAGGGAAGCGATCCTCGTCTGTGCTTCTCGGAAGGCCGCTATGCTAGCCAGTGCGAGAATGCCTTCGTATCGTCGTGGCTGCAGCGGATCAGCGCCTTGAAGCTCTACATCTATCGCTTTGGACCATGCAACAGGATCCGTATCTGCAGCAGCAGATAGTGTCGAGCGTCTCCCTGCTGCATAGAACGCTGACACGACATTGATTACTCGAGCGCGCGTGCTCTGGTCGCCCAGCAGAATGACAGGATCCCGCCCGTTCGCATCACCCATAGCGGACACACCTTGGCCTCCAGGTGAGATCAAAGCCGGCAACAAAGCCTGCACCAACGACAGTCTGCCTGTGAGGGCTGCTCGTCGTGCGGTCTCGTTGCTTATGCTTAATGAAGAGGCAGACCGCAATCTCGCATCAGGTAACATGACCAGCGCCCAGATCTTCTCCGAGCCGAGCACTTCACCCATGGCGCCCCTTCGCTTAGCCTTGCTCTGCCAAGTACTCGCAAAGGTCGTCACGCTTGCCAAATCGTCTATCGCGCAGTATTCGGCGTAGATGCGCTCATTGCGCGTCGAACTTCGTAAGAGAGCCAGCAGCTGGAATGTGACAGGCGAGACAAGATCGCCTTCGGCCTGAGATCCCTCATCTGCTTTGTCGGGCTTGTCAGAATGCAGCAGGATGAGCTGACTGCCGCGCAAAGCGAGCAATCGCGCCAGAGTGAGGCCGAGCGGACTGAAGCCATTCTGGGAACACCTTTCCTCAGCTCTAGACAGGCTCTCTGTACGGTTGCTTACGCTGATGATGACGATCTTGCCGTGCAATGGCGTGACAGAGTCGTCTATGTCGAGTGAATTGATAGCAGCATTGACCGAGCTTGCTGACGATGCAAATGACCTGAGGACAGCGAGTGCGACCAGTGTAGCGCCAACATACGGCAAATACGAGCTAGGCAGATGTGAGAAGACTTCGGCGAGAATGGCAAGTGGCATTCGAGCTCAAGCCAAACGCGCCGACAGTCTCTCGCTCGTCTTGCTCGAGCGACGTCATCGGGTACAGTCACCTCAGAGGCCAGCTCTGTGCATCAAGGCTACTTATCCACATCATCGACATTGTCGTCAGTGTCACATGCCTCTCCTGGGCGTCTCGTCAGTCTCGAACGAGACACTCAAACAGGCTGGCATTCTCGACACGCTCGGCATCTCGAGCGACTTCAAGCCATCCGTACCACTCATCATACGCTATGGTGACAAGTTTGTACAGGCTGGCACAAAGCTGAAGCCTTCAGAGACACAACGAGAACCTGAGCTGCAATTTGCGCCGATAGATAAAGACGCGGGGGAGAGCGAGACGATGTATACTATCATCCTCACTGATCCCGATGATCCTTCGAGAGAAGATCCAAGGGATGCACAATATCGACACTGGCTCCAGCAAGACATCAAGCCGCCGAGCATAGAGGCACTCACCAGCAGTAACGACGACAGTATCCGCTTGCAAATGTCATCTACAGCCCTGACACCTTACGAAGGGCCATATCCACCTGCAAAGTACGGCGTAGCAGCTTGGAGGCCTGCTTCATCTGACGATGGGCACAGGACGTCATATCACAGATACTGCTTCTTGCTCTTCGCGCAGCCCTCGACGGTCGCATGGAGCGCGAATGAATTTGACAACGCGCAAGAGGCTCGCGGTCACTGGAACGCGATACAATGGGCGGATGCAAAGGGACTCAGGCTCGTTGGCGCAGATTACTTTCTATGTCAGGATGACGAACAATGACGAGCGTGACAAAAAGCCAATGCAGTGTACAATATAGCTTTCACGTGCGTGTTCCAATGTCCATAGCGCTCATCGATAATATGATCCGACGAGCTTAGTTGTGTGACGTCAAGCTCCACTGGTCGATGGCGACCACAGGTGGAGTGCTGTATGAGCTGAAATTAGGCCACTGAGGATTGAAGAGAACGGCAAGAGTCGCGCCAGATGCTGCGCTTGCTGATAGATCGATCGTCAGCACTGTCACGCCTGGGTTTGGTAGATCCTGGCTGATCGAGTCTGATGGGAGAGCGGGATCAGTCGACAGTCTGACTGGTTGCGCGGTTCCCCATGAAGCACCCGAGGGGCTTTGAATGATGGCTTGCATGGTCTCGCCATTGAGCGACAGTGTTGCCGTCGAGCCACTTATGCTGATGGTCGCATTTGTGTGTGCGCGCCATTGCACAGCTTCGTTGATCGTGCCAATCTCGTCTTGCAGCAAGACTTGACGGCGGCCATTGATCATGCGCATCGCGCGAGAGACGGATGTGCCGTTGTACGTGGCAGTGAGATCTGCAGTGAAGAAAGCAGTCGATGTCGACGGTGCGCTGTACTCTAGCACATCTTGTGCTTCCGCTGTGGAATCGTAAGTGGTGGGCGGCTGAGCATCGACGTTTTGGTTTAGACCGCCGATAAGCAGTGAGTTTTGACCTGAGTGCATCAGGTCAGCAAGAAGCTATACGAATGTAGGGATAGAAGCCTACCCTCGGTACGTGTACGGTAGTAAAGCCATCGCTCGCTGTTCTCGCCTTCGGAAGAGAAGTAGCCATCTGCGAGGTACTGCGCCTGGCAGAGCTCGCCGAAGAATCTCTGACCGAGTGCCTCGAGGACGAAGTCGCCAGCATCAATATCCTGATGAGTCTGATGTCCTGCAGGTCGAACCTTCTCAGCGTCAGAGCATGACGGATACGCAAAGACGTACCAGTGGCATTGCCGGCCTTGATAGCCGCATAAAGGCCTGTAGGGTCTGTCCAAGTGGATCGCATAGAAGCCCATGCATTGCCTCCGCCTGGGAAATAGTGATCGAGCGCCAGTCCGTTCCACCAGGTGCCATTGACCTCCGGATTGTAGTAGAGGACCGAGAGTGGTTCCGGTGCGTCCAGACGCTCGCGCTGATAGAGCGCGTACAAGGGAATGTCGAGCTGATCGCCGTAGAGCATCAGGCCGTTCGCAGTCGCGGTATACTTATTGGGACCACAATCGCCGTAGTTGAACTTTTGTACGAAGCCAGTGCCATAAATATGGAAGAGACCGGTCTTGTTGAAGTTCGGGTTACTCGTGAGCATCTCTTGATCCGATCCGGTGGCGGTGATGAGGGCACCCGTCATCTGTGCGTGTCCATTCGTGCCAAAATACCAATAGTCGGACGTTTCTGACCATGTGCCGTCCGATGTAACGCCGAATGCACAGTTCTGTTGAGCATTGGGAATAGTGTAGCCAAGGACTTGCGCAGCAATGCCCGTGGGATCTTCTGAGCGGATGGCAAGAGCGCCAATGGTCAGACCACCATTGCAGACACAGTTCCAGTTGCTGTGCATGGCAATGCATCAGCAGAAGTTCATGCTACATGCAAAGCAAACGCACCCATTCGTGGTCTGCCACCAGCCATAGCCAGTCGATTCTGTGTAAGAATTGAGACCGTACTGCAGGCCGAGGGTAATGATCGACCACATAGTAGCATCAAGCTGCTCTGCAGTCCAAGCATCGTGGAACCAATCGTATGCCATTCCGAAAGCAGCGGTGAACTCGCCGACGTCGAGGAAGTGTTGGCTATTCCAGTTATCGCCGGTATTGCCAAAGTACTGATCTGACGAGTTGCCGGACGCGACGAGGACTTCTTGCCAGGCACGATCTGCCCACTTGGTATCATTTGACATCTTCCATGCGTAGCCCCTGCGAGGCAACAGTCTGTGTAAGCCGAATGGTTATGTCCGAGAAAAAGGCCACTTGCCAGTGTTTGAGTCTGAGCTGGACCTCGCGCGCTACGTCAAGCACACCAGAGCCAGACAGTCCACCATCGATACTGAATTAGCAAGATCAGCTCATTTAAATCTGATAGGCCAGGCCACTGACGAGTAATTGGTGGGAGAAAGGGCAGCAAGCTTGGTCGCATTGGCAAAGATGGTCTCGTTCCAATAAGCGAGATAGGCGTCCTGGGCAATGTTGGATCTGAGACAGTCCCACTTGGTCGCTGTCGCGAACAAGCGAGGGTGATCGCCTCGGACTTGGTAATTGCCAGATTGTCCGGATCCCGCAGCGAAAGCAGAATCTGAGCAAAGCAGAGTCGAATTGGTCGTGTAGGTGGGCACTGAGGGGTTGGCAAAGATAGCCTGCTTGCTCGGGTAGACTGGATTACCGTTGGCATCGAGCGAGGGCACGACGATCTGAGATTGGCCGGTGCCCGAAGAGCGGCTACCGCCTGAAGAAGAGCCAGATCCTGTTGACGAGGACGAACCTGAAGTCGAAGGCGAACCGTTAGCGGATGATGACGCTGCGGAGCCGCTACCGGAAGACGAACTGTTACCCCTTCTCGATCCTAAAACGCCGCCGAGGACAGCGCCGATGATGATGGCGATCAAAAGCAAAGGCAAGCCGATCTTTACCCACTTGGAAGCATACCACTTCTTCTGTCGTGGACGACCGCCAGTAAGCGCTTGAGGGGACGAAGCGCCCCTTTGCTTCTCGAAATCGGCGTAGTGAGATCCAGCAGGGAAAGTTGCGCCGGACGAACTGCCGGAGGAAGCAGAGCCTCTTGGCACTGCAGGATTATGCGCGGGCTGGTATCGGACACCATCGTAGGGCTGACTCCTGCTGCCGTGTTGGGCCATGTTGCGAGTAGCCATGTCGTGGACAAGGTGAGGCTAGATAAGACCGCCAAGCGTTAATCTACTATCGGGATCGTGAGGGTGTTGCGGCCTGAGACGTGTCTGCTGGTGAGCTGTGATCAGCGCGTGTACTAGGAAGAATGACTTTGTGCAAGTCAGGCGAGCAGCCACTGACAGTATGTGCGTGTCCGAGGGCTCGACAGACGTCCGTCTGATAAAAAGAATGAAAGGCCCGTGCGTGCGCTTTACAGATGCGCGTATCTCTGCTGCGGCTCTTCTGGAACTCTTCGTGCCAGCACCTGTGCTTGCTGGTGTTGACAAGTCTTCTGCCCTCGAGCGCACAACACAGAGACTAGTGGCGACTGTCCTGCACAGCTGGCCGGCAATTTTTAGATTTTAGATCATCGGCCCCGGCAGCCGGAGTGATCAGTCACGTGCATCAATATCGTGCCTCGAAGTCCCGAGTGACCGCCAGTGACAGCTCAGCTGCTGACATAGAGGGAGAGCTGAGGGCCATGCCTGCTCGCAAGAGACTGCGGCGATCACCGTCAACCGACACCGAGGATGAACAGCGAATGGCCAAAGGTCATTACAGGGCATGCTCTCCTGTCAGCGTTGTCATGTACTGATCTCAACCGCTCAGAGACGACATACAGGACCCCTCTCCCTGGCGCTTCTCGGCCGAGCAAGCTGCGCATTGTTCCCAGCACGGGAGAGCTCGAATTGGTCAGTGCTGACGACCTGGCGTGAGTGTCAGTCAGCTCGACAGGTGTCAATCTCATGAAATGTGCTCTAGCAAACCAGGCTGGGCAGACAGGCGGCATTCACAACGTCGCCCAAAGATGGAGACCCCCTCGGACGATAGCTTCAAGGCAGACGACGCGCCTATCGTGCGCCGTCGTAGCCGACGTAATGCTCCCGACTATTTGCCAAACTTGCAACCGCTCCTCAAAGCCAGACAGAAACGCCAAGCGCGTTTATCGGCCGAAGCACAGGTTGAGTCTGAGATCATACAGAGCGAAGATGCGCATGTCGAGAGTGATGACGAGGAATATGGACCTATTGTCGTCAGGAGTCAGCCGGTCGCATTTGTCTCGCTTTCGGACGACGAAGACATGCCACTTGCTTCCGGCCCTGCGCCTGCTTCTATAGCATCGAAACAGAGTCGACAATCAGATGAGGAAATAAAGTTGCCGACGCCTGCTCAGCTTTATCCTGACTATACGATCACCGGTCGGTACGAGATCGACGAGCCCGGCCGGCCCAAGGTCCTCATCCTCGTACCGAAGTCTCATCTATCGCGAGGCGTGCAATGCTTCAACCCCGGGCAATCGATCGTACCCATCGTGCTTGATGGCCGCGATCCTTTATGTGCTGCTGCCATCAACAAGCTACTTGATCGCAGGCATCCAGTCGACTCACAGCAACAATCACCCCGAGACGATACATCTGCGAAGGGGGCTGCGCAAGTGCCCTCAGTTGATGAGCAACACGCTCAAGCTGCAGAAGTTACGAGACCTGCCACGTCTACCCGCAGGCACAGCATCTCTTCTAACAGACGCTATACAAACGAAGAAGATCAAACTCTACTTGACACTGTCAATCTTCTACGACGCGATGGCATAACAGCTTTAGGGACGATAGCTGATCGTGCCATCACGTGGCACGGCGAGAAGGGCACCGTTTCGAGAAGATTGGCCGCACGATCGTATGCGTCTCTCCGAAGCCGTTGGGCTGTCTTACGCCCTGCGCTCGTCACCAACAAAGACGAGAGGACTGCCCAGCAGCATTTGCCGAAGAGCGAAGGAGGTGATGCCAAAGCTGTCGATTTACCGAGCAGCGACGCCGGCTATGTAACGACTTAGGAGGATCCCGATCGCTTGGCTGAGACGCGGTCAGCTTCAACGCCACACGAGCGCGATGTCAGTGACAGCGTGGAGGACCCATTCTTGACGGTCGTTGCTCCCAACAAGCTTCCGCGGGTGCAAGGCCAGCACTCGCCGAATGTCGCTCGCAGAAGGCGACAGCCTCCATTCCATGGGGACTCAGACGCAGGATGCAGCGCTGGTTGCAGCATTCTCCAATTCACAAAGCAAGGCGACCATGGCTGATGCGTGTGATGCTCTCCTCGCTTCGCACGGACCTGCCGGCAAGCTATCAAACGCGCTCAGCAATCGTACGGCGGGTGCGTGCGTCACCAGATGGCATGCACTCAACAAGGATCGTCGATAATTCGCATCAAGGGGCAGCAGGTGGATTGCCGTGTCTCGCTTTGACGAGTTCCGTGTCCTGCCATGACCGTCTACCGCAGGAAAGCCTGCGCACTGCAAGCAGGGCAAGAGCAAGCAGGCAGTGGAGTCTAGCTGCGCTCCAGCTTGTGTTGTGCCTTGCAGAATCGTCCTCTGTAGCTACTGGCTGCGTTCCGCTATACTGAGCTGAATCATGCATTGTCTCAATCACCCACGAGTGATCGGACCTCATTGTGATTTGGTGCCTTGCCTTCACATCATGTCTATTTGAAGTTCTGGACACGATATACTGACGGATAGATGACTGATCGATATGATACAATCTATATCTTACGCGCGCACTGTACGACTGATAATAGACACTCATGTAGAACGCTCGTCAAGGCAAGTCAAATTAGTCAGACCCTTCGTTCGCGACACTCTATCAGTGGTATCAAGTGGCACGCGTTCAATTAGCGAAAGAAGACAGTGCAGAGTGCATTGTGACCGCCTTGAGGTACTGCTGTCACATGTTGAGGAGTCGCGGCCCGACGACAGACGATCTCGATGCTGAGCAAGGACGAGCCAGATGGACAGCGATCCTTCCTGTTTGATCCGCTTCGACTTTTTCCATGACTCCGTGCTCTGATCGTGAAGTGATTAGATGGTGCACCGCGTAGGGGTCTAGGCGTGCTTCTGCTTGCGAGCGCTCGACCAGCTCCGAAGATCTGATGAAGTGATAGATCGAGTCCTGCCCGAAACGGGAGGCGGCACGGTCGAGAGAAGCGACTCCGAATGGCGCCTGGCAATGGAGCGTGGGGGCTCCCACTCGAGTGTGGCCATCTCGAGACGACTTGCTAGGTCGTCTAGCCGGACAATAGCACCTTCGCTCACAACCTTTGCCTCTTCTGCCAGCTTGGCAGCTTCCTGTTGAGCCACGATGAAACGCTGCGCAGCATCTTTGCCTGCGAACTGAGGGAAACAGCGCATGCAGATCGTTCGACGGCGCCAATTCTGCATAGTCATGAGCTGGTACGAGATTAAATGAGGACTGTGCGTACGACGTAGTGACAGACGCCGCACGTCCAGTCACCCTCTTGAGCCACGAGCGGACCCGTGTTGCCGGTGTTCTGGATTGGAGGCAGCTTGCTCTTATCGGAAACGGGCTGGAACTGTGAGGAATGCAGCACGCGAGGCGGCTGCCAGTGGGTCCCACCTGCGGGCGTGGATGACGCGGGCTGAAGAGGGGAGGGGCCGAGAGCATGTTGCACGTTGGCGCTTGAGGCGATGCGTCTGGGCCAAGTGAGCTGATCCGAGATCGGCATAGCCATGATCTCGTCATCTTGGTTTGCATCGATTGCGGTGGATCTGAACAGACTGAGCTGCTCGTATGACTTTGCGTGCTTCTGCACCGGCCAGCGAGAGTCTACAACTTGCATACTTGTCCTGGCGCTCAGATTCTCGGTGCTTCTCGTACACTTGGTCAGAGCAAGCTGGGGGGACGCAGCGACTGAGCTTGCGAAAGGGCGAAAGAGATCCTCATCTGACAACTGGACGATCGCGCTCTGGAGCAGAGGAGCAGGCTCTGTCTTGCGTCTCTCGCGTTTGGGGGAGAAGCACATGTAGTCGGGACAGGCTTGCACTGGTCCGATTTCGGCACAATCTGGTGGGATTCGAGCGTCATTCATCACGTCCAGCGAAGGAGGTTGTGTCGTGTTGCGCCGTTTGTCTCGGAGAGCAAGATATGTGGAAGGCTTGGACGCCCAAGAGGGGTTCGAGGGCCGCAGGTCAGGTAGAGCCGCATCATAGCACGAATCAGACGCTGCTCCACCTTCGGAATTCGGAGCTTCGAAGCTTTGTCGATCGACGTCCTCGCGCGAAGCTCCGCCGGGGCATTTCCCAAAATAGCCGATCAGGAGCCGCATGCTTGTCACACCTCCTGCTCAGCGATCGACTTGCTACAAGGTCACTCCATCTACGAATCGGCAATGAACGGTCAACAAATGACACAGGCAGCGCCGCTGCACAAATCTGGCGAGGATGTTCCGCCTGCACGCCCGACAGGAACGACGGCACGTGCCCAGGCAGTCAAGACGCAAGATCGCACGATTGTCGTCGAGCCCCTCAAGCGATCAGAGATGCAGCAGAGCTATGCGCAGGTCATGGCAGACGAACACACCGATCATGGAGCATATGGCTCGTTCGTGAGCTGCCTGGGATCTATGATGGGATCCCTCGGAGCCATCCCTATCTGCTTCTGTTGCCCGAATCCCTACGTCAACGTACAGCAGTATGTGGGCCAGCTCGTTCTCAGGCGTAGGCTCACATGTTTGCAGGGGAACCGTCGCACTCGTCTCGCGCTTCGGCAAGTTCTATCGCTCTGTCGATCCCGGTCTTGTCAAGGTCAACCCGATGACCGAGTCTATCAACATTGTCGATATCCGTGTCCAGTTGCTCAACATCCCAAGGCAGACCGTCACTACATACGACTCTGTCAATATCGAGATCGACAGCGTGCTCTACTTCCACATCAACAATCCTTACGTCGCGACATTCTCTGTGGCGAATGTGCGCAACGCGCTCATCGAACGCGCCCAGACGACCTTGCGCCAGATCGCCGGTGGCCGCACACTGCAAAGCATGATAACCGAGCGCGAGGCCGTCGCCAACGAAGTATCCGAGCTCGTCGATGCAGTCAGCGAGACCTGGGGTCTCGTCTGTCTATCGCTCCTCATCAAGGATATTCACTTTTCTGCCGATCTACAGCAGTCGCTCTCTTCCGCCGCTGCCGCTAAGCGCATCGGTGAAAGCAAAGTCATCGCTGCCAAGGCAGAGGTCGATGCTGCGAAGCTCATGCGCGAGGCTGCCGATATCCTCAACTCGCAAGCTGCCCTGCAGATCCGTCAACTTGAAGCATACCAGTCTATTGCGCGCACGGCAAACACCAAGGTACGAATTGATGTTATAAGCAGGCTCTGGCTGATCGTTCTGCACCAGGTGCTCTTCTTGCCCATGGGCAATGGCATGTCAACGCCCCACACGTCTACCTCAACTTCGAGCCAGCCTCAGCCCATCATCGAAGATATCGACGATGGCCAGGAGAATGGCATCCGCACTGCATCGCAATATGCTCAGCTTTCGCAGCTCTAATTTTCTTGCTTTTTTCTGGACCTTCCGAATTTCTACTTTGTCACCTTGTCTAAGAATAATTAAAATCTGTTGCAGTCTTTGCTCCGCTTGTCTATTGCACACTCTTAATGCTCACGCGTGACGCTGCAGCGGTTGTTGAAATTTTGCACATTGTACAAGTCTTGGTCATCTTTTGGTGCAACAGTACACGACCTTGAGCAAAATGAAAGGAACGCTAGAAACCCGAAAATTACGCTACTTTTACACTCTGTGTGGGCTACACCCTTGCGGCGGTCATGCTCGTCATCGGATCGCACCGCCGAGCCCTTGCCCTTGTTGGTGTCTAGGATCGTAAGCGTACCGCATCGGATCTGTCGTTCGCGAAAATTCGCCTGGGCTCTGTGAATGGGGTGGCGGGACAAGAGGCAAATTCTGATGATCGTAGTATTGCCGCGGTCGATCGTACAGGTGATCTGCCGAAGTCATAGGCTCGACTTGACGGAGATATTGTTGAGCTTGCTGGTTGTTTAGAGCAGCGCTGTAGCCATAAGGACCGCCAAAACCGCTCTGATCGAGATAAGGAGAGTTGGCAGCGGGTATTGGCGATCGCTTGCGCTCTGGCTCGGTAAGAAGCTGGTGCACGGCAAAGTGAGAGGTACTGGGTAGGTTGAGACGAGTCGGGTAGCCCATGTCGTTGAATACAGGTGGCAATGCGTCTTGACGTGTGTCCATGGGAGTATCGTACATGGGTGGAATGGGTCGACCGAGTAGCGGCGGTAAGCTCCCCTCAGGTCCGGTCGATCCATAGAACTGAGGCATCGGCGCCAGATTGCTGGACGGCTCCAGCATCGGCAGGCTCGGATTGGACATGTGGCTGTAATTCATGTCATAGTGACCCATTGGCGGGGCAGCTGATTTGGCAGCAGCTGCTAGCGCGCGATTGTGCGACGACGTGCGCCTCGCTTTGCCGGTCAGATGGGTGCGATAGCTACGGAATACAATCAGCACACTCAGTAGCACATTTTATGATAGGCTCACTGTTGCAGCATGTTGTCCTGACGGGAGAAGCGAGCGCCGCAGCCGGGTAAGAGGCACTCGTACCGCTTTTCGCCCGTGTGAATGCGGCTATGTCTTGCGAGATGTCCAGATCTGCGCGAACGTCAGTCACACAAGTGATTAAGATCTGCGAAGCGTACGTCGTGAAGGCCTTTGTACAGCCTGAGAAAGTACAGGCGTGCTTGCGACGCGGATCGCTCGGCGAGGCAGCGTCAGTCGATGCTTGAGGTTCACTCTTTGAAGTTGCACTGGCTAGCGACGTCGCAGGTGAGACGGCTCGCGGGATCTCTGGGCTCTCGATAGGCGCCAAGCTGTCATTGGGCGTGTCCAAAGGCATTTGCTCCAACTTGAGATCGTTAAAGGTAGGTATGCTCGAGCTAGACAAGGACGTGGCAGCAGTCGACGCTGATGAGTGCGATCGCAAGGAATCTGATGACTGCGCCGAGCTCGTCGTCGCGAACGATGCAGTCGACATCGAACTGCTCGATGACGGACCTCGATGGGTTGACAGACCCAGGAAAGGCGGCGGAGTTGCTCTAGATCCATCATCGAGATGCTCCGCAACAATTGAGCTGACTGATTCTAGAGGCGGCCTGACTGGCACTGGGCTCTTCAGTGCAGTTTCGCCCCGCGTCCCGCTCATATAGCTCGAATGAGGACCGGAGACCTGAGCATTGAAATTGGGCGCAGTGAAAGGGGAGGCGCGAGAGGTATGGACTCGAGAAGTCATAGGGCTCTGAGGTGCCTTGAAAAGATCACGGTCGCTGACGGGAGAGTTCATGCTCTGCATGGGCGAGGTTGGCGGTTGTGACAGCCTCGCACTCTGAGATCGAGGTTCGGGCGGAGGCATGCAAGCGGCGGCGTCGCCAGCGATCGCAGGCGGTAAAGCCGACTGATAAGATACTGATGGCATGGACGGTGAGCTGCCGGTAGCAGGACTGGCGGGTACGGACGCAAACAGAACTAAGCCTGCCGTGCCTGTTTGGCGTGATGGGAAAGAAGAGGACAAGCCAAATTCGCCAGACGCCTGCGTCACCGGCGAACTGTGTGCGGACAGGGAGTTTGGTCGCGTTGGTCGGCCCGGGTTGGGCGAGGCAGGCAGCGAGCGAGACTGTACTTTGCCAAATTGGCTGCTGCCAGCGCGTGAGGAGAATAGACTCAGATTGCTGCTTGTGAAGGGTAGTGAAGGAGGTCCCATCAAGCCTGTCGAGGCCCCCACCCTGGAGACAGAGCCGGCTTGGCATAACTGAGTCGCAGGTGATAAGGGGCGGCTTGTTGCATATTGGCTTGCGTCAGTCATGCCTGCTTCGCCGTGCGCGAGTGCACTCTGCCTATCTCCAGAAGGGCCTGGCTGATCCCGCATGATCAGATCTGCCATGATGATGTACCGAGTGAATGCCCAGCAGTGGAATGAATGTGTAGACGTGTGCCTCGAGTGACTAATGATTCATATTCGTGTGAGTTACGGGCAAGTCAGACTGTGGGCAGGGCTTGGTCAGTGCCTGCGGGTGACGCGCGCACGAACGAGCGTGACGCACTGCTGTGCGTGTATATCAACAGTCAGCTGGGGGCCTATCGTGTCAAAACGTCGTCAGCGCTTCGCGGGGGTTGCTCTGTGACCTCTCTGTGAGAGCTTGTCGCGAGGCGCTTCTGTTGATGTTGACAGCGGTTCTATCGGTGTCACGACTGTCGGCTTTAGTGTTGCAGGCTCGCGTATGCCTCTGTCAGGGATACTGTCATTCGACCGAGTGCCTGTGACTGCTCGCTCGATGTTCTTCTGACGGAGGCCCTTGATGGAAGTCCTTTTGCGAGCAGACCCTGCGCCTCTCCTCCGGCGCAAAACAAATTCGATTCGGCAATCGCGGGCGTGACCGGCGCAGCAGCGATGTAGTGTCGTCTGAGCCAGAAGCAAGATGTTAGTAAAGCGGATCGATCAGTCCTGACCAGCCTGTGCTGCTGCTTGATGTTTGCTACACGTCAAAATCAAGACCGACAGAGTCGAGGCTTTCCCTCGGGAAGAGCGCATGGCGAGGCAAGCCACGCGGCGACGCCTCCCCTCGGTCTTTGTCTAATTCGCGCGACGTGTTCAGTGTTTCGGCGTTGAGCGCTGAGCGGTCAGACCTGTCGAGTCTCGCGTACGCATAGCACGAGGGCGGACAGCCTTCGGGGGATATCGTCATGGTCACGGAGACCGTGTCAAGATCGGGCTTCAAGAGCAACCTGACTTCGCAGCAAAAGGAAACGTTGGATTCCTTTCGCAAAGCGCTACACGATGATGGCATCCTACACGATGGCGACACGATAGGCACCGACGATGCTGCGCTCTTGCGCTACCTGCGTGCTCGCAAATTTGACCTGCCGAAAAGCAAAGCTTTGTTCGCCAAGGCGCAAGCGTGGCGAAAGGATCCTTGCGGCGAAGGCCTCACCATCGATCAGCTCTATGTCAGAATGGACCCTTTCGACTTTGACAAGCGAACAGAGATCATGCAGTACTGGCCCATGTTCTTTCATGGCGTAGATCGCGAGGGACGTCCGCTCAACATACAAGCCTTTGGCAACTTTGATGTAGCCAAGCTACAAGCTGTCGAGACGCCAGAGTATCACTGGAAGAGCGTCTGTCTGAACGCGGAATCACTCACGCGAGAAGTGCTACCGGCGAGTGTCAAGGCAGCGGGCGGCAGGGATCTGGATGGCAACGTGTCAATAGTTGATCTCAAGGGCTTCACTCTCGGTCAATTCTGGCAGGTCAAAGCGCTCGCCAAGCGTAGCTTCGGTCTCGCGCAGGACTACTATCCAGAAGGACTTGGCCGTCTCTATATTGTCAATGCGCCGTCGAGCTTCACATGTATGTCGCGTTTACGCCATCTCGCGCGGTCACTCACTGGACCGCACAGACGTATGGGGTGTCATGAAGCCCTGGCTCAGCAAGGAGACGCAAGAGAAAGTCAACATCCTCGGCACAGACTATGCCTCGACGTTGCTCAAGTACATTGACGCGGAACAGCTGCCCAGCACGCTCGGCGGAGCATGCAACTGCAAAGAGGGCTGCAGTCTGTCGTCAAGGGGCCCTTGGCTGGAGGGCAGAGCGGAGCGACGTCGTGCCGATATCGCTCGATTTGCGCCAGAGCTCGCGGAGGATTCCAAAGCCGACGAGAAAATCGACGCGATACCCAACGGTCATGCTGATACAGCGCTCGCAAAGACAACTAGTCCAGATGACTTTGCAGTAGCAGCAGAGCCGAGCCAGACGACGCTGGACCAAGCGAGGAATGACGACACAGCCCAGTAGCTGTCGTCTCTTGCGACTCGTGCGTAAAGTGCGAGGAATGAGGCCGAGACAGCGGAGGCGCCGATATGCGGTTTGCTGGTCTCCGCTACCTGTATGACGTACACCTAGACAATAGACAGCGCATTGTCGTAACACTGTAGAGAACGAGAGAGCATGCAAGGATCGCACATGATGCGATGATTTTCCGTGGAGTTGACTTGTCAACGCCAACACGTGCGCCAACGCGCGTGGCGATCTTCACAGCTCCCAAAGTTTTGCCACGCTTCCGAACGCTAGCGTATGCCCCGTCGAACATGCGCTTGATGCGATGACTCAAAACCGCGGCCTGCATCCTCCCTCCGACACAGCCTTGAGTCATCGAACTCGTCGAGCATGCGTTTCTCCTCACCGCCTCCGTGGCCTTTCGAAGGTATAAAAGACTGGCCGTTTCGTCTCCATGCTCAGCAACTCACTCGACTCGCTTACGACGCTCAGCAATTCGCACCTCACTCGCAACCCCCTCGCAACACACAAAGCAAATCTGACCAAGATGATCTTCAATATGCTCTCCGTTGCCCTCGTGGGCGCCATGACTGCCAGTACTCTCGCTGCACCGACACCTCCCACGGTCAGACAGGATAACGGCGTCTTCTACGAGGACAGCTTCGACAGTGTCAAGCCGGAGATGATCACCAGTTGCGATGGCTCAACCGTCGGCATTGTTCCCCATTACGAAGAGGGTCTGTCCTTTTTGGACTATGGCACAACAGGCGATGCCGGCTCTCAATGGGCAGTCATTGCAAGCCCATGGGCAAGTGGACAAGCCATCCAAGGACCCCCAGTCTCTTGCCCGGGTCGTCCTCTCGCTCGCATCTACGCCACAAACGGCTACACTTGGGTATCTTCAGCTATGGCAATTTCATGTGAACCGGGCTAATCGCGCTGGGCAGGATCTGAAATCCTTCAATTATGGTGTCTCTGCGCCTACGAGTGCTACCACCGTCAATGCCATCAAGCCCGGCGGCTCGGACAGCTCGCCCGTCTACTCCGTCAGACTCGGCGATCCCGACACCGGTGTCATCGTTCCCGGCACGCAATACACTTTTAGCGTGAATTCTAACGACGCCGGACTCTTCGAAGGCACGCACTGTTCTCGCGCTAGATTCAGAGATGCTGATGGTTGTACAGGACTGGAGCACGTTGCGTTCAAGACGACAGACGCTTCCTTGACTATCATCATCGACAACCTCGTCTACTGGACTTCAGCGCCCAACACAACGAGCACCAGCTAGAACAAGATGAAAAGGACACTAACGACCCTAGCATGACCATCTCAATGCATTGCATCTGTGTGAACCACTAGGCCTGACTCTTGCTAGCATGCGATGTTTTGTGTGACCCCGGCAGTGTACTGAGCCTTTAGCTGCAGTCTGCTCGAAACGGTAGGCTTCTGCAAGGGCGGGCATCATCAAGTCGAGTGAAACGACGCTGATCTTCCGAGCACGAGCAAGCCAGGCTGTTGATCGTCTGGCTTGGAGATGGCACACGTAAGATCAGCTGGCTGTCAGGCTGTCGGGCAAGCGACCAGTCGACATGAAAACTGCCCATTCGCCAATGCTTGGTGGCGGTCCGCGGGCAATAGCCTTGCCATCTGCAGCATCGATCATCTGCACATCCTCCTCCTCATCTGTCGTCTTTGGTGTATGTATATCGCTATCTGCATCTGCTTCATCTGCTTCTGCATCCAGCGAGACGCGCAACTTCCAGTCATACTCTTCGCCATCGTCTGCGTCGCGATCTTTGAGTCCAGGCAAGGCTGCATGTATCGTCTCTTCGTCTAGTGCATCACGATACTCTGCTCTTCCGTTGATGAGCTCAGAGGCCCACAGGGCGAGGCTGTCGTGCGAGGCTTGCAAGGACTGGATCCGCGACAGGTCATCCGGTGCGATCTCTCTTGCGTCCGGCACGAGCCCAAGCCGGTGCAGATGTGCCGTCTCCCTGGCTTCATGAGCCAAGTCCTTCACAGCTGATCAGTGAAGTGAGGCGAGAATCACGCAGACGTACGAGCTTGGTGCGCGTAAGCAGTCCAGAGATCCACTCGTTGTCTTGCTCTAGGGCAATGGCAGGATGGACGACCACTCTTCCCAGAGATCGTTTGCTTGCTACTATATGCTTGTCTTGCTGCTGTTTTCGCTCGTATGCATTGGCGGGAGCTGTGGGCAACGGCGGAGGGGGCATCACAAGTCGCTGCGAGATCGAATGAGCCGAGGAGATGATGCTACTGTACGTCGTCATCATCTCCTGCCTATTGTCCTGATCGCTCAGATGGCTGTACCGCCGCACAATCGGACACTACGAACCACGGCATGATGAGATCTTGTTCGACACCCCATTGGAGTTGCAACTGAAGTGTCGCAATCTGATCCATTGTAGTGAGGATGGACCGATGCGCCTTGAGCAGTGCATCAATCGTCGCATTGTCTGGCCCCAGGCCAGGCGGCAAGGCAGCCATACGGCCTTGGCGGCTCGGTCAAAGTCTCCAGAGCAAGGACGCGAACGCGACATGGCCAGGGGAGATGCGAAGGATGCAGATTAGAGGTGTACAAATGGCTTGCTAGGGTATCTATGGACATCAGGAGTACAAGCGTCACAGACGGCTGGTCGCGCGGCAATCAGATGTCGAGTCGCGTGCCGAAGGCATAATCCCATATCTTGCTCGTGACGCCAAAGCCAAGATCGGGGTTCTTGTCTGCACAAATTCGAGTGAGCTGGATGGCTTGCTGCCGGGTGATGGTACTTACAGTGATGATACATGTGATATGTCTTCATCGTCTTGAGATACTGAGGCAGCCTGCAGATGATGTTGGTCAACACTTGACCATCGAGATTGTGAGGGGAACTTACTTTGTATGATGAAGCGCATAGTGGCACATGTCGTAGCCGACATAGCTGACAAACGCACCAGCAATGCCCGCATTGGCGAACCAGGTCGGCAGAAGCCTGTAAGCTAATCGCGTAAAAGGCCATTGTAGCGCGCCAAACAGTGTCGGCGGCATGACCAGTCGCAGTCGGTCCATCGGCAAGTAGTGGTGGATGCCGTGCAATAAAAAGTGCAACGTCAGGAAGATTGGGTGATCCGGAAGCGCGTCATCGACGTGGAATAAGAACCGATGGAGCGTGTATTCTAGTATCGTCCAGAGGAAGACACCGATTGCAAAGGCAGACATGGCTCCCACGACCATATCTGATCTGATACCGGCTGCTACTGTGAGCAGATTGTTCGACAGAGCTGCCTCGGGCAATGATGTGCCTTGCTGTTGGGCGAATGATTGCGCAAACAGGTAGGCTGCGATTGGGAGCCAGAAGATGGGTACAACGAACCATTGCGTCCTCGTGAGCATCTCGAGATACCACGGTCCGAACAATCGCGCAGGCTCGGAGAGATGCCTGGGCTGATGGACCTGTTGCAGGTAGAATGACTTGCTCCAGTTGGATTGCAGGACCTGCATGAGCAAAGGCTCCTTGAGGTCGAGAAACTGGTTCTTCGCATAGTCTTGCTCTACAGAAGTCTCGTCAGGGTGATACTCGTCGCCGACCATCTCAAAGTCTGCCTTGACGATGGTTTCCTCCGTGCCGATGATGCCCACTTGGTACTCTTCCATCATCTCGAACGCCGAATCAGAGTGGCTGTGCTCGACGGGATCGTTCATCACTTGCTCGACATCCTTGCCTGCCCAGCCCAGTATCAGATCATCGCCACCCTGCAAACGTCCCATACTTTTGGTCAGCATGGAGATACACTCGGGATCAAATTCGGAAAAGACTGACTGGATGATCCTCTACGAAGCTCGTCACATTGTATACCTTGCCCTGACGGGTGACCCAGCAGTCGCCCGGTCGTGCATGCTTGGCTACATCAGCCGCCAGAAAGATTCTCTGTCGTTTGTTGACTTTTCGAGGTCCGGGCGCCGTGCTGTCCACAGCTCCCATATCGCGTCTGATGATTGGCTGCTTGTCTATGCGCAGGTATGTCCGCGACTAGACAAGCGCGGGGTGGCCTATAATCTGTTCAAGGACTGGTCGCTTGTTGGCCTCGATGCTTCACGATGACATTGCCACACGCGCCCGAACCGGATGACAAAATCTCACGGAATGCATTGATGACGTGGCATACATTATCGTTTCAATGTCCGTTGCTTGTCGGCGTGCTCGACGATCTTCCGCTCCACAAACATACCCTGCACTCTCATATCAGTAATTTAGGCTAGCGATATTGGATTTGAACCACCTTGCGCGCTCGAACGGCGTCCATGTACTTCTTCGCCACATTCTCGCGATCTGATTTTTCGCCGAGATCTTCCAGTTCCTCCTCGGTCGAGGGCACCCAGAAGGGATCAATGTCGAGCATCTCAAATCTGCGCAGCATTGTCAATCAGTTATCACGCAGTTCACCGACCGACCCACCCGTAGAAGACCAGCTGCGGGCTCGCGGCACCCGACGTGCGTTTGCGGATCTCTGAAGCCTCTACTTAGTCTTCTCGAAAGGTCAGTAGCTAGGGACTGACCATCCGCGAAACCGAAACTTTCGACGACGGGCAGCAGTGACGCGATAGTAAAGTATGAGGTGCCCTCTTTGATCTCTTCCAAAGTGATCCGACCCCTTCGCTTTGCAAGGACGCCATAGACTTTCCCGAGGACCTCAGCAGTAGCTTGTATGTCACAAGAATAGACTGCAAGCAGGAGACGTGGCGACCAGTCGAGCAAGCCTTGTTTGAATGCGTCTTGGGATGCACTGATCATGCTGCCGGTAAGCTGGGACAGCTTCGAGCGCACTGAGATGGAGATTAGCCCTGACGAGCCATCAGTTCGAACGACTGTACCTTCGGAGGCTTGAGTCTCGTCGAAAGAGATCGACGTAAGCGAGAACGCCATGTCGGTGATAGGTTCAGCGCAAAGAGGCCCTCGCAGTGTTGAGAGCTGGAAAGCAGTCTCTATTGCATCGTCGAACAAATGTGCATCGTCATCCTTTGTCGACCCGTTCACCTCGGAGGGTAGGCGCTTGCGCAGACTGCAAGACTATAAGCTGCTCTTCCACATTTATCGCAGCGCCAAACTCACGATCTTCCGGAGCCGCCAGTCTCGTCAAATAGTATGTTTGCGCCGATACGACGCGGGCCAAAAGACCAAACACGGTCGCTTGCGCCAATCCACTCTTTGCCAGCCGCTTCGAACAGAGTATCCAGCCTTTTCCAGAAGACATCGGGCTGTAATTGTGGACGAGCATCGAGCGGTCGATCAGAGTCCGTCGAACGCTGCTCGTCAGGCGTCGCGTCGTATAGCAGGCGTATAGATGGCGCATTGGCGGCAAGAAAATCTGCGACCGCGCGAGGTAGTGGTCTTGCGCGGCTTACAAGCTTGACAAGGCCCTCTGCAACGGTCGTCTCGATCGTGCCCCGCGGTGCATCCTTCGTCTTTGTTGGCGCCATATCTGTCGCGCGTGATTCAGCGTCAAAAGCCGCACAGAGCAGACGGAATACATACCGGATCCTTTGACTGCTGTTTCACGGAAAGGCACGATCGGTGGCGATGCCTGAATAGCAATCTTTGCAAATCGCTCTCGCAGATCGCGCAAGCATCTCTGAGCACGGTGTTCGGATCAGCACCTTCAAAAAAAGCCGACAGACTGCGCGCGCACCTCCAGATGCAGCTCGCCTGCAGTCAAAATGACATGCTCGCCCGTTTCTTGCAAGAGCGTCTCGACAGCTGGATCGGCCTGGTTCAGCAATTTCAGACCTTCGATAAGCTTAGGCATTTCTGCCGGATTGCACGGCTCAAGAGCAACTCGGACAATAGGCGCAGACTGTTGATGAAGCCTTAGCATGGGCGCTTAAGGTCAAGCGGCCACTCACAGTCAACGTGCGGCCGGTCAGGTTGACCAGCGCATTGTTTGTGACATCGCCATCGCTCAGATTGGGGGTCGAGTCGATGTGCGCACAAAGCGTGGCGTTGCGTGTCACCTTGCCTTCGAGACCGCCGATGCCAACGACATGCCCTGCGGGTACCTTATCCACCACAACAAGCTCTCGGCCCATGAGCATGTACAACCTGTCAACTCGTACTGTGGTGATATGCTTTGCGTTTGTGGGCTCACTGGCAGGCAATCGTGTTGTGTATTTGGGCATTACGGCAAACAGCTCTTGCCCAAGACTGATCTCGCCAGAAAACACACGAGCAAAGCCTATAAGTGTCTCTGCGTTGGCTGGTATCGGCTCTTCTGGCTCCGCTTCATTGATCTTCCTTGAGAGTGCATCAGAACCGCCGTCGGCCTGAACAATACCAGTGCTACTTTGTAGACCGTCAGCCCGGCTCTGTCGTCCTCGATCGCGCATCTCCTCAGCGGTAAGCTGCCGCCGTTGATATTGGGGCAGGCTCGCGGTAGCGACCGAGAACATCTTGCTGACGTAGACAACGGTGTGTGGCGAAGATCGATCGGCGCTGTACAACGCGCGTTCTAAATCGTTCTTCGGCTCGACCTTTTTACTTGTGACCGGGAGTTCGGGATGCAATACTCTGGGCAGGCGGACCGATTGAGCGTCGGATGGGCCCGGAATTTGTTCTACGACGGCTCTGAATGTACAAGATGCCAAAGGAAGCCATTGCGAGAAAATTGCAACCAGCAGATTTCGTGAATCTTTCGACTTCAAATCCATGGGACGAATCTTGAGTCCGAGCGCAGACACAATCTTGCCGACCTTGTCTACGTTGGGATTGAGGGAGACATTATCATAAATTGACCAAATGTTCTCTAGAACAAATTGAACGAACATGGGCTTGAGATTGCGCTGGCCGAGGTGTTTGCGAGACAGGACCCGCTTTGACTTGGGATCGAGGAAAAAGTCGCCCCAGAGTACTTTTCGCAGCTTTGTTTCCTGTATGCCCAAGCGCACGGCATGTATGTGCGCGAATGTTGCTATCCGAAACGCCCATCCATCGATTGCACTGGCAAAGATGACATTGCCATTTTCTGGCGCGAAATAGGTGTCTTCCTCGTCATCTCCTGCAGGCTCAGCCTCGTCGACGCCATCATCCTCCGTGGTAGGGGCTTCGTTCGCACCGGACATTGCAACTTCTTGCGCTCGCTCAGTCTTTTCGCGCAAGCGCGCCTCTCGCGACTCTCGCCACTGCGCATCGCTGCCTTGCCGGTCGTCCGCATACAAGGAACCAATGACTGCGTTGACTTGCTCGACAAGCTGAAAGAGATGGTGGTGAGCTTCTATGGGCGCTAGCTTGAGTTCCGTGATCAGTCTGTCCATCTTATTGATGACGAGGATGGGCCGTAAGCGTTCGAGCCAGACCTGACGCAAAACCGTGATAGTCTGCGTACAAACGCCCTCGACGGCATCCACGAGTACGAGAGCGCCATCGGTGACTCTCAGTGCAGCTGCTACTTCGGAGCTGAAGTCGATGTGGCCCGGCGAATCGATGAGATTGATCAGAAATGACTCCTCTACGGGTGCATCTGCAACGGTGCACAGTCAGCTGATTCAGCTTGAAGCACCATCAGCGCGGACCCTGGCCTGCTATTTTGCGCATGACTTTGTACTTGAGTGAAACGGCAGAGCTCTCCATTGTGATGCCTTTCTCCTGCTCATCCTCTCGACTGTCAAGGTACCGAATCGATCCAGCCAGACGAGTCGAAATGATGCCATTCGAGGCCAGCAGGCTGTCTGCATACGATGATTTGCCATGATCCACATGCGCTACTAGCGCTATGGAGCGAGTGCTCGTAGCTTCATAGCGACTCATGATCCTGCGTGTGCTATCCTAAAAATCGATGGAGGACGTGCCCCAGATCTCTGCTCACGTGATTGCATTCAGACAAGCCTGATCTGCTTGGCAAAGAGCGTTTCTGATCGCAATACGATAGCAGCAGCAGCAACGCGAGCTCTGTCATCAGCAGGTCTGCTCTCTTCGGCCCAAGTCTTGAGATCAACGACAAGACGAGCGTGATCTGTTGCCAAGCGATGCCCCGAATCGAGCTGGAGGGACGAGTCGAGCACAATGCAAGCGAGCTCGAAGGTCGTCGTCTGCACGCCCTCGTCTTCGCAGAAGCTTCTGATTGCCATGCACATCTCCAGCGTCTCTGGCGCCAGGACAGCGAGGTAGTGAGGCGAAGCACGCGCGCTGTCCATGAGTATCGCGAGACTAAGCAGCAGTCGACTTAGGTTGATGGGTGCGAGAATCATCGCACTGCCTGCTGACTCGAGTCGCTTGTGGTTGTGCTGCAATGTGGCAGCGTCACGCATATATAGCCAGAAGCGGTTGATGAGTGGCATGACGAACGACTGAGCACAAATATCAGCATAGCTTGGCCTCTCTCTTGTCGTCTGCAAGTTGGTCTTTGGCATTGACAACCTCTGCGAACGATAGTGACCTTTGAGGGTGTCATCGATCGTGTGCTTTGAGATGGCTCGTGCTGTAGTCTCGAGAGCTTTACTAGTATCTGGTCTTGCGCCAGACAGCTCTGAGCCACCCAAGGCCAGAGCAGTGAGCATACAGGATCGCTGTGCAGTCGAATACTGATGCAGAAAGTAATGCTCGATAATGCAAGGAGCCGCTTTAAGGGGACAGCAAGCGACGATGGCCGTCAGGGCATCTTGTCGCAATTGCTCGAAGCGGTCCAAGTCAAAGTTATCCTGTAGCGCAAACAGAGCGATCGTCAGATCGACTGCGTTGTCAGCTACACCCGCATCAGCACGCGCTCGTGAGACTCTGATGATAGCGCACTCAGTTCTGTTCCCCACCCTTGCTTTGCTCGTATGAGCTGCTCGCCATGTGCAAGAGCAAGCTCGATTTTGTCGCGATCCTCAGTGGCCTTGAGGTAAGCGAGTAGATCTTGCATATAGATTGGCTTTCGCGGCTTCTTCTTGCTCGGCGTATATGTGCCCATGTCGTTAAGATCCTCCTCGGAAACCATGATTGGCTGCGAGGATGGCATTGCGTATGGTACCATATCATCTTCGTCCTCTCCGCCTACGACTTGGATCAACGGCTTGCGTGGCTTTGCCTCGACCATGGCTTTTTTGACAGGCGCTCTAGACACATCCGTCTTGAATTGCGCTGGAAGGTAGACGCGCTCGCCAAAGCAAGCAGCCATGTTGGTCAACTCGCCCGCTGTAGTCGGAGCAGACAAAGGTCGCAACGATCGCAACACCCGGCAATTGCGTTGCTCGTCAGAATCGCCGTCCCAGAAGCTAGCATCGAATTTGAGAGCCTTGATGGGACCATCGGATGCGAAGCAGGCCGCAGACACGATCTCTGCCAGAAGCATGCCGCGCAGTCTGAAGCCAGGACGAGTCGAAGACAAGCGCGTATGTACTGCGCCGGTGAATGTCGCAGAAGATCCCAGGAGTCTGATAGCTTCTCGTGTTTGCTGTGTTTGACCATGCGTGGCAAGCACGAGCACAGCGCAGATGTAAGTATCGTAATCGTCTGTCGATCTCTGATCGGAGCCTGACCGCTCGAAAGCCGCCGCTGCTGCTTCGACCATCTGACCCGACACGCCTTGACTGTCAAGCCATGCAGATAAAGTGCGAGCGAATGTGAGCGAGTATGCTTGGCCCATCAATAGCGTGCTCGAGATGGCACGCCAAAGCGGGCTGTCGTCGCTGAGCGATCCGATGATGCGCTCCAGAAGCGCTACAGCTTCTGACAAGGCGGTGTCAGGCAACGATGGGTCGAGACAATGTTGTAGATGCGCAAAAAGCGAAGAAAGAGTAGTTCGAATGGTGTCCATAGCGAGACTTGATAACAGCGCCTGGCAGGATTGCCGTACGTCTGGCGAAGACGGCCGACATAGACGTGGTATCCAGCGCCACCATAGCATGCCAGCTGAACCGGCGAGCGGAGGCAGCGTAGGCCGAGGCGGCACGTAGCCTCGTCGGCAGAGTTTCGTGACTACTTCGGCAATCTGATCGATCATCGGTCGAGACCGTTTGCGTTCCAGACAGTCGAATAAGCGATCCGCCACGAGCGCAAGATAAGCGTCTTCCTGCAGATCCGGTGGCAGCAGAGCCGTGTTTGATGCGACAACATTGGCAATCTTCGAAGGCACAGACAGCAGAGTAGCGACATCTGCGGCCCAGCGCTGCCTTTTCATGGCCTCTGCTTCATTCGTATCATGCTGAATCAAGGTAATGAAGTCGAGCTTGGCCGTCTGATGCCGGATCAAATTCAGCAAGAGCTGTAATGGCTTTGGCGCGGGTGAGGGCGAAAGCGCTGTGAGGGCTGCGAGACTGGCGGACAGGCCTGACATGTACATCTCCGAGCGGTACAGATCAGGTAGGACGTCTGATAGACCCAGCCATGCATTCAGGCTGTCTCGCAGATATGGCTCCTCGTCTGAGTCACTCGCAAGCGACCAATCGAGCAAGACGTTGGAGACGAGACAGAGCTGGATCGAAGGTGCATGCTTGGATACAAAGGGCATTCGCAGGGTTTCGTCGGCGTATGTGTGTGCAAGTCTTGCCCATTCTGACTTGCTCGCCGCGGCATTGTTCGGTAGAGAGGCTCCCAGGAGCAGCAAAGGCGGCCAGAGGAGCCTATCGCAACCCTCCCTTACCGACGATGAGCCATCGAAGTTGCGTCTGAGTGCATTGCGCAGGTCTGCCGTGAGCTTCCTGAGCTGTTCACGGCTTTCCATAGGCTGCTGAGCGCTGAGTCAGCATACTTTATATTGATTGGCTCTTATCAATCTCGCGCGGCTCTCTCCTCTCCTTCCGACGTCTCAAGCAGTCACTCTCTCGGCGATGGCGGCCATGAAGCGGACGACGCTGGTCATCAGTACGTAGGCTGACATCTATCTCTTGTCCCGTGCTGAGCCGTGCAAGCAGGCAACATCCACTGTCCGTCCTGCGTCGCCACGATCACTGACATCCTCGAGTCCTTCAATCCTGTCGAACTAGCCTCAAAGCCCTCAGAACTGCCCAGCGATCACATCTCGACCCTCACTTCAGACTCTGCAACGCCTCTGCAGTCACGCCTCGCGCCTGCCAAGCTGATCAAGAACATAGAGGTCTCCATTCTTGAAGGGACCGTCAAGTTCTTGCGCTCTGTCGAGCAGCCTGTGGCGCCCATCTTTGACGAGATCGAAGCGAGCGGCTTCAACGTCGTCCGAGGACGCTCAGTAGCGCGGAAAGAGAAGCCTGCTGACCCAGTGTCCTACCAGGCCGCGCTTGCCCAGGTCAGGTCGGCTTCTTCGCGATGGTCAAAAGCAGCCGAGTCTCTTTGGCCTGGTCATCAGGCCAAGCGCCACAAGGCACATCGATTGGTCTGTGCTGCATGCCGTCGCGAGGACGAAGCGGCGCAGTCTCACTCGATACGTCCATCTGCCAGATCGAGCGAGAGAACTCAGCTTGAGTCAGGTGCCGTCGAGCCTATGGGCCTGCGTCAGCGAAGGGTGCGCAGCGACAGGCAGACCAATGAGCAGCCCGAGTCACCCATTCGCAAGACAACGTTCGCGATAGGTGGAATGACATGCATTGCCTGCGTTCAGGGCGTACGATCGGGCTTCGAGGATGCAGGCCTAGGCATCAATGACGTCGTCGTCTCTTTCATGCCACCTTCGGCCACAATCGTGCACGACATTCGCGAATGGGATACTGCAAGACTCAAGCATCGTATCGAGGACTCTGGCTACGACGCCGACATGGTCTCGAGCGTGGTTGTCGATCCCCAGAGTACGGCGAAGAAGGCTGCAGAGCCAGTCTCTTACATCGCCCAGTTTTCTATAGGCGGTATGACCTGCTCTAGCTGTGTCGGCTCTATCGACAATGCGCTCAAACAGCAGCTGTCTTCACATCTACAAGAGCTCAAGATCGATCTGATCGGGGGCAAGGCCACTCTGCGCGTCAATGAACAGTCGTCTATCGAAGCAGCACGCAACGAGATTGAAGATCTCGGCTTCGAAGTCGCACTTTCGAGCGTAATTGAGCAAGGCGAAGAAGCCGCCTCGCATCTCCGATCCCAACGACGCGAGCTGCAAATTCGCGTTGACGGCATGATGTGCTCAGATTGTATCGGCAAAGTCAACAAAGCTCTGCAAGATCTGGTCGAAGCGCATCCATTTGCCGAGCTGTCTTACGAGCCTGTCGAAATCTTCGATGTTGCAGAAGATATCGAGTCTCTCATTCGCCTCTCGTACTTGCCGCAGCCGCCTGCATTCACGATAAGATCCATCAAACAAGCTATCGAGGCACTAGGCTTCAAATTCTCCATTCAGCGCGAGGATACCTTACAAGATCGAGCTCAAAGATCACAAGAGCGTGAGAGAATGCGAATACTCATCAGACTCTTCATCTGCTTCCTCTTCGCTATCCCCACTTTCACCATCGCCGTCCTCGGCATGACTTTGCTACCATCATCCAATAGCTTTCGTGCTCAGCTCGACACTCCCGCTTGGGGTCAGGCTTCGCGTGGCACGCTCGCACTCTTTGCCCTGGCGACACCTGTGCAATTCGGCGTCGGCCAGTTTTTCTACACCCGAGCGTACAAGAGCCTGCGAGGGGTCTGGCGGAGCCGACGAGGCCAAGTCAGCTGGAAAAGGACTGCCTACAATCGGCTGTTGCGCTGGGGCAGCATGGACACGCTTGTCGCGCTCGGCACGAGTCTCGGCTACTTTGCTAGTGTGGCCTATATGATTCTCGCCATCACTGCCACGATTGACAGCGAGAGTGATCAGATGGGCTACTTCGATACCTCTGTCTTTCTCATGCTCGTGAGGTTACACTCTCTCGGAATGATCAGCAGCTAACGCATTTACAGTTCATTCTTGCCGGACGATATCTTGAGAGTGCGAGCAAGCATCGTACCGGTGATGCACTGGCAGAACTTGGGCAGCTGAAGCCACTCAAAGGCTACCTGTATGATGGCCAGACTGGCTCGGTCACTGGTGAGACGTTAGCGGACGAGCTCGATGTTGGTGACCTCTTGGTGGTCCCTACGGGCGAATCGCCTCCTCTCGACTGCCGACTGATAAGCTCCAGTCCGCCGACATCATTCAACGAAGCGTCTCTGACAGGCGAGGCAAGACCGGTGCTCAAGTCACCCGGGGATGACATCTATGCTGGCACGACAAATCACGGTCCAGCTGCTGCCATTGCAGTGATCACCAAAGCTCAAGGTGGCAGCGCTCTCGATGACATTGTCAACGTCGTTCGAGATGCGATGGGCCGCAAAGCGAGCATCGAACGTATTGCTGATCTCGTCACTGCTTACTTCGTACCTGCGGTCGTAGCAGTCGCGACACTCACTTTCGCCATCTGGGCTCTGCGTGGCTACGCTGGCGACTTGCCCACGCATTGGTTGCCCCCGCACGATCGAGGAGGCTGGGCACTCTTCGCCGTCCAATTCGGTGTGGCAGTCCTAGTCGTTGCTTGTCCCTGTGGAATCGGACTTGCTGCGCCAACAGCTCAGATGATCGGCGTCGGCTTATGTGCGCAGCATGGCATCCTGCCGCATGGCGGAGGCGAGGCCTTTCAAGCTTTTGCGCATGTCGACACCGTCGTGCTCGACAAAACTGGTACGCTCACTACTGGCGACTTCACCGTGACCGACTCGGAGATCGTCAAACAGGATTGCCTGTCAGAGGACCAACTTGTGTCCATGCTGCTCGATGTCGAACAAGCCTCGAGCCATCCCATATCTATCGGCGTACAGCGGTGGTGCAAAGCTCAAGCCGGCGAGACTCCAAAGCTCACGGCCCTCGTCGAATCCAATGAGACTGCTGGACGGGGCTTGCGCGCCAGATTTTCGCGCGATGGGCAGACTGCCGAGCTCCTCGTTGGCAATCAGGACCTCATGAAGGATCATCATGTGGATTGCGAAAATGTCAGCTCAATGCTGGCTACATGGGCAAGCGAGGCCAAGTCAATCATACTTGTTGCATATCGGAGCAACGAGCAGCCATTCGGGCTGGCGCTTGCATTGGCAGTACAGGATCGCCCTCGTGAGGAAGCAAATCATGTCATCACGACCTTGCGCAAGTCTGGCGTGGATGTCTGGATGATCACGGGCGATAACAAGTCTACCGCTGAGGCTGTCGCTCGTCAGGTAGGTATCCTACCGGACAATGTCATTGCAAGCGCGAGGCCGACCGACAAGCGCGATTGGGTCGAGCGGCTTCAGGACGGCTACTCTCGTCTGCCAGCCAAGCGTCGCTGGTTCCGTTTTGACGGTCCGGCAAAGGGCAAGCGGATCGTCTGCTTCGGAGGCGATGGCATCAACGATAGTCCCGCTATAGCCCAGGCCGATATAGGCCTTGCCATGGGTAGCGGCTCGAGCATCGCTGTCTCTACCGCTGACTTTTGCTTGCTCAATTCATCGTTGCTATCTATTCTTACCGTCCGCGACTTGTCTGTCAAGACGATCAACAAGATAATCAGCAATCTTGCCTGGGCGAGCGTTTACAATCTTGCGCTCATGCCACTCGCAGCTGGCGCGTTCTACGAGATCAACGATCGTCAGATTCGATTGCCGCCTGTATGGGCATCCCTTGCCATGGCACTGTCGTCCGTATCAGTTGTCGTCAATTCGCTCACGCTTCGATGGTTCTATCGACTGCCAAAGAGCGTCCGTTCATACAAGTCTGCTTCCATTTCATAGATTCTCGTGAATACAAGCATCGTTTGTGAGACAGACTTGATAGGCAGACACATGCATGACGCGAGACTGGTACAGAGTGCTGTCAGAAGCAATCTATCGGCCGCCCTTGCCGCCCTTTGCGCCTTGCTTAGACACCTTTGGCGCGGCAGTCTTGGCAGCGACAGGCTGTGAGTATCTCATAGTCAGCCACCTTGCTTAACTGCGCATGAGTGCCGACACACCTTGGCTGCTTGTTTCTTCTCTGCCTGTGCCTTCTTGGCATCCTTGCTAGCCTTGATGGCCGCCTGTCGCGCTGCGTCTCGCACTTCCGGCTTCTGATCTGCACGTCGATGATGCCCGGATCAGCAAACGACAGACCCAGCTGTGACGACAACGACGCACTTCTCTTGGCGAGAATGCTAGTCAGATCGGCGCCGACGATGCCTCGCTGGTGCTTGACAGTCTTGCGGCTGCGCTTCTTCGCGACTTCCTCCGTGATACCCTTCTTGTGCGCTCGACGGAAGACGACAGTCCATGCGATCTTGCGAGGATTCTTTCGTTGCAGGAAGAGCGACTCTGACTTTGAGTCCTTGAAGCGGAAGACCTTGCTGTCAATGCGGACGTATAGCTTGCCCGTGCCCGGGTCTGCGCCAGACTGTCAGTCCACTGCCGCTTACTGACTCTCAGTGGACTATACGCACAGATCTTGTAGCCCGAGAAGGCGCATTGCTCTACCCTCATCTTGCTGAGTCTCAAGTCAGCCTGCGGCAGCCGTCGCCCAGCCGCAGCTATACTTTTCACTGAAATTAACTCGACAAAGTATGACGCGTCGTACTACGTGGCACGAGTTGCATCGTTTCTGACGGATGTCATGCATTTTCTTAGATTCTCTAGTCGAACGCAGCCGTCTGCACGTGCACAGCATACTTTGTCTTACCTTTCATCACTTTCTTCATATCAGAAACTTGAGCAGCTGCAACGCGAACCTGTCGCATCATCTTGCTGGGACCACACACTTGAACACTCAGTCTCGCTCTATCACTGGTCGAGTCGAGAGCATCTTGAAGCATAGCGACGTAGTCTGGACGTCCTTCTCGAACGTCAAAGGCGAGCAGTATCTCCTCGACAGCGGATCCGGAATTGATCGGCAAAGTGCCCGACGTCAATGTGCGGTTCAGACAACCAGTGGAGCTCGTCTCGTCGAAGCTTGAACGTCGCAAGCTGTCCGTCAAGTTGAGCTGGAGTCTGAGTGTCTCTTTGCCCTCTTCTTTCAGTCGTCGCATGATGGGCAAGAGTTGATCAGCAACCCAGGCTACATGTTCGACGTTGCGCAGCGTCCAATGGAAGATGATCTTACGAGGACCTGACGTGAGCGCTTCGGTCAGATATGGCATGATGTGCGTGATACCAGAACCTGCTGCGCACAGCACGAGGGTCTGACAAGGTGCATCGAGATTGGGCGCGTAGGGACCCTCGATCAGCACAGGAACGCGAAGACTGCCTTTGTCAGCCTCGATGGCAGATTGCCAGAGACGCTTCGTTGCGTGATCGTGTATCTTGATGACAAACAGCATGCTCCTTTGGCCCTCGACGAGATGCTCCTCTGCGTTTGCTATAGAGAACGGGTGCCACTGTGGAAGTAGCCAGACGCGTTTGATGTTGTGCTGAGTCCAGAATTGCAAGTACACATGACTGCCAGGCTGCCAGCCAACGGCAGTGGGTATGCTGACGAGAACCGCGTCATTCGAGGGCGTCACTTTTGCCTCAACAAAGCCGAGCTTGCCATGCTTCCAAAAGGGCAATATAGCATGAATGAGAAGCACGCGTAGTAAACGAATGGTGCGATCGAACATCCAGACTGCTAGAGCTGCCCATACAAATGGTGCCAAGTCTGGTAGATGCAGCAGAAGGGCTGGTATGATGAGCGCTGCGCTAATAACGTGCACGATTAGATGGACTTCGTAAGCGTAATGGCGAATGACTGCAACAGCGCTCATGACCGTAAAGGCGGTGATGGCGATGGCGCCCCAAATGACGAAAGGTTCGGCCATAGTGGAGCGATAAGCAGCTTGACCGCCGCGCAGAAAGACGAACGAGTAGATGATCGAGTGCAGCAGGGCAAAGATGACGACCATGAACGAGAGCGCATAGTGAGACCACCGCAGGGATTGATAGCTCAAACCAGTCAATAGACCGAGTAGGTTGTTGCGACCCGCAAGCATGTAGATGATAGGCAGATTCACAAAGCAGGCGCGCCCGAATGCCTTTGCGATGTTGCGCAGCGTGCTCGTCTGGTTGCCTGGCGTCACGTCATTGATCTGCCATGCTATCTCAGCCCAGTGCGCTGCAAAGGTGGCCTTGCTCACGACGGCAAAGACAACATTGAGGGCAAGCACACATAGCAGAAATGCCATTCTCTGGATCGTCAGGCCGAAAGCGAGTGGTCGATCGAGCACCGAGACTTGCAAACATCTAAAGACAGCAGCGACGGGTTCTCCTGGCGACTTGAGCCTCTTGTGGCAGACTACTTGCAAAGCATGACGGAGGATGAAAAGAGCACAAAAAGCGCCAAAGACGATGAGGTAGATATCTTGTCGCTCTATCCCGATGTTCAGCTAGTCCAATAGCCATCGAGCGAGCATACCTGTGCGCGAGCTAGCAGCTTGAGCTTGCGTTGCCATGTTTGGTCTGCGTCCTGAAAAGGTGCGGCAGCAATGGCGCGTCAATGCGTCGGCTGATAGGGTGAGAAGTCACGTCAGTCTGTGCGTTGTAGATGCTACGGAAGGACGCTGAGCTGTCCGGTCAGGCCAATGTATTGCGAGTGGCGACTGGAGGCTTGTACCGTCGCTAAGGACTTCGAGGGGTCTGGCTGTTGCTGACTGAGCACGATCAGGCGTTGATGTAGTGATCGATGGCGAGCTCGATGATGGCCGGAGGGGAAACACACAGTCCGGCATCTTGCACGAAAGTGTGGTCGATGATGGGGGATGTTGTGATGTAAGAATGCACAGTCAGGTCGAGACCGCAGCCGCAGCAAGGATTGCCGAGATTGCAGAGACTTGCCAAGCAATTGCGCGCGATCGTCACTTCTGAGGACTGCTTGAATCTTGGATCGCTCAAAGGATGCTATCAATGAGAAGGACGGCCATTGCCAAGGTCTGATGACACGCTGGGTTTGCTGTAGAATTGTCGCCGTCGCGTCCGTCTGCAGCGATAGCAAAGTGGCCAGCACGTGCAGCACCACGCAGCCCAACGATGCCCGACACCGCTGGTCCGCTCCTGCTCCATGCCGATCCTCTGATCTCACTTTCACTCAATCGTAGCCGTGGCTCGAGCCAAAGCGTTTCTACCTGAGCTGAAGGCAGCCAACGCTGCACTGCCAAAAGAGCCAAGCGCAGAGGGCATCAAAGTCACGGCCATTGACAGCGATGACGGCTCACAATCCGATGCTAGCTCAGATACGCCAGAAGGCCACATCGAGATGGTTGTGACTCCCGCGGGACTACACAACGCAGCATTGATGTCAGGATGCAGGAAGTCGCGGCAGGCGTCTTTGAGGAGAGGAAGCCGCCAGTGGCAGCACCCGAGGCCCTGAGCGAGGAAGATGAGTACGACGAAGACGACGAATCAGAGTACGACGAGACGCTGGACATGTGCATACCTGAAGGATGGGCTAGAGTGGCACGTAATAAGGCGGATGCATACGCGCTCCATGGCTGAGCTCCACACAGGAGGTCGAGCCAGGCGTCTTTGACGTCGTCCGAGTCGCCAATCGTAGGAAGCGACACTACTCCCCCATCCAAGAGCCGTTTTCTGACGAAGATGATGATGAAGATGATGACGAAGAACTCGATGACGAGGAAGAGTACGAGAACGAATCAGATCATGATGACAAGCCGCAAGCGGTCTCAAAACGGCCGAAGATTGAAGTCTTGAGCAGTACCTCAGCAAAAAGTAAATGATGACGAAGATGCAATGAGCAACAATTATGTAAGGGTAGCATAAGTGATGTACATCGATCAATATATCGAGCCACCTATATCCGCAGTCTGTCCACTGAGCGTTTCGAACTGATTGTAGTAGCCAGACGCTCCGGGCGTAGGGCCTGTTGCGAGTGATTGCGCAGCACTAAAGGCATCGATTTCTGAGTATAAATATCTGCTTGGTCCCGGCGAAGGCGCGCCGCCGAGCGAGCCGAATGCGGCGAACCAGCTCGAGGGCAGAACGATGTTCGGTGATCCGAGAGCGTAAGTTTGGAATGCATTGGGATCATCGCCAGGTTGCATGAATGTGTTGCTCGAGGCAGAATAGGGCTCGGTGCTTCCGTTCTGGAGTGGAGCGGTGTAGTGCATCTGATCGTTGGGCTGTCCTTGTAATTGCGCGACCGCAACATCGGCAAGCGTGGCGATGTTATTGTTGGGAGATGTTGCATCCCGAACGGAAGAGACATTGTGCGCCATCTTGAGTCGGTTGGCAGGTGATCCATTGAGATGCGAGCGCTTGGCGTTTTGGCTGGCATATCCGTCCGTTGGCCGGCCACCCGCTTGCGCAGCCAGCGTACTGGATATCCTCTCGATGTCGGCTTCGACTTCTGGCCAGCTCCAACCGAGCGAGCGTAACGCATCAAGCATACTGGACACGGCGCACATCAGTATCACTAGGCACACGTGATCAGGCAGCTTACACATTGATCGCTTCTTGCTTGACCTTCCATGTATAACTTGCAGGACCACCAACGTCATTGGTCGGCGCATTGAGCAAATGCCAGGCAAAAGAAGATAGCTGCGCAAAGGTCAACGTCGATCCTACGCCGGCAGAAGCATCAAGGGACGTCTTGACAAGATCAGACATTTCCCGGGCGGCATTGAAAACTCGTATAGAGCTCTCTTCGAGCAGTCTATCGACCTCGCTTATCTTCTCGGCATCCTTCTCCTCCTCGCGCAGGAGCGCCTCTCGCTTGCCACATAAAAGATCGTGCGCCAAGCTAACGAGCGATGACCGTACGTAGCCAGCACTGCGGACCCAGATGTCGAATGCGTCCGGTCGATCTTTGAACAAGATGCGCGCCCGAGAAGCGCAGAACGCGCACAGAGAGGCGCTCTCGTCAACAGACTTCCAGAAGACGCGATAGTAATCTGTATTCAGGCCCGCCTCTCTAGCGGCAGTCGATGAGAGCTCTTGCGCAAATTCTCGAGCAAGGAATGCAAGATGACCAAAAAGGCCTGTGACTGCACTGCGCGAGACATTGATCGGGTCATCGTCATGCAGTGACTGCCAGATCGAATTGAAGTCCATCTGTCCGAGCAGAGGGCCTCCCATGAGATCAAGGTCGGCTTGAGTGAGTAGTGGCATGCGGCCGGAATAGGCGGCACCGATGGCGTCTCGAACGAAACAACCCCACCAGCAGCGACCGCCGCGAATGCTCTGGTAGTCGGCAGATTGCGCTGTGACCGTGTCTGCATCGTCGATGGCGCCACGCATGAGCTCGACAGCAGATGCAAAGTAGTAGCGACCTGATCGCTGACGATGATCACCCCGATCGACGAGATGCTCGAGCAGGATGAGAGCAGCAATAGCCTCGCTGGTGGGTTTGCGTGTTATCTCGACTTCTGCACAGGCCGATATAGCACGATTGAGCATCATGTCGCAGAAAGCCTCGCGTCTCTTGCCCCAGAGCGATAATGACTGTCCCCGACGGTTCTTGAGATCGGCCATTTTTGGCGCGTTGGGTCCCAGAATAGCAGGCGAGTCAGATATGCGTGCGGTGACTGCCTCGAGGACGCAACAGACAGCAGCGCTGATAGGACCCATCGCTTGCGGATCACATCCGGCTTCGTCATACTTTGCCTGAAAGTCATTCCAGGATATGATAGGAATCTGAAGCGTCGAGTCTGCAAAGTAGCAGCTGAGCAAATGCGAGCTGAGAGAGTCCGCCAGCTGGTGCTGCACGATGCGAGCCTCGACATCTCTCGCGCTCAGACCGGGCCGACGGATGATGGGCATCCTCGCAGGTGGATCATTGGGCGAGTGAGGCGAGACTGCAGATGTAGAGGCAACGGGACTGTCACCCTCTGCGCGCTGATCGGCGCCATAGATTGCTTTGGCTTGCTCGATGAGCTTGCCGGAACGTGACTGCTTGGGCTTGCTGGACACATATTGGTAGGTACATGCGATCGCCTTGGCCGCGCAACCATCACATTTTTGTTGTCCCGCCTGCCTGTCGCACTTGACTCGACGCAGCCGGCATGCATCGCAGCTCGAGTTCTGCACCCTGCGCTTCTTTGTGGGCACGCTCGAATCCTGACCGGTGTGCTCTGGCGAGGTTGACTTGAGCTTCGCGCTCATCTTGGCCTTGCTGCCGCCTCGGACTTGCTGCTCGGCTCAGGATCGGCTAGTAGGTCGGCAGTGCCTAGCTGGGGTCAGCAACGTCCTTGGACGATGCACTCGAGCGTTGTCAGTCGTTGCAGCTACGCTCAGTAGACAGAGTGTGCGCCGACTTGCTTCCCCCGAATTGAGTCTCTGGCAGGGCCGAGCCCGGATCAGCTCACTTTGGTCTTGGTATGTGACACGTGTCACTTCAACGCCGCACTTTCGGATCAGCGCCTAGCCGTGCTGCTGAGCTCATGCGCATTACGCATGTCTCCCGACGCAGTCTACGGCCTATCATATCGCATATGTCGAGTCCTCACCGCAGCGTCAATGCCGCAGCCGCCGACATTGACAGCTCTGCCAGCGAGCTAATCGAGCCAGAGCCTGCAGCTCGACCAGCGCTCGCATCCGGACGGCGGCCAGCAACAGACCTGGCTGCTGCATCACTGCGCACATCACCAACTCATTCGTTCACTGCTGGGTCTCAGCGGCTCACCACCGAGCCTGTAGCGGAATTGTCGTCTCTGCAAGCAAAAGTTAGCTCATTGGATCTGTCAATCGCTCGACCAGAGTCTGCTGCTGTTCTCTCGCGGCCCGGTGCACGAGCGAGAGCGCGTTCAGCCAGTTTGGAGACTGTTGAGCGTCTTGCTCGCGCGCACAGACTGACTAGAAACGAGAATGCTGGACGGCTGGCTGGTGAGGCGCGTCATGCGAGTACGAGCGCAGCCCTGACCGCTGCGCAAGACCTGAGTGCATCCCTCAGGGATGCGATCAACACCGATCTGCCGCCTGCTGACGTCTCTGGCTCGCCTAAGCTCGAGATCAGCAAGACGACCGATGGCACTTCGTCGCCGCTACCCTCTTTCGAGAATTGGTACGATAGTATAGTCAAGCTGGTCGACGACAATGTCAAACAACTGAGGGGGAAACCCGAACCGGCAGACATGCCCGTCGAAAGGCAAGATTCGGTCATGCAACTCCTTGCCGGCAAGCAAGCCGTGCGTGAGAGTACCAGCTTCGACGGCAATTCGCTACTTAGCGAAGCCCTGCAGCGGTCGCCCGAACGAGCTGGCTTTGCAACTTTGGAAGCGCCGACGCCAACTTCACTATGGCAAGCGCTTCTCGGCTCTGCTGAGAATGAGATCAAAGGCGAGTCCGATCATACCCAGAAGCGCTACATGGACGACGAGGACCAACAAGACGGAGAACCTGCCTGGTCGACCATCAAGGAGCGCTACGATAAGCCGCGCTACCCAATGGTCTTTGCACATGGTCTCTTCGGCTTTGACAAGCTAGGACCAAAGTCAATTCCTCATTTGCAGATTAGCTACTGGCGCGGCGTCAAAGAGGCTCTGGAGGAGCTCGGCGTTGAGGTACTAGTGACCACTGTGCCTGCCTCGGCAAGCATAGAAACTCGAGCGAGAGCGCTTGCTGCCTTTATCGAAGAACACATGAAAGGCCGGGAAATCAATCTCATTGGACATAGCATGGGAGGACTTGATTGTCGCTTCCTCGTCACGCATCTACAGCCTACAACGTTCACAGTCAAATCGATCACAACGATAGCCACGCCTCATCGAGGTTCGCCGTTTGCAGATTATCTCTTACATGACATTGTCGGCAGTGAGTGGCTGCTTTCCTTACGCTACGCAGCGCTGATGAACATCCCAGAGGACAACGTGCGAACGTTGCAGAAATTGACAGACGCCGTCGGCATACCCGGCAACGGAGATGCATATGAGCAGCTTACGACAGGCAAGATGGCCGCCTTTAACGAAGAGACGCCCAATCGGGAGGATGTGCAATATTTCAGCTACGGCGCTGCCTTCTCACCTGGATACTTTGACATCTTTCGCCTCCCTTGGTCCGTCATCAACAGAGAAGAAGGTCCAAACGATGGTCTCGTCTCTGTCTCGTCATCCAATTGGGGCAACTACCGCGGAACGCTAGAGAACGTCAATCACCTCGATCTTGTCGGGCATCTTGGCAGGATTCGCTATGCATTTGCTCAGTGGTCTGGGCACAAGATCAAGTATAAGCCTATCAGCTTCTACTTGCACGTCGCAGAAATGTTGCATAATCACAATCTCTGATCGCACATCAGCAAATGTTGTTGCTACTCTGCATGCAATGGTGCACATCTAGCATGTCTAATAATCGTATGGGTGCGAACTTTCGAAATAGTCGCCGTCCAGATCGAGCTGATCAATGGGCGAGTGATGCTCGATCGTCTCCATGCCCGGTATGGAGCAAAGCGATGTCCAGTCTTGAATGCGAGAGTAAGTTTCTTGAGCATCTTGCGAGCGATATGTATCCTCGAGACCCTGAGCAGGCCACGGAACGCGCGGCGTCGAGTCATTGTCATCGAATTGTATCAGGTTGGGTATCGTCAGACTGAGACGAGGTAGCTGATCGGGCGAAACTTGATCCGTCTGCTGATATATGTCGTGAGAATCTGCGGATGTTGCGTCATATGCAAAGCTGGAGAAGTTCGGAAACGGCATATTGGGGAAGTACGAATCACGTTCCTCTTGAGCCTCTCCGTGATTGGCATCAAGGTTGAGTTCTAGTGAGAATAGATCAGGCAGCGTATCAGAGCTGAGCAGAGGCGCAGCGAGCTGATGCTCTTCGTAATGAGGAAAGTCTATGGCCTCGATCTCGGCCGTCAGAGCTTCGACGTGCTCCCCCGCTTCACCTCGTTGCCAGCCTAGCTTCTTCAGACCATCTAGGAACCTGCGGAAAGATCAGACTTGCTCAAAACTTTGCGGAAAAGGACTTACTGAGTGGCCAGAGCAGTCCTTTCAGCTGCAGTGTAATCAGATGGGCCTCCTTCGTGAGCAAGCGGTGTCTTGAGTACGTGCCGAGCAAAGCGGACGAGGCAGATGCAGACATCGCCGCCGAGAGGCGTGCAAGCAGGATCAAAATCATTGTTCTGTAATGCCTTCGCAGCGTATCGACTGAAGGCGAAAGTACGAGCGGCAGATTCGAGTATGAGGTCGTCTAATTCGATCGTTACGGGATCGGACTCTGACGCGCCTGATGCACGACGGTTGGCAGCGACACGAATGAGCATCTCGTCCGTGACTGCAACGAGGGCAGCTAGGCAGAAGTTGCAAGTCCGGATCCAAGTATCGAATGCGACGCGAAAGTCCGGGTAAAGCTCGCGCCAACGTAGCTGACAGATCTCGAAGAATGTGAAGCATTGATCGGCTTCTTCGTAGAACGACCTGATGAACTCGATCTTCAGACCGCCATCGCGCCGAGCCACAGGGCCGGATACTTGCTCGCAAAAAGCACGAGCCAGCATAGCGACTGAGCCAAAGATCGTCGCGGCGCACGTCAATGTTGGCGGTCTGCCGTTGTTCGCAATGTCTGCGCGGACTTGCGCCAGATCGGTGGTAACGAGCCAAGGACAGAAAAAAGAAATGTCGCTGCTTGATAGTTGACAGGGACGGCCAAAATACGCGGCCTGAAGCGCGTCGTGCAACAGAACATGACAAAATGCTTGCCCGTTGCTGACGAAACGAGCTTCACGCTCGAGCCTTGCCTGCGTATCGCCTTCTGCTGTCGAGATACTGTCTGCGACTGCGCTGGTCTCTGCCAGTGCTCGAAGCATCTCTATGAGCGCTGCAGAGTAATGCCTCGCTTTGTGACGGCGCCCAGGAGTAGGTGCATTCTCAATCAGGTTCTGCAAGAGGAACAGAGCGCAGACGTTTTCGATCGAAGGAGTGTGCATCGTGCCTTTACTGTCGATGATTCGCATCGCGCGACTGCCCATGAGGTCGACAAAAGTCTCGCGGGCGAGCCCGTATTGTGCTAGCGAGATGGACTCGTGACCAGACAGCGATGATAGACGAGGACCCTCCCCTATGATGCTTGCCGAGTCTGAATAGCGTGCCGCGACTGCCTGAACGACGACGCAGAGCGCCTCGCTGTCGCCCATTTCGGCAACGTTGCGATTGGCGCCTTCGAACTCCATGTGCAGACGAGCAAAGTCAACAAAAGGGAAACGTGCGTGCACCGTGCTCGAATAGACGTCAAGCAAATGAGAGGCTAGCATCGAGGCGCTTTCGCTAGGCATAGAGATGCCCGTGTCGGAGTCGCTCAGACCGAAGCTATCTGTACGCTGCTCGCCATATAGAACGCGAGCCTGATGTATGCGCTTGCCAGCACGAGCTGTCTTTGGTAGCTGTATCGAGCGCATTAGCTTACCTTGCTTTGTGCTATAGCAGCAAACGCACCTTGTTGGAAACATAGATGCTCGTGCACGCAATACCCTTCTTCTGACATTCCACACAGATGCTTTCGCCGGGCTCTCTGACACATTTGACCCGACGCAATCTGCAGGAGTCGCAAGCACATAGTTGCTTGCGTTTAGTCTTGGTCGGTTTCTTCTTTCTGTCACCATCGAACGAAAGTATAGTGGATAGCTCTGGAGAAGTGGGTGCCGTATCTCGCTCGAGACTGCTTGCCCAGCTTGAGACTGACAGTGAATCTGGCATGATGAGAAATGTGGACGTTGTGCAGCAAGAGCGAGCGTTAAGAATGATCGCTTTGAAGGGTGATGGCAATCAGGCACGATGGGATAAGACGGCAGGGGTGGCCCCTGGCGAGGAAGCATTGCTACCGACGAAAGGCCCCGGACGATGGGCACACGGACCCGTCAGGTCGTCGCGCACTGGTCTCGCGCGGGCAAAGCTGGAGCAAGGACCGTCATATCTCAGGGGGGCGACGCCATGGCTGACCTGTTGGTAGCAAACAGCCCAATATGTTCTGCAATGCTGATCGAGGACATCTGGCTAGTCTGCGATGATGCATAACGTGTTTTGTTGCCGCAGCGAGTTTGCACAAGCACACGAAGTCCATAGATGCAAAGCGAAGTCTGGGAGCGGTGCAGTATATAGAATAGATGGCCGGTCTGATGGATTATAGAGGAGTGATGGCCTGACCATGGCTTCATGCCAGAACGCGGTCGTACAATTGCTGGCTTGCCAACGGCATCGTCTCGCGTCGGGTCACAAGATAGGCAGATGCCACGACACTCGATGGCCAAGGTTCCATAGCGATGGCGCAAGAAGGTGCATCAGCCCTTGCCAGTACAAGTGGGGCAACGGCAGTCTGCCTCGAGCAAGAGGATATCACATTTCCAGTCTCCATCCTCACACGACTCGTGCCTGCGGGTAGCACTGCACGAACCAGTCCGACAGAGCTCGCTTCCTTTCCTCAGCGGAAGCAAGACACATGTCAGGTCAAGCGAGGCACGCCCCTGTTCACGTATGAATATACAAAGCGAGTCAAGCAAGATGCGAGCAATTCGGCCGCCAAAGGCAAAATGCGAGAGGTTGAGTATGTAGACCAGCGTCTGGTAGCCACGTACGAGTCAAGACTGGAGGGACAGCTCATCCAGTGGAAGTGCAAAGAGGGTCAAAGGATAGCAGGTCCACAGTGAGCAGACCGAGCTCTTGACAACGCGCACAACTCATGCGTGCGCAGAATCGAGCTCCTGAGCATAGCAGAGCCCTGCACTCACTACGTGCAGCTGCACGGTCTTTGTGCGATATGCGGAAAAGATCTCACAATGTACGCATCATCTATAGTATCGCTCAACCTCGATGAACCCATGTGCGTGCAGACCTGACTTTACGGGCGTATCCGACACTGCGCGCGCAAACATACGCATGGTCCACGACCGTGTCGGTCTGACGGTATCCGAACAAGAAGCTGCTCGACTCGAGGACGCAAGCACAACGCGTCTCAGGAAAGCCAAGAAGCTCTCCCTCATTGTTGACTTGGATCAAACGATCATCCAGGCCACCGTCGACCCGACAGTAGGCGACTGGATGCGCGACGGAACGAATCCGAATCACTCTGCACTGAAGGATGTGTGCGTCTTCAAGCTGGGTACACAGGAAGACAAGGAAGTAGTCGCAGACGTGGATGGCTGCTGGTATTACCTGAAGCTACGGTCAGTCGCACTGCTTCATCTTGGAAGAGTAGCACTCACGTGTACAACCACAGGCCAGGATTGCAAGCCTTCCTCCGCAAGATGGCAGACCTGTACGAGATGCACGTCTACACGATGGGCACACGAAGCTACGCCATGGCAGTTTGCAGAATCATCGACCCAGATGGCACATACTTCTCCACCCGTATCCTCAGCCGCGACGAATCTGGCAGCCTGACGCGGAAATCTCTCGAGCGTCTCTTTCCTTGTGACACAAGCATGGCTGTCATCATCGACGATCGATCTGATGTCTGGCATTGGTCTCCAAACCTCGTCAAAGTCGAGCCGTTCGAATTCTTCGTTGGCGTCGGCGATATCAACGGCGCCTTCTTACCGCCGACAGATACAAGCGACGCAGCACCTCTGCCCACGGCAATAGCGCCGCAGAATCTGCAGCAAGCTGCAAACGGCGCAAGTGAGATCACCGCCGAAGAGCAAGATGCGCTCGAACGAAGAGATCTGGAAGCAAAGGCGCAGAAAACAGCGAGCGCGCTCAAAGAGCAAGTAGCGGATCGTCCCTTGGCCAAGAAGCAGCTTGCACTAGATGCAGACATTGCAAAAGGGACATCGGAGCACAGTGACTCAGCAGCTTCGTCCGAAGCGAGCGCCTCGCCCGAGATCCAAAACGCTGCCGTTCTGAAAGATACCGATGCGGAGCTGTACCGAATTGAACAGGTCGCTGATTCTTCGTTTGTCTGCTTGAATTTCTACTGACACTGCCTGCAGCTGCTCCTCAAAGTTCACACAGACTTCTATGCCGAGCAGAGCTCGCAAGATGTCAAGCTCATTATACCCAACATCAAAGAAAGCGTCTTGCGAGGCTGCAAGATTGCTTTCTCAAGCATGATACCCCTAGGCACAAACCCAGAAGCAGCAGATATCTGGAAGCTCGCAAAGATGTTTGGCGCTTACTGCTCGAGCGATGTGAATAGCAAGACAACCCATCTCGTTGCTCGCAACCCTGGTACCGTCAAAGTCCAGCAAGCACAGAAACGGCAAGATCTACACGTTGTCTGGTCGAATTGGCTCGTACGATCTGCCGCTCTTTGGCAGCGGCAGCCCGAACGCGAGTATCTCATGCCCAGAGGCAGCGACGCACTGCAAAAGGCGGCTGAGATCTTCGTATCGTCCGTGTCGACTGACAGCGAAGACGAAGACGAGCCTTCAGAGCTTCTGGTGGACTCTCTGGATAGGAAGGCCTGGGACGATGCAGATGATGAGGTAGACGCCTTCCTCAACGAAACTGACGACGACGATGACGGATCGATCGACGGCAGCACCCGCAAGCGTCCAAGGTCGTCGGCGAGCTCATCTTCGAGTGTTCGTGAAGCGACCGAATCCCCATTGGTCAAACGACAGCGTCAAGCAAAAGAGCGTTTGGGCAAATCCCAGCTCAAATCTGTCACATTCGGCGAGCAAACAACATTTGCTCCGGAGGACAGATCGTCAGAAATGGCCTCAAAGGCTCAATCGCTGGCCAGCACTGACGACGATGACGACTTCTTAGATAGCTTAGCAGCTGATCTGGAAGCCGAATTTGTCACATGACATGCAAAGTGATGATGAAACAAAGCGTGCCATGACTCAATGAGTCTTTAGCCAGTCTAACATCTCGCGCAGCACGTTCTGCCTCCGCTGATCGTCTGCGGTGTCATGTCCCTTGCGCAAGAGCATATGCTCGTAGCCCTCAAACAGCTTGATCGATTTGTCCTTGCTGCTCGCTCGATCATGGAGACTCTGGCTGCTCTTGTATCCGATCACACGATCGCCCGTTCCGTGTATGACCTTGAAGGGAAGCGAGAGCTTCTCGATGCTGGCCATACATTTGTCTATACCTGCAATGATGGCAATGCCGGTTGCTATGCGAAGCTTGCCATGATAAGTCTGCGGGTCCGTCTGGAACTCTTGCTCGATCGACTGATCCTCGGAATTCTTGCCCTTGTTCGCATCTGCAAATGGCAGACGACCGAAGAAGTAGGCAATCGATCTTCCTGCATACTCGACCAATAGCGACGGTCTTGACTCGGGCGCAATAGACAGCATCGGGCAGAGAAAGAGCGCTCCGTCAAACGCAGGATTGTCAGGCCGACCTGGCTCAGTCGATCGAGGCGGCTGATAATGCACAAGGTAATACACGGCGACGAAGCCGCCGAGAGACTGTCCGCTCAGTATCCGGGACCTTTTTGCCGCTTCTACATCGCTGACATTTGCCTTCTTGGCGTCATGCTTGACGGTATCGACTAGAGCGGCGTGCAGGCCTCTGATCAGTAGCGCCATGTCGGGTACATGGACGTGCAGACCAGTTGATCTGCCATGAGAGGGCAGATCGACCGTGATGACGCGATACCCCGCTTCCAGAAAGGGACCGGCATGCTCTGAGAACTTGCTGCCATAATCATTGATGCCATGGCAGAAGACAAAGTCGGCTTGGATGCCCTTGTCCTTGCTCGCTGCTTCGTCCTGCCATGTCTATACGTCTATCTCAGACTTGCTGTCGCGAGCTGATGCTGACCTGCTTACCTGATAGGAGATCCAGTCCTGTGTCAAGCTAGGCTCTGGGCTATTTTGGTCCGCCTTGGCTTTGAGCGTCGAGCCTTCGACGAGTACTTTGCCGTCTCTGATCGTATATTTGCCGTTCTGACGGATGCTGTTCTCGAGAGGTGAGCGAGGCAGAGCAGCTCGTCCGTACGTCGGATCGTCTACTTTGTAGCCCAACAATGCACGAACAGGGTCGCTCACACAGCTTCGCAAAGTGCTCTGGACTGTGTGAGGAGCTTTGATGGCGTAGTACGCTTTCGACGCCGCATCGCTTGGGACCTGCCAATCTGGATAGCCCATCCTCTCGTCCTGCGAGAGAGCGAGAGCACAGTGGCAAGCGGCTGTGTAAACAGGCTCGGGCTGGAGAGTGCTGTGGGTGTGTGAGTACCTGCGGAGTCGTCGGCGCGCGCGTCAATGCCAGATATAAGTTGCCTGCCAGCTGCTCGATGCGCTTGCGTTGGCAGGCCTTACTGGCGCTCGTCTCAGCAGCCGCTCTCATCAGTGCAACTCAATTCGTCATGTCAGAGCACGAAGAGACTTGCGCAAAGCCGCTCGCACTGCCAGCAGCGCCCAGTACGCTCAAGTCAGTTGATGACGACATCAAAGCTGAGCAGGGGCCCGCAGGTCATACTGAGGCACCCCAGACGATCGAAGTGAATGGGCAGGCTTTCTCTTTGTTCGACTCGATGGGCCCGACGGTCGTCAACAAGGATGGCACTCTTTCGCGTATCACAGGTAATCGCCTGTCCTGACGTGTCAGGGACAGCTTGCTGATTGTAAGACACAGACTGGGCAGAGAAGACGCCCAGAGAGCGAGCAAACATATTGCGCATTCTTGGTAAACGAAATCAGCTTCGTCTCGACGACCTCAAGCAATGATCGCGCATTCCAAGGTGTTGTTGTAGCAAAGCGCATGCATGTCCATCGAGACAAATCTAGACGACGACCTCTTCCACTTCATCGATGATCTCCTCAACCCATTCCTCGACCACCTCCAGAGCACCATCGTCGGCTGTGGTGTCCTTGAGCGGCTTGCGACCGAGTTGCTCACGCTCCTCTTCGAGCTCTTCGATCGTATTGCGTCGCCAAGCATTCCATTCTTGTATGAGTCGGGCTCTGAGCGCGACTTGCTCCGCGGACACGTTGGACTCCTCGAGCTGATCTTGTTCCTCGAACTGCCGTCCGTACTCGCGCAAATTACGCCTAATCTTCTGTTGCATCTCTTTCGTGAGCAGCGTACGCGGTCGCGGTCGCCAGACGAGCTGCTTGAATTTATCCACCGTCTGCGCTGCGAGCTGGTTGCCTTTGAAATCGAACAATGCAAAGCTTGGCTCCATCTGTACGCCAGTCAGCTATGCGCATAACGCAGCAGCACAGACATACCGAGCCAGTCCAGATACTTCCACTTGTGGCGACATAACGTCCACTGGGATCCCAGTCGACAGTAGTCATGCCGTATTCCTCAATAGCCGTGAGGAGCTGTATGTTGACGCCAGGCTCATTGAGATCTGCGCCGCTAGCCGCTTCCAGCTCGGTGTCCCAGAATTCGAGGTCGAATTTGGTCGATGAGCCTAATGTCGCCAGAACAACGAAGCGACCTTTTGGCGACCAGAAGACTGTGTTGACCAGCCTTTTCTCGATTGTCTCTGCAGATTGGGCTCGCAGTAAGTCTCGGGCAGGAGTCAGTGAGTGGGGAACGTACTTTGTAGCACAAAGTTGCCCTTGCGCGTGTCGAGCTGATGGAAGAGGACGCTCGTTGCAAACGAGCCTGGTGCACCTCCGATGACATTGGGATCGCTGCTAGTGATCATGACGAATCGGGATCCTTTGGGCTCCCACGCAAAAGCTGTCACTGTGTCCTTGATCTCCTTCACTTCGACTGGGAAGTCCTTTTCGCGCAATCGGAAGATTTCGAGATTGCAGAACATGGTCTTCTTCGTCTTCGAATGCCTGTCGACCTTTACGCATAGATAATCGCCTTCAGACTGCCAATGCAGCTTGCACTGTCAAACCGAGTGACGTTGAGCTCATGACTCACGGAGACCTGATGACCTACATCGGAGACCGACACCAAATTTCGTGAGCGCAGGATGGTGCGCGAGGGCAGTGCCATGAGGCTGACGCGGGCGGGCTGGTTCTGCAATTCCGGCACCCAAAAGGCAATGACGTTCTCTCTGACTTTCTTGGCCTTGGCGGGCGCTTTCGACGTACTCGCCTGCGCTTCTTCCTTCGAGTCTGCAGCGTCGGCCTCTCTGTCCGCTTCGCTCATGGGCGACCATTCGAAATCGACGACACCTTCGATCTTGACGCTCTTCTTGTCAATCAAGCCCATCGAAGGAGCTTCGTAGACGCTGATCTGCTGGCCAGGGGTAATGCGAGCAAAGTATTTCTCATCGGGCGACCACTTGAACATGGGCCAGAAGATTTGCCTCTTGCCGGCCTCGTTCGTCGTTGGATCTGGAATCATGGCAAACGACCGCAAGAGCTTGCCCGTGACGACATCCCATATACAGACATGGTTGCCCTCGTCGTCTGCCGTCCAGGGATTGGGCGCTCGAGGATCTGTCGGGATCTCGATAGGGCGCGGGGACCATGTGACGAGGTACCGTTCGTTGGGGGAGAAATCGATGAGCTTGGCTTCGTTGTGTGGGAAGCGATTGACTCTGTCGAATTTGGGACCACCCCAAAGCACAATACCTTGCGCATGCACCGTCGCGAAGTAGGTGCCAAAGGGTGACCAGCTCGTATATGATTCTGTCCATTTCTATAAGTACGTCGCGAGGGACCACGTCAGTGACGCAGCAGAATCAGGATCAGGCAGACTGACCTGACGCTGGTGATCGAGCTCCAGGCTGCCGGTCCGATTGGCCCAGTGAATCTGGACATCGTCGCCTCTGTATAGGACAACCTGATCTCGACCGGCAGTGTCGGCAAGCCAGGACCTGAGATGATCCTTGGGCACGTAGGGCTCTTCGGGAGGATCTTGCCACTCTTCTGTGGTCTTCAGGACACGCTCAACATCGTCGAACGTCTTGACGGCGAGAGTATGTTTTTTGTCGAAGGCGAAATTGTCGAGAGCTCGAGCGGCATTCTGTGCTATTGCAGGTGTCGCAAAGGTCACAAACACCAGTCTGTACTCCCTCTGAGCTCCAGCAAGCGATTTCGCTGGACAGAAAGAGCGCTGACCCTTTTGATTTTGGGTCGTCGCCCTCTGTCATGGGCATGTCCATATCTTTGGTCTCGACGGAGATGCCTCGCTCATTGAACCTCTTCTGAATCGCACTGAGCAGCTTAGCACGTCTCTCTGGTCCAACGACGGGTGCGCCATCGATCAAGACGGCAGAAGCGAGCGGTGAGGCATAGTGAGGTGTGTACCTGCAATTTTCCTGTTCAGCCATTCTCTTCCCTGTCCGTATCCGCGTTGAGCTTACTTTTGCTCGATATCGCTATAGTCTATCTCCTCCTCGTCTGCTGCAGCGTGATAGCCGTTCACGCCGTTCACTGGGCCTGGCATTTCGCTGTGGGAGCCTCGGTTCGGATTTCTAGCCACTCTCTTTGCCTTCGCGACGCGCCCAGGCTCAGGCTATCGAGACAAGGTAAGCGCCAATCAGAGACTAGAACAACAACACAATGACGACACAAATCCGACTATCTGTCGTTGCCCGTCGCTCTGCGGGTCTGATTGGGATTTCTGCGGTAGCCAATGACGGGCAGACCGTCCTTGCCGACCTGATCGTGCTGGTCTGCCCGACGGCCCTTGGCATGATGACCCATCAGCATTGCAGGCTCCCAATCGAGTGTGGCATTCGGTCCGCCTCTGGCGATCGCTTTCGCGAGTGCCTTGTCTTCTTTGGCTTTCAGTATCTCTGCCCGTCTTAGCCCCCGTTGGTACTCCTTCTGGTCTTCCCGCAAGATGAGGGTTGCTCCATTCTGTTGCTTCGATTGGCTTGGCTTGGCTGATCCTGGCTTGGGCGAAGGTATGCTGTAGATCGTACCTCTGTTGCGATATTGGAAGTTCTTCTTGAGATGCAAGATGTAGCCTCGTGGGTTGTCCGGCGAAGCAGGGACATATGTGATCGAAGTACGCAGGAGCGTATCGTTTCCGCAAGAAGGGCAGAACTTCTTCGCTGGATCTTTACACAACCTTTTGCCTCGTCTGAGTGTCTATTGTGTATGGCAGGAGAGAGGGAGACTTACTTGAAGCAAGCATGACAGCGCAAGATCCAGGTCCTCACTTCCGTGACCAGCTTGCCGGCGGATCCAAGTACGTTGAGACCCATCTGGAGCATCACGTTCTGCATAGCATAGTCGCCCGTCATACAGGCCGATTTAATCTTGCCGTCTCGGAGCGTATCGGTCGATCCTTGCTCGGTCTGCGCCGCTAAGGTGCCAAACAGGCCCTGATCGCGTACTTTGTGCTGTATGACGTTCTCTGGAGTGATCCAAGAACCAGCAGATGAATCTGACTCGTCGCCGCTGTGTTCACCCTCGTTCGAAGCACTGGCGACGAGCGCAGGCTCGGGCTCGGATGACCTGCCGCTTTCGTCACGATGGTCACCCTGCTCGGGGACATGGCCGTCTGGATGTACGTCATCTTGCAGGATCGATCTGTGCTCAGAAGGAGGGCTATGCGATGATGTAGAGGCTAGCGGAGAGCCGGACTGCTTCGCCCGCCAAGCGGCCTGCTTTCTCTCTGCAAGTCTAGCTTTCTTTGCTGCCTTGTCGAGCTCAAACTGGCTTGGCTTGCCTGGCTCGGGTCGGACTCGATACAAGCCATTCTCTTGAATCTCGAGCGTTAGTGTCAATGCGATGATACGAATGTCTTCCTTGCTGAGCACGGCAATATCGCCAGTGAGCTTAGCGAATGAAGTGACTGTCGTGATCCCTCTGTCAGCGCTGGCAAGAGCATCACGGCACAAGCTCGCCTTTCAGAAGCGCTTCTGCAGACGGCTCTTGCGTTTGCAGACCAGTCTTCTCTGCTCCCACGTCTCCGAGACCGAGGTAATCTGTATCTTGCAGCAAATCCCGACTCGTCTTATCTCTGATCTCGTTGAGCACATCTTGCGTCGTCACATACGTGATCGCTCTGCCCCTCAGCGATGCAGCCGACGTCTCGATGAGCGGCGCTGCGTCGAGCACCAGGTACTTGACTCGGCTCATTCCTCAGCTTTTTCCGAATTTCTGCCGAGGCAATTCGGTCTCGGTCCTCCGCGGGGGCAGGAGCGTGACGTGTCAGATGAAATTGGCCATAAAGCGCGTGCTCGACTCTTGCACTCACTCACCGCCGGCACGACCCAGATCGACATCACGGCGACCAGATCTGGCGGTATAGTCGCGCCAAAGTCGTGCGATGATCCGCAAGGTGAAGCCTGGAGACTTGCTACCTCAAGCCAGACGACGAAGGGAAACGTTTCATCGAGTGGGCATGCAGAGCGAAGAGTGAATGCCTACGGTTGGTTGGAACAACAAGAGGCACACTCTCCTGCGATGATGAGGAGCGGCTCGGCAAGATGATGGCAACTGCGTTCGGGACTCTTCAGAGAGGCCAATGTGTACGGCCTCCGAGGCAGGTTGGCTACATGTCACGTGACGAGGGACTACCGTATGAAGGTGATGAAGCGATCATGTGCTTGCCGACGACTCGTGACATGCGCCATTGCATGAGGGACTGTAATAAGGAGGCGCATTTGCTCGTCGGGCTAAGAACGCGGTCGACAAGAAGACGACAAGTCACTCTCGGATCTTGCCACCACGCTGGGCAGCGGAAGCAGGACTTGCAGACTGCTCGCGATGATGCTCCTACGCCGTGATCGGGCAGCGACGCAGGAGTCACTCGGGACGAACGATATGCTTTGTTGCTCACCGCTTATTACACGTCTAATCGGAAGTTCTCAACTTCGTCGGACGAGATTGTGACATCCGACATCGACTCTGCCAAAGCGAAGAGCTCGAGCTGGACGACAAGAACGGCAAGGAATGGGAGGGAGGCAAGCACGCGACACCAGCGAAACGTCTCTCTCACGCTCGTCTCCGTCAGTCTACTCTCCTATGTCATCTTCACACACTTGCTAACATGCTCGTCTCTTCGGAGCAGATCAAGCATGCGGCCTGCCTCCGGCATTCTACGCGCATAGTGGCAAATGCATACATGTTTTCTGCTACACTGACACCATGTCGGCTTCGTGTGCGATGTGGGCGGTATTGCTCTTCCGTTCATATCCACGTCGGAGCAGCCTTCTGCTGCAGAGGGACATATTTTGGCTTGCACCACTGCCCAAAGTCGAGCAGAGTGCCTATGTGCGCTTTTCGTTCTTGCTGCAGCCCGGGTGGATCTCGTGAATGTCAAGTCTCGGTAGCTGATTTGTGCTTGTTCAAGATTCACATAGCCTCGTGTGTGCCGTTGCCAAGCTATGTAGAGACGGGACTGTCTCCCATACTATTCCCACGCTATGCGCACAAGCTGATCGTTGTGCCGCCCTGCATCATTGATGTGACGGCTAGTGTCTTCGTTGACGGATTTATGTTCTAAAGGCCTTTGCGCGTCGCGAGTCTTTCCTGACGAAAGCTTGCCCGTCCTGCACTGAGCGTCGTCATAGCCGACTTCGCCGATCGTGTGGTGTCTGACGTTCGGATGTAGCAGCCGGCAGAAAGACATCTTCGTGGTGGAGTGCATGGGAGATGAGCTTTCGCCTCGAGAGCTGTCCGGGCGCTCGTCGCTCAAAGTCAGGCGAGCCGTAAGCTATCGTCGCCACTTCAATCAGTATATCACTGTGAACAGCCAGAGTCTTAGCTCCTTGCTTCCACCACAGTCTTGGAATATCTTACGCGGTGAAACCAATGATATGCTGACGAGCGTTCTCGAAGCGATGCATCCTGTAGGGCGCGTTTCTGTACCACGGCATATCGTATTGCATCCGGTACGGCTTCTTTCCTTGCGCAACAAGGGGTGGAACGACATCTGTGACATGGCTTTGAGGGGTGTTCTGTATGAAACCTTGCAGCGGATGCGAAAAGACAGCAGAGACCTCAGCAGGGTTGAGCTTGCTTTGTATCGACGAGTCGAGAACGAATACGACGACGGGGGTGACAATCAGACACGACCGGGTGAGGAACGGTCGTAAGCTCGTGAGGTACCGCACCGAATGCGTGTTGACGGGTAGACCGATCTCCTCAAAAGCCTCTCTTCTTGCAGTATAGGCGAGATCGAGATCTGCCGACTACAAGGCCATGGATGAGCTGCGGACAGGCATTGCACAGCAGGCAGACTTGCCTCCATCTTGCCTCCTGGTAGAGCGACTTCGCCGGGCTGAGTCCAGCATTGGCGTCAGCTCACAGTGTGTGCAGGTCAGCACTTGACTCACATGTGCGCGCATATCTGCTGCTCGAGTAGACAGGACAACACGCAGATGTCCTCGTCTGCCTGCAAACAGCGCCACGAGTACTGCCGCCCGTCGTCTCATTGGCCACTTATCAGGTCCGGCCTTATAGCGAGACAGCCGCCGCAGAGCGCGCAAAGAATCGGCGGTCAGAGGCTGCAGGTCTAGCGGTGCGTCATCGTCATCCTCTTCGTCTTGGGTGAGCGGGCGCTCTGTCCGACGGGGATCATCCTGTGGAAGTGATCCTATCGTCTCGTAATCATCGTTGTCAAAGTCATCCTTAGGTCTCATGGCAAGTTTCCGTCCGCAAAGCGATGGATGGCATGCGATCGAAGCGCGTCCAAGCAAACGCGGGGTACCACTCATTGCATGGAGGCCTGTCGAGACACGCTCGCGCTATGTAGATCAGGAGGAGCAGGACTGCTCGGTCTGTCCTTGCCAAAGAAGGATCGCGGCGATGCTCTGCCAGATCCACGCTTGGTCGAAGATGGTAATTTGACTTTCTGGGCAGTAGTCACCAAGTCCTGTCATACCGGTCAATGAGCCGTTTCGATCACCAGGAGATCCGCACCTGTATCATCGAGTTATATGTCACCTCGTCGACCTGCAGCGACTCTCTGGCTTCGAGCAGCTTCGTGAGTGCCTCGCTCGCGTTCTCTGATAATCTGCAAAGCTCGTTCCGGTGTGACTTCAATTTAGTCGCGTCGAGCCGATTGAGATGCTCTGGCGTGAGTGACAGTAACGTTTGAGCACGGTCCCGCCGCAGCGTCGACGCAACGAGCGCTTCTGGCGAAAGCACCGTGCGCTTGGATCCCGCTTTGCCTGTGCGACGATATTAGCCGATGATGACAAAGGAGCTCATGCTACTCGCCTTGCGTCGCCGGACGCTCGGATGGTAGTATCAGCGTTGCGACAGGCTTCTGTGCGGGTTGAGTCATCTATCCTGACGCTCAGTAATGTTCCATCAAAAGGTGGAAACGCAAGACCTCATCAAGGTTGATAGGTATGCCAAGAGCAATAAAGAAGTCTCGGCGTATCCGTGATCGTTTCCAGTCGAGTGGTGGGCCTAGTGGAGGACGTGAGAGTTGTGCGTACAGCTCCCGACTGTGCCATTCAGATCAGCGCACAAGCTGGACCTTTTGCTGTAAAGACACACCTTTCTTCTGAGATGAGTATCTCTGAGCCCTCTCTGGATCGATTGGGAGCATCCGCCAGCGGAGGCAATGTCTCTTCTGGGAAGACGACTGAGAGGATGGCTTGTATCGGGCCAGCCAGCTCCTCAACACTTGTCGCTTTCGTGAGGTCCAATGGCGTCACACTTGGCTGTGGGGGCATTCAGACCAACGTCGGAAGCCATCATGAAAGGGCTACTAACCCGCGTATGTGAGGACGCAGACCAGGCGGACGGATCTGTAGGACTGGCAAAACTATCCATGACTCTGGAAGCGGATGCGACAGGTCTGAAGCTCTCGAAGCCTCCGTCCATCTCCGAGAAGGAAGGCGGCCTTCGTATCGAGGCAGCACTAACAGGTACTTCGTCGAAATCGCCAAAGTCATCGTCGTCTTGCGCACCATCGTTGCCGGCGCCAAAGTCACCAAAGTCGTCAAAGTCGTCCTGTGTTGCGCTGCTGGGCTCGATAGATAGTCTCGTTAGTGACGGCTGAACTGTATCTAGGGATGTGCGGTCGCTTGCGGGGCTGTGTGCCAGGACCAATGGCGTAGTGCTGATCGGCGCGACGGTGTTGTGGCGTTCCATTGATTCTGCGTGGACGTAGGAAGAGACCTCGTGTGACTCGGGCGCTTCGGCGAAATCATCCTCATCTGTTGTGGCAGATGACAAGCTGACTGACGATCGAGAATGATCACTTGCAAGGCCAGGCAGCTGAAGCGCATCATCGCGACTCGCGCCCATAAAGTCATCCTGACCCGGTACGTCCGCCTGCTGTTGCTCCGTTGGCACACCGCCTGGCTCGAAAGGGTCCTGTCGACCGAACCCTATGTGTTCTTCATCGTCAGAGTGCGGTTGAGTGTGAGGACCTGATCTGAGTGTGCCGAGCGAGGGAAAGCTGCTGAAGCCGGACAGTTCTGGTGGCGTGGGATCATTTGAGCTCGACCAGATATTCCTCCCTACATCATCGTCGTCCTGATAGTCCATGTTGAGCCGACAGCAGGGGCTGGCCAGTGATCGCTCTGTCGTCGACTCGTCACGCTATCCGACAACGTAACGCGTTCGACCGACGCCCGCCCTCGCCTCTGCTCGCTCTGTCCGACGCTTGTGCTCAAGATGGTCAGTCATGTCTCGCCCAGATGGTCCGAGACAGCCTGATGAGTGCGAACAGGCAAGCATACCGACTTGTTTGCGGCTCAAACACCGCAGAGGTTCGCTCATCTCATTTGTGTCAAGCATCAGCTCACGCCGCTCTATCGCACAGTCACCGTCATCCTACCCGTCAGACCGAGCATGACGACGACAGAGCTCAAGAAGCTCCTCCTGACCGCCTTGTCGTCTCGCAGCGCGCAGACGTCCTCGGTCAAAGCGCCAGATATGACGGATGAGGACGAGGTGATCGCGCTTGACGAGCCAGAGATGGACTACGCTCGGCTGAAGCCCGATGAGCTTGGCCTGTTCCGGTTGGTGGTCAGTTCGAGGGATGCAAGACGGCAAGAGTGGGATCGCCTGTCCGACGGGTCAAGGTTGAGCGATCACGGACTCGAAGAGGGAGCAATCCTCGGCATCGGGTTCCAGCACAAAGGTTCACAAGCTGGCTCTGCCACATGCACAGAAGCTGACACTGCTCATCCGCGGCAGGTGTGATGCAAGAGCCGAGCGTAGTGTGGCCTGAGGATGCCGAGGAAAGCTAACGACGGGACGGGTGGCGAGGCTACGCTCGAGGTTACAAGAGACACCGAAGGATATGCATGTTGTGTCACTTCTGCAATCTGTAGATAGATGCTTCTGCTGTCGGGAGAGGGGTATAGCATTATGAGGTCTTTCTCTGCTTGCATCTGCTGTCATTTTGGCTGGCTCTCTCGGGTCTCAATCGCGCCAACGTGAGCTCAGGAGACGAGCGGTGCAGCGGGAGCGCTTTCGACGGTCGTTGCACTCGGCTGTGAGCAATTGCGCGACAGATGACCCGAAAGACCGCAATTGTAGCACGTTTTTGCGGCCGGTCGGTCTGTTGCTGTCGGGCAGTCACGAATGAGATGAGCACCTCCGCAAGAATGGCAAGTCTTCGTGCGAGGTGGTCTGGCAGACGGTTCTCGCGGTGAGATGGGATCGGCAGCACTGCAGTCTCTCGCAAAATGTCCATCTTGTCCACCTGTGAGATACTCTTTTTTTGTCAATGCCTGACATTCAATGAGCGAACGAGCAGACGCACAGCGATGGCAAGTCAGCACTCGATCCTGTCTCGGAGCTTTCGATCGCGAGGGTGCTTCGGCAACTGGCGCAGGCAGCTTTGCCGGAGCCGTCTGACCTTGATCACAAGCCGACGCAACGTGACCGCCCTGGCCACAAGTGTAGCATAGCTTCTCCGGTCGAGCAACGCGTGCCTCGGTGCAGTCTGCCGCCCGATGTCCTTGGCCTTGACAGTTGTAGCAGGTCATCGACATCGGCTTTCGCTCCTCTGAGCATTCTGCCAGTGAATGATCCGGACTCGCGCAGTTGAAGCACAGCTTCACTTCAGATGGGCATGACGCTGCCAGGTGGTCGTCCTTGCCGCATCGGAAGCAGCCTCGTGGGCGTCGTGCAGGTCGTTCGGCCATCGATTGCGGCGCTGTCTGAGAGATTTTCCGTTGCGCGTAGATTTGATTTTTGACATCTCGCTGCTCACCGGGACCCGTCAGATCTACCTGGCATGACGCCCGGCAGTGATCTCGACAGGTGCGCACACCGGCTGCCGCTTCCAACGACAAGTGTCTGACTTCTTGTGCAACATCGACCAGGCAAATCGAGCAGTTGAAACGATGCGAACCTCTATCAGAGTATCAGGTCAAAGAGCTCTGCCTCAAGGCACGAGAGATCCTCATCGAAGAAGCCAACGTGCAATGGATAGATGCACCCGTCACCGTCAGTCTGAACTCGACCGCTCGCGCGGATAGCGAGTGCGCGTAAGACAGAGCTGAGTGGCAAAGAGCAGATATGTGGTGACATACATGGTCAGTTCTGGGATCTCATGGAGCTCTTCACCATCGGAGGCCAATGTCCCGATACCAACTACCTCTTCATGGGTCTGTTCCTTCTCCTCTGATCGCCCGAGCTCAGCTGATTCTTGGAAACGGCAGGCGACTTTGTCGACCGCGGCTTCTATTCTGTCGAGACGTTCTTGCTGCTGCTCGCGCTCAAGGTTCGATACCCAGACAGGATGACACTCATCAGAGGCAATCACGAGTCGCGCCAGATCACACAAGTCTATGGCTTCTACGACGAATGCCAGCGGAAGTATGGCAGCGCGTCCGTATGGCGCTACTGCTGCGAGGTCTTTGATTATCTCGCACTAGGAGCCATAGTCGATGGCCGCGTCTTCTGTGTACACGGTGGACTGAGGCGAGTCGCTCATGCTGTCTTTGTTTCGTGCTCACATCGTTCGTGGGTAGTCCTGCAATACATACCCTAGATCAGATCAAACTGCTCGATCGAAAGCAAGAGGTCCCGCACGACGGGCCGATGTGCGATCTGCTATGGTCAGATCCAGAAGGTGAGCCGCATTCCGTCCCCCAATGCGCAGGATCTGATGTAGATTTCTGGGCTAAACAGAGATGGACGGATGGGGTATCTCACCGCGAGGGGCCGGCTTTCTGTTCGGCGGTCCCATCACGAAGCAATTCATACATTCAAACGACCTTGATCTCATCGCCCGAGCCCATCAGCTTGTCAGTAGCCCACTCGTCATCCACTGCCCATCTCACCGACCCTGCAGGTGATGGAGGGCCACAAGCTCATGTTCGACAACACGATCGTCACCGTGTGGAGTGCCCCTAATTATTGCTATAGGTCAGTAACACGACACATAACAAAGCATTCAGCTGACTTGCATACAGGTGTGGCAACGTTGCCTCTGTCCTCCAGCTCGATGAAGACCTCAACCAAAAGTATGAGAATTTCAATGCAGCTGCACAAGTATGTTCATCAAACTCATTACTCCAAGCTAGCTGACAGCGTGTCTTCAGGACTCTCGGGGAATACCAGCAAAGGCGCCTGCCTCGCTACTCTACTTTTTGTAAGGTCCGTGCTGTGCAACAATGTACCAACAAGCAAGCAATTTGTTGTACATCCCATTCTGTAATGCTACCAATCTTCATGTAGATGCGCCGCCTCTACCACTGGCGGGGTCTCCGTCTCTTCTGTCGCGCGGAATCTGACGCCTGCACGAGGTATACTTCGTTTCGCATCCTTAGATCGAAGAGCAGAAGCAACCGGTCTGGCTTCAGCGTCGACTTTGAGCTTCTCGCCTCCGCCGACCGGTTGTGCCTCTGCCTTTGGAATCTGTCGCTCACCGACACCTCCTTCGACGTCGAGATGCAGGGTCTCTATGACGAAGCGCTTCCTCTTGAGTCTGAAAGCGAGATTATTGTCTAATCCGCCGGCACCCGACGAAGCTGCACTACCCGCTGCCAGCCCTCGCAGCACCGAAAGCTTGGTCGAAGAAGGTACCAGACTATTCACTGCAGGCAACGTCGTGACGTGTAACAGGCCGGAATAGCGAGGGAATGCGGCAGCCAAATCCGGTCTGCCGATGAAACTTTCGAGTCCGAGTACGCCGTCACAGCAGTGCCGCACTCGCTGCGTCAGCGCTTTGTCATCAATGAGATGAGTGGGTGACGAGATCACGACGACCACCGGACTCTTGCGGACAATCGACCGTAATTCCATGAGGAATCTCATGATGAGCTGCGCAGATATGAGTACAAGAAGCCAGTGGAAAGGTGATGTGACATACTGTCGCCGATACATCGTTCCACTGCGGCCCAATGAATGATTGCAGCACTACGCGAAGGACATACTGTCCCTGTTGAGCTGCTAGGCTCGCTTCTTTGACACTGCTCAGGACGTCTTCTAGGCTATGTGATGCCGCATCGATGTGACTCATTCGCTGCTGCTCCGCTTGTATTACTGAACGTGTCCTTGTGAGATCAAAGGCTGAGCAATACGCGTCCGTGCTACCTGCTGTACCAATCTCGCTCAGCAGGTCGTCGCGTGCTCGGGATGCACAGGCTCACTTGTCGGCACACTGTCTGGCACGCCTGACTCGAATCGCTTGAGACCAGCATAGCGAAAGGCGATCTTCATATCTAGTTGAGGTGCGGTCACTGTCTCCGAGCTGGTTATACTCGTGTCCTCGGCAGCCATGAGTGAGGCAAAAATGGCATCGGGCGCATCTCCTTCGCCTAAGGAGCTCGAGACGAGCAACAGACGATGGTCTTTGCAGCTCAGACCTTGAGATAGATAAAATTTGAGCAGCAGTTTGGCATAGCTCGATGCATGGTCCTCTTCGAGAAGCAGAACAGTGCCGAGAGGTTGACCCCCGCCCAAAATATCGTCAAGAGCAGCAACGCCCGTAGATGCAAGAGTCGCAGAGTTGTAGGCACTGAGTTTGGTGCCTGTCAATGCGCTCTGAGCAACCTGCCCCGGTGCGGAAGGTGTGCGACGCTTGAAGGACATGCGCCGGCGCCGGCGTGCAAGCTGCAAGCGCGCTGCTGTAACGACGTTATCGATATATCCTCCTCCTCGCTGGCCATGCGGCGCTTTCCCCTCACGCTTGCGGCTCAGCACTCATGCAACATCACCGTCGCTGTGAACCAGACAAGGCGCTGCCAGAGCAGCTATGTTGGCATCTCTTGCTTTCTCGAAAGATTGATCAAACAAGATCGAATGACGACATTGCGTCTCGGTCAGCAGACACGACGTGCAAGCAACGTCGCTGCATCGCCCGAGCAGTCGTCTGTACGACTAAGACCATATCAGAAGGATTGTATAGACTCCTGCCTGGCTGCGCTTCGTCGAGGCGTGACTCGTATCGGCGTGTCCAGTCCAACAGGTCCGTTGTGCCGTCCGTGGCGTATGTAAGGCGTTGATAGACAGCCTGAGACATTCAGGCTCTGGCAAGACCACAATCTTCACTCAGTTGATTAAGCAGCTGCCCGAGCGCACGACGCAAAGCAAACGAGTCATCGTGCTCGTACACTCTATCGAACTTGCACGTCAAGCTGCCAGACATATCACCTCTGCATGGCCAGACCTAGTGAGACAATCGTCGACGTGTCCATGACAAAGGCTGACGTACGGACAGATCGTCGAGATCGAGCAAGGCGCGAAGCACAAGGCATCCGGGCAGGCGGATGTGACGGTTTGCATGGTGCAGACGCTGGGTCGGCCAGGCTCAGAACGATTGCTCAAGTATGATCCGCTAGATTACAAGGCTATCATCGTCGACGAGGCGCATCATGCCGCCGCTGGCTCGTACAGGCGCATACTATCGCATTTCAACTCGCGTGTTGTTCCGGAGGCCAGTCCAGATGTCATTGAAGACTCAATAGCAACAACGGTGGCAGCTGATGTGCCTCTCATCGGCTTCTCTGCGACTTTCAGCAGGCACGACGGCATCGGACTTGGCAAAGTATTTGATGAGATCGTTTACCACAAAGACTTCCTGGAGATGATGGACGAGAAATAGTGAGTAACATCACCGTACAGGCAGTCCTGCCTGACTCGGCCGTTTGCAGTCTTTCGCATGTGCGCTTCACGACGGTCAAAGCCGACTTCGACTTTTCCAAGATCAAGATCAGCAAGGCAAACGGCGATTTTTCTAGCACAAGTCTCGCTAGTATCGTTAATACGCCTACAGTCAATAACCTCGTCGTTCGCGCATGGCTTGATCGAGCATCGACGCGGAAATCGACACTCGTATTCGCCGTCAACGTGGCTCACGTTGTCGCACTGACGAATGCTTTCCGAGCTATCGGCGTCGAAGCGCGGTACATCTTTGCTGGAACGCCTCTTGGCGAAAGACAAACTCTCCTCAGCGACTTCCGTGCAGGCGTATTTCCTGTTCTCGTCAACTGCGCTATTCTGACGGAAGGAGCTGACGTGCCCAACATCGATTGCGTTCTGCTTGCCAGACCAACACGATCGCGCAATATCTTCTCGCAGATGATCGGTCGCGGTATGCGTCTCAGTCCTGGCAAAAGAGACTGTCTCATCCTCGACGTCGTTGGCAACTGCGAACGGGGCGTCATCTGCACGCCGACACTGTACGGACTCGATCCTGACATCCAGATCGAAGCACTCGATCCTGCCGAGCTTGCCAATCTTCAGCGCATCCAAGCCGAAAGACAGGCGGAGCTGCGACAGACAGCTAGCGAGCCTGAAATCACCGGCGTGATGGAGCCGAAATCCATTATCTACAAAGACTATGACTCGGCTTACGATCTCTCGCAAGACTTCAGCGGCACAGCGACCTACATAGGTCGGATGTCGCGGAACGCTTGGACAGGTCTGGGAGAGAATCGCTACATCCTTGACCTGTTGGGCGAAGGTCACATCAATGTCATGCCCATGAAGGGAACTGACGGAAGCGATCAATCTGCTCCCGGTGCGTCTCTCATTGAGCCCCACCTTATCGTACTAACCAATTTTGCAGTCTTTGAGGCAAGCTATACTCCTACGAATCGGCATTCGGCGACTGCGGGCCGCTACCTTCGTCCACGCGTCATCTTGACAAACGCTACACTGCTCGCTGCTGTTCAGGGCTGTGACACCTTCGTAACCCGTGTGAGAGCTCGCGGAACGGCTTTTGGCGCTATGCGACTGCTCGCCAATGCACCCTGGCGTAATGCTCAAGCAAGTGATGCGCAGAAAGACTGGGTGCATATGCGCTTGCGAAGCGCAGATCAAGCAGAACGAATCGAAGGGTCATCCCGTCGAACGCCAGTCTATATCGGTCGACAGAAGCTCGAAGTTGATTCGATGACAAAGGGGCAAGCGGCTTCGATTATCACGCGACTTAAGCATGGCTTCAAGGCAAAGGTCGAAAAGGTCGAAAACCGTATGGACTCGGCCAATAAGAAGGCAGTCTCGCGAGTGAAGAAAGCCAAAGAGGAAGAAGAGAAGCGTCAGAGCAAGATCAGCCGAGCTGCCAAGCTTGAAGCGATGCGGCAAGCGCGAGAGATAGTCTCTGTGGGACCTCTGCGCAATTCAGTCTAGCAAAAGTGGTTGCATTTCTACTCAGTTCGATGCTCATGCAGCACCGACGAATTCCTGCGAGATCAATGAGCATCATCAATGTGTGATTTGCATAAAGGTCGACTGACTTTGCCCTTCTTGATGTTCTTTGCAAGATCGGCCAAGCATGCCTTGAGGAGATCCTCCTCTGCTGCTGAGAGCTTGCCGACTGGGTGGATCTTCTCGACACCATTGGGTCCCAGCTCGACATTGGAAGCAAAGTATTCGACACCCTGGTCCTTGTAGAGCGGGCTGTCGACGAAAGTCGGCTCGACGACACCCTTCTCGCCGCCAATAGCGCGCAGAAGCGAGTTGGTGAAGACAGCGCCCGCAAAAGCCATGGAGAGCGTAGCAGAGCCTGCGCCATCCTTGGCCTTGACGACCTCATCACCGCCGAATTGGATACGCTTGACGAGGTCGAGGTACTGCTGATCATTTGCCTGAACGATCGATTCGCCTTCAGCGGTCTGCGAAAGGATGGGCACGATCGTGACGCCAGAATGACCACCAACGACGGTGACGCGGGTCTTTGCAGGATCTGAGCCCTTGAGGGTCGACAAGAACTTTGACGAGCGAACGACATCGAGTGTTGTGACACCGAATAGTCTGCAGTAGCTCGCCTTGTGAGCATGTAGCAGGCCAAATGCTACGAGTCAGCGAACCTCTTTGGGTCGTAGACGCCTGCGGCCTTGAAGACCTCGGCACAGATCGGCACGGTCGAGTTGACCGGGTTGGAGATGATGAGCAGATGAGCCTTGGGGCAGTGCTCGGCGCAAGCCTTTGCGAGGTCTCGAACGATGGATGCGTTGGTCTGAAGAGGCAAGCATAAGCGAGGGCCCGGGCTGGAGAAGCTCGAGCCTGACATTGAAGAGATCATCGCGGCTCATTCCTGGCTTGCGAGGAACGCCAGCTGGGATGACGACGATCTCGGAGCCCTTGAGCGCCTTTGCGAGACCATCGTTGTCGGCGAGATAGCCAGTCGTGGAGGAAGCAGTGTTGATGTGAGAGCTGCAAGCTGTTCATCAGCGGAATATACGCCTCTGCAAGAGTCGGTCTGACATGTCTGCAGCTACACCTGGCGCGCCGCGGATATCATAGAGAGCCAAGTCGGAGACCTTTGGATTCTGCTTGAGCAAGAGTGACAGTGGCTGGCCAATACCGCCTGTGCACCTCTGTCAGACTTTTTCCTATCGCAGCTCTCAAGCAGAGCGCGTACCGGCTGCACCGAGCACAGCGACCTTGGTCAAGCTTGCGCTCGAGGTCGAGAAGCCGCGCTGAGCAACAGCAGACCTGAGAGCGGTACTGAATCGTTGAGCAATCATCCTTTGTAGCGTTCGGGCGGCGGTTTTCGCGGCAAATGCTGCCAACGCGTTTCGACCAACAGCGCCGGTCGGGTCGCTTCGCCTGACGGCATGACGAGCGCTGTAGATCTCAATGCGGCTTCCTCTCCATCGCCGTCGGTACCTTTCGATACCTCACTCCTCATACCATCGATCCGAGCAATCTTGTCTGCGCCTGGCCTCAACATCGCGACCGTCACCGCCAAGGGCGTACGAGCCAAGCTAGCGATCATCTGCGACGGCATCGATGTCGAAGGTCACAAGCGTGAAGTGACGAAGCTCATACAGTGCGAATTCGAGAAGGTGCGCTTCGGCTCTTGCATCCGAACCACGAAAAGCAATCTCAGTCGCCCTGTTTGCACAGATGCACGGTCGTGACTCAGATGATGCGACGATGGTGCAGGCCCCGTCGAGCTCGCAGACGCCATCAATCACATTTGAGCCCTACTCTGCCTCGCAGTCGCACCAAGCATCACAATCGTCAGCAAGCAGCTCACAATTATCCGTGTTGCCCTCATCGCAATCTACGGCTCATCGCTCACAGTTTGCAAATAGCACAAGAAAAGCGTCGAGCAGCAAGACAAAGTCGTCTCGCGTCAAATCTGAAGAGACGATCGATTCATCAGATGATGATGCCTCGGATGTCACAGCGAGCACTTCCAGCTCACGCCTGACAAAATCGAAAAGGAAGGAGAATCTCGAACAAATACCAAAGAAGCCGTCGAACGCCAAGACGTTCGAGTGCAGCCCAGCTCTGGCTGCAGTCTGCGGAGTCACAAGGGTACGCGAGTGCTTGCAAACTGTCAGAACCACATTGACTGTTGCATAGACGAATCGCTTTGCAGTCAATAAGCACATCTGGGCGTATGTGCGCGAACACAATCTCAAGGACCCTAACAATGGCCGAAACATCATCTTGGACGATGCCCTCAAGGCCGTCTTTGGGGACAGAAAGACCATCAGCATGTTTGCTATGCCCAAGCATTACGCAAAGCACCTGTACGATTCCTAGTCCCGCCCCACGTATGTTGTTGTGGCAATGACGCATCAGGAGATCACAAAGGAATCTAGCTTCATCGACGGCCTGTTCGCTGGACACGCTTGACCCCGTGATACCAAGAACGCGCCTCAAATATTGCGCGTTGACAAACCAAGGCCCCGGCGCCAGCGTCTGCTACACCTAAGCTCTCACACGAGATGCCGCTGACGGTCAAAGGCGCCATGCCGAGCGCAAGCACGAGCGCGGCGCCAGACTGGCATCCGGCAGCGGCATACCACTGGCTCGATGCTATACTCAAAGAGCCTGGTCGCAACGCAACGTCCATGACAGCGGAGGGCGTCTTTGCGCAGCTGCAGAACATCTACCCGCCTGCTAAGCTCAGCGAACACTGTAGAATTGTCATGAGGAACACCATTGCCGACAAGCTTGCTCTTTTGACCCGCGAGGTGAAAGGCCATTGCTTCACTTGGCTCTGTCGCTAAGGCTTATCGCATGCAGCCAAGCACTGCTCCTCCCACACCTATCCAGCTGAAGTCGCTGAAGTCTACGCATGCGACTATGCCAATGTCTCAAGTCAAGCCAGCTTCCTCGCAGTCCTCTTCGCCAGGCAAAGATGTCAAACCAGATGCCACTTTTATCAAGAAGAATGCTCATCTACTCGATCACGACCCTGTCTCGCTGAACCGGGTAGCACAAGTCATCAAGTCACTTCTGCCTGCGCCTAATCAGAAGCAAGCGGTCAGAGATGTGGGTGCTATCGAATTTGGACTCGACAGAGGCACGCGCAATCGCGCCCCTCCAAAAGTGTTTGCCAACCTGGGCAAGTACGTCCATCACGACACTCGTGTTCAGCCTCAATCCTCGCAATCTGTGAAGCATTCTGCATCTGTCACTTCGCTCAAGACTGCGGCAGGGGAAGTTAAAGCAAAGAAAGCGCGTACCTCCTCTGTGCCGCCCGCAAAGGCAGGTCTCAAGGACTTTGGCTCGGTGAGTGTAGCACAGTTGATACGAATGCCTGATCTTACGCATTGCGCAGGCAAAGTCATCGCAAAAAGTCCGACCGTCATCCATTGTGAGCAGCAAGTCAAGCCGCCTGGGACCCGAGCTGGTGGACAAGCAAGGAAAGCTGCCGAAGAACGACGGTGCCTCTCCCAAAAAGTCGGCAAGCGCGCAGCAGCCGCCGAGCTCCAGCGTCAGAGCATTCCAGGCGATCAAAGATGTGACATCATGGATGAGCCATAGGAAGAAACCATCGGTGAAGAAGTCGACGCCGGTGAGCGACGATACAGGTGACGATACTCTTGATGAGAGTACCGAGAGTGAGTCTGGCGGCACGAGCGACGACGGTCCGCCCACAAATGGGCTCAAGCGTAAAGCCAAAGCAAAGTCTGGCGCGCCGGATCCCACGCAGAAGCCCAAAGGCGATACGAGTCTCGTCAAAGATGCCAAGAAACGTCCGCTTAGCATGCCGACCTTTGCAAGCCCAAAGGTACAAGCCGGCACAGCTAAGCCCGCTACTCTCATCAAGCAGTCCTACGTACGCCCACTCTCAAACAGTGTTGCGCCTGAAAGGATGGCACTATGCTCGTCCAGCGCAAAGCAAGTCCCACCTATCGACACAGAGGCAAATCGCCAGATGGTCGAACGAGCACTCCTTTGGCAGCCAAAGCTCACATCGCACGACCCGCTCGACAAACGTCGTACAAGTGCGGATGACGTGTCGGTGGTTCGCCTTGCTTTCCTGGTCGACGCTTACAGCGGGCTGTGTGCAGAGTTGGCGAGGATGACGGATCTGAAGATCCTATATTCGACCGTATCGCCTTGCACGTCAGTCGGGATGGTCGACTGTCTCCTGCGAGTAAGCAACTCAAGGCGAGCGAGACTGCCGAACGCGCCGTTGCTGCTGGCCAGCTGCCTTCTAAATCGACTAGCCCGATGCCCATGGCTGCTGCACCGGTCACATTGCCCGCAGCTGAAGATATGACAGCCAAGGTGAAGGCTCCTGCCCGTGACGTCAGCACAGACAAAGGAGAGAGTAGCGACGCAGATGCTGCCTATCCAGCGCAAAAGAGACCACCTTCTACGCCTTATCCGCGACCGACGAATTTTTCAGGTGATGAACCCACCGAGGCGCTCGCGGCAGCAACATCACCTGTCGAGTGCAGTTCGAACAATCACAATGGCTCGCCCATCAGAGAATCAGTTGAGGCATTCGTCGAGCCGCTGTTCCGAGCTGACTCCAATTCGCCTAATCCTGCGCAGTCTGCCTCCATATCCCCCTCGCTGTTTGAGCGTATCGAAGCAGCTACACATGGCGAAGAAGCTAGCACCACGCTTCGGACAGATGCCAGAATCCGGGTCATCTGCGATACGACAGAAGATGTCGACAGTGTAAAAACTGGCGAGAACGCCGTCTTGCCGGCTGCCAAGGCATCTCAAGCTAACGATCCCGGCGAACTCAAGACGGACACTGACGATCACCTCGCAGGCTGATGGTCTGCCTGCTTCCTAGTCTGAGACAGCTCTCGTATGCAGTAGATGAGCACATGTAAGCAACGTTGCTGTTGTTGACATTCAAAGACGCAATCTATCTCACAACACGGCTCACCAGCCTGACACTTTGCGTTGCGGCGGTGGTGAGGCGCTGCGCCTATTGAACCCACCCCTAGCCGGACCATTGTTGAGTCTTGCCATCCGGTCAGCAGACATAATAGGACCTCGTCGGTCTCTGTCGTCTCTCCTGTCATCGGGTGGTCCGTCACGCCTGTTCCTGTCGCTCGGTCTGTAGCGATCCGGACTAGCAGCGAGGAGCGTCTTTGGTAGCGAGGGAGCAGACTTTTCGTCGCCATGGCCAGGTCCCCAGTAGGCGACATCGATGTAGTCGCCAATAGCAAAGCGAGTCTCTTCGAGAGTCAATCTGGCAGTATTGCCGAGCTCCTCGTCTGACTTGCTGAGATCTCTTGCAAAGATAAGTGCGAGCTCTTTGGAAGCGTGGCAACCTCTACCGCGGTCGAAGTAGACTTGTCGTACGCTGTAGCGTAGCGGGATTGGCTTTGGGGCTCGACTGCTCAGCAGCAGAACGACGATATCTCGGATTGTCGTATCTCGCCTGACCAACATCGCAATGTACCACGTCAGTAGTGCATACAAGTACTTTCGTTGGAGCTTGCCATGTGTAGACTTGGTGCTCGTGTCGGACGGGTAGATTGCCTTCAAAATCGGACGGATCATGGTGTCGACCACTTTGGGCGAACACGCGAAGCAAGAATGGCGTGGTCTGCAAGTATGGCGCACTCAGTACATGCGCTCAAGCGAGACTGATAATCGAACGCTTGCCTGTGAATGGTCAATCTCTGCCTGCTCCGTCATCGTGGCAGACGGCTTCTCGCGCGAGACGGTCGCCGTACAAGACGCGCAGGAAACCTGAGGTAAATCAGATGACGCAAAATGCATCAATGGCAGCTCGAGCTCGAGCTCACGGCGCTGGTCTCTATGCAGCAACTCTCTTGAGGCTTTCTGGAGACGAGGAAGGTAGTCCCTCAGCACAAAAGACAAGGTGGGGAAGCAGACGCTATGCATTCTTTGTCACTACGCGCACGAAGTGAGGACTGACGGCCGCATATGGGTGTGTGCATGCTTGGTCTGCTCCGAAGAGACGAGCATGTTAGCAAGTGTATGTGATGACATAGAAGAGCAGACCGATGGAGACGCGCGTGAGAGAGACGTTTCGCTGGTGTCGCGTGCTTGCCTCCCTCCCATTCCTTGCCGTTCCTGTCGTCCAGCTCGAGCTCGATGCGCCAGAGTCGATGTCGAAAGTCCTGCACGCGATGCAGCGCAAGGAATGATGACAGCGGCAGACCGCCGAGCTCTTCAGTCGGCAATGCTGACGTGATCGCCCTATCAGATGAAGGATCTTAGGCTCTGCCTCTTCTTCTCGAATGACTTTTGCTTTCTTGCGAGCGCTGTCCCTTGCTGACGAGGGAGATAGACGACGAACTGCGTATACGTGACCTACGCTCCCTCACTTCAATGTACGCGGGCGATTCCAGTGGGCTTGCTCGAGAAACTCAAGGCAAGCAAGCGATGCATTGGAGCGCGAAGGTAAAGCTGCTGGTGACAAGATGGTCGAGACATGCTGGTACGGGTTGCAATCGTATGGTACACGGATGATACAGGTCAGATCGACTGTCTTGCTCGCGCTGAGACGCGACTAGATCGATTGGTTCCGAGTGGTATCGAGAGATAGCGACGATGAGCGGCGTCGAGCGAGGATCGCAAACGCCACCCTATAGAGATTATGAGACGAATGGCGCCGGCTGTACGAAAGCCCCAGCTTCCTTGGTCAACACAAAGTGATCCCAAGCAGCTATGATCATCTGGGAAGCTATACGCTCAGCTGATTGAACGAATGAGACGTGTGAGCACGTACGGATACGAAGGTGAAATGGTAGATTGATGTCCAGCCGATGAGCCAGCTCGTCTCCTTGCTGATCGTGTCCCAATCAGCTGCAAGCATGTCAGCGGATGAAGTGAGCATCAAGGAGAAGACCCACTTCGCATCTGATCACGCAGCTTGAGATATTCGGCCGTGCGGTCCGTCAGGATGGCGTCCACGCCCCACTTGGTAGCTTCTATCATCTCATTGCGTTCTGGCCGAGCCTGTCAGCTATCGCAACCCAAGACATTGCAAGACATACTATTGATAGTCCAGCAGTAGACTTCTTTGTTGGCATTCTTACATTCGCGTCTAAAGTCTTCGCCATCTTTTGTGACGAGGGCTGAAAAGTTGAGCGAGAAAGCCGAACACGCCCAAAAGTATTTGCGCGCCAGAGCGGTCGATACGCCGATGTGTGCCAGGCGAAGACTGGGTAGAATAGTGAGAGCAGGCTCGACGAATTTGTTATGCCATAGACCGAGGACCAGTCGAGGTGAGAGTGTAGTCTCAAAGTCGTCATATTGCCTGATGACCGAGTCCATCAATCTGAACAGTCGCTCGGGATCATTGTCGGGCTTGACATCGATGTTGAGGATGACATGGCGATTCTCGGGTCGCATGAGCATCTCGACTGTGGCTGCGAAAGTGGGTACAGGCTGCTTGGGTAGCTTGGTCGTTGTGACCTTGTCCACGCCATCAAGATAGGGCTGTCGCTTGACGAGACCTTTGCCGTCCGTTGTACGATCTAGAAGAGGATCGTGGAGCATCACGATGATGTTATCCGATGTGATATGGACGTCTGCGCCCGCAGAGATGAGCCTTTGCGTCTGATAGTCAGGCTGGGCGCGAACTTACCACTCTCAATGCCTTCAGCACCGTCTCGAATAGCGGCTTCGAAACTGGCCAAAGTATTCTCGGGATAGGCTGCAGATGCCTACAGACACATGCGGCACGTGAGCAGGCAGCATGCTGTGATGAGCGACGGGCTTACACCGCGATGACCCCAACATTGCGGCAAGGATCGTTCGGATGATGTGCTGCCGGTATCTGAACTCGCGCCGTCGTCGACTTCGATCTCCTTGGAGACCTTGAAGCCGAACATGATCGCTCTTTCTTCTTGTCTGGGGAAGCGCGCGAGGTAGATTGGGCGGCGGAGATGTCTGTTTGGTCCGATGTATCGGTTCTCGCGTGAACGTGAACGTGCTCGCCAAAGTATCGGATTTGTCTAGTCAATTGCGCTTAGTACTTGTCAACAACACGTCGGAGGATGGCAAAGAGGTGTATGACCGTCTTCTCTGCGTCTGGCTGGAGCAGAGCGGTGATGTCTCGCCCAAGGAAAAGCTCGCGCACGGTCGCTTCCTTGATGGGCTGCGCGGACACTTGCGAGTTCGGGATCCGACCGGATGGGTATGCCTTGCGCCTCGGACGACCTCTAGGGGATCAGACGAGCACGCTCAGCTTGCTCGATGGCCAAGCCAAGTCCATCTGAACCGCAACGTTCGAGGGCCCTTGCTATCTGGAATGCAAAGTGGCGATCTGCCCCCACGGGAAGCGCGCGCTATCGCATTGTATGACGCGGATAGATACAATTCAGCCTATGTAGTCTTTGAGCAAGGCAGCCTTCTGCCGCTCTACAATCATGGCCTCTATCTCTTCACTCGTAGGTAGGACAGGCGGCCGCAGCTCCTCTTTGGTAAGTATGGTGAGAATCTTGCCATGACCTGGCCCGTCATCGTCATCCGCAACTGTCTTGGCCTTCTTGCTGGCTTGGGATTTGGCAGCGCCGGCTTTGCGTTTGCCTTTTGTAGCCGGTTCGCTCGTCTCGTCCGCTGCCTCCTCGATGCGCTTCTGTATCGGCTTGACAGTGTCGATGGAGATATAGCGCGCTTTCGGTAATGACGGTATGTCGAATGCTGTACTGTCTGCGCCAAGTAGTTCTGCTAGCGTCTCGAATGAATCTTTCCAGTCTAGAAGTGCACAAGCATGAGGACTTCAATTCAATGCTGAATAAGTGACTTACCCTCTGCTTCCTCTGTTTGCTCATACGCGAGCAATGCCGGATCACTCTCGTCCAAGTCGCCATAGTATTCTGGGCCTTGCCCGTCGAAGAGCGAGAACTGTGGTTTCGAGAGTGCTGCTAGCTCTTCGCGTTCTTTCGCTAGGCCATCGAAGAGCTCCTTGACGCCCGGTAGCTCTTTCGCGCGTCCAAAGTATCTGCGCAATAGGATCTGAGCAGCTGCGCTTGCCGACGTGCAAGCTTGTACATACTTGTAGCCTCGTGTACCCGGTACTTCTCTGCCGTCCGCATCTGTAGTCGCTTGCGCTGCTCGTCTGTAGTTTGCCCCTCCGAGATTGATGATCTGGTTCTCCCAATGCCACTTCTCTCTGAGGAGCCTATTGATCTCGTCGTTCAGATCCCGCACTTCGTAGTCAGTGAGCCCGCCTGTGTAGCCAATGCGCCATCAGTCTGTCTGCGCATACTGGCCTGGCCGTCAGCCGAGACGCACTGTCTTGTATCTTGGACACTTTTCTCGATACCTCGCGCAAGATCTCTCCTCGCCATTTCTCGCAATGCCGTAAGTCGGTACACTGGCTTGCGATCTTGGGACGCCTGTCTGATCTGTTGACGAGGCCGAGCTCCATCTGCTTGCTCTCCCTGAACCGGTAAAGCATCGATCTGTGGTGGTCCTGTCAGCGCTGCACTGGGTGAGCATCCTGCTCGCGTACTGTGACTTCTCCTCATTGCGAGCCTGTCGTAGACAGCTATATCAGCGCTCTTTCCTACAAAGGCTGATGTGCTGTCGCTACGCACCATCTTGACTTGATCGACTGTGACGAGAGGGGCAGCAAGCCAAAGTCGAAGTCACCGCGACGTGGAGTTCCTCACCGGCCTCACCGCGGCAGCATGGCCGTGCAGCCTTTGCTCATCATCTTGGTCTACATCCACGGCTTCAAGGGCAATGACAACACATTCGAAGGCTTCCCAGCAAGGATCAACTCCATCCTGAGCGAACAGTACGCCAGTCGCGGCACCATCGTCGAATCGCTCGTCTATCCTGCCTACCAGACTCGAGGCGAGCTGGGAGCAGCCTGTCTGCTCTTCCTCGAATGGCTGCATGCACAAGTAGCGGAGAAGGAGCTTCAACATGCTCCTGCGCTGTCTGCCAAAGCCAAAGGCAAAGCGAAAGAGGATCCGATCACATTAGACGATGACGCTGCGTCTCCGCCAGATCCTACGCTCGGCGACCGTCCAAAAGCTAGTGTAGTGCTCTGTGGTCACAGGTACGTCTTATGCGCAACTCGCGCATCGCATTCGATGACTTTGCATGCAGTATGGGCGGACTTGTCGCCGCAGACTCAATGCTCAAGGTTGTCGATGACTACAAAGCTGCCGGCACGCCGCCATGGCCTGATATCCTCGGCGTCATTGCTTACGACACCCCTGTACGTACTCACCTTGTCGTCATGCACCGTGCTGAACGTGCAAGGTAGTACCTCGGACTACACCCGGGCACTTTCGCAAATACAGCAACAGAATATGCGAGCTACGCGACGCAAGCTCATTCCGTCCTGACTACGCTAGGATTGGGCTGGGGTGCTCTGCAAGGTTTGAGAGGGACGGGATCGAGCGGATCAAAAAGTGCGCCTGCGAACACAAGAGCTCCTTCACCCGCCGCTTCGACGTCAATGACCAACTCGACGACGGCCGAGACGGAAGAAGACAAGAAGCGATCGTACGGCTGGGCGGGCGCAGCGATTGGTGCAGCAGCGTCAGCAACTCGTCATTGGAAGCTCGACTATGTGCTGAGTGCAAAGAGATCCACAGGGTTGCCACTGCTGGCGGTGTTGCTTGGTACCAGCGACAAAGCATTGTCGAGGGCAGCACATGGGCAACGAGCTGGGTCACAGATCATCTAGAATTCGTAGGCGCTCTTTGGAAGCCCGAACCTCTTCGAGCGCGGCTCGACCAAATCGCCGCCGTGCAGAAAGATGGCGTGTTCTTTCATTGGTCTGTCTCGACTTGCTCAAGAAGAGCTATGCTGACAGGCTTGCACAGCTACTATACTCAGCTGCCGACAACGAGCACAGGCACGAAGCGCACCTTCATCAATTTGCCTCCCAGCACCTCGCCCGTCTATGATCACTTCACGCCCAATCTGAACACCAAGGTCAAAACCGAAGTCGATGCGTATGCCCACCCTCGCGCATGGAGCGCACACACTCACAGTGACACAGGCACATCACAATGTTCAATCAGAAGAACGACGGTAGCTGGCAGCTGGGCCAGGAATCCGTCGCGCTGCTCACAGACTGGGTCGATCGGCGCACTCGTTCTCGTCAAATTTAGACCTTGTACTGTTGTCAACAAGTATGTACATCACTGAGCTGCGATACGTTCTGCTGTTGGCGCTTGCGCCTTGAGCTCTAATAATCTCTGAACGACGCTCTGCGGTCGCGCATCTGCTATTGTGTGTCGCTGTATGAAATTGGCTGCATGTGGATGCTCGGCATCAGGGAAGATCCTGAGCCTCTCTAGCCTCCTCTTGCGGAGCTTGTTCTTCGGCAGCATACCCGAGACTGCCTTTCTTATGATCTGTCATCGCCCGACTCAGCCTTTGCACGAGCAGGCGAGCCGCAAACGTACTTCGTCTGGCTTGCGTTGGAGCATGCGTCTGAAGGGAACCGCTTTGAAGCCGCCGGGATACATGGAATGCGAGTAGTACTCCTTCTGTTCTGCCTTGCGTCCTGTGAGGACGACACCTCTCGCATCCGTCACGACCACATAATCGCCGCAATCGACTGTGAAAGCCCACAGAGTTGAGCTGGAAAGCTCATGCACATACATATGTCGCACCTGAAGGGTCCCAGATAGGCTTATGCTTGCCCATGAGCAGGAGAGCCGCTCTTGCTGCTGTCCGACCGAGCACATCGTCGCGCGCAGAGATGTGATGCCAGGATCGCGCCCAAGCGAGCGTTGTCTGTGCAACGCAATGAGTGTCGCAGGTGTCGTGAGCAGCAGAAGCCTTACATTGCCTATGAATTGAGACATCGGCTGCGCAAGACAGTGAGCCTGTGGAGCTGGGGCGCGCGACGAAGTCAAATCCCAGATTCTGTTGATTTAATTCAAGACAGTGGCTGACCGCGAGCCTTGAAAGTCACCGAGTTTCGAGAGCAGCCAGTCAGTCAAGATGTCGAAGATCTCAGCGTCAAGCGTACGAGGATCCATGAACGAGTTGCTCACTCAGTCAAAGGGTGACAAGAAGCGCAACTTCACCGAGACTGTCGAGCTACAGAGTGGGTCCCGCTTTTCCCCTCGAGCGACGACGACGCTGACTCTGCGTTTTACACTGCAGTCGGACTGAAGAACTACGATCCTCAGCGTGACAAGCGTTTTGCGGGCACGCTCAAGCTCCCCCATGTCCCCCGACCTCGCATGACCGTCTGCATTCTTGCCGACGCTGCCGACATTGATCGTGCAAAGCAGATCGAGCTCGAGTACATGAGGTGGGTCTGACAGTCTATGAGTCCTATGTAGCTCATGCCGAAGCACAGCGTCGATGACTTGAAGAAGATGAACAAGCAGAAGAAGATCATCAAGAAGATGGCAAAGAAATACGATGCTTTCCTCGCCTCCGAAGCGCTCATCAAGCAGATCCCTCGTCTGCTCGGCCCCGGTCTCTCCAAGGCCGGCAAGTTCCCTACGCCTGTCTCGCACAACGAAGATCTCTCGCAGAAGGTGACCGATGTCAAGTCGACCGTCAAGCTCCAGGTACGACAATCCTGTCCATCACCTTACGCGAGCTAACGATGGATCGCTTTCAGCTCAAGAAAGTTCTGTGCATGGCCATCGCTGTCGGTCACGTCGACATGACGGACGACCAGCTCGTTGCCAACACAATGTTGTCAGGTGAGCACTTTTCTGCTTCCGCTAGATTCCACTCATTTCTGCGCTCCAGTCAACTTCCTCGTCTCGCTTCTCAAGAAGGGATGGCAGAACGTTGGATCGCTCCATGTCAAATCCACAATGGGACCTCCCCAGCGTATCTTCTAAGTTGATACAAAAGATCAAGGAGATAAGAGTCCCATCCGACGCACCATAAGCACCTCGTACGCTGATACCCTTATCGAGCTGGCCTCACCTTGTGCGAACAAGGCGCTGTTCGATAGAGGGGAGCCGGATCTCTGTCCATTGCATCTTTCGTTGACTCCTGCAGCAGCGAATGCGCACTCGCCGCGAGATTGCGTCGTGCCACAGGCTTGATCTGAAAAATGAGATGTGCGGCCGAATCATTTGACGCGTGTGAAGGAGACAGTTGGGCGGAAAAAGTTGTGGCAGCCATTAGAAGCAGCTATGGCACCGTCGGCATCGAAGCAGAAGCGCCTAGCCGCCAAGAAGGACAAGGCGAGCGGCACAGACTCGCCTTCGACCACGACTGGCAGCCCGTCCATGGCGAGCTCGGCCAATGGCACGCCCATGACGAACTTGTCGACCAATACTTCTGCAGAGGATCTCTCAATGGCAAAGCTCAAGCTGGCCACTGATCGTTCTGGCTCCGGCGTGCTCGTCAGTGACGGTCAGAGCCGTGACATTCATATCGAGAGCTATACGCTCTCTTTCCACGGTCGTCTCCTGATTGAAAATGCGAGCATCTCACTCAATTACGGTCAAAGATACGGCTTGCTGGGCGAGAACGGCTCCGGCAAGACGACGTTCCTGGAATCCATCGCTCACAGAGACGTCGAAATTCCCGAACATATCGATATCTATCTCGTCCAGGGTGAAGCAGCGCCTTCGGATGTCAACGCGCTCGACACCATTGTCGCCTCTGCAAAGGCGAAAGTGGCAAAGATCGAGAAGGAGATTGAAGAGATGTCGATTGCCGACGTGGTCGATGACCTTGCGCTCGAGCGGAAATATGAGGAGCTCGAAGAACTCGACCCCAACACATTCGAAGCAAAAGCGGGTTCAATTTTGCACGGTCTCGGGTTCAGCCAGCAGATGATGGGCAAGCCGACAAAGGACATGTCCGGTGGTTGGCGTATGCGTGTCGCGCTCGCTCAAGCCCTCTTTGTGAAGCCTCACCTCTTGCTGCTAGGTTGGTTGCGCGTCTTTGCACTCATGAAAGTTGCTCATGTGTCGTGGCAGACGAGCCCACAAATCATCTGGATTTGGAAGCTGTCGTGTGGCTTGAAGCGTATCTTTCGACCTACAATCACATCCTCGTCTTCACCTCGCATTCCCAGGATTTCATGGACTCTGTCTGTACCAACATCATGGACCTCACCCAATCTCGCAAGCTCAACTACTACAGCGGCAACTTCTCGACCTACGTACGAACAAAGACGGAGAACGAAGTCAATCAGATGAAGGCGTACGACAAGCAACAGGAAGAGATTGCCCACATCAAGAAGCAAGTCCTCCGTCTTTTCGACCAAGACAAGAGCTAATGACCGCCTTCCAGATTCATTGCAAGCGCAGGTACGTATGCAAACTTGGTGAAGCAGGCAAAGTCGAAGCAAAAGATCATCGACAAGATGGAGGCAGCCGGCTTGATCGAGAAGGTGACGATACCGAAGCAGCTTCGCTTCCACTTTGACGACGTACGAAAGATGCCGCCGCCTATCATTGCTTTCAACGATGTCGCCTTCTCTTACGATGGCAAGAAGGAGAACTACCTGTACAAGGATCTTTCTTTCGGCATAGAGTATGCTCCATCGATTTCTGTTTAGCCTGCGTATGCTGACATGCAGGCAGCATGGATTCTCGAGTGGCTATCGTCGGACAGAACGGCACGGGCAAATCGACTTTGCTCAACCTGATCACTGGCGTCCTCATGCCAGTCGAAGGCTCTGTCCAGCGTCATGCCGGTCTGAAGCTCGCAAAGTACAGCCAACATTCGGCTGATCAGCTACCATATGAAAAATCTGCGATTGACTACTTCGGCGCGCTCTATCACGAGAGGTTCCCAGAACGTGATACGCAAGCCTGGCGAAGCCAGCTCGGCCGATTCGGTCTCTCCGGTGCCCATCAGACGGCACCCATCAAGCAATTGTCGGACGGATTGAGGAATCGTGTCGTCTTTGCCCAACTTGCTCAGGAACAACCTCACGTTCTCTTGCTCGACGAGCCGACAAATCACTTGGATCCTGGCTCGATCGATGCACTCGCTCAGGCCATCAAGGACTTTGAGGGCGGTGTCGTCATTGTCAGTCACGACTTCAGACTGATCAGTCAGGTCGCAGAAGGTGGGTCTGCAAGCTTTCATTGAGGAATCACGCTGACCTCCTATTGCAGAGCTCTGGGAGGTCAAGGATCGCAAGATCGTCAATCTGACGAGGGTGAGTCGAGTGCGCATCACTCTGTGTACAAGATTGACTAACGCTATCCGACACAGGCGGATGTCGATATCATCAAGTACAAGCAGCAGCTCGTCGAACGGTCAAAAGCTGCTCTGGAAAAGGCCAAACGTGCGCGGTCTCTCGTGACTATCTACGCTGGAGCTGATCTCTGGAGCTGCAGTGACCGGTAAGAAGTGAGACACTGTTGTACCCGCGACGCAATAGAGACTGTGCTTGCACACCCGGTCGCGCGAAGATATGATGGATTCTGAGCTAATAAGTGTCGACCCGCGTGTTAGTGCGCCCGCCGGCGATCGCCCACAAAAGAGTTTTGACGTCAACCAGCCATATTATTTCTAGTCCGAGCTGGCACAGCTGAGGGCATCTCGTCAGGCGGCTAGCTGATCGAGACACCGCCATGACAAGTCTTTAGCCTGACACCCATTCACGCACCCAGTCAAAGCGCACGAGGCGACCAGAGACAAGTCCGAAGGCAAGGCGGAGAGTGAGACAAAAGGAGATAGCCAACATGCCGAAGCCAAGCTTGTACAGCAGCTTGGTCAACAAGCCGACGACCAAGTACTCGGACTACTACCAGGATGATCAGACTGGTGAAGGCAGTCAGTATGGCTCTAGCGTGAGAAGGACGACCTCGAGAGCGGGCTCGATACGCTCCGTTCGGTCTAACAACACCTTTCGAGACTTCATCATGAACGCCAATGCCGGCAGACAGAGACAGGACGACGAGGGCTCAGTCTATGACGATGCACGGAGCATAGCCTCCTCGACCTTCTCACAGCGTCAGCACAACAACCTCGTCAGATCCTCGCAATATGGCACCGCACCTCAATGGCAGCCCGCACACTATGGCCGTCAGACCAAGCGGGCCGGATCTCAGGCTGGCGATGACAATGCATCGATCTACTCGTTCGAGTCCTACAAGTCGGATGCAGAGCGATCCATTGCCTCCTTCCACAGCAGACTATCCAAATCTGGCTCATTCGCTTCAGGTCGGCCAGGCAGCCAGGCAGGCTCCCAATGGCAGTCACTCGGAGCTGTTGGACCCTCTCTCGTCTCGATACCGCCAAGCAGCTTGTACAATGGCAAAGGACGGAGGAGCTCGGCCAGCAAAGGTCTCAGTAGATCTTATTCTGGCAACACCGGATACGCTACCTCAGTGGCCGGCAGCTACACCAGTGGGATCTCGCAGCGAGGCGTGCCATCTACAGCACCGCCTTTAGTCCTGCCCTCCAGCAACGTACCGTCGTCGGCTTCGTCGAGCGGGGGTTTCTTGCGCAGAAAACCAAGCGAACCCAGCAACTTGACTCGTATACCCAATCGCAACCCTGTCAAGCCAGCTGGTGTCACCATTCTGCCCACAAAGGAGCAGATCCGTCAATCTGTGCTCAACGTCGGTCTGCCACCCGCGGCCATCCCACAGGCTCAGACGATCGATATCAATCCCAGAAAAGTCAAGAGCAAGCGAAGCAACACCAGCCTGCAACACAAGACCAGCCTCTCCTCCGTCGTCGAAACGCCTTTGCCAGCACAAGCTCCAGCTCGTCAGGCTGCAGCCCAGCCGACGCGAGTCTATGCCTCAGCCGCTCCTGCTCCGGCTCAGGTCTACGCGCCCAAGCCGGTCGCTGCCGCCTCGCCCGCAAAGTATGTGCCGCCACCGCCTCCGGTGACACCGGCCGAGTCTGTAGCGCCCACGACCTACGTCGTGCCGACCGTGTATGTTCCTCCGCCAATGGCAGTCTACGCCCCCAGCATGGCTGCTCCCATGCCCGAACCAGAACCAGCACCTGTCGTGGCAGCACCGCGAGCAGTGTCGACACCGCCTACGACCGTCACAGAGCCCGCGTTCGAGCCTGCAGCGGTTGTGGAAACGCCGATGGAGGACGAGACAGATGATCTCGAGCAATGTTTGACTGAATTCACGGAGAGCGCGCATGAGAGGGTAAGTACACGTCTCGTCGAGCATCGAAGTACCGCTGACGTTCGATGGTTGCTCGCAGACACCTGAACAGCTTCTGAGAGCGCTGACGCGCGCCGGTCTACTTCATCGCGTAATGGAAGCAGTAGAAGAGGAGGACGAAGATGCTGTGGAGGAGCCAGAGGAAGCGATCGTCGAGGAACCTGTTGCGCCCGTCACTGCCAATCGACCCAAGGTCATTCGACCGACAGGCATGGTGGCAGCAGCCCAAGAGGAGCCTGCCATGCCTGTGCCCACACAGTCGATCAAGAAGCGCAAAGCCAAATCGCCCTCGCTCGCTCGTTTGCTACGCGAAGTCTTCGCGGCTACCACAACCAAGCCTTCAAGTCCACCTTCCTCCCCTTCGAAGCGTGAACCCGAGAGTGCTGTCAACACGCCGACCAAGTCGCCTCTTGCTACCTCTGGATCGCTTCCCACCCTTGCAGATCTGACCTCGAGGAGCGCTGCCAGCGATGCGCACCCGCCTGCAACTGATCGCGCTACGAGCACTGCTGCGCCTGTTATGCTTGCGACGCCCGAGCAGACCCAAGCGGCGTTGACCCCCTCACCGGTGCCGTCGCCATCGCCGTCTTACACGCCTAGTCCTGCAAACGAGCCAGAAGAGCGCAGAGGATCGGTCATCTGGCAGAGCTCGACCGCTAAACCCAACAACTTGCTGCAAATGACCCTCATCGAGGCTACGCATCACAGCGCGAGCAGAACAACCCTTCATGGCCATATCACAGTGCGGCCCGATTCGCACATACGCGAGATTTCAGTGCGCTCCACTACAAATTATTGGGCCACATATCTGGACTCGATTGCCCAATCTTCCTCGTCGGGCACTTGGGTGTTTGACCGCGCAGTCGAACACGCTCCCACGACTCTGCAGCTTGCGATCAGATACATTCTCGACGGCTCAGATGCAGAGCACTGGGATAGCAACGGCGGGCAGAATTATCATGTCTACGTTCCCGCGGATACATCAGGCCTTGCAGACTCTGCACAGGTCTCCACGCCCACTCAAGTCGAAGCGCACACTCCTGTGTCTGTTGTGGCAACTCCGAACGCGGTCGCAGAAGCGCCCGAGACGATCTCTACACTTGCACCGGACGTCAATGAGCCCAGCGACACCAGGCAATCGAGTCCGGCATTAGCTGGCTCAGGCTTGACTAACGGTATGTCATCAAATACCTCTGAGGTCTCGAATCGCTCCGAGACAGAGACGCCGACGACTACGCCTGCGTCTTCAGAGCGAAGCTCGACTCTCGCAAAGCCTATACCAGGTCTTGCGACATTGTACGCTCTTCCTCGCCAGACCTCCGCGCCAGCACAGAAAGCCGACAATCCTCGGATCTATCTCACCCGCACAGAATCAGATCGTGCTGCGATGCTCGAACGAGGTGTAGATCCCGCTGCGCCTGTCGAAGATCATGGTAGAGAGATCGAAGTGACATCCGTACAACCAGGTACACGCAAGCTCGACAGCGGGCCTCAATCTCTCGTCAACGATCGCTTGCCAAAGTCTAAGGCCCGCCAGACCTCAGCGTCCTCGGTCGCGTCGTCTGTCTCGTATGCTCCCGTCAGTGGTGCTAGGTTGCCTCGCGCCACGCATGCCAGCATCATCGCTGCCAGCAATGGCTTGCCGCTACAGCTCGAGCCAGAGACCGCCGAGAGGCCTGTTGGTCATACCGCGCAGTCGCACCCGTCATCACGAAGAGGCTCGTCGTCTGGCGAAGACTCTCGCGGGCCCTCATTGGATGCTTGGTCTCCAAATCAATCGCGACAAGGCAGCGTCTCCGGAGGTAGCGTGACAAACGAGGCGTTCACATTTAAGCGGCGCAGTCAAATGACCAACGAGCCCTCTGCACTGGCTAACGAGACCTCAGCATCGCCTTCTCCAGTCGGCCGCGCAGCCCGCTCTCCCGCGACCTCGGCTGGTCCGTCTAGGCAAGCTTCTCTTCATCAATCGCCGGAAAGGTCAGAAGTCGACGGGTTTACGCATCACGATGACTCGAGCGAGGAGGAAGAGGATGAATACGAAAGCGACGAGGAAGACGAGCAAGTCAGCGCATTACCTAACGACGCAATGTCGACGCCCTCTGTCAGAACGACTGGCGGGCTCACGACGGCAGGCATTGGCGCAATGTCTGTGCCCCTCGGAGCTTATCGACCTGCACGAGACCCCAAGAGAATATCGTACCTCATGGCCGAAAAGATCAAAGGCCCTGCTCAGACGATGTGCGCATTGACGATCACAAGCAACGCTGCACTGTCCTTAGCGCAGCCCAGCTTCGTTGACAAGGTCTTCGCTTCACCTAAGAAGCAGCCCGTCGGTGCGGCAGCCTTGCCGCCACATCTCGCTGGTAAAATGAATAGTGGGCCACTTGTCGAGCTCACAAACCTGGCCGAATCGCCTAAGAAACTGAAGACGAATCAAGTACTCGTGCAAGTCTTTGCTGTCGCTGTCGACTTCTGGGATCAACATCACGTCAACAAGCTTGGTCAAAATCCGAACAGTCACGGCTTCATCCCAGGCAGAAGCTTCTGCGGGAAAGCTGTCGAGGTCGGTATGGACGTCACGCGTATCAAGAAGGGCGATTTCGTCTACGGTTTAGCTGAGCTCAAGCAAAGCGGTGCCCTTGCGGAGTACTTGACGGTCGATCGCGGTCTCATCGCCCATGCTCCACAAGGTCGGCTCAGTCTTGAACAGATTGCAGCTCTGCCCCTGGCCGGCGTCGCGGCCTATCAAGCTATGAACGAAGTCTGCGCCGATCTACCACGCGGTTCAAAGGTGCACCCGTCGCGAACTCCGATGAGACTAAAGCTAATCCGGGAGCACGCAGATCTTGGTGTTGAATGCTCACGAAGGTGTAGGCGCCATCGCCGTCCAGCTAGCGATCTCCCTTCGTCAGAAGGCGGACCTGTGGATCACTGCGCAAGTGCCAGAATACGTCACCGAAGCGCAGACATTCTGCCGGGCTATCGGCGCTTCCGAAACACTTCAGGACGAGCCTTTGGCGGTCATCAATTCGCTGCACGAGTCATCGTATGACGTCGTCATCGATACAATCGGCGGCCGTCGCATCTACGATGCGTCACGACGTATTTTGCATTCCCAGAACTCCACCTTTATCACCACGGTCGGCGAAAGTCTGGCTGTGGCCAGTACGCCATCCTACTGGAAAATGGGCTTCAAGCAGATGCGCCGGGCATGGGTGAAGAAGGGCTCAAAGCGCATCAACTATCTCATGCCATCTCTTGACGAACGAGAGGACTGCCGCGAGGCACTCGATAGGCTCCGTGTCGAAGTGGTTCGTCTTTGCATCATCAAGACCATTGTTGCACTCGTGCTGATCTACCTGCGCAGGATCGTCGACATCTCAGCCCCGTCGTTCGCCGAGTTCTTGGCTTCGAAGAAGGCGGCAAAGCGTTCGAAGATCTCGTCGAAGAGAATCTTGGCGGCATCGTCATCCGCATTCTCGACTGATACCACCGCATGCACTTATTATTCACGACACAGCCTCGCATTCTTGATTCTATGGACTTTCTGCCTTGTCTGCCACCTCACTAGTACCGCAGACATGGATGTAGCATCACTATTAATCTAGCCATAGCACAATACACTAATGCATCCTACGTGACGTATAAGAAAGATAGAAAGTGTCCATTCGTTATCGTTGCTGTTGACGACATGCATTGCTAGTCTGTCTGCGTCCGGGCGGATGCGGGATATCGACGGGTGTGTGAGAGTGTGTGTCTATGCCATGAGAGCAAACGCGATGCCAGCGATGAGGGTCAGGCCGAACGCGGTGCTGGCCGTGCGAGACGCGCCAGAGGTAGATGAGGAGGAAGTGGTGGGGCTCGAGCCAGAAGCGGTCGTGCTGCCGGCCGTGCCAGCGCTTGTGGTTGCGGCAGATCTGCGTGAAAAATCAGTATGATCGCAACTATATGGCTAAGAGAACGTACGATGCGCTTGAGGTAGCTGCGGCAGATGTCGCGCTCGAGCTAGCTGAGGCATTACCGCCGATGGTGACCTGACGTATCGAAATTCAGCCTTGGCCTTTTGTAACCCGGCCGGACTCACAGGTGCGGAGTAAGAGAGTGCACCGGTCCCGTCACGTAGAGCAAGTGAGATGTAGGTGCCGCTGGGCAGATCGACGTTCCTGGCGAGAGAGATCGTCGTGTCAGTGTGCATATAGGTGAGCCTGCAGGTCGAGACTTGCCATGTGTACGAGCCTGCAGCTGTCTGGGTAGGGAAGGTCTCGAGAGGGGAGGCCGATGTGTCGGCACCAGGCAGGACAGCTGTGAAACACGGACAGGACAGTCAGCACGACTGCGAGTTTGCGGCAGAGGATGAAAGCGACTTGCAGATGTAGTACGGCGCTGTGCCCTGAAAGCGGATCGATGTCAGCTGCCATGTATGTGGAGATGAGCAGGGCCCCAACGTACCCCGTTGAAGGTGATCAAAGCGGGCTGACCGCTGATGAGTGAGGGCGTGTTGATCACAGCTTGTGCGAGGATGGCGGGCACGCAGCCCACAAGGGCAGCGACGGCGAAGACTTGCTTGAACATGATGGTGTGATGTCTGGCTTGTCAAGTGAGGTGGCAAGGACGTGTTGTGACGTTGGCCAAGGATGAAAACTGCGCTTGTTTTCTTTGAAGCGTAAAAGAGTGGCGTGTGCTCGTTTGGGTGTACGTGTTCTGGACTTCTGACCGACCGATGAAGTAGGTCAACACTGATGATACGTCGGGCGACGATGGGCCTACTTACGATGCAAGGCCTGATACCGAAAATCGAAAAGCAAAGCTGATGTTGAACGTAGAACGCGGGCAAAGGCGCGTTGAGACGCGTGAGAGAAAGTCTACTTGCCTACGTGGCGTGCGTCTGTGCCTCTGCGGGCTCTCGTGGTCGAGACGATCTCTCAGCGTCCTGCAATGCCAAGTGCGACCTATGAAGGGCCGAGACAAGAGCGATTTGAAGCCGTCGCTGTCACTATCACCGGCTGTGGTGCCTCGAACAAAGTGGACGAGATCATTCGTCAGAGAAACTCGAGATCTTCATCTATGATGCCATGCCGGATGGCAGCGGCTATAACCGAGTACGGAGATGGGTAGCTACACGCTCTTCGACGATATCGTGCACGCTCAGCTCGAATTGCCCATCGACAGTAATGGCATCACTGAATCGCCTCGTGCAGAGACACCTGTTCACAGTCACGGTACCTCGATGTTTACGATCCAGATGATGGCCAAGCCGGGAGAGGAGCTGCTATCTGCCTTCCTGCCGTGCCGATATTGCCGCATGTACGATCATCGTCGCCCAGAGTGCGCTAATGCGCCTGCATGCGACATATGCGGCGAGACCGGTCGTGCAACTCATGTCTGTCCAGCATGGGATAGCCCAATACCTTCATGACACTCATCGACACAGTCTTACCAGCTGCGACATGCGGCAATGTTGCGCCAGAGGTGGGAGAGGCATGCCATATCAAAGCGGCAGAGCAGCGTCAACAACGACAGCCAGGCGGCGTGACCCGCTGCATGTCCATGTACTGCGGCCTGCTGTCTGCAAAGAAGCACCTGCTTGACACGGGCACTGCGCCGGATCACTCGACGGTCACCGGTGAGACGTCCCCATACTGGCTTGCAGCGCGAGCCTCTGCAGCAAATTGACCGGGTATGCACGTATCTGTGACACAAGCATGACTGGGTGAGCCTGTTGTAGCTCAACACGGGTGGATAGTCGGGCACGGTGGGCATGCATCCCTCATGAGCGCTGAGCCACGCAGTCCGCGAGCGTGTCGCGCGTCGCTGCGAGGTTTGCCACAAGCACAGCACACCCAGTCAGAGGTTGAGGCTGCTAGATCCACTCCTACATCATGGACGGACTCTTGAAGATGGGCAAGCAAGCTTACGAGCAGTACCAGCAGTCCCAGGGACAGGGAGGTAACCCGGGTGGACAGAGCCAGGGCTACGGTCAGCAAGGAGGTCAGGACAGCTACGGTCAATCAGACGATAGCTACGGCCAGCAGCAGCAGCAGCAGCAAGGTGGCTATGGTCAGCAGAGCTATGACGGCAACAGCGGCAACTTCACTGGCTCGAACAACCAACAGGGCGACTTCAACGTCGGCGGTGGAGCTCATCTCAACAGACCGCACCACCAGGGAGGAGCAAACAGCTACGGCGGCGGCAATAACGATGACGGACCCGATCTCCAGCAGGCGGTCTCGCATGCTCAGAACAGCTACTCGGGCAACGATGACGACAACCAGATGTTCTCTCAGGCTGCGCAGCACATTCAGCAGTACGGCCAGAACACCGACGATCTCGATGAGGATCAGGCGATGCAGAACCACCAGCAAGTCTACAACCAAGGCAATGCCTCTGGCCAGTCTGCCAATGTACGTCACACTCGCCTTTGTCGGGCAGACGCGTGCTGACGGAGGAGAAACAGGCCATGGGCTCCGCTGCGGCCATGCAAGCCATCAAGCAGTTCACTTCAGGCGGTGGCTCGTCAAGCCAGAGCGGCGGTGGCTCATTCCAGTCCAATTTGGTGGGTCTCCATCAGGCACAGCGAGTAGCACCCCTTCTGAGAACGGGGGACAGATTGGTCAAGCGATGAGCGAGGCGGCGCGTCTCTTCGATCAGAATGGCGGCGGCTCGGGCGGCAACAAGCAAGATGCCATCAACTCTGCAGGCAGCACGGTCATGAAGATGCTCCTCAAGAACCAAGTCAGCGGTATGATGGGCGGCGGCGGCGGTAGCTCGGCCGGTCTCATGTCTCTCGCTTCAAAGTGAGCCTCGTTCGTCTTTTAGACGATTGAGCATACGCTGAAGGGAGCATGCGATAGATTCATGTAGATTGACGTTCCGTGACGACAACATGATGATGCAAGAGAGTACAACGACAAGGGTGAATGCATGCCATCAGCTAGACCTGCTCTGTGGGCGAGCTCGCCTTTGCTTTCTTGCCGGCTGGCGCGCTCTCTGTACTCTTTCGCTTGATAGCACCTGCCAGGAATTTGGACTGTTTGGATTCCTTCTTCTTGGGTAGCTTCAGAGGAGGAGGAGGAGCAGCAGCAGCAAGAGACTGTCTCGCTGTACTCGCCGGGGCCGGTGGTGAGCTCGCCAGCGGCGTGCTCGTCTGTGCTCTGCCAGCACATCAGCCCGTCTCGTGCGTGCGAAAGGGAGCAAAGACGAACTCTCTGAACGCTTTGAGTTCGGCCTCGATCTCTTCCTTCTTCTGCCGCTCGCGCTGGAGCTTCTCCATGTCGAGCTCTTGCAAGAACCCTGCCTCTTCCTCGTCCACGCCACGGAATTGTGCCGAGATCGACGTCTTGGCCACAAATTCTTCTTGTTTCCTGTCTTTCTGCTCTTGTAGCTTCTCATACAGTGACCGAGGATCATACGCTTGGTTCTCGGGCTGCTCTGGCGGGGCCTGCGATGTCACAGAGGCTACTCAGTGACAAGTTTAGAGTGTCCCTGCTGTTCGCTGACTTGGCCCAAGCGCTCATAGGCAGCCTTCCATTCTGCCTTGCGCTTCTCGGCTGCAGCCGAAAGGTCGCTCTCTGATACGAACCGGCTCGCTACTGTGCTCGGCGGAGGAAGGTCGGCCATGTCGAGACGTGGTGGAGCAGTCGAAGCAGTCTGCTGGCTGGCTCTGCGCAACGACGACGCGACTTGCTCGCATCGCTGACGTCAAAACCCCGAGGCTGATGAGCTTTGCCAATGCGCCTGTCAGGTAGATTCCTGTCCGTGATCGCTCAGACTCATGCATGCTGACACTCCAGCGCGGCAGCAAGGCGGGCATCTACACGCTCGGCATTGGCACTTTTCTAGCAGGTGCGTTCAAGAAGAAGCACTACTTGCATCTGCCCCTCCATCCTCACCTCGTCAGAGACCACCAGGCAAGCTCCTCGCTCATCAACCAGTCTGAGCTCAAGATCGAGAGGCTCATAGTGGTGGCGCTTTGTCGTGCATGAGCTCGCTTTCGCCAATTCGGTCGAGTTGTTTGTCGGGGTTCTGCTGCTCTGGCAGGCTGCAATAGTCGTAGAGAGAGCGACGGGAAGTGCCAAGTTCGCTTCCTACTTACTCGCCGCATGGGCCATAGCTTCGCTCGTCAACCTCTTCGCGTTGCTCATCCTTGCAAGACCGTTCGAACTTCAAGCTCTACCCGCCGGACCGTTTGACTTGCTCTTTGCAAGCATCTATCAGTACTGGAAGATTATTCCTCCGCTCTATCGCTTCTCTCTCTTCGGTCTCCAGCTGACTGACAAGTCCTTTGCCTACTTGCTCGCCGTCCAGGCAAGCAGTCTTTCTGTCTCAGCAGGGTCGCGCCGCTGACCAAAAAGTGCAATGAGAGCAGCTCGTCAGTTGTCAGCCGCCAACGTCCTTCGTGCCATCTATCGCAGGTCTTGTTGCGGGCGCAGTAGCCACGAGCTTCGTCCAGAGGCCTTTCTTGCCGAGTATCGTCCTCCGACTGGCCGTTAGATTCATCATTCCTCTGCTCGGCTCGAGCCACGGCGGCCTGCCACCCACGCGAGCTCTCATCGTCCCCGCGCCATCGGACGTACGGACCGCTCGAGCATCTGGAACATCACAAGCTGCAACGACTGAACAAGCTCGTGGTTCAGTCCGAAATATCCTGGACACATTCGCGAGCGCTCGAGCAGATCCTTCGAGCTCACCAATGAACGAGGATCATGTGCAATCTTTGCTTGCAATGTTCCCCGCCAGGACGGATACAGAAGTCCGTGACACGCTCAGGCAGACGAACAACAACCTGGAAAGGGCAGTCGAGATACTACTCGCGCGGGACGACAGTTGAAGAGCGCACAAGTGCATTCAATCATTGAACAGATGCCAGTGCGACTCGACAAACTTGAGCATATAGCCATCCACGCTGCCCGCTAGCTCGTCTTCTTCCTCCAGTAGCGCCTCTTCCTCTGGCTCTGCTCGGGAAGACGAACCCGTCGCAGCTGTCGTCTTGGCGAGTGACTCCATGCCTTGCTTGGCGACGGGTCGAGCAACGGCATGCTCGTCAAAGTCAGTCTTGTCTAGATCGAGCTCGACTTGCGCATCCTTGGCGGCAGTAGCATCTTCCTCGTCTTCTGCGGCAGCGAGAGCTTTCGTCAGATCGCCGCCAGTGTTTGTTGGCGCATTGTCGGCGGACGTTGGCGAATCATGCGAGCCAACGCCGAGCTCGGCAACCATTTGATCGTCCAGCATATCCCGCCAATCCGCTCGTGCTCCTGCGCCGAACCAGTCTGTAGTGAATTCACCCTGCGCAATAACAAGATGGTCGAGGATGCGCTTCTGGTTGGCCTTCTTGATGACGTTCTCCTCGATCGTATGTTCCGAAACGAGCCTGTAGATGTGCACATCGCGGGTCTGTCCGATACGATGACACCGATCTTGGCACTGTCGATCCATTGCAGGACTGTTCGGAACATCAGCGTCTTCATGTTGCAAGCGAAATACAACTCACTTCCAGTCTGAATCGTAGAACACCACTGTATCTGCACCAGTGAGATTGATCCCGAGTCCTCCTGCTCTGGTCGATGAGATGAAGCACAGTATGCGGCGATCCGTATTGAATCGCTCTGTGAGGATCTGTCGCTGTTCGATCTTGGTTGCACCATCAAGACGCAAGTAGCGATGGCCATGGAAAGTCAAGAAGCCTTCAAGAATGTCAAGCACTTTGGTCATTTGCGTAAAGATGAGCGCTCGACTGCCTCTTTCTATCAATTCTCGCAGAAGCAGATCAAGTCTTTGTAGCTTGCCGCAGTCGTATTGCAGCAGTGACCGATCCGGAAAGGCTATCGACAGTTTGACGGTCGATCGATTGAGAAGCTGCGTTGTGGCGGCAGTAGCCCTGTCAAGCTCGCTCGAGTCTTCTAGTGCGCGCTCGAGCGTGGGCAGCGCAATACAGTCCATGCCTGTTGCTGTGACTGCGGGTGTAGCAAACGCAAAGCGATTGATGACTTCTGACATGCCGGCTGCTCTTTCCTCGAGGCTCATCCGAAAGCGGGCGCATACGTCGCCGAGCAAGGCATCGCTATTGGGCAATGTCTTCCGCAGTGATCGACTTGAGACGGCTTTCAGGAGCTCTTCGCTGTAAAACGGTACCTCGTTGCAACGACGGTAATTGATCGTGGCGATACGAGCTTGTCTGGCTATGCTTGCACGAATATGTCTTTGCTGCTCGTAGGCAGTCCAGCCTTCGATGGTAAGATCGTCCTCGACTGGCATCGTCTCTGCTCGAGTTGCAACAACGTCTGGATCGACGATCTTGCTGCCTGCACATAGTCGCCGTCTAGCTCGGCTTGCATGCGTCGATGCTGGGCTAGATTGGGCGAGGAGAAAGATACTCGGCACGCGATTCTGCTCGATAGCAGGTTCGCGCAGCAGCCTTCGTCTGACGATCATCTCCGTTGTCGCATATTCTGCTGTGGCCGGCTTGCCCATAGCAAATGAAGTAACAATCGGACGAACTTCGAACAGATCAGGATGATTGCAGACTTTGCGTAGCTGCATCAGGCAATTGATGATGCTCATGAAGTTGCCAGACTGTAGAGTTTCGCGCGTCTTGCTGCGAGACATAAACTCGTCGTACAAGTATCGCTGTCGTTTTGATAGCTTGCAATAGAGTATATGCTCGTATTTGCCTGGCATTTCCTTCTCGACGTCTGCTTTGAGTCGACGAAGCAGGTACGGTCTCAGGAGTGTGTGTAGCTTGGCTACTGTCGCACGAGTCTCTGCATCCATCGTCTCGCCAGACTCGATGGCTTTGTCCATGCTGAACCATTCCTGGAATCGCTTATGATTTGCGAACGTGCCGTTGGCCAGTCCCTGCGGCATGAGAAAATAGAGTAGGGACCACAGCTCAGTCAGATTGTTCTGCAGCGGTGTGCCTGTAAGAAGCAATCGTCTGTCGGAGTGAAAGCCCAGAAAAGTTTGCCACCGTTGCGATCGGAAGTTCTTGATATGGTGCGCTTCGTCAAGAATGAGGTAATGCCATGGCTTTCGTCTGAGCACCTGCTGGTCAGAAATAGCAAGCTGATACGACGTCACGACAACTTGATACGTATGATCTGTATTCCAGCCCACGCGCTTCTCCTTCCTCTCCCTTTGCGAGCCGTAGTAGGCAAGTACTTTGAATCCAGGCAAGAACTTCTTGAATTCGGTGTCCCAATTCAGCAAGACAGATGATGGGACGATGACCAGATGAGGACCCCAATCGCCCTGTTCGCAAGCAAGCCAAGCAAGCAAAGAGATTGTCTGTATTGTCTTTCTGCACCACCCACTACTGTTCAGCACCGTACGTCTGGAGCAGTCCGCGCGCGTACCCCAAGCCCATCTCGTCGGCAAGAATCCCGTTGAGCTTGTTGGTGTAGAGACTAGCGAGCCATTCGAGCCCTGCGCGTTGATACGGTCGCAGGGTTCCGCGCAAGAGAAAAGGTATTCTGACTTTGATGCGCTCCTCCGAAGAGGTCGAGGAAGAAGCCTCTTCCGCTTCGTCTTCGTCCTCGTCCGAAGCGGCTTGAGACGTCTGGGCAGACTCGACTTCTCCAATCGGCTGCTCGCTGAACTCTGCCTCGTTCTCGGAGGTTGCTCCATTTTGCAGAGCATAACTGCCTAAGATCTCCTCGAGTGGCCGATCCGCATCGCCCGCCAGGCCGTCCATCTCCTCGTCGTCCGAATCATCCTCCAAGTCGGCATCCAGTTGCTCATCTTCAGCATCAACAGCCTCTTCAGACTGCTCGGCCGTCGCATCGACAGCTTCGACCTCTTGCGCTTCTTCTGAATCTGCGTGGCCATTGACGAGCACGGGTGAAGAAGGCTCTTGCTCGGCGTAGCCATACTTCTTGAGGAGTTCTTCGATGGGCACATCTGCATCTGCTTCGAGGCCTTGCATCTCGCTATCATCTGACTGCTCTTCATCTTCGTCCATCTCATCCTCTAGCATGGCGTCTTCCTCGTCTATCTGGTCGCTGTCCTCCTGTGCTTCTATGTCACCGTCACCGTCGCCGTCGAATGGAGCTTCCTCGATCTGCTCCTTGGATTTGGCTTCGGGCTCTGCCTCCTCTGACAAATCTTCCTCTGCTGTTTCCGCTTCGGATGCAGTCTCTTCTTCGTCAGAGATGTCTGACTGAGCAGCGAGATCCTGCTGCTGTGCAGCAAGCATCTGAGTGGACTGTTCAAGCATCGCGTCGAGGTGCAGTTTGCCTCTCCTCTCTTCCTCCGCCTTCCATGCGGCCGCTCGCTTCGCCCTAACGATATTGACGGCCATCTTCCATTTCCGCCTGATCTCTCTGCTCGTGAAGCGTGCGAGTGCTTTGAGATCTCGCTGAGCTTCCTGAGCTGCCCTCGCTTCTGCTCCTTGCAATCGCTCAAAGTAGACAGACACCATCTTGGCAATCTTCCTGCACGCGAGGATCTGATTCTTGCGCTCTTCTTGGACGAGTCGAGCAAAATGACACGCTTGCTCGACCATGTGATCTCGATGATCAAGAGAGCGTGGCGGTTCCGCTTGTGAGTCTCTGGCGGGTGCATGTCTGATTGAGCGCCCGTAGACCTGCTCAAAGTGAGTAATCCGAGCGTGTAGGTCCACTTCTCTCGCTAGCGAGGCTGCATCGAGATGGATAATTTCGCCTTGTTCGTCTAAGGGTGGGTGGAAGAGATCGCTCTTTGCAAACAAGTCGTCAAGAGAGCCTTCGAACAGAGGGCGAGGCGGTAATTGAGCAGCGTGAGTGAAGATGGGTCTTTCGGGATATATCAGGCTAGGTCGTTGGGGCGCTGTCAATTTGACCTTGATTGGTTTTATCCGTTCGGGGGGCAGGCTGGTTGCTGTCTGTTCAATCTTGACTCGCTTGGACAGAGGTTGACCAGACGAGACTGCAGTCCGGGCAAGTTGCTCCTTACTTGGCTTAGTCCCCAGAGGTTTGTCAGGCTTAATCTTTTTGAGCGAGGGTTTGCGTTCTATGGGTTTTGGCGGCGAGGGCGGCGGTATAGCAGAAGGGGGAGGAGCGAGAGAAGTGAGTGTGTCGTGCGCTGCTCTCCTTGTTGTCCGTCGAGAAGAGGATGAGGCCGTCTGAGCGGATTCTGGCAGGTGATGCGTGAGGAGATCATACTCGCTCGCGTAAGTGCTGTATACTTCTGATGGTCTGCCGGTGTAGTTCTGGGGGTCGTACGTGGCATAGGTTATCAGTCTCTCCAGACTGTGCCAACCCACCAATCGAATGAGCCGACCTGAATCCAGCCAAGAAAGCAGGAACGGACTGGAATAATTCAGAGACGGCGGATGAATGATCCTGAAGGAGCTGTTCCATCTCTGCTTGCTTGACAGCGAGCACACTCTTGGGACCATCTGATGCTCTAGCTTTGCCCTTGCCCTGCTTTGGCACTATCCTAGCAGGAGCTGGTCCAGCAGGCGTCGCAGCCGATGTAGATGCAACAGCTGCGCCATTGGCTGTGGCGGCAGCAGGCGTGGTCGAAGTGACTGTCGACCGGCGGTGGGAGGAGCGTCTGGTCGTGCCATTGCTCTTTGGTGGCTCGACCGAGCTGCCTTGGTCACTCATCTGGCCCACAAGCTCGGCGGGCGAGGACACATCGGTTCGCTGATTTCTCGCGACGAGGTGACAGCGACAGCGACAGACCGGTCAGACGAGACTTGCCAGGCAGCCAAGAGCAGCCATGTGTACGCTCATCAGCCAAGAGAGATGCGCAGACTGATCAGATGGAGGCACGGCAGCTTTCAACTTTGGCTCGTTCGGTCAGACGACAGGCCCGCCTGCCTCTGCTCCTCCTTCGACGACTGCCACTCCAGGTTCGTCCCTGCCCCAGTGGCTCATCTACACAAGCTCATGCAGAAGATACCTTACAGCTCCTTCTTTCTCATTCGCTACGCGTGAGCTGCCTTGCTAGCGCTTGCGCTATGCTCTACTGACAGTCGACGTGTGAGCAGCAGCTCAGCCAGCTGGACAAGCAGGTACGAACACGCCTGCCGCTCCGGGCACACCAGCAGGACCACCGCCCGCCTCGACGAATACCTCGTTCTCATTCGGCTCGTTCGGAGCGAACGCCAATGCCTCCAAACCGGCCACGCTTTCGTTCGGCACACCGGCCTCAGGCCAGCCAGCTAACCCCTTTGGCTCGACGCAGCCTGCAGCCCAGCCCAAGCCGTCTTTCAGCTTTGGTGCGCCCAGTACAGGCACGACAGGCTCACCTTTCGGCCAACCTGCCGCGAGTACATCGACCGCGTCGACCGCGACCGCGCCTGCACCTGCACCTACCTTTGCAGGCTTCGGTCAGCCTGCCAAGCCAAGCACGCCAGCTGCGTCCACGACCAATGCCTCGCCATTCAGCTTCGCCGCTCCTCCTCCTGCTACTTCAGCCTCGATCACTGCTCCTGCAAAGCCAGCAGTACCTAGCTTTGGTGCGCCGGCTGCTGGCGGCAGTAGCTTCTCATTCGGTACTCCTGCCTCAACTCCGCCCGTCACAGCATCAACCGATCAAGCCAAGCCTGCACCAGCTTCGACAGGATTCAGCTTCGGCGCACCGCCCAAGCCAGCAGAAGACAAAGCTGCAGCCCCAGCTGTGCCTACATTCGGCTTTGGCAAACCACCCGCTACTTCTACACCTGCAGCAGCACCGTCATCAGGCAGTGGTGGATTCAGTTTTGGTGCTCCTGCGAGTACGACGAGTACGAGTGCGAGCACTCCTGCTCCGACCCCAGCAGCAAAGACGCCTGCGCTGCCTACTTTTGGCGCGCCGCCAGCGAGTACCTCGGCGAGCACGACAGCGGCAAGTGCACGTGCTGCTGCACCCGCACCTGCGCCAGCTACGGGTGGATTTTCATTTGGCACGCCCGCGCCCGCTGCAAATGCGACTTCAGCTCTGGGAAGCGCGCCGGCCAAGCCACTAGAGGCGAGCAAGCCCGCAGCTGTGCCAAGCTTGCTCGCAGGCATGAGATTGGAGGAGATTGTCAATCGGTACGTCATGCCGAAACTTCCATTCGTGCCTTTGACTCACCAATGACTCTCGTCAGATGGTATGCTGAGCTAGACGAGCGAACGAGAGAGTTCAGTCACCTCGCTGGTGAAGTGCGAGCATGGGACAGCGTGCTTGTCCAAAATGGAGAAAATGTTAGCGACCCGTGGCATACCACTGGAGAGACGACACTGACGCACAAAGCAGATCTCGAGGTTGTACACTGCACTGCTAGCCACAGAGCCGACACAGGCTTCGATCGATCAATCGCTCGATTATGTCGAGACGCAACAGAAGGAGCTCTCCTCCATACTCGATTCGTACGAGCAAAACGTCACCGAGATCCTAGGCGAGCCTCGAGCTGGTCAGTCCGACAATGAGCGAGAGAAAGCGTATGCTCTAGCGGAAACGCTGAACACTCAGCTAGACGACATGTCGAAAACGCTCTCGAGTCTGATCGGGGAGGTCAATAGCCTGTCTCATCGCTCAGGCATTACGCCCGGCCCATCGGACGATCCCAACAAGCCCGCCGATCCAGTCTCACAGATCACGGCAATCCTCAATGCTCATCTGAGCAGCTTACAATCCATCGAGTCTCAGACTGAAGGATTGAGGAAACAAGTCGACGATCTCGAGTGGCGGATCAAGGGCGTAAGTCAAAGCGATTGGAAGGGACTCGAATCCGGCTCGCAGAGAGGTACACCACGAGCACAACGCGTGCTCGGACCTGCGAGTAGGACGAACAGTCCGGTTGTGCGCAGTAATCTCTACAGGTGAATGCATGTAGCAACAAGGCCTAACGACGCTCGGTATCGCGATTCTCTCGCGGTACAGAGAAAGCGCATCTACAGATCGAATGAGTGCCATAGATTGTGAGACGTCGAGGCGGACTTACGAGAGAATGAGATGAGCATATGGCAAGCCGTTGATCTTGGCCATCGCTTTCTCTGCAGTCGATCGTTCTTCGAAAGAGACAAAGGCGAAACCTTTGCAGAGTCCTGTTTCCTGATCCATACCGACGTAGATCCTGTGAATCTTGCCGATCCCTCTCACGGCAGAGCCGAACAGCTCCCAGAGATCGTCCTCTGTGGCATCTTCCGACAGATTGGTGACTCGCAGAGTGGGCATATCGTCACGATTGCGAGGACCGTTCATGGATTCGCCGACCCGGTTGGCTGCGCCCGCTCTCATCGAAGGAGGAATATACTTTCCGTCCTTGCTCGTTGAGCCCGGTCCTTCGTCTGCCACACCGGTATCATCTTCTCCTTATGCGACGCGTCAGTCGAGACACAGACGATGAGGGGAGACGAGCGACTGACCATCGCCACCGACGCCGGGCAGACCGCCGAGAGTATCTTTGTAGGGACAGCGAGATGTAAAGTGTTCGCCTTGACACAATCGACAGGTGATTCTCTTCTGAGCGAGTTGGGCTTTCTGCGCTGCGATCCTCTCCTCTTCATCATCCACGGGAGGCTTCACGACGCGTCGCATGTCAGCCTGACAGGCTGCACAGCAAGGGGAGAAGACGTACCTTGAGACCGCCAGGCTGTAGCTTGATCCGTATCGCTTCGGTGATCGTCGTCGTTGCTGCGTGAGGACCGGGTTTGGCACCTTTCTCCTTGCCGAACTTTGGCCAAGCTTTCCGTTCTGCGACGGCATGGTTCACTTGAGTCTTCACGAGTGTCCTCTTGATCCTCCTGGTCACCTGCGACCCGAGGTATGCAAGCGTCAGCTGTGTGGCTGAGCCAACCGTCGAGTGACATGCCTTGACTTTCTTGCCATCCTCGTTGATTTTGTATTCGACGACGGTAGTCACTCCGTCCGGTCCGACAGTCGTCTGGATCTCAGGCAAGGTGATTGCCTCGTCTGCGAGGCAACGCAGAGCACTGTCAGCAATGAAGCCGAGTGATGACGGTCGTCTGCTCGCCTTCACCATCGTCTGCCCAGCTCTTGACCGGTCTGCGCGGGTCAAAGCTGCATCAGTCGACGTAGCATGGCCTACAGCATCCAACTCACGCATCTACTGGTCCTGGAGCCATCTTGTCGTGCCGCTCCGATCGATCAAAGTCTCCCTCGGTGGATCGCCAGGTGAGCCACGCGTTGGAATTTTTCTAAGAGCTCGCCAGGCTTTGGAGCAAGGCTGCGAGGGCTGACATGGCCATGCTCCCTCTGTCGAGATGTCATGCCTGCTCACTGACATCACAGCTCGAGCTGCTGGCTCTGGGCGGACCGAGGACGGCGGCAGTGAAGCAGCAGAGACGAGCCTCCTCAGCCTCCACTTCACGGTCTGATCGACCTCGTCCTGCTGCAAGAGTCCAGCCTCAAGCGAGCACAAGCACGACCCGGTCACAGTCATCGCTCGTGAGTGATCTGGCAGGGTCGAGCAGTACGACAGGTCGATCAAGGCGATCGCCTGCAGCAAATGTGCGAGCTCCTCTGGGGAGACTGTACATGCCGAGCACACAAGAGGTCGTCGACGGCCTAGCACACGCTTGTCTGCCTCTCCGACTCGTTCCCCAAAGCATAGGCACAGCAGACCGGGTGGAGTTGCTCATGCTGAGGATAGTGACCCACAAGAGCGCGGCCGGCTCAACAGGCAATCATAACGGTCGTCTCGCATTTCTAGGTCAGCCGCCGAGCCTGAGCGTTACAAAGCGTGTGATCAACTAAACTTATCTGACAGGACGGAGATTGCTGAGAGGCTACACCTCCATTTTTCTCCATCAGCACGCGACCCTCTTGCCCGCTCAGCTCAATGGCGATCATCTCGACAAGCTGCTCAATCAGTACGCTCTGGGCAATACGGACGGTCCCGCCAAGCGTCTCTCGCTCGAGAAGATCATGAGATGGCGATCTGTCGTCGATCCGCAGGGACTCGAGACGGGTCTGTTCAAGTGCAGGGGCATGGCTCTCGAGGCGCTCTTAGGCGCTATCTTCTTACAGCTGGTAAGTCCCTTGCTATCGTCGGTGATGACTCACCAATCCAACGCGGTCCGTGACTCGCAGGGCGCCTTTGAGAGTTTGCGCTTCTACTCGCTCAAGATTTTGCCCTTCTTGGCGCTACCGCCTCAGCTCCGAGCAGCCTCGTCCTCAGCCTCCCAGGACCTGTCCCTCTTTGTCTCACCGCGGCCAATGCCAAGCATGAGCAGTCCGGCCGATCTGACAGGGCCAGTCACGAGTGGATCTGCCACGACATCTGCGCAGATAGATTGACAATAGAATAAAGCTGTATGATTACAAGATGGTGAGAGGCAGACACGAGTGGGTATACGACAAGATTGATTTGCATGAGTTTTTATCTCTCTTTCCCCCTTTCTTGCTTTGCTCTGCCGCTCCTCGTCCGGCTCGGGTGGTGTACAGTCTCGCGGATTGAAGACGGAGATTAAGCGAGAACGATAGCGGCACCGGTCGCTATGCCTAGACTGACAAGGGCCATCAAACCAGTCGGAAGACCGAAAGAAGGTGCGACGAGACGTTTTGCAGGTGCAGACTGCGCCATGCGCTCTCGTTCAGTCCGTGCACCCCGTGTACCACAATGAGAGAGAGAGACTTGCCTGGAGATTATTAGTGACGGGCAAGAGATTGCTTGCTGACCCCGAGGCAGCTTGTGTCAGTGTACCTGTGGGTGGGATCGTCGACAGTGGGATGGAATAAGAGAAGCCGCCATTGGCAGAATTGACGTTGGTCAGAGTGGTCGTGGAGACCTGGCTGGCAGATGCACCCGAGGCAGTGGGAATGAACGTCGTCGGCGCCGAATAGAACGTCACCGTCGTGCCATCGATCACGCTCGTCTGAACGCCCTCAGTATTCGTCAAGCCTTGTCCGACCTGAGCAAAGACAGCGAGACGAAGGAATGAGTCTGGTGTGGCAAGTCTGTAGAGGGAGAGCATCGGCGTACCGCGAGGCATGCCAGGCTACTGAGCGCTAGCCACACAGACCACCGTTGTGATGATATACGCATCCTGTCCGAGCCTGTCCTGCAACGAGACACGGCCGACTCGATTCTGTCTTTGGATCGCCCACAAAAGGCGAGCGGGGTATCTCCGGCAATTACTGTTTCGCGCGCGACCCGACGTGACGGTCAAACTTTTGACGGCCAACCTATGCTACTGCGACCGGCCTGCCGTCTGAGGCCATCAGCAGGACGCAAGTATGTCCATGCAGGCCGGCCACCGCCAGATCCAAGCAAGACGCGCTCTGGACAACTCCTCGCGCAGAGTATAGGTCAGACCGCCCAGTCGCAACGGTGGCTCATCTACGCCGGTCTCTTTGCTTCTGGCTACTTTCTCTCCTCCCTCTACCCGGCGCCACAACCTAGACTGCTCGCCATACTCTTCCCGCGCGATGCGCCGGCATCGCCGAGCGATGAGTCGCCCGAAGGAAAGCGACACGTCGAGATGATTGAGCAACAGCTACAAGATCTGCCAATCATCCGGCAATTGCGCTCAGAGACGACTGCCAAGCAAGGCGAGGCAATGTATAGAGAGAGCAGACCGCATCTACGCTTTCCTGAAGCGAAAAGGATCCATTCGCTCACGAGTGGAACGCTCCGTGGTCCTGGGAAACTCGCCGTGGCACCCATTGTGTTCAGTACGGCAGACAACAAGCAATCTGTCATGGTCGTTCATGTTGGGAGAAGTCTGTGCGGGCATGAGTGCGCAGTCGATCCTTTGGGTGCATTCTGCGATGAGCTGACGTGTGCAAAAGCGGAATCGTTCATGGGGGATTGCTGGCCACCCTCATGGATGAATCCATCGCGAGACCGGCCATCCTCGCTTTACCTAGCAAGCTGGGCGTCACTGCCAATCTGACCATCAACTATCGAAGTCCCGTCTTTGCAGAGTGCGTCGGTCCAGCCTCCAGGTTGCAGGGCGCTGATTACCTGAGAACAGTCAATTCGTCGTCGTCAGAGTCAACTCGGACAAGATAGACGGGCGCAAGTCTTGGGCCAGCGGCAGCATAGAGGATCTCAACGGCAAGCGGCTCGTCGATGCAGAGTGCGCCAGATCGCCTTCAGCTCGTTCGTCAGCTGACAGTTGTCTGTGCGCACAGAGCCCTGTTCATCGAGCCTCGTATGGCCAAGTTTCTGTCCAATTCTGCTGTACGAGAGATTCTCGAAGCATGAAGAAGCTCGCGCCATTCGCGCTTCGCCTCGGGATGTAGCAGATAGGCTCAGACTATTGAGCTACATCTGGTGTTGGACTGAGCATCCGCGTCCTTCACCACTGCGCGCGCTGGGCGTCACGCCAATAGGCAACAGGCTCGAGATGAGACGGATCCAGGGTCTGCCCACGACGGTGTCCCGTGAGTATCCCCAAGAAGCTCTGGACGGCCACTGAAGCTGCGGTGAAGGACCCACCGAGGCAGATCTCGCCAATGCCGTAGGCGCACTGACGAACCCCAAAGAGACACCGCTCTGTATCTGTACCATTCCAGGCTGCTATCGACCTTTCCCAGATCTCACTAAGCTCAGAACGCACAGAAAGGTAGGCCACCAGCGGCCGGACAAGACGGACGGAGCCTTCTGGAGTGAGGTGCTTTGCTGGGCAGAGACGAAGCAGGCCGAGCTACGACGACTTGCAGCTCTTGAGCAACCGGCTCAACCTCACCGAACCCAGCAACCAGTGTATCAACAGCCGATGTATCCTCAGCCAATGGTCCAGGAGTCCATGCAATACGACCAGCAGGCAATCTTCCAACAGCAGGCCTATTTCAATTCTATGATGATGGGCGGCACCGCGCTCTCGCCTGAGCAGATCCAAGCGCAACAGCAACTGCAATTCATGGCGATGCAGATGCAAATGATGATGGGCACCATGCCAGCTCAGCCGCACGGGTACCGGTAGCGATACACAGACTATGTAGTTTTGTTGTACATCATGCGCATCTGTTGTATCAACAACGTATCAATCGTATCCGCCTCCGCTACGAAGTTTCTGCCTTCTATTGCCTTTGAAATGCTTCTTGCCACTTTGACCAGGTCCGGCCTGGAAAGTCATCTTGTTGGGATCGACAGGCGTGCCGTCATCGTTCAACCTGTTTTGGATGGCGTACATGCCTACTCGAGCAGTCGACCGGCCGCCATTGGCTGCCGCACCGCCCATGAATTCGGGCATGTACATCCTCGATGATGTAGTGAAGAAGCCAGCATCAAGGTTCTGCGCTTTCATCGATCGTTTGCTCGGCCCGCGCATGCTCATCCTCGTCGAAGGCGCAGCAGTCGATGCCACGTCTCCTCCTTCTTCATCGTCAGAGTCTGGCTCGTCGGGTACCGGAATGAAAGTGTCAGCTTCTCTACCGACGCGAGTGATTGGCGCTTGCTTCTTTCTGAGCTTATCGAGCGAGCGCAGTCGTTCGAGATCTCTATTCTCGTAATTGAAGGTAGCATCATCTATGCCCGGCGGAGGATGACAGTAGATCAGCTTGCCGTTGACGTAATCTTTGAGCACGTAGCGTGCGGAGCGAGACTCGTCGGGATTGCCCATGCCGGCCGTAAAAAACCCGCGAGCAACGGAGTAGGCTGCTAGAAGCTCAGAGGAAGTCGGTACGCCTGTTCCGCCTTCATCGATGGGCAGCGTGACGATTCGCAAGCCATATGTCGCCTGAAGGACATCGTGTGGTATCCGCTGGGTGACAAGACTGACGGGACCGGTATGCTCGCGCATCTGATCAATGGGTAGCACGCCGTCACAAACGAGCTGTGCTTTGGTCGATGCGAATTGAGGAAAGACGAGACCTGGACAATCACATAGAATGATATCGTCTGAGAGATGGATAGTCTGATAGTTTTTCGTTTTGCCAGGTGTCGAAGAGACGGAGACCTTCTTCTCGCCGATGAGCGCGTTGATGGTCGAAGACTTGCCGACATTGGGGTAGCCCACCAAGCCGACGATGAGCTTCGTCGGTGTCGAGCCATCTTCTCGTCGAAACTCTGGTGTTTCCTTCAGCATCGCAACGAAACGGAGAGAGAGAGCGACGACATACCATTGAGATCAGGCGCCTCTTGCAGGAAGAGCTCCTCGAGCTCGAGCACACTCAGCACACGGGTCTTATCTCGCGCTGGAGCTTCTTGCAACCTCGCGATCCTTGCAACGGTGTCTGCAAGAGCTTCGACTTGCCCGTCCTCGTCTTGCTCGTCTTCTGACGTCCAGCCATCTTCAGCGTCGTCAGTGTGCGCAGCTGCAGTGGGCTTAGGTAATGCTGTGTCATCGTCCAGGAGCTCAGATCCTTCGTCACTATCCAGATAAGCCGCATCTTCGTCCTCTTCGTCTGACAGCGTTTCCTCTTCGAGAGGTGCGAGCATCGCTGCACGCTCTTCTTGCAGCGCAGCAGCATCTGCAGCCGAAAAGAATGCATAGGCTATGCCTAGCCGATCAAAGTAGTCAGCCCAACCTTTCCTGCGCAGATTTGACCCTTCAGCTGGGCAAGACAGACAGATGATACGATGCGACTGACCTCTGGGTGTGGGTCAGCAGATCGCTCTTGTTGACGAGTATGAGCGATTTGCGTTTACCGCGATCGCTACCGTCCTCGTTCGTGCTGACCTCTTTGACATATGTCTCGAGATCCTCGCAGCGAAAGTTGAGGGGATTGCGCGCATCGACGATCTGAACGATGAGATGCGATCGCTCGAGTGTGCGCCATAGTTGTCGCCAGACAGACAGGTTGCGCTCAAAAGGAGTCAGCAGGAGCTGTTTCTCATCTGACAGTTCTGCCAGTCCACGCCGCCATTCCAGGAAGCTGTCCCTCTCTCGACGCTCGAGGACGTCTTTGCTCATATCTTTTGTCCAGCCTGGCCGTCTCGGTACTCGCAGTCGTTGCCGATTTTCCTTTTGCAACGAGTTGACGCGCTCTTCTTGCTCTGGCGTGAGCAGGTACGGATTCTTTGAGCTTGCAGAAGGTGTAGAGATGACAGTGATATTCCTGCGTTCTGTAGGTTCGATGAGCTCAGCAGCTCGAGCGCTCGTCCGGACTTGCCTGCTGCAAAATCTGTTCCCGCCAATTGCGCCGTGTTGAGGAAAGCATCGAGATCTGTTTCTTGTGTGACACTGTGCAAGCCACTCGGGAGACTACTGGTATGCTGTCCAGCGAGCGCTGCCTCAGCTCCGTGAAGACTGCTGAGAGAGACAGCAACGGACGAGCGCTTCTTCATAATCTCGAGCTCTCTGCTTTGCCCTATTGTTGATGATCGCCTTGCCCAATCCTGCCTTGTTCTTCTGAGGCCCTACATGTCTGACCACTCTCGGTCTGTCGTACACCTTTGCCATCGCTCGAGCCGGAACACGGGATCAGCCAGAAATGTCGTTGGCCACCGGGCGGCCGACTTGCGCTTGATCGCGTAATAAAAAGGAGAATCGAGGCGAGTCGAGTCGAGTCACGAGCCTGACCAGCGACGAGCCGGAGAGATGCCAGCACCGAAGCAGGTCGGTTTCAAAAGCATAGTCAGCTGTCAATGCTGATCCATGATGATCCCGACAGCCGCCATCGACATTGTACGACAAGCTTTTCGCTCTGCATACCGTCAGAGAACAGGACGATGGCACTTGCCTGCTTTACATTGACAGGCACATTGGTCAGTGATCAGTGCCTCTGTCTTGCGCCGGCTGACAGTCTGACTCAGTCCACGAGGTCACATCGCCACAAGCGTTCGAAGGCCTCCGCAACGCCAAGAGGACTGTCCGGCGTTTAGACTGCACGCTCGCCACTACAGACCACAACGTCCCCACGAGTTCGAGGACGAACTTCAAGTCCGTCAAGACGTTCATCAAGGAGGATGACTCCCGCATCCAGTGCGAGACCCTCGAGGACAACGTCAAGCTCTTCGGCTTGACTTATTTCGGCATGGCTGACAAGCGACAAGGCATCGTCCACGTCAGTCTGACTCGCGCTATGCTGCACTCCATGCTGAGCGCGTGTCGAGCAGATCATCGGACCAGAGCAAGGTTTCACACTTCCCGGTACCACCGTCGTCTGCGGTGACTCACACACTTCCACCCACGGTGCGTTCGGTGCGCTTGCTTTCGGCATTGGCACTTCCGAAGTCGAGCACGTCTTGGCGACCCAGACCGTCCTCCAGAAACGATCAAAGAACATGCGTGTGCGTATCAATGGCACCCTCAACGAAGGCATCACTTCCAAGGACGTCATCTTGCATACCATTGGCGTCACCGGTACAGCAGGCGGGACAGGCTCCGTCGTCGAATTCTGCGGGTCTGTCGTGGAGAACCTCAGCATGGAAGCAAGGATGTCAATGACCAATATGTCTATAGAGATGGGCTCAAGAGCAGGTACGCCACACTTGCAGAGCACATGACGCATCACTAAGCCGATCTGACGCGCAGGTCTAATCGCCCCCGATGAAACCACTTTTGCCTACCTCAAGGGCCGCCCTCTCGCGCCAAAGGGTGACGAGTGGGAAGCAGCCGTGAAGCATTGGCGGACGCTCAAATCTGACGCCGATGCGCATTTCGATACGACTGTCGATATTGACGCCCAGGATATCGAGCCTACTGTCTCGTGGGGTACGAGTCCACAGGACGTGACCAGCATTAGTGGCAAAGTACCCGACCCAGAGACCGTCTCAGATCCGGCAAAGAAGAAGAGTATCTTGCGCGCTCTCGAATACATGGGTCTCGCGCCAAACACGCCAATGGATCAAATCAAAGTCGACAAGGTCTTCATCGGATCTTGCACAAACGCCCGCATTGAAGATCTCCGATCTGCTGCAAGAGTAGTACAGGGTCGCAAAGTGGCAGACCACGTTTACGCCATGGTCGTGCCTGGATCAGGCCTCATCAGACAGCAAGCCGAGAAAGAAGGCTTGGCGAGGATCTTCCGCGAGGCAGGCTTCGATTGGCGAGAGGCAGGCTGCAGTATGTGTCTCGGTATGAATCCAGACATGCTCTCGCCTCAAGAACGATGCGCATCCACATCCAATCGCAATTTCGAAGGCCGACAGGGTGCCGGAGGTCGTACGCATCTCATGAGTCCCGCTATGGCAGCAGCCGCTGCCGTAACGGGCAAGCTCAGCGATGTGCGGAAGCTCATGCAAGGTAGACAAGACATCGCATTCGAGCCAGAGATGGATGTTGCCAGCGATGAGGATGTTCCCCATACGAACGAAGCGGCGCCCGAAGGCGACGAACTCGTAGAGGAAGGTACGGATGCTCAAACAGAATCTGCTGCTGCTCCTGCGCCTCAAGCTTCTGTTCCTGCTGGCTTGCCACCTTTTACTGTACTCAAGGGCATCGCGGCGCCCATGGATATCAGCAATATCGACACAGACGCGATCATTCCCAAGCAATTCCTCAAGACCATCAAGCGAACCGGCTTGGGCGTCGCTCTCTTCGATGCATGGCGATATGACTCAAAGACGCACGAAGAGATCCCCTCATTTGTGCTCAACCAAGAGCCTTACCGGCAGGCAAAGATCCTCGTCGTTTCCGGTGTCAACTTTGGCTGTGGCTCATCGCGAGAGCACGCACCTTGGGCTCTCGTCGACTTTGGCATCCGCGCTCTCATCGGCATTTCATTTGCAGAGATCTTCAGCAACAATCTCACCAAGAATGTACGTTCATGACCCTGTGTGTATGACTGAACATACTTACACCAGCTTTGCAGGGAATGTTGCCCGTCGTTCTACCTGAGAAGGACGTCCTCGAGATTGCAGAAGATGCTCGTCAAGGTATCGAAGTCGAAGTCGATCTGCCAAAGCAGGTTGTCCGCCGCTCGAACGGCAAAGAATACCCCTTTGAAGTCAATTCATTCACCAAGCACTGCCTCATCAATGGTCTAGATGGTACGCGCATAGCGCGCTTGCTGTGATCTTGTGCTAATGTTCACGTGGCACAGATATCTCCCTCACGTTGCAGCATGAGAAGGACATCTCGAGCTACGAGTCACATCGATCTGCAACGCGCCCGTGGCTCGATGGTCTCAATTTCAGAGGCAAGGTCCCCGTTGAGCCCAAGACGGCCACAGAGTGGTAATCAAAACAAATGCATCTGCGAGTGCGTGCTGTACGCGGGTATCGATGACATTCTACGATTGCACTGCTGCGGACTGACTCGTACTGACTGGTACTTCTTTTGGCTGACGCTGACTGAATAGCCTGAACCGCCTAGGGGCCAATTTGCCGAGCGTCTTTGGAGTCGATCTTGTCGATGCAGCATCGATCGAATTGGTAGACGCGATGGCTGTAGAACTGATGCTGGGCGAGAACGAGGTGGCAGCAATTGTTGTGCTAAGGTCGCTATCGACAGAGACGCTCTGCTCTTGAGCAGCTTGCAGGTCGCGTGGCGGCTTGCGAGAAAGAAGCGTACGCCTGAACTTTTGCTTCATTGTCGACGACTTCACAGACGCGCTTGCATCCTCGTCCTCGCCATCTATGAATAACGTGATGGGCCGCGGCGGCGGTGGTGCTGTTCGTCGAGCACCTGGCGGTAGTGTTGCAGAGTTTGCCAGAGGACTGCTATCCCGTCTCTACATGCTGTGTTAGCTCACGCGATCGTATAGTCAAGATGGAAACACACGATGACGCCTGGACGTGATCTTTGACCGCCGTCGGAGGCTGTGCTGAGACTTGCTGAGGATTGTGTGAGCCCGCTCGCTCTGAAGGGCCGGCTGCCTTGCGAGGACAAGCTAGCGGGCAGAGAGGAAGGACTGCCGTGGTGTACACTCGACCTGGTCGCTGCTGCGGGATTGCTATTCGAGTACAAAGCTGACGCTCTGTAATGCATCGCCATTGGATCTGGCGCATAGACAATTGCCGCGTCAAAAGCAGATACATTGTTGAAGGATGCGCCCCAAGGATCCGTAAGGTCGAGCACGTTGGGGAGCGCGAACTTGTCTGGCAACGGCTTGGCGCGACCAGATGACATCTGACTGGTTCTGTCTGTGAAGCTGGACAAGTTCGGTAGTGATTGCTTTGCTGCTATTGACCGACGAGAGCCGAGCGAAGGCAAGGCGAACGGCCGCCTTTCTGACGACGACGGCGAAACGGGCGGGCTCGTGGAAGGTCCAGGCAGAGCAGCATAAAATGAAGGAAAGCTTCCGGGCGCAGGCCTCTCGTCCGTCCCAAGTGCGGTCATGTCTGGCATAACCGACATCTGGACGTATAAGTCAGTACAAGGGTCATAAATCATCTGACGAGACAGACTCTATTGGCTCTATCGAGTGGTCTCTCCGTCGCATAGGGATCGTGCACGCGTGCGAGGCTTTCCACCGCTTGATCTTGCACGACGGGAGATGGCAGAGCATCTGCGATGGACTGCGAGTGTGGTGGCGAGGGTGTACGCCTTATGTGAGTGGGCAGTGGTGCTGTTCGTGGTTCCGGCAGAGGACTGCTGGTCTGCAAAGCCAAAGAAGCTATAGACTCAGAGTCGTGCTTTGGCGATGTCGAGCGCGCTGAAGATAAGCTGAAGGCGGTTGATGGCTTGCTGCGCAGAGTCCATTTACTCGTACGAGGCGTGATCTCGACATGAGACGGCTGATGCAGAGGTATTTTTGGGAGTGCCTTTGCTGGCTTGGCGCGCAGATTACCAAGACTTTTTGCTTTCAGTATCGACTTGGGCTGTCTGACTGTGACGGTGGGCGAGGGCGGCTCGATGGGAGACTCCTCTGTCACGACGAAGGGCGTGCTTTGTAGCTGGAGCGGCGCTGGTCGAGCCTCGATCTGCTTGAGCGAGACCTGGGGAGCCGACTCACTTCGCCTGAAGCTAGTGGGAGCTCGTACAGTCGCCGGGCTGTCGAAGGCGTGCTCCAGCTCGTGCGGCACAGACGAGCTCAGACCTGAATGTGAGACATCGGATTGTGCGGAGACGAAGGATCCACTCGACAAAGTAGACAGAGGCCGCCCACTTGTTTCCTCTGTTGTCGGATTTGCCGCAGCTCGCGCATCAGACAGAAATTCGGCGTCAAGAGAGTGTGTGCTGTCTGAGCTGGTGGGCGAGCTCGCGTATGATTTCGGACTCGTGCTAGTCTTTGGAGACGGCGGCCGCACTGATCTGCGTATTTCGGGCGACAGTAAACCGGAAGAAGCAGAGCCAGGTGACGGCAACGAGTCAGGACTCCACTTTGAAATCCGCCTTTGTCCTTTTGCACTCCTTCGTGGCCGCGAAAGATCATCAGCCAGTAGCTCTGGCGAGTCGAATATTTGCACGGGTATGGTCGGGCCAGGCAGACCAGAGGCGACGGGCATGGTGAGCGTGAGGATGGGTCGCGCTGGCTTGATTGCTACTATCTCTTCGACGGTCTGATCTTCACACGTCTCGCTAGACCGCAGAGAGGAGCTGCTCTTTCTCAGTGCGATGCTCGGTCGTGCCGAGATGACGGAATCTGACAGAGAAGCATACGAAGCTGCGCTCGAGTCACTCGAGCTCGACGTGGAACGCGTCAAAGCGGGAGGTGTGAGCGTGGCGTGGCTCGCAAGCCGGCTGTCAGTAGGCTGGTCAATATTGTTGCTCGACAGCGATTGAGTGAGTGAGCCGAACGAGGACGTCGACGCTGACTTGATGGGTGGCCTACTGTAGCTTGACAGCGAGTAGTCTATTGTGAAGTGAGGGAGTGGCGCGTCCATCGTCGTTCTACTGGCCACGGCAGTGCACGCCCGAGCACACCGTCTGATCTGGACTTTTGTTCTCTGCCCTTAGCAGGACCGAGGTCCGCTGCGGCGCAGCATTGGCACTCAGCTTGTCCGTCGCGGGTTTGCGCTTGGACCGAACGCGCTCGGAATTCACGTGATCAGCTCAAGGTCCGCTTTCTTCCGACAGACGACGATTCTGCGTTTGCAATGCTTTCCTCAAAGCGCTTAGCGGCGTCCTCCTCGAGCTTGCTTCGGTCACGAATGGTCAGCGGCTGCGCACAGCCTGGCGCCAAAAGTCAAAGCCCACGGCACTTTTCGGCTTCTGCCCCTAATTGGCAGGTCCGTCGACTTATGCTTGCGTCTGTCTGCACACTCAAGGACCCGAGGGAGCGCACAGGAGTACCGAATCGAGCGGGATACGTTTGGCGAGCTCAAAGTGCCAGCGGACAGATACTATGGCTGTCAGACACAGAGGCTCGTCCGACCGCGACATTTGCCCAATGCAAGCTAAACGGTTGCCATTCGGCCGACAGGTCACTGCAGAACTTTGACATCGGCGGCGAACAAGAGAGAATGCCTGTACCGCTCATCAAAGCATTCGGCATCCTCAAAAAATCCGCCGCAAAGGTCAATATGACTTATGGCCTCGACGAGCGGATCGGCAAGGCAATCCAGGATGCGTCAGATGAGGTGTGTCGGCATGGGCTTGCCGGGTGTCCACAACTCACAGAGGAAGGGTGCAGGTCATCTCTGGCGAGCTTGCAGATCACTTTCCACTTGTCGTCTTTCAGACCGGCTCAGGCACGCAGACCAACATGAACGCGAACGAGGTGCACCCAAAGCATGCGCGAGTATCACAAGCTGACCTATAGCGTCGCAGGTCATCTCCAACAGAGCGATAGAACTGCTGGGCGGCGAGCTAGGAAGCAAGAAGCCCGTTCACCCGAATGATCACGTCAATATGTCGCAGTCCTCAAACGACACGTGAGCTGGCAGAGCTCTCTCATCACGTCGGTGCTGAAAGAGAGTCGCTGAGACCACAGCTTTCCTACGGCAATGCATGTTTCTGCCGTCATGGAGATCAGCAACAAGCTTCTGCCGAATCTGACTGGCCTCAGGGATGCAATGGCAAAGAAAGCAGACGACTTCGAGCACATCATCAAGATCGGACGGACGCATCTGCAAGATGCTACCCCTCTCACGCTTGGACAAGAGTTCTCTGGCTACGTACAACAATTGAGCAACGGAATAGAACGAGTGAAGGATGTCTTGCCGCGACTCTCAATGCTAGCACAAGGCGGTACTGCTGTCGGCACCGGGCTCAACACGCGCAAGGGCTTCGATGTCAAAGTAGCGGAAGCCATTTCGAAAGAGACCGGCCTCCCCTTCAAAACCGCACCTAACAAGGCATGTAGCCTTGCATGATCAGACAGGAGTCGCTGACTGCTTGAGCATCTGCAGTTCGAAGCGCTCGCGACGCACGATGCGGTTGTGGAAGCAAGCGGCGCAATGAACACGCTGGCCGTGTCCTTTATGAAGATCGCAAACGACATTAGATACCTTGGCTCTGGACCCCGATGCGGTCTTGGCGAGTTGAGCCTGCCAGAGAATGAGCCAGGCTCTTCCATCATGGTACGCCTGGCATCATGACATTCTATGGGCTTGCTGATCCGGTTCGATAGCCTGGAAAAGTCAACCCAACACAATGCGAAGCCGTCCGTCGAGCTTTCTCTGCTTCCGCCTTTAGGCTGACAGAGTCCCCTCGCAGCTCACAATGGTTGCTGCGCAAGTCATTGGCAATCACACTACGATCAGTGTCGCCGGCTCGTACGGTCAATTCGAGGCAAGAACCAGGGCGCTTTCATGAGATACTGGCTGACGCGTGCTTGCAGCTGAACGTCTTCAAGCCCGTATTGATCAAGAACCTACTACAGTCGATCCGATTGCTGTCTGATGGCGCCAAGTCTTTCAACGAGCACTGCGTCGTCGGTATCACCGCCAACGAGAAGCGGATAGGTCAACTGCTCAACGAGTCTCTCATGCTCGCAACTATCTTGAACAAGCGCCTCGGCTATGACAGTAGGCTTCACCTGTCTGGCTTGATCCCAACGCTGACAGGGAGTCCAGATGTTGCAAAGTGCGCCAAGAAGGCTCACAAGGAAGGCACAACCCTCAAGGAGGCTACCCTTTCGCTCGGACTGCTCAGGTATGTTTCCAGATGCAGACAAAGTTTGCTTTGCTCACTGCGAGCTCATACAGCTCCGAGGAGTTTGACGAGACCGTGCGACCAGAGCTCATGCTCGGACCGACTGCCTAGATTTTTGTACGCTCGTGATTGTAGCGCTGAGCTAGACGCGTCGTCTTCTTTGCCGCCGCTACTCGACCCGATAGCAGGCGCAGGGTGGCAAGTCATGGCAGTACAGGCAGCAGAGAGGCCGCTGCATGCCTTTGTGACGTTCTTGAGCAGCGATGCGTACCTCGCAGGCGCTCTGGTGACACTACAGTCGCTCAAAGAGGCCGAAGGAAAGATACCCGCTGTCGACTACGAGACCGTCTGTCTGGTAGTCGCAGAGAAGTTACGCTACGAGACCATCCAAGCTCTGCAGGCAGCTTTCGACTATGTACTGTCTGTCGAAGAGATCCAGACGAAGAATTGGTCGGAGCTGGATTTGCTAGGTAGGTGTCCATTTGCTCGACGTCATAGCTGCTGATCGCCTCCTTGCCGGCTGCTCAGGTCGACCAGAGTTGGCGGGAACACTGACGAAGCTGCACACCTGGCGACTGGTACAGTACCGCAAAGTGATCTACCTCGACGCAGACACGCTCGTGCTTCGACCACTGTCGCACCTGTTCAAGCTCAAGGACACTTTCTCAGCTGCGCCAGACTCTGGCTGGCCAGACTGCTTCAACTCGGGCGTCATGGTCCTTTCACCTTCGTTGGATACTTTCGCTAGCCTGGCCGACATGTCTCAGCAACGGGGAACCTGGGATGGCGGCGATCAAGGCTTGCTAAACGACTTCTACCCCGACTGGAACCGCTTGCCCTTCACTTACAACGTCACGCCCACCGCGCATTACACGTGCGCCTCTTGCTTCACAACGCTACCGCTAGCGTTGACGCAGACTCATCTTGCACAGATACACCCCCGCGTACCGACGGCATGGTCAGGAAATCTCTGTGCTTCATTTTATTGGTCAAAACAAGCCTTGGTCAGCGTCCGGCAGCCGATCCGCTTCGAGCAAGGCCTACCATCAGCGTGAAAACTTGCGTGACTACAACGAGATGGTTGCAAGCTGGTTCGACGTCTTTACGCGTCACTACGGATCTGTGGAGCCATCTCAAGTCGCGAGCGCGATCGCGCCCAAGCTGCCTTCGCCCGCTCGTCGTACGTCCTTGCGTACCAGCCTTACAGAAGCTGATGCCATGCGCAGACCTACCTGCGAATGGCCGGCAAGCAGGTGTGCCCGCCGCCAATGTAGGTCCTCAGAAACCTCTTTCACCACCTCTGGTCAATTGGGATCCTGCACGCGCCTCGCCTCCGAAGGATGGGGCACCTCAGATGCAAGGCACCTTCAACGACTTTTACGAAAACGCATGGGATGCGCCTTCCGGCTCTGGACAATTCTTCGAAGTGCCCGAGTATGGCGCGATTCCGGCCCACCTCAGGGAAGAATACAGACAGTCGATGCAAGCTTCCGATACGACTGCTCGAGTCTTTCCTTGGGAATCACAACAGCCCAAACGAGCCAGTCGCAGATTTCCGGATGATCCTGCCGGCGCTGCAAGTACCGTCAAATCTAGCTCGCCGCAGCCACAGAGTACCACGATTGGCAATGACATGACCTACAGCAGCAATGCCTGGGATGATATGCCAGGAATCAGACAGTACGCCCGTAGGCTCGACCAGCAACAACACCCTGCCGCGCGATCGTTCGCACCAGAGACGCCTGCGCCAGGAAAGTCATACGCACGTCGCGGAAGTGCCCAAGCCCAGACAGCAAACGGCAGCTCTGCTGGCAAGTCGTCAGCGAACAAGGTAGCAGGGCCCGGTGATACATACGAGACAAGCAGTCAAGTCAGCAGTGGAGATGGAGATGATGAAGGAGCAGAGGATGAGGATTCGCCGAATTCTACGCCTCGGCTGGGCCCTTCACCCAATGACGATCGTCCTGGACCTCCACCGTCCAACGCGAGACCGTATGTACGTCGTGCCGATGGTTCCGCTGGTTCGATGAGCCGACTACCGACCGACGCCTCAGCTGCCGTTAGCGCCAAGTCTGACAGCGCTGACGCATCAATGCTGACGGTCAACGACATCAACCAGGCAATGTCACAAGCACAAGGGCCTGGCTACGCGCGCACCCTGTCGAGCGGGACGGACAGCACCGTCAGCAGCAATCCAAAACGGATGAGCCATCAGAGCAAGTCCAGCAGCGTGACAAGCGTCTCACCTGCTTCGCCTGCGACTCAGATGCCGCCGACGGTAGGCAGGGTGTTCAGTGATACGACGGATACGGCGCATGTGAAGAAGGAAGGCCTCGAGGCTTTACAGCGATTGGTGCACACGATGAATTCGCAGAGTAATTCACCGGCTGCTGCTACGCCTCAGCCCGAGACCTGAATGATGTCGAGAAAATGCATGAATTCGAGAGTCTGGTGCAAGCTGCTGCTGCCTCATGGTGAAGTGACGCGGACAGTCATGTCTGAGATACTGAGATTGCATGTAGAAGCACAAGCTATGTCTCTTGCTAGCTGAAGGTCCTCGTGGGCTTCCCATCTCGAAAGCTGACCATCCCGGCGCAGTCGTCTAGCAGATGTCACAGCACTCAACGCAGCCGCCTGCAGATGCTCGGGTCAGCCAGACGGAGGCGTTCTATAGCTGAGATCACTTGCCTGGCTTCACGTTCAGACTCGAGCAGAGCGAGGATATCGTTATCTCGGACGGGTCCCTTGACGTTCCTGATGATCGAACGAGACTGGTCGTCCATGAACTCGACTCTGACCTGGGTGACACCGCCTCGCGATCCCGTTCGGCCTAGAACTTTGGTGACCTTTGCCAGCTTGACTGGTGTCTTACTTGAATCCTGCGCGGCACATCTTGGCGTTAGCTTCTGCTCCCGATAGCATTGTAGCCACTGCTCGTCTACAAGCGTGCACGCGAGCGCAACCTCGAGATGAGGCGCTGTCGAGTTGCAGACGTGACAGGGTACATCTTGCACGCTTGGAGACGATGACAGAACGCCTTGCAGCTCACCATGTTGACGGTTCGAGGCTCTGGCAGGTCGTCGAAATTTGAACGAGCCACCAATTTGTTTTCATCTGACTCGCTCATTCAAATTGACTCGTCATGCACTCGTGGCAAGTCGATCGCACGCAGCTCTTGACGAGTCCTCGAACACCTCAGTAGAATGCCCCTACGGTGATCCGTACATCGCCAAGCTCAGAGCAAACCAAGATGGCGTCTGCATCTGCAGACAAGACGCTGGCCGAGCTGCTGCATCTCGATCCTGCCGTGCTCGTAGGCGCAGCAGCGTCGGGCATCATCGCCAGGACGATCTGTCATCCGCTGGATACGATGCGGATACGCATTCAGACTGCCAAAGGATCTACTCTGCCGCCTTTGCGCGAGCTGCTGCCCACGCCTCGAATACGTCTTTATGCGGGCAAGACGATCAATGACTTGGCTCTCGTACTCCACTGACACATTGCCGTAGGATTGCCTGTCGCTCTAGCAGTCGGCGTGCCAGCCTTGACAGCATATCTGTCTGTCTTTGAAGGCAGCAAGAGCCTGATCATGCGCAAAGTCAACCCGGACGATTCGCTGATACACCAGCTGCCGATCTTTGTGACGGCGGCGATCATGGCCCAGCTTAGCTCTGCCGTCATCTGGACCCCTCTGGACGTGTTGAAGTCGCGTTTGCAGGCAGGCAGGGACGGCACGAGCGCGTTGAATTTGCTCGTCAAGATCTACAAGACCGAGAAATTACGCGGCTTCTATCGAGGCTATCTCATGAGCACCGCGCTATTCGGGCCTCAGCTGTCTGCCTATTGGACGTGCTACGAAATCCTCAAGGTAAGCTTTATTCTTCATGACCACTCCTCGATCTCATTTCCGTGCTCGCAGAAACGATTAATACCAGGCTATTCTACACGCACGAGCAACGCGCCGCCCGCATCAAAGCTTGGCCTCACAGAGACTGAACTCATGCTGCGCTACATGGCTTCGTCCTCTATTGCATGCGCTACAGCGGTCACCCTGACGAATCCATTGGATGCGGTCACGGCGCGATTGCAGACTTCAGGCGGGAGATACGGCGGTGTTCGGAACATCGTCAAATACATGTGGACTCACGGCGGCCTCAGCGCATTCACACGAGGCATCAAAGTGAGGATAGCCTACGCGATACCATCCAATACCATCTCGATGCTCGTTTATGAGCAAGTCAAGCGAAAGTGGAAGCGGCTAGACTCAGAGTGACGAACAGCAAGTATGTAGCGATAGACAAGCCCATCCCTGGGCGCTCGCAAGTGTATGTACAGCAATGACAGCAACAGCAGCATCTAGAAGTCAGACCCAATGCATCTTTACAACTCTGCCAGATCTACAGCTTTGCTCTTCCTTCGCCTTCCTCGATCGCTTCTTGCATCGTCTCCATGACTTCTGTCGCTGCTTCCGCGATAAAGTAGCGCAGCCTTTCGACATCTCCAGTCATGCTCGTGATGCAGAACCGGAGTGTATTGTTGTTGACAGAGTACGCAAGGCCTGTGGACACCATGAGCTCTGGACAGGCAACAGAGGAATTGAGGAAGACTTACCGTACCCATCTGGGACTACCTCTGAGTAGCCCCAGCAATCGAACAGCTCAGACGAGAGCTGACTCGTCGAGAGGATCCAGTGGCCTGATAAGCTGTACGATGGATCGTTGTAAAGCTCCGGCAGCTCTTCGCCTTCTTTGAGACACTTCTTCAGACCTATCGAGACTTGTCAGATTTTATAGCCAAAATCAAGGAAGATATGCTCACCAAACAGATGTCGATCGACGCCTTGGCCATCGGCGGCCCAAGTTGCGTACTTGACATGAGCAGCACCTGCACGTCGGAGCAGCTCTAGTCTACGCGGATTCTGCAAAATGGCCTCTTGCTCAGCCCTGCTGAGGTAGGGACAGGTCTGCTTACGGATACGGTCGGGTCTTCCATAGCTTTGCACCAAGCAAGCGCTTCGGGGGTTGCGCTTCGAATGACCTCTGTCCGTCCGAGTTTATACTTGCGCGTCTGGGCGGACTCGTACGTTGGCGCTAGGGAGCCCGTCATTTTGAAGTAGGCGAGCTGCATCACAAGCTGGGTCCACGAGTCTGGGCTCGTTTTGAATTTTTTAATGGCATTCTTGCCGTAACCTTCGTAGTGAAGCACCGTCAGGCGATGCTTGCTCATGAGCTCAGAATGGTCCTTGATTGCTTTAGCGATTGCGGTTTTGGCAGTCGTGTCCAGGGAGATCTTGACTTGTTGCGGTGCCGGCAGATCGTGTTGCGCTGTTCTGGCGCCCAGATCGATCTTGCCCGCTGCAAGAGATCGCAAGAGCCAGTCATTCAAGCGACTTGTCGGCGTGCCGTCCATGCAAGAATGTTCGCCGTTGAAGCCCGACTTGCCATTTTCAAAGACGATGAGCTGGTGCTTGTCGAAGAAGCGATTTTGTCCATCGCCGACCCATAGCTTCCAAGAGACTTCCTCGCGAGTGACCGGACTAGCGTCATCCAGCGCAATGACGATGATAGCCGATTCGATGCGTTCCAGCGCTTTCGCGTTCGATGGATCCTTTGTGATTGCAGTCCTGGCATCTGCCCATTCGTCGCGATTCTGAGTTGTCAAAGCGCCCAGGGGATGCTGATCGGCTTCTTGGCCGGCTAGCTCGATGACTCGATTGTATTGCTGCTCCAGGTCGGCCTGACTTAGCCACTCGCCCTTTGTGTCAACAATCGGTACTTCATAGAACTTATTCTTTCGGATGACAATGACGTGATTGTGTGAATCGGCGTCGAATTTACGAGCTGTATCGACTGGCTTGACGGGATATCGACACGCATTGAACAGGTACTTGTATGAGCTCATACACAGTGGCGTTTGCCGAACCATCTCTGGCTCTAGTTGCTCGCTATGCGGGCGTCAGCTTTAGCTTGGCGGTGCGAGCATAACGACGTACGTCTCGACGAGCTTGCGAAAGTATAACAGCGCTCGTGTTAGACCTGCAGCCCGCAGAGCCGGTGTCGCGCGGTTCTTGTCGGCTTTGTGCATGTAGAAGTAATTCACATAAGGCACAACTGGATCCCGGTAGCCCATGTAGGCTGCCTCATTCCACCAATCCGACAGCCAGTTTTCACTCTCCCGTTCACGTGCACGCAAACGGTTCTGTAGCTCCTTGACAAGCGGAGACGAGACGAATTCCTCGACGATGTGCTGTGTCTTGGCATAAGCCGAGTTGGGTCCGCCGTGCGTCGCATCTGGCGTTCGGGGATCTGCCGAAGAGACCAGTGGCCGGACAGAGTCCAAATATTTGCCAGCCGTTTCTATAAGATTGGGCACCGGCAGTTGAGGCAGCGACTTTTGAAACCTGTACATTGGGCCGACTGAGGAATCAATCTGTCCAACCATCTCTGTCAGTAGCCTAGATGCTCTGAGCTGCCTACGAACGTACGGAATAGCCTGGAGGAGCTTCAGAGGATGATTTCCGGTTAGGTGCCATGTTAGCCTGTCGATGACATAATGAGCTCGAATTTCTACAATGCCGAATGTCTGCCAGCGGACCTGCTTGTAGCTTGCTGCAAGACTGTGTGGACGCAACGAGAAACGATGTAATGCTCTGCCAGGGGCACCTGACAGCATTAGCGCTCGTGAATCACTGCCTGCTGCCGGCAAAGGGTGGCCGGCATTCGCGACATTCGCGAAACTTGCCCGGCAATCTCCGTCAAATTTCAATGGCGAAGTCCATCCTCGTCTGACCATGATCAATGCAAGTGACTGTGGATATACAACGACAAGTAGGGGCTGGCAAGATCTGTGCATTAGTTGTTGGGCTCGGAGAGGGCGTCGGTAGTCTCAGTATACCTGCGCAGAGCATGTCAAATCAAGCCAGCGATAAAACGCCTGTTGCGCTTACCAATTGTCGGGTGAGAGTAGAAAGTAGGCTTCGAGCTGTGAGCGGAACCGGGCTTTGTAGGATTTGGGCGTCACGACGGTTGGTTCCTTGCCGCCGCCACCGAGTAACGTCGACTCCTTTGCCCAAGTCTCGACGCGAGCCGTCCAGGTGTACGTTCGAACGTAGTCGACAATGCCAACGATGAGCTCGTTGCGTTCCGAATCGAGGCCGACGATGAGTGAATAGTCCATGATGTTCATCTTGCTCAAGAAGAGGGAATCGTTGAACAGTGCCGTTCGGAGGAGCTTCTTGCTGTGCTCGCGCAGGTAGACAGGACTGTTGCGGACCACTGCTAACAGGTCAGCCGTCATACTGATGAGGATGGTCCGGAGGACTGACTTCGCGCAAAATTCTCATCGAGCAGGACTTCGTTAGTCTTGCCCGTCGCAGTGATTAGGCGATTCCGCATAGATCCTTTGAGGTCAAAGATCTAGCACTGCTATCAGCATTTCGATATATGATATACGTCATTGCATGATCGCACCTTGTCCGTCTGGCGATGATAGAAGAGGTTCTCGAGCACGAGAACGTCGAGACGCATCGATTTGCCCGTCGTTGGATTCTTGAAGCCAATTCGGAAGAAGCCCAGCATCTTCGCGAGAATGGAAGGATGGTCTGAGACAAACGACTTTGCGATGTAATCAAAATAAGCAGGCGCAAATTTGAGCAGAGCATCCATCTCAAGTCGAGAGATCTCTTTGACGACGAAACGATCATCGCGTGTCTTGAGGAAGGCAGAGCCCGATTTGCCACCGGACGCATCCCATTTGACGCAGCGCGAGAGCGACTCGATGATGGTGTCCTCGCATTGACAGCTCCGGCGCAGCGCATGGAACTGGTCAGCATAAAAGATTTTGCAGTAGAACGTCAAGGCACCATCGACATCCTCTGTGCGCAAGATCAGCTGACCGCAAGCTACGTTCACTGCGCAACATACGCAGCCTGAAATGCTTTGCAGGCGGTCGAGCAATGTCCTCCGGGTCGGCTCCGTCTGGCTGAGAGTCTCGCAGAAGCCAAGTGGGATCACGATCGAGCGCTTTGTTTTCGATATCGTTCGACGATTTTGTGTCTTGACGCGTTGCCGAGCGAGATGATACAACCTCTTTGATCTTATCTTTGTAAGATCTCGAGCTGAGGAAGAAGGCAATGATCGAGCTCGGCTCGTCTTCGCGCACAATGACTGGGTTATTGTCAAAGATATGTTCGGTCGGCAGCCTGCGATGCGCGTCAGCTTGGACGAAAGGGGCCGCACAACCACGTACATTGGATGCTCAAGCGCGGTGAATTCTGATGCGCGGTAGGACCAGAGGTTTGACAGTGTCTTCATGAACGATCGCTCCGTGCCGGTCGAAGACATTTCACTTTCACTGAACACGTGCGGTGGGTTGAGTGAGTCGTGCTGGGCCAACAGCGCAGACTGCTTCTTCGGCGACTTCTCATCCCCTGTGGACAGCATGGACGTCGCTTCGAGGCTGGCTGTTTCAGTCTGCGCGTCGCCGACAGGTCCTCCGACTGCATCCGCGGCTTCGGGCTCGTCCTCTGCCTCGTGGGTATCATCTTTGTCAAACTCGTCGTCTGCTCCGCCGCTTGAGTGCTCGTCATCGTACTCGTCATCGGAGTCGTCTTTTGCTGCGTCTCGCACATTGCTGAACACTTCGAGAACGGGTTTGGCAGTGGCGACGGGGCGTGCCCGACGTCCACGGCTTGCGCTTAGTCGCTTCATCCGTTCTCGTTGCGTTTGCTCACTGAGTCTGTCAAAATGCTCTGTGATGGCTGCCACTCGACTGTTGTTTGTAGATGATGCGATCGCAGATGAGACAGCTCGCTTCGGCTTGTACGATGCACCGATCGGATTGATGCTAAGCTGTCGACTGGCAGCTACGGCGGCTGGACGGCTAGACAGCGCCGCAGGCGAAGGGGCGCGGCCAATTGTTGCTACGCGAGGTACAATTGATAGACTGTCGCTATCGGCTCCAGTCGAGCGCTGACTTGACGTTCTTGTCGCCGGTGGGATTGAACTACGCTTCGTTCTGATGGTGACACCACTACCATGACGCGATAGAGCAGGCGTCTTTATCGTTTCGGAGCGAGACAGTGTTGCCCGTTCGATGCTTGCATGCGTAGGCGATGAAGCCGGGCTACGTGTGACTGCACTTTTCGATCCAGAGCGTCGTAATTCTCGCCTCAGCAGACCCGAACGCTTGGGTCTCAGCTCGTCTTCGGATCCGGCAGCAGCTGTGTCGTGCCCAAGCTTCGCAGCTGGCTTTGGCCTAGCTTGCTCAGTCTTGCCACGCCGCATTGGGGGCCGCGAAGGAGGCTCCGAGCCGATGCGAGCCGCCTGATCACTGCTTGTATGATCGTGGCTGTCAAAACGCCGCACAGCATCGGCGACTTTCAGACTGGGTGACAGACGGGGCCGATATGATCTCTGCGCTCTTTCGGGTGAGTCCGAGTCTGATGCTGCATCTGAAGTTTCTTCGCCGTGCGCCATAGGACGGAGATACACCTGCGATAACGAAGGGGACAATAGAGATCGACTATCAGGCGGGGCCGGCGCCAGCAAGTCCATCGCTTTTGGCTTTGCAATTGGTTGGTCCGGCAGTTCGGCAGTATCATTGCCGAATTGCTCGAAAACAGTCTGTTCAGCAGGTTCCTCCATCAATGTCTGCGCCACGACCGAAGCCAAGGATGTCGCAGCTTCTTGCGCCATAGCTTGCATGCTACCCGAAGAGGTCACGCTAGCCACGGGAGATCGCTGATTGGGTGAGGCCGGTACGCTGCTGTCAACGAAAAGCCTTCGAAGCTGAATACCAGTCAATCGGCGGATGTCTTTCTCAGAAGCAGGCAGGAACTTTTGCTCAAATGCAGCAAAGTCGCCTTCCAGCGCGATGACTTTATTCTGCAGCAGCTGCCGGACGATGTTGAGGCTCATGCCGGCCGATGCTCCGGATTCTTCGTACGTCGTCTTGAGGATCCCTTCAATATCCGCGCGTTCGGCTTCTGCTTTACGACTGAGCGCTGCTAGATCAAGCGCGGCTGTGTCCCGCTTTTCCGATGCGATCAAGCCGTAGTCGAAAGACTTTGTCCGAATCGCAACCGAGTCGAAGAAGGCCTTGATCTTCTTTTGTATGGACGAGTACTCCTCGTCTTTGAGTGCAAGCCGCGTATCGAGACGGACTGCGATTCGCAATGGCGGTGTAACAACCTCGTTGACTTGAATGGAATCAATGTGCACGCGAAAAGCCCAGTGCTTAAGCGCGAAGTAGCGCACGTGGTCTCTGTGGACATTGTGCTGGCACCGATCTGAGCGGCATGTGAGATGATCATGATAGAATGCCAGCTCGAGGTATTTGCCAAAGCTGAGGCTCCATGTTTGATCGGACATGATCTTGTAAGCTGTGGGCGCTGAGCACTTTTTACAATAGCTCCACATGATGACCCTGTCCTCGGCGCCAGGTACAGGACAGGCGTAGCGTTCTTGAAGGATCGACAATCTGAAATTGCCATGGATGTAATTCTGACCGTGCATGACCATCGGTTTGCCGCAAAATTTGTTCGAACAGGGTTGTGCTGAGGCAAGGACGAGGTCCTCAAGGTACTGTCCGAGCGTCTTATCGCTGTCTTGATAGAAGTCAATCGTACGAAGCACAGGGCCCACGCAGCTATCACCAGCGTGAACGTTCACCAGTGTCTGCCGGTTCATGAGCAAATCTTTTAGAGGATTCCGAGAGCTTACATAGAGATAGACGATGCTTTGGTACCTGCTCGGATCAAGAGTAGCCGGCCGACAGATGAAAGAATTGTAAGCCTTGACTCTGTCCGCATGCCGTTGCTCCGCCTCGCTAATCTCGCTCGCTATTCGGCCAGAGATGACGGGCGTTGACTTGTCGCTGAAGAATTCACTGCTGTCTATTTTGCGTGCAGGAAGTGTGAGCTGTCCGTTCTTGGCGTTCAGCGTGTCAAAGCCGGGGTTATCTAGAGAGGCATCTTGTCTGAGCACCGCCAACTTTGCGTCGTCTTCGGCTAATCGACGGAGCGGGTATGGCGCCGGAAATCGAAGATGAGCAGACGCAGACAAGGCAGTCGTGTTGTAAGGAGCGAGAGCGCGCACAATTTCTCGCGATACGTCTGCTTTCTCATCCTGTGCCAGCGTCGGCTCGCGCGATATGAGTGCAGACTTTGACAAAGGCTGGAGATCCATCGGCGGACCTGGCTGCAGGTTGTTGTAGCTAGCATGCTCGTCGAAGAGAAAGTATGTCTCTAGCTTTGCACTGAAAACGACGAGAGCCATGAGCCGCAGAATCGATTTGACTTTGGCAAGCGTCTCCATATCGCCGCCTCTGAGCAGTATCGTACCGCCCGCTTCTTTAGTGCAACCTTCGAAACGTATAAAAGTGCGTCGACGACCGGGTAGTAGGGCATGTTCGAATGTCTCGACACGAAATTCAGCACAGCGGCCAAGTCGAGGTTCCAGCGCAAGCTTGTCGATCGATGAGACGACATCTGCTGATGTGCAACGCGCGACTGCTTCGATGACGCTCGATTTGATGTTGCGTGCGACGGCGACACCAGCCTCCACGAGATACTGTAGAGCTATGCTCGACACGTTCTTTTCGACCAGTATGATATGAGGTCGTTGAGCCAGTATGCGACTGACGAGATTGCGTAGGTACTCTTTCTCTTGTTTTATGAGAGGCTCCAAGCTCATCAGCTGATTCTCCACTCGGTGGTATTCCAGTGGGAAAGCGAGCAACATGATGCGAGGGTTGCGGTAGTAGTGAGGCATCTTTTTGTGTAATAGTGATTTCCGAAAGACCACGCCATGTACGTACTCGGACGCCGAAGGCAATCCGCCAGCAATGCGCTTGATCTTGAGATACTTTCGAGCGTCCATATGATCGCCTGCTCTGACATTCGGTCTGAGATCATCGGCAATGCATGTGAGTATCGGAAGCAGCTGCGTCTTCCAACTTGCAGCGAGAGGCAGATTCGCTCTGTCAACACACTGCTGCAGCATATCTCGTACGTGCTGCCGTGATGTGTCGAGCAGATCTGGATTGCCACTACCGCGCCTGCTGCGATACAACGCCGGCGAATTGCCGCCGCCGCTATGGCTGTGGCTCGGCTCACTGAAGTCTGCGGATGCGCTCAAATCGATGGCCCGAGAGTTGCCCCTGGGGCGGGTCTTGATAGATTTGGATGGCGTGCGACGCTCTTTGATATTGGCCGTATGGTCAGATTTGTCAACCGCGAGAGGTGTACGTGGCTCGGATGCAAGATCAGTATGATATTCAACGCTTTGCTTCCTTGCGTCCGCGCCGGCAATGTCAGGTGAATTAGATGGGTTAGATTCAGGGCCGATCCGACTGATAGCTTCTGTGTCGCCGAAATAGCTAGCAAGGCTAGAGTCAATGGTGTTGTTGCGCGGCATGTCAGCTATTCTGTCCTCCAGAGCGAGATCTTGGCGGAACGGAGCAGGCGCTTCGGCACCATCTCCGTTGACAGCCATATTAGACGCTCTCGAGATATCAGGGGAGCCGTTCAGGTTCGTCGGCGTGTCGGAATACTGCTCGTCAGACACACTGGTCTCGGCCGTATAATCGGAGCCCGCAGAAGAAGTGCGCTTGGCACTGAAGGTGAATGACCGTTGGATGGCGCTACCATCTGACGAATCGTGACCGAGCCGAGTGAACTGGCTGCGCGGGAACAGCGTCGAGGCAGCGAATTGACTTTGCGGCCCTTTCAAGGAGGCCTCTAGAGGTTCAGAGATCGTAACGTTGCGGAGTTTATCGATGTCTTGTTGCGGTGGCGACTCTACGGATTGCATGTTTGTGAGCGACAGCGGACCGAACTGTGACTGCGAAGTTGCAAGCGCAGTCTGAGAGTCCGAACGGTCTTGCATGATGCCCACGCAAAGATTACAGACTCTGATGAGGCTATCATGGCCATACCGTTCGCCCGAAATGACATTGGAGGCACAGCGTGAGCAGAAAATCTGACCGCAAATGCGACAGTGATGCTTCCGTCGCCAGGAGGTGAAGACCGTTCCGCAATCGTAGCATTCTTTGCTGCTCTCATCAGCCATCCAGTACTCTCTGCTGAGGCTGCCCGCATGCAACGTCTCAGCATCAAGCTAAAGTGCCGAAACGGCCAAGGACAAACCCTTCACCGCGAAGCTTGCGAAAGACCTGAGTAACGCCGAGCGGCTCGCTGATGCCGTATGTGGCAGGCACGTTCTGGGCCGAGCTGATCGACCTTGCGTCGTCCAGCAACAGCTCTTGCGATAATGGGAAGCCGGGAATGGTTGCAAGATTGGCACCCGTCAGCCGCGCCTCGTTCAATCCTGGCGAGTAGAGCGATGGCTCCGACGCCGATAAGTGGTCAGACCCGGTCATCAGAGAAGGCAGTGATGCTGTGGAAGGCTTTGATCGATGCGACTTGCGCGGCGAGGTAGGCGTCAGCTCGACGCGAGAGGAGTTTGCGCGCGTCAGTCGCACAGTAGGAGGAACGGTCGTGGACACCTTGAAAGGTCTCGCTCCTGGCTGTCTCGATGGCAGCCTTTGTGATCCAGCGGCGCTCGATGCCCCTTCCGAGACGGGCTCATTAGAGTCTTGCCTTTCATGCGTGCCGTAGCTGTCTGTCGAAGCGGTCTCAGATCGCGCGTCTACCGAGCTCTTGCCATCTATGCGTCTATCGAACACTCCTGTGCGAGTGCTCGATGCCCTCTGAGGGCTCCGTCCTAGTGGGGAGCGCTTGTAAGTCTGAGCAAAAGTGACTTTGGGCGGAGATTGTATACTGCTGGGCGCAGCATTGGCGGAGCTCGAGCCGGGTATAGCAAGCGAGTCTCTGACTTTCTTAATGATGCCCATGAGACCAGTAGATTCCGCATTCCGTCCATGCTGGGACGAGCTTCCTGCCAAGTCGTTGTCGACCAGCGGGAAGGACGATAGAGAGCCAGCGTCGCGCAAGCTGCTGTCGGCTCCGAGGTCATGCCAGCTGGCTATGCTCGGCATCTTGCCGTCGATGGGGCTCGTCCTCTGTCAAGCATGCATCGGTAAAATGTGTGTCGACCGTCACTCGGACAGGCCGGACAGAGTCGACAGAAGTCAGTCGCGCTCGCGTCATGAAGCTTCAAGCTTGCAGTCGATGACGCAAACCTTGCCGATCAGCTTGTCCTCTGATACCGAAGCACGAGCCAGTGGACAGATCTCGGCAGCCTATACTCCCTTTTATTGCGAAGAAAACGTCTATAAGCTGCTCGAGGCGATCCTGAACGCGGACGAGTCTCGCGCCGTCTATGCCATATTCATATCGAACCAGACCAGATCGGTCCTGCTGCGAGAGCAGCGTGCGTCCTCATCGACGTCCGATGATCGCCATTCGGTCATCTGGGATTATCACGTCATCGTGCTCGACGTGACAAACTCATTCGTCGTCTATGACCGCGACTCATTGCTCACCGCAGAGACTTACAGTCCAGTGGATGCTCAACGTATGGCTTCACAGACAGCACACATCTCGGCAAGCTCATATGGGTTCTGCAGACTACTTTGAGCATACTTTTGAGGCGCACTACGGGCCAAGACAGTATGAGCCGACCTTTCGCCTGTTCGACGGAACGCAATTGCTGAAGCGCTTTCAAAGTAATCGCAGTCATATGCTTGTCGACCTCAATGCGCCTGAGAAGGGCTATTGGCAAACTCCGCCTTCCTATGCCTGCATCGGTCCCGAGGAACCCATCGCAGACGCGCTCGACCTGTGGCGCGACTGCCTAGACATATCTCAGCAGCGAGATATCGATGGCAGCGTTGTGTTGACGCTTCAGATGATCGTCGAAGGCCTTTTCGCGTAGTAGCATACAGAGCTGCATTCACCGCATGGCTTCTATGGAGGCAACAGTATTCAGCAAGCCCGATACGAGCTTGTCTGCAGGCGAAGGGTCTTGCCGAGCCATTTCGACCAAGCCCAGCAGCTTCTTGATGCCAATCGAGAATCGCCCGTCTTCGCCGAAGCGTGCACTTTGGAGTAGTTGCACTGCGCGCTTGAAATCTGCTTGATCGCGGAACAGCTTGACGTCGTCGACTATCCGTATCAAGCTATCGAGATTATCAACGGCCGGCACAGGGATATCAGCCGCGAAAGAGTCGTAGAGCTGCATGTCGTGCAGCATGCTCGTCGAAGATGTCGTAGCCAGAATGAGCAAGCGATGGCCCTGTTCGTGCGTGAGACTCGTCCCAAGATTGCTCTCGTGAACACGTGCCTTGGGTGGTCGTTTCGATAGTAGCACCATAAGTGCCTGCAAAACGCTATTCGAGAATCGTGGTCCAATAGGCACCCAATCTGCGCTGGCATCAGGCTTGATATCGAAGCTATCACTATGAGCTGACCTAGTATACGCTCTATGCCATCGACAACGACGACGCTTAACTTGCTCTTGTAGCTGTCAGTGAAGACCTTGTTGAGGTAATTGATCTTTTGCGCTTCGGAGTAGCCTATCATATTCTCCGACGATATGAGCTTGATGAAAGGAAAGTCTGAAGCGATCGCGATTGTTGCGGCTAGCGCAGTTTTGCCAGCAGATGGTGGCCCTGTGAGCACGTGAGCGCTGCAGACCGCGCGATATACGGAGAGCTGACCATGTATCAGCACGCTGACCAATGGCGTCCGGTCTGATTTTCTGACTTGCTCGACGTATAGCGCTCCGTCGCGTAATATCGCCTGCTTGCTGAGTCAGCGCGCCGTGCAGGGTATTCGACGAGCATACATCGATGTGAGGCGCATATCGAATGATGCCATTCTGCACGACTGCAGAAAGTTCTTCCTCTGCAACACCAAAAGCAGGCTTGACTTCTTCGAGTGCATGCATAAAGTCAGAGCGGTTGATCCGTAGCTTGTCGATATCATCGCCTATGCCCGCCTGTGTGCCGACTTTGACATGTCGATTGAAGGCAAAAGAGGTCGCGCTCTTCACGAGACCGCCAATCTCTGCACCGCTGAAATTCTTCGTCAAGGAGGCCAGCTCGTTGACATCTACGTCGGACTCCATGATGCCGTTTTTGAAGATCTTAGCAGTATGTATCTTCAATATCTGCAGTCGTCCTTTATCGTCGGGTAGCGAGATTTCCATATGTACTTCCAGTCGTCCGGGTCGCAAAAGCGCTTCATCGATCATGTCCATTCGATTTGTCATTCCGATCAAGAGAATGTTGTTCAGCTGGTCTACGCCGTCCATCTGGAAGACGGGTCAGATCAATCCACGCAGACTCTGAACACGTTGACGTGCCTTTGAGAGCAATTGATTTACGACCGAGTCTCCCACGCCGGTCCCACCTCCCGTAGACCCTCGTTGCTTACATATTGCGTCCAGTTCGTCAAAGATGATGATATGTAGCCCAGATTCGTCGCCTTTCTCTTTGTACTGCAAAGCAAGCGATCAGCCAATAGATGAGCCATAGTCACTTGACTCGCCTCTTTTTCCGCATCCGCGAAGAGCTTGCGTATGTTCTCTTCCGACGCGCCTACGAACTTGTTGAGGATTTCCGGACCGTTGACAATCTTTGGCTCGCGTGAGTTGAGCATCTTGCCGATCTGACGTGCCATGAGCGTCTTGCCAGTGCCTGGCGGTCCATAGAGCAATATGCCTTTGACGTGCTGAATACCGAGCTTGTCGACAAGACCGGGGGGAAAGATGCGACTGGCAAAGGCGCGTCTGAAGATATTGCTGAACTCTGCATCCAAACCACCGATGCCCATGTCTTCGAATTTGAAGTTTGGCTGTATGATAGCATTCGGGGCGGCTCTGTCGACAAATGCGACTTCATACACTGACAATGTCTGAAAGCGTCATGACTGACCTCTTCGAGCTGGCTTTGATCTTGAAATTTCCATCTCCTTTGAGGAATGTACATTCCGTTTGAGCCATCAGGATACCCATAAAGCCTGCCGAGATGCTCAGCAAGGGATTCGTTGCGAGGTCTCAGAGACGCACTATCGCCCCGGCCGCCGCCATGCAGCTCCATGACATTGAGACTCTTGACGCTACCTTGGAAGATGACGCCGCTAAATTCGTAGACGAGCGGTTGACCGACAGTGAACATGACCGAGTCAAATTGCTGTGATCGGGAGTCAGCTATCTGCAGTCCAGCCTCGGAACCAGTGACCGACCTTTCTGAAGCGCGACTCAAGCTGCTCGGCGTCGAAATCGCCGGTGCCATTCTTGAGGCTGAGCTGTTGTGCCAGCATTAGCATCATGCCAGATAAGCAAACATCAAGTTCACCTCTAACGTGATGCTGCCCAGCAGATGGTCGGGGCCGAGCTGCTTCTGGACGTCGAATAGTTCGACGGGTACGCGGTCGCCTGCACCTGCGAACGAGAGCTGCGCCCACGTACGCTGATGGCGCGCTGGTCCAATGCATCCTGGCTCTAGTGTTGATCCTCTGGCAGAGATAGCGCAATTAAGTGAGCCAGCACCGGCTGGAGCGTGAAGGGCTAACATGGTAGTAAAGACAAAGCTGTCCTTTACTTTGACGTAAGTATAGGGCGGAAAGTCTTGCTCAGACGTTGCCAGACACTGCGTCGAGGATCAGCAGGGCTCCCGAGAGTGTCTGGCGAGCGTACGTTGGTGAGGGGAAGCGATTGTGATGGGCACTCTCTGACGGCGTAGATACCAGGTCGTCCTCTCGGTGACCTTACGCCTTGAGGCGTCTGCGGCGTCAATCCTGACTTCTCCGAAGCATAGTCGACGGGCTGTCTCTGCACAGGTCTCAGAGGAGCTACGGGGGGAGGGGCTGTATAGCCTCTGGGTGCCTGTGCACTGGCTGACGAGGTTCGCGCATAGCCTGCACTGCCGGCGTTGTTTGACATGCCGTTGTTGGTCGACGAGGGCAGCTGTCCCTCGTTGGATCTGAACCAGGACATGGTGAGCCGGTGAGACGCTCGAGGTCGTGTGCACTCTGAGAGAAGGCCGTGCGAGCCGAGGGGTGTCGATGAGGTGACACGGACACGCGTTTGGCCAAGCCAGGAAGCGAGCGAGGCCACACCGCTCGAGGGCGATGCCTTCCTGGCTAGCTTCATAGCTGGCTCGACGCAAGACACCGTCCCCAGAGCTACAGACGTTGACCAGCAAGCAAGACAGCAATATGGCGGCCGATCTCCTGCCACCTGTAGACCACAGGTCATGTCGATTACTTGGTCCGACCGCTCTCATCGTGCAAGCCATCATGGGTGTCCTCGTTGTAGCCTCACTCCTGCTCAAGCGAACAAGGGAGCGGCCGAGAAGACCTTGGAAGATCTGGCTGGGCGACTTTTCCAAGCAAGTCATGGGCCAAGGTTAGCGACAGATGCTATTTGCGTCCAAACAGTAGTTCTCACGCCTGCTCGCACGCTAGCCTTCCTGCACGCCTCGAACGTCCTCATCTCGGACGTCATCGCTCACCATGCACGAAGGAAAGAGAACCCTTGCAGTCTCTGTAAGGGCCAATGACACCTCTCTGATCGCGTCTCGCTCATCACCCTCTGCAGACTTTCTCAACATACTCGTCGACACCACACTCGGCGTACTCATCCTTTATGGCGTCCTCAAGCTTTTCACACGCGTCCTTGTGCAGAGACAAGGCAGGCAAGACTTTCAAACGGGCTTCTACGGTGAGCCGCCCTCGATGGTCGTCTGGGGCAAGCAATTGCTTGTCTACCTGACCGCATGCGCTGTCATGAAGATCCTCGTCGTCGCTTTCTTCCTCTCCGTACCAAGGATATACAGGCTAGGCGACTGGCTCCTCAGTTGGCTCGGCGATCATCCCGATTTCCAGGTCACGTTCGTCATGGCGGTGTTCCCCTTGATCATGAACACGCTGCAGGCGATGATCATTGACTCGTTCATCCGCGAGAAACACAGTGACGAGACCGAGCAGGACAAACTGACAGCAGACGAGGAAGCTGTCATACGGCAGCAATTCGAACAACAACCTCGCATTCCTGACGAGATTGTCAAACCGACCGTGTCTGCCCACGAAGGCGACTACTTCTACACTGCCAATGGTCGCAAGCGGGACTCTTCCGAAAGTGCCCGTCGGTCTGCCGAATCGATCAGAGGCGCCAGCTTGCTCCTTCGCGCTCAGCCGACGCTCTCTCGACGCGGCTCGGGAGCATCCAATAGAAGCGCGCTCAGTCGCAAGTTGTCTGTTGCGACGCATGACTATCCTCCCGCAACAGAGGAAGAGGTCACTTCGCCGCTCTGTTCGCCGGGTGGCACGCTCAGGCCGAGCTACGGCAGCATACCCAATTCCCCGCATCCCTCGCCATTGCGCGAGACGGTCTCGCCGCACGGTGAAGCAGAATCGCCGACTGCCTTTATCAAACGCAAGCGAGGCAGTCCGCGCACGTCTGGCGAGCTAAGGCGATCCATGTCCCGCCAATAGCAACCGCATCCCTGTTGTTCCTGTTGTATGTTATCGCGACGCGTAGTGGCACGAGTGGCAGCGGCAGCCAACGCTCTGGCGCCATGAGCTCGCCGCCATCCGAGCCGTCCTTCGAGCTATCCTACTCGAGCTCGTGTGGCACGTCTGTCGATCCGATCGAGACGCCAAGACACAGCAAGACACGACACGATCAGTCAATCTGTCGATGTTGCAAGGGCAAGACATCCTTGGACAGCTTGCTGTCTGCCAACGTACCCCGTCCACGCCATCGAAGCGAAGACACAGAAGTGGCAGAGGAGCCCATCGGTGATGCTGACCTGGCCCTCGATCGACTCATAGAGCAGAGCCAGCAGCTACTACACACTTCTCGCGAGATACTTGCAACAACGGCAAACACCTCTCATCTATTGCGCAAGCTCAGCACAGACGAAGACATATCACTCTCGTATGCTGATCTCTGACCTGTACGAGTCATACTGAATGCGCAAAGGAACAGGTTGACAGATATGCACGCACTTCGGCTCAACGAGGAGCTCGGCACGGCACACAGACTACGCACATGGCTAGACACGATGACCGATGACGTTGACAATCTCTACGGCGGCTTACGTCCTCTAGATCGGCGGCGGACCCGCTCTCCTGTTCTCAAGACACAGATTGACGCGCCTTGCAACGCAGGGTCACATACGATAGAAGGATTTGACTGGGCAGCAGCGCAGCAAACGAGTAGCCCGAAGCTACGCACTTCCTTCTCAGATAGTCGTAAGCCAGCCGCGCAAAGAAGAATATCAGATACATCGCCTCTACTACAAGGGCGACCTTCCGATAACATCCATGGCAGAGGCAGCGTCACTGTCGATACATCTAACGCCCGCGATCGATTGCTTGCCATGCTCAAAAGTCGACAGTGATGACGGCGTGTGTTCAGAGGATTCACTTTTCGAACTTGTCAGCTGCAGACTGCCATCGCTCTAGAGACACCTTCACAGCTTCGAGATCTGCCCTGTTCCAGCCATTCGTCTTGGCCAGGAACGCAATCTTGTCCGAGTTGAGTACGATGGACAGTAGCTCGACGGACCTTGAGGTGAATCGGCGTGCCCAGAAGTAATCGTGCTTTACTTTTCGCGTTGTTGCCGTAAAGCCGTGCTGGCTTACTTCTTTCAATTCCTTGCCCAACCTGCTCAGACTGTTTCTGAGCTCTTTCGCTGGCATGAAGCTTGTATCAGAAAGCTGGAATGCATGCCAAGCTTGATCGGGTTCGCCTTGGAGGGCTATCTCGAAGAGTGCCGTCATCATCTTGAAAGTGGGCTGGATTCCCAATGTCGATTGTGCGCCTGAAGCGTGTCTCTCGACTGGCCTCTTCTGTCTCATCGATCGTTCTTCCTCATGCTGTACCTCTTTCTCTAGTAAGCCAATTCTCTTGGCAAAGCTCGTGTCTGGCTCTGGACTAGTCTGACGAGTTTGCAGCCAAGAGAGCAGACCGAGTAATTCTACGCCGTATGCGAAGCCATCTCTCTCCTTTTGTCCGGCCATCATGAGCGCAGACCATGTCGATTCTGTGTGGCGACACCCGAGTGCTATACTTCGGCAGATCCATTCTGCGTACGAGCAGCAATCAGATCATATTCACAGCGCCAGTCGGATCGACTGACCTTTGACGTCGGCAAGGTTGGCCTTGTCATCAGGAGCTAGACGACTCTTCGCCTTGTAGGTCGTCTGACGGACAAAGATGTCTTCCCAAAGGAGCGAGCCTGTGATGGCGGGCACATTGACGCATCGAGATAGCTTCTCAGCAGCGTCCAAGGCTTCTTGATCGTTCATGAGCGCCAGAACGGCTCGAATTCGCTGAGATGACATGGTCAAGAGTTCCGATTCTGGCGCTAGCAGCATTACGCCCTTGCTTTTGCCGATCGGCACCGCCTTTAGCAGAGACTGGAAATTCGAGACCAATGCATCCGAGGTATCACGCTCGCCTGCCTTGAGCAAGCCAAGTCGCATAAAGACCGCTTGGATCTCAGGATCTGCCATGAGTATCGTACTGAGCCTCGCTTTCGCTTTTCTGGCTCGCTCCTGGTTTTCTTCCAGCTCGAACTTGGCGGTGAGGAGATCGCTTTCTTTGGTGCTGTTCAGAGCTCTGAGTTTCCTCGCTTCTGTGAGTTCGTCAATCGTTGCTTGGTGTGTCTTCATAGCCGTCTCCAAGGCGCGCATCATAGCCATAACGGTGAATTTGTCCTTCTCCTTGACACTTTGATAATTTCGCCAGGCAAGGTCGACGTAGCCCCATGCCCCGAGAGCGGCAAGATAGGCATTGCCGGGTTGAGAACGTTCACTGGGCGTCAGCCGACTCGCTTCTGCTGGGTGATGTCTCATCCAGCCCGTCCACTGCTCAAGCACATTGGTGGCATGGTTGACAGTCTTGCTAGGCTTGCCAGACGGCCTCGCAGCATTCGGATTGCCGGCCTGGGCTCCCATGAAGATACGGTAGGAGTCCGGATCAGGCTGGAAACCGTACTTGCAGAACAGCTTCCAGGCATTGGTGGCTTGTGTGTATCGCTTGTCAGCGAACAAAGCTCGCAAGAAGTAATTGAAGGCGTATTTGCGCTCCTTTGCATGGTAGTGCCGTATTGCACGCATGCCATGTTTGACCGTCCGGTCGGGATCGGCGAGCCAATCACAGAATTCTTGCTTCGACTTGAATCGCTCCATCAGCTGATGATTCAAGGAGGGACGCTTGCCTGGCACTGAACCCCTTCGGCCCTGTGTATAAGTCGGAGATGCAGAAGGGATTGGATGTCTGTCTGCATAGCCTGTGGCTTCCTTGAAGCCTATGGGCTTCTTCGAGGGCCGAGAGCGAGGTGGTAGCTCTGACATCTGCATGCGATCTGATCTGACATAGGCATCTTGCTGTGGCGCTGCTCTCGAGCTGACGATGGAGAGAGTACGGCGAGCTGCACTCGAGCCGAGCGCTTCCACGAGTGGTCTCGTACATGTACAAGGTAGCATGATCCCACCGCTTCTGCGTCAGCGCCAAAACTTCGATGACATCGAAAAGCAAAAAGTCGCGACACACCCCCGGCTTTTGGTCACGACACAGCTAGCCGGCAAGCGAAAATGGTCTCTTCTGCAGCGCGGACGTCGGCAAACAGACTGCTTCATCTTGCAAAGACTGCATCGACTTGTCCCTGTCATACTTGTCAGAGCAGCGGCGCGCACTCACACAATGACATGCTCAATGCGGGCCGAGCACTCGCTTCAGCCGGCCGTCATCGAACTTATGCCACACCCATCGATCAGAGTGCCGTCGGAGACTATGCATTCGAAGTAGCCGCTAGTAACATCAGATTTGGTGAAGGAGCCACGCGAGAGCTTGGTATGGATTTCGCAAATATGAAGGCGACCAAAGTCGGCGTCTACACAGACAGCACAGTCGCCAAATTGCTGCCCATGCAGATGGCTATCGAGTCCTTGCAAGACTCTGGCGTGGCCTATGAAGTCTTTGACAAATGTCGCGTCGAGCCTAACCAGGAGTCATGGCAAGCCGCCATCGACTTTAGCAAGCAGCATGGATTCTCACACTTTCTGGCCGTCGGCGGCGGATCTGCCATGGACACCTGCAAAGTCGCCAACCTCTACTCATGCTATCCAGATGCGGACTTTCTTGACTTTGTCAACGCCCCCATCGGACGCGGAATTCCAATCGACAAGGCTCTGAAACCACTCATTGCGATTCCGACCACAGCAGGCACAGGATCAGAAACGACTGGCACTGCCATCTTTGATTATACACCCCTACTGGCCAAGACGGGTATCGCGAGTCGATCCCTCAAGCCGATGTTGGGCATTGTCGATCCACTGAACACAGACTCCTGCCCGCGCGCTGTCCACATCTCGTCAGGTCTGGACGTCCTCTTCCACTCACTCGAAAGCTACACGGCCGTACCCTACACCGAGCGCACGCCTCGACCATCCAATCCACTCAACCGACCGGCATACCAAGGCCGCAATCCTATCAGCGATGTCTTCTCGCTCTGGGCACTCAAGCAGACTGTCGAATATCTGCCACGAGTGGCACACAACCCCGATGATAGAGAAGCAAGATCCAAGATGCTCCTCGCCTCTACCTTTGCAGGCATTGGTTTCGGCAATGTGAGCCGCAAGTCATGACACTCCTTAATCTTGCTAACGCATAGCGCAGGCGGGCGTGCATCTGTGTCATGTAAGTTAGCATGGCTTTGACGCCGCATGGTAAGCTGAAATCATGACAGAGCATGTCGTATCCGATTTCGGGCTTGAACAAGAAGCTCGCCAAATATCAGCACGAAGGCTATCTAGTCGATCACCCTATCGTCCCTCACGGCATATCAGTAGCATTGACCGGTCCTGCTGTATTTCAATTCACTGCGCCTTCCTCGCCTGATCGTCACAGGGAAGCCGCGGCGATCTTCAAGCAGTTCGCACCGGACGACGTCCAAGAAGATCGCATCACCGATGACGATGTGGGCGCGGTCTTGCATGATCGCATCGCCCGCTTCCTCGATAGCCTGGGTCTTCCGCGAGGCCTGAGCAGGATCGGGCTAGTCCATCCTTTCCCTCGCGAGGCTTGTGCTGACCTGCGCCCGCCACAGATACAAAAATGGCGATATCGCTGACCTCGTCAAAGGCACACTGCCGCAGAGGCGCACGCTCGATCTCGCGCCAGGCATGAAAGGCTCGGACGGCACGGCGGAGCTCACAGGCATGTTCGAACGTGCAATGAGCTTCTGATGAGGCAGCAAGCATGACAAAGGCATCGTGGAATGCATTTGCAGGAGTCCGGCTCTGCATTAGTAAAGCAAGTAATGTAGCTCTATGATCGTGATTTGTAGCGTTCATGTTGGCAGTCATGCTTGAGCCAAATTGCGATCGTGTGCGTATCTCGTATATAGCTCACTGTCAACCGACCGTTGCAAGGGAATCTCGCCATGCCAGTCCGCACATTGTCCTGGCCGTTCTTGACCTTGCTTGGCTTCTTCGTGTCTTCGTCTTGCGAGCAATAGTATCGGCTCGTTGTCCTAGTGGCCCCGATACGGCTGCAGATCAGCGTGAACCGCCAGCCTGTCGCTTGACGAACTTCTTTGTTGATCCGGTGTAGCATTGGTACCTCTTGACTGGTCGGCGTTGCTGGACCTGCCAGCGGATAGGACGCGTGGAAGATGAAATTGTCTTGCGCTTCTCGCATACGCATCAGAGCGTCAAAGCAAGTGGCAGCATCTGACAATTCGGCTATACCCGGTGCTTGTGATCCAGCAGCAGAATTGGTTGATCCTCTTCGCGACGCTAAGCGAGAAGTGACAGACGAGATCGAGGCTGAGCGCTGATTTGGTGGCGGCGAAGCTATGCTACGGACACTCGAACGTCGCTTCTGCATGTGCGTGGGCGGCGTACGCAGAGCAAGAGCAAGTCGATCGGCAGAGCAAGTTGATGACATCGAGGCAGACTTGCTATGACTTCGCGTTATCATCCTCGGCGTCTCGGCCTGGCCTTCTGGCCAACTCATCGCGTGATCTGGCTGCTGCTTTGTCACTTGAAGATAGCTCGGGTGCCATTCGATTGCGGTCGCAACAGGCACTGGATCTGAACGGGTCCTGATCAGAGCAGACGGCGCGATAGCTTCTGGCTGGTCAGCGCGCTTGTGAGGAAATGACGATGCTGTCGAACAGATGCGACCCATTCGCGCAGCAGATGGCAGATCATCGTGGCAGACTGCTGCGTACGTGGCCGATGCGGCTTGCAAGTCACGCAGTGACACGTGAGCTGGCGTGACCGGGGTCGGCGGCAGTGTGAACGCACTCGGACTAAATGCAGATGAGTCCGTGCTATCCTTTCGAGCTACGATAGACGCGTCAGCACGTTACTTGTCGAGACGCTGGAGGACATACAGGCTAACGCTGGCGCCCATGTTTCGCTAGTTGACGCAGTGAAAGGCGCTTGTAAGATACAGGGCATTGTCACCACGTGTTCCTCTGCCCAGCCTGCCCTGACGTAGCTGGACTCGCAAGTTGCTAGCTCAGCAAGCTGCTGCAGATGACTCGACACCCTACGATGTCGAATGACAATTTGTGTTGGCGAGTTCTCTTTGCTTGCGAGCGCACGAGTATTGACAGGTCTTGCGCTCAAAGTATCATCAGCAATGTTGGCCGAACGAGCTGCCAGAGCTGTCCGTGAGCCATGTGAATGATCGCTCTTGCTAGAATGGCTAGATGAGCTAGTCCTACTCATGTCGAGCGAGTCGTCTTGGGCGTTGCGTAGATTGCCCAACCTCTGTTGACTGTGATGCGTATTCGACTCGACAGACTGCTGTTGTTGCTTGGCTTTGAGCAGCATGTATCGCTGAACCTGCAGCGATGTGGTATTGCTCATAGCCTCAGTGTCCATTGTTGTTCGTCCTCCGTGCCTGCGGAGCAACAAGGCGCGCTAGTAGCAGTCAAGGGCTGTATTCCTTCGCCATGCGATGAGGTCGCCACCCGCACAGCTTCTCGCTTCCGGGCCGGCATCGGACTTCATTGCACGCACTACGCGCAGCGCATCTCTTCCGTCATTATTGGCCCTGGACATTGCCATGCGCACGCTCGAAATCTGTTTTCGGCGGCGGCGTGCACGGCGTGGCGACACGCGTCGCTGACGCGCGCGCTGAGGCGTTCTGCGGTGGTATCAGATGATCACAAGAGAATTCAAGTGACCGTAGTTTAGTGAATGCGAGATCTGGAGCGCTGGCCAGATGAGATCAGCGTAAGCAATGTTCACAATTTTGCGCATGTGACCGGCTCGGCCTGGAAGCCAGAAGCCAGAGTCGAACAGCCCGTCGTCGTCTCCCTTTCACTCCTCACTTGCATTCAGCCTGCTGGCTCTTCAGACGACCTCGTCAAATCCGTCAGCTATGCGGACCTTGTGCAAAGAATCGAAGCGACCATCTCGGAACAATCTTTCAATTCTCTACTAGGGTTGTTGCTGCATTTGCTCGATAAGCTCTTCGACAACGAGCTCGCGACTTTCGCCGACCAACTGCGAGTCGAAATCTGCCTGCCTAAAGCGCTGCATCAAGCTGAAGGCGTCTCTGTGTCTGTTGAAACCTGTCGGGAGCAGCACAGATCGAAGCGCTCGATACCCTGGACGCTGCAGCTAAAAGGTCTCGCCGTTTCAGCGATTCTTGGCGTCTTTGATTTCGAGCGCCAGACCGAACAACCTCTTGTGCTTGATCTCGCCGCACAATTCGAGCTAGGAGCCTCGCGAAGCAGCATCAACGACATGGTGACATGGCCGAGCAAGCTCGCGAGCTACGCCACGGCACACTTGCGGTCATATCGGCCAAAGTTGCTGGAGACGTATTGCGAAACTTTGCCCGCCGCTCTGCATCGGATACCCGATTGGAACCTCAGAAGTGTACATACCTCAATATACAAACCCTCTGCCCTGGTCAATGGGCGACCCTGTGTCTCTTCGCTGCGATTTGCGCCAAGGCACAGACCCTCAGCTCGGCTTGCAGATGAGTGCCCCTCAGCACAACGGCGGAGCAATGCGAACGGGCACTTGTCTCACGAAGTGACACTCGGGATCGGATCCAACATCGGCGATCGCATGGCGAACATCGAGCAGGCACTGGCATTGCTGACTGCGAATGGTGATACACGCATCACAGGCTCCAGCCTGGTATACGAGAGCCAACCGATGTACATGCTCGATCAAGCGTACTTTCACAATGCTGTCATCAAGGTGAGCATTTTTGCACTATCTGAGCACCGCTGACGTAAAAGAATAGATTGCAACAACGCTATCACCACAAGGTCTACTCGCGCGGATCAAAGAAATTGAAGCCAAGCTTGGCAGAAGGAAGACGATAGACAACGGTCCGCGAGAGATTGATCTCGATATCTTGTTCTACGACGACGTTTCGATAGACGAGCTGGAGCCACGGCCCTTGATCGTACCTCATCCTCGTATCCACGAGCGCGAGTTTGTCTTGCGGCCATTAGCCGAGTAAGTGAGATCTATTCCTGACTATTTAGCTGACGATCAGCTGTAGTATTGAGCCTGATCGTATCCTGGGCAGCAGCGGCCTCACAGTCGCGAATGCGCTCAGATCTATCAGTGTCGTTTCGCCCGCCGAAGCGGCAGTGCGTCCTGCGTTGCAATCGAAGCGGACACGCATCATGTCGGTCATCAACGTCACGCCAGACTCATTCTCGGACGGTGGCGATCATGCATCGCCCGATGCTGCTGTGCAAGCTGCCCGCGAACACGTCGCGCAAGGCGCAGATATACTTGACATTGGTGGTGTCAGCACTCGGCCAGGCGCGGCAGAGGTCAGTGAACAAGAGGAGCTTCGACGAGTGATCCCAGTGATTACCGCGATACGCTCGGCGCATCCGAAGACTCTGATCAGCATCGACACCTTCCGGGCCAACGTTGCAAAAGCCGCAGTACATGCTGGCGCTAATTGGATCAACGACGTCTCCGGCGGCACACTAGACGCAGCGATGCTGTCCACAGCAGCTCAGCTTGGCGTGCCTATTGTGCTCATGCACATGCGTGGTACACCGTCGACAATGAGCAAGCTGACAGACTATGGAGACGATGTGATGGCAGGCGTATGCACTGAGCTCGCTGCCAACGTCAGTAGGGCATTGCAGGCCGGTGTACTGCGATGGAACATCATTCTAGATCCTGGCATCGGCTTTGCAAAAGATCTTGCAGGTAATTTAGCAATACTGCGCGAGCTACCACGCCTGCACGAGGCACAGCTGCCAGACGGCAGTCGACTCGGATCGATTGAGATCCTCGTAGGCGTCTCCCGCAAGAAGTTCCTGGGCACGCTCACTCATCGCGACGAGCCAAAGGAGAGGGTCCATGCGACTGCGGCTGCGTGCACGGCAGCGATTGCAAAGGGAGCGAGCATATTGCGCGTTCACGATGTCGCGGCAATGAAGGATGTAGCTGCTGTGGCAGACGCTCTTTATCGTGATACTGCATTCTAGTTCGCTTCGTCCCACGCTTGCCCGACGAGCTTCCAGTATCTTTTGCCGTCTGCTCGAGCATGCGAGACATGTGCTGACCCGTGAAACATTTCCAATTTGCAAGGTATGCCGTTTGCCCTCACTTTGGCTACATGTGCCTCTACTTCCCTCCAGTCTATCAGCGTGTCTTTGTCCGAATAAATGTACGTTCGCTGCACAGGGGGCACCAACTCGTCGGCCTCGAGTGCTTTCCTTGATACTTCGATGACATTTCTAGACCGTGTGAGCGTATAGTACAATGTCGAAAGCACGTAATACACGCTGATGAGAGCGTATGCGAAGTATCGCTTGATACCGGACAGGCCAGCGGAGAAGGCTGCCAAGCTTACTTGGTAGCCAGTAGCACCGGGACAGGAATCAAGTATGAGTGTTTTGGTGGGGAAGTGATGTGGCATGCTTGCAAGCGCTGATCTGTCGCCTTTGGAGCGAGCTGCCCTTTTGTCCGGAGTATGCTGCTAAGCCCGATCAGCGTACCTCAATGAGCAAGCGTAGCGACACTTGCCGGCGATGTCGTTTCGAGTAGCTTGCTGAGTGACGCGAGCTGATAAACACCGCCGTTGCTGAATACATGCGTATGTATTGTCGCTTCTGCAGGTGCGCGCGAGGAGCTCACAGCTCTCTCCTCCCTCAAGATCTTCGCTACCGGCTGTAGACCCGCCGCGGTCCTTGCTGCAGGCTGCATGAAGTGTTTTTGACGCGATCGAATGAGTACAATAGTTGAGCTTGGATACATGAGCTGATACTGGTCGGAGTATTTTGACAGATGCTTCATGCTGGCTTCCATCCAGCCAAAGATGAGGAGTACGCTGCTCATCTGAGTCAGCAAAGGCGCTTTGGTAGCATCCTGAGGCTCACGAAGGGTCTTTAGAGCCCGCTTCGCGCGCGATCTTGGGCGCGATGCGGTAGACATGCTCGCCGAGCTTGACAGCGGATGCCATGCGAGACAGCGTTCAACCTTGGCGCAAGTCAAGCGTTGCTGATCGCTCACGGGGCACCACGTGATCAAGTGAAAATGTCGATCAGATGATTTAGGTGCAGCCACCGCGTGGCCGTGCCTCTGTTGCAGCCTTTTGTCGGCAAGTCTAAGCATCAGCTTCGACTTTCAGGATGGTCAGTCTCTTCTCTTGGCATATTCGTACCTTCCACGTGTTCTGCTCGTTCGTTCGAGCCCAACCGAATCCGAGAACGACCTCGCAACTCACGTCATCTGTTGCCAGATGGACACTCGCTGACGTTCGTATCTGCTCCACAGAGAGACAAGTACGCCTTCTAATGAGGTACTATGTTCCAGACTGTGCTGACATACACTTGCCATCATCAGATGGCGCAAGAAGCGTGTCCGTCGTGTATGTCGTGCCCCTCTCTACCACCACGATTGCCGCTGACATGGTCGCTCGGCTTCAGCTCAAACGTAAGAGGAGAAAAATGCGCGCACGCTCCAAGGCAGGCTCACGGTGACCAATGTCTGCAGCGACTGTAGCTTATGCCGTTGCCTGCTCGCAGTAAACGATCGCGCATGGCGCCTCGAGCTTGCATGCTCCCTGTCGAAACTCGGTCAACGCTAGTATAGCGATCAAGAGCAATGGCAGCGCAAGTGACAGACGACTATGGCTCTCCTCTGGCAAGAAGGTGCAACGATATCTCTAGGCATGATCTGCTCGCGCTTTCTACAATTCTGCAAGAAAGCAAAGGGCACGCGCTAAGGACGGGATGGAGTTGCATGGTGTTGAGTCAGATAGAGAGGCGATCGACCTTACGAAAGACACCCAAAGATGTCAAGAAAGAGTTTCTGTTTCTCTCTTATCCCAATTGCAGCCTGACCCTTGTTTTGGCTCGCTCATACATACATTGAGTGTACAAATCATAACTCTTTCTTGTCGCGGCTGCTTGCTTGTCCGCGTACCGGCACGTCGGCAGGGACGTCTGCCGGTACGGCGAGGGGAACCCTTGGCGGCTCTGATCGCGGGAGGTCAGTATGAGGGGCTCCTTATGTAAAGCAGACTGAGCATACCAGCAAGACCCTCGAGACAGTCTGTCGTGACTCGGCGGACGCTGCCTAGTGTCCTCCTGAGCATCATAAGCCAGACGGCGCAGGACACAGCCCCTGCTTGGGTATGAGCGCGTCATAGATTGACCACGCAAGAGCTGTACCTCTTGGTGCAAAGGGCAAGCCGAAGACCCGTTCAGAAGGGCCGAACCACCCTTGTGGTAGGAAGAAGACCGGCGATTTGGAATGGTAGCTCGTGTAGATGAAGGGCATCGCGGTGCCGAGCACCCATAGTATCGACTTGAGCCCCAAGTTGAAGCTCGAGCGCTGCGCAGCCAGGCTCTCGTCTGTTCCGTGCGTTCAGCACGTGCCGTGCGCTAGCAGACAAGTCGTCTTACTGAGCTTCTCGAGGTCAGACACGCCCTTGTCGAGCTTGCGACGTAGCTTGGCCCACTTGGCAAACTGATCTTGAGCACTCGTCGCACTCAGCTCCGCCTTGTTTGCCATGATCTCCTTCTTGAGTAAAGATTGCCGCCGCCCGAGGGGTGACCGGGTGATCTTGAGGTAGATCGCATAGAGCTGTCAAGCATGACGCACTTTGAGCAAGCACTTCTTGCGTCAGGACCAAGACGCACAAAGTCGGCTACTCTGCCCTGACCAACGCCGTTGACGATCTCTGTGAAGGCGACGAGCAAGACGAGGTTGATCGCTAGGGCGAACATGGCCGTCACTGGCTCGTAACAACGGTCAGCGCTCAGCACTTGACTTCGCGTAAAATTCTTTGCTCTGCAGCCGAGCAATGTGAGTCCTAGCTCGGCCTTGCAGCTGTTGACAGACCCGCTGAATGCTCACATCGATAGGCCTGACTCGGCGACACGTCTCAATGTGCTCATCATCGGCGCTGGCGGCCGGGAACATGCCCTGGCATGGCGGCTCGAACAATCTGCGTTGGTGCAGCAGATTTACGTAGCACCAGGCAAGCTGACATGATATTCCTCCCTGAATGGATGACTGACAGCACGTGTGGACCTTCAGGCAATGGTGGGACCGCGCAAATGGGTGGCAGGACGAGCAATGTCGACATCAAAGCCAGCGAATTTGACAAGCTCGTCCACTTTGCAACAGAACATCAGATCAATCTCGTCCTGCCAGGCCCAGAACAGCCCCTCGTAGATGGTATTGAACATGTCTTCCGAGCAATCGGCATACCTGTGTTTGGGCCAACTCCAAAGGCCGCCCTCATGGAAGGCTCCAAGGCCTTTTCCAAAGACTTTATGGCTCGTCACGCTATTCCAACCGCAGCCTACGCCAATTTCACGGACCATGCTCAAGCAGAAGCCTATGTTCAAGCAGCGCAACATGATCTCGTCATCAAAGCTTCAGGTCTCGCCGCAGGCAAGGGCGTTCTTATCCCGCAATCAAAGGAGGAAGCGCTGCAAGGTCTCGAAGAGATCATGGTGAAGCGCGAGTTTGGTCAAGCGGGCGACGAGGTCGTCATCGAAGAGTTCTTGAGTGGTCAAGAGCTTTCCGTGCTCGCTTTCTGCGACGGCTACACGATCTTGCCCTTGCCGGCTGCACAAGATCACAAACGAATTGGCGAGGGCGACACTGGTCCCAATACTGGCGGCATGGGGGCCTACTCTCCGGCACCTTGTGCAACCGCTTCTGTCAACGAGACGATCATGAAGACCATACTGCAACCCTCCCTCGATGGAATGCGCAAAGACGGCAAATGGCCTCGCATTTCCTTTATCACTCAGCTGACATTGCCACGCAGGCATACCCTTTGTGGGACTCCTGTTCGTGGGCATCATGCTGACCGCGCAAGGGCCGAAAGTGCTCGAATACAATGTACGATTCGGCGATCCCGAAACTCAGACGCTGCTGCCTCTGCTGGCCCCGGAAACAGATCTCGCCGAGATATTGCTTGTAATGCTTGCTTCTTCGTCCACATACGACCGCACTGACGCATCTTGCAGGCTTGCGTCGACAGAAGGCTGGATTGCGTCCAGCTCAAAGTCTCGAAACAGCACGCCGTTTCTGTCGTGCTGGCCGCTCCTGGCTATCCCAGCTCATACCCCAAAGGCTCTCCGATCAGCATCGGCGCTTTACCCAAAGGTCCGTTCCGGCGTTGTGTGTCATACCCGACAAACATGACATCGTATGCAGATGTGGTCGTCTTCCACGCAGGCACTGTACAACAGAATGCTCAAATCGTGACTGCTGGCGGTCGCGTCTTGACTGTCACAGCCCGCGCAGACACGCTGCAAGCAGCTGCAGATCTCGCTTATCGCGGCATCGAAGCCGTCAAATTCGACGGTGCAATCTACAGGCGTGATATCGCTCACAGGTTGGTGGAAGGCGTTTGAGCATGTCGAGTTTGCTCACACCAGATTCCGCCGCAGAGCACTGAAAGCGCCTGCGGTAGCTAAAATGAACGGGATGTCATACGCCGATGCTGGCGTCTCAATTGACGCAGGAAATGCGCTCGTAGACAATATCAAGGCGGTAGTGAAAGCGACAGCACGCCCAGGAAGCGATAGCATCATTGGCGGCTTCGGCGGTCTCTTTGATCTTAAGGCAGCAGGCTACAGAGATCCGATCATCGTCAGCGGTACTGACGGTGTTGGAACGAAGCTCAAAATTGCCTCCCTCGTCAATAAGCATGATACGATCGGTCCGCTGAAATCACCTTTACAAGCTTCGCTTTGCTGAGCTGTTGGCGTATCGCAGGCGTCGATCTTGTTGCGATGAGTGTCAACGACTTGATAGTGCAAGGTGCAGAGCCCCTCTTCTTCCTTGACTACTTTGCATGTTCGACCCTGGACGTTCACACTGCCGCAGCCGTCGTGACGGGTGTGGCGCAAGCTTGCAAGGAATCCGGATGCGCTCTCGTCGGCGGAGAAACAGCGGAAATGCCCGGCTTATACCATGGAGGTCAGTCTGCCCCAGTCTCTGCTCACGGCTTGACTGATGCGCTTTGCAGAGGATTATGATCTAGCTGGCTTTGCTGTTGGCGCAGTCGAACGCAACGAGCTCTTACCGCGACCAGACATTCAGCCTGGCGATGTTCTGCTAGGCTTAGCGTCCAGCGGCTGCCACTCAAATGGCTTCTCACTCATTCGAAAAGTCGTCGAAAAGTCTGGGCTCGCCTACAGTGACACTTGCCCGTGGGATGCATCTGTCTCACTTGGTGAAGCGCTCTTGATCCCGACAAAGCTATATGTCAAGCAGACGCTACCCGTCATGCGAGCAGGTCTGATCAAAGGCATGTCGCACATCACCGGCGGTGGCTTCACCGAGAACGTCCCTCGCATGTTTCCTCAGGGTCTAGGCGCGCACATCGACTTGACGGCATGGGACTTACCGCCAGTGTGGCAATGGCTCAAACAGCAGGGCAACATCGCCAACGAAGAACTGGCCAGGACGTTCAATTGCGGCGTGGGAATGGTCATTGCTGTCGATCAGTCCAAGGCAGAAGTAGCTATCAAGGCGCTACAGAAAGCCGACAGAGGCCATGTGTACATTGTGGGCACGGTCACGGACCGTCCGGGAGTCTCATACACCGGCATGGAGACGTGGCAATAGAGATTGCATCTCTCGGGGAATACTGCGCTAAATTCGTGCTCCTCACCGGTCAAGCTAAGTATGAGTCTGACCTTCGATCGGCTAGAAGGCATGAGTAGGGCGCGAATTCGACTGCGCTTGAGCTCTGGGATGTTTGAGACGAACGTTTGAAAGGTTAACACGCTTAACGCGACCTCCCGCCTCGTGCTGTCACATTACGTGTCACGTCCCTGAACCGAGCGCATGCGAGCGCTATGGGCTCGACATACTCTGACAGTCGTCGGTTTACTGCTGTTCATCAGGTCGTACCTCGTCTGGAGACCCCTGCTCCACAGCTTCGCCGAGCCGCCGGCACCCAATGACAAGCATTTCTCGCGATTGTTCCTCGTTGTCGTCGACGCCTTGCGCAGCGATCTCGCTTTCGGGTCCCTGGATGGCTCGATAGCACCTATGTCTAACGTTGCAAGACTGATAGAAAGTCGTAAGGCGCTCGCTTACACTGCCAAAGCGCAATCGCCTACTGTGACCTTGCCTCGACTCAAAGCGATCACGACAGGAACGCACCCCGCATTTCTCGATGCAATATCGAATCTCATCGAAGCAGGACCCCATGCAGAGCCTGTTCGTGTACTCGAACAGCAAGACAGTTGGCTTTGGCAGCTCAGGCATGGAATCAATGGGACGCGCTCCGCTCGCCGAATGGCTCTCTACGGTGACGACACTTGGCTAAGACTCTTTCCTCCAGCATGGTTTGAGAGCTCCGATGGTGTAACAAGTTTCATGGTCACAGACACGGTCACGGTCGACACTAACGTCACCCGACATCTCGAACGCGTACTCGAATCAGGGACTGAGCATGAGGTCGACGTGCTCATCTTGCATTATCTCGGCCTGGACCACATTGGCCACCTGCAAGGACCTCGATCCCCGCTCACGCTACCCAAGCAAGCTGAGATGGACACCGTGTTGGCGCGTCTGTGGCGTCACTTGGAAGTGCGCGACGCTCGCGATGAGCAGAAGAGTCTGCTCGTCCTCATCGGTGATCACGGCATGACTGAACAAGGGAATCATGGTGGCTCTTCTGAAGCCGAGACCTCTGCTGTACGTCTCAGAAAGCCTACTCCTCCGATCGTTTATAAGGGATGACAGGCTTTACTGCTTGCTTCTCCAAGCTTCGATGTGGATTCCACAATACACACCCAGAAAGGACATCCGTCCAGACCCTACAGACTGTACCAACAATGCAACCAGGTCGACTTGGTGCCAACATTGAGTGCCTTACTTGGCCTCGGCATGCCTGCGTCAGTTTCTGAACCGTGAGGAAAGCAAAGCTCACCCATTGTGCAGCAATTCACTTGGAGTCATACTCAAGAGTGCTCTCGATCAAGCGCGTTTCGACGCTGAACATCACGACGATATTCTGGAACGTAATCGGCGCCAGCTGAGTCAGCTGATGCGAGAGACGTACGGAATGGAATCTGCCCTCTCAGACTCGTCGGCAAATGCTCATCAGGCATGTGACAATACATATCAAGGATCGCGTGCTCACAAACATCGCAGGATATGCTAAGCATGCAGAACTCAGCTTTCGGCTCTTTCGGCAGCGCGCACCTGCTTTCGCTCGTGCCCGGCCTACTCGTGCTCGGCATCGCGGCAGGCATCAACGTGCGCCCTTGTTGCCAGCGTCTAGCGACTAGCACGTCCTTCGGGGCTCTCATCTCTGCAATGACAGTCTTCTATCTGGCGACGCTTTTTGCCAGCAGCTTTATCGAGGAAGAGCACGAATATTGGGCGTTCACGGGCGTCACCATCAGCCTGCTCTGTGCTGCGCAGGCCTTCTCTTCGAGCCCATCGACATCGCGCTCGTTGCTTACCGTCACGCTCGTGGTCCGGGTCTTGCGTGGATGGTCGTCAAACGGTACGGCCGATCTTTGATCTGATACGCAGCTGATCAGATAGCCCAGGCCAGAAGGACACGCGAGTAGACGACAGCTTTTCGCGGTGTCTCTCACAAACGTCCCAGCTGCTGCTCCTGCTCATACTGGTTGCTTTGACCATCACACTGATCGCTTTGCAGCTTGTGCAACATCCGCAACAGGGCCGCACTCGGGGTCTTGCATGGCTCGCTGCGATCACGCTTTCGCTTGTCAATGCTGCACAGGTCTCGCCGTCGGCGGATAGTTGGCTCGCTGATCACCTGGCAAATGCCAATACGCTTTTCAGGTGCCATGCAGGCATCGCGGCCGCTGTCATCCTCGTCGACGGCCGGTCTAAGAAGTCTCTGGCAGCCGTTGCGTCGATACTGGTCTGCATTACACGGCCAACGAATAAGCCCTTGTTTCTGATCCTCTACCTGGGGCAGAGCATATTGAGCAAGATCGCCTTTCCGCCTGTCTGCACAGAATGGGTCATTTTGTGCGTAGCAATGTCGTCCTTTTTCGCGCTTGGCGGCTCAAACTCGTCTTTGGCCAATGTCGATCTCTCTTCTGCTTATCTTGGCCTGAACAGCTACAGCCCAATGCTGGTATCAGCGATGACCTTTCTCAGTAATTACTCTCTGCCGGTGTGGTGGACGCTGGCCACATCAAGCCCGCCCCGTTCTTACGACCTGCCCACGGCATTCTGGTCGCTGGCAACGCTTTCTCTTTGCCTGTCTGCGACAGTATTTAGAGAGCACCTGTTCGTGTTCTCAGTCTTTTCGCCTTCGCTGATCTTCTGCGCCGTGCGAATTTGTCTGCTTCATCCGCTAGTATTACTAGTAGCAACGCTGCAATCGCCTTGACGACAACGATTAAGCTGACCATAGACGATCATCCATACGCAATCGTTGCCAGACATCAGGCAAAGCGGCAGCTAGTCGTGGCGGAGCCGAGTGTGCGAGCTCTGGCGCGAGCTTCAAGACGTTGCCTGTCTGAGCGAGACGCTTGGCGAGTGCAACGAAGGCCGGCAAGGTACTGTTGTGACACCTGATTTCGAGCTGACGAGACTGCGCACCGCCTTGTAGTCGATCGTAGGACTTTGCAAGGACGTGCTCGTGAGCGCTATCGAAGAATTCCGCTGGCAGTACAGTCTCGCGGATGACTTGATCAGATATCGGGACGTAGAGCCGTCCCTCATGAGTGAGCTCTGTCGCGTTACTATCTCTGGAAATGGCATCTGCTATCTTGTGCTCGAGCTCTTCGTCTAGTGAGGCAGAAGTGACGGCGGTGAGCATCAGATCAAAGGAATGCGACGGCATGAGCAGTGCAAGGTCTGATCGACTCAGCGCGCGCACGAGTGGCGCGTGCTCCCTAGATGAGGAGCTTGGTGAGGCAGGCGAAAGTTCCGCCTCGATGAGCTGATAGGCGCTGCCAGGACTCTGCTGCGTCGCCAAGTAGCGAATCCTGCGTCGCATGGTTGAGTGATAGATGAGCGTTGCTGGCTCTGCTGGCATTGATGACCAATGATCCTTTGCTGGCACCATACGCTCGACCAGACCGGCCGCAAGTCTATGCTTGGTTGAGTCAACTCTTGACATGTAGACATCAAAGATGCATACCCTGGGACGAAAAGTCGAGGCCGAACAGTATCAGGTGTTGTAGAGATGTCAGCGTTCGAAAGCCAATAGCCTGCAGTCAAGCGTAGCTTGGTGTCGCCTTCGATAAAATTACTCGCTAGACTGGCTTCGAGCCCTTGTGCAGGTTCAGTCTTGCACATGATGGTCGATCGCTGCGCGCGCGAGGTCATTGCCGTCGCGGGCAAGACGTTTTGTAATCGTGCCAGTTGTGTTGACTCGGCATGCCATGGCAAACGTTCGTAAAGCCCATGAGGGTAATACGCCATGTGCTCATCTGACGTCGCAACATAGATGCGTAGCTTCTCGGCGGCCTCGTCCTACGAGCGATCAGCCGATGTCACGGTTCAGTGGAAGAAACCCTACCAGAGCACAGGCCTGGTATATCCTGTGGCGCGCTCGCATAAATGGCGCCTTGCCCTTTGTCGTGAGCTTGATGAGAGACTGCGAGCAATATCAGCGACGTCGAAGAACACTATCTGTTGCTCCTTACCTTGTCCGCGGTCGCTTCGATGAGCGCCGGGCCGTGGGAAGCTATGGACTGGAATAGCTCCTCGCGCGCTGGGCGTGGGAGTGCAAGGGGCTGAGTGATGATGGCCTTTTGCACACTCTTGACATAGTTGCGAAAGCGCAGAAGGTGGTGTGCTGCACCGGTTGCGCGCAGCTGTGGCGGTTCACCCTCAATGGCAAGCTCTACATCATACGTTCGGGACAACGGCGCGAGTTTGCCAGCTGTATCGGCGAGTAAGAGGGTGAGTTCGACGAGCGAGAGCGGCAGAATCTCAGTCTCGGGTATGATTGAGCCGTCCGGAGCCTTTCGTATGCGCTCGGGATGCTGCCAGCCCCAATGCTCGATCATGAGCCTTTCCAGAACATCTCTCCTTTTGGATGTGGATTTGATCTTCAGCAGGCCGGCCTCCTTGGCCAGATTGCGGACTTGTTTGGGACTGAAAGCCGTCATGAGACTTGCAAGAGTCTTGTCGAACTGTGAAGCGATCCATTGAGGACGCTGCGATCGCTTGAGAGCGGCAGGAAATCTGCCACCAGGTTGCAAGAACGGCGGCAAGAACTGGTCGAAATCCTCGATGGTAGGCTCTGTACTCGATGCCCGCTGATCCACGGCAGTCTCAGGTGTCAGCAGAGGGCTTATAGAGCTCTCCGGCAGCTTCGATTGCGCTCTGGCTGACAAAGTCGTGTGATCTGGCGCTGCCGTGGCATAACGAGCGACGCTGCTTTGCCGTGCGGATCTAGCTTGCGCATTGTGGTTCTGTTTCAGCTCTAGCTGCCTGCAAAGCCGGCAGCGCAGAGGTGGCAAGGCTCTCAACATGCGTCGCCGGCTCGGACGGCTCTGAACGTCAAAACGACTGGCAAGTTTTCGCGACACGGTGCACGATCGACAGGAACATTATGATCAAGCTCGGTGTGGGTCATCATGAAAAACGCAAAGGGGACAGTACATCAATGCAATCAGAGCGAGGATCGCTCGGAGCGGGGCAACAGAGCCGCTTAGAGCTTGTCGTAGTAGTTCGAGATGTCAGGGATTTCGTCCTTGAGACCCTTGCGCTTCCTGATCTCCTTGACCAGCTCCTCCATCTTGCTGCCCTTTTCGAGAGGCGTGCCGTTCATGAGCGCGTAGTGATCGAACACCATCTGTGGGAAGGCTTGACCGCCCGTTGCTTGACGCAGATCGGAAGTGAAGCCGAAAGATGCAGCGACGGGCAGGTAGCTCTTGACTGCGAACAGCGGTGTACCAACTGGGGGAAGCGATGGATGTCAGCACAATCATAGCTAGCCAACGCGATAAACGCACCTCGTTGCTCTTCGCTGATGACGACACCACGACGCTTGTTCATCGTAGAATAGATACCGCCCAGGCAGGATTCGGAGCAAGTTGTCTCGACGAGGTAGACGGGTTCCTGAATACCTGGCGTGGCGAGCAAAGCGCTGGCATACATCACACGACGACATGTCGGGATGATCTGACCACCACCACGATGGATGGCGTCCGTGTGCAGGGTGACATCGAGAATGTTGTATCTGACACCTCGACCGGGTTCCTCAGCGCACACACCTTCCTTCGAAGCCCACTGGAAGGCAGCGACGCAGGAATCCTTGATTTCGGCAAGGTATTGTACAGCCTTTGTCGTGTCGACGAGCAGATTCGGGCCGTTTGTGTCGGGACCGAAGCACCAAATCTGCAGGGCAAGAGTCAGAGCGTAGTGAGCGTGACCGTATCGAGATATCTCACCTTGCGTGCTTCTGTGACATCCCATCCATGCTCGTCAGCGAGCACACGTGCGCGGAGCTTAAAGTCATCTCGCGGCGCGATCTTGCCAGTCTCGATGGCCTTCGAAACTTCTTCGTCAAGCGGTTGAGCAGTCATGTAAATCCTGTTGTGCTTGTTCTGCGACTTGGATAGAGCAGTCATGCTGGACAGAGCCTGGACGGTCTCGCGATAGGCGACGACTGGCGCAGACTTCTTGAGAGGGATTTGCGCATGGTCTTCTTCGAGATCCTTGAGGCAAATCTCGAGATGGAGTTCGCCTGCACCGGCAACGATATGCTCGCCAGTCTCCGAGATCCAAGTTTGCACGCAGGGGTCAGACTTTGAGAGACGCTTGAGACCTTCGACGAGCTTGGGCAGATCGTTAGCATTCTTGACCTCAACGGCGACTTGCACGACGGGCGAGACGGAGAACTTCATGACACGCATGTTGTGAGCAGTCTCGGAGGTCGCGAGCGTGCCGGACTTGAGCAGGAATTGATCGACACCGACGAGACCGACAATGTTACCGGCAGGGCAATCCTCGATAGGCTCGACATAACGGCCCATCATGAGGACGGTGCGCTGGATGGACTTGATTGATAGGTCTTCCTTCTTGCCGGGCACGTAGTTCGGGCCTTGAATACGGATCTTGGGACCAGCCTTGACCGTGCCAGAGAAGACACGTCCGAATGCGTAGAATCGACCCTTGTCGGATGTGGGGACCATCTTTGAGACGTAAAGCATGAGGGGACCCTTGGGATCACAGTCTCGGATACCGATAGCGGATTCGTCATCGAGGGGACCTTCGTACAAGTTCTCGACACGGTATTTCTGCGCAGTCAGAGGTGACGGCAGATTGATGACTATCATCTCCAGGAGAGAGTCACCAGCAGGCAAGAACTTGCGCATGATCGACTTGAGCAGCGCCTTGCCTTCCTGGTCCTTCTCCTCTGAAGTCAACTTGACCTCGAGCTTTTCGAGCATGGGCATGATCGCATCCTTTTTGAAGTTCATGACGGAATCGAAGATCTTAAAGATTGGGTCCAAGATGAACATGTTGAATGCTCGCTCGAGGACCTCGCCGTCAGCGCCAGTGTTCTTTGTGGTCCACTTCTTCGTCTTTGGGTTGAAGAAGTTGTCGCCCCACAGCTTGCCCATCATCTTTTCCTTGTCGACACCAAACTTCTTGGAGTAACGAGCGGCGAACTGACGAAGCGTGAATGCCCATCCATGAAGTCCTGAACCAAAGGCGATTGTGCCCTTCTCGGGGTAGACCTGGCAATCACCGAGCGCCTTATCGTTGTAGGTGGCGATGATGACATTGACGGATTCAATCGTTCGGCTGAAGGACTGGTAGAGATCTTCCTTGGAGACCTGCAGTTCGAGCAGTGCACGGTCGACCTTGTTGACGATGACGACAGGCTTGATGCGTTCGCCGAGTGCCTGACGAAGCACGGTCTCCGTCTGCACGCACACGCCGTCGATACAGTCGACGACGACTGCGAGAATTTGTAAGCGTTCGCCATGCATACGCATAGGGCGAGCGTACCAAGGGCACCATCGGTGACACGGAGCGCAGCAGTGACTTCTGACGAGAAATCGACGTGACCGGGCGAGTCGATCAAATTGATGAGGAACTCGTTGCCTGACCGTATCTCGTCAGCACAGAACAGAAACGTTCTCGCCGGACCGACCATCGTTCTTTTGCTTGACATCCGGAAGGTCTTCTTTCGGCAGCTCAAAGTACATTGAGATGGCAGTCGATTTGATGGTGATGCCGCGTTCTTGCTCGTCCGGACGGGTGTCCATGAAGCGGGAGTCACCAGCACGAGCGGCGGCGATGATACCAGCTGCGTATCGAAAGACCATGAGCCTGCGTGGTGACTCAGCAGCACCTCGACGCACCCTTTGATACGAGCGAGTCTGTCAGAGTCGACTTTCCGTGATCGACTGCGTGCAAATGTCAGCGCTCTAAATCGACCAGCTGTCTTGTGGAGAGCGTACCGTGAGCGATGACACTCATGTTACGGATATTGCCGACTCGGTCCATGAGACCACGCATCTGTCCAGGCACGAGCGCACTTGTCAGCAACGGTGTCCATCTTGCGCGACTCCGAAGCTCGACTGACCTGGTCGACGGTGAAATTGACCATCTTGACTGATTGTACTGTAAATCTAGGGGGATGCCTTGACGGTCTGTCGCTCTAGGCAGACGCTCGAACGCTGCTCAAATTTTGTGAGCGCCTACGAGAGAATTTGCGTCTCTCACGGTTTTCACCGACATTGGCTTGTGATTATATACTCATGTAATCACTGTCGCTACATGGCGGTGACGCCGATGAGCATGAGGAGCACGCCGGCCAGCAAGCATCGAGCGCTGGCAGTCCGGCAAGCGGAAGATGAGCTAATCAAGCGGCCTACCCATTCGGTCTACCACCAAGAGATCCTCACAGAGGACGAGTATACTGCAGCCCTGTCAAAGATCATCCAGCGAGACTTCTTCCCAGATCTGCATGCTGCAGAATGTGCCAGGGAGACTCAAGCGGCCCTTGCAGCCAGCTTGGAGCGAATGCATAGCCGAGCCGAGCGCAAGGGTCCTCTTGTGACGCCAACACCTTTGCGCAGGGATCTAGGTGCGTCTGCTCACGACTTGAGGGTGCATAGGCTGATGGTGGCCACGAAAGGCTCTACGCCAGGTGCGACGCCGCTCCGTGGCGCTTCGCCAACTCCCTCAGTCATGTCGACGCGTAGCATGAGGCCTACAAATGATCCATCTCAACACTCGCTTGACCATTTTGTTACCCACTATACCTCAGAAGACAACGCATCCTTCGCAGAGATCGTACAGAAGCAGAACGAGCTGCGACGAGTGCAGCACAGTTGGGCGTATGACATGGAAGCGCGATCAAATGCGAGACTACTACAAGCGCGTCAGGGCCGCGAACGGTTGGTCGAGGCTGTGAACAGAGCTCTCATCGAAGGCGGCGGCGAAGTCATGCTGCTCGAAGGCGCTGAACCTGGCCGGCCGAGTGACCGCTTGCTTCTCACAGGCGGCAAGACATCGCTGATCGGAGACCAGCTCTCCATACAAGCTGCCAAGCAACACGTCATAGAAGCAGGAGCACCAGAAAGCAGACTGATCAAAGACTCTTCGGCTGCTAGTTCTGTGGAGGATGCCAGCGAGATGCCCCCGCCAGCGTTACCTGCGCGTGCTACGAAGGACGCTTCTGACGTTCGCATGGAGGGCTGGTCAGCCAAAACGCGTAATGCCTTTTTCTTTTCGCCAGACGCAAATGAGAGCATTGTCGAGCGGTCCATCAAGCCCAAGCCGAGGGATCCGACCCTGCATCTGTACGCCGAACCAAAGTCGATCAATTATGCCAATACGCGCATCAGAGAGCCGAAGAAGCGGCGTTCCCAGAGCTCTCGCGCACCGTCCAGCCCGAGTACATCCATCGTCGCAGAAGCCATCAACGCAGATGCGTCCGAGCCAGCTACACCGCGCATACGCGGCTATGGCTTTGTCGCGCCCATGGCTTCCCCTACGCCATCTCAGCTCGGCGAGACGGGTATGAACGCACTCATGACACATGGCGTGCTGCAAGGCACACCTGTGGCACTACCACGCGATGGAGATTCTCCTTTCCAGCTGACCGAAAGCTCGCGAAGAGATCGGCTCGCTCACCGTATGGCGTCGCAAGCTTCTGCCAATCTCAGAAGGAAAAGCACAGGCATGGAGCCCTCGAGCTCGAAGCGGTCTCGCATTCTGGATTCGCCGAATACGCCAAGGACGCCTCAAGCGATGCGACAGATGCTCAGTCCTGCAGCTCGGCTGATCTCGAAGAATTTGCAAAAGACAAAAGCTGCGAAAACACGATTGGACACTTAGAAAAAACCCCTATAATGTTCTACGACATGGACTGATGAGTATATATGTTGTCGTTTGTTGTGCATCAGATGTACCGATACGTTTTGGGCGAATCCCATGACAGAGTAGCAATGGTTCTGGGGCTGTAAGCCAGGCTGCTCCTCTTTGAATCTGCAAGTTTGGGTGAATGCAAAGGCGTCGACTCTACTTGACTTCGCTCTGAGATACTGTAGAGCAGTGGACTGGATATGGCCAGGCCGAAGCCGATCGCGAAGCCTGCTGGCAGCGTGACCTGGTCGTCATATTCGGCAAAGTCAATATCGAGTACATGTTGCTCAGTCTGATCGTCTGAAAGCGACAGTTGCTGCCAGAGACTCTTCTCTAGCGTAAAGGGCGACGATGGCGTTGCCGGTGCCTGGAAACTGGGCGAGAGCGGCATAAGAGGCGAACCGAAAGCCGAAGCTGAGAGGAACGGTGAATTGTACGACTTGAGCGTGACCTCCTCCTTGCGAAGGGTCACAATCCGATTGACGGGTGCGGGTCCATTCGAGAAGAAGGCGTCTAAGGCTTCTATGGCTGCCTTCTCCTCCTTTGCACGCCGCAGCTGTGTGCCTTCGTCATTTGCTTCATGGATGAGAACGGGCGATTGTGTAGCAGAGAATGTGATTCGATAGCCCGAGCTTGCATCGTCATCGTGTATCGCCGGCAGAGTGGGCTGAAAAACGTCGATAGATAGCATTGAGGCTGACCGAGATCGCCGACGTGCAACTGCATCGTCCGGCGAGCGAGCAGACCAGTCAGAATCGCTTGAACTTGCGCGAGTGTGAGACAGCGAAGGTACGCTCGAGCTTCGCTTCGTTTCCGGCGTTTTAGGACTCTGTTGCTTGGCGTGAGCGAGGCAACGACGATGGCCGAGCAACTTACAGGCAGCTCCATCCAGTCAAAGTGATCTGCTAGATCGCCACCTTTGCAATGCCATTCCATCTCTTCGACTGGCTTAGCCGCAAAGCCGGACCTCAGCTTCGTGAGAAAGCCAGACTTGCTGCCCGAGCTTGACGAGGAGCGATGCCGCCCTTTCTCTGGCTTGGCTCTTCGAGTCTCGCCATCCGGACGCAGCTTGACGGGTGAACCAAGCATCGGCATGGGAGCAGACGAGGAGCGAGCATGGGTGGAGCGCTTGTCGAGTTTCGACAGCGAGTGCACGTTGTCCGCCGAGAGCGGCATGCCCGGACGAGCTGAGTCTTGCACGGCTTGTAGGTCGAGGGATGCCTGCCTGAGGCGAGTCCTGATGATCATCTTATACGTCTGTTTGGAGAAGCTTCAGGCTCTGTGTCATCTATCGATGCCTAGGCTGATCCAGTAAGGCTTAAGCTCGAAGGAATAACCATGATGCCCAAGCAATGACAGCCGACGGCAGAGTCTATCCCGCCTGGGCTAAGGCTCGATCGCAATCTGGCCAGCCCGCCATGCGTATACGCTCGAGCAGGGTCCGTACATCTTTCGATTCCAGCCCGCGGTAAGGTGCGAGATCGTCTATGAGCAGTCATCGCCAGGCACAACGAGCTTGACATGCCGGAACAAGCAAGGCCGCAACGGGGCACCTGCTCAAATGGCTGGCTCTGTCGGTGCTCGTCAATTGTTTTCGTGCGCGGTTGGGCCCTGTCCCGTGTTGTGACATTTACGATTGCGTGCTTCGGCATTGGCAGCATTCCGAAAAGATCTTGTTGTCCTTGCGCAAGCATGGCTGACGGCACGCATATACTCATCGGTGAGCATACAGGATCGTGCGCATGGCTCGACGAAGCCAGCGCGCGATGCCAGCTAGTGTGCCGCGTCTGACACTTTTGCTGTGCTCCAGTGGGAACCGGTGCCGTTGGTGCTTTCTACGGCTCAAGATTGCACGATCCGGCGAACAGCGTCTTTGTCTCGCTGGTCTGCCGATCTAACTATGCCGCCGTCAAGAAGCGCGGTGTCTACCTGCGCACTAGAGACTATGGCGAATACCACTTTCGGCCTCATGCGGTGTACCCGTCCATCCAAGCTGCCGCCGACTCTGGACAGACATGGAACTACGCCGTCGTGACGACAAAGTGTCTGCCAGACATCACCGACGATTCTGCCGAGATTGTGCCGATCGTGAGCGACGAGACCCACATTGTATTGATACAGAACGGCATCGGACTAGAAGAACCGCACCGTCGCCGATTCCCCCAAAATCCCATCCTCAGCTGCGTCACCATCGTCAGTGCCGCTCAAGTCGAGCCAGGCGTGATCATCCAGCATCGCTGGACTCGCGTCAGCATCGGCCCGTACGGTGTCGGCCAGAGAGGCGGAGATGACGTACACCAGCTAGAATCAAGAGGCCAGGCTTCCACTTCGGAATTCGTCAAGATGCTCACCCATGGCGGTGTCAAGGATGCTGAAGAGTACGACGAGAAGGGTCTCCAGCTCGTTCGATGGCACAAGCTCTGCATCAACGCATCGATGAACCCCTCAGCCGTCTTGTCTGGCGGCGCGGGCAATTCGACAATGTCGCTCGATACCGAGCTCAGAATCCATCTCAAGGCTTGCATGGATGAAATCTTCGTGGCTGCGCCCAAAGTGCTTGGACGGAGCTTCCCCGAACATCTGGCAACGCCGGACAAGATCCTCAGATCGACCGAGCGCAATACAAACGCAAAACCTAGCATGCTGCTCGATTGGGAGAGTAACAGGCCTATGGAGATCGAAGTCATTCTCGGCAATCCTGTCAGGATCGCACGAGCTCACGGAGTAGACATGCCCCGCCTCCAAGCATTGTACGCATTACTTAAAATGGCGCAGCAGCGCCGAGATCAGGCCAACGCACTCATGGGCGGCAAACGTGCGGCCGACAACACTGCGCTCGAGGTCGAATCCAAGCTGTGACCTCCCACTCCCTGTCTTGAAGCAAAGAACCATACACGCCCGCCTCCGACCTTTCTTTTGGACATTTTTAGCATCACACGAGCATTAGCATGACCTCCAAACGCTTGTAGTCATGCATCCAAATGCATGCTCTTGTGCTACATGTTCGAATCCCATATGCTGATGAGTGACTTGACGGGCGGGCGTTTGACCCTCTTGAGCGTGTCAGACGTGTGACTCGTAGAGAGATCGGGCGCGCGAGCTTTAAGCAGTGATGTAAGTGTCTTGACGTTGGCTGGCGCACTCAGATGCTCTGCCATTACTAGCAGCTTGTCTTGCTGTGATGCTACAGACTTTGTAGACTTCATGGGATACTGTTTGGGAGCCGCTTCCGTTGCCTGACAGCCGAGAGATGCTGGAACGATATGAGGGGGCGCACGCGTTCCATGCGTTGTCTCGTCAGTAGCAGCGGAGAGTTCTCGAACTTCATGGAGATCGTGTGTGGCTTGCTTCACGGTTGAAGCGTCGAGTGGAGGTGCTACAACCTCTGGCAGTGTAGGCGTCTTTGAACAGCAAGGTATCTGATCGCTGGTCATTGCGGTGATAGGCGCGATCGATCGCGATTGTTGCGTGGGCAGATTAGACATTGCCTCGGGCTGCATACGCGTCTCTCGCTTCGATAGTGGTTCTGCGCGACAGCCTATGCTTGTACTGAGTCGACGCTCGAGTGATGCTAGACCAGCGCCAGCAAGAGCGATGACTGGCTCGACTGGCGTCGAGGGCATGCTTAGCGGAGTCAGAGTAGCCGTAGATGCTTGCGACCGGAGCGAAGGCGTATCTGAGATCCTCGTTAGTACGCCGGCAAGGTCTTTCGTGGCCGTTGCCCATGCACTGGTAGAGGCGCCGGCGGTGAAAGGCGTTTGCTCGATGGTGTGGTCGGAGTCTTTAGCTTCGCCCGTCAAGAAGATGCTTGCTGCGGAGGGACGGATTGCGATGTCTGGCTTAGACCCTTTGTGCGAACGAGGCAGACCAGGCAAGGTCTTATCAAGCGTGCCGGTCCGTGCTGAGGATGCGAGATCAAGTGCAATGAGCGACCTAATCGTTTCGACTTCTACATCTTCTTGAATTGGGTACAGATCAGTGCTTGCTCCGATCTCGTAAAGGCTCTGCGAGCTCGCTCGTCTCGAGCTCGATCGCTTCAGGTCAGGCTGAAGCAGAAGCAGGCTTGCAGCAGCATTGGCAGGGATCGAGAAGAGATCAGCGCTTGATGGCCATGCATCGAACGTTGGCGCTGGCCGCACCATGCGATCGAAATAGTCAACAGGAGGACTCTCATCCATCCATGTGGGAGACCGCAGGGATGCGTGAGCAGGTCTAGGAGAAAGTAGCTGCGGCGCTTCGTAAGTCAAGTAAGGGTCTGACGACGTAGTGGAAGCGGGGTCAGAGTTCGATCTTGCACGGTTGAGGAGCTCTACATATGGCGAGATCTCTTCTGTGGAGGCGTAGGACGGCGACAGCCACTCCGCAGACACGTTGCGAGAGCCAGTCGAGAGCGAGCGGTGGAGACTCGGCGACAAGCCAGCAGCGCCGTAGCCAGAGAATTGAGAGCCTGAGTGTGAGAGTAGAGTCTGCTCATTTGCGATGCTTGCCTCGCTATGGTCAATCGGAAGGTTGCTACCGCTGACGAGCAACACTGGAAGCACTACTTGCAATACATCGCCCCTGTTTCTTCTGTCAGCCAGCGCAGAGTCTGCAAAGCCTCTGTGACTCACCATGAGGCATCAATGAGCATAGTGATAGCAACATCGTACTGAACTTCGAACAGTTGTGCAGACTGCACCGAGCATATTTTGGGAATCGGCAATAAGGCGACTTGACTCGTGTCTTGTTCGCTAGAGATTTGCAAAGGTGTATCAGTAATGACGGACGTATCAATGGGATTCGTGGCGCGTCCCAATGTTGCAGATTTGCCTCGAGTGATGTGTCGCCTCAGTGCGACTGAAGTGTAGCCAAGTCGACCTGCGCCAGACGCTCTGCATTTGACGCGTACGGCAATTTGCTGCCCGGCATCGACATTGATGACGCCGCTATCTAAGCGGCCTTCCAGAGCAATATCGCCTCGAGGGCCACGACTTGGCAATTTGAGTATCGAATCTTCAATGACAGGTAGGTGAGCTTGTACAGCGATTTCAGGCTGCTCGGTGACGCTCAGGATGATCTGACGGCTGAGCACTGAGCATGTGCCATCTCTAGATCTGATTGCGACAGTGGCAGTGAGAACATAAGTCACGCCGGCGAGATTGGGGACGTTTACGCTTGACGGCGAGTCGAAAGGCAGTTCGTACTGAAAGTTGAAACGACACCTTCCTTTGCGAGCACGCCAGAATGATGTTCCATCGATATTCTCGGCGGCATAGACTGCATTAGATGGTGGCAACGACGCAGATTGAAAAAGTGTCGTCTTTTCGAGGAAAGCAAGCGTTGCTACGTCTGCATCAAGCTCCTCGATGCCTTGGAGCTTGACAGCAATCTCGCCGAGTGCAATGTGTTCCGAGCTTGCCGATAGTTGCAAAATGCCCGAGATGGTCTCGCCAGACGAGAAAGCTTTCTTCGAGAGCAGGACGAGCAGCTCGACGTCATTGTGTGACAGGACGGCGTTGGGCAGAAGCCGAGGCAGGCTTTTGGCATCCATTCGATTGTGAAGGCACCAAGTGAGCGGCGAAGACAGAAGGGAATCATCGCGAGAAGCCGAATGAGATGCGCCCGGACAGGCGCGCACAGACAGCAGGGGACAGCAGAAGGACAAGCCGCCGTCGCGCTTTCTCTCGACTCGACAAAATGTCGTACAAGATTGTGGTCTTGCCTGGCGATGGCATAGGTGCAGCCGTCGCAGTATCAGTTGTGGCTATTGCTGATGCCTCCGTTCCAATAGGACCAGAGGTGACTGGGGAAGCTGTCAGAGTGCTCAAGCATCTTGCGACCTTGCGACCGTCTTTGAGCTTTGACATTGAATCACATGACTTTGGAGGGGCAGCCATCGACTCGACTGGCGAGCCATTGCCGCCAAAGACACTAGACGCATGTCGCTCAGCTCATGCCATCCTGCTAGGTACATGGATCGCCTGATGCAGAGGTACAAGCTAAAATTTATGGACAGGCGCTGTTGGAGGTCCCAAATGGGGCACGGGCAAGATCAGACCAGAGCAAGGCATCCTCGGCTTGCGCAAAGCCCTAGACTTGTATGCCAACATTCGGCCTGCACTCTTCCCGTCGGAAAGCCTGCTCAAATTGTCGCCGCTCAAAGAGGAGCATGCCAAGGGAACGTCCATTATCTGCCTGCGCGAGCTAGTGGGAGGCATCTACTTTGGTGACAGGCAAGAAGCAGAGCAAGGCGACCCTAAGGGCGCAGCCTGGGATCGCTGTGACTACTCTGTCCCCGAAGTTGAGCGAATCGCCCGCGTCGCTGCACACCTTGCACTAGCAGCTGATCCGCCGCTCGAGATCCATTCAATTGATAAAGCCAATGTGCTTGCAACCAGCCGATTATGGCGTAGCACAGTCACTGCTCTCTTCGCCAAAGAGTTCCCTCAGCTCAAGATCGATCATCACCTGGTCGATTCTGCAGCCATGGTCATCGGCAGCAGACCTCGCAAGCTCAATGGCATCATCCTCACAGACAATCTCTGTATGTCCTCGCCCTGCTGAGCATAAAAACACAAACTTACTCGCGCGTAGTCGGAGACATTCTGAGCGATCAGCTCAGTGTCATTCCAGGCTCATTGGGTCTCTTGCCTTCTGCCTCGCTCGCTGGCTTACCTGACGGCAAAGGCAAATGCCTCGGTATCTACGAGCCGATCCATGGCTCTGCACCAGACATTGCAGGCAAGGGCATCGCAAACCCAATCGGTACGATTCTGTCGGTTGGCATGCTGTTGCGCTATTCGCTCTCGCTGGGCGAGGAAGCCGACCTGATCGAAAACGCGGTCAGAATCGCTCTAGATGAAAGTACACACGGAGGTCATCAGATCCGTACGGCTGATCTGGGCGGCTCGGCAAAGTCTGTCGACGTTGGCGCTGCCGTCATTACGGCGCTTGATTCGCTTTGCAAGTAGCAGGTCTACAACAACAAATTGCATTCTATTGATGCTCGTTGTGATTATGGGAAGGCTGCGAGTCCTCCGTCTGGAAGATCTGCGCTCGCCATGCGAGCGTTCAGTGAGAGTCGCATCTCTGTCGCCACCCCATGAGCAGTCTGTTGCAGCCATCAGCAGAGTTATGTGAGAGCGCAAGCAAACGCACTTTGAGCAGATCTCTGAGTCTTGTCAGCTCGAGTTCTTGACATCGCTCCAGTCGCATCGAGCAGACATTGTCTGCTCCATCGAAAGCGACAATCAGTCTGCTTTGCGAAGCTGACTCTTCGTGCAGTGTCGCGTCAAGAAACGGCTCTTGATGGATCAGGTTGAGTGTGACGCAAACGGGCAGCTGATCGCGCTCGTCTAACTGATCGCCCAAAGACTCGCTGTCGTCTAGCTCGAAATCGACGACTCGACCCGCTGTCTTGAGATTCTTCTTGCGTATACCGTCGGCTGTGCCCTTGAGGAACGCACTCATGTCACCGCCCGGCTGTGCTACGGAGCTGCCAGGCTGCTCGCCATCCTCGCCCGGCTTTCTTCGTTGGTTGAGCAAGGCGGTACTGCGTGTCCGGGGAATGCGCAGATCCCACAAAGCCGCTCTGACTGCCATGAACGCAACATCGTACAGGTTTCCGCCGGATGCGCCGAGAACAATCACATCGATAGCGAGCGACCATCTCCGCTTGCCGGGCAGGATGATGAGTTGATCTCGTACTCTCCTTCTCGTCGTTGACTTTTTCGGGCTCGCGCCGAAGAAATGACTCTTTAGCGCCGTTGCGATGAAGGAGACGAGCCCTCCGGTAGGATCATGATCAAGGGCTTGTAGCGCCATGGGCGAGCTGCTCTCTCGTGAGTATCTAGAAGAGGAGCTCACAAAGAGCGCCTCACCAATCGACATCAATGTCGAGCCATCGCGAGGCGTCCGAGCCCGCCCGGGCTGCCCCACTGCCCGCGTTCGAGCTTGACTCTCCGACTGCTTCGAGTCTGCATCCCACGAGGACGTCTGAACCTGCTACAACAACTCTTGCAGAGCCATTCGACTGAGGAGCGATGCCGCTGGCGATATGAATATCTCGATAATCGAGCCGCTGTCGTCCATCTGATCTTGATGCTATTGATAGCGAATGGGCAACATACGAGAGCTCTGCTCGCGAGGCAGTGCTTTGCATGCGTACGAACTTGACAGCGTTCGCCTCAAGCCCGTATATAACGAGCGGCGCGAGTAAGATTCGACTGCTTCCCGCGCCCCGATCACGTCGATCACGCGAGCGTGAGAGAAACGAACAGCATAAGAAGAAGTTTTCAATCCCTCTTAGCTCAAGACCATACTGTGAGTTGTTTTCGCTATATCGTCCTCGGCTTACCTTTCCACGACGATCCGATCTCTACGTGGACCCACTCCTACCATCTGCGTTACTTTGCGAGAGCCGTTGCTGACTTTGGGCTTCTGCCTCTTCTTCAGCTTACAGGATTTCTTTATAGAAAAACATCCGAGTCGTCTAGCAACTCAAAGTTGCCACCTTTACACATAGCGACGACGAGGGAAGAAGCCTCTTGCCTCCCTTTAACGGAGACATGACCTCTCGTTCAGCCTAGCCAGTCTCTGACTGTGCCTGGCCCGAGATGGTTCTCGATGAAGTTGCTGCGTCCCACCGCACTCGTCATGCTTTGGCCGAAAGGTCTCTGCAGAGTGTTTGCGTTGTCACACACTGTCCTGTCGTCTGCTTCGCTTCGGCTGGTATTCGGACTTCAGTCGTCGTGGCCGTGGTGACGTTGGCGAGGAGCATGAGGCTGTTTCTGAGCTATCTCACTACTATCTATATATGTTGTCACACTGCACTCTCGGGCTATCATACTCTGCCCCTCGTGCTCTTTCCTGTCTCTCTAGCGAGATTTCATCCCCTTAGTGTTCCAGTCGATCGCGTCTGCCGTCTCGACATGGACGACTTTACGAAGGTCGATCGAAATCTCAAGAATGCACTGTTCGAGGGCTACAAGCTCAGTCCGCTAAGAGATGCTGCGCTGTCCAGGCAAGCGCTGCCATGTAAAGGTGACGACGTTGCGCTGCCAGGACGGCCACTTGTACGAGTTGATGACATTGCAACGTACAACTGGCGTGCAGTCAGAGCCAAGGCGAAGCACAACTTTCTCTGCCCGGAGTCAGCTACAAGTGCAGTCTTTATCGATGGTCAAGCACAAGTCTGGCGCATAAGCCTCAGTGAGCAAGATGTCGCCATCAAACTGCTTCTGGCTATTCCCCTGCCCGTCAGCCCTAGCACGGCTTCGAAGGCGGCAGAGTACCCTAGCATTGTGATATCAGATGGCAAGATCATCGTAGCAGACGGCACTGGGTTGCTCTACATCATCAGCTCCTCGGCACAGACGGCCGCAATAGATGCATCTTATAGCTTGCAAGTCAATGACGCCTCACTACCTTTCAGTTTGCTAGGCGTACAGTCGCAAGCTAGGCCAGATGGCACAATGGCTTACTTGATCTCGTATCTGTCCGAAGCTGCTGTCAGCAGAGGGAACGACGAGGAATCCGGGCGCTTCACGCTCGCGCTCGTGACGCCAAGTCAAATCGTTCGCAATGGCTATGCTCTCCTGGACACGATGTGGACCATCACGGGTGCCGACTTGCCATCCTTCGTGTACCGTCAAGACAATACTGCGAGCTGGATCGTTGGCGCAAGCGCTCATTTTACTGCTCTTGGTGTCCCGGCCGACTCGCAAGTCGAGCAGTCGAAAATCAAACCGACAGAGTCCGTGCGATATCATTGGAGTCAGACGTCAGAGACTATCACAGTCGATTTCAAGCTCCCTCTTGCAGCCAGAGCCAAGGACATCAATGTGACCTTTTCGCCTCAATTCGTGACGATTGCGCCAAAGACCGATAACGCTTGTCTACCGCGCTGGTCACATCGCAAGCTATGGTCTAAAATCAAACCAGACGAGTCAACGTGGTCTCTCGAGCCTTTGGATGATGCATGCCTCTTGTCTCTCACATTGGAGAAGACCGAATCGTCACGCTGGTACAGCATCTTTTCGCCAGACGCTCAAGGCTATGAGGAGATTGACGAGACGCTCGACGCCGATGTAGCAAGAGATATTGCAGCAAACCTAGATAAGTATACGTCTGATACGCACCTGGACAATGTTCCGCCATCGACTTTGCTCGGCGATGAAGTTGACGCCGACATTGATGCTCCTGCCGATACGCCGGGCAGCGGAACCATGCTAACAATTATATCTGACGAGGGTCGAACCACCAGAGTACCGCTTACGCGCCCTGTCGAGCTTCTCTCACTGCCAGTCCCAAGTCAGCCGCAGACCGATAAATCGATCATCATTCGCAGCGACGTTCATGGCTTTCTTTTCAAACTCGAAACAGACACGGCGAGCTGGCGACACACATCAACATTTCCTGCACTCGCTTTCGTGCTCGCCTCAAAGCGTGACATAAAATACGCCGCGCATCTCGATCATTCTGTCAGCATCGCAATCGAAGCCGGTGCAACGCTTCGGGCAGCTGCTCATGCGAATACCTCAGGTTCACAAATCCCTGCTGGTGGCAACGCATACTTGTACTACCCTCCTCCACCAGGCAGCAAAGCAAGAACGGCGCGTTCTGCGGTGGCCAAGATAACTTCGCCATCTTCTGGCGCCTGTATCGGCGTAGCAAGACTGAGCATCGACGAGAAGGACGTCATCATCTTTTTGTGCGAACAAGAACTGGTTACATTGCGTCTATAGCTACAGAGTCTACGTTGTCAATCTCTACAGCTACAGAGATGTGATCTACGCTGCGAACATACGCTCAAATGCTTCACGAAGCTCCGCAGGCGTCTCGATGCTAGCTATCTCGCTTGTGACGGGTGTCGCCTCGTCTACATCCATCGGCATCGAGGCCGCCGGCTGCTCTGTTTCCACTGCTCTGTTCATCACTGGTAGACGTAGGAGTTCGCGCCATATCGTGCGCAGTGGCGGCAGCGTGTGCGGAGCTGCGTCTAGCAATGCAGATACATTTGAGATTTGAGGATTGCTCCTTGCTTCCCCTGTCGGTGTCGGAAGCGTCAGGTCGTCCAGTAAGTCGCTGAGTAATGACAGAGGTCCGACAGTGTCGGGTAGTCGTGCTGGCAATTGAGGCAGACCGACGTCTGTACCTGCCAAACTAATGCTGCCATTCGCGTCCACGAAGGCGAATGCCGGGGCTTTGCCATCACTGATGAGCGTGAGGCTTCGCATCGGACCTGGCATGATCTTGAGGCTTGCCTCGATCGTGTCGCCGAGCGATATCTCGAAAGCGCGCACGTCATGTGTAGGATCTGTACCGAGACTTCTTTCGACGGCAATCGCTTTGTCGCTGCCTCGAACGGAGTGAAGACTCTGCAGTGACACTGCTGCTGCTCCTATTTCATCGCATGTATACACATCGCATACCGATATGCCATTGCGGCCTCCGTAGACAAGGAATTGACCATGCTTGCCTGCGAAGACAATTGAGCTGACAAGCGTCGCATTTGGCGACGAGATCGATCTCAGTAAGGCTAGTGATCGAACATTCCACAGGGAAACGCAAGTTTGATGAGCGATGGCAAGAAGAGAGCCATCAAAAGAGAAGGCAGCGGCAAAGGCGCTCTGTTGGCGACAGTCGAAGACGGAGCGGCAGCTCCAGGTCATTCGGCCCTTGAAGTCTTGGCGAGACTGCCAGAGCTTGATCTGACCTTTCTTGCTGGTAGTACAGACCAGCAGTGGCGCGGTCTGACTGAAGCAGACCGAAGTGACTTCATCGCTATGAGGTCTGTCGATGCGTGTCACTAGGGCATAGGAGCCGTCTTGCGTGCCTTGCCAGATCTTGAGGTATGTCTCTTGTGCGAACCCTTCGCTTTGCCATCGATCGATGGTGGCCATGAATGTTGGTATGCCTCTTTGAGGTGTACTGAAAGCGACATGACTGATTCTGGGCGGCTCGACGCGGCCTTCTTCGCCCACGATTCGGTTCGTAGGAGCAATCTCGATCTCTACACTGTCTGATGTCTTGAGAGAGATGAGCTGAAGGGTCGATGGATGCGAGGCGGGAAGGGCAATTCGATTGGACACAGACTCGTACGCTATCGGGACGAGCCCACTCTCATCTGCCCTTGCTGTCGTCGATCCACTCTTGAGGCTACCGATGAGCTTGAGAGATTGCGAGCTGATGAACATGCTCGAGCCATCCTCGTGCCGCGTGACGAAGAGCATCTCGCCTGGACCGGAAGCACTGACGGCGACAGATACGATGCCGGAGCCAAGACGGGGAAGATACTCTTTGTGATGCGTCTCGAGCTGCCAGATGACGAGGACAGCTTCCTCTCCGGCAGAGAGCAGATAGGCCCCGTTGGGTGTGAACGCCAAGCTGCGAACGCGATGTGCATGCCAATGCAAGACTGCGCTGGCCGAAGTGGAAGCCGAAGCATCGCTGAGACAGTACCACAATCTTATCTGGCCTTCAGAATCTCCGACGGCAACGTATGGCTCTGTGGGATGGATCGCCAGGGCAGTGAGTCGCTTGCGTGACTCGTACACCCTGGCAGGCATCGTTCCATCTGAGGCGCTCGCTACGAGCATCCTCCTGCCATCCAGCACGACGACATGCTCTCCTCGTGGGTCAACAGCCAGGCAAGTAGGTGCTGTGAGAGGGAATGCCTCATGAGTGGTCGCTTTGCCAGCAATCAAGTCAATTCGCTGCACAGAGGCACTTTGCTCCGAGTCTTTGGCAGGCTGGACGAGCGCGAAGATGGATCCGTGGAGCTCAGAACTACCTGTCAGATCGATTATTCTGCCATCGAGTGGTATAGACTTGAGGATCTCGCCGGCGGTATAGTCCCAGACGTCAAGCGAGCCTTTGCTGCCCACTAGCAGTTGCAGCGGATTGTGTGGATTGAGGAGCAACGATAGCACGTCAGAGCTTGTCGAGCTTGAGGTTGAAGCCGTTCTGAGCTCGGACACGATACGCTTGGCTTTGAGCGAATAGACCAAGACGCTGCTGAAGCTTGCAACAAAGCAATGTCTGCAAATTTCCCGTCAGCTCTGCAGAACTCTTTCCGGCACATGTGCGCACTCGTTGTCCGGCGTGAAGACGTTCCTGCACTGCGGCACTTTGGCCGAAGCTATTCTGGACAAGGGCAGTGTCTTGCCAGCGGACATGGTCACCATCTCAGAGTTCAAGCGGGTGCCTCGAAATTTACAGCGCGCGCATTACTATATTTACGACAGTCAGCACACGACAGGTGATTCGCCCTGGTCAGACAGCCTGATGAGCTCTCTCCAGACAGCGCGGTCTCCCGAGCCGATCTTCGATAGCAGGCTCAATATCGTGAGCCGCTTGTTCTCATAAGCAGCGCTTACGCCGTCGTCCTCGCCTCGCATCGAATCCACTTCCTGTCCGACGAGCCATCTCCGGCTTTCCCTTGCCTTTCGCAACCGTTTGGCAAGCTGCCAAGCACTGCTGTCCTCGCCAGAACCGCAGAGTGTCACGAAGCGACCCGTATGCACCGGCTGACGCGCTCTCGTTTTGCTGACGATGCCATTTCGCGGCAGAGGAGCATTGGTGAAGAAGCAAAGCTTGCTGATCGATACGGCGGCAACGGTCAGGCGACGCTGGGTGGCTGACGAGACGACTGCATTGAGATCATCGCCTGTTGGTGCGATCAGCCATCGATGCAAGAGGTATGTCTGCGCACACTGTCAGCACGCTCTGTAGACACACAGACAGCCTACATATTTGTCGTCCCAGGTCAGAGAATGCGTCTCGACCTCGTATGCGCAACCCATCGGGATCTCACGAAGGAAGCAAGAGTGCGTGCCAGCAAGGCTACCGTAGATGCCTTCGGTCACAACGAGTGGCCAGAGAACTTCTGCATAGATCTTTGTGCGTCCATGATCGCTATCGGTGGCATAGACCGAATTGGACATATGTATGTTGTTGTCCAGCGCAGACCAGGTCGCTCTGGAACTGAAACAGGCACGTACTGCCCAAGGCGATCGCGCAATGGCTTGCCAGTGCTCGCTGGGCTCGAGTCCCAAGGCTGGATCGCGAGAGGTACGAAGATGGCCTTTGCGATAGAGGCGCGCTTTGATGATGACTTTGATGATGGGAGAGAATAGCCGGATGTGGTATGCAAGCGGTACTCGCTGCCAGTTGAGCGCGAGAAGGCTGATGAGAAGCAGCTCAAGGGCATTGTATCGCTTCAAGCAAATTGCCACTCCGATAAGAGTATACACGACGACGTTACTCGTTGAGGGCTGCAAGGCAGTCGCGACAAACGCCGCCGATAGCTTCACCATCTTGCGTCACGATGAGGAAAGGGAAGGAAGATGTCCACGGCTTTTGAAGGCCTCGCAAGCGGTTTGCGCGGCTAACGCGTCGCGCCAGCTCGGTGATGAAGTAAGCAAGAGCAAGCATGAGGATCTAATGGCAATCGGACGTATCGGGTCAGCGAAAACGCTTGCAGCGATCTGCGGCTAGATCGTGGTTCAGTCTGCATTGGCGTTGATGGCAAGTTGATAGGAGCTGAGTATGAGTGCAGCAATAGCGGCCATTGCGACGGTCACGCTCGCTTCAACGGAGCTTCTGACTGCTTCGGGCTGGCTGTGTGTCAAGCAAGGCATAATTGGCTGAGGATGTCTTGAAGCTAGGGATCGGGCGGAAGCTGCGATGTTTGCTGTGGCCAGCATTGGCTATTGGCTCGTCATACAGACGATTCTCGACAGGAGCGCGCGACTTTTTGCCAGCTCGAGTGGACGACAGACTTGCATGCTCTGTGGCTGTTCACGAGCTGCCCGTACCACACACCGCCTGACTGTTCGTGCGAACAGTCTTTGCAACCCTTCTGCAGCTCGACTGCGGCCTCGCCTGCCGTCTACGCTCGACATCGAGCAAAAGTCACAGAGCTTGTCTACGAGCTCTTTCTTGACGACGACTCGCCCCATACAGCTTTCCCAGTCCAACAGAAGTCTCTCAAGCTCGAACGTCATCATGAGCTCATCTATAGAACCTTCTGCAGCGCCTGAGCCAGCCAGCACAGCCAACCAGAGCAATGCCCCAGAAAGCCAAGTCGACGGCGAGTCCAAAGGTCCAAGCAAGAGTGAGCTCAAAAAGAAGGCAAAGGAGATGGAGAAGGAGCGCAAGAAAGCCGAGCGAGAGGCAAAGGAAGCGGAGGCTCGTCAAGCTCGAGAGGCAGCCGATGTCGTGCGTCGACTCCGTTCGAGCATTGCTACCGACTCATGTCTCACGATTTATCAGGACTTTGCGCAGGACAACTACGGCAAGCTCCCTTTGAATCAATCGCAAACGCGTCCGGGTGCGTTTGTGTAACTCTGCAAAGATGCCCCTCTGATCTCGAACCAGGCGAATCATACACCCATGTCGGAAAGCTCACGGCCAACAATGACGGTCAGGAGGTCCTGTTCCGAGCTCGTGTGCACACGACCCGGGCACAAGGAGCCAAGATGGTCTTTGTTACTTTCCGTCTGACTGAGGAAAGCGGACAAGAGATGATCCAAGGCATCGCCAATGTTGAGCCCAAGTTCGTCAGCAAACACATGGTCAAACACCTGCAGCTTCTTCCGAAGGAGACCATTGTCCTCGTACGAGGACGCGTGCAACTGCCTATCGAGCCTGTCAAAAGCTGTACCGTCCAGGATGCCGAGATCAAGATCGCGCAGGTAGATTCAGTAGGCACCGATAAGACGCAGGCTAATCCGCCGAGCAGCTGCATACTATCGCCGAACCATCAAAGGAGCTGCCCTTCTCGCTCGACGATGCGTGTAGAAGTGCAGCCGAGCTCGAAAGACCAGACAGTGAGTTCAACGTGGTCCATGCCCCAACACGTCTCGATAGCCGTTTGTTCGATCTGCGCGTCAGTGTGAGCGACTTATCGATGATATCAGCTGACGCGCCAGGCAGTCGCATACGAATCTGTCCATTTTCAAGATCAACTCTGCTATCTGCCGCTTGTTCAGAGACTATCTGACCTCAAAGAACTTTATCGAGATTCATACACCCAAAATGCAAGGCGCAGCGACAGAGTCGGGCTCGAGTGTCTTCAAGGTCGACTACTTCAAACGACCTGCCTTTCTCGCTCAGTCACCTCAGCTGGCAAAACAAATGTGCATCGCCGCCGACATGGAGCGTGTCTTCGAGATTGGACCTGGTCAGTCTCTTTGCTTCCTGGCAGTGCGTGGCTGACGGAACATGAAAGTCTTTCGAGCGGAGAACTCGAACACGGCAAGACATATGACCGAGTTCACGGGACTCGATCTGGAAATGACATTCAACGAACACTACCACGAAGTCGTCGATCTGCTGGACGAGATGCTCAAGTTCATCTTCACCTCACTGCAAAAAGACCTGCGCAAAGAGATCGACGACGTACGAGCGCAATATCCGAGCGAAGACTTTGTATTCCCAGAAGAGACTGTAAAGCTGCCCTTCCACGAAGGAGTGCGCCTGCTACGCGAAGATGGATGGAAAGACAACGGACAGGAAATTGGCGATTACGATGATTTCAGCACTCCGACAGAGAAGCGCTTAGGAGAGATTGTCAAGGCAAAGTTCAACACCGACTACTACATCCTCGACAAGTTTCCGTTGGCCGTGCGACCGTTTTACACCATGCCTGATGGTCAGGATCCGGTCAGTACCCACTGACAATGCCTTGGTCATCACTGACTCGTTCTGATGGTCAGAAACTCTCAAATTCATATGATTTCTTCATGCGCGGAGAGGAAATTCTGTCCGGTGCGCAACGAGTACATACGGCTGACTTGCTCGAGAGTCGCATGCGCGAAGTCGGCATTGATCCGAAAGAGATGGAGGAATATGTCGATGGGTTCCGATGGGGCACGCCGCCCCATGCAGGTGGAGGAATTGGTCAGTCTCACACCAGGCTTCTCTGCTCATGCTCACTTCATGAGACGCAGGCCTCGAGCGTGTGCTGATGCTGTTCCTCAAGCTCGGCAACATCAGATGGGCTTCGCTCTTCCATCGTGACCCAAAGAGTTTCCCCGTGCCTTCGACGCAGACAGAAGCAGCAGCGGAACATGCGGCTGTCCATCCGCCGAAACCCTTGTCATAGACGCGCGCATGACCGCATACAAGCACAAGCAAGCCCAATATTGCATTGTTGCCCTACTCTAGGCTAGCTCTCGGAGTTTCGTTCAATGCGCTGCATATAAAGCATCAGCTTGAAACTAATCGATGATGGTAGCTTTACCTTCGGGCGTATTGGCAATGTAGTCGATAGCCTCGGCAATGCTCGTGATACGGCTATCGAGCAGTGTGTGAGCACAAAGGGCCGAAAGCAGCAGGAAATAGCACGAACTCTGCCTCTTCATCTGGGATCTCGATACTGAACTCTTCCTGCACGGTCGCTGGATATGAGCCGTTGGACGCGTCTCGAGCATGACGACTTGCCTCAACGGCCATGACGACCTCGACGGCATCAAGCGAATCGAGTCCGAGATCGGTCGTGAAGGATGAGCTTGCTGTGAGCTGCACACCACACCGCATTTGAGCACTTTGCGTGCTCGCAAACTTGTCCGGCTCACCTTTGTAGGATCGACTTTCTCGAAGGACTTCAGCACGTCGAGCACACGCTCGGTGATGGCCGATTTGTCCAGTCCACCAGAGCTAGCGTACCTCACGCCCAAGCGTGCAGGTACCGTCCATCGAGCAGGAGCAGAGACTCTGTAGCTCATTGCTCGGCTTGCATTGACAGAGGCTGTCGGCTTTGCCTGCGTGAGCATCGATCGAGCTGCTGTCTGACCGCATGCCCGCAAGCCATTGGATATCGGTCGCACTGAGCGTAGCATACTTTAGACTGGTAGCGAAACGTCAGCCGTGGTCTGTAGGCTCGCCAAACCGGCACCTCCGCCACTTTCGGCCAATCAAAGCAAAGCAAAGCAAAGGCGCGCCTACGCCGACGACGACCACTCACTCGGCTTGCGACTTCGAAGGGATGCGGCATCGATTGGGGAACAGTTCGCTGGGTCGTATGACCCAGCACAGACTGCTGATGCTACGCAACATGGTCTCTTCGCTCATCGAGCACGAACAGATCAAGACAACCGTGCCAAAAGCAAGACAATGTCAACGGATGGCCGAGAAATTCATCACATTGGCACGCCAACAGAGCGCACCTGCACATGTCGTAGCGAGGGGCATGCTCATGGTATGCAGTTGACTTGTCCAGCATCTGACCGTCGCTGACCCGTTCGCGTTCGTAGAGCACAGAGAGGACTGTACCTAAACTGTTCAAAGAGCTGGCCGTGCGCTACGCTGATCGACCTGGCGGCTACACACGGATACACCTTTACGGCAATAGATTGGGTGATCACGCACCTCATGCCATACTCGAGTTCGTCGACGGACCGAAAGATCTCCTGTTCGCTCAGACTGCTCTGACGCTCGGTCACGAACTGGCGCTCAAGGCACTCGCGGGCAATAGGCAAGGATTGTTTTGGCGGCAGAGTCGTGTGCCTCTAGGTGAGCTGGAGACACTTGCGCCCGGCGCAGCAAGACAGGCTGCGGTGATTGCCCGATACGAACCACTGGGCTTGCGCAAATATACCTTGTGGAATCTCGGCAAGATCTTCAAGTTTCGCGACCCCAAGGAGATCCTCGAGCTCGAACAGCGCGCGAGGGATCACTTCGATGTCAGCTTGGCGAGGGCACACCAGGAGCCAGTGGATGCAAAGGATGCCATGCTGTCCACCGTCCTACGTGGGCACGAGATCGGCGCGGATGCAAAGAGGAATAACCTCGACAAGCGTGAATATCCCGTCAGGAAGCGGGCAGGCCGATCGGGCGACGCGTACAACGAGCCGCCCTACCAGGCGGATGCACTCGATCTTCTGCAGCCGAAAGCTGCGCCTAAACAGCTTTCTGATCAGAGTAGGGAGATCATCAGAATGCTCAGTCAGATCGGTCAGGGCGAGATCGGGTCAGACGGATTGCCAGACTTTACCGCGCCTGACGCAGCCGAGCCTGCCCGGCCAATGCTCGAGTCTGGCCGGCCAGCGAGAGCAGAAGCGCGTGCGTAGCATTGTTGTGCAAATACGATGAGTTCCAACAACAGACAAACAAAAAAAACAAGTCAACGTCCGTACGCATGAGAGTGTATCTAGTAGTGCTCGCGGTATTGCTCACGATAACGATCTTGTCTGTAATGCTGGGGCTGCGCCAGGTACTCGTCCGATTCTTGTTGTGCATATTGCTGCCGTTGGCCGTAGCCGAAGTCCTCGAATGGGTTGTCGTAGACGTCAGACGGCGGATAGCGAGCTTGTCTACTCATTTCTGTCCTGCTTCGTGATGCGTAGGGTTGCCTGAACTCTGATTCGCTGTCCACATGCAGCGTGCTGGGCTGTTGACTCCATTTGCCTTCTTTGAGCGCAAAGGCATCGTCCAAGGCGCCTTGTGATCGCAGCGAATTATACTTTGCCTGGTCCCGTCTCTGATCGTTGACAAAGAAGCGCTGCATCATGAGGAAGTAGCTCTGGATGAGTGCGAGCAAGAGCCAAAGTCCGCCGGCGACGCCAAGCTGAGCCCTGCAAAATAAGAATTCAGCCGGTTCGAGATGTCGAATGACTCCGAACCGACCACGTGAAGATGTTGCAAATAGCTTTACCGGTCTTGCTGCCGTTACTTGCGCCACTGCTGCCCGTGAGTGTGCCCGTGCTCGTGTCAATGAGGGTCAGGCCCGTCTGTGGCACTGCATAAGCCCGAGACCTCTGTACGTTCGAAGGACAGACTGACAATGAAGTCGGCTTGACAAGCCGCTACCGCAGCAGAGTGTCTGGTCGCACTGACGGCGATGAGCGCGACGGCGACGATGAGCGCAGCAAGGGTGAGTAAGATGTTGATCGTGACGTATCGTCCGTGGATCTTTCCGGTCGAGCGGACGGTGAAGAAGCCTAGCACTTGCCACAGTACGAGGAGTATGCATATGATGCCGAGGATGTAGGCCCCGAAGCTGGGTACGGAGATTGCTTGGACAGAGTGACCGCCGAATGCCAAGATGGCAGTGGCCAAAGCAACCGCGAAAGTCTCGACGATGATGAGGTAGGCGCCTGCGTTGGCAAGCGGAAAGGCGCAACAGCAGTACTGACTCCGCTTCGTCATGCCTCCTGTTCGCCAAGAAGTGGCTACTGACGATGACAAGCCAAGGGAAAGAGCGACACAACACCGTCCTGCTGCTGCTGCTGCGCGTCGCCGACAGACAGCGTGGCAAAAAGTGTCGGCCTGCGATCAACCATGGTGAGGGCTGCGTCGATAGCCAAGTAGCGTCAATACGCCTGCACGCATGCATACCAGCTTTCGGGCCCGACAGACCCTCGAAGCGACGAAGCAAACAGGATGTCGTCCGACAAAAGCACAGACCTCTCTGTGCCTGTCGAATCATCGGCCAATGAAGTCGACCAGGAGCATGAACTACCCGCCTACTCTTCGGGACGACTTGTTGCCGTCGTACTTCTCTGCACGAGTGTCATGATTCTCAACGTCAGCTCAAGTTTCCCTCGTTGCCTCAACCAAAACCGGCTGATCTTATCGGGAAATGACAGATAATGAGCGTCCAAGCAATGACATTGGCGCTCCCCACAGTCCAGCGAGAGCTCAACATCGAGCAACATACACTCCAATGGGTCGTCACATGCTATTCGCTCACGTTCAGCTGCTTCCTCCTCTTGTTCGGCCGATTAGCAGGTCAGCTATCACACGCTCTTATCTACGCCAGATCGCTGAACATACAGAGCTCGCGTACAGATCTGTACGGCCCACGGCTTGTGTTCGTGCTAGGAAGCATCATGTTCGCCGTCTGGTCACTCGCTTGCGGTTTCGCGCAGACATACATCCAGCTCTTTTTCTTTCGCGCCTTTCAAGGCATCGGTGCCGCTGCGACCGTCCCTGCAGGCCTGGCCATCCTCGGCCGAACCTTCAAGCCCGGTCCCGGCAAGTCTGCAGCTTTCGCAACGTTCTCATGTGCGTGAAGGCTGTCTTCGATGCTCGACAAAGCTGATGGCAGACCATGCAGGCGGCGCACCTGTCGGGGCAAGCCTTGGTCTCGTCTTTGGAGGTGTCCTGACGACCTACACAAAACCAACATGGCGGACTTGGCTCTATGTCGGCGGCGCATTGTCCTTTGCTGTTGCTGGCTTTGCGCCCTTTGTCATACCTTCAGACAAACTGCTCGTCGTACGCACGAAAGACAGATCGGTCGACTGGCTTGGAGCATGGCTCGCAACTTCGGGTCTCGTGCTCCTGACATTTTCTCTCGCCGATGGATCTGGCGCACCGAACGGGTGGCGGACGCCTTACATCCCCACACTGTTCTCGCTTTCTATCGTTCTGTTGGTCGCCTTCTGGTTCTGGCAAAGGTATCTGGAGTACAGTCCGAATTCGACAATGACGCCCCTCATGCGAGTCTCGCTATGGAAAAGAGGCCGCTTCGCAGTCGTCATGCTCATCTCTTTCCTGGCCTACGCTTGCTTCTCGTCCTACAGCTACTTTGCCACTCTCTTCTACCAAGACTACATCGGCTTGTCTGCTGTCCTCACGACGGTACGGTTCCTTCCAATGTCAATCACCGGCGTCCTCATCAATTTCACCGTAGCCATCGTCGTCGCTTATGTGCCTGCCCAGTATCTCATCATGCTCGGATGTCTGGGTACTGCAATCGCGCCCATGCTGTTCGCCTTGCAGAAGATCGGAGACCCCTATTGGCAATGGCAATTCCCCGCGATGATCCTGACCGTCTTTGGCGCAGATCTCATCTTCGCATGTGGCACCATCTATGCAAGCAAGGTCGCAGATGCTCGCGATCAGGGCCTAGCGGGCGGCATAATTAATACGGTTCTCCAAGTTGCTACCGGCACTGCTATTGCCATCTTCACCATCATCCAAGATGAGACACAATCTCGTGATGCTCGCAGACAAGGTGTCATCGTTGATCAAGACCAGACCAATCTGCCGGCATCGTCGCTTCTGGTCGGCCTGCGAGCAGCTTTCTGGGGATGCGCTGCGTTCTCGTTCGCCGGCTTTGCCCTCTCTGCAATCTTCCTACGTAGTATCGGCACTGTTGGCGAAAAGTCGACGGTCAAGGCTATAGCGTCCGACGAAGAAAGCGCGACGAGTAGCAAGCAGCAGACAGGAAGCAATTCTCACGACGACAAGCCTAGTAATGAAGCGCAGCTACACAAAGAGGATCAAGCTGCAGCTGTAGACGAGAAGGCGACGTTATAGACGTATTCTAGACGCGGGACATATGATGTTGTGTAACTTGTTGCAATCACTAATCAGGTTTCCCTAAAGTTGTCCCGAAAGTACTCTGTCAATGACTTGGTTCACGAGCGCCTGATTGGACAGTTAGCTCACGCTCCGAGGTACTTTGTGGGCTCACCTTGCGGTTCGTCAGGTCTGCGTGAATAAAGTAATCTGCAAGTGCATCTCGTGTGCTACGCTTGGTAACGCGCATGAGATCCTGAGTCGACAGATACATTCTGCATGCCAAGACTTCAGCGCGTTGCCTCAGCGGAATCCGTAGAGAACCCACCTGACAGCTTGAGTAATTTCTTCGTCTGTCGGATCGGTTGATGCACTTTGACCGATGAAGCTAGTGATGGGCATGCTACCTATCATCGGCAGAGCGCTTGTGTGTCTGGCAAAGTTTGGACCCATGCCAGACCAGGCAGAGTAAGATGAATTGCGATTCTGGAAAGCTGGGCGAGGCGGACCCATACCGAGGCTGACATACGAGTCTCTTGGATTGCTGAACGGATCTGTCAGCTGAATCGGACGATTCTGTCGCTGCAACCCATAAATCTGAGTATTAGGACGAGATCGTGAGACCGACATGCCGCTGCCGGCTTCCGACGGAGGGCGTGAACCGCCCATGCTTGGGCTGTAAATCGGCGCAAAGGGGGCGTAGGCAGGCACTGCAGATGTCAGGTTTGCTCGGGAGCTCCGGCGCTGCTGATCATATTGTTCGGCAATACTGAATGAACTGCCAAAGGTGCGACTAGCACGGAGGTCGTTATATGTCGGTCTGACACTTCCGGGTGTACTGAAACCACCCACTGACTCTGTGCGGCGACTATACTCCGACTTCATGTCCCAATCGTTATTGTCGTAGCCTTCGGCCTGATAGTCTCCGAATCGGCGCAGCGGTATCATCGAATCGTCAAAGGGTTCATCGTCAGTAGTCGCCAGGATCTTCTTCTTCTTGCCTTCTCCGACGACTATGCGAGTATTACCCCAGCTGAAATCGTCAAAGTGCCAGAAAGAGTAGAGCGGCAGGAAGAATGAGTAGATCGGGTACGCGAGGAGGTAGATGACAAGCCAGCCAATGAACTGCCATTGTCGTTTTACGAGGAAGACGATGGCCTGTAGTCCATAGACCGCACCAATCATGATGAGACTGATCACAGGGATCTGCGCGTTGCCTGTCGCCACTGTGATGATCATGTATACCTGGAACTGCATCAGCCATATGCTGTCAACTGGGACAGATCACCGACAAGATAGATACTTGATGCTGGCAAAATGACAGTCGAGACGAGATCGAGCAATACGATGAAGCGCATGGAGAAGCAGCAGAAACCGCAAAGATCTTTGAGGCTCGTCAGTACAAACAGGTTGTGGACGGTCGAATTAATCCAGCGTCGACGCTGAGAAAGGAGTACTTCCCAGCGATCTGGTGCGATCGTCATGGCTTGGGCATCTGGCGAGAACTTCGTCTTGAAGTTTGGAAAGTGCTTGAGTATGAGAGTAGTGAGGTAGCGGTCTTCGCCTAGTGAGAGCAGGTTCTTCTTGTGTAAGGTGTCCACATTGCCTTCCGAATAATCGTCGATGATCAGACTGGATACGAATAGTGGTCGGCCAGTATCGTTGGTGCGGAGCCGATACATAGTAAAGCAGCCGGGCAGACAGGTGACGCTGCCAAAAAGTGACTCGAATGCTTTCGTGAGATGATGGGAGATGTAATATTCGTAGACTTGGACCATCGTCACCCATGATTGCTGTTCATTGCCCAGCTTTGTCTCACCACAGAGACCAATAATCTGCGAATCATCCGAAGCCACGGCGACCATGCGATTGAGCGAGTCAGGCGCCACCTCGGTGTCTGCATCGACGCAGAGCATGAACTCGTAAAGCTGTGGATCAACGCCGATAACGTTCTTGATCTGATGATGCAACTCGAGTTCCAGGGGCGCCATCTCGCTATTGAAGTGAACGCGATTGAGGAAACGCATGAAGAGGACCTGCGAGTCGCGTTTGCCTCGATTGCCTGGACGAGAGCGCTCGCTTGGTTTGCCGACCTTGACAATGACGAGATAAGGCATGACATGACCCTCGAATTCGTACAGACCACTATAGACTTTGCCATAGTTGAGCTGTCGCGAGCCTTCGCCGACAGACTTGAACAGCAAGGGATCAGGATCATGCTTCGGATCAACGCCAAGTATGTCGAGGACGATACGAGGTGTTGGACGATCATTCCCGCTACCGATGATCATGCCATCGCAGATGACGACCATAAGCTTGCGTTTATCGTCGTACTGAAGCGCTGCCAAGGACTCGATCGTTTTTCGCAAAGAATCTTCGCCTTCGGTATAGCAAGGTACTTGAAGGATAACAAATTTATCGCGCTGCTCAGGCTGCCGCTTGGATCCGAGCTGAAGAGCAGCGAGGAACTTTGCGCCAATCGTAGCTACTATCATGCACGAGAAAGCGAGGAGTAGATAGTTCTGCACTTGGCAACGGGCCGTGTTGCGGAAGTCGTATTGACCTACCGCAAAGAGATTGTTCATGCAATTCAGTGCCGAGGTTTTTGCTGTCGAGTTGAGTTGTGCCGCGTCGATGAGGTCCAGATCGTGAGTAATATCTCCTCCTGGCTGCTCTTGAAAAAGGTTTGTGATGACCGACGGAAGGAATTGATAGGCTGGTGCTGCAGAGTTCTGCTGGCCCGTATAAAAGTAGTCTGATAGATCGAAAACAGTTCCGCGGTAGACCGCCCAAGTGCGCGCATCGTCAGTGTAACCAGCACGAAGTGCTTTGCGGTCATAGACAAGTGGCCCCTGCTTGTACTGATCCATCTTGGATAGAAAAGTCGCAGTGTACCAGTCACTGGTGTGTAGCTTCGATGCAGTGTCTGGCTGCAGAGCCCCAGATGTGTGCACAGCAATCGATACTGTCGGTGTAAAATTCGCATAGCTGATGACCAGGCCCGGATCGGTGATGAGATCTGGACATGCAAGAGTGAATGGGATCGGAAAGTAGTTCGTGAGGTCCTGGCCTGCCAAGCTGAGCATATCCGCATTATCGACGAGCTGACCGACGATGTCGGAATGCTGGGCACGCCAGAACTTGGTCAGATCGTACACCGTGCCTCTGACCGCCACCCAGTAGTCGTCTTCGCCTTGATGGTAGCCGAGTTCCTTTGCATTCCAAGCTTTGTTGAAATTTGGACAGATGATATGGCCGAGCCCGATGATGTAGAATATCTGCAAATACGGTGAGCGGCGAGGCCAAGGGGGAAACGTCTGGCGTACCGTAATCGCGCATAGAAGGAAGATCAGGGTGCAAAGAGTAAACTTCTCCCGCCAAGCCAGACGCACATCAGGTCTCTTCATACCGCCCAGTTTCAACGCAAAGTCGGGAATCCACCATGTCGTGAACCAGACGAGATTGAGCCAGGCACGCCGGCTGCGACTTGTCGGTGTCTCTTCGATAACGCGCTTTTCCGAAAGCACTGTGGGCAGCGGCGTTGGAGCGTTGAGCTCGGCTTTGCTTTCCCATGCCCAGTCGTCAGAATGAGGCGTTCGAGCCGTCTGCTCGCTGTACATTGACATGACTTCGTCCTGTCGAAGCACAGCGACAGGTGCTATTTGCTGGTCGTAGGGACTCGCAGAGCTATTGTGTTGCTGAGCAAGCAAGTGCTCTTCCATTTGCACGGAGGTGTCGTGCCAAGCTTCGGATTGAACACCTGACCCGATGGACTGCGCTGTGGCTCGTTGCAAGGGCGAAGCGGCGCCGGATGACACGTTTGGGATCTCGAAGGCAGGAAAAAGAGACCGCCAGGCTTGATGACACAGAAAGACATGCGACTCACCCACCTCGAACGTCTCGCCTCGAATCCAGCCTTGCGAATGAGCATGCGTAGTGATCGAGTCAGCTAGCGGCTCGTCTAATTGTGCTTTGCTTGCGTATTCCGGGAAGCCGAGACGATACACCAGATCATTTCGCTGGCGGGCCAGCAGATGTGGCACTTCAGCTGCGCTGATCTGAGTGCCGACACGCTTGACATCGAAGACGCCGCCTAAGCTCTCGTCATTAGGCTTGACACAGATGATCGACCAGACTTGACATGCTCCTGCTAGATCGAAAAGCGACGTCAGCGCAGCATTCAGCTGCGCAGCCGATGATGAGATGATCATGGGCTCTAGCATGGGCTTTGGTGCTCTGATATGGTATCCTTCGATACCGGTAGCGATCTTAACGGGCGAAGCCGTACGATAAGGCTGAGATAAGACTTGTGCAGCTACGAGCGTTGTAGGGTCTAGTGCATGCGTCTCGACAGCCAAGCCTGGACCGGAGAAGAGCTTCGCAATGAGTGAGTCAGTCGAACTGCGCAAGAGCGTCACAAAGTCTGCATCAAGATGGGCAAGGTCGGAAGCGACGAAACCGATGGCATCGTAGGCGACGGTACCGCTCGCATGTTTGATTCCGAACGTCGAAGGTGAAGATTGGCCTACTGGCTTAGCGACGTAAGCACTGCTGGTCTTGTAGTGTTCGCGCAAGCCTTCGACAAAAGTAGCATCCGCTTCAACAGCGGTTTTCTTGCCCTTACGCAGACTCGAAAGTGCTTTCGCAAGCCCGCCGAGTAGACCGCTGGGTCGTTCATCAGCTTTGGAGCCGATAGGACCGCCTCGAAGCATCTCAACACGGGTCATACCGGTGTCATTCCACGAGAGATCAGGGACAGTGAGCCCGTCCTCCACCAGTGCAACAGCTTCGGGCGCTTGTGTGCCGAGGCGATGTGAGTTGTGCCAATGTTGCAAGGTCTCAGCGCCGACATTCGAGCGGAATTCTTCGTAGCCGTCACGACCCAGAGTTTCAAGAAGACTGCGACGCCGACTGCCTTCGCTTGACATGCTGTGCGACTGAAAGCCTGGCAGATCAATCTGGAGAATCGTGGCACCGCCTTCGCGTAGATTTGCAGTCGCTTGAGCATCTGACAAGGCGAGCTTGGAGTTGATGGATTCGACGAGGTAGGCAAATACGATCGCGTAAAGATTTGTCACGAGCGAGTCTCTATGCTGGGCTGCATCGACCGCACTCAAAAAAGCCGCGCACGCCTCGCCACGAACATAGACCAACTTGTTAGTGAGCGCGTGCGCAAGCTCCTCATGTGTGACGCCGAGGAGCTTTGCCGCTTTTTCCAGACTGCTCTGCGTCTCTGCAGTGATCCATGCAGTCTCGTCCGATTGAGCTTGTGTACCGCGATCGTCAAACCTAACGTTGCCAAGCTCGAGAATAGCGATCAGTACGCTGAAGATGCTGGCCACATTCTTTGGCTTGACCAGCAGTGTTCGGAAGGCATCTCGGAGCTCCTCACAGGCAATAGCATCGTCACTGCGAGGTCCTGCTGGCAGTTTGAGGCAACCCGACGAATCAAGCAGATCGTAGTCGCCAGGACTATCGCGCAAACCGAGGTCAAGAGCCTCCTGAGGAGTTGCACCGGCCAAGAGCTGATAGAAGACATTGAAGGTGCGTTCGCTGGCTTCGAGATGAACGAGACGTGCACGTTCGAGACCAAAAGCGAGCACTCTGACACCGATCAAAGGTGCGATACCTTCCGTTTCGCCCGCGTTAGCTTGCTTGAGACGTGGACCAAAGTGCAGCTCCAGACACCGGCTGAAGCGCGAAGCCGAAGCGTTTGTCGACGTCTTCGCGCAGCCGAAAGCACTCAAGACGACCTCGAGGGCTTGCACTTGGGATGCGAGACGCATAGACTTCTTTGTGCCATCCGCCGAGAGTCTGAGCAGCTGTGCAGTGAACTGCTGCGACACGGTCGACTTGCCTGAGCCTGATATGCCACTGAAGACTTGTGATCAGCTTGCGTTTAACGTGCTGAGAGGCACATACTTGTAAATAACTGCTTGCGTTGTCGATTGGAGACACATGGTCGTATAGACCCGGCCAGCCATGTTATACGGATGAGGCTCAGTACTCGCAGTTGTCCACCCCAGTGATGCGCTCCTAAAGCTCTCCGCCGATTCGTCATTGAGATCGCGCATAATCCGCAAGGGATTGATAGCGAGAAGGATCGTCGAGCCGACTTGCGAGTAAGGCCTTTCGCTGCGATAGCGGCTCTGTAGATAGCTCACGATCTGAGACTCTGAGAGGATCATGCCGGGTCGGTCAGAGACCAGTGTCGTCATCTCTCCATTGGACGATACGTCTCGCTTCTCTTCGCTCATCTCTGCAGAAGCTGTTTAACCTTGAGGCCAATGTGTCGAGTAGGAAGTGGCTTCGCGGGCAGCGGCCGAGGCGGCCTATGCGAGCGAGGGCGTTCTGGTCTTGACGCGTCCCCGGAGGTGAATCACCTCGACGCTCGAAGAGCAGTCAGCGTTATGCAGCTGCTCGATACGGCCGAGTAGCGAGCGACGAGCAGCCCAAAGCCTTTGGCGTCCTTGCTCGAGAGCCAGCATGCCGTGTCTCTCGGAGGCGGCATGGCGCACAGACCCTGAGGTCTTGTGATCCGTGCGCTGTGTATGCATCTTCACTGTGCGTCCGATGTTGCTTAGAGGCTTGAACTTGATATGGTATACGACTGAATGCGTCATGCGAGCATCTGCGTGAAGCAGTCGCGAGCGAGTGACTTGCTAGACACTCAGCGATAGTGCCACGCGTTAGACAGTACACTCGATTGAGAATCTATCACTGGCAGCATCATGCCACGAGCTGTCAAGCCACCACTTAATGGACTCTTTGCGCTCAACAAGCCTTCAGGGGCGACAGCCATGTCTCTGCTCAACGAGTTGCAAATTCTCTTTGCCAGCTCGAAATTATTCAGAGATCCCAATTCGGGCGACTATGCAGCTACATCGAGCTTCAAGGGCAAGTACAGGGGCAAGAAGAAGTGGCAGAAGGGCAAACAAAAGGGTGACAGGATCAAAATCGGTCAAGGCGGCACACTTGACCCCCTTGCCGATGGCGTACTGGTTGTCGCTGTCGGCAGCGCAACGAAACATCTTTCGCAGTTCCTAGAATGTACAAAGGATTATACTTCAATCGGTCTCGTCGGCTGTGCGACAGATTCATACGATGCCAAAGGTAAAAGGGTCAAAGAAACGCCGTTCGGCCACGTCACGCGACAGACGGTAGAGCAGGCTCTCGTCGGTCTTCGTGGCGACATTCTCCAGATACCTCCGATATACTCTGCTCTGCGAATGGACGGAAAGCACTTGTATGACTATGCTAGGGCCGGCGAGCCTTTGCCGAGGCCGATACCTGCACGGCCTGTCACGGTCTCTGAGCTCGAGTTGCTCGATTTTCGGTTGGGCAGCGAACATGATTATGTCAACCCCGAGGCTTCGCTAAGCGAAATAGAGAGAAAGCTTATGCAAGACTCGGAGAAGCTGGTCGCTGACAACCTGGAAGCGGGCGTCAAAGTGCCTGCGACGGTCGTCAATGCTGCAGACCAAAGCGATATCGCGTCCGGGACAAGCGATGCCAAGCAGCCAATCTTCGAGATCAAGATGAGTGTCAGCAGCGGGACCTACGTTAGGACTATCGTACATGATATCGGCGTCGCGATGGGCACATCAGCCCATGTCGTCAAGCTCACACGGACCCGCCAAGGCAGATTTTACCTAGCCGGCACACAGCCTAAGTTGAGTGTAGCAAGTGGCACGAGCAAAGGCAAGGAGACCTCGCAATCGGAAAATGATGAGTTGCTCCCATCAGAAGAGACCATCGAATGGAACGTCTTTGCTAGTGCGTTGGATGACCTCAAGGAGCGCAAGGATGACGCAGAACCCAGTGAGGCCTACGCAGAATGGGAGCAAATACTGCTACGGCATATGCATATAGTGTAATGCATGCATGTATCATGGCGTCCGGTATGGCTTCATCTCGTCGCTATCCCATGAGTAGAAACCGCCGCTGAGCTCCTTCGATGCCTCGAGTGCAAGTTTGGCCATCACAAAGCCAGGCACGTCTGGGTTCAGTAGCTTGTCTGACTTATGAAGGTCGACAAAGCGCTCGTATTCATCATCGGCCATATGCCCTTTGCCCTTGCCTCTCATAACCGTCTGCATCTCTGTCGCTACTACGCCCGGCCTCAGCGCAACAGACGTGATGTCCGGCTCTTCGGATCCCAGTGTCCTACACAGGCTATTCATAGCTGCCTTTGTTGAATTGTAGACCGCCCATCCGGCCATTCTACCCGTCGCAGCGCCACTACTCGTGAAGACGACTCTACCGCCGCCTTCCGCTTTGCGCAGGTAAGGCAGAGATATCTTGAGAGCAGTAAACAGACTGAAGAAGTTGACGTCGTAGGCCTCTTTGATCTGATCAAGCTCTAGCGAGGCAATTCTGGCCATTGGCTCTACCGTGCCAGCATTGAGGATGAGCGAGTCGAGTCGTGAGTAGGACTGCATGGCGACATCGACAGCTGCTTGTACGTCGGCCGATTTGGAAACATCGCCCTTTGAGATGATCAACGAGCCTGGGTAACGTCCAGCGAGGTCTTCGAGCTCGGGCGGCGAGGAACGACTTAGTGCGACGACACTTGCTGCGAATGGCTTTTCGAGCAGGATGCGAGTCGCAGCGAGGCCAAGACCTCGGGAAGCGCCGGTGACGAGTACGACTGGTCGGGTATTGGCCATCTGATGAGTTGTGCCTCGATGACGCACTGACAAATTTAAAGCGTACGTAGTCACGTGTGTGCAAGTTCCGCAATCTCGCGGGCGACGCAGCAGAGTCGAGCAACGGGTAGGGTCGTTGCCCGGCGCCACATGGCAATACTCTTGAGGGCGCGGCTGCTCTGCTTTACTCTCAGCTGTGTGATCATTGCCTGATAGGCTACGGGGGTGTCTTGTCTGTATGACTAGGTGCTAAAAGAACGCGGTGTTCGATGGCCAACCTCAATTATGAAGCTCGACCGTCACGCTGAGAGCACAACGGGCGATCCCTCTGTTCTGTACAGACAACAATCATGCATTGATCCATACTCATAGCTCATCGTAGGGCCCACGGACAGCAGCAGGAGGAGCCTCGCTGTCATGGTCCGAGTCATCATAGCTCTGTCCGTAGACTTTCGCCAGCTCTTGGTGCTGCGAAGTGCTGAGCGCCCGTCGTTTACTATTCCTGCTGGCCGGCAAAGAGCTCATCTTGAGGGTATGCACTTGCGGCTGTGCAGCGCGATCGTTCTTGTTGCCTTGCGGCATGGCGATTGCTTTGATCTCGAGTTGATCCGCAGTGATACCTGATCCGAAGAGTTTGAGCAGACCGTCGAGTTGCGATTCGTTATCGGACTCAGACTCACCCGCAAACTGACCCTTGCTCTCGCCCAACATCTCGCCAAGCTGGCCATTGAGCGCTTCTGTGAGCGCCTCTGAGATCATTTTTGACAGGCTGTCGACCGAAAAGGCTTCGGCACTAGATGCACTTTCGCTTGGCGTATTGGCAGCTGCTTTCACGGGAGAATCTGTGCTCTTAGGACTGCCGAACGACGTGGGCGAGTGTGCCTCGCCCTCAGCACGGGAAGCAGCGATTTCTTGAGCAGCAAGAGCAGCAGCAGCAAGTCGCTTTTGCTGCAAGCGCTGGAGATCTTTGACGACGGGGCGACAAGAGATGGGCAGCGGCTTCTGCAGATCCATCCGTTTGCCAGAACCGGCAAAGAGCGGTTCGCCGCATAGTCGAGGTGTGTGAATGACCATGACATACGAGCACAGAGCATTCTCCCTGATCAATGCGATCCTGTCAAGACCAGACGAGTCACAATGAAACTGCAACCTAATGTAAGACGATGCTCTATCTGTACAAGCAGACTCACTTGGACTTCGACCTGACGTCGTTGACCCGTCTTGTCGCAGACGGTGCCTTGGTCCCATCGCTGACTGAGGTACTGCGGCTCTTGATAGTCGTCCTGCTGGTTGGACAGACTCGGCTCGCCAGCAGCCAGAACGTCTGACAGCGCAGCTTGTGCGCCCAGGCCAGAGCCTAAAGACACTGCTTTGCCTGCTGACTCGCCACCTTCCAATCTCTGACCTTTCTCGCGGTTGTAAGGGTATCTTCCGAGAGTGAACGAGGGACTATTGGCATCCTCGCCAGGGAGGTGCGTCTCTGGTGAGCGGACCTCGTGGAACTGGCGTATCTCTGCACCATAGCAGAATGCATCTGCGGTGGCGTAAGCGCCGCGCTCATAGAAGCAGACGACACGCACACGTCCACCAGTTTTGCTGGTGATAGAGACAGCTGCCAATGAGAGGCTCGAGGAGCTTCAATCCTCGTTCGAGCGCCTGATGACGTGCCGCCTCGACTTCGAGTCTCGATGATGGCTGGGCGGCCACGGCAGCATGTGCAGTACCGGAAGGTGACACTGTGGCAGGCGGAGCTTGCTCGGGCACATTACAAAGGAACGCTTGGCCGTTGGCAGCCCTCATGATGACGGAGCGAGTCGGCGTGCCACTCTTGCTGCCGTGTGAAGGGTCATGACCGTTCTGCGGATGCAATGTGCGCAGCTCTGATTCGGCCTTGTGATGCTCGGCTCGGTTGGCAGCAGTATTGAGCAGACTGTCGACTGATGCACTGGCAATCGGTTCGTTGGCAAGCACGACGCTGTACTTTGGGTAAGCCAGCAAATCCTCTGGTGTTGAGCCTGATAATGCCGCTGCCTGCGCCGCAATCAAGCTGATTGCGGCTAGTCTCGTTGTCCAGGCCATCGCAGCGATAGGTAAGGTAGCCTGGCAAGCGCAGGAGTCAACGTCAGCGCAGTGCACGCTTTTGCCACGTCATCGATGCATCAGGAGCTTATCTCATTCGCAAAGCACCGCGCACGCGATACGACACTTTTTGTGATACGCAAGGAGGGCAAGCCGTACTTCATCAACGGCAAGCTACATCGATGGGCTCCTCGCAGTCGTCAGCACCTCCATCGAACGCGTCGGTAGAGGCGGGAAAGCCCGAGACGAGCAAAACGACACGCACAGCCCATGAGCTGTCGCTGACCGCCGAATCTGTCGAGGCTGCGATCAAGCAAGACACGCTCGCCGAGTGGAACACTGCCTTTGAGAGCGACGACAAGAAGCGCCTTGCTCAGACGGTCCTGTGCAGGCAAGACATCCTGACAGCGCTCGTCAACAGAGATGCTACTATCAGAGACGCCCATGTCTTCAACACGACCATCACAAAGGAGAGTGCCAAGGTCACCAATCAGATGTCAAGCGGCAGATGCTGGCTCTTCGCTGCGTGCAATGTTGCCCGACGCCAGGTGGCTACGAAATACGACATTGAGGAATTTGAGCTTTCGCAGTCCTATCTGTTCTTCTGGGACTCGCTCGAAAAGGCCAACTCCTTCCTAGAGAACATGATCAGTCTTGCTAACGAGCCTCTCGATTCGCGTCTCAATCAGTATCTGCTCGAGACTCCGACAAACGATGGCGGCCAATGGGCAATGTTCCAGAACTTGGTCAAAAAATACGGCCTCGTTCCTCAATCAGTCTATCCCGAGTCATTCAACAGCAGTAACACGAGCAAAGTAAAAACTATCATTCAGTCTAAGCTGCGTGAATATGCGCTTGACCTGCGCGAACTCAAAGATGAGACTGCGACCGTCTTGCGCGAGGATCACGGCTTCGACGAAAAGGCAGCTGACGCAAAGGCGATCGATGCTTGTCGACAGCGAAAGACAGAGCTTCTGCAAGAAATCTACAACATTCTCGTGACTGCGCTCGGCACGCCGCCAAAAGTAGAGGAACCATTTACCTGGCATTTCTACTACTCCAAGGACAAGAAATACCAAAGCGTTACAATGACACCTCTCGAATTCAGCGTCAAGGCGACCGGCAACTTCAAGCCGGAAGCTACCATCGCCCTCATCAACGATCCTCGTAACGAGTACGATCAGCTCTACACCGTTGATCGACTCATGAACGTATACGAGGGCGCCAAAGTCAAGTACCTCAACGTCACGGCAAAGGAGCTTTCGCAGGCTATCGTCACCTGCCTGAAAGCTGACCGACCCGTCTGGTTTGGCTGCGATGTCGGCAAGTACAGCAACTCTCAGCTGGGCATTATGGACACTGCCCTGTTTGACTTCAAGAACGCACTTGGCACGAAGCCCAATTTGAGCAAAGCGCAGCGTCTTCGCACCGGTGGTACGCTTCCGCTCTATTTCGGTGACCAATTGAGCCTGCCTGACGCACACATTGCAGAGAGTGCTATGACCCATGCAATGCTGATCTCGGCCTGTCAGCTCGACGAGAACGGTGAAGCTGTCAGCTTCAGAGTGGAGAACTCCTGGAGTGAGACCGTCGGCAGCAAAGGTTTCTTCGTCATGTCAGCCGATTGGTGCAACGAGTTCGTGTACCAAGTCATTCTGCCCACTGATCTCGCCGGAAAGAAATGGCTAGACATTTGGAATTCCGGCGTTGCGCCTCATGTCTTGCCGGCTTACGATCCGATGGGTGCTCTCGCATGACTGTAGACGTCTCGATGTGTTTGTGAAACTACATTGCATGCTACAACAAATTGCAACAAAACATATCAGGCATGCTGTGCGTTGCGAATGTCCTGCTCATCTATATTGCTCTGAACACAAAGTGAGTGGAAGCTGCCAGTCTGAGCAAACAAGGCGAGAGGCGTGTCGAATTCGAGCACCTTTCCGTCGCCCATGACAAGGATGCGGTCGTATGACAGGATGGTCTTGAGGCGATGTGCAATCGTGAGCAAAGTCTTGCCGCGCATCTCTGTTGCGATCGTCTTCTGAACGAGCTCATCCGTCTCAAAGTCAACGCTGGCCGTGGCTTCGTCGAGCAGGACAATCCGCGCATTCTTGACGAGTGCACGAGCAAGCGACACGAGCGATCGTTCGCCGACTGACAGATTGCCCCCTTCGTCTTCGATGACTGTATCGAGCGTGAATCGAGAGGCCACATCTTTGTCGCCTTCGTTCTTGCCCTTTCGATCGACAAGAGATGAGCGCCTGAGTGCATCCCAGAGAGTAGCATCGTCATGCACCGAGAAGGGATCAAGATTGGTGCGGATAGAGCCATTGAACAGTAGCGCATCCTGCGGAATGATCGCAACCTTCTTGCGCAGCTCGCCCAGTCCGATCTTCGAGATATCCACGCCGTCAATCTCGATAGTACCCGATGACAGCTCGACCATTCGGAACAAAGCAGCCATGATGGATGACTTGCCGGCGCCGGTGCGACCGACGATGCCTACACGCTCGCCTCCCTTGAAATCGATACTGAGATCCTTCAGCACCGCCGGCAAGCCCTTGCGGTAGCTGAGTTCGACATGCTTCATGGAAATGACACCTTGCTGGGGCCATTCGGCTGCAGGCTTAGTAGCTTCAATCTCCATTGGTGCTTCGTTCTCGATCTGAGTGCCGTAATGTAAAATGCGCTCAGACGACGTCATGTCGTTGCCAACTTCGGCAATCTGTCGAACTGCCCAAGTGAAGGCTTGCTGAATCTGAAGGATGAACGACAGGATGAGTCTGGGGCCAGGCATGTCAGCGCTGTCTACAAGAGATGTAGGCGACTTGCCCCACGATTGAAGGGTTAAGACTAGATTGCACGACAGAAATGATGGCGACCGAAAAGGTCAGCAGACACCCGAGCAAATCGAGCCGTACACCGAGCCATCTCTGGTTCTGGGTCGTCAGGTAGTACGCGCGATTCTCGGTGTCAACTAGCTCTTCGTTGCGCTTTAAGAAACGGTCAGATTCAGCATATGCACGGATAGTCGCCAGCCCCGCGAGTGATTCGGAGAAGTGAGCATATAGACCAGATCGAAGCAGATTGTCGAGTCGCTTAATCTCGCGTGCAGACGATAGATAGAAGTTGGCAGCAGCATAATATAAGGTGAGAATTGCGGCGACGGCGAGCAGGAACCAGGGCTCAATGATGGCGATAAGCACGATGGCGCCCGCAACGCTGCCTAGGGTGGAAAGTGCCATACGCATGCTGTCATTGAGCGTCGAATCGATGGTATCGATATCCTTGCCAAAGCGTCCCAGAATTCGGCCAGTCGGGACAGTATCGAACCACGACATGGGCGCATGCATGACACGCTGAGCCATCATGCCATGCAGCTTGGCAGATGCGAAAAGGCCAAGCATGAGAGCACAAGTGCCGAGGGCGAACGAGAAGATTGTTTGTGCGACTGCTAGAGCGGCATAGATACCCATGTAGAAACCTTGCGGTCGATTGAATGTGTCGCGCTGCCACCAGACAAGAGCGTATGATGTAAGTACTGTGGCGCCTTGAGTGAGGACGAGAACGACAATGAGGATGGGCAGCAGCCAGACACCATTTGCTGCTTTGAGGTACTGCGCATACACTGATATTTATTCATCAGCTTCGATCGTTCGCGGCAAGAAGGACAACTTACCGCCACCAGAAACAGAGCCAACAGCACGTTCCTCTTCTACCATGAGGGGACGAGCTTTGGGACCGGCAGGCTTCTTTTCGAGCGGTGCAAGCGCATCTTCGGCCTTTTCGATTGACTCCTCTTTCTCACTGAGCTCTTGGCCGCCGTAGCTTGACATCATCGTCGCAAAAGGTCCCTCGTTAGCAATGAGCTGCTTGTAGTTGCCTGCTTCGACGATCATGCCATCTTCAACGCAAAGGATGTGATCAACCGATGGTAAAAAGTGGAGCGCATGTGTAACGAGGATGATCGTTTTGCCCTTGAGCACTCCCTTGATGGCCTTTGTGAAGATGTGATGTGCGACATGAGCGTCGACGGCGGACAGAGGATCGTCGAGGCAGAGAATATCGGCATCAAAATAGATAGCTCGCGCAATGTTGACGCGCTGCTTCTGACCGCCAGACAAGTTGATGCCCTTTTCGCCAATCTCTGTCTGATCACCGTTGGGGAGCATATCGATATCAGCCTGCAGACACGCCGCTTCAACGGCAGTATTGTATCGATCTTCATTCCACTCTTGTCCGAAGACAATGTTGTCCTTGAGTGTGGCATTCTGGATCCATGCTGACTGAGCGGCATATCCAAGAGATCCGCCAAACGTGACGCGTCCTTTCGTGCGACGCATCTCACCGATGAGACCTTGTAAGAGGGATGATTTGCCGGCGCCAACGGATCCGATGACAGCGCAAAGCTGACCGCGAGGAATGCGAAAGTTGATGTCACGCAATTGGAGCAGCGGTTCATCCGATTCTGGCTCGTCTATAGTCAGCTCCTCATGATCGACAGCCGGTGCTTGAATAGTCGAGCCGTCAGTCAGAGCTTCCTTCTCCGTCGAGCCACCCCCGAGAGTGGCAGTGGGCACCTCGCGATCTTTCGGCAATGGTTTAGCTGAGGCATCGTGGTCTTGATGAGCCATGCGGGCAAGCTCGGTGGAGTTCTTCTTCTGCTTCTTCTTCTCGGCCTTTGCTTTCTTCTTGCTTAGCTTGATGTCCTCTGGCGGTGCACCTTCCCAGATAAACGATGCGTCCTGAACATCGACAGCGTAAGGCAGCTCGCGATCGACATCGTAGGTGCCATCAATTTCTTCAGCAACATAGACGTCTCGCAGACGATTGAGCGCAGTCTTTGCGTCAGTGATCGTTGCGAGAGACATCGGTAAAGTCATGAGAGGCAGACGCAGCTACGAAAGTACCAGGTCAGCGTGCCAATTGATAAAATACCGACGGCAAACTCACAAGATTGAATAAGGTCAAAGAAGTGAAAATGATGGCAGGATCTTGCCTAGGGTGTGTGACGCCGTAGACTGCAAACGCGACCACGGTGGCAAGAACTGGCAAGCTGAGAGACACGGCGACATTTGAAGCGCGCAATATCATGAGCGTTCGAAGCTTGGTCAACTCGGCCGTGCGGTATTCGCTGATCTTATTGAGGTAGGGTACTTCCCAGTTGAAAAGCTTGATGACTCTGATGCCGCCGATGAGTTCCGAGATGAGCTTGACCCGCCTGTCTGTCCAGACCATGCTCTTCTTGCGAAGTGCAAACATGGCGCGCATCGTCTTTGCCTGCAACGGCATGACGATGATGAGGACACCGATACCAGCAAGCGAACTAGCGCCCATGTTGGTCAGAAGAATGACAATGACCAGGATGAGCTGGATGGGCGCAGTCCAGCTCATGTGGAAGAAACCGGCGCAAAAGTCGATTCTGCTGGCGTCCGTCGAAATGTGGGAGACGAGCTTGCCGTTGGTGATGGTCGCACGAGACTTGCCGCTGAGCACGAGAGCGCGGCGGTAGATGGAGCTGATGAGTGCCCCTCGCGCGAAGACGCCGACCTCCATAGATCGGGCGAAGAATTGATGCATGCCTGCGTCTCATAATCATTAGAGAGATCCTGATGGAGATGCGCGAAGACATACACAGAGAGGCGACGAACTGCATAGCGAAAAGACCAATAGCGAGGCCGACGCCGTAGCCAATGCCTGGATCGCTGATGCCAGCTACGCCGTGTGCGTGTTCATAGTGTTGCAAGCCGTAATTGATGATCTTTTTCGTGATGAGAGGCGAAGTGACGAGGAGCGTGTCGGACACGATCTTCAGGGCTCCCGCTGACCAGAACTTCCAAAAGAATGTGTCTGAAAGTGCCATAGCTAAGCCAGCCTTGACACGACCGTCAGCTTGTCCGATGTTGAAGAAGGCAAGAAATCGCCAAAGAGTACGCCTCGCCACTGTGGGCTTGTATTGGCCAGAATCTAGTCTCCTGTTCCACTCGTCTGCGGCATCGAAACGCTTCTGAAAGTTGGCCATCAATACTTGCGAGAGGGCTGAAGCAGATCTGGCATCGTCAATCTTCCAGAGATCGGCCTTTTCGAGCGGCCTCTTGTAGCCGAGTGCGAGCATGGGTTGAATCCAGAAAAAGAACAAAGATGAGAACCAGCTCGCGGTGATATCCGGGATGAGCAAGGCATCCTCCATAGACCTTGCTGGCGGCGGTGCCTGTGAAGAAACATGCCCAGTCAGTATGCAGCCTCATCGATCGAAAATCAATGCTGACCCATCGCTTGATGAAGAATGGAGGTCGTCGCTTTGTGTTCGATCCATCATCTTCAGGCACAGAGTCAAGAGATTCTTGGCGGCCCAGCGTCGTCTCGCTCGAGTCTTTTGTGTTTGCCTTCTCAATCAACCCCGCCGATGACTTTGTTGGCGATGCGGCAACAGGCTCGCTCATTGTCTTTTCGCTCGACATCCTCACGCGTCTATCGAGACGATAAGTGGTCGACGTCGAAAGCGATGCAAGCCGGACAGCTTGCGCGTAGTGGCAGGGCGGATGACACTTGCCGACGTGCGTGGTTTGTGCTGAGCAAGCAGAGTTTCGGCCGAATCGAACGAGTAACTCCGCGATCCGCGATCGACCGTACACGTGGCCACAGACGCACTGTCGTCGTCTGTCTACTCTTCAGTCTCCCGGTCTGTCATGCATACTTCCTCAGAGGTTGATCGTACCCAAGCAGAGCGCTGAGTACGAGCCTCCCCAGTCTTTCCTGCCCCTCTGCCTCGCTGCGAAGTGACTGGCACGCGCGAGCATGTCGCAGACAATGCAACTCTCTCAGGTAGCCAAAGGCAAGCGAAAGGCACTTCGATCAGACCCAAAGGATGTCATCATCATCATCATCATCATCATCACCCCCGACGATGAGACTCCGTCAGACTCGAGATTGGAACGAGCGAACAAGGCCAACGAGCTGGCAATCGTCGACGTGAGCGCAACCGTCATGCGTCAGTAGACGTCAGCATAGCCAGCGGCTCACACGTCACAACGGAAGATGTGAAAGTAAAAGCTCTTATCAAGGGCAGAACGAATGCGATCGAAGTACCAGACGGCGATGAGCAGACAGGAGAAATGCTACCCATCAACTCGTTGGAAGCCGCTCTGCAGCAGCTGCTCGAGTTTGTGCCTGATGTCTATATCAACTAAGTCATTCAAAAGCTTCAAGAGCTCGAAGGTCCCTAGGACGAGATCGTCAATACTGTTCTCGGAGATCTACTCAACGCTGCAACCTACCCCAAGCGCGAGTGCGAACAAGTGCGCAAGCAGATTATCAACTACATCCTCGAATAAAATCTCGAAGCCCCAGCCGTGATCTGAGAGACAGCCACAGAGAAGATCTATTGTGCCATTGCTTTCCGCGAGATCCGCAAGAACAGCCCGGATGGTCTGGGCAAGCCTCTCCTTGAGCGTCGCTACAGGATCAAAGCTTCGATACATCCGTCGCTTAAGGCTGAATGGGAATTCGTCCAACGCTGGCTAGTCTGCGATCGCAAAGCACAGGAGGCCAGGATTGCTCTCGAGCGCAAGACAGAGAAACGTCGGCGTCGCGAACTCAAGCGTGAGATCGGAGAGTTTGCTGATGGCAAAGGGGTGGAGTGTTCCATCTGCTGTGACGAGCGGCAAGCCATTCGTACTGTGCGCCACAGAGCCTTGCTGACTTTTTCAACGAAACGGGCCTCTCGATGATGCTGACGTGCTCAGAGGGCATCCATCTCTTCCGCCGTGATTGTGTGCGCTAAGCCACTGAAGCTGGTATCGGAGGAAATGAATGTCAGCTGCGTGTGCTTCGAGGCCAATGCCAGGGCAGCTTCACCCATGCTCAAATTGCAGAGGCCCCATCGGCAAGGGCTATGGAGCTGCTCGACCGTATCGCCACAGATCCAGCGCTGCGAGGCCTTGCCGAACTCAGTCACAGCCTTTTCTGTCAATCCGGCGAGCGAATGGCCGCTGGAGTTACGCACTACTGATGGTAACGCGCAGCTATGGTGATCGAAAATCCGGACGAGAAGCACTTTGAGTGTTTGCGACCCGACTGTCGTCGCACCAGCTGCCGTACATGCAAAATGAACGCTCATAGCCCTCTCACGTGCGACAAAGCAGCCAATCGTCATGTTGGCATCAATTTGATCGCAGAGGCCACGGCCAATGCGGCCATCAAGCGCTGTCCCGGCTGCAATGTCGCCACCGACACAATCGATGGCTGTGACTACATGCTTTGCCAAGTCTGCAAGGAACGCTGCTGCTGCTTGTGCGAGCGAGAAACGCAAGATCGTGCCCATCTTGGCCAGTGCGAGGCTACCGCGCGTGACAAACATTCCGTCAACGACGCCATGACGCAGGCTGCTGTCAATGCCACCATCATTCCTCGTGATCTTCGGTTCCTTCGCGCCATCTAAGCTTCAGCTTCGGCGATCACATCCGCAGTGGCATCTAGAAAAACGTAATGCGAGATCCTGTTGTCGTTCCCATCTGCATTTGCCTCATACAAAGTTGTCGCGCGCGCCCCGTGAGAGTACTTCACGCCTTACGCGCAGTTGACCAGTAGGGCGACGTCAAGAGCTCATGGATCCTCTAGGCGTCAGTGGCATATTGCCGGATGTAGGGCCAAGCAGTGATCGGCAGCAGGAAAGCCCAAAGAGGACATACCATGGCAGAATCGAGCAGCAAGCGGTCCCGGCAGCGAGCGCTTCTGTGCCTGCGACATTGTCATCTTTCCCATACAGACCGCCGCTAGAAGCAGCTTCACCTACTTATGCTCGGCAGGTACTGCCCCAGCCAGATGATGGACCCCTGGGATCGAGCAGTGCTCATGTACGTGCTTGTCGAGTGACCTGCGCCAATCGCCTGACAAGACGGCGGAGCAGATGGCGCAGTCTTTGTATGACCCCACACGTAAACCGTTACCAGCAGGACCAGACTCGCCTCAGCGGAGGGGTCTGGCCTACCAGTCTGGCAGTGCCAGCACGATGCTGCCTCATCATCAATACTACCAACAATCAAACCTGCCGGTAGCCTATCAGCCTCAGCAGCAACAACCCCAGCAGCAACCGCCGCCAACGATCAACCAGTATCGTCCTCATGCTGCACAGACTCAACAGGGCGCTTCCTCGAGCACATTGGCTGCTCCTACGCAGAATGGCGTCGGCCGACCGCGCTCGCCGTTCGCATCTGCAACGCCAGCAAGCTTCGTGCAACGAGGTTACCCAGACTCGGACCAGAAGCGCTTACACGATCCCGATGTTGACCAGAGTCGCTCAACGAGCTCGTCATCGCAGCAGCGCGTCAAAGAGGACCCGTTTGTGCGCGTCAGGGTACTTGCGCTCGACAGAACGAAGAAGGAGCTATGGATCAAACTCGATGCTACAGTGCGTCCAGACGCTTGTACGAGCACACTTGCTGATGCTATGGCAGACTAATCTATCATCATACCATCACGGCTATGTCAGAGCTTTCACTCGCTCGTCTACTGACTTTGCCGCGCTTCATTCGGCGCTCGCGAGCAACCACCCTCAGACGATCGTACCAGCGCTGCCTTTCAGCTCAACGAGCGCTCTCACAGACGAAGAAGAGGACCGCATCGTTCGCTCCTCTTACCAGAGATGGCTCAATCGCGTTTGCAAGGACGCGGGCTTGATGTCAGATGAGGAATTGCGAGTCTTTATCGAAGCAGACTTTGGCGTGAGTTCACTGCTGTCCTGCCGGTATACATGCTGAAGCACGTGTCAGTATACCGCCTACTCGAAGCGACAGACTAAGACAGGCAGCTCGCTGCTCAAGTTCAAGTCTGCGACGGATGAGGACGATGAGTTGGGGTCGGCAAAGAAGGAGATGTCGAAGCTGGAGCATCACCTCACAGAGGCTGCCAAAGCGATCGACAAGGATGCAAAAGCGCGCAAGAGTGCGCTTCTACGCTTCCAACTCCCGACGAGAGCGCTGATGCATGCCTCGCAGCTTTATCGCTTTCGCTGCAGGATTTGGCAGAGAAATTCACAGCATTCAGCACGACAGAGACGCATCAACCGCTCAATGTTGGGCTACGAAGATTAGCAGACGCGCTGCGGAGGATCTCCGAGGTCGAAAATGTACACTCGACGAGCGACTGCGTCACCGTAGGCGACGGCCTTGCCTACGAAGCGGCCGAAGCCAGAGAAGCGAGGGTGAGATCTGGTCCCTTCTCCATGCGCAGTTGCTGATCGAAGCTCAGGAAACGCTCATGCATCGCCAGTCGACTGTCGATGAACATCGTGCGGCCGTGAAGAATACGATCACGAGGAAGCGCGAAATCGAAAGGCTCAAGGCGTCATCCTCTATCAAATCAAATCGTGCTACAGAAGCGCTTGAGGAATTTGAGACTGCAACGAAGCAAGAGGCGATACTGGCGCAGAAGCTAGACGCAGTCTCGCAGCGGCTACTGCCATCACTCCATTCTCACACGCGCCAGATGAACCAGGATACCCTGCAGACGCTCGCTCAGTATGCACGAGCAACATTGGCGTACGAGAAGCAGCTTCTCAAGGAACTCGATGCAGTCGTACCCGATCTCGAGAAGATACCGGCAAGGTCGAGCGAGGATGCTTACTATGTTCATCCGCCGCCGCCGCTAGATTCATCGCAGCGCTCTGCGACTGGTATCCCTCGAAGCCAGTCTGCGAACAGTATGCCGAGTCCAGATCGGGGCTCGCTCTATCACTCTCGGTCGGGCTCTGTGCCAGTCCATCATTCAATCAGTGGTTCTCGCTCGCCTGGCGGTCCTATCGCGAACTCGCAGACCGGAGCGCAATCTATGATCTTGCCAAGAGGGCAGCCCAATAGGATCAATCAGCTCGCGAACAGTGTGCACATCGACACGACCGGTTTGCCGACGAGACAGGCTGAAACGTTTGTCGAGCCTCACAAGCGCGTAGATGCCCGTGCGGCCGCCTCGCTGTTGTCAAACCACTTCTAATGCAACGTGACACGAGCATTGCCTGAAGAGCGCGATTGATTTGCTACGTTGCACGCGCTCAGCGCCCTGTCTATCAGACGACTATGGCCCCTCTGCCGGACAAGCGACTTCGTTGGTATGATGTACGCAGCGGCCGATCAGCCGAACGCTTCGACGATCTGCCCAAAGGCGGTTGGCACCTGCCGTACGACGAGACAGATTGGTTCGCGCCGGCCGAGAGTGGGCATCACCTAGACGAGCCAGATCTGATTGTCGTCTTCGTTCCCGGCAATCCTGGTCTGGTCGACTACTACACAGACTTTCTCACTACCGTAGCAGACCTCACGAATCCTCGCAAAAGCCCAAAAGGCGGCAGAAATCTCAAAACAGACGTGATTGCAATCTCACATTTAGCTCAGGCTACATCTCCTCTGAGCTCATTGGCGTACTCTGCCATTCTGTCTGGCAAGCTGCCGACACTCGCGGATCAGGTCGACCACAAGATTGCATGCATAGATCGCGTTCACGGCCTGTTCCCCAAAGCAAAGATTGTACTCATCGGTCACTCAGTGGGCGCATGGATTTGCTGTCAGGTAAGCAATGCCGACCGGTGCTCAGGAAAGGAAGGCTGAGCTATTGCGACGCTGCAGGTCCTGAAGGCGCGCCCGAAGCTCGTCAGCCGAGCTCAGCTGCTGTTCCCGACCATCTCAGACATCGCAGCCACGCCAAATGCTCAACGACTCTGGCCGATCTTCAACCGCGTCGGAAGTGCAGCGCTCGTCAGTCTGACGATGGGCACATCCTTCTTGCCCCTGGGCATCACTTCAAGGTTGACAGGTGTAGCGCAAAGAGCAGCGGTCGCGCCGGAAGGCGATGCCACCAAAGCGACGCTCGACCTCGTCACCAGTCCAACAGTCGTAGCATCGGCCTTGGCAATGGCGCGCGATGAGATGGCAACGATCAAAGACCTTGATAAGGCCTTCCTGGCACAATATGGTGACCGACTCGATTTCTACTGGGCAGAAGGTGATAGCGATGGCTGGGTCCGATCGAGCCAGATTCAGGAGATCATAGAGACCGTGCAGGACAAGGCAACACATCAGCGCTGCGTGCTTGGCATGAAGCACGCCTTTTGCCTCAAAGATGGGGCTCAGATGGGACGAATCTCTGCCAAGTGGATCCTATCTACATAGGCCTTCGAAACACAGGCAGCGGTAGACGATTGGCCCTCAGAAAGCATTGTTGTATTTGTAGGCAGCTAGACACACGCCATCCTGGACTGCTGGCGCGTCTTTGATCGATCGGGCTTAAACGGAAACCACTCTGCCGAGCGAAGAGGTCCTCGCAATTAAGGCAGATCGTCCGCCTTGTACTCCCACCTCTGGCCGTCGTCCGAAGGCTCTGGCGCGGCTCTCGCTCATCGACTTTGGCAGACAGCGATGCAGTCACCGCAGCTGGCTCCAGACTCGCCGCTACTGGCCTTAGCCCCAGAGGTCGGCTGATTCGCGAACAACGAGGCTTGTCGCAAGCTGATTGACCGTGACAGATACTGCAAGCCATACTCTGCCATCTTGACGGAGTCTCGATCGCCTCCTTCTCACTGACGGCCCAGTACGCTCATCAGGCAGTCTTCAAGGGCAACCAGCAGCTCTGGCGAGCAGTCTTCCTGCACGACTTTGATGACCCTTGGGATGCCTTTGAGCTTCTCCTGCCCACTGCGAGGGAGGCCGTCAAAGCGAGAGAGGAAGCGTGGGACTGGCAGTATGAAGCCCTCCGACGGTTCAGGGCGAGAGCGAGGATAAAGGAAGTAGCGGCAGCTTGTGCGAAAGGTGTCAGCCCGGCTACTGCTGCTGCTGCCGAAGCCGCTGCTGCCGCTGCGCCTTCTGTACCAGTACCGATCATATTACCTGCGCACCATGCGGCTCTCTCTGAAGCTGCCATAGTGGAGCACACATTGGCCTCAGCCCCCACAGAACCGTCTACCGACTCAGCAGACTCGGACTTCTCTGCAGACTCGCAGGTCTCCAACGACTCGACCGTCTCGGTCAACATTGAGGAAGATCTGGACATGGATGGAGAATACGCTTCCAGAGAGCTGCCACTCTCGCTAGATCGGCACGACAAGGCTGTCATCGAAACGGTCATGAAGGGTGTCGACGATCTGGAGGAGACTATCGAGACTCTCTTAGACATCTTCGATACCTGCAGGCCGTATCATCCTGCAACACACATCGATCTCACTCTCAAGCGACCAAAGGGGGAAGGACCGCCCAAGAATTTGACATACCTCTATAGCTTGTTCCAGGGCAAGCAGATTGCTCAGCTATTCTACATACACGACTATTCGAGCCCTTCTGCACCCATCACTGCCTTTGCCGCCACACAGCCAGGACCGTGGCTCAGATCATCTGGCAGACGTGCCAAGCATCTCGTCTCCCTGGCCAGCTCACGTCTGCATCTCTTGCATGGCCTCACAGCTCGCGAGCGCACGTCACGCTCAGCAAGGGGCAAAGCCAAGCAACTGGTCTATTGCCTCGAGAAGTACGGTTGGGACAACGAATTCGGTCCATACCGTTCCGACCGATCAGGCTGTGTCGATTGGAACCAGCTCGAGGCGATTGCCAGCGTCATCGGACGTAATTTCGACCTCGTCGCGGAGAACGAGCAAGCCACGCCCAAGGGATTCATTGCATGCGGTCCCTACACCGTGCCGCCCAATCTACTCGCACCGCAAGACTGGGCAGGCATCGAAGGACTCTGGTATGGCGCCTTTTCCTATCTCGAGTGAGTGCTCCCAGTCGCGCCATCACTGCTCAGGCTGACATGTCACACAGCTACGCTGACCTGCTGTTCTACAACGTCGGTCATCGACCCGAAGCTCGTCCATCGCTCACACATGTCGACGAAGCTGTCGGCGGTGTCATGACGATGAACTTGCGTCTGGATGACTCCATCAGAGGCGACTCGCTCTTGCGGACTGATCTACCGATCTGTAAGGATCTGCCCGTGCTCTACTTTTCCGGCGTCTCTGGCGGCCATGGAGCTTATCGACCACAAACACGCGTCAAGGGTCGAGTGAGCCTCATGCCGGGCGCTCGGGAAGTACGCTGGCGATGGATCGTCAAGTGAGTCTCGCCTTTCCTCAGCGCGGCTACCTATGCTGACTGCCGCGCAGCTATGGCGGGAGTGATCGTTGGCAGCTTGATGGGGTTCAGCCAGGTGGCATACGCTCTGCCGCTGTCTTTGGTACATGGAGCGATTGCGATCACGATGACGCTTCGCCTGTCGGTCCTTTCGTCTACTGGCATAGCTCGATGTGCCAGCCATTTAACCGCGCTTCATGATTACGTGCTAATTGATCATACACGATCTGTCTTCAGTACTGTACTTCTCCGTTGATGTCACTCGAAATTGCATTATGAATCGATTAGCTCAAGACTTCTGGAACGCGAGTTCGTTTTCGATCTCCTTTAATCTGGCCTTCCAGCTTTCGACGTCTTGTAGCTTGGCTTCAATCTGTTCTACCTCCTTTGCGAACGAGAGCTTTTCTTCCGCTGTGCCGATCTGCGATAGCTCCCAAGTGCCCTTCTCGCCGGTGAGTCGAAGCAGATGGCTGTGGTACTTGAACAGTGACGGTCGATGCGAAATAGTGATGAGCGCTGTGAGGACATGTCAGCGTCTTGTCCCCGAAAGACAAGCAGAAACTGACTGATGCCCAGGTCCTTGGCGTGCTGATACATGAGACCTTCGACGTCTGTGCTGACTGCGCTTGTGCATTCGTCAAGGATGCCGAATCGAGGCAGATGGTAGAACAAGCGTGCAATGTTCATCTGCACGGTTATCAGCATAGCTTTAGCGCGGTCTCTCGTTCGAGCATACGCGTTGCTTCTCGCCGCCCGACAGGACGTCCTTCCACTCTTTGCGCGTATCGAAGCCTCCTTCTCGCTCGGGCAGATATGCAAGGTGGACATGCTTGAGGATCTCTCGAAGATCGGCATCGGTCTTGCCCGATGCTCGCATCTCTGGCAGTGAATGCGGATAGATGACCCTGCACCAGCAATTAGCTTGAGCCCAGGGTCATTAGTTGGGAAACCTACTGATCTCGCAAGCTGCCCAAGCTGAGGTAGGGCCGTTGCGGCAGGTAGAATATCTCGCCTCGAGCAGGCCTGCGAACGACGCCTTCGAAAGTAGGCCACAAACCGGCAAGGACACGAGCGACGCCAGTCTTGCCAACACCGTTCGGGCCCGTGATGAGCATGTGCTCGCCCGGCGCAACAGTGACTTTGAGATCCCTCACTAGCAACTCGCCACCTCTTTCCAATCCGGGAGCGGGCGCGACGATGGGCACCTTGTTGAATTCTACGCCCTCTGCGCCGTCGACGAGCTTGCCATTGATGCTGCCTAGGTCGTAGAATGGCTCGGACGGATCGAGTGAGGCCGGCCGAGGTACAGACTGGTACTTGTCGCCATTGAGCTGATGAAGCGTGCTGATGAGAGAATAGACTCGTGAAGTATGACCAGCCAATTCGGCGAGCTCCTTGTAGGAGTACATCAGACGACCGCCGGCATCTGCCAGCGATAGCAGCAACCGTCGATTTGAGATGTAGCCTGTCAACGCTCATTAGTCTTGATCACTCTATGGCTGAGCAGCTTACTCTCTGTCCTGCCAGCGACACTGTTCGGATCTCGCTTGGGCTTCTCGGCGACCTGTACACCTTGCAAGACCTTTGTGTCATCGCTGGCTCCCTTTTTCCCAGGACCGAAGAAGACGGGAATCGAAATGAGGCAGTAGCCAGCCGCGGACCAGAGGTATTTGATAACAAAATCTTCCGTCATGCTGTAGGCGATGCGAATCTGCGCGCCCATCAGCGACCGATGAAGGGCAATCAACAAAACCACTGACCTTGAAGATGGAGTTGACGTGCTTGATGAGTCTCAGATATGCGCGCGTGAGGATATCTTGCTCTAGATGTGCGCCGTTATAGAAGCTGCACTGCCAGTGAGTGATGCTCGGACAAAGCCACGTAAGAACGTACGCGATTTCCTCGGCATTAGTGATCAGTCGAGAGTGAGCAGCACGGAAGTCACCCTCGAGTTTGGCTTCTACCGCAGCCAGCTTGCCGAAAGCGGGGGTGACTTTCCGCAAAATCCACGCGGTGAAGATGTAGGAAACGAAGAGACCTGCGCTGCCTGCTCGACCGATGCTTCGGCCTAGCTGGATGTTGAAGAGAATCAGATCAAGGGTCGGCTTGGAGATATTCGAATAGAGTGACGCGAGGTTATCGCAGAATCTTGCGAGATCAGTAGTGATCAATCTGCTCGCACATCAGCCATGCGCGGGTTCGTCCGCTGTTTGGCTTACTGATCGGCAGCGTCGACGCGGCTGTCGAGATTGATGATCTTGTAGTAGTTGCGCTGATCGCTCAGATAGAGATCATGGACATAGCGGGTGAGACGGGTCCGGAAAGAGATCGACAGCTTGTTTTGCAAGAAGCGGATCATCGAATTTGTATACGTGCTCGGTAGAGCCAGAGCAAACCAGTAGACGAGACCCCAGAGAAACCCTTTGGCGTCTGCCGAGACGAGATCGCGAACGATGATACCGTCTAGCTTGGCAACGAGCAGAGAGAGGTAAGTCCTCAAGAGCAGAAAGAAGGTATGTAGCGAGAAGAGAAAGACTTCTTTGGAAGTCGACCGAGGGATGAGAATGCGAAAGATGGCACGCAGTTGCCTGTGAACAGCATCATCAGCAAGTTCGTCCGGCGGCCAAGTACGCGCGCGCGCGCAGGGGTGATAAGGACTTACATCCAGAATTGCTTGTTCACGCCTACTTTCCGCACCGGCTGGACCGTCGCGGTGGCAGCCGTCTTACCCGATGGAGACCTGGCCATCTTCGTACCGCCCGGCGTCATTGCACCGGAAGCCTTTTCGCTCGCACGATCGCCTGATCTCGTCGCGGATGGTGACTTTGGCTTGCTGCCTTGCGCGGGTAGAGCGGCCGCGGCAAAGTAAGGCGCATGCGTCTTGAAGGTATTGATCGAAGTCGGCCGTATGATGACTGAAGGTGCAGCTCAGCGGTTGCCGCCCGAGCTATCGCGGTCAGCGTACCTTTGTGAACTCGGCCGCCGCTCGAGTCGGGCACGAGCAGCTCGCGCGTGCCATCGTTGCGGGTCAGGTATAGGTCCCGCTGTGCTGCCTCTATCTGGGGCGTCGTCATGGGCAGCGGTCGTGGTCCCATCGTGCTCGAGCTTGATGCTGGCTTTGTCGCTTGCGTGAATGCCGACGTGCGAAATCTTCCACCATTTACTGTTCGAACACGTAGGTCGATCGTGCTCGTGTCGTGTGTCGACGACTTCGACGACTGTCAGCTGCTCGCTATGGACGTCGACTGGACCGGCAACGCACAAGCGTCCAGCTCGCATGCTGTGGATGGTGCAACAGAGCAAGTGGGCATGCCCAAGCGCTTTGCTGCCCTACCCGTCGAAGTCACTGCAGCTGCCCCTTTCGACCTGGACACTTACGCTGCTCAGTACAAAGGCAGGCTGTCCCATGGCCGTCAAGACTGCTTGTCCTGACCGAGGCGTGAGCGCTATGCAGGCCGGCGTCGTATACAGCATCTGCTCTTTGTGGCCCGTTCGACAGTGACATCGACGCCTTCACTTTCCAGGGCTGCCTTTCTGTTGGCGCTCAAGACGATCCAGGCCGACACGACCGATGAGAGCCTGTACACGTCTACGCTGAACGATTACAACATAGCCGCTGCGAAAGAGTGGGGGGAAAGTCAGCTCGCGTCGGATAGCGCTTGGCTCGATCGCGCCGAACGAAAGACGGACGATACCAAAGATCGTCTGGAAGTCGAGCTCAAGACGTACGAGAACAATCTCATCAAGGAGAGCATCAGAGTGAGCCTCTATCTGCCATTCTTCGGTCGGGCTGATGACGTATGACAGATCGGGCACCGTGATATCGGCAACTTTCTGCATTCGGTAGGCGACTTGCAAGGCTCGCTCAAGTCGTTTGGCAAATCCCGCGAATTTGGCACCATCACCGCTCACATCATCGAGATGAGTCTGTCCATCATCGATGTCGTGCTAGAGCTGCAACAGTATGGCGCCATCAAATCTCACGCTAGCAAGGCCCTCTCTCATCTCGCCCATCCTCGTCCTGCGCAAGGCGCGACAGACAAGTCGACAGGTTCAGCAGCCCAATCCGACAATGTCAAAATTGCTTCGTTGGCCAATGCGAGCATAACAGATGCGAGGACGCAACTGGCAAAGGACAAGCAGCTCAACGAGACGAGAGACAGGCTAGCAATCGCCAGTGGTATAGCCGAGCTCGGTCAAGGAAGCTACCACACCGTGCTGCCTTCCTTCTTATCGAGCTCTGCTTTGTCCGATGAGACTTCAGATGGCACTGACGAATCTGTCGGACGGCCTCTACCTGTCGGCTGCGGCTTGGACGGCTATGTGTCTACTGCCGATCTTGCCATCTATGTGGTTCTATGCGCCATTGCTACCCTTGAACGCAACGCTCTCAAGGCAAGGATCATCGACAACCCCGGCATTCGAAGTCTGCTCGAATATGAGCCCTACCTCAAAGACCTGCTCTCTGCTTTCTACAGCGGTCAGTACCGCCAAGGCCTCGAACTGCTCGAGCTGCACAAAGTGAGCTCAAGCTCCACGCAAGCTTACCGAACAAGAGCTGATATCCACTTTGCAGTCACGCTTCATGCTCGATCTTCACCTGAGCCCGCATGTGCCAGCCCTCTTTGATCACATTCGTTCGCGTTCGGTATTACAGTACTTTGAGCCATACGAAGCAGTCCAGCTCTCGCGCATGGCTACAGATTTCGGCTGGAACGACATGACGACAGAGCATTACGTTTTGCAAGCCATCCAGTCTGGCTCCCTGCAAGCTCGACTCGATTGTCGCGACAGGGTCAGCGTGTCTTCGGATCGGCGCAGACCAGGAGCTCACTGTTACGCGCATGACAGGTCGTTCGCACACGGAAAGATGACGTACGCACGGAGCTCTTTGCCCAGACTATCCAGCTCCAGCGAAAGCAAGCACGCCAGTCTGAAGATCTCGCCTACCACTTCAGGCTGATCCAGTCCAACTACGTAGCAAAGTCTGCTCAAGCCTGATGTTGTAACACGGATCATGATGACGAAGATGGCTCTGTTTAGCAAAGCGTCGCGCCCTCATAAGCGTGGCAAAAGACAAACGTCCATCCCCTGCACCGTCTACATCGTATCTGCATACGCAAGCAGTCAACATGGTCGAGAAGATCCAGCTCGGCTTCATCGGCCTCGGCAACAGTCAGCTCTGCCCACCCTGCGTGCTGTCAGAGACTGAGCTGGCAGAGCAGTGGGCGCGGCCATGGCCAACAATCTGAACAAGTGGGCAAGGGACGAACAGCTGCCTGCTTTGCTCGTCTACAACAGGACGAGATCAAAGTGCGATGCGGTCGAGAAGCAAGGCGCCGTCGTCGCAGCATCGGCAGGCGAGGTGAGCTAGATCGATTGTCGACTTGCTCGTGCTCATGTCGGCAGCAATGCCTAGATAGCGAGCAAATGTGACCTCGTCATCACTTCCCTTTCAAACGATGCAGCAGCGGAAACCGTCTATGCAGAGATGATCAAAGCGATCGAGTCAAAGGAAATATCAGACAAGCAGCAAAAGACCGTCTTTGTCGAATGCTCAACGCTCTATCCCTCCTTCGTGGGCCAGCTAGAGCAACGCATGGAGAAAACGGGCAAAGCGCATCTGCTTTCCTGCCCTTGCTTTGGTCAGTCGCTACTGGCTCGGAGACCCGTCGCGTGCTCACGCGCAGTGCGGTCTCGACAGGTCCTCCGCCCATGGCCGTGTCTGCTCAGCTCGTGGTGGTCATGTCGGGCGACTTGTACGCCAGACGAAGGGCATCACCTTATCTCGCACCGTCCATCGGTCGGGCGACACTCGACGTGGGCTCAAACGTCGAAAAAGCAGCAGCGCTCAAACTCATTGGCAACTCTTGCGTCTTGGGCATCATTGAGCTGCTCGCGGAATCAATGACCCTCGTGAGCTCGTTTGCAGTGTATCATTCGTCATACTTACCGCGAGCGAGCACACAGGCGGACAAGTCTGGCGTAGGATCAGAGACGCTCTTCTCCTTCCTCGAAGCTTTCATGCCTGCGCCCTCCATCTTGGGTTACGGCAAGAAGATGGTTGACGACAATTTTGATGGCACATCCGGCGTGAGCAGACCTGCACATACATTGGCTGTGCCAGCACTGATGCTATGAATGCGACCTCGACAGTTCTCGCTCGACGGAGGGATCAAGGATGCCTCTCACATACGCAAACTAGCAGAAAGCGTAGACTGCCCGGTGCCCATCATTGACGCTGCCCACAGCCATCTGATCACTGCAAGAGCACAAGGAGGTAGTCATCTCGACTGGAGCTCACTCGTGGGCGGCCAGCGTATCAGCGCAGGCTTGGCACCCTTCAAACGGGCAAGACACTTTGACAAGGCAGAGATCTAGTGAACTCGCTCGCTGTACTACACGCATACATGCATCCCGTCCATAATCCACGGCGCGCTTCTACAGTGCCGAGAACAGGTATTCGATCGCAGCCTGGACGTTGCCGCCTGTTGCCATCAGTGCGCGGATGTTGCGCTGGGCGTCGTGGAAGCCCATCTCGGAAAGCTGGCGCAGTTGTCCCTCGAAGCGTTCCTCGGGAGGGCGCGTGTCAGTGGGGGCGGCAGGTGCGCCAGACCCGAAAGCGCCCATGCCTGCAAAAGGATTCGCGCCGAGCGCGGCAAAGGGATTCGCGGCCCCAGCTGCTGCGCCTCCCTCCGCACCGGCACCACCTGCCATCATCCTCATCATGTCCTGTAATTGCTGTGCAGAGGGCGGAGCTGCGAGCCCTGTTGATCCCGCAGCAGGTGGAGCGCCAGTGTTTGGAGCAGCAGCGCCTCCGAACATGCCAGGGCCAGCAGCTGAGGGTCCGCCGTTTCGCATCATCTCCATCGAAGCGCGGATAGCGTCGGGTGAAGTCATCATCTGCCTGAACATGGGTGACTGCATGATCTGACGTGCCTGTGGACCGAGTTGCCTCAGTTCTGGCGAGGACTCGATGAGCTGATCGACGACTTCGGGCCGCGATAGCATCGCGTTGAGCTGGTTCTGCATCTCGGGTGATTGCATCATGTTCTGAAGCATGTTGGGGTCGTTTTGGTTGATGCCCATCGAGCTAAAAGGATTGAAGCCTCCTGCACGAGGTTGTAAGATCGTGTACCTGTCATAAAGGACGGCTTTGACTGACCTAGACCGGGATGTGTAGCATTCATGAGGGGTGCCAGTGGGTTGCCTGCCACTTGTTGACCGGCTTGCATCTCGGGTACTTGAGCAGCAGCAGGAGCTACACCCTATCTTGTCAGTAGAGTCCATCAGGCGAGCGCACAAGGGCGCATGCTGATGACGTACGAGGGGCTGCTTTGGGCTGGCTCTTGACCAGATGAACAGTATTGCCGCTCGCTACTTTGTACGTCTGGATGCTCTCTTCGTCCTTCATGATCTTGCCAGAGTAGATGAGTCGCTGTTGCTCAGGCGGACATGGCTTGCTCGCATCTATTTTGACGAGCTCGTCTGCTATTTTCTGCTTGAGCTGGAGTACTGTCGCTCCTGCATCGATGGTGATGGGCAACTTTGTGTCGCCTGGCGCTCTGATGGTGATGCTGATCTCACTTGCCATCCTACCAAGGTGAATGACGCAGCAACACGTCGGGCGCGTGCGATGGCCTGCAATTTGCCACTCTCGATAGGGCTACAACAACATCTTCGTCACCGTCACTTCATGCAAGAGCCTGCAGCGCGCGCCGCTCGGCAGACGTAGCTTGACACAACCGCATTCTCCAGCGCTGCACATTCTTGCCCTCCAGCTTGGGGACCAGATTGACCGTGAGGACCTCATCAAAGCCTTCGTGCGTCGTCGGCGGCTGGTATGCCTCTCTGAAGGATGTATAGCCTGTCTCGGGCACCAATGATCGCTGTTCTGCATGTCAGACTACGTGAACCATCAGGAGCGAGAGACTTGCATCGCTGTTCGGGACCACGAATGCGCGGAAGAGATTGCAGTGCCATGCTGCAGCGAAGGGCACATCAAAGTTGAGACAGCGCACATTCGCGTTGTGTTGTCGACAGAGGTCGATGTAGTGTGCTCGTGTCTCGATATTGCGATTCGTGTTGTCTGTGCATGCAGCCAGAGAGAGTCAGCAGTCTGCTGATTGTAGAGAGCCTAACGAACCAACGAAACAGGATTTGCCTTCGCGTAGAGAGGACTCGACCAGAGAGATGCACGCGATGCGCGTCTTGAGGGTATCTTGGTTCTGTTACACACCATGTCAGCAAGGGCACGCAGCGTGCCATCCCACGAGCAGACTGACCACGTGGACGTATCCCTTGCTAGCAAAGTGGTCCCTGTAGAGCTGGGTCTTCCCCGAGCCAGGATAGCCGACGGCAACGACGACCTCTGCCACTCTGCCATTCGGTACAAGAGCAGACGACGTGGGCGTCACGCGAGGCATGTCTTGCGTCTCTTTGAGGAAAGCATCGGGGTCGAAGCCAGAGAGCTCGAAAGGCAGCTCGGTCTGATCAAGGAAAAAGGCTTCAGGCGTATGGAATGCAAGAGGAGTGCCTGTCCAGAGACCGAGGTTGTACGCAAACTTGCGATCGCCGTCGGAATGGTCGTTGGCTCGTCCTGCTGCATCGCCTACATAATAGGAGCTTGCATCTGCTTGCAACTTCAAGTCAGCCAGGCTATATGTATGCGAGACGACGGACCATAGACAGGGCGCGGAGCAATGTTTGAGATGGCGACTTGCCACATGCCCTGCAGAGGCTTACGGTGTTGATCCTTTTGAGTTGCAGCAAAGATCAGGAAAGGAATGCCGAGCTACGATCAGCAAACCTCCAGGTTTCAGCTCGAGCATGCCATGAAGCTGGCATGGCCTACATCTTGAGCGACGAGGGGTATCTTGCGTTTCCATACTGCTAATTGATTAGACTTGATAAGTTGATTGGTGAAGATGATGATAGTGTATCTGTGGAGCCTCGATCAGCTCCACTCGATCAGCTCACGCCCAGGCACACACCCCTGCGCGTGAACTTGCTTCAACTTCTTGGGCACAGCTGCATGCCACCACTGCCAATTTGTCTCGTCACCCGAGAACTGTGACCTGCCTCTCGGCCTGATCAGCGTGCCGTCCTGTGTTCCTTCCGCACGTCAGCGCGACGTCGCGCACGCACAACCGCTCGACTCGCCAAGTCAAACATAGCCAGCTTGATGTTGTGCTTGCTATCTGCTTTGGGCAATTTGGCGTCATGTGCAGCACCCTGAAGGCAGCTCTCTGATCCTGTGTGCGTCGCCTCCAGCCATTTGAAGCATGGTTTCCTATCTTTCACAGGAGTGAAGATTGAAAATGCCTTCTTGGCGACCGGCTCGCCAATTGGCTGTCCTATTCGTCTTTTAGATGTGCTAGCGATTGGAGCGGACATGATGAAGGCTGCAGCTCGTCCGAAGCTCACAGAGCGCATGCCATGACACGCCGCGAGGCGACGACGATCGACATTTGGGGCACATCAGTCATTCAAATAGCATTCATTTGATGACCATGAGGCCGAAATTTGGCGACAGCACCGACGAAGCAATGTCGACAAAGAAGAGCATCTTCCGGGGTCCCAATACACAGAACTTCCAGCTCGTACATCGCTCTCAGCGTGACCCATTGATCAACGATGACGACGTACCTGATCGTGTGCTGGCACCCTTCGAACCGCGCAACAGAGCCAACAAGAAAGTATGCTGTCTTGCACGATGACTGACCGAGCTGACAATGCTACAGGGCAAGAGCAAAGGCGACCTAGATGCAGAATTCGGCAATGCCGACAGTGTACGCGCAAACGAAGGCGAAGCGGCACTATACGACATTTTCTACGACGATACAGAGTATGACTACATGCAGCATCTGCGCCCCGTTGGCGGTCTCAGCGCTCAGGAGGAGGACTCGACCTTCTTTGTCGAGGCCCCAAAAGGTCAGCTGGCCAAGCGACAGGCCAAGGGAAAAGGTCGCGCCATCGAGTTGGTCGATGAAGATAAGATTATCTTACCGCCCGACACGCTTGCACCCGAGACCGAAGAGAGGACTTACAGCGAGTTTATGGGTATACCAGATCGACCGTATGGGCTCCAACCTGATCTCGATCCTCGTATAAGGGAAGCGCTCGAAGCGCTAGAGGACGAAGCTTATGTAGATCCGGATCTGGACGAGCAAGAGACGGATTTCTTCGAAGGACTTGTAGCGTCTGGAGAGAAGCAAGGCGGCGAAGATGACGCGGTATGGGAGGATGATCTCGAGGACGGGGGTGAGTTGGAAGAGACGCAATGGGAGGCAGAGATGGCAAAATACAAGACGCCTGCCAGTATGCACGCCGCCGAAAGCGATCTTGGCGACGAAGCAGACAGCGAGGGCGGGGATACTATAGCAGAGCTGAAAGCTGCTTCCGCTCGTCGACCGCCTCGCAAAGCGCCTTCTGCAGCTACAGGCTACAGTATGTCCAGCTCGGCCATGTTCCGCAACAAGGGACTCTCGACGCTCGATGATCAGTTTGACGAGGTCGAAAAGATGTATGCGGACGACTATGACGATTTTGGTGCCCCGGAAAGCTTTGAGGATGCCACCTCGGTGACTTCAGACGATGAGCTGCCGGAAGCACGAGACGACTTTGATGCGGTGATGGACGACTTTCTGTCTCGCTTTCAAGTCTTGGGCGGAAAGTACAAACCAACACTCGAGGGCGAAACGCCCGGAGAGAAACTCGATGTGCTCAGACGAGAGTTCGCCGCGATTGGTGATGACACGGACGATCCCATCCGGGATCGACAACAACAGAAGGATCGCATTCTGGCCGCTGCAGAGAGACAGGCGCGCGAGAAACGCAAGAATGCTTCGGAGCCTGTGATTCGGGAGGAAAAGTCATACGATACTTGGGATTGCGAGACCGTCCTATCGACCTACTCGAACCTTGAGAATCATCCAAAGATTATCAGGATCCGCAATCAGTTTGCTACAAAGACACAAGCGCCCGTTGCTCAGATTAGGATCGATGAAAAGACTGGCTTCCCTGCCGTACAGAATGGCAGGCAAGAAGAGGAGTCTTCGGGCAGTGATACCGAAGATGGCTCACGTACGTCTCTTTGCTGACGCACGGACTGGGCTGACGAGATGCTGCAGTGGTGCGTGAAACGGTGGCACGACCGAAAGGAGAGTCAAAGGAAGAACGTAAGGCTCGAAAGGCAGCTGTGAAAGCCGAGCGACAAACTCGCAGAGTGGAGAAGAAGCAGAACAGTCTGGCATTCGATCAGGAGCGCAAGAAGCAGAAGAGGAAGCTCGCCTCGCAAAAGGTCTCGGCGGCAGATGTCAGCGGACCGGGTGGCCGTACGACGACGATCAATCTATCGTAGCAATATAGACAACATGTACACGGCATTGGTCTCTGTTGTGATGATGTACAAGATTACTCTCTAGAGTCATTGAGATGCTTCATAACGCCGTCCAGTCGAGCTCTGGCAGTCTCGCGCAGTTTTGTGTAGATGAGCACTTGCTGAGCTTGTGTAAGACTTGGCCGAGCTGTCACATCTGCGTCCGACGCAACCTGGGTGTCTGCAAGGGGCCGAACAGATGTAAAGGTACGCTTGGGGTCCCACGCTGCGTCTAGATTGGCGGAGGTCGTAAGCGGATGCGGCAAATCGTCCAATGCGGCCTCTACAGCACTGGCCGCCCGATACTCGTTCGTCCAGGTCGCGCTCTGATCATGAGCAGGAGTGGGCTGTAAAGCACAGGCAATCGCTTCTGCTTCGTCCAGCGATGGTATACTGCTGACATAGGCGGATGCGCTCATGGCAGGCGTGTCTGAACTCGCGCGAGCAACATGCAGATAGGTTTCATACTCGGGATTCCACCGAGTATCGCCACTGCTTGCCTGGTCTGTGCTGTCAGCAAGCTGATCGAAAGGGTGAGAATGGTGACTGAATGCGGAGTCTGTCGGGTGTGGTGCTGGTCGCATGGGAACGCATTCGGGATTGGCAGATCGCCACAGATCACTCTTGTATTCGACGGCTAGGCTGCCATTGTTGGACTTGTCGGCCTGGCGAAAGGTTCCACTGTGCGGCTGAGGGACAGACTGATACTTATACGTGTGAGAGCCGGAGGATGAACCGTTTGTGAGATCGGCTTTGCCAACGACGTTGTCACGGAGCAAATGCCGAGTCAGATCCTGGAGCGGCCTTCGATCATCCGAGCACGACATCGTCGCTGGCTCTTGCTCAGTGGTCAACCTCACTGTCTGTCATCGCCATGCTGCTGTGCTTGTCATCTTGTCAGTCTTGTTGCCACTGACATTCGACATTGCCGTCGCGCGAACGAGACGAATGACACGACGACATTGGCCTCGGGCGCCCGAGCCTGCTCGATGCCCCAGAAGCTCGCAGCAGCAGGCAGCAATGCTAAAGGCCAGCTGGGCATCGGTCCGACGCAAGACGCTCACCAGTTCATCTTCGCTCAGTTCTTGCAACCTGACGGTGTCATCAAGGTACTTCCTCAAGGTCATCGGATCAAGAGGCTCGCTTCAGGCGCAAATTGTACGCTTTGCTTGATCACAGTACGAGATGGCAAGTCTCAGCTCTGGGCTGCTGGCGATGGCGCAAGAGGACAGCTGGGAGAGCCAAAGCGAGAGCTGCATTCGTTCGCTCAGCTCGATATACGCCATCCTTGCCTTGATCAACCAGATGCTCAGATTGTCGATGTAGCGGCAAGCTGGGATACGTCCTTTCTCGTCGTGCGCAGACCCAAGAGCAAGGACAGAGTGCTCGCGATGGGCGGAAACGACTTTGGCGAGCTCGGTCGTCCTGCATGCGACAATATATTGACCGAAGTTGTCTTACCCGGCCATGTGGAGCGTATCGAGCAGATCGTGGCAGGAGTCCGTCATGTGCTCGTCAGAGCCTCCGATGGTCGAGTATTCGGCTGGGGAGCTGCACGCAAAGGCCAACTCGGGTCAGATGAGGCATCAAAGGGCGTATCTCTGCCTGTCGCATTAGACCTGTCTGGCCGGTGTACAGACGTCGCCGCCGGTAACAACCACAGTATCTGCATTGTCGATAACGCCAAAGGCACGCCGCACATCACTGTGTTCGGCACTCTTGCAGCCTTGCCAGATACGCTTGCGCCAGACGTTGTGCGCATATACAGCACCTGGACAGCAGCGCTTGCATTGACCAGCTCGCATCAGGTCCTCGGCTGGGGCTCTGATTTCGCTCATCAGCTCGGGCGTTCGAACAAAGAAGCTGTTGCATGCGTCGAGCTCGAGCACAGCGGCCTCGAGAGCATCAGCGAGTTGACTTGCGGCAGCGCCCACTGCCTCGTCCTCGGCCAAACACACTCGAGCCCGCAAGTTTGGGGGTTTGGCTGGAATGAGCATGGCAATCTCGGGCTCAACGATGGCTTGAGCAGTATCGCCATAGCCCGTCAAGTCTGGCCCGCAGGCGGAGACGCGGTTGGCAACGCTGTCAAGGTGTTCGCTGGCAACGCCACTAGCTTCATAGTCATCGAGACGTTTTAAATCAGCAGATCAGTCCGCCTAGACCTCTTCGCCCGACATGGCGATGGACAAAAGCCCGCAGACTGCCTCGCCAACGTCGCATCAGATCCTCGCGAGAGCCGAAAGTCGCCTTGAGCTCAGGCATGAAGCCTTCGAAATAACGAAAGCGAGTCTTGTCGCTTTGTGCAGACGAAAAGTGCAGCTTTGCAGACTTTTTAGCTGCCGATGGCGACTTGCTCTGCAAGAGACGCCGCAAATGACGATCCATTGGCCACAGCTCGTCCTCATCGACAGATTCGAGACCGCCCATACGTTTGACTTTGGGTGGATGGATCAGCCATGCACCGCGTAGGACAGTAAATCTGAAGCCCAGAGCTGCTAGCAGGAGCGCGTGACTTTGCTTATCACCGCCTTGATCCGTGAAGCGCTCGTCATATAACAGATGAGAATGCTTCTCGAGAAGGTAGTATGGCTCCCATTCTGGCTCGAAGCCGACGCTGTATGACCATGCAGAGATCGGCGAGTCTTCATATGCTTGCGTCTTGATCAGCCTGTGAGGTGCAGTCGGGCCGTGACCAATGGTCGGATCTGTTAATGAAAGCAATGCCGGTCTTGCACCGAGGTGTGCCTTAAGCTCGTCTTGCGAGGAAGCGAACTGAGTTGCTCCTGGCGAAGCAACAAAACAAGGTATGACGATGGCGTGTTTGATGATCATTCGTGGGTCGTGTGCAGACGGCCAGGCTGTTATCTTGCTATCTAACAAAGGCAGTCCGTGTCTCGTAATGATCTCGTGCATATTGGGTGATGGAACAAAGTCTGCGTCAGTCATGAGTACATATGCTGCTGGCGCGACCGAGATTGCCAAGTTGCGTAAGCGATTTATTGGGTATCGAAGTCGGTGTAATAAGCTTGCTTCGTCAGGCGCGTAGCTCGGTCTGACGATCGTGATCGTGACGTTCTCCCAGGCGGTCTTCTGCTCGTTCCGAAAGAATTCGACCAGATCGAGCTCGTCAGTCTGCTGAGTCAGATAGACTGAGATTGAAATGCTACCAGCCCATCGTGAGACAACAGAGACGCCGTATGCTTTCAAACGATCCATCGTCATGTGGCTGACTAGCGTGACGCGCGGCGCTTCGTATGTGGGCACGAGTGCAGGCATGACGAGCGTGTGGGACGCATGTGTATCTGTAGGTCCGTCAGTTTGGCGCAGGATGATCTGCACTACACTGACCCAGGTGCCGCAAGCTTAGAATACCTCGTAGTATTTCTCTTCTGAGCGTTCCTTTACTGGCCAGAGTGCAATGCTCGCCTTCGCACGCGCCGTGTCCAACGTCAATCGATGTCATTTCATGACCACTGAGCGTGAGTACAAAGCCAGCCTGAAGGTCTATGAACGTCATCGGTCCTTGTGTGTCCGTCCATAGCTGAACAACGGCAGCGGTCGCCTCTATACTTTGTACGCTCCCCGTAGCGTAGCGCAATATGGCAACATGCAGCGGCGCATTTTCGGGAAAGCGCGGTACAAGCTGGGCTGGCCGTTCGGTGCGGGATCTGATCAGAAGGCGCCAAAGCACGACTGCCGCAAGTAGAGGTACAAGCACGCGCGAGACTAGCCGTCGGACAGGTCTGCGTCGGACCGTCAGACCCGGCAAGCGCTGGGAGCACATCTTTGTGGATGCACATCAGTCACGAGCATTTCTGGCTGATCTTAGGTCTGCCATAGCTGAGATAGATCTCGTCACAAAGAGTTCGAGAAGAGCCTGACGCTTGACGTAACGCGCGCGCTCTTTCGATAGACAGCGCTCCAAACAGCCAGCCAGGTCTAGTGTCCAAGATCTGATGGCAACGCAAGCAAAAGCTCGTCCGTCTGACCAGGGTCAGTAGCATGAAAGGGCACCCCGAAACCAACGCTGATGAGCCTACCTGCAGAGCTCACGGCCGAGTACAACGCACGTCGAAGTGCCATACAGGCCCTCGTTGCCAAACTCAACGAGCTACAATCAGAAGGAGACGAGTACGCGTGCGTCTCGCTACAGATCTGTATGGCACAGATCTCAGACAGGCCTACAGTGCCGTGATTGACACGCTTACGGCGGCAAAGGCGAAAGATGCAGACCGTAAATGCTTTCGTATGATCCACGGCGTGCTCGTCGAGCGGACTGTCAAAGATGTCTTGCCCGCCCTCGAGACAAACTTCAGTGGGGTGCGCATGCCAATTTGCATCATGACACAGGCTCACGAGGATACAGATTCGAGAGATACTACAGAGTTTGGCAGCGCAGTACAAAAAGCAAGAAGAGGACTTTCAGCGATGGCAGAAGACGTACAATATCCGAGTCGTCAACTGAGTCGTCATGTACTGTACCATCATCGAGGAGCAATGCAGTGTGCACGCTCTTGCATGAACAGAGAGTCACGTTTTGGGGGGGCATTACACAAAATTGTCATCCGCGTCGAGATCCTCAATCGCATCTAGCTTGATAGACGGGGCCGCATGCGCATAGCCATTCCCTTCGTTAGAGTCTGCAAACGAGCCCAGCACTGCGCGAAGTCAGCGACGTTGTCAGTCGAATGAGAATAAGCTCACAGTCCGCTTGCTCGGCATAATTTGTCGCGCCGTAATCATATGTCGCATCATTATGAGCATCGTGGTTGAGGTCTAGCCCTGCGAAACGTTCATCGATAGCTTCGTGATGCACGCCGTTCGGCTCTGCATGCGGCTCGCCTGCAGTAAAGTCGATGAGCCCGTTTGTTGTTGCAGAAGAGTGCTGCTTGAGCTCTGCCTCTTTGGCTAAGCTCGCCTCCCAGCCCTCTTCGAATGCTTCTGGGTTCTCTGCTGGATCCGCGATCGCATCCGCCAAGCGTGTCTTTTTCTGCGCGAGCAGGCTAGCCTTCCACGCTTGCGTCGCATGTGGCACTTGACTACAGACATTTTCAGCAGATCAGCAAAAGGACATGATGACCTGCACATGTATGCATACCTCGGTGCAAACGTTCGAGCGAACAGAGATGCTTCTGCAGGTCGCTCTGTCGCAAGTAGCAGACTGACGCAGCCTACGGAATCGCCAAGCTGCAACCGAGACGCGAAAGCAATATTGGTCTGCCCTTTGCCTTCCGCCATCGTCGCAAGCTTCTCGAGACCTGCACTGTCGCCAACAGAAGTGTAGTAGAGTAGCAGAGCCGACAGATCTTTGGCGTTGACGAAGCACTCTTCGGCCAAATGAAACTTCCACGTCGCCAGAGCGCGATCACCGATCGTCCGCCATTTCGCTTCTGAACCCACACTTGGGCTAGAGCGTGCGATGCTGAGAGCGCGCTCGAGGTCGTCTAGCTGTACAGAGAGCTCAAATTGATGGTCGGGATCAGTAGAGACTTCCAGTGCAAGCTCCTTAAGATCTGCAAAGGCGGCCCGATCAGCGGGCTTGCGAGACGTTGAGGGCTACCGACCTTGTGCTTCGAGGAAACGAGCAATACGGTTTCGTTCGTGAGAGGGAATAGAAGGTAACAATTCGTTCGCAGCAGCTTCGTCGCCGCGAAGAATGGCGGTTTGATATTCTATGACGGCGAGCGAGAGACTGTAGGACATGATATTCACGTCTTTGTCGCATAGATACAGCCGATTGTGGCCAGGAAGATAACCCAGTAAGAACATTTGCCTGCATACCGATTAGCATGATCAAATTACACCGGCAGGTCACGCACTGGTCGAAATGAGATATAGTATGAGATTGCGAGCCGACGAGATAGTTGAGACGATTAGCACCGGTTGTGTAGACGAAGCAGTCGCCAATCCATTGGCCTGTGCGGACCACGTCTGCTACCTCGGCGGTCAATTCAAAAGCAGCCTCAACACCATCGTCTGCAGAGGGCGCGCCACTCTCGACGTGGTCAATGTAAGCAGTGCGGTCATAGCGAAGCACGAAGATCGATTCGTCGCCCGCGATCGCGACGTAGTTGCCCGTAGTTGACCATAAGATCTGCTGGGCATCGACCTCTATCCGCCTGACAAGATTCCCATTATCCCAGTCATAAAAGTCGACGAAACCTGATCCCTTGACGCTGAGCAGAGCACCGCCGTAAACCCCAGAGGCAGTGTATCCAATGGTCACAAGACCTGGCCGCTCTTTGAAGTTACGAAAGACTTTAATCTTTGTGTTCGTCTCGCGAACGGCATAAGTGTTCGAATCATTCGCCCAAGCAAAGCCAAGAGCGCTGCCGTAGGACTTGTTGCGCCATGCAAGAGCAGTGTAGATGATGAACTCGCCGTCCCCGCAGACGGTTACGAAACGACCATTGGGACTGTGTTGCAGCGATTGGGCGTAGACCTCGGTGTTGCCTAGCTCTTTGACAGGCACTGCTAATCTCTGACCATCCTGAGCATCCTCGCCTTGGTTCTGAATATGTGCGATGAGGACTTCTGAGTTACGAGCATAGACTACTTTGCCGTTCGAGTCCATGCTGACCGAGGGCTCCTCGCGCCCCAGCTTGACGACGACAGCGCCCTCGTCAAAGCCGAACGCGACATCATTGCGCTTCTTGCCATACGCAACACACCAAGCGCGCTCGAGACCGTAATTGAGTGTATTCTCGAGCCGATAAGTAGCAGCATGCCAGATCTTCACCGTGCCGTCTTCTGATCCCGAAATGATGATAGGTAGCGAGGGATGGAAGATGGCGAAGCTGACGTTCGAGGTGTGACCCTCTAAGGTCTGGATGCAAGATTTTGAGTGGTAGTCCCATATTTTGACGAGTCTGTCGTCTCCCGTCGTCACCAGATACGGCTTGTCTCCGCCATGGTAGTATTCCACATAGTTGACGCCCTTGTCATGCGCATCGAGGGTGAAGTTGGCCATAGGCGCGCCGAGGGACCAGACTTTGACGGTGCGGTCGAGGCAAGCGGATGCGAACGTGTTTGAATCTTTCGGATTGAAGGCGATATTCATGATGTAATGAGTGTGACCCTCAAACATCTGTCAATCGAATCAAAATGGTCAGCAATAGACAGCATTGATAGCAATGGTGACCCCACCTGGACGCATTTCCAGTTCTTTTCCCAGTCCCACAGCTTGATGGTCATATCATCGCTGCCTGTAAGAACAAGACTCTGTGTGGGATGCACGGCCAAGCATCTGAAGCGATGTCAGTGAGCACAAGCATGCGGTAAGACGCGACTGACCTGATATAATCCGGATGCGCCTCGAATGCTGCAATCTTTTCCTGCGTATTGTAGTTGAAGATCCGGAGATGGAAGTCGTCAGAGCCGCAGATAAACCTGCGGGCAGCTTGCTTGAGCTTGCATACAAGCACCAGCGCGCGTGAGGCGTACCAGTTCTTGCGAGTGATAAAGCGAACACATCGTACGGGCACTTCTGTGACCTCGAATGTCTTGACGAGCGCCTGTAGAGCCGCGTACGCTCAGCACGTCTACGATGGCAGAACGAGCACGACGTACGCCTGTGTCCGTGTTCCAGATGACAACCCTGCCCGTGTAGAGACCAGCTATGACCCAAGGCTCCGTCGGGTGAAAGTCGATTGCTATTGCGCGCTCCTGCATCAGTACTTGCCCTCCGAACTCGCCAATGGACACGGACATTTGACACGCTCTGAGCGGACGAGCGCCTTGCGCTGCGGGCATGAGCTAGCATGAGCGATTGGCAAGGCATAGATAGGTGACGACGGACCGTGACTTCTAGCAGCATAGGCTGTTTGCAAGTGGAGTAAGTAGCAGTGTGAGATGATCGTGCGATGGAATCTCACCATAGCTGAGTTTGGCCGAGTCTATAGGGCCTTTTGGCCGTTGCGAGGTGAGCCGGCGCTGAGAGCGCGGTATGCAACCTTGACTTTGTCTGTCGGACGAGGCGCGATCTGCAGCCGGTCGGATGCGATGACTCTTTCCTCCTTCCTAGCCCTTCATGAGCCTGATCGCCTACGAATGCCTGCAGTCTGACCGAGGCTCCCTTGCAAGGACTTGTTCGCGGCGCGCCAGGCAAACGCCACGTCGACAATTTCGAGCGCGCCAGTCCTCGGCGCCTGACAAGTCGGTCGGCTTGCTGCTACCTTCATTGGGCCGGATTGGCTTGTTCGGAGGATGTCAACCTCAAAGGCAACGTCACGGACGGCAGAGTTCAAGTCTTGCGTCGAGACGATCAGGCTGAGATCGGCTCACTTGCCATCCGAGCACAAGCAGCGGTTGTTGCCCTCTGGCAGCTCACAGCCAGCGCAACGGACAGAATTCGCACGACAGGCTGCTCAGATCGGCAAAGACATCCAGTCGACGACCGCAAAATTGGGCAAATTAGCTCAACGTACGTTGTTGGCCCTTGAGCAACGAAAGCGCTGACGGCGAACGAACATAATGCAGTGGCCAAGAGGAAGACATTGTTCGATGACAGGCCTGTCGAGATCTCAGAGCTGACGTACATCATCAAGCAAGACATCAACAATCTCAATGCGCAGATTGCAAAGCTGCAGCTCGTTGTTCGGTCCGGTCAGGCTCAAGCTGGCGGGAGCGGCAAAGGCTCGAAACAGGTCGAAGAACATAACAACAACGTCGTCATGATGCTACAGGGAACCTTGGCAAAGACGAGTATGAATTTCAAGGATGTCTTAGAAGTCCGCACTCAGGTATTTCCAGCGCTCGACACGCGCCGCCTAGTATTGACGAGAGCTTCGAGCAGAACATGAAGGCAACAAAGTCACGGACGGAGCAATTCGGGTACTCTACACAGCCAGGACCTTCCGCAGGCCCTGCATCAGGTCAGCACTCGCTCTGTCAGGTCGGCAAAGGCGCTCACTGACGTGGAAAGTTCTCCGTGCTCGCTCCACTGCTGCTTCTACACCGCCTTCTCGTCCAGATTCTCCCCTCTATGCACAAGCGGGAACCGGCACAGCGATAGCGGCACGAAGCGCCACGCCGCTCGGCATGACATCTGCGACGGGCGGATTTGGCGCCCAGGAGAAAGGCAAGGCGAAAGCCGACGGCTCTGCAGATTTCTTAGCGCTCGACATGGGTGGGGGGCCGAGCCAGCAAGGACAGAGTGCAGATGGGCAATACATGCAGATGGAGATGATGGAGCAACAAGTACGCCATCTGGATCAATCCGTATCGGATCATTGATAGGGAGCCGCAGGACAATTACCTCGGGCAGCGCTCGACGGCGATAGAGTCAATAGAGTCCACCATCGCCGAATTAGGGTCCATCTTCTCACAGCTGGCGACAATGGTAGCGCAGCAGGGCGAGACTGTGCAGAGGATAGATGCGGATACGCACGATATCGCGACAAATGTCCAGGGCGCGCAAAGGGAGCTGCTCAAGTATCTCTCATCTGTGCAGTCGAACAGGGTAAGCCTCAATTTGCGTTGCTGGCGTCTATGTGCTGACAGATGGCAAAGTGGCTCATGCTCAAAGTCTTTGGACTCTTGACAGTCTTCTTTCTCATCTTTGTATTGGTCACTTAGACATGCATTACGGGCGTCGTACCGCGCAGAACGCGTAGCGCTTCTTCAGCAATCCGCTGTCAATTGATATTGAAATATCATCGGATTACGCACATCGTCGCCCTGTCTGTCTGAGCGGTCTGCAAGCCATGGCGCCTTCCGCGGATCACGATGTGTCTGAATCGACAAGGCTGTTACCAGACGCTACCACGTATGCTCAGGAAGACGATTTGTGGGTCGCCAGCTCAACTTTGCGCATTTGGAGCAGCTTAGTCATTCTCCTTGCAGATCGCTTGCGGATGCAGTCAAGCGCAATGCTCCAGTACGAGTACGGCTCCTCTCGCTAGATCTACTCAGGGGACTATTGATCGTCCTCATGGCCATCGATCACGCTTCGCTCTTTCTGGGCAACTGGGCGCACGGCGGTGAAACTTATTCCAATCGAGTGACAGAATGGCCGACACCGTTACATTACACATTGAGGACTCTCACACATGCTTGTGCTCCCGGTTTCGTTCTCCTGCTGGGGATAGGCAACGTCTACTTCCTAAAATCACGACTCAGATTACAATGGAAATCGCCGAGACTCATTCGGCACTTCGTCCTGCGGGGCTTTCTGCTTCTCTTTGCAAATCAAGCTCTGACAATTGGCCAGCTGGTCGCTACACGCTTCCAGGTAGTCATGTTTACAACGCCTCTCTGGATGCTTGGCTGGGTCTATGCGCTGTCCGGCATCATTCTGCTCGCCTTGACGCAAAGTGAGGATGCGCTCGCGGCTCGTACAAAGATGACTTTGCGAGGCTGTCAATGGATCGGAGACACATTCCTTGCAGCATCCATCGTTGCTCTACAAGCGATGACTGTTCTCCTTTGCCCCAGTCCAGACATCGCCGTCGGAGATCGATCCTTTTGGTTCTACGCGCTGTTCCAGCCTGTGCCTGCTACATCCGGAGGGGACTGGAGCAAGCTGGCTATCTATCGCTGCGTACTGTTCTACTCGCCAATTGGGTGGCTGTCCTTTGCCCTTTTGGGCCTGCTGTACGGCCGCTGGCTCAGCCGGAAAACGCGCACCGAGTCTTCCATCCTGGCTGTCAACATTGTAAGTCCGAAAATTCATTAGGCAACCTAGCTGATCTCCTGCAGGCTCTCGGCGTCGTTCTTTTCGCGCTGTTCGTTTCGACGCGAGTACTTCGCTGGGGCAATACAAGCGACGGGTTGCTACCTTCTCAGCAAACCCAAACTACTCATCTGCCGTCAGATCACAATCCGTACTACACTTCTGTATTCAGCTTTCTTTACAGCATCAAATATTCGCCAGATGTCGCATACTCATCTCTCTGGATCGGCGTCAATTTCCTGCTCATGGCAGCGTTGTCCCTGATACCCGCCAAAGTAGCAGAGCGGCTGCCGTTAATCGTCTTTGGCCGGACGTCCTTTTTCTTCTTCATTGCGCATATGCTCGTCTTCAGTTACGTGTCGCCAGCGATATGGTCATTCTTGCAACAACCGGTGCGGGGAGGTGCAGGCAAAGTCGCCATCATGTACTTTGGCGGCCTGTTCGGACTCTACTTTGCGTGCAGGTCATATCTCAGGTGAGTCCTGCACGTATCATTCGTCCCATGCTAATGTTTATGAGCTCAGATTCAAGGACAAGACCGGTGCAGACAGTCTTTGGAGATTCTTCTGAGTATGTGTATGCATGTATACTCGCCGCAAGCATCGCCGTTGCTGCCAATGAGCGCGCGCAGTTGAGGGCGCTGGCATCCGCGGCGCGTCGTTCCTTTTTATCGCGCTTTCGACGCGTCGTCGACCAGATCAGCTCTCGGCCAAAGCCAAAGGGAGAACAGTGCGATCGAGAAGCAGACACCTCGCTGAGATCTGACAAGTCGGCCGGGCTGATCCTTCACGGTGACTGGCAAGTCAGACGTGCTGAAAGCCTGCAGCATAGTCGCTGGCGCGCCGCCTTTGTCACGCCTATTGTTCTTTGTAGCGCATCACGGGACGCCACACTTGCATTGATCGCATTCGCACACGCACACGCCCGCACGGCTCGCTACAGCCGGTCTCTTCGCTGAGAATCGTCACGCACGGACCTGTCGACGTTCCATCTCGTCTGCCAGGCGACAACTCTGCACGCTCGAAGCTGAGCCAGCAGGCAGTCAGGCACATCTGACCGAAAAACACACACTCCTTCTATTCCTATATACCATCACTCAATCAGACTGCGATCATGTTCACGCGGATCGTCGTCATCGCTCTGGCAGCTAGCCACGTGGCCCTTTGTTTCGCTAGCTCACTGGATGGCACACGAGCCGACAGTAATCTACAAAGGCGAGTTCATGGCGATGAGCATGACTTGATCCGTCAGCGAGCTCGTCAGCGTCGTCATCGCGTCAACGCCTTTGGCCGTGCGCTTGCGAAGCAAAGGCGTAGTGACCCTCTTCAACAGGACAAACGTAGCCAGCCAGAGATGATCAAACTACAAAAGCGTCAAGGCTTTCCTGACATTGCGGGCATACTCGGCGGCGGCGGTGGCGCGACGACGACGGCGACAGCACAGCCGACGTCCACAGGCAGTTCCGCGAGTCCGACGAGTACCAGCAGTCACGGTGGCTTCTTCGGCGGCATCGATTCTGCCCTGAGCAGTTTCTTTGCCGACTCAACGACCTCGACTGCTTCGCAGACCGTGCCAGCGTCGAGCTCATCGTCATCGTCATCGACCTCGAGCTTGCCGACGACAAGCTCGTCCGTCAGCTCATCGTCTGTCACGACAAGCACGACTAGTCTGGTCACCAGTAGCTCGTCATCCAGCCGGCTAACGCGCACGAGCACCTCTACGCTTGCTTCGTCCACCACAAGCAACTCGCTGTCCATCATCTCGTCCTCGGCAAGTGCGACTGCAACGAGCTCGCCGGACTCGTCAAGCTCGTCATCTCATGCCGGGGTTGGCAAGAAGGCGATCATCATCATTGCAAGCATCGCAGGCAGTATAGCCCTTATCTACATCATTTGGACGTAAGCAAAGCTTAGCTACAAGGCCTGCTTCAAAGCTCACTTTGCAGCAGTATTATTCGCAAGCTCAAGTTCAAGCCGAGCAAGAGGTTCGAAGACCGATACAACTCTGTCGATTTCGGACCGAGTAACACAATTGATCACCGCTCGGACTCTGATCACAGCCAAGATCTTGACGAAAAGGTGCGTCATCTTTCCTCCGCCCTAAGGTAGACTGATGCTTTGACGATGCGCACAGCTCGCATATGGTGCGGGCGCAATACCTTCGTCGCGATCATTCAACAACCACAGTCATGGTGGCTCGATGGGAAGTCTACAGGCTCCCACTGGCCTTCGACAGCAGCACTCGCCACGAGAAGAGCTCAACGACATCCTGCCCTCTTTGCCGCCCACAGATCTCTCATCGCAAGCGGGCACGATCAAGCGCAAGTCGCCACCGTCATTCAATGACAATGTCAACATGTCTGCGCTCGGTCGTACCAATTCCGGACGATCTCTGATGTCCCAGACGCCTTCAATGGCACGCAATGACAACTACATGACCGGCGCACCACTCGCTTTGCCAGGCTCGCAGGATCATTATCAACGAGCGAGCTACCAACCTCAGGATGCCTACTATCAGCAGCAACCGTCTGCTGAGCAGTACTATCAATCCACACACTACGCGCAGCCCTACGCGAGCTACGGACAGCCACAGACGCACGCACAAGGACAGGCATACCCGAATTCGCAGATCCAAGGACAGGCCTACCCACAACAGCAGCAGAGACAGGATCTGCCGGATATCTATGGAGGCTACAACTGATCCCGACACTTCACGACATCCACGTCTCGCGTGCAAGCGAGCCGGCCTTCTTGCGCTTCAGACATTACGCAACTATTCGCATCCCACGCTGTGTGACTGAAAGTTATGTTTCCAATGTATTGCATGTGTAGAAGCTACAAAACACTTGACATTTCGTCCCCCTATTGCACACATCTTGACAGATCAGTGGTGGCGAGCTTCGTCTATGGCTGTGCAGGAAGCATCGCCTGAATGGGCTTGTAGAATACCGTGGTGACGTACTGCAAACGGAATACAAAGTCAGCATAGGAGCAGATGCTGACCCGAGCACGCCTGCCTTTCGTTTGTATCGCTTAGTGATGCCCACACATAGGAGACCCTGTTTGATGGGACTGGCTGCAAGATGATCGATGACGCTGTGATCCGGTTTAGGCAGGATCATCGGATCATCACCGCTGCCTTGAGGAACAAGCGCGGTCGAGTTGAGCACGCCTCGCTCGAGCTGTGCAGGTAACGCAGGTGGCTGCACGAGGGACGGCAAATATCGTTTGTTTATCCTCTCCCTCGCTTGCTCGGGCGTCTCGTCGGTGGGCTCGCCTTGCTGGCTGCTGAGATACTGTTCGATCGCGTCCTCCGCCGCATCCGAAGCCTCGCCGTATGCGATGAGCTCGGGTGGGATATCAGAGCACCAGATGTGCTCTTCTGGATCCTCCTCTTCTTCTGAATCATCCGTCGGCGCAGTGACGACGCGTGGAATACCACGCTGTCCAGACGGGTGTACCTGCCCAGCGGATCAGCTTGCGGCACGGGCCAGGCAAAGGTGTCCACTGACTTGAAGATAATTGATCAAATTGCCGTCTTGATCTGTCGCAGAGGGCAAATTCTTGCTCGTCTTCCATTGCTTGTCTACGATGAACTTGAGACGATGAGGTCCAGGCGGCAGCGATATGAGGGCAGAGAAGTCAGTTGCGTTCCTGTGAATCCTCGAAGATCAGCTTCGAAAGAAGAGCAGACGGGTGGCTACTTGCGATTTCTTGGAAAGTTCGATCTTAGTTTGCCATCGATTGGCAAATGTGCCGGTCACATAGACGCGTTCCGGTCCCTTCTTACTCGCGCCTTCGCCCGTGCCATCCGGGCCGCCTTCGCCTCCTATTCGGTTGCCGGGACGCCAAGTGAGTAGCGTGGGCACGCCTTCTGGACCTGCTCCGAGATCGACAGTAGCGTTCTTGACTGCTTCTGCCGCAGCAGGATTGGCGAGATTGGTGAGCGCAGCGATGGGCGCCGCCGCCGTCATGACGTTGGGCGGTAAGATGGGAATGGGCGAGACAAGCGTAGACTCTTCGGGCGAGATGGCATTGACCATTGCATTCTGATCAAGCCCGGCTAAGCCGGTAAGTTGATCGAGTGTTTGATGCTGTGCGAGCGCCTCGCCTGCGTTGGCACTGTTGACGCGCGATCTCGTCTTTGGACTAGCGTCCAAGGGACGATCGCCTTGCTCATTTGCTGGCTTGCCTGAGCCGTCCTTGGCGAATGCAGATCCGACAAGTGGCAGCGCGATAGGCGGCGGCAAAGCGACGTTGGCAGGAAAGAGGGGCGCAACGATTGTATCTTGAGGCACTTGCAGAGGCGGCAGTTGGGTCATATTGAACGCATTGAGCTGGTTGGAATCGATCTCCGCAGAGACCTGGGGTGGAGAAAAGTGCTCGAGGTCGACAGGCTGGCTTTCTTCGTTGGACTCGTCGTAAGCAGACGCGATGGCTTTGGGCGTGCCCGACATGGGCGACAAGACAGCGTTACCCGAAGATGGATCCCGAGAAAGTGGCTGTGATGTCATGCCGGTCTCAAGGGAGTCTCTGCCATTCTCTGAGGAGCTGGCTGCTTGGCTTGGCGCCGATGCATCGTCAGACTCAGTCGATGGTCTCGATTGGCCATCGATGTACCGGTCGTATGTATAGCCAAGCGGAGGCGGCAAGAGGGAGCTAGTGGAAGAGGCGGCAGCGCCGAGCTCGTGATCGTTATGATGGACGAACGATGTCTGGGTCGAGGCTGTCGACTTTGCAAACTCGATCCCTGGCCCTGCCCGATTGGTGGGCGAGGTACCCTGTTGCTGTTGTGATACAGAGAGCGATGAGTCCGAGGGTGACCTGAAGCCCGACTGGGAGCTGCCCGGTCGGGGCTCGGGCAGATGACTGGGGGAGGAGGAATTGGGCGAGTTCTGATGCTGCGTGCCAATGATGTTGCTGCTCGCTGCACTGGCCGCGCTAGCGGTCCTCTCTCTCGTCCCGCTCCCACTCGAACGCTTCTGTGAGAGTGACCTTCGCCAGCGCGAGGGGCCAGGTTCGCTGCTGGTCTGAAGATCGCTTTCGTCATCGAGAGCGCCCGCAGGCGCAGAGAGTGTTTGACCCATCGAAGCAGGGCCTGCGTTCCCGCGCTGATAGAATGCGTTCTGTATCCTCCTCGAGGCAGATTCGCCGGTCGGTGACAGCGATGACGCAGAAGGCCCGAGTAGAGCCGGGTCGAGGTCGGGCAAGGCGATCGATTTTCGGCGTCCGTCTTGAGTGAGCGCTTTGACTCTGCTTTGCCCGCTAGCGCTGCTCCCGCTACTCAACCCTGTCAGACGAGACGACTGACGATGAGGGCGATTGAGAGAGGTGATCGTGTGAGTCGAGCTCGTCGAGGAGGAAGGATTGCGGTCCAGAGGGGGTCGCTCCTCGCTCGTCCTCCTCCGAGTTTGGACCCTCTCGTCCTCGTCTTCTTCCTCCTGGGTCGAAAGACTGCTGTTGCTGTTGTTGCTGTGCTGGCTCCGTCGGGAGGCCTGAGAAGGAGAATCGTGTCGTTGCCTGGCGCTGGACGAAGGGCTCCTTCTGCTTCGGCGCTCTGATCGCTGGTGAGTGAAGCCAGCCTGCTGTACTGGCGAAGTAGGACCTGCCGATGGCGGCGCAGACTGTTGCTGGCCCATGCTGAGCTATCGGTCGCCTTGGCAGCTGTCTCCTCGTCGACGTCGTAGTCCGAGCGCCTTTCAGCTGACCGCTCAGGTCGGGCGTACAGCTAAGCTCGCAGGATGGCAGGACGGGACAGGCGCTCGTTGCTGATCCGCTGCAGCTCTCTGCGAGTGATCTGGCTGAGCTGCGTCTGTTTCGTTGCCTTCTCTGAGGGGAACTCGTCAATTTCAGCGGAGCACCCAATCGACAATCACTCCCTCAACCTGACACCACCCTCGCTGCTCAGGACAGCAGCAGACAGCAGTCAGACTCGACGAGGGTGGCACTTGCTCCTGTTCGGCATCGACCGCCAAGTGAGCTGAGGCTCCGTCGAGTCAGACTTTGCAAGGTCAGGCACGAATGGCACCCAAAGCACTCAACGTCAAGCGGCTCTCGCTCAACCCGGAAGCGTTCAGATCTCCCACGACAGCCACGGCAGAAGAGACGGAGCACAGAGAAGCATGGGGCGCCGATGAGCCTCTCTTCCAGCCCGGCGGCTCGCCAACTCGTCTGGATGCATTCGACGAATCTGATGAAGCCACCTGTGCACCCGTGTCGCTCTCCGTGGTCAGAAGGAGACCGGTCGATCTACCCTCGGGCATCTACTCGCTCGTCGGTGTCGCCAATCGTTGCGACTCTGTAGAGATATCGCCCTGTTTGGTCAAGGCAGCCTACAACAAATCCTGGACCATTGAGCCGACTTCTGCAGACTCCTTGCTCGAACAATCGCAGCAGATCGTACCGCTCTTCTACACGCTAGCAGACACTCGGCAGCCCATCGGCTTCCTGAGGCAAAACGTCATAGATGCCCTCAGAAAGGACAGTGTCAACGTCACGCGCTACCACGGACTGCAATGCTGGGAATGGCTCTTCTCAGACAGTGCGACGCCCACGCTAGATAGCACGCCTTCGACAGACCTGCTCGCTGTCGGCTTGTCACCCGCTTTGCGCGAACAAGGCAAAGACGAGATCACAGCCCAGTTCGATCGCATCATCCGCAACTGGAAAGAATCGCGCACATTCCTAGACGAGCTCAGCGGCTGGCGAGACGAACGATACGCGATCTACGGTCCAAAGGCCATCTCCCAACCTACTTCTGCCGTCTGTCATCTGCCCGGCGGCAATATCATCTTTGAGATCGAGCGTGCGGCATGCTCGCTCTTTGGATTTGCGACCTTTGGCGTCCATCTGACGGCTTATCACCAAGATCCTGGAACGGGTGGTCTCGTTGTTTGGGTCGCCAAACGATCTCCTGACAAGCAGACGTGTGTATCTACCTCGCCTCTCGGTACAACAAGCTGACGTACTCTGTAGCTGGCCAGGAGCGCTCGATAACACAGTAGCGGGGGGCATTACTGCTTCTGATTCGCCTTTCGAATCGATCCTACGCGAATGCTCAGAAGAAGCCTCACTTTCGCCCGCCTTTGTCCGCCAACGTATCCGATCTGCAGGCATACTCAGCTACACCTACTTCAATGCAGGTGGCTGGCTCCAACCCGAACTACAGTATATCTACGATTTGCCTCTGGATGCACCAAAAGGCGACCTGACCCCTGGTCTGTGGCCGCAGACGAATGCCGACGATGGCGAAGTGGCTCAGTTCGAATGTCTTCCGGTACAAGAACTCATCCCCAAGTTGCTCGCTGGCGAGTTCAAACCGAATTGCGCTCTCGTACTGCTCGATTTCCTCATCCGACATGGCTACGTGACTGCAGAGAGCGATGTCGAATTCATTGCGCTCTGCACACGCTTGCGCAAGCAGCCTGTCTTACCTTGCCCGTAAGACAGGCGTCTGTCTCTGCTGGTGGGGCTGTATAGATACCATGTGCAATGTTCCTTGTTGTCGCTAATCATGCATTTCTGATGACGCAACGCGCTCTCCTGTCGATCCTATCCGGCAGTCCTACACGCAAGCAGGACCGCACATCAGGCGCGAAGCAGCTTCCCATGGCACTGCCAGGCCTGAGTCAGATAGACAATGCCAAGCTTGCGCTCAATCTCAAGACGTTGCGGCGTCACGACCCGAGCATTATCGAAATACTCGACTCGTCAAGCTATGTTGTGCTGTATCGACATGCAGACGGTGCTTGGGTACTCCAGTCCATAGAACTAGCCATTCCATCTGGGCTCATGACGTGCGAACGCAGACCAAGACGGGCGTGGAGGGCACTCTGTTCCTCTTTCGCAGGTCAGCAGAGCAAGGCTTTCGTCACGCTGCACTCGAGCTGATGCCCCATCAACGCTGCTTCAGACGGTCCACGCCACTCTACGGCTTCTTCGTTCTCAATCGAAACGGCGTGGACAATGTGAGCGAGAGCCTGGACGACGAAGAATCAATAGAAACGACCCCCCAATTCATCATTGTGCAATCCTCAAAGACGGGTATGCAGCTTGTGCTCTCTCTCTCTGTTGCATTCTGCTCATGTCGGTACAGATGCGGTACATGGAATCTGGGTCTTCGAGCCGGAGCATAGGGAGAGGATAGGCCAGCGAATGCTCGAGTGCGCTACCCGAGAGACGCGCCCGACAACAGGGCTGAGCTCTCTCCTGACAGACTAGCAAGAAGCTCGGCCGCAGAACCACAGCAATCAGCATCGAAAGCGACAGGGCAGACGATCAGTCTCAATGCCCTCTTTGGTACTCTGCCGGACAGTCAGCCTGAGAAAGCGGAGAGCATACAGTCGAGGAATGCGCCAGATGCGTCGAAGCTGCCTACGGGTCTATCGCTTCTCGACACCATGTTCCAGAGTGCTGCCAAGCCATCTGCGCCCGCTCAGCCCGATCTACAAGCAGACAGTCGTGCACTGATGGCTCTGTTGGGTGCTGCACCCGCTCCGTCAGCGCCATCGATCTCCCCTGGTCAACCAGTAAAGCCAGCACGACGTCACGTCAGCAATGGGCATGCGAGACCTCCCTCGGTGCCCAACAATCAGCGTCCGACGGAGAAGCCAACGGTAGCGCCTCGACAGTCGAAAGCAAGCACGAGCGCGGAGCTTGTGCAGTCTGTCGTGCAACAACATGCTGACAAGGACTCGCTCACAAGCGGCCCTGTACTCCCCAAAAAGGAGTACATCCAAGCTCTGCTCAGCCTGATCTATGTGTGCCCCCGTCGATCACTGGGAAATTGCTTGCTGCTGACGTGCGTCATGCAGACCGAGCCGAGCTTTACGGACGAGCTGTACTCACGCTATGTCGATTGGCGCAAGACAGCGTGATGGTTCTCTTGTTGTACTGCACGCACTGTCCTGCCAGCTCATGTCTTGCCGGGTGTCGAGGCGTCTGTCGTCGGAGCCGATTGGCCTGCCATCGTCTTTGGCGCAGCATCGACATCTTGCAGACCGAAATTCTCCCATTCGTCTCGTTCCATGAGACCACTGTCCACACTGTTCATCAAAGTGGAGTGTGCTGAGCGATGGTAGACTGACTGCTCCATGCGACAGTTGAGATAGCTCTTTGAGAGATGTCGGCACTTTGAGTTCTCATTCTTGTGCGTCTTGAGGCACTTGAGGTACTCTTTCATGAACACCTTGCATTCTCCTGCACCATCCAAAGCACGAGATCAGCCGGATGTATCGGTACTGCTCCGGTAGATGCTTGCCATCGTGATCGAGAGGAAACGAACCACGCTCTGTTACAGGCAGTCAGACTCCTTCGCCGTGGCCCCGGTGGGGGGTCATCGTACCCGGTGGAGAGACAGTGAGAGCAGCAAGGGTTGATCCTGGTCGGCCGAACGACATTTCACGTCTGCAGCAGAATCAAGGCTGAAGGTCGAGCTCGGAACGCGTCACATGGCGGAGCAGCAGCCGGCTTGCCACCTTGCATGTATCATGATGGAGTCCCAGACAGACGGCCGAGGCAGCATCACAGGATGGTACAATGGTACAGAGCGAACGACTAAATGTAAGCTTTCGAGCTTTGTCAGCAAGCTCTACGAAATCGGCTTTGGCTTTGAGGTAAGGTGGTTCCGGGCTTCCCAGTGGGGTTCCGCACGAGACGTCGACGTCTTCTTCTGGAATAGGGCAAGGTAGACATGACAGCAGCTTTGGTTCGGTGTGATGGGAACCTCTCTTGAGGAGAGTCACACAGAGGGTATAATCGGACTAGTTCGACAGACAGGTGACAGTGGCGCGGCTTGCGTACTTATTTGGTTCAGATTGCGTTGGAGAGAGGTAGGAAGCGGCTACTGGTACCGGCTGTCGAGTTGGAGCTTTGGTTGGCGCCTCCTGTGGCGTTACGTGCCAGAGAAGGAGGCGAGATGGGTCCGATCGGATTGAGTCCGCTGTCATTCGACGAATCGTGCGATGATCCCTATTTGTTCTTGACGACGATAGGCACTGCACGCATCCCATCACGTCAGCGCAATGCCTGTGCGAGCATCCGAGGCTGACGTGCCTACGATGACGATGATGAGGATGATGAGGCCAGCGCCTATGAGCAATCTCATCTTCATGTCTTTCCACCACATTGCCTTTCTCACGCGATTCGCGCCTCTCCTGAATCCTTGCGCACTGACGGCCAAGTTATCTGTCGTCGTGCGCGGCAAGTCAGTCGTCGCTAGGACTGAAGCCAGCACGCGGCTGACCTGTTTTGTCTTGGAGAGAATCGAGTCTCTCGCCTCGCTCGTTGACCTTGGTGATGTTCTCTCTCATGATGTTGACAGTATCATCAATCTGGCCTTGGATCTCTGCCGTCTTGCTGTTGGGCGCTTTCGATCCGGTCGGTTTGCTCGCACCCCCGGGCTGAGCGCCTGGGATGTAAGGATCATAAGGCTGTCCGGACGACCTGTGCGCATGACGACCGGTCAGCGAGGGATCTCACGAGCACGCGATTGTGTGATTGGGTCGTGTCGCTGGCATCGTTGGCACAGTGGAGACGAGGTTGCGGAAAAGGGCTGTCGTTGGTAGATGTTCCTATTGCGAGATGTCGAGATGTCGCGACAGGACCGAGGCCTGGCGTCACTCACATGATGGCTGTCGCTGTCTAGGCTTGCGCTACGCTGCACTCGACTGGCTCGACTCCCGCTCTGTCCCGTGTGAGACAACTCGTCGCGGATGCTGTGAAAGTCAGTCGACGAGAGAGCGCGTCAGCCAAAACGCCGGTGCCCAAGCTCGAGCTCCAGCAAGATGGCGACAACAGCGACGGATCAGCCGCGGCGACCGGTCGTCACGCGTACGATGAGCACAAAGGGCGCAGACGGGCGACAGAGGCCTAAGCTTCCGCCGCCGAGCAATGTCTTCAACAACTGGTGGTTCACCTAGTCAGCTGCCCTTCTGCTCGCTTGATCTCTCCATGTCCAGTGCGGCTCATCTATCGCTTGTCCTTCAGCTGACGCTGCATCCATGCTCTCAGCACAGGAGGTTTCTCGTTCTCCATGTATGAGCCATGGGAGATGATTTCTTTTCGTACGTCAGTCAGTGCCTGCTCAGCACCCTCGCTGAACTGCCGAACAGACATCTTCGTCATACTCCTGTTCGGACTGCTCACTTACGCTACCGTTGCATATCTGCCAAGTCATATTCGCGTGAGTCGAGCAAAGACAAGCGCGTTTGTGCTCAGGCGCTAATCTACCGCTCGCAGGTCATATCACAGCGTGCCATGTACTACCTCTACGGCGAAGGTCAGGGAATAGTGTCAATCTGATGCAGCACACAATGTTGTACCAAAAGAAACGCCCGCGTTGTCCTGTACACAACAAGCAATTTACACAGATACGTAGATCTGACTTTACTGCTGCTGCTGCTGCTGTTTCTGCTGCTATACTAGCTGTATTCGCCTTTCTCGGGCTGTTGCTGCTATATCTGCTATATCTCCTGCTAATCAACATATTACCAACCTCAATGTCGAAGGACCGGGCGAAGCATAGGGCGCCCGTGCATTCGCACTGGTTGACTGAGCATGCTTGCGTCGGGGCGCCACCACGATGGTGACCGCACGCCCACGAAGAGGCGCCACAATCTTGCGATGGCGCATCATCTCAAATTCGAGCGTGAGCATGCGCAAGTGACTCGAATTGGCCAGAAATCGGACTATCGGTTGCTCGTCCGGTACGGGTTCCGCATCATCGGCTATCAGCTCGATCTCGCTGATCTCGCTCACGATATCGTGAACTGATGGGGGAGGGGGTATGCATGCTATCGCACTGGATGTCGGCTGCACGCCTGATGGTCTCGGCTTGGCCAGTGGCAAAATCGCTTTCTGGGGTGCAGAGGGCGAAAAGGCAAACGTCTGGAGCTGCACAGAGCTGCTCGCTACTTCGCCGTTGCTCGATGTGCCTTTCAGGAGGGACAGTCTGGGCCAAGGGAGCTCGCCAGGCGAAGTCGGCCGGGGATGCTCATCGACACCCTCGCTTTCATCTAGGTCTTGTGCAAATTTGTGCCAGTCGGCGTGTTGCACGGGTGCAGATGAAAGCATATTAGGCACCGAGCGTATCGAGTTGATCGAACGCGTCAGGAGCGAGCTACTGCTGTTAGCAGCACTCTTCTCATTCGTCCGCTTGCTTTCGACGAGTGATTGTCGCCGGGGGAATATACTTTTCTCTGAGGGTATACGTTGCACATCTGGCTCTGCTTTGCTGGTGAAGCCCTTACCGGCAAAGAGCTGTAAGAAGCGCCGCCCATTGCTGGTACGGCGCTTTGGCTGTGCTGGTCTGGTCGGCGACGGCTGCCTGACTTGCTCCCTCGAGTCTCTCTCGCGTCTTCGAGCATGCAGAGGCGAGACTCTCGGGTCGATGGTGATCTTTTCGGTCACGGTAGACGTGCGGCGCTTCGGCGGGCTCATGCAGGCATGTTGGCTGGGATGAGACCGCATGAAACCCTGATCTTGCGTGCTCCTGAACGCAATCTGCCATCGAGATGCAGAGGACGAAGCAGGAGCGGCCACGTCGAGCCAGGACATGCTTCCCAGTAGTTCTTCGTCAAAGCTCGCATCTGTGTCCGTGGAGACCTCCGAAGTACGACTCGTCTGCCGACTGTCAAAGCGTGAGTGTGAAGCCGACGCGCTTGCGGGTTGACATTGATACTGGTAGCAAGCTGACGGGTGACCATCCTCTAGCAGCGTCGACTCTTCTTCCTCCTCGGTCGCTGGCGAGCAAGGCTCATCGTCGGCAACGGACGATCTCTCGCTGTTAGACGAGAACATCGAATCGTCGGACAGTCCAGATTGACTGGATAGAAAACTGTTCGCCATGGCGCCCGTCGCGTTGACTGGTTCGCTCGAGGTCCACGATGCCGAGCCATAATCATGGGCGAGCTCGGGCTGTACCGGCGCGCCCTTGAGCTCGGCCTTACCATCCCCTGTCAGGCGGAGTATATAGGACTCGAAAGCCGATCGCATCTGTGTGCACAGGTGGTTAGCCGGTTATTTGGACATGCAGGCATGTGCACTGACCTCGTCTCGGTTTTGCGTTCACGCTAGCATCATTGTGCGTGTCCGAGACTGCTCGAACTCGAGCGAGTGGGCAGTCGACAAGTCGCGTGTCGTCTAGACTCGGCCAAGCTACACGATAAGGTCGTCTGACCCGATGTTGCGACAAAGGCGTCGACTTGCAAGCGGCGATGCAGACTTTCTGCCGGATGATGACAGCTCAAGGCCTGGGCGAGCCAATAGTCACAATCACCGACAGAGTGGGCAGTCGTTGATTCGATACTGGTCAATTCAATCGGATACTACCGATGCGCGCTTAGTCGAATGACATGTGGTCACTGTCGATCGCCGAGCGGATGATCGGAAATATGAAATTCCAGTGGGCGCGAAATTCTTCTCTTCCAATTCGCCAGCAGGCCTTCACCTTGTTGTCTTGTTGTTCTTGTGGCTGCGTCCTTCTCCATCTCCTTCTTGTTATCTCTCACTCATGCGCTGCTGTGTCGCGACCGCGTTTCGTCAACCACTCTTGATCTCGTCTCCCGTCTGATCGAGTGCTACCTCCTCCTTCTGAGCCTGTCGCTAGCGACCATCTTGTTTCTGGTGTCAGCGCACAGCTCTTATAACATCAAAGAAGCGGAAAGCGATGCCTTCAGTCGTGTCACTTCTCGCACTGAGCACACTCTCGCTCTCGATCTGCGCACAAAAGTTATGGCTGATGGGTGATTCTCTGACGGCTGTGTCAACGCGAGGATGGGGCACCAATATCGGCGCTCTGCTCGACATTCCAGTCGACAACCAAGCCGTGCCGGTGCGGACCTTCTCAGACCAGCTCGAGACGAAGCTCACTGTGCTCCAAGGGTTCCTCGTATCACACAACGACCGATAACGGTCTGTTCGACGAGATTGCCTCGCGAGTTCAGCCTGGAGATTTCGTCAGCCTCGAGTTTGGTCGCAACGACTTTAGCAACACGACAGAGCACCATGGCGATTGTGATGCCGCGGGCACATGCGGTCAGGTTGAGACTTATCACGAATACGCTATCAAGACGATCAAGCTCTTTCAGCAGGCAAAGGCCCAGGTGATCATTTCGGGACCTTTGCCCATGAACCTCTGGAACAATCCGGCCGGCGTCTTTGACTTTCAACACAGTCTCTTTACTGCACGTGCAAAGGCAGCGGCTTACGAGACTGGCGCATACTTTGTCGACCACGAAGCAGCCGCCGCGGCTCTGCAGAAGGTGCTCGGAGAGGCTGGCACAAGGCTCAACTGGATTGGCGATAATATCCACCTGACAGATAGAGGCAGTATCAACGTTGCGGGAGCATACGCAAGAGCCGTCATCTGTGCCGACGCGCCCCTCATGCTTCACATCAAGACGGACCGATCGAAGCTTCCGAGATACTGCAGCCCAGACCAAGTGCCTGCTCAGACCAGTCGGGCGGGCAAACGAGCCAGATTCTACTAGAGTTGCGAGATGCATGTTGCGAGATTACGATGCTGGGACATCTGTGACCTCTTCGAGGACCCAGAGGCCGTAGGTCTTTTGTGTCGTCTGCCATAGACGGATCGTGCCATCTTCGCTGCCAGAGGCGTAGAGCTGGCCGTCTGGTGAAAAGTCGATGCAATGCACGCCGCCGTGGTGACCTTTGAACCAGTGCAGACAGTCGGCCGATTCGTTGCGAGAATGTATGCGCACAGCAGAGTCTTGCGTCGAGCCGGTCAGGAAGATGTCTGGACTGTTGGGATGGAACGCAGCGCACGACGGCGCATAATCGAGCTTGTAAGTGGCAACAAAGGTGCGCGAGCTCAAGTCGAACAGCGAAACGTTACTGGCGTGCGTCGTAGACAGTATGGTCTCGCTGCCTGTCGTCTGTAAAGACGATATCGGATCTGGTATACCTGTCCTCGCGGTGGAAGGCGCCTCGATAGTTGCGATACATGCCTGACTGCTGATATCCCAAATTCTTATCTTGGCATCTTCGCCCGCTGTAATGATCTCGCCGCGCGCGTCATGCCAGATGGTAGACCGTACGACGCCGTCGTGAGCTCGACCTTTGCCTTTGACGTCCTGCGCGACGAGTATGGTACATTCTGGCCGCGCAGTCTCATCGCCGTTGCTGATTGACGCGCTAGCGAGATTGAACAAGCGCAGCTTGCCTTCATGTCCGCCTGTGATGACATGATCTCCTACAGGTGAGATATCTACCGCCTTGACGATATGTTCGTGAGCGAGCGTGAATTCTGCTGCGCCGGTGCGAGCGTTCCAGACAATGGCAGAAAAATCGGCGCTGCCCGTCACTGCACGGCTCGCATCTCTATTGAGCTTGCCCGACCACCTGTACAGTCATCTTTAGCTCTCGCTCGGCCAGGAGTGCACATGCGCCGACTGACACTGCACCCGTATGGCCGACAAATGAGCCCACCCAGTCGCCAGATTTGCCCGCTCTGAGCAGAGGTACCTTGTCCTTGCATGTACTGATCAGGAAGTAGCTGCCGTCTGGCTGTAATGGGGAAAATGCAAGCGAAGTGAGGGGTCGGGTGTGGCCCATGCACACCAGACTGTCATCAGCTCGTTAGCGTGCGCCGTCGCCCTGATGGGCAGCTGCTCACGGGGTGGACTGCGAGGCACAATTCAGTCACTGCACTACTTCCGAGCAAGATGGCTTACACCTGGTGTGCTGGCTGGCTTTGCGCTCGCCATGGCGAGGAGTCGAGTTGCACAAGATAACGCAACAACGACGCGCCGTTCTGCGCGCGATCCGCAAGATGTCCTCAGTGCACAAAGCTCAACTAGCTTACATCGCGAGACCCTGCATTGTACAGCTTGAGCTCTATGATGCATGCATAGTGCAATTCGCTCGACTTGCTCGGCGCGGCCATGCATATAAGGCTCTGCCTTTTTGCCAGCCCATTCACAATCTGACGCATCTGCGTCCTCTGAGTCGTCCTCGAAGGTCGAAGGACCAGTCATCAGCTGACAGAGCAGTCAATTTCGTCTCCATCAGCGAGTGATGACAAACTGCTCCTTCTTTGCCGAAATCGCATACTTCGATACCGCCGCGATGCTGTACGGTCACTCCCTACCAAGACATGTAATGATGCTATCTTGCCTCCTGAACGAAGCTGAACTCGTTCAGATCACCGACTCCCTCCACCACACCAGTCTGAACGACGATGCGGCGCAGACGGGGCCATTCGCCAGCCAACAGAACCTCGATCGTGCACGCAATGTCTTCGCATCTTACAAGTTCATGTGTATGCTTGTCCGGCGCGAAGACTGCACGGCGGCCACGCTTGACCGCTCCTGATGATTTCTCGGTGCGAGTGGCCGGAGATCCGTTTCAGTCACCCTAATATGGCCAATGTGGAGACCTTCCCAGGATTGTGCATGATACGCCAGGATGTGCTGCATGCCCGAGTCGCGTATACTACCGAGCAACTGCATGGAATGCAACTTAGACTTCCAGCGCGCATATCGCAAGGCTGTGTAGACATCGTCTGGAGTCTGCTGTCATGGACAGACCGAGACGCCGCAAGCCCGTATGACGGCTCACTGCGTGCATGAGTAAAGTCATCGCTTTGTCGGCTGCCTGGCTCCATTGTGACGGGAGAACGAGCTCGCCCAATGCTCATGAGCTCACTGCAAGCTCGAAGCTGCTCTGTCTTGGAGCCGCATCGAACGTCCACTCCGAAGCCCATCACGGAACCGCACATGTTGGAAGACTGAATGGACGGGTCAGTCAATAGCTTTGTGGACGAATTGCATGAGCGGATATGCAGGCGGCTGTAAGCTGAGTGTCTCCACGCTTGTCAGAGAGCGCGAGACGTCTGAATCACCGCCCGCAACCTTTCGGTAATGTGTAAGCGGGTCTCGCGTCGCTGGGAGCTGCCAAGGCCGACTTCTATGGCATGTAGATTTCGCCAAGCTGATATTGCGCAAAGTCTTCTCGGTCTGTAGGACTTGTACAAGAAGCAAGCTAGCGCCGACCATCGGCAGAAGACCCTCTGACGGTTACGTGGCCTTTACAAGCTGCCCGTCTGCGCGACGAGTAATGATGTGGAGGCAAAGAGAGCCTTCATGCATTTGCCGCGAATGGCTTGATTGAGGCTGCACAAGTGCTCGATATCATACGAGCTTGAAGTTGTGACGAGACTGGAGCCGTCGTTACAAGTTATGCTCTCAACAGGGCGATTGCAGGCTCAGTCTCTCCGCAATGCGATGGGAGCTTGACGTTGCAGTGGGAGCCTGCTGGGACTGCGGGCGGTCGAGAAACGCTGACGGATGAAGCAATACTCATCTCTCGATCCTCCGCTCGTGCCGAGTCGGTTGTACTCGGTGGCCTTGCCAGCATGCCAGCACTTTTGCGCTGTGTGATCAGAGCCCTTACAGATTGTGCACTTCGATCTCTCCGGCCGAGCAGTCGCGGCAGTCTCGTTCGTGGCCATCGAGGCCATAAGAAGGGCTGCTCTTGATGATCTCTGGACGCTTTACAAAGGCTAGACAGGGAAGAGGATAGCTGACTTTTGGCTAGACAGAACGCAAGAAACGCGTCGAGAGAACAATTCGAACAGAGGACGGGCGGCGTGCGGCCTGGGCCTGTCACAGATGCGCTTCACAAGGACCTGCAGTGTCGTGCCCCGACTAGCACACAGGTTCAGTCTCACTGTACAGACTCGTACAATAGCCTCCGTCAGCTACAAGGACCCCGTCAGCGCGACACGTGGCCTCATCGAATTACCTACTCTATCAACCTCACGCTTCTTGCGAACGACAAAGGAAGATGCACTAGCAACACCTGGCATCATCTTCCGTGATGATACAGAGGATGCACGAGCGCGTAGAGTCGCGCCTGATGGCTCAGAGATCCTCGACGACGGCATGCTTTCTTCGACCCTGACGACAGCCTCAACTTCAGATGAGGGCCGTCAAGTGAAGAAGATGAACCTCTTCCAGGCGGTCAGGGACGCGCAGAATATCATGCTCAGCAAGGATGAGACCTCGATCATACTGGGAGAGGACATCGCTTTCGGCGGCGTGTTTCGTACTACGCAAGGACTCGCAGAGGACCACGGTACTGATCGGGTCTTCAACACGCCATTGACCGAGCAGGGCATAGCTGGCTTTGCTGTCGGCCTCGCTGTGATGGGTCAAACGACTGTTGCAGAGATACAATTTGCAGACTACATCTTCCCTGCTTTCGATCAGCTCGTCAATGAAGCAGCAAAGTATCGATATCGCTCCGGGAACGAGTTCAACGTTGGCAAGATGACTATCCGTGCTCGCAAGTTGCCACGTCCTGTACACAGATTGTACCTAACAGTCACGCAGCCTGCATGGCGGTCGGTCATGGCGCCTTGTACCACTCACAATCGCCCGAAGCATACTTTCAGCAAGCTTCGGGCTTGACGGTTGTCATACCCCGCTCACCAATACAAGCCAAAGGTCTCCTGCTCGCTTCTATACGTGATCCGAATCCTATCATCTTTCTCGAACCAAAAGTGCTCTATCGAGCGAGCGCAGAGCTCGTACCCACGGACGACTTTGAATTGCCGCTCCGTCAGGCAGAGATACTACAGGAGGGACAAGACCTTACCATCGTCAGTTGGGGCACACCCCTATACGAGATCGAAAAGGCACTGCTCCTGCTCCAAGAGCCGGAGCGACTTGGCAAGGACTTGGCCGGTAATGTACCTCGAAACACCAGGAACATTTCCATCGAGCTCATCGACGCGCGTACTGTCATGCCACTGGACTTTGAGACCATCGTAGAGAGCGTCAACAAGACGGGGTCAGCTTTCTGTCCGATCTTCTCTGTGCTGTGCTGATCCTGAGATAGCCGTCTCATCATCGTTCACGAAGCGCCTCGCACCGGCGGTATAGCAGGCGAGATCGCTGCAGAGATACAACAGCGATGCTTCTCGCGGCTCGAAGCTCCCATCTTGCGACTCACCGGTTGGGACACGCCTTTTCCGCTCGCGTTCGAGAAGTATTACCTGCCAGATGCGATTCGTATCCTGGATGGCATCATCCGTACGATGACATACTGATCGTGATTGATCAGTCAGTCTGATGTATGTAGTGACGTGTTGTTGAATCCATGTGAGCATTTGCGAATGTCGGGTCGCGCTCGACACGGCATTCTAGATAGAGCACGCGAGCACGGACGGAGACCAATATGGCGTCGCCAGCAGGCTCGCCGGCGCTCAGCACGCCCCTGTTACAAGATCCAGAAGAGGTCCAACCCAACATGGCACCGCACAGGAGCACGACACCGGATCGCTACGCCGACGGGCCCATGTCAGTGCTGTCGTGTCACGTACTCTCCCTTGCTCACACATGCCTCGGACACTGTGCAGACCATCTCGGTCGCAATACTACATGACGAGGCAAGAGTTTGTGCGGGGTGTAGCCAACAGATTCGTCTTCAGCCAGCTCTACATCTATCTTTATTTGTCAATGGCCGTCTTGTCGTGAGCCTCCTGATCTCAGCGCATGACTGTACTGAGAAATGAAAGGCTCCCAGACTGACGACCGTGGTGCTCAGTCTAGTGTCAGACTGTCCCGGCTTGGCGTTCTACATCCTCGAGATCGTCGTCAATACTGCAATGATCCTCGAGGTCGTCATACGCCTCGTCGCGTTTGGCAAGGTCTGTGAGCTGCACACTCATCCCACAGACGGCTGACAAAGGCCATCGCAGCAATTCTGGAAGTCGCACTTCAACACGCTCGATCTCGTCATCACCATCTTCTGTACCGTCACCGTCGTCGTCGTCTTTCTCTCAGGCTGCTCGGCCAAAGGCGAGGAAATCTTCGATACCCTACTGCTCGTCGCACGGAATACGATTCAGTTCGGCCGTCTAGCCATCGTCATGAGAAGGTGCTTCTCTTGTCGTGTCGGCTCTTCCAGATGAGCTGATGCTGCAGTCGACTCCAGGTCCGGCAAATCTATCTTCTCACGCGTACCCGCGATAGATCTACAAGCAGCCCGGGATGCACGCTACCAGCTCGACATGGACCTCGAAGATGGCAAGTCAGCTACTTGAGATTCTGAGCGAGCTTACGCCTGCGTTCAGAGGAAGCGCAGCTATCGGACCGAATGGCAAGCGGTGGCGATTCGACTGCGCGTAGCAAGAGGAAAGCGCAAAATGGGCAGGCTTTCATGATTGACAGCGACGAAGAAGGCGGGGACTAGTCAGAGGTTGCCCATTGCTTTTTGACAGTGTTGTTTGTTGTACTCATCAGGGATTCGCACACAAATGGATGGTAAAAATGAAATCTGGTAAACGAGCAAAACATCTTCTACCTCGTCAGAGAATGACAAGTAGCTACCAAGGTCGGAGCAGGAACGTCATGAAGTGGCAAAGTCGCTTGCGCTTATCTCTTCTCTCATCCTTGTTCCATGCCAGAGAGGCCTCTCTTGTCTTCTCTTCAGAGGTCTCACCTCTAGATTAGCCTCACGACGCCTCTGTCTTTGCAGCCTCTGCCTCCGCCGGTGCCGCAGCTTCCGGCTCAGCCTTGGCTGCGGTCTTCTCATTTGCTGCGGTCAACTCCACACCATCAGCCTCGGTCGAGCAGAAAAGGGGACTGCATCGCACCATCGGCCATATCAGAGGTCCAGAGCGTCAGATTGTCCCTGAGCAGCTGCATGATCAGTGTCGAGTCCTTGTAGCTCTCCTCGCTCAGCGTGTCGAGCTCGGCGATCGCGTCATCGAATGCTTGTTTTGCGAGCTGGCAAGCCTTGTCGGGTGAGTTGAGAATCTCGTAGTAGAAGACCGAAAAGTTGAGTGCGAGACCGAGTCGGATGGGATGTGTTGAAGGCAGCTCGACGTTGGCAATGGATGAGGCAGCCTTGTAAGCTTCGAGTGCAGACTCTGACGCGGTCGAGCGCTTCTCCCCTGATGAGAATTCGGCGAGGTAGCGGTGATAGTCACCCTTCCTGTGCAGAGTTACGAGAGCGTCAGTGTCGCCATCTGTGAGATCGCGAGGCCACTTGCATCTTGTGGTAGAAGACCTTGCTCTCGCCACTTTCGGCCGACTTGATGAGATGTTGGTCCAGCACGGAGAGGATGTCTTCGCAGATGCCTTCGAGCTCCTTCTCGATCTTTGAGCGATAGTCCTTGATCGCGCTGACCCAGGGAGATGAATTGGGCGACTTGGCCTGCGAAACGAGCATGATCCGTCAGTACGAGGCCATCGATGCATTGAGACTACCTTACCTCTTCCTTGGCCTCGATGCTGCTGACAATTCTCCAGCTAGCACGACGAGCTCCCTGTTGGGCATTGTCAGCCCATGAAGCTCGCGTGTGCTCAGACAGCCGAGACGTACGACGACGTTCTTGTAGGACACACTGAGCAGATTACGCTCTTCGATTGTGAGCTCTTGGTTGAGCTTGGCCACATCCTTCATGCTGGTGACCATCTCATCGTATCTCTCAGCCTGCTCGGCCAACTGCAGGCAAGATAGCATGGATCAGCTCTGCAGGTGCAGCTCGGCAAGCTCGTCCGAGGACGTGTGGCCAGCGTGCAGCGTGCGGCAAGAGAGGCTCACCTTGGCCATGTAAACGCTATCCTCGCGAGACGTCATCTTGGCGGAACTGATGCTTGCTTGATGGCTGTTCTCGTGCGAGACACGCCGCCAATTGGGCGATGGGGCAGGCGTCGCGAGCGATGGGCACCATAGCAGCGTGCCACGGGCGACCAAAATGTCACACATTGGGCCGCATCGAGTGACGATGGTATGCAGACGCCATCAGAACGCGCGTATAGGTTGACGAAGCGCATTCGGTGAGTAGTAGGTAGGTAGATGGGCGGTACAATCGCAACACGTCAAACAAGAGGTGTCAGCGCCCAACGAGATCGTCAGAGCAAGTCATAGCATCGTCCGAGAGGTCGTGTAGCGGGAACGTTGCGTGGCGAGCGTCGCACGACGATGATGAGCGTTGCCAAAGCGGCAGACGACAGAGATGGGCGAGGTAGCGGAGCGCGACAAAATGTGCACAAACAGGTGATTTGTCCGTGTAATGAGCATCAAGCGATGATCCACACGTCAGCATATGCTCTCGTTGCGCACACAGAAGCTTGACCTACCGTTCGCAGATGCGATGTCTGTCTCTCTCGCAGCCTTTGCCTCGACGAGGCGCGACGAGCTGCATGTGATTCAAAAACTCTGGATTCATCTGATCGTGAGCGCGAGGCATAGCAATTTCACAATTGGTGTACAACATCGTTGCTCTGCGTTTTCTGCGAGAGGAACGGGTGATGCAGAGCGGCGTGCGCCGTCACCCGCCTTGTACAATCGAGCGTCAAGCACTGAGCCATGAGGTCGACAGCTTGGTAGAGTGGATTTGTCGCGTCATAGACTGCTGACTCCGGCGGGCCTTGCATCGCAGCCACATAGACATCCGGACAGAGTGCCTTGACGAGAGCATGCAAATCTTTATGCGCTGGCGCCTCGTTGGGTATATTTGTGATGAAGCGTCGATCTGCGTGTAGATGTTAGCTCGACAGCTCTCAGAAGAAAGCGTGACATACTATGAAGCTCAGCGCACTTCTCCATGCGACGGCGTCCCACAAGAGTGACGATCTCCATGAGCGCTTCGATATCATCGTTTGAGTTGAAGAACGGAAAGCGTCGGGTTAGGAACGACAGCAGAATTACGCCGACCGACCAGACATCGATAGCTGCGGGTGTCATTAGCCGAGCGACTGAGCAAGCGAAATTGACGTACAGACGGTCTGGTCAGGACACTTGAGGAGAACTTCGGGTGCTCTGAAGCCACGCGTGCCCGCTCGGTTGGCTTTTGCGGCAGGTCTGAGCAGTCTGGGATGAGCTGCGAGTAATGGTAGTTGATCGAAGGCCTTACCTGTTGTCACGATCAGGCTTGAGGTAGCCAACTCTCGTTAACGATTTGGGTGCTGGGTATGCGTTCTGAAGGTTTTCGAGAAAGCCCTTGTGCTCCTGATGAAGCTTCAAAACCGTTTCCAGTTCATTGTCCTTTTGTGCGTCCGGAAACCAGGGCATCTTGCCTGTTTTGTCGCTCAATTCCCATTCTGATTTTTGCTCTCTGACCTGGGACCACAGAGATTTCTGCTGCTCGAGCCTGTGACCGTGAAGCTCGTTGTGCGAAGGCAGAGAATGCAAGCAGCGTCCGTTCCATTCGAAAGGATCGAAGACTTCTGCCAGACCAAAGTCGCACAATGTGCCTTGCTCTGTGTGGATGTTGAATAGAAAGTTGGCAGGCTTGATGTCGCGATGGAGAATCTTGCGGGAATGGCAGTCTGCTAGCGCACGGAAAAGACACAGAGTGTAGCTCCTGATGGTATCAAGCGACGCGGTGCGATAGTAATGTCGAAAGTCTTGGTGACGTTCGTAAGGCATCACAATCAGAACTTGGTCCTCATTTCGAAAGGCGGTGATCAAGAAAGCAGTATTGCGTGCTTTCCTTAACATGGCCATGATCTCCATCTCGTTCAAGATCCTAATGGGGCTGCTGGTCACGTAGATCTTCTTGATGGCAACGAAGATCGGCTTCCTTGGTGGAACGTACACAGACGCCCGTGCTGACACTTTACGATAGGAACGGTATGCAGCTTCGTCTGCGATGTGAGGCGCAGGATCTAGTTCTTGCCAGGGACGATTGTCGAATATGTGAGCTTGGAGATCGTGGGCTTTGTAGACCGAGGAGAAAGTGCCTTCGCCCAGCCTATCGACGATCTTGTAGTCTCGAGCGAGGACAGGCACAGACAACTCGAGTCGTTCGCATTCTGCTCTGACAGCAGCTAGCTCTTCTTCCGTCCGAGAGTCTTCGCTCGATACATCGATTGGATCCACAGACGATTCTGCCAACTCGTCCGATTCTTCGAATTTGTCTGTAGACGGCTTTCTACAGTGCGATGGAGGATCATCGGGGTCCCCATCCTCAGGAGTGTCTACAATGGGTGCTGCCTCGGCGCTAACATGGATGTCAGGCACGGCGTCGTCCTCGTCTTCTCGTGGCTGGCTAGGCGCGAGACTTGACAGCTCTTCGGGTGCTACGAATGCCGCCAGGAAGGATAATTTAGCGAGCAGCTCTATCATGTGAGCCGACTTGAATTTGTCGACAATCTCTTCATCACCGGCGAGATACTTATTTTCCTCATCGAACCAACACAGATCGCAAAGGCAAAAGTTCGGCAGGATTGCGGATTGCGGCCAGTCTAGGTCACACTGGTCAATGCCAGCATGAAACATTGGTGCCCTCGCGGGAGTTCTACCCATCTCGTCCAGATCCGCGATGTCTACGCGACATGCTTGTAGGTCTTGGGTCCAGGTCTCTTCGGTCAGGCGCGCGATGAGCGGCATGCTGGGCAATTGTTCCCGCGACAGGTCGGCAATCCCTGTGCAGAGTGATGTGATGCAAACGATGAGCCTCTTTCTTTCCTCTCGACGCGAGTCGATTCTATCGTCATCAATGTCTCGCATGAGATCACGCGCTCTTTGCAGGGGCTCGCTGACCCAAGCGTGGTATGCTCTACGGTATTCGTCTTCATCGATCGCTTTATTCGGGCTGCTTGAGCGCGATCCTAGGGTAGTCGGCAACCTACGCACCAGGTAATTTGGCATCGAGCTCGGTGGTAACAGCGACTGCAACTGTCTCTCTGACCGCATTCGGCCCTGCGCAGTCGGTGGCTCGCTCGCTGATGGCGTTTGCCGAGCTCGTCTTGCCGTTCGTCGCAGCTTGAGTGGTCGCTGCGCGCTTGCGGTTCTGATCAATGGGTTGTAAGACGGCTGGTTCCGTTCGTGTCCTTTCTCGTGTCACCGGCGCGGCATCGACCTGCCGCGCTCGTTTTGTAGGCTCTTCTGCAGCGTCCAGTCTTCGCGATGTCTTCGAGGTCGTTCGTTCCCGCTTCCGGCTCGCCATGGGGTGCTAGACGGTCGGGCCAGAGCGCGCAATTGGGCAACAAAGCAAAACTCGTCGCGTAACGATCGACCCGACTTTTGAAGTCACGAGACAGGCAGCCGTGCCGCCTCAGATGTCGCTCAACTGGGCCATGCTCACTCCCGACGGACGACAGCCTGTCCCTCTGCCAGGCATGCATCGACAGACTTTCCAATGCGCATGCGCTGACCTGGCAGTCTGACTGCAGGCGAGAGCTTCGTCATCAGTCTAGACTCGTACGTGGTCCACGACCTCAGTGGCCCCCAGGGCTCTGATAACAGGACGTTAGCATCGATGTAAGCATTCAGGCCGCTTCTGCCGATCGCACGGTAGCAGCGCCTGAATCGCGGGAGATGAGAGCAAGGGGCAGGCTATGGCTCAGTCCACGTCGAGTCGTCTTTGTAGCTTCTTCAGGCAACGCATCGACTTCGAGCGAGCTCCGATCGTTCTCTGTACCACTGACCAAGCTCCACGACATGCGGTATGTTCAGCCTTACTTCAGCGCCAATCGTATGGACGCCTGCGTGGTGCCAGTGCCCGGCGGCGGTCTCAGTGTTCGTCGAGAGTCTCGTCGATCTGTGCATGATCACTGAGGCATGCCAATGTCAGACACCACAGTTGCTCAAGATCATCTTCAGCGGATCGCCCGGCTTCAAATTCTATGAGCTTTTGCAAGACGCGAAATCGAGAGCAAGCGCTGGAAATTCGAATGCAGAAGGAGAAGCCCTGCGTAAGTCACATCCCTCCCTGCGTGTGTCTCTCTACAGACTGACGGACGCCCTACAGCCCTGTACGAGCCGCCTAACCCTCCAGCTGCGATCGTGCAGCCAGATGGTGCAGCAACGCATGCACCCGAGACAGAGAGACCAACGGAGACGGCCGAACAACCACCACACGATGGTCTGCCGCCGCCTGCGTATGATATCTAGCCGATCACGAGCCCGTCTCACGAGATGACTGTAATATGTTGCACATTCGATCTGCATTGTAGACTCAGTCTTGCGCGCGGATGCGAGGGCGCTGCTTGACTACCATCGTATTGCCTCCCGGGCCAGGTCGTCTCGTTCTGAATCCTTTGGTCAAGATACCCCAGGGCGTGCGTGGGTGCTTGTTGGACTTTGACTTGCCTCGTCCACCACCATGAGGATGGTCGACACTGTCAGATTGTCATGAGTTCATTTCCCGATCAACACAGAGTGAGAGACGAACGAGTTCATGGCGACCCCTCTGACTTTGGGTCGCCAGCCTAGCCACCTCGCTCGACCTGCTTTGCCGAGCGATTTACCGATCTGGATCTTGTTGCTCACGACACCGACGACAGCGCAGCAGTCACTTCGGACTAATCTGACTTCGCCGCTCGCCATTTTGACTTGGGTGAAGCCATCTGGCTGAACCGCAATGACGGTCGCGCTCGCTCCCGCCGATCGAGCCAGTATGCCTGGACCATTCTGGCGTAAAGAGATGCTGTTGATCGCAAGACCGAGCGGGATGGCGTGCAAAGGCAGGAGATTGCCAGGCCGTAGCGCAGCTGCTCTCGCCATCGTCAGCGCGAGTGAGGGCGGTGCGACAGTCTGAGGAGCAGCGGGATCTGTAGGCAGAGTAGGCGCTCGGTTGTCATCGACAGAAGCGTCGAGTCCCTGTCGGTAGTTGCGTATGCTGTCCCCGACCTTGAGTTCTTCGGGCGCAAGGATGTAAGCCTTTTTGCCTTCTTTGCCCTCCTCGATGTATTCGACAAGGGCAATATGAGCAGTCCGACCTGGATCGTATTCTATCCTTCTGACGATCATCTCGCCCTGCTGGGATCGGTGGAAATCCAACAGTCTGATCCGTCTCTTGTGGCCTGCCCCTCGACCTCTGACTGTGATCCTGCCCGTGTTGTTCCGTCCGCCTGTACCTCTCTTGGGTATCGTGAGCGGTCGGTAGGGCTCGCCTTTCCAGAGGTGCTCATGCAAGGGCAATCTGACATGGCGAAGCGAGTTGATGAGCGGCAAAGGTCGCTTGAAGAGCGCATCTCCCCCCGCGGCCACCCGAGTCTTACTCTTCTTGCCTTGCCTACTGCTGCCCATCTTGCCTGGCACACGACCATAAGCATTGACGCCTGTTGATGCTTCTGATCCTGGACCGGTGCGCTTGATCCATACGGTGCCGTGTCGTTTGAACTCGATCACGGGCTGGCGAGACAAGCTGGCAGGCGTGAGATGTCGAGATGAGGAGGCGAGTGAGCCCAGACTCGTCTGCAGCGAGCCACGTAGGCTCTGCATCCTACCTCAAGCGGAAGCCACAGCTAGCTAGCGGCCTGCCTCTATCGATGACAGTCTCGCCCTGCACGCTCAAAATTCGAAGCAGCAAGCGCGACCGCATCGACTGACCCCTCGACTTCTCAGCAGATCCCAAGCCAAGCGAACGTCATCATGACAAGTCGCAGATGAATGCGCTGGCCTATACAGCATCTTCGAGTCCATCCCTCGGTCTGCCGGCACGTCATCACATTTCGAAAGGCGCATTGCAACTTGTCTTGCGTACCGCCGTTCGGCAGCCTCGGCGAGCGACAAAGATGACTCAATCTAGGCCCAGCACACCAGAGCTGGATCGCGAGAAATTGCTAGCGAAGATCCGAGACCTGGAAGCCCGCCTACGCGCTCTCGCACCCGCCAAAGAGCCCGAAATGCCTGTGCCGACACAAAGCGCAAGACCCAGCGGCAAGGCCAACAAGACGTTTGACTTTCGCCGATTTGCTCGTCGTAAAGTTGCCCTTCGATTTTGCTATGATGGCTGGGATTATTGCGGGCTGGCGAGTCAATCGACGCCTACGCCTTTACCAACCGTTGAGGACACGATTTTGGCTGCAATGCGTAAAGCCCGCTTGATACCCGCACAAGGTGACGCTCCCTCACTAGAGTCGCTCGGCTTCTCGAGATGCGGCAGAACGGATCGCGGTGTTTCCGCTGCCAATCAAGTCATTGCGCTGTATCTGCGCAGCCAGCTCAGCCTCGAACAGCTCAGGGAGGAATGCGGTGACGACGCCCGGATGAGCTACAATGAAGCCCTCAATCGCGATGCCGCACGACAGAGAGCGACTGTACCTGGCTCAGGCGCCATCACGCGCGTCGACTGCGGCCCTGCACCCCAACGTATGTACGACGAATTAGACTATGTCGGTATACTCAATCGCATCCTGCCTGCTTCGATACGAATACTGGGCTGGTCAGCAGTCGATGCCGAGTTCGATGGTCGCTTCGCCTGTCTATGGCGGCAGTACAAATACTTCTTCTCATTAAGCCCATTGGGCCTTGAGCTGGATCCGATGAGGGAAGCTGCTAGCAGGCTCGAGGGCGAACACGATTTCCGTCATATGTGCAAGATCGATGCAAGCAAGCAGATCACAAACTATAGACGGCTCGTGCTGTCGGCTACCATCGATCCAGTGGAGACCGGTCTCGGCAGAGACGCAAAAGGACAACAAGATCTATACGTCCTCAACTTGAAAGGAACCGCATTCTTGTACAATCAAGTGCGACATATGATGGCACTCCTCTTCCTCGTCGGCAGCAAGCGAGAATCACCCGACGTCATCGATGCACTCTTCAACGTGGCAACAGAAGCGGATCCCAAACTTGCTACTGGCGCATTGCTCGGCAAACCGGCGTACGAGATGGCAGACGATCTTCCTCTCGTTCTGTGGGATTGCGGCTATCCAGATGGGATGCTACACTGGGAATCAGATGGATCTGTCGCGTCGTCGAACGAGTCCAGGTTGGCGCTCAGCAGTACGCCTGCCGTTCTACATGCTGCTCTCACGCGCAACAGGATCAAAGCGACCTTGCAGCAGCATTTCCTGCTTGCGTCGGACAAAGACACGCCCGTGCTCGATGCGCGTGCCTCCATGGGCGCCTACCTCGATCATGGCGGCGGAAAGCTCAGCTCACAAGGTCAGTATGTGCCCTTGCTCAAACGTCCCCAGCTCTTGTCGCCTGAGGAGACCAATAGGAGATGGCTCCTCAACGAGCTCAGACGCTCACAGATTGCATCTGCCGTCGAGTGAGATCGTGAGATTGGTTCGGCGCGTCGCATCCGCGCGCGACTTATCCAGCGTTCCGACCGTTGAAGATTAGAACTCGCCACGAGAGCGCATTGGCTAGATAGACCTTCAGACCGCATTGCTACTGAGCACAGCAAGTCCGAGGCTGACTTTGACCGCTCTCGAAAGCTCGTCAAAGCGCTTGCTAGCACAGCGCACCGTCAGCGCCCACAGCCAGCCTATATCGTCTGCAACACCGTAGAGGTACGTATCAGGTGCACACATCCAGCTCTATGTCCGTGTCCTGCACTTCCTGTCGTCTGTTAGGACTGGACGCAGCCACAGTGACCGCTCAGGCCTCGCCTCGAACGGTCTTGTGGTCAAGTCAGCGACAAGCCGATCCCATTGCACCGGCAACCTCTTCCGGTCCGACCAATCTTGCGAGGAGCTTCGAGCTTCTACCGCCAGAGCGTCTCGAGCGACTGAGACTGCGGTCTGTGTCAGCTTGAGTGCAACGTCGCAAGTGGTGCTTTTCGTACTCCTCAGAGGAAACGACGCCCTTTACTCGACAAAAGGTTCCAACTCCCTATCCCCTCCACAATCCCCAGCGATCGTGCTTGTCGCTTTCCTGAGCATCGAGCTGATCGAGCCAGCCGCTTCCTGCTCGACAGCTCCAGCATGCAAGCTATCAAGACCGTCGTCGTGGGCGATGGTGCCGTCGGCAAGGTACGCAAGCTGCTGCAAGCGTTCGTATATGCTCATGGCAGTGCGCAGACATGTCTACTCATCAGTTACACGACCGTACGTTCTGCTTTGCTCAGTCCGACGCGCGCTGACGTTGTCCTTTCTACAGAATGCGTTCCCGGTACGCCCGCAAGCTCACACGAGATGTGAACCAGACTGACGTATGAAGGCAGGGCGAATACATTCCGACCGTCTTTGACAACTATTCGGCCAATGTCATGGTCGATGGCAAGCCAATCAATTTGGGCCTGTGGGATACGGCAGGTCAGGAGGATTACGATCGATTGCGACCACTTTCCTACCCGCAAACCGACGTCTTCCTCGTCTGCTTCAGTCTCGTCAGCCCGCCATCCTTTGAGAACGTCAGAACAAAGGTATGCATCCTCTCGTTGCGCGTAGTTCACTACCAATGACGCGTCCGATGCAGTGGTATCCCGAGATACAGCATCACGCGCCCAACGTGCCCATGATCCTTGTTGGCACGAAGCTCGATCTACGTGAAGATAGAGATACGATCGAGAAGCTGCGAGAGAGAAGACAGTCACCCATCGCCTATCCACAAGGCCTCTCGCTCGCAAAAGACATTGGCGCCGCACGGTGAGCCGACCTGCGTTCATATCGGGTGGGCCAAGCTGACAGACCGGTGCAGATACCTGGAGTGCTCTGCTCTGACGCAAAAGGGACTCAAGAACGTCTTTGATGAAGGCATCAGGGCTGTTCTTGCACCGCCTCGGCCAAAAGAGTCACGCAAGAAGAATGGCTGCGTGGTCTGCTAGACACGTTGGCCAGATTTCCGATTCACGATGACGACGATGACCGGCTCTTCCATTTTCATTCCGTTCGAACCCTTTTGTAGCATCATGCGAGCCGCGAGACCTAGACCATCAATGGATTTACATTGTCAACAGAGTGTGCTTGCTTGCTATACATTCGCGCGTGAGATGGCCTAGAAGCCATAGATGAGATACTTTGTCAAAGCGGCAATCATGATCGCTCCGGGAATACAGGAGCCCAGTAAGATGTTGGTGTCTTTGCTTGTCTTTGCTTCGATGGGTATAGATATCGGACCGTACGCCTCTGTCACCTTTGAGACACCTCGTTTGCCTTCTATGAAGCTACCCTTCGCATAGAAACGACCGAGAAGATGGTCTTTCTCTTGCCATCGACTGCGGACCCAATCATCAAAGATCTTTCGCTCTTCCGGCGTGGCGTGGTCTGCTTCTGTCAAGTCGTGACCGAGCGGTAGCTCGCTGGCCTTGAACGTCCGCACATGCATGTGAACTGCTGGGGGCGATTGTCCCGCTCCGAATATGCTCTGGAGCGAGTAATAGTCTTGTCCGTAGCTGCCAAATATTTCAGCGTGATGATCGTGTTATCGAAGCGGACTAGCTTACTCCCCCTCTGGGATACCTTCGTAGCCAATCGTGATATCGATGACGGAGAGACTCGGAACTTCTTTGGCAAGCGCTCGCAAACAGAAAAGCAAGCCGGTCGACCGTGGCAGGATCTGATGCTTCATATCGGCCTACAGGGAGAGTTCAGCGCGCGCCGTTTGTGTAGTCTTGAGACATACAATGCCGCTCTTGTCTGCGTATTTCTTGCTAATCGGTCTGGACAGTTGACTGACCAAATTGCCCTCTGGGACTGCAGCCGTGCCTCGATGTTCAGCTCTGCGTCGATCAGAAGGCGCATACGCACATATGAGGAGCGACAATGGCTCTGATGATTCCTGAGCCTTGGCAGCCATCTTGCCAATCTGTCGCTTGAGTACAGATTGATCCGCATCCCAGCTTCGGGAGAGGAAGATGAATTGAAACATTTGCATGGCCTGCTGTCGATGAGTCAGGCCTCTGATGAGCAGAAGCCGCTTACTGGTCCGACGATGGGGATCCATTTGAGTGATTTCTTGAGGATGATGACGATCGCGTTGTGAAGCTCGGCAAAGTAGAGCAGATTCCTATCGTAGCATCCACTGAATGAGTGGTCATGTGCTGGGACGCTTGGGCTGACCATATATATGACCAGTCGCAATAGACCTGATGGTTCGCGAGAATGACTGCGATCGACACTCAGCAAGCCTGTAGAGCACCGTCAGACTGCTTACTAGATCGTTCGGGCAGCGTCAGGTGAATGACTTTGCCCTTTGCGTCGCGCTTGACGATCGCCGACAGGTCGAGATCTTTGCCCTCGGACGTCAAGATGATCTTTGTGGCTGTTCTCTTTGTCAGCTTCGAGTTGTCCGGAGCAGACGGGTGAACTCACGGCCAAAGGTTTGCGAGATATAGATGAGCAACTGTGCGAACATTGTCTTGGTGTGCAAGATGCTCCGCCAGAAGATATGCTGTGTAGAGCCGAAGAACCAGAACGGACTCGGCAGGATCTGGAAGCCGACGTGGAGAAGTATCAAAGTTGAAGCGAAGAAGCCATTGAAGAGAAGAAAGCGAGCCTTGTCGGGCGCAGGACGGTCCGAGATCTTAGCTAATGCTTTTCTGGTCGTCCGACTGAGTGACTCGCCCGGACCGGGTCCCGCCGCTTCGAGTGAGTCGCCCTGGAGCTTCTCAGAGGCAGCCATGTTGTCTCTCTACGCACCTGGAAGCGCCCTCTGGTGCCGGGAAAGCGCTGATGACGCGGAGCTGAGCTGACGAGAGAGCAGAGAGGGAGACGCGCCGAGGAGCGAACAAGGACCGACTCGAGTGCGCCTTACTAGCCAGTATGGTCAGTGCTCCACACATCTTGCATACCGCACAGTCAACACAGCAACGTTGGTGCGCAGTCGGGCGAAGCATGGCTGTTCTTGTTTGCAGTCATCATGAGCGCCGTCCTGCTCTTTACGTCAGTCTTTTTCGTACGTCAAGCCAAGCTAGACCCGACCTGTCACTCATCTGATATCTCTGTGGCTTCATCAGATCATCATGTTCAGCGATCTCGAATGTAGGTCACACGTTCGTCAGGGAGGGTGGGAGCTGAGCAGCAGTCAACAGGCGATTATCTGAATCCCATTGATCTATGCAACAAGCTCAATCAAGTTTGCATCCCACGGCTTGCTACTCACTCGTGGAGCTAACCATAGACGGGTTTCGCCAGTTCGTCCTGCCGGAAATGATCGCGCATACGTTCTTAACGACCCTCTTTCTGCTGACATTCCAGCCCTTTGCGCTCCTACTCAACGCGCCACTCGTCGCTTACAATGCCAACAAGTTCGTCGTGCCTACATCATGCACACAATACGCTGATGGCAATCTGATTGGCGCAGAGTAATGAAAGGCCAGGCGAGCTACGACGCGACCGAGATTTTCAGGACGCTAGGCATGCACAAGAAGGAATGCTTCATCAAGCTCGGCTTCTACCTCTTGTGAGCTCTCTCATATCGCTACAGACGAGTCAGCCTTACGCCTCGGCGCAGATCATTCTTCTGGTATCTCTACAGAGTATGCCAGGATACTTCAGTCGCGTGTGGCAAAGTACTGAGACGGCTCATACGCGCAGATGATTCTAGCGTTGGTCAGCGAAGAGCAATAAGGGCACAGGGACGAACACACGATCGAGATTACACCTCATGCAATGCAGAGATGTCCAGCCGACATCTGTTAGAGCAAACCCAATGTATATCTTACAACCTATGCTGGGGTTCTACAAGCTTACAAAAAAATCTTCTACTGATCATGCTTGAAAGTTAAGCGTTCCTTGGTCTCTTACAGGATCGTTCTGTACATCTTGTCAGCAAAGAGCATGACCAGAGACAATGAGCTGACCAATCTGACCATGCGAACGGCATCTGAGGACTGCACAGTCCCCATACCTTGAGGCGAGATGAGGATGAATTGCGTTTCGTTGCAAGCGAGCGCATTGTCGGTGATCATCTTCATGCTGACGTTGCGGTTGGAGACATCCTGCACTAGCATCAGCACACACTGTCGATCGTTAGACAGGGCGCACTGACCATGAAGACGTCAAACTCGTCCAAGGCACGCAGGCTACTCGCCGCTGCATCCCATAGACTGAGCAAGAGGCAGATGGTCGAAAATGACTTTTCGCCACCAGAGAGCGAGCGAACGTCCTTGTCGCGTCGCTCGCCGTCGCCGACGTTTTCGGTCGAGATCTGCGCGACTGTGTCAGCAGTCGTCTACTGCGAGCCGCGCAGCGACTGACCCGCATGTGAAGCAGCTTCTCACGATGGTCCATGATCAGACTTCCTGAAAAGCCCCTCGCCACAAGATTGTCGAAAAATTTGACTCTAGCGCGTTCGGTAACGACTTCGATGATCTTCTCTAAGCGCTTGTTGCGACGTTCGTACGCTTGCGAAAGCGCCTGCTCGCAGGGTTAGTGTGCATCATGAAGCATCGCTACGCTCGACGGACCTTTAGCAATGTTTTGACTCCGGCGACACTGTTTAGGGCCGAAGTATAGGCAGCATCTGTTCTGTGAAGTTCCTCCTGACACTCTTCGATCGTCATGCCTCGCTTCTTATCTGCCGATTTGAGTTTGGCAGTCAAGGCGGTGATCTCAACTCGATATTGCTGTGCTGTCTTTGCTTGGTCTGGAAAGTGAAGCGTGTCGGGATCGCGCCATACCTCCTCTGCTTGCCGTATCTTGACCTATGGAGGGAGATTATCAGCTTCAGCGGTTTGACGCTGCAGATGACTGGCCTGTATAGCGTCCTCAACTTGCTGTCGTTGTTCGTTCAGCGCGTCTTTCTGGGTCATGGCCTTGGCAAGCTTGAGCTCGTAGTGCTCCCGGTCGACACGCGCCTTCTCTACTTGGAAAGCTGTAGCTGCGAAGAGGTCCTGCAGACGGCTTGATCGATCAGTCGAGAACGGCACGGCGTTGTCTACTTACAGCCGCTTCGGTCGCTTTAGCATCCAGTTCTCTGATCGTGCTCTCGGCCGCGTCTTTCGCAGCCTGGGCGGCATTCCCTCGTTGAGATGCGAGCTCTCTGCGTTCTTCCAGCAATGTGGCTTGCTCCAAGATTCGCGCATAATCGGCTTCAGCTCTCACTTTGGCCTCCATGAGGACCGCTGTATTGTCGGTGACTTCGGCAGTAGCGGTCTCTTGGCATTTTGCAATCTCGCCTTCGAAACGGATGATCTGGGTATCCAGGCTGGTCATACGCTTCCTCGAAGCATTCTTGTTCGTTGTCATTTGTGTGAGCTCCGCATCGTATCTATCATATGCAGCTTTGTGCTGAGCAACAGCGGCCGCTGCCTGCTCATGTGCTCCTTTCGCTCGGCGTACCAGGTCGGCAGCGCTCTTGTTGAGCCTGCCGCGAGGAGCAGCATCAAGAGGCGTCATCAGACTACCTCCGCGCAAGCCGCCAATCTTGTAGCCGTCTGAGCTGAAGCACGTCTGCATGCCTTGCTTCGGGTATCGCATGAGTTCGTCACCGACGCGCTTGTCGTCGACTAAGATCGCTTGCTCTGGCGAGACGGCGTTGACGAGCAGTTGTTCAGCGAACTCATCATCGAACCTTAGAAGGTCGTAGGCGCAGATAAAGCGTCCTGGCTGAGGTGCCGGCCGAGCGCGCAGGAATTGCTCTTTGAATGCAGCCGATTCCCGAGTTGTACGCAAGATGTTAGCACGGCAATTGAATTGTCGCAGGATCCTGGTAAGCTTGGTCTCGTCGTCTCTGTTCGTAACACCGTATGCTTCGAGATTGTTATCGAAGATCGTCTCGAGCAGATCCGTCCATTTAGGCTCGATGACCGAGACGTGAACTCCGAGTGGCCCGACAGGCTTTTGATGCCAGCTCGTGCTATTGATCGCATTCCTAACTTTTGCGGTGCTGCTGTCATACGCAGCTAAGGGATCGTTGCCCTGCCGAGAATACCGCATGACTTGCATCCGGGCGCGCTCAGCTTCCTCTTCGGCTGCTTGAAGTAAGTTCTTCGCTTCGTTGAACGCGGCGCTTGTGATGGCACTTTGCGATTCTGCTGCCATCCGGCTATTGATGATCGCTTGTTTCTCTTGTGCAGCAAGTCGCTTGTCCTGCTCGAGCTGCGCGATCTTATCGAGCGCTTGTCGCCTTCGCTGACCAGATTCATTCTCTTCTTGCTTGCGGATTTCCATTGCAATTTTCTTTTCGTAATGCGCCACCTGGTCCTTGGTCTGAGCAAGATCGCTTTTGACCTTACGACCCTCGTCACGAAGCTCAATGAGTTCTTTGCGCGTAGACAGGCAATTTGCTTTGCATTTCGCGTACTCTTGATGTGCTGGGTGATCCGGACCGTAGATTTCGGTCTGCTCACTACCGAGCTTGGTGACCTCGGCTTGCGTCCGGCGCTCCCTGTCGGAGCATTCTTCGATACGCTCGTGCAGGGTCTTGATGGTAATTTGGTGGCTCTCGATCTTTTCCTGCTGCTTGTGTAGGACATCTTGGTGATCCGTCACTTCCTGCCATGCCGCCAGGCCTCTAAGTTCTCCTAGCCTCTGCTGATCGACGGCGAGGTCTTCGATGCTCTTCATTCTGGCCCGCGCAGTAGTGCTTGCGTCCTTCAAGCCTTCGAGGGTCGCTTCTTTGGCCTTTCGGTAGCTTCTTGCATTCAGGATTGTTATAGCCAGCTCGGCATATTCCCTTTTGAGAGTCTCTATCTGGGTACCCTTGAGAAACCAGCTGTACTTTTGCTTGGGCGTCGAGGCGGACAGGAAAGACCTCGCCTCATCTTGCGTGAGGACGTTGAGCGGGTTGTCGATTCGCAGGCGTGCATGGTCGCAGATCTTATCGATATCCGCTTTGCTGGTGCTCAGGATCTTTGTGCTCAGCGTACCTCTGAGCTTGTAGCCGCCGCTACCGTCTGCGCGTAGACTGCGCTCGACAAAGATGGAATTGCCAAAGCGTTCAGGTTCGTAAGCCTCTGAACCTCGGTTCTTGATACGAACGATAATTCTGGCCGAAGTCGCGCCTTGACGGATGAAGTTCTTGGTGCTTGAACCGCGATTTGTGGCAGCTGCCTTACCGCCTAGTGCGAGAGTGATAGCCGTGAGGATGGCTGACTTGCCGGAGCCATTGTTGCCGACGATGAAGTTGCACTGAGGACCGAGTTTGACGGTCAAGAGCTTATGACACATGAAGTTTTCGAGGTCGATCTGCTCAATGATGCCACATTCTGCAATCTTGCCCAACTGAGTCGGTCTGTTTAGAATCGCGTCACGACGAGCATGCTGGGTCGCCTCTTGATCTTCGTCGACCGGCGGCGTGCCAGGCTCCACATATGCAGCCTCACTGTCCCCGTCTGCGTCGCTGTCCATGGGTGTCGGGGGCGCCAGATCGGATCCTGAGGAACTCGCGTCGTCTCCAGACGACAGCACTGGACCTCCAAAGACGTTCATCTCCTCTTTGGCCGTTTTGCGACGTTTCTGATTCGCGTCAGGTCAGCGTGCCAGCTAAGACTGGCGATGCAGCGTTCTCACCCCGTTGGACTGGATCGGAGCGTCCGCATCGTCCGGATCGTCTGGCGTAAAGCTCGAAGGACGCTTCACCATGTCGGCCAGGAGCTCGAAGCTTGGAGGCAGCGCTCGCGATTGCACCGATTGCAGTCGCGACGCGCTTTTTGCTGCCGCCGTAAGCACAAGCTTCCTATCGCTCAGAGAGCCCGAGCATCCGCGACAGAGCGGCTCATGAGCACCAGTGATGTAGCAGGACTACGAAGAGAGCTCGAGCGGCTCGGCAAGAGTCCCTATCCGGCCTGGATCACCAGCGGCGCGCGTTAGTCCAATCGGCTCTTTCCTGCCAAGAAAGGTGATCATAGGTCGATTGACAGTCTTTGTCGGCAACGGATTGACCCTCCTCAAACATCCTGGCCTGCCGCCATTCGTCCAGCTGAGCGGTTTCTGGCTCATCTTTGGTTTCTCGGGCTACGCCACGACGAAGGATTGGCAAAACGGCGCAGGCATCAGCACAGGTAGCGATGCATTTTGAATTCGGCATACAATGGCTGAACAGTTTGCAGCCTGGTCAATGTCCTATCTCTTCCTGAACGCAAAACGGGCTGTCAAATCGCGAGGCCCGGCAGCACTAGCTCTGACTTCCGTCATGCTCGGCAATCTCGCAATCTACGGCACGACGTGGTGGAATATCTCTGATCAGGACTCAATGGCAATCAAGGTGCCCACAATAAGGTAGCTGTACATGTACAATGTACAAGCAGGCACGAATGGTAGGCGGTCGTGTGTTCATTGCGATGTCGTTGCGTGCGTCAAGCAGCGTGAAGCTTTGTGAATGTCAGCCTTTGCGACGAGGATGTTGGCCGTCGAGAAAGTCGAAGAGTACAGCTACGTCACTGTCAGCTGAGTTGCTCTCGATGCAGAGAGCACGCGTACTAGATTGATGCCTTGCGACGTCAGCAGATCCGAAAAATGGTTCGCGATACCAGCCTTTTCTGTTGGATAGATGGCATGATCAGTGGATGCGAAGCAGAGTGAGATAAGAATGCTGACCGAGGCCAAAGGAGGATAGATCCAACTGTAAGCATTTGTAAAGCCTCCGACCTCCGTCGAGAGATCTCTGGCTTGGTCGTCGGGAGGAGGTGTGTGGCAGCTCAGGCAAGCTCATATCGAGCTCCTCTTCGTCCTCGTCGGGCGAAAAGACGCTGCTGCCGGCATCCTCCATCTGACCACCCACAAAAGGTTCGCCGCTCGAACTTTTGCGGATTCTCGGTCGACCTCGCGCAGGCAACTCGTTCGTTTCTAGCTCGCCTTCTTCACCCCGCCAATGGCCATGCAGACCTCCGTCGCCTAGCGTATGGACCATATTCGTCTCCTCGGCAGGCGAGAAGATCAGTCGAAGTAGGCGAATATCGCCTGTTAGCGATGTCCCCTCGAGAGTTTGTGTGAGCGATATGAAGGGCGTGGGGTAGGGAGATTCTGCTGTCGGAAGCAGAGCATTACGAGTGACGATGGTGCTGTTCGATGCCAGGCGTAGCATCTCTGTTGCGCCGATGGCCGATTCGACAGAGGCATCGCGCGAACGACCAGCGTTGCGCCGTAAGCTGTCAAAGGTGATATCGGTCTGCCGGAGTGTCGATGGTGCGACTTCTTGAACTGGCGAACTGTGCGTTGAGGGTATCGACACGCCTTCGAAATCACGCTCACGTTCGTCTAGACTCGCAGCCACGCTCTCGTAGTCAATCTCGGGCGCAATGTCGAGCTCGATGCCATTGATCAAGCCTTCTAGGCGCCGAGAAGGCAAGATGACGTCGCAATAGAAGAGCGCGGAGATGACCTTGTGACTCCAGGCTGTCTCGTCTTGGGCATTGAGGCCGATACAAACGAGCTCGTCCGGCAGAATCGAGATCTTATCGCCCATTGCCGAGGTAGAGGAACTCACGGCAGATGTCGTCGAAGCGGAGCGCAAGTTGCGTCCATGAGCACTCTCCTTCGCTCGCATAGCCTCGGTAAAGACATCGTCCGAGTCCGGAAAAGAGCGAGGACCGGAGAGAGTACTGTCGAGGGCTTCTGTCGCTTTGCTGTCTTTCGACAGACTGGTCTGGAAATCCTCAGGAGATTGGCCCGCGGAGTTCTGTCGAGAAGAATTCGGGGAGAGGGACAAGTCTGCGCTCGATGACTTGCCGCGCGATCTCGAAAGGAGCGGTGAATTTTGCGAGCTGTTGAGAATGAGACTGCCTGTCATGGACCGAGTCACACTACTACCGGACTGCGTCGAAACGGTTCTACTGCTCTCGTCCAGGAACTTTGCGGACGTGCCCACGGGTCTCTCGCGCGATGGCGAGACTGTCATCGATGCTGACATTGACGCGCTGAAGTCATCTGGTGAAGCTTGGAACCTGAAGCCGGACGACTCGAGAATGGAACATGCAAAGCCCAGGCGATGCTCTTTGATGAGGATGAAGTCGGAGATATAAGTCGAGAGGAACAAGATGGAGATGCCTTGCGCGGCAAGCGGCGCAGAAATCTCTTTGACGCGAGCTCCGGCCTGCTCCCATTCGTCGCCGTGTTGTTCGACTTGCATGGCTACCCAAGTCTCGAGTCCAACTTCGATACTGTCCCTTTCGGAGGTATCGTGCTCCAGCCAGCGAGCAAAGACCTTGTCGACAATTGACGTATCCGCAAAGATACTGAGCTCGACCTCGTTCATGGTCAAGCTATAGAATGGATCCCTGAGCTTGCGCATGAGCGTCTTCGGACTAGAGCTGGATGGATTGCCTACTTGGGAGAGGCTGAGCCTGCAGATACGACTCGATCATAGTCTCGAAAGGACAGAGACCTGTTGATTTCATACATGCGCTCATTGACTTGCGCTCGAGGAATCTTGACCAGCTTGAGCGTCGCCGGCAAGATGGAGATGCTGATCAGTGCGCTCGCCATTGTGCTTGCTGACTACCGTCGTCTGCCTCTGGGATCCATCTCGCTGCCGCTCTTTCCTTACTTTCAGCGCGCTCGGGCAAGCGCTTCAGATTAAAACGTTCGACGATGGCACGGCAGCTCAGTCAGTGCTTGTGCGATCCCTTTCCGCTCAGTAGACTGAGTGCAGCTCCGCCATAGTCTTTGTGACGGGCAATGCGAACAAGCTGCGTGAGGTCAGACAGATCCTCGCCGCAGGGGCAGATGCAGCCACAATCGACTTGACATCTCAAGCTCTGGACTGTCAGCCACAGGATCAGCGCTCTGCTCGTGCTGATATCGCTCTCTAGTACCAGAGGTTCAGGGCACGACTCAGGAGGTAGCACGCTACAAAGTACAAGCAGCGGCAAAAGCTTTGAATGGGCCTTGCATTACTGAAGTAAGCTCGGCCTGGCCGTTCCAAATCCAATGTTTGCTTAGACGGAGCAGGATACTGCACTTTGCTTTGATGCCCTCGATGGCTTGCCTGGACCCTACATCAAGGACTTCCTCGCGAGGATAGGACATGATGGTGGGCCTATCGCGACGCCCGCCAGCTGCGCTGACAGTAGGCAGGCTTGAACAAGATGCTCGACGGCTTCTCGAACCGCAGAGCGAATGCGCTGTGCACCTTTGCTTACTGTGCCGGGCCGACAGCCGAGCCAGTCTTGTTCGAGGGCAGAACGCAGGGACGGATTGTCCCTGCTCGTGGCCCGAGCAACTTTGGCTGGGATCCGATCTTTGAGGTCGAAGGCACTGGCAAGACGTGAGTCCGGCAGACTTGATGTGCACAGATCTGACGAGTCGGTGTAGCTATGCCGAGATGGAGGCAGAGCAGAAGAACAAGCTCTCGCATCGCTACAAGGCGCTCGAAGCTCTCCGGCGGGGACTTTCTCAGCTGTAGATCGAATTTGAAACTATCGAGGAGTCGCGCGCTCGCGTGACCGCCATTCCTTGCTGATAGCCTACAAGTCATGACTCGCTCACAGCACAAGCACAAGTCAGTCTACCAGCTCTCTGTGCACCTTTCGCACTGATGAGCTGTGAGCCTGTCAGGCAAGAGGCTCTCACGCATGACTACAAGACGCTTGGAAAGTCGTGCGTGACCTACCTGACTTCGAGACCGCATCACTCATGCTGGCCCTCAACAGAGCGTCTGTCCAGATCAAGAAGAACGGCGCTGGTCGTGTGAGTGCCTATGATCCACTCTGATGGCTTGACTGACATTGGCCCGCAGCATTGTGCGCTCACATGACTTCTGCTACATGCTCGGAGCTCACGTTCAGAGACAGCATGGGGCAACGATCAGCTCGATATCCATGACAGCATCGATGCACTTGACGAGATCCCCGATCGTACCATGCCTGATCCCCGCGTGAGCTGGCGAGCTCTCGGACAAAGTGCTTGCTGACTGCCATGCAGCTTTCGACCTCTCCCCAGGTAGTGCACAAGTTTGCCTCGAGCCCAACCGAGAGCACTATCACCTCTGCCTCTGACAAGTCGTCCGACAAGAGTGACTAGCCGCTTACAGACCTATCCCGCGCACAAGACTGTATCGACTACAAAAGAATAAAGATTGATTGAGGCAAACCAGAAGACAATGACAGCGCTGTACCATACTACTCAATGCAGCCTTCAGAGGCTGCCATTGCTGCTTGCTCGTCGCCAGTGTCGCTTCTGTCTGAATCCCCACCCTGGCTTGATATCGCGCTCATTTGACGCGAACGAGAAAGCTCTATCAAGGTCTGCGTCTCCGCTCCACGATAGTGGGCCATCGAATGCATCTGATGACAACGCGCTCACCGGAGCAGATCTCGTCTGGACCGCTGACCTCAAGAAGTGACGGAAGTGCACCTTGAAATGCTAAGCTGATCCTTGAACCTAGCGCGCACAGTCCGCTGCACTATCTAGTGAGACCGCTCGAGAAAATGAGAGCGCTACGTGGGAATTTGAGCTGATTCACGGCTCATGCGGTGGACGGTAGCAAGCTTGAGGACGGAGGGTGCCTCGGCAATTTGCGCGACGACGCGCGCAAATTCGAACGCGACGGTACTCGACAGACGTCGGACGCCGGCAAGCGCTGTAGCTTCCTCGTCAGGATGGCTCGCAGGGTAGCCGACTCTGACGGGGACGATGATGCTCCAGACCCGGACGAGCCAGTGCCGAGCGCTCGGGTCCGGCCTGCTCGCGGCAACGCACATCGAGGCTACATGGACACCTCCTCTGACAGCGATACGCCGCAGATGACGAAGAAAGCAAAGGGCAAGCTGACCAACGGCAATGGGGTACCTAAACAAGCGCCTACGCAAGCTGAGGAGAGCGACACCGACGAACAACCGGCTGCCAAAGCAAGCAGAAAGCGCAAAGCAACTACGAGTAAAGTGACTCGCTCTTCGCCTGATGCAAAGCGAAAGAAGGCCGCTAGCAGCCCCGCACCACAAACTAGGGATGAGGAGGAGGAAGTAGAGGAAGAGCCAGATGAGGCCTTCTTCCTAGCGGATGCTCAAGAGAGCCACTATCTCAATGAGCGCGGCGACGATGGGTAGGCTTATCAATTCAGGATCTTGCCACACTGAGACTCGAGGAGCAGATACGTCGTCGGATCGATCATGCGAATCAAGTGTGTCAATTTCATGACCTATGAACATGTCGAATTCAGTCCAGGACCTCATCTCAATATGATCATCGGACCGTGAGCCTACCTGAGATGCAAACAGGCAAATCTGACAGCAATTCAGGAACGGCACGGGCAAGTCGAGCATAGCCAATGCCATTGCTCTCGGGTTAGGATGGCCACCCAAGGTGAATGACACAATCAAATACAAGACAGACAGAATCTGACAGGTTGCAATAGATCCTCGGGCGAGCAGACGAAGTGCGATTGTTCGTCAAGCAAGGCTACGACGAAGGTCACATAGAGATCGAGCTCAAGGGACGGAAAAGTCGCAATGTCATCATCCGACGCGAGATCAATCGCATACGCAACAACAGCGATTGGTATCTCGATGGCAAGAAGGCAAAGCATACCGACGTCGTCGCAAAAGTAGCGGGACTGAATGTTCAAGTCGATAATCTCTGGTGCGCACAAGGCTCGCCCCATGAACATAGCCTGAATCGATCGTCTTAGTTCCTATCTTCCCCAAGATAAAGTCGTATCGTTTGCGCAGATGAAGCCTGCCGAACTACTCAAGGAGACCCAGAACGCTGCCGGATCGCTCAAGCTAACAAGCTGGCACGAGTATTTGATCAAAATGAAGAAGCTGCTCATCAACAGAGAAAAGGTCAGCCTCTGCATCTCTTGTCCGGCATGGCTGAACAGTCTTGGCAGAAATTGGATGCAGAGAAAGAAGATCTACGCAATAACGAAGCCCGTAACGCCGCACTTGAACGCGAAGTCGCCCGGTACAGAGAGCGGAGAGAGCTACTGGAGGAAATCACGATTCTCGATACCCTCATTCCTTATGCGGAATACAAAGTCAAGAAATTGGCGTATGATGAGGTCAAAGGTGAGAAGAACGAGCGCGTGCAGCAGCTGCGCGAACTAGAGGTCAAGCGAGCTCCTTATGCGCATCAGAAGACGTAAGCCATCATAGTCCAGCGCTGTTCACGCTGAGCCGCGCATGACAGTCTGCTGGAGCAGAGGTACAAAGCGGCGTCAAGATCAGCGAGGGATGCCGACGGTCTCCACCTGTCTGCGGAAGCGAAACTGAATCGTATCAATAAAGAGCTGGATGCTTCCGACAAAAAGCTCGAAGTTGAACGCAACAATCTGCAAAGCCTCAGGGCCGATATCAAGGCACGCGAGCAGAGGATAGCGCAGTGCCGGAGGCAGATTGACAACATCAAGCGACAATTGCAAGATGAGCCGCCAGAGGTCGACCTGACCGAGTCAAAGCGACGACGCGTCAGTCACTGCACCGTTTCTTGCGACAGACTCGCACTGATCTCCCTCTTCCCAGCGCGAGTGCAAATCCGAGATGCTCCGGCTAACGCAGAAGATTCGGGCTGAGCAAGCAGAAGCTGAAGCTTTGCTGGCCACGACTGCCGAACTCGAAGCAGAGATCAAGCTGCAGAAAGCGCAGTAAGTCAGCAGGCCTGCTATTTGTCTTCATTTGTAAGTCGTCGCGCAGAATCACAAAACTCGAATCTGCTGGCAACCGGCGCTTAGGAGCGCTCAAGTCTTCGATGGCCCGGCAGAATCATCTCTTTCAGGGCATCTTGGCGACCCAGGCGTACCTCAAGGAGCATCCTGACAAGCTCAAGGGCAAAGTCTGGGGTCCTGTCGCGATCGAAATCGGGCTTACAGATGAGAAAGCGGCCGCAGCCATGGAGACCCTGATCCAGGTAGATGTTTTCAGAACATTTGTCTGCGAGCTCCGAGAAGACTACGAGCTCCTTCAGGCGCAGATCGCCAATGGATTGTGGAAAGACACAAAGTATAAGATCTATCTCGCAAACATCAGCGACGAGCAATTTCATGCTCCCTTCTCGCTCGCAGAGCTGCAGCGCTTAGGATTCGATTGCTGGGCGATTGACTGCATCTCTGGCCCGCCCGAGGTTTTACGCTTCGTTTGCGCGCGCTCAAATCTGCATCGGATACCTATTGCTTTCAAACCATCAACGAGCATTGATGTCAAGGCTTTCGAGTCGCGCGCTTCGCAAGTGCGCAAATATGTCATCGGACCATCAGTCACGACCATCAAACCATCAATGTACGGCCAAGGCTTTGCACAGACGAACACGAGGGGCCTGCGAAACGCAACAGTTCTATCGTCAGCGATTGATGCGACGGCTGTAAAGGAATGCGAGCGACGGATTGCGACGGCGGAACAACAGAGGGACGCTCAGCAAGAAGCATTCGAAGCTTTCTCTGTTCGCAATGCCGAGACTCGCGAGGAGCACGCAGAGCTACAAAGTACCGACGCACGACTGGCGGATGAGGAGCAGAAGTCCGGTGCAGCGAGGCACGAGTGGCTCAAACTTAAAGTCAAATACGGTGCGGCTCAATTGATATGCTTTCTGATGTGTGCCTTGCTGAGAAAGTGTCCGAGTAGAAGAGCGCTGCGCGACGCTCGAAAGCGAATTGAACAAGCCGTCCGGCGAAGAGAAGCGCGAAAAGCACACACTCGCTCTGCGTAAGACCGCGCGCTCGCATCTGTCCATTGCGAGCAAAGCTATGGTGCGTAGCTACTGTCCATTCGTACAGATCTGTCTCATCAGTGAGCAGGCGACGTTCCATGAGCTCTGCGAGACACGTGCCCTCATAACTCTAAGAGGACTCGCCTTACAGAGTGCGGAAGCCGACAAGTCTGCACTTGACACAGTCCTAGCCGAGAGCCAACAGGCGATCCTAGAAGCACAAGAAGCCATCGAAGAGGGTACGCGTGATCAATATAGCGGCTCCGAAATCTGATACTTGGCCTGCAGTCAAAGCCCGATTGAACAAATGCAAAATGGAAGCGTCAGCGGTCTATCAAAAAGCTTCGGCCAAGATGGACGAATTGCCGCCGGAAATGAGTGAGCGGGTGACGGAGCGGAACGCAATGGGCACTCCCGCCGAACAGCTCATGATAGAACGCGAGACCCGACAAGGCGAGCTGGAGTTGTTGGCAAACGTCGGCAGCGATGTCTTGCGCCAATACGAAGAACGTCAAGAGTTCATTGAAGTCTTACGCGCTAAAGTCGTGGCGGACGATGCGGCGCTTGAGAAACTGCGTACATCGGTGCAGAAAGTCAGGGTGAGTATTCGTAGCTTGACCTAGGGCCCAGTTGACATCGTACCGCGTTGCAGCATCTCTATACGCCCGCGATTGAGGCTCTGGTCAGACGGGTCAGCGAGCGCTTTGGAGAAGCTTTCAACCGTGCGCTGTAACTGCCAAGACTTGGTCGGAGCTGAATATGACCGCAGGCTTCGGCTGTCTCGGCGAGATCAACCTCAACAGCGAATCCGAAGACTATGATCAGTGGGGTATCGAGATCTCCGTCTCGTTCAGAAAGCAAGAAGCACTCAGTTTGCTGACGGCAACGCGGCAATCCGGTGGCGTGCGTCTCGATCTTCGCAGCCTCGATCGTGCTCAAGGAACTCTGCAGGAACGATCGTTGTCGACCATTCTCTACCTGATGAGCCTCACAGAACTCGCCAAAGCGCCGTTTTCCCTGGTAGACGAGATTAACCAGGCATGTCGGCTTGCGGATCATTCCGCCAACATGCTCATCTGTTGGCGAGCAGGGTATGGATCAGCGAGCCGAGCGCAGAGTTCACAACCAGCTCGTCGCTGTGACATGCACGCAAGACGCTGGCCAGTACTTCCTCATCACGCCAAAGCTTTTACCCAATCTAGAATATCACCAAATGATGAAGATCCTCTGCGTTCATTCTGGCGACTGGCTACCGTCCAGGTTTAACGCGATGGAGATCCTCACGAGACGACTGCAGGCTGTCGCACATGCTCGATGAATTGCTCATTGCTTCTTGTTGTCGAATGTAATAAAATTCTCTGTGATCGAATTCTCACATCATTTCCCCAGACGGAAACGGCCGAAGTCGCCGCGTTCGATTGGTTGAAGCGGCGAGGTTGACTCGCCTGACGATCAGCTTCAGTCAAGTGAGCGAACGATGTCGAAAGAGTTTTCGTTCGAGGAACTATCGGCGAAGAAGTCCAAGGATGATCTGCATCTGCTCATCCACGGCAAAGGTCAGTGATCTCGAGCGAAGAAACGAGCGTTGGGCGATGGTCTGATCGTGTCGAATTCGTCGATTCACAGTCTATTCGGTCGCCAAGTTCCTAGACGAGGTGCTCAGCTTGAAATCGTAAGGTTCTACAGACGCTGATGATGATGTCCCACAGCATCCAGGCGGTGACGAAGTCCTCTTAGGCGAAGGCGGCAGAGATGCTACCGAGGCTTTTGAAGATGTTGGCCATTCTGACGAGGCGAGAAAGCTGCTCGAGGACTTTGTCGTAGGCACCTGCAAGGAGGTTCGCCATAGAAGTTCTCAGCATACAGCATCTGAGCTGACTTGACCGTTTTGCAGGGCGCAGCAGAGGGACCGGCATCACCAAAGGCGTCCGCAAAGTCTGCGGGCGGTACCATGCCAACACCAGAGGGTTTCACCTACCTCATTCCTCTGGGCTTCCTCTTCGCTTACCTTGCCTGGCGGTTCACATTGGCTTAGTAGATACGCTCGCCAAAGCGTACCGCATCGATCATGGTGTCTGTCGTCGCTCGATTGTACACGGAAACCCAGGGTGCGACTCAAGTTAGATCAGCAATCCAATGCTATCATCATTCGAGACCTATGCACTGCGAACGAGTAGTGGTGCATTGAGGCGCGTTAGTAAGGATCGAGTCTGCCTCTGAGCGCAGTCAACACGGCTTGAGCCGTCATCTGCAGGCTCCACAGCCCCACAACCTTGGCTCTCCGGTCGTTTTGAGTCTGCACATGGTGCGCGAGCGCAGCATAGACTTGTTCGGATACCAGATCGAGCAAGCCTGTGTCATGAGTCGTCCAAGATCCGTCAAGCTCGGGCTGCTCAGCCTGTCAGTCTGCTTCGCCTTTACGTAGCTGTTGAGCGTACCAGCGGCAACTCGACATGACACTTGATCGGTATCAATGTGCGGTTTGAATTGAGGAAGGCAACGATCTATGAGCTGTCAGCGTAGAACAGCACATGAGCAGGGATGCTCACAGGTCGCACGAGCGCATTGTTCGCATACGAAAGGTGATCATCGAAGATCTGAGAGCACGAATGAGCTGCTAGCTTCCTAGATGCTGGATGGAGGCAATACGCACAGGTATCGTAGCCTTGAGATCCTTGAAGCGAATGTCGAGATCAAATGTGACCGCGCTATGTGCGTCATCGTCGCGATCGTCGTGCTCTTCGAGACCGAGAAGGCTTCGGATGCTCGACTTGGGTGCTTCCAGAGGCTTACCGGTCGCGAGCTGTGGCTGTCCTGGTATCCGGTCTGCCGGAGGCGGCCGTGAGCTGATTGTCTCGTCGATTCGCTCCACCAAGTCGCCCAGTATTTCGCTCAAATCGACGTCATCGCCAGCTTGACGTGGGAATCGTATGTCTGCAACGAGATCTGCACGTCCAGACGTGATCCAGCTTATTGGTCCTTCGTCGTGAGGAGACTGCAAATGATCGATAGGCACGCCGTCAACTCGAAATCTCGACATGCGCTTCCATGTGCCGTCTTTGAGATCCTCTTCGCTTGTCCGGCCGATACTCTGCGGTTTGTGCAGCGAGAACAAGCAGTTGTCGACCTGACCGGTGATAGAGTCGGCCGATAGCATGTCAAGGAATAGCCACTGCTTTCTCAAGGTCGGTATCGAGGCATGAAAGATGGAAAAGTTGTACGGTCTGAAACCATACGGCTGATGTACAGTCACCAAGAAATCCTCGAGCTCGAGTGTCTCGAGATGAAAGTCGCCTGGCCGCGCAGTGTGTCGAAAAGCTGTCCGGTCTTTTACCGCTTTCGGATCTGTAACGATATGGCTGCGATCGAGTACGCCCCGGACACCTTTGACAACGGCGTCCTTGACGAGTCCTTTGCCATCGAGCCACCGCCATAGACTAAGCGAGACCTCGATCGAATCGACTTGCAAGTGGAAGTATGACCAATTGGCTTTCGCTGGATCATACTCGCCCTCTGCGCCAGCGCGCTCAGATGAGACCTGCACACCTTCGTCGTCGTTCGGCTGAGGCATGAGGGGCTCGATCGCCCTCTTCTTCACCGGTCCGCGAGAGATGTAGACATTCTTGAAGCTGATACGCGAGTCTTTCAAGCTGAAACGAGGTACGATGGCGGATTCGAAAACGATGGTCACGCCGGAAGATGCGGTCAGATAGCTGCCTAGCTTCCTAGCAAGTGATTCTGTCATCAGACAGTCATTCAATGCATCTTCACCAGAGGTCAAAAGTGTCTTGCCTTGCAGCTGTAAAGAATTGGCCAGGAAAAAGATACTCGCAAAGAAGCTTGTCCTGGACGAACCTATCAGACGCGTCCGACGTCATTGATACGCCAGAACGTACGTGCCGATGGCGATCCAGAGTCCGACGCCTCCAAGGAAGAAGCTGACGAATGCACTATAGTCATCCGTCTTGTAGGACCGGAAGCCACGTATAGTGAACCACTTGAAGCGGATCTTGAGACGTTCGAAGAAGCCTGTTGCTCGCGAAAGTAACCTGTACGACGTGTCAGATTTGCGCCCATTCGTGAGCTGCAGAACGGACTCATCGCGCATCTGCTTTCGCTTTGTCAGCGAAGGTATCGAGTGCACTACCGATTGCTGGAGATTGTGTAATGTCGTCCCATCACTCTCGGCCTGAGTAGCTTGCGATTCGCTGAGCTTCTGAGCATCGGCGCGTTGCTTTTGCTCATTGGCGGCTCCTTTGTAGTCTCGCAGCGCCGCCGATGCAGCCAACGAGCGCGTCACGGGCAAACGAGCAGCTTGTTGCGAAGCTGACATGCTCAGAGAGGAAGGCCGAGCAGTCCATTGTCGCTGAGGAGCTACAGAGCCAGAAAAATATCTGGACAGGCCAGCATACGCCGAGGCGACTCTTGGCTGCTGCTGCTTGGTCGAGTGCGATGATCGAAAGGCATTGAGGAGGGCCGCTCGCTGTCGAGGCTTCATGTCTACGTCGCCGTGTGCCGCTGAGTTTCTTGATGATCGACCGCGTCCGACCAACGAAACCGTCCGAAATTGTTGCGAGCCGCTTGCCGTGTCTCGATGCAGGCGCTCGTCCTGCTCGGCAGGGCTGCCACCTTGCTGCCGCTCCTCTTTCTCGCAGCCTCCGCGCCCACGCTGTTCATTCAAAGGGGCAAAGCACTCCGTCGACAGAAAGGTGCACGCCAGTCAGACAATCAATCAGATGAGCGCACGCCGCTATTGAGCGATAGAACGCTTCGGCGACAACAAGTCTCGGAGCACGAGCTTAGACAGAGAAGTCAGTCGGGTGCATCTCAGCATTCGCGCCGCCGTCGACGAGCATCACTCACACAGGCGCTGCCATGGCTCAGACTGGTCTTCAATATCGTCTTGTTTGCGCTAGTGTTAGCTGCATGGGTCGTTGGTGCACGAACGAGGCCTATAGATCTGTGGACGATGCTGCATTGCATTGACATCCTCGCATGCACCGTATACACCGCGCTGCTGGCAGCTGTGGCTTTGAGCATACGAGCACCAACTCAGCTGCTCTACAAGCACTGTGACATCGCCAGCGCGGTCATACTCATCAGCTCCGTCTCGCAGCATATCACACCCTATCTTGCCGCTCAGACGCAGATTGTCGACGGCCCGCTTGCTAGGCTCGGCCTGGCAGAAGCAAGCATCGCGCTAGCAAGCTGCATCATCGCCCTCATCACGCCGCAACACTATGTCCCCGTCTTACCGGATGTGATGCCTCATCCGCGCCAGACAGCCTCGCGACTGTCCTGTGTGCTCTTTAGCTTTCTAGACAAAAGGATGATTCGGTACTATCTATACCCACCGCACGAAGCTCCACCCGACACCACACTGAGCAGCTTCAAACAGAAGCTCGACAACTTGACGGATCAGCTAGGCATTACTCAACATGATTCGCCCAACGATCATCTCGATGTGCCCAACAAGGAGCTGCCTGATAACGTTTCGGAGATCTCCGATGTCGCTAGCGAGGCGAGCAGTCAAACAGAATACAAAGGGGCCGACCTTCCCGCAGATGAGCGACCGTGGAATGCGCGTCTTTCGTTCAGCGAATTGCTCCCTCCGCTGCCCGATATACTGCATTCCCGCTGGGTCCTGTCAAAGATGCGATGGCTGGGCGACAACGAAGACGACAGCGACGATGATTTGCGCGTGGAAAATCGCCCAGAAGGCTCAATGCGAGTCTTTCTGACCGTTTTCAGGGCAGAAGCGCTTCAAATAACGTTCACAGCGCTGCTTTGGATCGTTTTCATCTTCGTCAGTCCATTGTCGATGAACCTCTTGCTCGATCACGTGCAGCGAGGCGGCTCGGCTTCGCTCGTGAGCCCATACGTTTTTGCGCTTGGCCTGTTCGTTGGTCCAATAGGCGCCTCTGTCGCTTTTCAGCAGTGCCTGTTCATGATCGCTCAGATGGGACTGCGACTACGCGCCCTGCTCAGCCATGCCATCTTGACGAAAGTCCTTCGGATGCGCTCTGGCGGCAGCGCAGCTTCGGACAACAAGACGGACGATGGCTCGGAAGCCGAGGCGACTGCTAGTGGCGATACGACCGGCCGGGTCAATAATCTCGTTGGCACCGGTCAGTGCAGACTGATATACACTGCGGGAACTGACGTATTATTCAGACATCGATGTCATAACGGCCTCTCTCGAGACTTCACTTCAGCTGCTGGCGGTACCCTTCAAGATCGTTGTCTCGCTCGTCTATCTTTACTTTCTGCTTGGCTGGTCTGCCTTCGTTGCTCTCGCAGCTATCATCGCCTTTGTGCCCCTTTCAACTTGGGTCAGCTCGCGATACGGGGCGGTTCAGGGATCGATCATGAAGGCGACAGATCGACGAATCAATCTCATCAACGAGTCTCTCAATGCGATCCGCACCATCAAGTATTTCGCTTGGGAGGATCCAATGCAAAAGGGCATCTATGCTGCCAGAGAGCGAGAACTGGCTCGAATCATACGACGAGCTCGCGTTTTCTTCATGCTCATGGTCATCTCGACAGGTGTGCCCGCAATCGTCACGCTTGCCACTTTTGCTGCGTTCGTATACGCTGCGCACGGTCAGCTGACAGCGTCAATAGCTTTCACGAGCCTTTCGCTATTCAGCCTGCTCAGGGAAGCAGTCATCTCATCGACATATCTAACGAGCGCGTTCCTGCGCGCTCGGGTCAGTCTTGGTCGGATAGCAGACTTTATCAGAGACGAGGAGGAGATAAGCTCTTCGAGCCGCAAGCGAGCTGGGGATCGCATATCGTGTGATCATGCGAGCTTTCATTGGTCGCGCGATTCTGGATCTTTCGAGCTATGCATCGATAGGCTCGAATGTCCACCTGGACAACTCACCCTAGTAGCAGGTCCAACGGGCTCAGGCAAGTCCGCGCTGGTGGCTGCGCTCCTCGGCGAGATGGACCTCGTCAAAGGCGAGGCTTGGGTCCCAGCCGGGTCGACAATTTCATATGCTGCGCAAGAGCCATTTCTGCTGGACGACACAATTCGTGAGAACATCCTGTTTGGCAACGAATATGACCGAAAGCGATACAAGCGTGCACTTTTTGAATGCTCGCTCATATCTGAGATTGCTGGATTCGAGCGCAAGGACAAGACAAACGCGCTGGCACTGAGCGGCGGTCAGAAATCAAGGGTCTGCCTTTGCCGAGCGGTATATGCATGCAGCGATATCGTACTGCTTGACGACGTGCTTTCGGCAGTTGACTCTCGCACGGCCTCTCACATAGTTCAGAAATGCTTGGATGGCAAGCTGCTCAAGGGCCGCACGGTCATTCTGGTCACACACTATCTCGAGCTTTGCGCCCAAGCCGTCGCCTGCGCGCATATTGTCAAGATGAAATCTGGGCGAATTACGAGTCAAGGACCGGCTCACGAGATGGTTGAGGACGACACGGCGCAGAAAGATGACGCAACCGATGGCGGCGGAGAGCTAGATGCTGAGCACGGCGATAATGCGGCAGAGGTGCATGACGTCGAGACAGAGAGATCTTCAAGCGCTATCAGCTGGACTAATTATCGTTCGTATTTTAGCGCGATGGGCGGTATTGTCTTCTGGACACTCTATGCGCTGATCAATCTCGCCGCGCATGTCCTCATGCTCGGCAGCGGCGCATGGGTAGGCGTCTGGACCAATTCGAAGGACAAAGTCGACAGGGCGTCATATTACTTTGGCATCTACGCTGGCATACAGGTCGCCTCTGGCATCTCACTCACGATCATGTCGGTGCCTGACATAGCTATATATCAACATGACTGATGGCGCACAGGTATCTCTACTTGATTGTTGGCGCAGTTCGCGCTTCGCGTACGCTCCATCGCGACCTCGTCACGAGCATATTCGGCGCGCCCGTCCATGTCTTCGATCGCATTCCTCTCGGACGCTTTATGAACCGTTTATCGAAGGACATTGAGATCATCGACACTGAAGTTGTCGAGTCGCTACAGCCAGTGTTCGACTACGGGGTACAGGTGACGCTGGTAGCCGTCACGATTGCAGCGGTGCTGCCGGCCTTCCTCGTGCCTGCGGCCATCATTGCGATTGCGTTCTTTTTCGTCGGTCAGCTATATATCCGCAACGCTCTCGCAACGCGTAAACGTGTGGCTGTCTCCAGATCGCCCTTGTTCAATACGCTTGGCAATGCCGTCAGGGGCGTGATGACGATTCGCGCGTTTGGTAGACAGCAAGACTTTGTCAGCGCTTTCAGGGAGGCGAATGACGATTACAACCGAGCGCAATTCCATGAGCAGCTGCTTGATCGATGGCTCGAAGAGCGATCGGACGCTGTCGGCGCGACTGTCGCTCTCATCGTGGGTCTGCTGACGCTGACCGGTAGCGTATCACCGGGGATCACCGGGTTCCTCGTGTCTACCGGACTCGAGTTTACTACAAGGATATTATATGTCGTCAAAGCAATCAACAGAAACGAGCTCAATGTCAATAGTGTTGCCCGAGTGCTCGAGTACTCGTCTCAGCTCGATCAAGAGCCACAAGGCTCTGAAGAGTGCAAGCCACCAGCATCCTGGCCCGATCAAGGTGCCGTCGAAATACAAGGCTTATCCGTCAAGTATGACGAGGATGGGCCGGATGTACTGCGCAACGTCTCCATCAAGGTCGAGCAACGCGCCAAAATTGGCATTGTCGGTCGATCTGGCTCGGGCAAGACGACGCTTTCCTTAGCGTTGCTCAGATGTGTGCATCGCAGTGCTGGCCGAATACTCATCGATGGACGCGACATTAGCGACATCAATCTGAAAGATCTCAGGCAACGGGTCACGCTCATCAGTCAGGAGCCAGTCTTGTTCTCGGGCACAATCAGATCGAATCTCAATCCGCTCAACGATGAGATGGACGACGCAGATCTTTGGCAAGGTCTGAAAGCGAGCGGCTTTCTCGAGTCAGGCGGCACCGCACATTACACTCTTGACACGCCCGTCACAAGCCATGGCGGCAACTTCTCGTTGGGCCAGAAGCAGCTGCTCGCCCTCGCGAGAAGCCTTGTCAGAAGCACTCGTGTCGTCATCTTTGACGAATCGACTGCCAACGTCGATGCCGACACAGACGCTTTCATTCAGGACACGATCAGAAAGCATTTCAGAGACTCTACATGTATTACCATCGCCCACCGGCTAGACTCAATCCTCGATTGTGACAAAGTAGGTGTCATCTCGTCTCATGCCATGACGCGCCTGACGTGGATATCCAGGTGCTTGTCATGAAAGAGGGAGGTACGGTGGCTGAATGGGAGTCGCCCCTGAAGCTCTTGCAGGACAAGAACTCGATCTTCCACGACATGTGTGCAGCCACTGGCTCGGTCGACGACATGCTTCATCGAGCCCAGCAGGGCGCACGTTCACGCAAAGACACTATGTAGCGCAATCCTGTCTGTAGATATTTGCATGCATGTCGGCAGGTACTGTAGTACTCGAGTCGCCACGGCTAGTAGGCACAGACTCGAGCGTGGAGACCGCGCAGAGTGTCTAGCTCTTCCTCAGGATGAGGATTTGGTCTTCCGCCATAGACAAGTTGTGCACCCGAGTTCCTTTGCAAATTTTTGAGCTGAGCTCGAGGAAGAGCGCAAGGCATGTCGGCGGAGCTTGCGCTGCTCTCCACGACAGGCCAAACAGAGGTCTGACGAAAGCGCAGCTCTAGCTGTGCTATTCGAAAGGCGCCCGTATGGCTTGCCTGGCAAAAGCAGCGCTGCATTGCAAGGACAAGTCGACAAACGCGAGCGCGAAAGCGTGACGTCGTCTCAACCTCCGTCACATTCAGCGCCTTTGACTCAGCTGTTCCGGGGGCTTCGTGCGTCGTCAATCATGTCTCGGCCTAATATTGAGGTGCTGGATCACCGCAAGGGCAATTTGGGCCAGAGATCGACAATGCGACAGCTCGTGGATCTGCTGCCAGCATGGCTCTGGCTTCTGCTCATCCTAGTCGCAAGCATCGTCATCAGGCAGCGCTGGCGAGTGTTCCAGGGCAAGAGAAGAGCAAGAGCATCTCTACTGGCTCAACGAAGGAGGGCAGGCATCCCTGACAAGGACAGGCGGCCGTGGAAGTTGGCCATTGCAGATGTAGAAGCAAAACGACGGCAAGAGCGACGGGATGCTGCGACCACCAACGCTGTGCCCAGCATGCAAAGACCGCAGTCAGGTGTAGACACACCTCAGCGCTCTCACCGACCGAGCTTGGGCCAACATCTTTCGAATTATCCTCTTTCGGGCACCTCGACACCACGACACATGAGCTACCGCTCGCCAAACGGCTCGGCTCGTGGATCCGCCTACATGTCGCCCGTGAGAGACGTTCTCTCGGCTCGTCCATGTGCGTTGTTTTGACTACAAGCCGATGATGAACTCATCTCTTTGTAGTATCGCCGCAACGAGACGCTCAATTTCCACGCGCATCGCCGTCTGTGGCAGAGTGGCCATCTCGCTCGAATGCAGCAATCGGTGCGACTGCACGACGCGACTTGCCAGCCTATGAGAACTCATTCGCAAGTTCTTATGTCTCGCCCGCGATGATGCGCCGCAATATGCAAATGCGCGTACCGCCTTCGCCTGCTTCAAGGATACGTGATGCTAACATGATGATTGCCGACGACAATGCAACAGACAGCTCTCAGCAAGTCGAGACGAAGCGCAGACGACGCATCGAGACAGATGGGAATGACGAAGAAGCGCAATGGGCAGATCGACACATGGACGACGACGACCCTGCGTCTACTCGCGCAGACGATGTACCTCCCTCCAAGAAGGGTACGCAACAACGACAACGAAAACGCAAGGAGCACAATGAGGACGAAGAAGCGAGCTCGCCACAGAAACAAGCTCGTCGCAGGCCCGCAAGTCCGAGCAAACACAGCAAACGAAAAGCAAGCGACGAGCCTGATGAAACCCCATCACCACGAAAGCGAAGTCCAAAACAGGCCAGAAAGACAACGGTCACGGGCGACGTCAAGCGCAAGGCCGGCGAAGAATGGACAAATGCAGATGGCGACAGATTTCGTCTGGATTCTGACGGTATTGAAAGAAAACTTGTGCTCATACGCGAAGTCAAGCCAAAGTTTCGAATGGTGTGCTCGTCGGAAGTTGTGCTCGATCGAGCGCTGACTTCTTGCCTGCCTTCAGCCTGCAGACTCGAAGCATCCAGATCGAAACCTGATGCACAAGGTGCTCGTCGAGAAGTGGCTCACCGAGGCTGAGTACGATGAAGCTAAGCGCAAGCAAGTCCTAGGCTGGCAGCCAGATCCAGACGATGCTCCCACTAGCCCACACACCACGGCGAGGTCGCCTATCGAAAATGGGCCTTCCAGTCCGGCCTCTGTAAGTATCCTGCTGTCCGTCATTCCGCAAGCGTCTAATACTCCAGTAGATGGACATGAGCGACAATTCTTCCTTCTTCACAAGAGGCACAGGGAAGCCATTGCGAGGCAGACTCTCATCGGTGTCTGCTAGTCTCGTCAACAGTCCAAGCATGTCCAGTCTTCTTGGCGCCAACGGACGTCTTCGTCTAGCCAGCGGTATAGCAAATCCATCGAGTCCATTGAGGAGCGACAGTCGGAATCTGTCAAAGGTTCGGGCAGCGCTGGAAGATCCGTCGAAGCTTAGGGAGATACCGGCTCTGCCTCGCTCCCGTACTTTCGGCAAGCTGAAGATGTCAGACTACGTCAAGTCAGCTGCCATGAACGAGCCTGTGCCAGTGCCAGTGCCAGCGCTCGCGCTTGCATCAGCGCCTAGCCCGCTGCCGACTGCAAGCGCAGCAACCCCGACCGCTGCTCCTGGCATCTTCGCCTTCGGCGCTGCGGCCAAGGAAGAAGTTAACAAGCCTGCGACCTCCTTCTCATTTGCACCAGCCGCTGTGACATCGACTGTGAGTCCCGCACCTGCCGCAACCACACCGTCAACGGCTCCTGCAACGACGAGTCAGCCTCCCGTCTTCACGTTCGATGCGCCCACGAAGCCCGCAGCGCCCAAGGCAGACTCTACGCCAACTCAACCAAGCACACCAGCTGCGCCGATGTTCAGCTTTGGCGCGCCATCGAACGCAGCAGCAGCTCCGAAACCAACGTCCCCCGCGCCGATCTTCAATTTCGGCGCGTCGGCGGCGCAGTCCAATAAGAAGAATGAGCCTGCGTCGCAGCCTATCTTCTCCTTCGGGTCCACAGCTCCGAGCAAAACAGATGCGTCTGCACCAAGCGTGCCCAATTTCAACTTTGGTAGCACTGCTAGTGCGGCCCCTGCAGCAGGCTCGGCAAGCCCGTTCAACTTTGGCGCTGCACCGCCAGGTCAGCCAGCAGCCTCTACTGCGCCAACAGCAGCACCTGCAGCCCCAGTGTTCTCATTTGGTGCGACGGCAGCACAGCCAGCGACACCAGCAGCAAAGCCAGCATTCAATTTTGGTACGCCTGCAGCTGCCTCTAGCCCAGCTCAGCCATTCACCTTTGGCACGCCTGCCGCAGCGACCACGACCCCTGCATTCACATTTGGCGCGCCTGACACAGGTGCCAGTAAGCCAGCATTCAAGTTTGGCTCCTGATTGTTGTATGCTCGACATCGATGGCCTAGATGCGTCTGCGCTGTGCTAGGCGCGTACTTTATATTGAGTGAGCGTGACGTCGACGCGCTTTGTCCACCAACGTCGCTCGAGGCTTGCACATCACGACGAGCAGTGCCAAGATGGGTACCCAATTCGTGCCTACGCATCATCATCAATCTTCGTTCTCGTCCATACCGGCCTTTCCGCCGTCAGGATTTGCGCCCGCAGCGTCAAGCTCGGTACTGCCGACGGCCGGCTTACCGCAGCCGACACGCATCCTGGTACTCAAAGGCTTCTCCGTCGAGCTCAAGACCAAGGACATCCAGGTGGGCTCGACACTGAGTCCCTCCTTGCGGTGTCTGACGTGGAGGGCGCTGACAGGGACTGTTCAGCGAGTGGGAAGACGATCGAGGCGGCTACAAGATCAAATGGGTTGACGACGAGACTTGTCTGCTCATCTTTGCCGATGCTGGCGTCTGCAAAAGAGCCTATCTCACTTTGCTTGCAAGCTGGGATGAGAGCTTGCCCGAATCTATCACGCATCTGACCAACCCGGACAAGCCTCCTGCCACTTTACGCGCATACAGAGGCGACGACGCAGCCAATATTATTCAATCTGTCCAGACACGTCCTCGCAGTCGCTCGAATGCATCCCATTCACGCAAAAGTAGCACCGTCGGCGGTACGCAGCACGGTCGCAAAGAGTCATTCGCAAACGGCCGCCCATGTATGTCAGCAGGCTCTTATTGATGGCGAGAGCTGACGGGCTAAACGCGCAGCTCATGGCCGCAACATGTCGACTGCTTCCGTCGGAGGCACGCCACTGCCACCCATCATGAGCCGCAGCAATAGCGCAGGCAATGCTACTAGCCCTCGCAAAGCCGAAGGCGAATCGCCACCTGCAGCTGTTCCGCCCACGTCACCTGTGCGCAATCGCATCGGCGCAGAAGGCAATCGTCTCGTGACGAACAGTCTAGGTGGTCAGCGTCATGCTGCACGCGCTGCCGCCGAGTCTGCTCGCTCGTCGAGCGCCGAGCCGACGGACAATTCTCCAAGAGCTAGCGAGCGCGAACGTAGCGTCTCGCCCACGATCGAGCGCATCGATGAATGAGGCTGTGTGTATTCCAACAGAGACAATGCATGTCATCCATAACAACAACAGAGATCTGTAGACATGACTAGCTACCTGAAGTGTTGGCCGTCAGTATTCGCCCGACTCAATCGACGTCGTCCTGCGGAGGTAAGTTCTGCGGCGGTCGGGGCCCTGGTGCGGGCGGCCTGATAGCCCCTTGGAAGAATGGGAATTCGCCTGGCAGTCGGCTGCCTTCGACGACCGGAGAGAGACTCGCTGGTCTGTGCTCGTTCGGCACGGCTGGCGACCGAGGGGTGTGTGGACCACCACTATCTGGCCTGGCGTGACTAGGCTGAGGCACGAGCTCATACCGACAGACAGGACAGGTTCCAGATGTCTTGAGCCATGGCGTCAAGCAATCCTGATGGAAGACGTGATTGCAAGGTTTGGGCAGTTTGATCGCCATCTCGTCAATCTGAAAGTCATCTTGACAGATCGGACAGCTCGTCATCGTATCGTGCGCTAGCATCTCAGTGGTGAGCTTGCAGCGCGGCAGCTCTGCGATGACTTCCTCTGTAGCCGGCGCAGGACCATGCTGACCTTGCGCTTGCTCCATCAGCTCGGTCAAGACGTTCTGCAACCCTTGCTCTGATACGTAATCGCCAAATTGACCCATCCTGCCGCCTCCGCCAAAGTAGAACTGGAAGCCGCTGCCTTCACTGCGGAATGCACCGCCTTCTGCACGAATGCCCAGCATGGCGAGTAGCTGCTCGGAAAAGCTTGTCGGCTGATCCGTTCGTCGCTCGCCCTGTTCGCCTGGCGCGCTTGGATCTGCGGCAGGAGCACCAAAAGCGCCAGCGAGGAAATCGCTCAGCTGGCGCACAGGCACAGGTGCACCGTCTCTTGATCCGTCGCCGTCTAGAGTGCCATGCATCGTTACGCCGCGCCCGTTCTCGAAGGTGAAGGTAGCTGTTCTCGTTGTGGTGGCAGTCGCGTCATCTGCTGCCGGCTGAAGTGGTTCGCCTCGAGCGCGGCGCTCAGCGGCGTCGGCAGCGGCTCTCCGGGGATCACTCGATGTCCTCGTTGGGCTATTCTCGTTGCCTGCAGGCGTGGCAGGCTGTGCAGGTCGCGCACTGTCTGGTGCGCCTGCCATACTGAAGAAATGCTGTAATAGGGCGCCGAAGGGATGCGTCGGCGTCTCATTGTCTGACGGCTCGCCTTCTGGACCTCCTGACGGTGTATTGAACATTGCGAACGGGCCCGGTGCATCGAATTGTCTTGGATCATCCGAGGCACCCTCGATCTGAGCACAGCAACAGTCAGCTCGTGTGACCTCATGGTCTGCAGCGATCAGACGACGAAGAAGCACCAGGGGCGATCTGTATGCTGATCATGCCGCAGAGATAGTGACATGACTTGCCTCTTCTAAGAATTCGCCATGACAAAGCGGGCATGTCGGCGTGGGTGCAGTCGGATTGCTCGGTCTGACCGATCTCGCGCACTCATGACAGAAGTGCGTGCTGTTGCCCACGCCGGGCACTTCCGGCAGGGCAAAGCCAGTCTCATTCTCCTGCCAGCTCATTGCACTAGCGGCAAGATATTGTCGACGTGGTTTCGACTTATCGACGATGTTGTCATCGATCGCGAACTTTCGTCGAGTACGATTCGCTCAAAGAAGGCGTCTTTTCATCTGACCACATTTGTTTTCATTTGACGAGTCGTGGCTGAGCCGTTTACTTCTACCTTACTCGTGCAAAGGTACAGCTGCCGCAAGCCACGTTGAGCTCGAGCTGAGCGCTTGGACGTCCACAGATGGAAGCTGCGCAAGATCAAAAGGCGTTCCAGAAGCAGCCTATCTTCAACAATGCTAAAGTGAAGACGACCAAAAAGGCGTCGAGCAAAGCCAAGCGATGGTATAAGGATGTCGGCCTCGGCTTCAAGGTCGGTGCCAGCTAGTATCCAGCGAGCGTCGTTTGAACCTCCCACCTGATGTGACAGACACCGCAAGAAGCCATCAACGGCACTTACATCGACAAGAAGTGCCCGTGGACTGGCAGCGTCTCCGTTCGCGGTCGTATTCTCTCTGGCGAAGTGATCAAGACAAAGATGACACGAACGATTGTCGTGCGCATGAACTACCTGCACTTCATCCCAAAGTACTCTGTGCGTCGATCAGCGTGTCCAGGGCAAGGGCTGTCATGCTGAAACTGCGCGAGCTTGCAGAGATACGAGAAGCGACACACGAACATCCCTGTGCACTGCTCGCCAGCATTCCGAGTAGAAATTGGCGACACCGTCACCGTCGGTCAGTGTTTGCGAGCGAGCAGGGTGGGACTGTCAAGCTGATCCATCTATTTGCAGGCGAGACCCGCCCGATCTCAAAGACCGTCAGATTCACCGTGCTGCGAGTCTCCAAGAACAAGGCCGCCGCCAAGGCGTTCAGGAAGTTCTGAGAGAGCCCATCGCGAGAGAGATGTACTCCATGCAGATGTTCAACTAAGACGAAGCCGCACGACCAGTGATACATTCATACATTGATCCCATCCATATCTAAAACTGAGCTGAGGTGCCTCTGGCTTGACCAGAGCCGTGCGAGCGAGCGTGACCGCGCCGCTTGCTTTTGCCGCGTCGAGCATCCTGCGATCTGTATCCGGGTGGATTGCCGACGGGCTCGCTACCTTTTGGAATTGGCGGCTGAACCTCCTTGTCAGCTCTGACCAAGCTGTCATCGCCAGACTCACCGAACGCACGGCATCAGCAAAAAGCTCCTTTTGCACCTTGGTCAAGCCTGTCCGAGCACGTGAGACGTGCGATAAGCGATCACATTCGACTTGCCCGAGCTTTGAGAGACGCTTCGAAGCAACGCCGAGATGATGCCATCGGTACAGCGCAAGACCGACGCATGCTCTTGCGCAAGCCGGAGAGCGACTAGTCACACAATGATCAGCCAGGTCGTGTGCATCCTGACGCGACGTGATGAACCTATGGCTGTATCAAAGACAGCTTCTTGCTGCTTCTGCGTTGCATAGGCCGGCACTGACCAAGGATACTATACAGAAGTCAGCGTATCGTCAAAGATGGCAGCTGCAGACTGACCTTGCAGATCAGGCTCGCCGTGTGATCTGCTTCAACTGTCAGTGTGGCTGACAGCATGATCGAGGCACAAACAGAAGGGCCGCTCGCGCGGCGATGTGCTCTCCTTGCTCGGTTTGACTGCGTCTGCACACAGTAGCTGGAGTTTGCGCAGTTCGCTGAGGACGTTGTGAGGCTCGGGACGGGTGTGATGCAGAGCGGAGAGTGCGAAAAGCTGCGCGCAATCCGTCAGCCCGGCATGCTTGCAAGAGCGATGCGAGCAGACCTTGGAGATAAGCTCGACGGCGGTAGTCATGTCGATCGAGATGTTCTTGCCTTTCAGCATTTGCCCTTGGCATTTCGCGAGGATCTCATCGACGGCTTGCATCGAGGCAACTTCAATGTAGAGCTCCGGCAGGGTGATACCAGTGTGACTGCTGGACGAGTCAGTGCTCTGCTGCTTATATGACGATCATGCTTACTATTGGATGTTAAAGTGTATACTGTGAGCGAGTAGATTCTGAGGAGCGAGAACAGCCGAAGGTAGCCAAGTCTCGATATCGGCGAGCGTGACTGATTTGTCGATGCCCTCAAGCTTGAGCTTCGCACAGACATGTCAGCTTGAAAGGATGTCTGGCATACTCGACATACCACTGGCCAGGTAGCCGTGCCGAGATCTCTAGCCGTGCGATAGCCAAAGACGCGTGACTCGCGCAGGAACTCTGCACTGGGATGCGTGCCGTTCTGCATCTCCTGCTGGATCTGTTGAGACGTTCGTGGAAGACCGAGTCTTGGTCGCGGCAAGGGTCGATGTTTGTTCTTGTTGCCACGAGCACGAAAGTGGCCGGGAGTATACATCTCGACGGGCGAAGGCAAGCTCGATCGTGTAGACTCGTAGTATACCGAGGGAGTACGATCTAGCGGTAGAACCTGACTGGACGGCCCGACAGGTGATGGACTCATCGGAAGAGGTGCGCTCGGGGTCATGCGAGGCGGTGGCATGGTTTCGTGTTGATATTGAATAGGCGGATATTGTGGCTGCTGCCAGACCGCCTCAAGGCTGAAGACTGGCGAACCGCAAAAGCAATGGTGTGCACCAAGCTGACCAGGATAACAAGGCTGCGGGCTATACCATGTCTGCTGGTTCTGGTCACTTCCGCCAGATTGGATGAGCGCCTGGTCGAAGCCACCATGAGTGGACATCTCTGGCGAGGTAAAGACCGAGCTGGAGCCGGCTCTCATCGATAGGGCAGGCGACTGAGTAGCGCTAGTCGTACCAGCAGACAGCAGCGGACTTGGCATGGGCTCTGCTGCTGGAGCGGGCGATCCCGCGTAAGGGAGATCATAGGCTGGATAAACGGGGAGAGGCTTGGTATTGGACGTAATGACAGCCGAGCCACAATCGCGACAAACTTGATGCTGGCAAGGATTGAGTGAACACCACGCCGGAGCGGGCACAGAGCCATAGTAATGTCTGCTGTGATTGTCCTGCTGCTCACAAGGCTGGCCATAGTGGCAATGAGGCGCCATGCAGGGATTGAGCATGATCGAGTGCATGGCATCTGGCGCGCTTGAGACGATCATTGGCGCTTGCGGTCGAGTTCCCGACCATGCGTAGTCTTGATGCCACTCGGGATGGCTCGGAAAGCTAGCACTGGCATGCGAGCTGCGTCCTCCGGGCGATTCTGATAGCGGCATTTCCGAAAACAAGGGAGAGGGTTGCGAGGACTCGTAGTGCCAAGGTGGCCCAAGCTGTGGTTGTGGCATACTCAGCGGCGCGATCGAGCGAGGAGGTGCGGTAGGAAAGGCCATGGAGATGTGACCGCCGAGCGAGGAAGCCTCTGAGTGGCTGACTGAATTGCGACGGGATACGCTAGGCGCGGTGAGCCAAGGTGCAGAGACGTGTGCATGTGTAGGTCTTACACTCGAATCATCGTCGATGCTCGGCATGTTCATCTTGATTGTGTCTGTGAGCAGAGACAAGAGACAGGACGACTCGCTCGTTGTCCTGCGAAAATCCGAAGATGAGGCTGCCTTCGGTGCGACGTGCGACCACTTGCAACGCGACAACAGGATCATCTACTGAGCAACGAGTCGCTCGACCGCCGAGATGGACTCCAGGATATCTGCACAGTACTGTGAGAGGGGCCGGCTGGATGAGCAGAACTCGACGATCTGAGGCTCGAGACTAGCGAGCGCGTCTCGGCCTGCATCTGCAATCGCTTTGAATTCGCTTTGACCCTCACTCTGCTCCTGCTCCTGGTCCGCTTCGGGGTTCGTGCGGCCTTGAAAGCTGATACCATTGCCGTACTTGTCGTTCGTGTTTGAGTAAGCTCGCACAGCGGCCGTGCGAATCGAGCGAGCGAGATTGCGTACGATCAGTGCTGCGATCAGTGCTGGACCGGTCAAATCGCCCGAATCATTCATTGCCGCAGACCAGATCGTATAGTCGAACGCTGTCGCTGGTCCTGACGAAGTCGGAGCGGCAGGTTCAGGCGGCAATTGAGCTTGCTGATAGCCGGTTAGTATGTGCGTTCGCGCGTGTAGATCGACCTCGACGGCCGAGAGGGGTGTGCTTGCTGGCCTGCTCGACGCAAACTTGCAGTCTGACCATTGACATCGCAGATGGTCTTGCGGACTCTGCTCCGCTGGTAAGTCGCCGTACAAGTGCGTCTTGATGTGACTGTATAGCTGGTCTGGCGTCGCGCCCGGCTGCATTTTGCAATCTCGCCATTGACAAGCATACACTCGCGCAAGATCTGTCCACGTGCTTCCTGCTCAGCTCGACAAACTGAAGCGGCGACGTGAGCGCACCTATCCTCGTCCGAGGTCTGATACCTTTGATGACAAACTTCTTCTCAGGCCGGCCATCAGCTCCGACTGTGGGTAGCATCTGGACCATCGGTACGGCGTCAGGGAAAGCGTCTGTTGTATGTTTGATGACATCTGCAGCAGGAAGCATGGCGTATTGCGCAGCAAATTGCTCGAATGCAGCTCGGTAGGCATTCCACAAATTCACCTGAGTGACCTCGCCGATCTCGTCCGAGGTGAATACCGATCTCATCCTGCAAGGCTGCATGAGCATCTTCAGACCGACAGCAGGCTAGGAGCTTACCAATCTATTGCTCTCTGAGGTTCCTTGACCTCGAGAAGTCGCATGAGTTCGCGAGGGTTCAGTGAGGTGTCGCCTGCGTCTCTGAACCACTCTGCGCGTGTGATGGGTCCATAGCTGATCATCCTTGTGGCTGTGCTCTTGTTCTCGACCTGCCAGGTCTCGCGGAAGCCACCGTGGCCAAATCGAGCGAGTAGGAGCCGAAGAATGGCTAGGATGTCCGGCCGGCGAACGATCAATGTCGCATTCGCTGGCTTGCTCGTGAGATCGTATACATATTCCAGCGCTGCTAGGACGAGATCTGCGTCTTTCAATGGCAGAAGCTCCAGAGCGCGATTGAGGGGCACCATGAGCAGATCCTTGATGTTGCTCTTCCCGACATCCCCCACCGCTCTGTCTTTCGCTGGTCGACAAGTGAAGAAATCCTCGTTGAAATCCTCGCGGGCAAAGACAGACAAGGCACGGAAGGCAGCAAGCACGAGAGCTCGATCTGATGACTGAGTGAGCTGAACGAGCACAGGAAAGAAGCGAGCAGCTGGATCTTCCGGGCGGCTCTTGGCAGGATCGACGAGCTCTACGACCGAGCCGATGACTTCTAGGATATCGAGCGCGTACACCTTCAGCTCGGTCAGGTCTGGGGTATCGGGCAACGTTGCGTCGCCTTTGGCTTCGAGTATGTCTGCAAGACACTGAAAGAGCCGTCTATTAGATGCGAGTTGCTGACCATTCTTGCGCGACAGAACGAGATTGCGAATATTCAAGCCAGCCTCTAGCCCTCGCCGAATGACCGCGTTTGGCTCTGCGCGACTGAAGTGTGCATATTTGACGAGCTGCTCGTGCTCGACCAGGGCGTCTTGGATCAGCGATAGCAGAGCTTCTAGCATGCCCGGCAGATCCTTGAGGGGGAGCAAATCTGGGTCGGCTTGAGAGATCTCTGCCAGCCTGCCTAACGCGAAATCGACTTCCTCTGTCAATCCGCAGCGCAGGGAGAGTGTGAGTCTATTGCCAGACCCTTGATCGTTGTATATCGCTGCAATGATGAACGCCTTGTCAGCTACGAGTGACAGCAAGCCGGGCGGCCTACGTTGTCCAGCGTATCGCTGCTGAAGAATTTGTGTCGTTGTCGCAGGCGCTTGTTGAGCGGCAGACGTTGCTTGACGCCCTTGCCCTGATCCGTACGCTCCGTTGATAGCTTGCGCTGAGCCAAAGCCTGGCGTGGGAGGCTGCCTGAGAGAGCCGGCAGGTGCGCCATAGGCACCGTAGGGCGCAGCTGGTCTCGGAGCTGGCCCTCGATATGTCGTTGGCTGTGGAGCCCGGTAGCCTGCAGGGTATGGCTGCCCAGGCACTTGGCTCGTCACTGGCTGGCCGTAGCCGCCTTGGCTGTAGCTCATGCTCGCTCGCTCTGCGTCGACACCGGCGACAAGACAGATCGCGTCGAGCCTCGAGAGCCGCACCGAGCTCAGCCAGCGGATGTCGTGGCGAGCATGCGGACCGGAGCTGCACAGTCTGCGCTCTGCCCACGAGCCTCTCTACAGCTAGCGTCACTATGACATCGCCTGCGCCGTCTATCAGCTCGATTGCCGAGCCAGATGTTGTGAGCAATGGCACCGAACAATCAGCCCAAGCGACGCCCAATGGCACTCCCAATGGAGCTGAGGACAAAGTTCAAGGCTCATCCGAGCCTGATGACTCGCACGAGGAAGAAGAGGATGAGGAGCCGACGCTCAAATATGCGAAATGGCCCTTGGAGATCCCGAACAAGGACAGCGCATCTGCTTTGGCAGTATGTGAGGCCTTTGTCGCTGTGGGCACGCATGCCGGACTGCTCCTCTTGCTCGATCCTGTCTCCTCAAAAACCATCAAAAGGCTCAGACCACACACGGCAACGATATATTCGATCTCGATCGATTACCCCAAGCATGAGTATATAGCCACCTCGAGCGTTGACGGCAAAGTGTCAATCTTGTCATTGGCGCAGTCAAATGATGTCAGTCAGTTTGATCTCAAGCGGCCTGTGAGAGCCGTGGCGCTCGAGCCCAACTACTCGCAGCGAAAGACGCGTCAATTCGTCTCGGGTGGCATGGCGGGTTTGCTCACAATGCACGAGAAAGGCTGGCTAGGAAGCAAAGAGGTCGTCATCCACTCTGGCGAAGGCGCGATCCTTGCGATACAATGGCGAGGCACGTTGATAGCTTGGGCAAATGAGCAAGGTGTCCGAATATGGGACACGCACTCGCAAGAGATGGTCACCTTGCTGCCTCGGTCTGCTGGTGCACCCCGACCAGACCTCTTCAAGTGCACGCTGCAATTTGTCGGCGATGATACGCTGCTGATAGCGTGGGCTGATCTCATCAAAGTCGTCTCCGTCAGAGAACGCGCAAGACCGATTTCGAAGCGACAGTCTGGCCAGCATGAGCATGCTCATCTACAAGTCAAGACAGAGCAAGTTTTTCAAGTCGACTGCATGATCTCTGGTATCGTGCCATACCTGCAGGACTATATCATTCTGGCCTATCTTACCCCAGACAATGCATACTCTGACGAGGCCGTCGAAGACCGAGATCTGCAACGCCGCGTCGCCGCGCAAAGGCCAGAATTACGCATCATCAACGCAGCTGGCGAGGAGCTTTCCGCAGATGCGCTCAGCCTGACGACTTTTCAGCGCTACTCATGTAACGATTACAGCTTGGTTGTCCATCCCTCGCAGAACCGCTTCTACACGGTCTCGCCGCAAGATCTCATCGTTGCCGAGCCAAGGGACGCTTCAGATCACATTGTCTGGCTGCTCGATCATTCACGCTACGAAGAAGCTCTTCGAGCGCTCGAACAATCAGGCGTCGAGCTCGAGGCCTTTGATGCCACAGAAATCGGCAAAAAGTACCTCGATCATCTCATCGCAGAGCAAGATTACGCCAAAGCGGCAGAAGCGTGTCCAGCAGTGCTTGGCGTCAATGCGAAAGCTTGGGAAGACTGGATCTTCCTCTTTGTCGATCGCGGTCATCTTGAGACGATCTTGCCATTTGTACCCACACACGATCCTCGGCTTAGTCGGACTGTCTACGAGCTCATCTTAGGCCAGTACATGCGCAAAAATCCAGCGACACTGCTTAAACTGCTCAAAAAATGGCCGCATGATATCTACAATGTCGAGACTGTTAGTCTAGCAGTCCAAAGTCGCATCGACAAAGCTCCCTCGGCGCCCATTCTGATGGAATGCCTGGTAGAACTTTATTTGATGAACCGCCAATTCGCTAAAGCAGTACCGCTCTTCTTGAGGTTAAGGCGGCCGGGCGTCTTTGATCTCATCAAGGACCACAATCTGTTCGCTGCAGTACAAGATCAAGCCATGCACTTGGTAGAATTCGACAAGGACACAATCAAACGTAAGAACATCGACGAGCAATCGACAGTCCGTCAAGATGTAGCAGGCTCTCCTCTTGCGCAATCTCGACACGGTGCAGCGATCGAGCTTCTGGTCGATCATACTCACTCGATACCTGTGCGTGTCTCGCTGTGTTGTGTAAGTTGGACTTTAGCTGATTCTGCGCCCAGATCAACCGCGTCGTCACACAACTCATGCCTCGACGTGACTTTCTGTACATGTATCTCGACGCACTGTTCGACAGGGATTCCCAGCAGACATTCGCCTACAGCGATCTGCAAGTCGAGCTTTACTCGGAACATGACGTGCCCAAACTGCTCGACTTCTTACGTGCGAGCAATGACTACAGTCTCGAAAAAGCATATCAGATCTGTTCGGACAAAGATCTCGTGTCTGAGATGGTCTTCTTGCTCGGCCGGATGGGCAACAACAAGCAAGCACTCAATGTGATCATTCAGCGATTGGGCGACGTCAATCGCGTGCGTCCTGCAGCAGCATAGTAGAAGCGCGCAGCTGACATGTTCAGGCGACAGGCTATACAATTCGCAAAGGACCAAAATGATCACGATCTGTGGGAAGACCTTTTGCACTATGCCGAGTCTCGACCTAGTACGCTGCTCTGATCTCATCTTCTACAAAGCTAAGAGACTGCGCAGTGTTTATTCGAGCTCTGCTTGAAAATGTAGGCGGCGAAATTGACCCGCTACGCTTGATCAAGCGGATCAATAAGGGCCTCGAAGTGCCCGGACTGAAGCCATCGATCATCAAAGTGATGCAAGACTACAATTTGCAGGTTCGTTGCGCGGTCTCGGCTTCTGCTCATTGCTCATCACTGCCTGCAGATCTCGCTACGTCATAGCTGCAAAGATATTATCTTCAGCGACGCGCGGACCTTGGCACTCGAGCTTGGTCGCGCACAGACGCGCGCCTTTTCTATCGAGCCGGCCGGCTCGCTCGAGCCCAGTCTGTGCCACAAATGCGGACTGACGCTCATTCCGGCCAGTCTCTCTGCTAGTACGATAGACGAACCAGCAGACAAGACTGTGGCCGTACTTCTGTTCTGTCGGCACGTTTATCATCTCGGATGTCTCGTCGAAGGATCATTGCCGGACAGACTGCCACTTGGCGCTCAGATCGTTCGAGTCGGACCGAGGACGGGTCGGGCTGCGAGAGCGGACATGAACGCACGATTGAGGTTCCAAGCGTCTCTTGCTGGACCGCTCGAGGAAAGCATACATCATTGTTGTACGGAAGGTGCAACGTGACGAAGACGATCATTATCGATCGCGCGAGCCCAAATTTAATTGAGGAGAAACTGCGGCTGGCTGGCTGGCCTGGCTTAAAACCGTCTTCGCCAAGATAGACAGGCGCCTTGTGTGACCCGACTTGCTGTGCAGAAGTCAGAATGTCGAGCCGTCGGTAGCTGACTGTACGCATTTGGAGAAGTAGAGACAATAGAGCGAAGATGGGCAGTACAAGGCAGACTTGCAAGAGACGGCGGCGATTGTGCGGTATCGCGGCTGCGGCGTGCCTGTGTCAGCCTGCCTTGGCTGTCGATCTGACCTATACACCCAGCACGACGCCCGCCGGCCTGAGCAACGACGTCCTCGTGTCCGTTGCAGCCAATCTGGCCCTCATCGCCAACGCATCCTGGGAGATCGGCGTCCGAGCAGAAGCGCTCACAGAGTGGCTCTATCCTAGCTTTTCAGTCTACGGATCTAACCCTTTCGTCAATGGCACACCTGCCGCATCGCCTGATCTCGTCATAGATATCGCTAACACGTTGCTAGCCACCCGACCGGCAAACGGGACGAATGCAGAATCGCTTATCCCGGGCGAAGGATCTACAGCAGATCCTGCGAGCATCGGTGTAGCTGTCTTGCTCGCTAACAAGACGAGCTCGACGCCGAACGTTGGCTATGCAGATGCGGCGACGGGCCAGCTCAACTACTTGCTTACTGTCGCTCCTCGAGCGCCAAGTGGGGCAATATCGCATAGAGTAGAGCAAGTTCAGCTTTGGTCAGATAGCGTGTACATGTCACCGCCCTTCATTGCCTACTATGGCGGTATGACGAGCAACGTCAGTCTCCTGCAGCAAGCTGCACAACAGTGTCAGCTCTACTACACTGCCATGGTCGACGAGACCAATCTCTTTAGACATGTCGTCGACGGCGATGTCACCACGCAAGATCCTGGCCATTGGGGTTTGCCCTCTTCTTGCCACCGCGATGAGCCGTGTTGATGTGTCTGCACAGCCACTGGGAATGCCTGGGCAGCAGCCGGAATGCTTAGAGTCCTTGCAACGATAGAGAAAACGCAGTTCTCAGACGATCTGCAAGCCGAGCGCACTTCGCTCGTGACGATGGCACAGACTATCCTGACTGCGGCCTGGCAGACGACGTCCGAGAACGCAACGCTCAATTATCCGGATACAAACGCAAGCGCCTCGGCTAGATTCCCAGACATGGCTTCCTCAGCTCTCTTTGCAGTATGTCGTTCTCTGCGTTGTCTACCGATCAGACTGATCTGAGCTGCAGCATGCAACTTATCGACTTGCTACACTTGGCTATGATACACAAGACTCGCTCGTGCCCGCTGCCGAACGGGCACGCGTGATCGTGCAGAACAATATCGATAGCTCTGGCTACTTGCAAAATGTCGTCAATCCTCTCAATTGGGGACAGATCCTGCCGTCGGATCAGCACTCGCCGGAAGCGCAAGCGTTTGTACTCTTGATGAATGTCGCCTGGCAAGATTGGGAAGCAGTCGCAATGGTCAGCAACACGACGACAGTATCACCTCTTGCTTCTGCTGCAACCAAGACATTCTACGCGCCGCTTGCACTGGCGTTGATCTCCTTGATCGCACTTGTCTGAACAGAACACTCTTACGACGCAGATACACGCATCTCATCTTACGTTTTCCTGACCCTTATTGTTGTCATCTTGCCTATGCAATTAGCAATCGATTCTGCGCATGTGGCATGCCGTCGGCGTCGCGTCCGAGCCAAAATTTGTCGAGCAGCGACATCAACCTCGAGCTAGTGCATGCAAGCGAGCGACGCTACTGCTGCTCAAGAGCGAGCACAGTCGGTATCGCCCAAGTCTGCACAAGCCAAGTTGCGCGAGCAAGCCGCCGAGGGATTCCGCAAGGACAAGTACGAAGCACCCAGACTGTTCGACACGCTGCTAGCCGACACTTCCACCAGCGAGGATCGCATGCCTGCCGATCATGCTGCTCAGCGTCAGACAGCATCGGCTTCCCTTGAGAGCAGTCCACAGCAGGCAGAGGTGAAAATCGTGCTCGGACTGGATGATCTAGAACGGGAGCGAGTTTGGAATGAGGCACGGATTCAGCGGCGGCTGCAAGGCGACTATGAGCGATCATCTCGTCGCTTGGCATCACTAGTGAGCCACTTGACTCTACCCGAATTGCTCGGCTTAGTATGGGTTTGCATAGGTTGATGAATCACTCGACAAGCCACTGAGACTTCACGCTATTCGGGTGCTCGGCGCAGACACAACTCGCTCGGGCTTCCTCTCAACGATCCTTACTCCCTTTATAGAACGTCTGTCGCCGTCTCCACTCCTGCCGGCAGCAGGGCAGGGCAAGACTTTTCTGCAATCACTAGGGCTTTCTGCGCAAAAGGGCAAACAGCCAGAGCGCGTTGCTCAGCAGACAACGCTAGAAGATCTCTTGAAAGCCTCCAAAGAGCTCTCGGCCAATCTGCAACGCTTCGGTATCTTCAAAGACGTCGCTCTCTCGCTCGAGGACTCGCCAAGCGTGCTTGCCCAACCGGGCGATGTGGATATCGTCGTCCGCGTCAAAGAAGCTGGACGTTTCTTTGCCCAGACTGCCACCGACATTGGAGACGGCGAAGGCAATGCCGTGCGTCTGAACCAGTATTTTCGGACGCTCGGTGTGCTGATGTGAGCGTCAGTCCGTGACCGGGCGCATACGAAATGCACTCGGCGGCGCAGAAACCTTGGAGGCCAACGCAACGCTGGGAACGAAGACGCGTTCGTCCTTTCAGGTCCGCTTCGAGACGCCTATCGCTGCATCTCCCGATACACGCTTAGAAGCCGTCATCTATGGTGCCGAACGCAATCTGGGTTACTACGCCTCATCGCAAGAGCATTCACGAGGCGCCCAACTAAAGCTGCGGGTGAGTCGCAGCTGCTCTCTCGTGACCAGCGCTGATCGATGTTCAGACTGTGTCGAGATTGGGTCTGCACGAATTTGGCTACGAGGCAGTAGCGCGACACCTGCACAGTCTCGACTCGAATGCGTCCATCTCGTCCGTGACGGTCATGCTCAAGCGCACGCGTGCTGAAGCCAGTCGCTCCCGGACAGGATGCGCAATGCAGCAGGTCACTCGACCAAGTCTGCGCTCACACATGTCCTCTCGCGCGATACGAGGGACGATCCTTTCGTCGCCTCGCGTGGGTATCTGCTCCGACTCAGTCAAGAGTATGCTGGCCTAGGCGGTGATGCAGCGCATTTCAGGGCAGAAGGGGAAACGCAAGCCTCTCGTCTCGTTCATCCTCGCCTGGTACGTCATTCGGGCTCGAGTACTGACCCGTCTGAAGGAAGTCACAGGGCATGTCTGCTGCTCTGAGATTGGGCGCGATGTTCCCACTACAAGGTCGACCGTCACTCTTCAGTGATCGCTTCCAGATGGGCGGACCAACGAGTGTGCGAATGTTCAAGATGAACTCGATGGGCCCCAAGGACAACGGTGATTACATCGGGGGCGATCTGCATTGGTCTGCAGGCTACAGTCTCATGACGCCCATACCGGGCAAAGAGCACTGGCCTCTCAAGTTGCACGCATTCGTCAATGCAGGTCAATTGATCGCAATGGATCACAGTCAGTCCTGGTCGTCTCACCAACGCGGTCAACAAGAGCTGATAGGCCCGACAGATGCAACACTACAACAAAATGTCTGGCGAGCAGTCGCTACGCCGGCAGTCTCTACCGGCTTGGGTCTGCTCTACCGACACCAGATCGTCAGACTCGAGCTCAACCTGGGCGTGCCACTGGCTGCCTCGAGGAGTGATGGCCTGAGGAAAGGTCTCCAATTCGGTTTGGGGCTTTCCTTCCTGTGAAGGGCTTCGAAAATGCACACACACACACAAGCCCGAGCGAGACTAGATGTCGGGTCCTATGCGGGCGACGAGTTCGCCGGCCGCGTTGGCCGTCAAAGCCTCTCTGGCTTCCAATAGTTGGCCGTCACCCGTTCGTACTATCGCGATCTCGCCCATGCCTATCGGAGGAACATACTGCGCTCGTCTTCCCGTGAGCAATCGATGTAGCTCCTGAGTGGATACGGTGATCCGCCTGGAGGGTTTCGAGATGAGTTGCAAGTCGCCTAACACGGGACGGTCATTGCGATATTTGAGATGGACCCATATCCTCTGAGCAGCAATGGGCGCCCCGTTGGCATCGGCAGGTACGGGAGAGGTAGCTGTACCGTAGTGAACGTTGGAGACGAAGCCGTGCTTGAGCAAGATCTGAGCAATCTTGAGGTTTTGCTTGCTCTTCATCAGCTGGACACATCGTAGTCTTGCTCGTGATGCGTTCCTCAGCCTGCTCTCGCTCGTCAGCATAGCATGGCTGAAGCTTCACAGGATAGACTCACGTCGTACAGAGGATCGCAGGCAGGCTCGTGTTGGTCACCGAGGCCATCTTGCTGTCCAGAGAAAGTTTGGTTGCCCCTTGGAAATTTCGCGACGTGCCTTTGACGACGTCCAGCACGAGCGGAGAGATCAGCTGACAACCGATGAGCAGGCGCAAGGGAAAGGTCGCAGTCGCTCGAGATGAGGAGGAAGCCCTGGCTGAGCTGAGCAGCAAGCAAGTCGAAGCTCTTTTCGATGCCTATCGACGAGCCACGACGACTCAAGATGACGCGCGACCCTCCAAGCGTGCTCGGCTGAACGGAGAGACGCCTCACGAGACTGCTCAGATGGGAGCAGGAGGCTTCATACTCGAAGACGATGAGCCATCTGCGGGCGGCTTCATCCAAGAAGAGGACGAATCCCCGAATCTCGCGACAATGTCACGGGACGAGCTTGACGATTGGATCGACGTCAAGGACATCCCGCGAGCACTCAGATGGCTCCACCTCGTAGATGATGACGACATCATGGACATGTTTCTCAGTGTGGCAGAGGAAGACATCGAACCGGATCGCCAGCTAGTCTCTCGGCTCGACTTTATGCGCGCCGCGAGTATCTTGCTCTTCAATAGAGCTCCCTCAGAGGATGGCGGACGATCTGAAAGAGGCGATGCTCAAGATGTCTCCCCGCCTAGTGCATTGCGGCGACGGCGACGTCCTGCCATTGTAGAGACAGACTCGAGTGGTGATGATGATGGCGATGAAGCCTTTGTTGCACCCGACTCGGATGATGTGCAAGATGACGATGCCTTCGATCCTGATGCCCACACCAAGCCGAACGAGCTCAAACGTGTCAGCGCGAATGGGAAAGGTCGGCCGGTCTCTGCAGAAAGACAAGCACAGGTTGCGAGTCTCTTTGATTTGTTCAAGCCTTATCGAACTCACAAAGACGAGCAAGCCGTCACCTTTGGCAATATCCGGGCAGCCGCAGACTCGGTCAATGTGGAGCTCAAAGATGAGGATGTACGTCGATGACCGAAGAAGCAAGTCGGCTGAGCTTACCGGATTGTGGACAGATCAACGAGATGATCGAGTACGCTTCGAGTGCAAAGAACGACGAGGTCACGCTTGAAGATTTCATACGTATCGCAAGAGAGACCCGGCTTGTGTGAAGCAGCCAGACATGCTTGTTGTATCACTTTGCAATATTGCCAGGGGCACTTTTAGTTTATGCAATACAAGATTGACGCAGAAGCGCGAGTCTTGGCTCTTCTTTGGCCCACGCTCACAGCAAGATGTCGCTGGCACCGCCGGCAGACGAAGTGCCTCTGCTGGACAAAGGGGAGCCATGCATGGAAGTGCACCCCAAGATATGCTCGCTCATCGTCCGACGCATCAAAGCCCTCACGCTCGAGCTGTTACCCATCGAAGTCAGCCTGGACGACTTGACTGATCCCACGTCGAGCATCATCACGTCCGACGTCGTCAAAGCCTATGCCCTGATTGGCGGTGACTTTGCAGACTGCGTGCCTTACTGCCTGCTCACTGCAAGGGCGAGTTTCACGAGGGATGCGTTCATCCAGCCTGCGGATTATGATGAGAACTGGGGCAGACGACTGGCCTGCGAGGTCATTGCAAGGAGACTCGTCACGAGCCTCCCTCGATCTCGGCAGCACATCGTGCTTTCGACACGGTACAGTCACATCGAACGCGATGGCGATCAGAGCTTGCACAGTAGCGCCATTGAAGTGGCAGTCGATACAAAGTGTGTCTTCTTCCTCTCGTCCGCCGAATCTCAGCGAACCATCTTTGCCTTGTGGAAGGGCCATCTCATCCAAGCCGTCGACACGCGAGGCCATGTGGTCTACAAGATCTATCACAACGCCATGAAGCCTGCCTTTCTCGATCACCTCGACTCGACGAGGTTAGGCGTGCCAAAGTATCAGTCATGGGCAAAGCAATTTCTCTGGCTCGTCTTCCTCATCTGCTACACCATCGCCATTCGGACGCCGCAACGCGAGTTCGGCATCGAGGATGTTATCCTCTACGTCCAATTACTAGGATACGCTGTCGAAGACATCGTCCGGGTGGCCAAAGTACGCAGTGCTGCCGCGATCGACTTTTGGATGACGATCAATATCGTCAACTATGGCCTCCTGACAACTGCATTCCTGTACCGTATCGCCGACCAGTCGACCTCTGATCCGGACAAGACAACCCAACTACGCACACTGAGCTTCTCGTTCCTGTCCTGCGCCGCGCCATTCATCTGGATGGTCGGTCCCAATCTTGTTGAGCTTCACGACGCTAAATTTGACCCGATTGCTAGAAACTGCTGGCGGTTTTTGACGTCTTTACCTACTTTGGTATCCTACAAGTCGTGGTATGGCGAAGTACGTGATACGCTTTGCTATGCCCGTGCATCGTACTGAGCTCAAATCTCAGTGCTCAAGGAGTCGCTCGTCTTCTTCACGCTGCTGTCTGTCATCGCTGTCGGGTTCGCCCAAGCACTCACCGGTCTCGATGCGGCCGACAATACCCGCGACGAGACTGCAAACGTACTCCATTCACTCTTGCAAGCACTACTGGGATCTCCCGATTTCGAACACTATTCATCTGGCGATTTCGGCATGAGCCTTTACTATCTGTACAACATCGCCGTCTCACTCTTGCTGCTCAACGTCCTCATCGCTCTCTTCGGTACAGCCTACTCGCAAGTCACAGACGAAGCGATACCGCAGTACATGGCCTTTTTTGCACGCAAAGTCGTCACGCAGGTTCGCGCACCGGACGAATTTGTCTACGTCGCCCCCTTCAATCTGCTCGAGATCTTCGTCATTCCTCTGAGCTACATCGTCAGCAAGGAACGGTACGCGAAGATCAATAGAGCGATATTGACGACACTGTTCTGCATTCCGCTCTGTATGATAGCATGGTACGAGAGTCGATACGATGCCGCACTCGTTGCAAGGCAACATGAAGCACTCGATGAGCCCGTGCGTCTCTCGATCAGTGAATATTAGTTGGCGCTGACCATCAAACAGGATGACGACTATGAAGAGGATCCGGAGATGGATAGCTCCCTGCCAGAGCTGTCTGACAATTACACGGCAGATACTGCCCGAGAGGCAACCGATCCCGGGCTCAAGATTAGCAAAGTCTCATACGCTGAATTGAAAGCGAAGTTGCCAGACATCAAGTCGTCGTCGATCTCAAAGATACAGTACGAGCTCAAGGAGCTTCGTCAAGAAGTGAAAGCGATGCGCGAGCGCAAATGAAAGCTCGGAAGGAGGTTGTACACTGCATACACGCGACAACAACAAGCAGAAGTCGATCCTTGCAGCAATCCGTCAGACTTAGGAAGCGACGAGCGTTTCCGAGCAATGACTGCAGACAACGAGAGTCCCCACATGAGGCGAGAACGTCAACAGCGGTTCATGCTCGCTTGTGCTGGCATGCATGGCAAACGCGTCCAGAGCGCTCTGTCCACTTGCGAGACTGACTGACCAAGAGCAGGAATCGCATCCCCCATAGCCTTCTCTCAGATCCAATTGATGATGCCGACAATTGGGACATGGCTGACGGGCAATCAGTTGCGAGATGTCAAGTTGTTGCGAGGGTTTGATCGTTTCCTGGCTCGCTGCATCCACGCCGGCTAGATAGAGTTCGAAGCGGTCAGCAAGGTCTGCGTCCTGGAGTATCTCATACGACAGCGCTGTTGGGTTTCGTGTGAGCAAGTAGGACCACTCGACGCTATAGGCATACCTTCATCTGTGAGCTTGCCATCGTCGTCCAAGCTCTCGACAGGGTCAACACTGCCCGCTTGCCTATCCCAATCGTCTTCCATAGTCGCTTGAAACCTCAGCCACTCCCTCTTGAGCATCCTGTTGACTACGGCTTCGTCCTCTTTGCTTATATCGCCAACAAAAGGATCCTCTTCGTCCTCATTCATTGCATCTGACCCTTGCAATCCTGCCCTGCTCCGAGCAAAGACGGTCTGCCGTTGTAGTCTTGCGCGCTGGGCCACTTGCTCGAGCAGCTTCGTCTTGCGTAGATCGGCATCTGCACTCAAAGCTGCACGGGCGTATTTCGACGAATGATCGTTCCTGTGCCGCCGTCTGCCGCCCTGCGAACTGGGTGATGACGACACTGGATCCATCGAAGCATCACTTGAGGAAGTCATCGGTATCGCGCCCGCTTCGCCCCGAGCCAAGGGACTTGACACGAACATTTGAGCGTCCGCTGATCTCGCACAGGCGCGTGAGCGCGAAGCCAAGACGCCAAGAAGCCAATAACAACGTTATCAACGCCACACGGCCACACACTCTACCGCGTACAGATGCTACAACAGTCTTAAGCGCCAGAATTCACGCAGTGCCAGTGCTCGTCTGACTCCCTTCATCCTCCTCGTCTGATTCCTCGAACAGTAGCGACGCTTGAAGCTCCCAATCGAAGCGGAGCACAAAGTAAGTCGAAACGCACGCCGTACAGATCAGAGCCGTCAGCAAGCCCGACCAGAGCCCGACGAGTTTGAGATGGGCAGGACCGAAACAGAGAAACGCTCCAAAGGGTACGCCCAGCATCGCGTAACAGAGCAGATTGATGTAGGCGCTAATGGCAGGTCGACCGCCTCCCTTGAGTATGCCGCCGCAGACGCCGGTCACGCAGTCGGCTACTTGGAACAGACTGACGAGAGGCAGGACGGCAGCGACCAGCTTGACGACCTGTTCGTCGTTATTGAACAAACGGCCCCACCAGCCTCGATTAGCGACGAGCACGATGGAGGTGACCAGTCCGACGGCAGTTGCCAGTAGAAGCGAGACTTGGGAGCTCATGCGTGCTAGGTCGGGTCGATTTGCGCCCAACAGGTTGCCTATCCTCACACTTGCAGATACGTTCAGCGCGAGTGGAATCTGGTACGTCGTCGATGCGGTCAAAATGGCGATACTTTGTGCTGCGAGATACTTCTTCCCGAGCACGCTAGACAGCAGACTGACCGCTTCCCAGCACCACGTCTCTGATGCAGTCATGGCCACGGACGCCGAGCCGAGCGACAGCACCTCGCCAAAATCTCGCAGCGCTTCAGAGCTAAGGCCGCCCCAAGCGTCACGCGAGACGAAGAAGACGCAATAGACGAGCGAAGAGGCGAAGAGCAGTGTCGTCATGATTGCAAAGGCGACCGGGGCGCCAACAAAGCCGATCTGGACGCCAGGAGGGCCGAGAATGAGCAGGTAGCACAGTACAGCGTTCAGAGGTGCGACGATGCCCACGCAGAGCGCAGGAGCAAGCATGAGCGACTGCGCTTGCAAATACCGCCGTATCTACCTTGAGCATCAGTAGAGCCCAGCAAGAGATGCCACCACAGACACGTACGACTTCGAAGCCTGCTAGACCCGGCAAGCCGAGGCACTGAATCCTGAGGTAGACCGCAGCGAGTCGAGCGACTTCTGGATCTTGTCGAAGCACGACGAAGAGCGGTTCGGCGACCAGGCAGAGTACCAGGACTTGGGGAATCATGATGATCAAGAGCAGGACGCTTGCCCTGAGCGCGTGCAAGCTGGTGTCTTTAGGACTCGCAGCAAATGCTTGGGGACAGAGAGTGTCTAGCGAACCTGCCATACCTTGTGTGATCGATAGCGCGACGACGTTGAACGTGATGGCAGCCAGTGAAGCCGCTGCGAGCTCTGTAACGCCTAGGTGGCCAATCATGAACAAGCTTGACGCGGCGAGTGAGTACTCGAGCAGATGCGTTATACTGATGGACCGCGCTGCTCGGGCGACGAGGTACGCTTCGGGCCAGCGCATCTCCGCGAGCGGTGTACCTAGAGGCGCGAGGCCTTTGATATGGCTATACTCCTCACTCTTTGCGGCGAGTAGTGGCGTCGAGTCTGACACAAGAAGCGGCGTCGATTCACTCGGTACTTCTCTGGCTGCAGAGCCATTCGAGCCTGTCCAGGCTGCTATACTGCGCAAGTTGGGCGAGGAATCCGTCTGTGCGATTTGCAGCCTTGGCGGGGTAGATTCGTCCCAAGGCTGGCAGCTCTCTTCCTCTGTGGTCCTATCGGTCGGCTGCCGCTTCCGCCTATCGCGCTGCCTGCCCCTCGTGCTATCTGATGCTTGCTCATTGACACTGTCCTCTTCGTCTATAGACTCGATGGACTCGTCCAGGCTCGGCCGGTGTCCATCTGCATCCGAGTGTGATGCCGCCCTCCCCTTGCCCTTCCGACGAGATAGATTGGACCGGGCAGGATGTCTGTGAGGCTGGCTTGTCAGGAAGGATATGGGCTCCCATGACTTGGCAGTAGCTGCGCCGGGTGGCAGATCTGATGCGCCCTGTGCTCGTCTGGCCAGAAACGTATCTCTCTCAAACGTGGAGGGCGAGATGCCACCAAAGTCTGCTGTCCTGGTCAGCGTTGGCTCCTGTGAGACTCTGCGAGATGGCGACGCACGAGGATACGAGCCCATAGCGGCAAGGGGACCACTTGCACTTCGATAACTGCTATCGTCCCCTTGCTTGTCGCGTCGGCATCGATGCAGCTCCCACACACACGTCACAGACTCCACAGCGTCGTCGATGAGGCTCCTGGTCGAGCCGGTGCCAGCCAGAGTAGCTCCAAGCAAGCCGGCCACAGACGATGGCTCGCCCAAGGGCGTCACCTCGGCAGCGAATGACAAAGATGTACCCAAGGTCGCGGCAGATACCAGCGTTGCTCTCGAGGATGCAGAGCTCGACTTGGAGGCACATGCGCAGGCGCAGATCATCTACAGAGAGCCTATGCTTACTCGGATCATACGTGAAAGGGGCGACTTTGGCAAGCTGACCGCCCAAGCTGTACAAGATGGCAGAGCAGAGCCGCTCGTGCTGCGACAAGCGCAACGACTGGCAAACGCTGCACAGGATAAGGGCTCAATCACGGATGAAGCCTTGAGGGAGATGCGTAACGACATGCTTGCTTCGCTGGGGTACGTCTGCCTCTTCAGAGCTAAAACACGCGCTGACCAAGATGCAGACAAGCTTATGGCGAGCTGTCGACTGCTATGGACCTCATCAATGTCATTCTCTACCCACTCAATGCGCTTCGACCGAATCCTCCACTCGATGCCCTGCCCCTGCAACCAGGCGCACTTTCGGTATCCGTCATGACACCGATTTTGCCTCCGCCGCGTCCGTCTGCTCAAGCCGCTCAGACAGCCATTGCCCTAGGCACCATCTCAGAGACCTGCACAAATGTATCGCGCTCCTTCCATGAAGCTGCGCAGAGACTCGGTACGCTAGCAGGAAGCAGCGAGACGTCTTTCAAGCGAATGCTCGAGTGGCGCGACCGAGGCCATCGAATAGAGGCCGCTCCCGTGCAGAACGACGTTCGCTCTGGTCAGCCGCCCACGAACCGACAGCTCGATCGCGTCTCGCGTAATGTGCTCGCGCCTTGCGCTTACGTAGAGTGTGAGCCTGCCGCGACAGCCGCTTGTGGTTCTGATGAGTGCGCAGGCGATCGAAAACGCAGGAGAATACATGGCGTATTCAAGAGAAGCAAAGAAACCGCGGAGCATGACTTTGATATTCCGCGACGGACAGCTCGATTGCGCATCTCTGTGAAATCAGCAGATCAGACCACGTCCACTTACAGTCGACCGGTTCTGGCCGAAGATGCCTCGCAAGCTGCGGCCCTAGAGTATGAGCATGCCAATATTCTCGATGACGAGCTTTGGGACTGTCTGCGAGCCGAGCTACAGTCACTGTCGCAGACTTATGACACCGACATCGAGCCAGAGCTGATGTCGGCTCATCTCCCCACGGGCGCATCTCTCACGATCTCAGATACAGATGATCCGCCAGATAACCCAGAGCTGGCCAAGCTCGTCTATTCACTCCTTCTCATGCGCTATCTGACCCGATTGCGAGACCGCCGCTCAATATCTTCAAGGGAAGTCGTCGTCGTGAAGCCTGTCTTGCAGCTTCTAGGCATGCTCGAGCGTATCAACCAAGTAACGAGTACTTGTAAGACTGTTCTGGACCATCTCACCGCATGCCGATTTACACGATACGCAATCGACGTGCACCATTTGGCCGGCAAGGAAGACCTATCGGCTCTTCTGAGTCAGGCACATCCGAACGGCGATCTCACGACTTTACTCGACCTGACGCGAGATGGCGTCCCTGTGTCAGTTCGATCTTCTTGTCATGATCAGCTGTATTGAAGATCGTACAGGCTTACGATATCAGTCGGCTTGGATACTGTGTCAATATTGCAGCCGACGCGAGCAATGGCAATAGATTCGAAAGCGCAGCTCGAGCTTGCTCTACAAGCCGCGGTCCCCGCCTTGGTTTGCCAAGAGATCGGCAACCATCTGAAAGCCAAGGGGATACCTTTCAAATCGACAAGCAGTCGAGAAATTCGTACGGCTACCGAGAGCGGCGGGCAACGGTACACATGGCACGTACATGGACCGATCGCGCTGACGTTGTGTGCAGAACATTCCGCATCGCATACAGCCTCGCTATAGGTGTGCGATGTCATTCAAGCGACGGCCAACCATTCGAAAGCCACGAGGGTTTACTAGGCTGGCTAGACTCTCAATGCGACGCTCGAATATGATCGGTAGAGCAATACAATGCAATCCTCTGCATCGGACAAATCGTGTCTTATGTCGCTCTGTTGCGTGCAGTGCCTGATGGCTTTTGTCTCTGTGTTCTTCTTCGTGTACGGATACCTTAGCCGTTTAGCAAGGGCGAGCGTAACCTTGAGGCTGCGTTGACTCCATGTCTGGCTTCGTGGCTGACTTTTCTGTGTGCTTCGTTTTAGCATCAGCTTTGGTCTTGTCTGCTTGGTGCTTGTGCGCGTCGTGCTGAGCGAGCGCGTGATTAGGATGCTTCGGATCTTGCAAAGATTCGACCACCTCGATCAATTTCGTGACTGTTGCCGTGTCAGCTTTGCATAACCGATATCCTTGGCAGTACTTACGGACATTGTCGATGTAGTCTTCTGGGATTTCTGAGCGAACGACGAAGCGCAGCACCTCCTGCTCCGCCCAACCCTCCGACATGTTATAGTTGGGAATGACCCAGCCCTGTCAGTCGATAAGCACACGCGGCGTACAAAGCGCACACCACGCACAGTCTGTCTCATCAGGTGCTGTACCCAGGCCTGGTCAACGTCTGGGTTGTTCTTTCTGAAGGAGTCGGAGAACGCAAAGGCGACGACGGGCAGGCCCGGGACGTAGTATTCGACATCATCTGTAGGTCTTGCGCCAACTGCCTTGCTGACTTCGGCGACAGCGCCGCTGACAGTAGTCGCCGGCCGATGGATATCAGAGATGAGCTTGAAGTAGCCCGAGGCCTCCAGAGCGCGAGACAGCAGACGAGCGTTAGCGAGATCGTTCAGTGCAGACGTGCGATACCCATCGAATCCGAGCGAGAGGAAGAGGAACATCTGGATGATAATAGGCGCAGCTGGTCGTGAGAAATTGAGAGAGAAGGTGGGCTCTTTGCTGCCCAAGTAAGCGACCTCGAAAACGAGCTCTTTCGCCAAGAACTTTTCGTTTCTGAAGAGGATCCAGCCGACACCAACGGGAGCCTGTGGAGTGATGCATCAGTGGCGTATCACTGAAGCCAAATGAACGCACTCTGCCATACTTGTGACCGCTGCTATTGATGCTGACAACGCGAGGAATTTCAAAGGACCATTTCAGCTTTGGCGTAGCGAAAGGTGCAACGAAGCCGCCAGATGCGCCGTCAACATGGATGGGCACGTCAATGCCCGTCTTCTTCTGATGCTCGTCGAGGACGTGCGATAGCTCTTCGACATTCTCGTAGTGACCGGTGTAGGTACTGCCAAGGATACAGAAGACCAGGATGGTATTCTCGTCGACATACTCGAGCACTTTTTGCGGGTCAAGGAACGGCTTTTCTTTCGAAATTGGTACAAGACGAGCTTCGACCGAGAAGTAACGGGCAAACTTCTCAAGACAAACCTGGGCGTTGCTGCCCATGATGACGTTGGGATTGTGCCAGTCTTTGCCTTCAGCCTTGCGCTTGGCTTCCCATCTGAATTTAGCAGCCAGACCACCTGTGGCCCAAAATCAGCGGTTATCTTTGAAAGATGAGATCGACTGACCGAGCATGATAGCCTCTGACGAGCCGGTAGTGGCAGTCCCCACTGGGTTCTCCCCGTGCGGTGCTTTCCAGAGGTGGCCAATCATAGAGATGCAGCGATGATGAATCGCAACAGTCGAAGGGTACTCGTCCTCGTCGATAAGGTTCTGTCATTGCAGTAACCTTCAGCGCAGGTTCTGCCTGGTCACAAGTGAGCTCACCTTGGTAAGATTCTCAGCAGCGAGTCGTTCGGCGTGCTCTGGAACCCATGTGTGCACGAAAGAGGCAGCTGATATTTGCTCGTCAGTACCGCAAGATAGATTCACATCCGTCACGTACCATTGAGCAAAGGCTCGCCGTCGAGTCTGTAAGGCGCTCAGCTCCGCTCCTCCGCAGCAATTAGCGGACTTACTTGAGCTCATCATGGAGCAAACGGTATGCGCTCTCGTCGTTGATACCCTTGGACGGCAGCTTGAACTGTATTGAGGAAGCAGAGAGCAGTTCAGATCAGCGTCAGGTGCTCATACTCGGCAACGAGCTTGCCTTTGGAATTGGCTCGGTGCTGTAACGACCGGCATAAGCGTGGGGGGCATCATCGTGAGAATGTCCGGGAAGCTTGTGATGCTTGTGCTCCTGCTGTGCGGCTAGCAAGGCTGATGGATGAACGTGACGAGCTAAAGACATCTTGGAGAAATGCTATAAAGACGGCGTAGAAATGACGCTGCTGATGAGGCTCGCTAAACTTGGCTGCAAGCAGATGAGATCAGCTCGAGTGGCGTACAGCGTAATCTCTTATGTACGCACGTCCTGCGAGTTCAGAATCGATAAAGAGTAAGTAGGCGAGCACGGTTGCAAGGCAAGAGACGCAGATGCTAAACTTAGAACGCTAGAACCGCGCGTCATCGCGTTATTGATGTCATTGAGATTTCTATTGAAAATTCAAATTATCGGTCGCGCCTGCACTGTTCTGCCATGATGTTGCAATTCGCACAATGTCTAATACAGGGTGGGTGCGCGATGCGTCGTTCTGACATCTCGCGCGCAAGGCATTGCACAGCACCAGCTCGTGCACGTTGCCTGACTTGACTGGATATAAGCGTCAAAGAGGGTTGCAGCCAGCTGCTCATGCTGTCGCAGGAACAAGTGGCGCTAGGTCGTCTGTCTTATTGATCTCGAGATGTTGGATGTTGCCTGTCATGTGCTCGGGGATCACATGTACGAAAGGCGTCTCGGCTTGGATGCCGAGGCCCTTGGGTGGGTCTCGCAGCAGAGCCTCTACACGGCCGCCGTTACGCAGCACGCCGACTCTGTACATGGCCAACAGGTTGTGTGCGGCGTTGGAGTGTAGGTATGTTCCGCCATTGAAAGCGACAGTTGCATCCTTGCCCAGTCTGTGTCGGATGATGGCGTAACCTCCGGGATGTTCCTTCATGAAAGAGCCGACATCGTGGATGTAGCCACCGACAGCGATCAACTTTCGGCCAGAGTTCTTGTGCTGATCTTGGAACTCGTCCCAGTCGAGCACGGGCAGGTCATCAGAGTTGCGAGGCCATACGATCTTGCTCTTTTCCGCAGCAAGCTCTTTTAGCTTCATGTGGTACTGACCGGCAGCGATCGAGTTGGAGCTGAATGTCTTGAGCTCAGAAGCGAGACCGAGCTGCTTCATCGACCAGATGAACCACTTTGTAGGGTCATACTGGTGCCACTTGATGGCATTCCTGTAATCCGAAGGATACTGATGGTGGAAGTTATGGTAGCCTTCGCCGTTTGTCAATAGCGCGGTGATGACGTGGTCACGCGGGGTGTGCTTGTCATCGAACGGTGCTTCGCCGAGGTAGTGTGCAATTGAGTTGACACAGAAGGTCGAATGGTGTACGACGAGCAGACGGAAGGCGCCAGCATAGAAGTAGCCGCCCCTCCAGTCACCCCAGCCGAAGCCAGCAACGAGAGTGGGGAAGACGAAGCCCATGAAGACGAGCATGGGCACGTAGTAGCGGTGCTGGAAGAGCACGACCTCGTTACGCGATAGATCTGAGACGTCTGCGACACCGGGCTTGCGGCGGGGCTTGACGATCATCCACAGCAGATGGGAGTATAGCAGGCCCTTGTGGGCCGAGTATGGGTCGAGATCGGTGTCCGTATATCTGAGTGAAAATAGTCAGCCAAAGGATCGGAAGGCAGCGAGGATGACATACCTGTGGTGTGCGCGATGTCCGCGAGCCCACCAGCGAATGGAACCTTCAACTGCACCTGAGCCACCAAAGGCAAGGAAATATTGCAGAGGCTTTGACGCATTGTACGATCGGTGCGCCCACAAGCGATGGTAGCCTGGATACCAAGACGAGTCAGTGCGATGATGGGGAGAAGAGTGAGCGACTGACCTGCAGTGATGCCCAAGCCGGTCCACTGATAGTACGCCAAGGACCAAAGCGCAGTTTGCCAGGTCAGCTTGGTGGTGAAGCAGCCATAGATTGCGATCATAGGCACGACGGTCAAGGCCAAAGTCGAGATGACATTGATCTCCTTGTACCAATTCTGCCATGTGATAGGTGGCAAGGGCTTCTCCTTTGCCAGTGTCGTCTGAACGTAAGACTCGTCCTCGTCGACGGCAGTATCCGAGTCTGAGCCATAAGAGGCTTGTCGCTTCTTATCACCCAAGAACGACATGGTTGCACTCTTCTTCGATGTGCAAGTGACTTTCTCTGGGGAAGTCGAAAGGTCAAGCGGCCTTTGTACTCTCTGCAGCAGGTGGCGAGGCCCTTTGATGAACCTGTGACGCGGAGTCTCTCCTTCGCCCGCGACCCTGCTGAATTGCAGCTCGTCCCAACGCGAGACTTTGCCACCAAGCCGACTTAGCCGGATTCTTCTCACGCTTGCCATATGACACGTAGGGGGCGAGTAACAACTCTTGACGCGTTACTGTCTTAGCACGAGACCGCATTGGGCGCCAGGAGGGCTACCATTAGTAGAGCATGAGATGCCGCGGCCGACCGATTACGAGCTGCTGACGGTGGTCTCGGATGGCCAGCACGCGCATCGCAACTCTTCTCAGGCAGATATCTATCGCAACACCCCTAGCGCTTATGGCTTGAGTCGAATATGCGCAAGCATCGGTCGTCGAGCGATTCCGCTAGCCTGCGTGGTCATCTTCATCATGCTATGGATCGTCTCGCAACAAGAAGGGGATAGCTGGGCAGTCTATCTTACGGAAACCGGCCATGTAGACCCAGGGATGGCTTCAGAGGCGCGCAGTCATTCGGGAGCTCCGTGAGTTGCTCTAACGCTCGGCACTCGCAGTTTCGAGAAGCACTGCGGCACTCTAGGTCGCACAAGCCCATAGAAAACGTCAAGTTCGATGTCTATGAGCCTACAGAGCCGCACACAGCCACAGTCATCTGGATCCATGTACGCGCAGTCTGGACGTAGCCACGCGCCGGGCTGATGCGCCAGCAGGAGCTCGGAGGGACTACTCAATGGTACAAGCCACTCATGACAAGCCTGTCGCACGATCTGCCGTCCATCAAGTGGATCTTGCCGCAAGGTAGGTGGCCTGCACGCGTCGGCGAAGCTTCATTGACATGATGCAATCAGCTGCGCGACGGAGAGTGCCGACGATGAGCTCAAAGTTGGCTCCCTCTTGGTATGACATTCGGGAGTTCCCAAATGTGTACAGCAGAGAGGATAGGATAGGACTGAGAAGGAGCGCAAGGAGCATATGGACACTTGTTCACCAAGAAAACACAAACGGTACCGCGCTTGATGACATCTTTCTTGCTGGCTTCTCTCAGGGTGACTTCTCTTGAGACGGTGTTGCGCATCAGTTGACAAGGGCATACAGGCGCTGTGCTGTCGCTCTTGATGGGCTTGTCGAGCCCGCATCCGCTCGCAGGCCTTGGCATCTTTTCTGGCTACCTCGCCATGCCTGAATTTCTATCACTCGTCAGTCCAATTCGACGATGCAGAAGCTCTCGCTAAAGCTTTGGGAGTGTACAGTACGACGCAGGACATGACACGATGCCCATCTTCTGGGCGCATGGCGAGAAAGATCCCAATCTATTGTATGTCGGGACCTCGCGAACAAGGCTAAACAAGATTGACACAGTCGCATACAGGTATAGCACAGCCCTTGCAGATATTAGCAAGCTCAAAAACAGAGGTCACCAGTCTCTCGAGCTTCACTCATACCCAAACCTCGGCCATAATGTACGTCTGGCACGAGTGAGTCATCACGGAGGCTCACTCTGCTGCAATACCACCAGGTCGATCACGTATCACTAGAGCTTTTCAAGCACTGGCTCACTGCCACTATAGAGGCAAAACGGCAGCCCGCGCCTGCCTTGCCCGCAGCGTTGTAAACGTGTTGTAGTCGCGCTCGCTGCTATCGCGAAAGTGTCATCTGTTGGATTTGACGGTGCTACAGTGCCGAGGGTCGCTCGACAGACCAGACCTGCCTGTAGTCAGTCCTAGCCGGCTCAGGTGGCCGTACAGCCAGATTGTTAGCATCGAACCGCCGCGTGGGCCAGCACCTCGACAAGTGACCGCAGCGGATCTGCCAAGATGGACGATCAGACAGTGATGGCCGAGATGAAGAAGATGGTCAGTAAGACCGACTAGACTGACATACTCATGCTCACGCTGGCAGAGCGAACCAGGTGGCCTTCATCAAGCAAGAAGCCCAAGAAAAGGCCCGAGAGATCAAGACCAAGGGCGATGAGGAGGCCAACATGGAGAAGGCAAGCTTATCGATCACAGCTCAAGCCGCTCTGCTGACACAGCGTAAGGGCTCACAGAGCAAGATAGTGCGTCAGGAGAGCAACTCGATCGATTCGCACTATGAGCGGAAACGCAAGCAAGTCGAGGTCAACAAGAAGATGTGCGCTGATCTATACAGTCACAAAGCACGACTGATCGACTGTGTACAGTGCTACATCGAACCAGACGAACAAGGCTCGGCTGAAGTTGCTCACGACGCGGGAGGAATTGCTCGAGGAGGTCTTCGAGCAAGCCCGCTCGAAGCTCGTCGAGCTTTCGCATGACAAGTCGCAGTATGAGACCCTGCTCAAGGATCTGATTCTTCAGGTCAGTCGTCTGCCCATGCGGGCCCACTGATTGCTGATATCTGTGAAAGGGCCTCTTCTCAATGATGGAGAAGGAGATCAAGGTTGCCGTACGCAAGGAGGATCGCGAGCTGGCAGACAAGGTCGTCGGACAGGCGACAGGAACCTTCAAGGAGCAAGCTGGCTTCGAGGTCCATGTTGAAATCACTGAGGATCTGCCGGACTCATGGCAAGTCCCTTGCGCGTCTGCGAGCTCATATTTGCTGAAACTCTCTCCTACAGCGCTGGCGGCGTCAAGCTGACAGGATACAACAGCCGCATAGTCGTTGACAACACACTCGACGCCCGTCTGGCGATTGCTGAAGCAAAGGCCAGTCTCTTCGGCGTCAGACCGTTTGCGCTCATGCTGACGTGTTCGCTGTAGATGCTACCAGAGATTGGCACGACTTTGTTCGGCAAGAACCCCAATCGCAAGCATTACCAATAGTCACGTAGATCTGGTCGTATTTGCATGCAGCGGCGGCGAACATTGAAATTGGCGCGCACTTCTCGCGAGAGACACTTCGCCGCTGCCTCCAATTTTGTTTAGTAATCCAAAAAAAAGGGCTTTTGGCGAAAAACACAAGCCTCTCACTGTGGCCGAGGACGAGTTCGCGAGAAGAGAGGAAGGCGACACTCTGCGGCAGTATTCGCGGTCATGATCGAGATCATACGAGACTGTTGAGAAGAGCGAGCCGATTTGGCCGGTGCCCAGGCGCCCTCACGACCGAGCAGCGCTTTTCCTGCGCGTTTCTCGTTGTTTAGGATCGGCTCGTGCCAATCGCAAGCTACCACTGCGCAGGACGATCGGCTTGCGAGCCTCACACCCACCCTCGCACGTTTCGAGAGTTTCCCTCCCGGTGGCCGGACGCACGGACCGACCATCGGAGTCGCTTCAGTTCCGCTCAGCCGCATTCTCTTCCCAAAGCCTCGCTTGCCCTGGGCGGTGATCTCGCTACTGGAGCTTGGAGGTCAGTGCCTTCAGCGCGGCCTCACGCCGGATTGGCAAGGGTGAGCAAGGGCTGACTCGCGTACACGACGAGCAGACCCGCGAGGCCGTCGTCGGCACTGCACCTTCCCGTGACCTGTGCCATAACCGCATCACCCTCCTGTCTGCGGTCCGGCTGACGTCAGCAACACAACCAGCAGGCTGAGATTTGGCGAAACGATGTGCGATATCCAGCAGTCGTCTCTGTAACATTGCCCCTGCCTCTAGGCAAATCCGCTCAGGCACACGCCACAACCGCGCGCATCCGCTCGTACAACAAACGCGTGGAACTCTTTCGTGCTTGCACCGCATCGCTCGACGTCTGCACGTCTGAAAGGAGCGCTCTTCGCATCGATCATAAAGGGTGAGCTTGCTCTGCGCTTGCCGCGGCAAGAGCTCAAGCAGCATGCTCTAGACTTCTACCTGGATGTCTGAACAAGGTCGACTGGCCGCTGGCCAATCAGTCCTGTCAAGTCCATCGGCTGCCGCCCACAGCCAAGCCGTCAGTGCGGTGTCCCCGCCAGCCTCGCCCGGCGTCGCTGCACAGTCGGGCGTGTACGCTGTCGATGGGTCACCGTCCACAGGCGTCGCCTGCATCATCCCGCCCACTCCAATCAATGCCAATTTTGCGATCGATGAGGCTAGCTTGGAACATCGCCTAGAGCTATTCGATGTCCATGCTGCCTCATTGACGACAACGGCAGCTATTTTGCCTCACCTGCCTCAGGTTGGCGTACAAACATGCTTACCCAAGCCGGCCATTCACCGCCACTGTTCGTTGGCCAAGAGCAACGGCAGTTCTAGTCCTACGAGCAGCGCAGGCGAGGTCTCCTTCTTGTCACGTCAGGATATCGTCTTGGGCTCGCCGTGCCCATCTCGTCCTCTCTCGCGTCGCTCATCATCCGGCGCCTCTGCTGCTTCGAGCAATATCTCCATCAGCACGGCCACAACGACAAAGAGCGTTCGCTTTTGTTCTGTTGCCCCTCCTGTACATCTTACCTTCTCGCCTGTCGATTATGATCGTACGCCTATCGAGCCCAGCGGCGAAGCAAGAGAGCTTTGTCTGCCACCGCGCACGAACAAGGCAGAGCGATCGCAATGGAAGAAGTGCCTGGCTCGTCGTAAGAAGGAAGCTTGTGCCAAGATAGCCGCCGGCGAAACCGTTCCCGGCTGTACGCTCATCTCTCCAGCGGCCCATGCCCTCGTCGGCGCCGTCGGTGGCGAGTCGGGCATGCTTCCTAGCACGCGCAGCCCTGACGAGAGCGATCTATCGCATGACGAGGATGTCGATGACGCCATGGAAGACGATGTCGACGACGAAATGCCTGACTTGCGCACCGACGAAGATCGCCCTCATGTCCAGGCTCGGCCCGTAAAGAGCATCATGCGTAAACGTCAGCCTCGTAAGTCTCGCAGCGACAGCATCAGCGAGGCATCGTCTGGCGAAGGAAGCTCCGGGCCTTCGCGAGCCGGACTCGGCCTCAGCGCTAGCACGTCCTCTGATGTTGCTGTGAGTTCGCCCACCTCGTCATCGGCTTCCTCGCCACCTCTGATCGCTACTGCCCTGTCTGACGATCTTCCGCCTGTTCCTCATCTGTCACACGACGAGTTCTCATCCGGCTCGGAAGACTCGGACGAGTGGCACACCTTCCCTGCTCTCCCGAGCAGCTATGGTCTCCCGGCCGCTCTCACTCATGAAGCTCTGCAAGCGCTCAACGCACCCGCAACGCTCACACCGATCATCTTCAAGAATCAGCAACAAGCGATTATTGAAGCTCATCTTGAATCGCGCGGTTCGGCCTCACCTGTCGGCGTGACACCCGAAATGGGCGAGGAAGAGGATGACGATGACACGATTGACAACCGGTCTACCGCCGTCAAAGAGCCGCTGCCTGTTCCAGAAGATGAGGGCGACGATGGCTGCGAGCGCGACGACGAAGACGAGGAGGATGAGGATGAAGACGACGAGGATGAAGCGGAGGAAGACGAGGAGGAAGACGCACAGAATGAGGCCGAGCCGGAAGAAGCACCAAAGCCAAAGAAGTTTGGCATGTGTGCACTCGGCAAATGGTCCCGTTGCGATCTCTACAGCAGCTGTGACGCCCTCGGCGGCTTCTAATGACGAACTCTTCAAGCTCACGACTATCTCCTTACTTCGACAACCGTTGACCATGACATACCCAAGATCGCAAAGCCTATGTGTCCCCGCTGGACTACTGTTGTTCGTATGAACCCTCGCAAGCAAAATGCAGCTTCTGTCGCAGCTTTCTCAATGTGAACATATATGTGATGCATTTCTTTCGTTCCAATTTCTGATTCGACAACTGACGTTTCACGAAAAGCAAGCTACACTCGAACCTCCTTCTTGATTCGTCCCTGAACTCTCAAACGAGCAGGTTCGACGTAGGGCCTTTTTTCGACTTGGCAGCCTTTGCAGCATCCTTCTCGAGCTGCTCAAGAACGTCAGCCCAAGTCATGTCATTGGCATTCCGGCTTACCTTGGCGATCGTCTTTTTGAACGCAAAACAAGACTTGCACTCCTTTGCACGGTGCTTCTTGCACAGAACACCGCCATCCTTGGCATTCATGACTGATCATACGAGTCAGCCCACGCTGAATTACTGGAGGAGCAGGCTTACCGTATTCGACCGTCATCGACTCGCGTGCAGCGCCGGAGTCGAAGCCCGCAACGAAATCATTGTCCTCCACAAAGTCACAGTTGCATTCGGCGCAACGCTGCAGGCTCCGTCATGAATCTCCGCCTCGCATCTAGTCGGACGGTAAAGATCTTACCTCTGAGCCGTGACGGCAGAAGACAAAGTCGCCGATCTCAACGGACGAGGTCGAGGCGTCTGAGGATGTTGGGGAGGTACCGAAGTCTGTCATTGAACGATAGTAAGCTGTCTTGCTGCTGCTACAATGGATGTTCCAGGGAGCAGCGGGAAGGCACTAAGCGGGGTCAAGATCTTGTCAGCTGACATTTTTTGACTTCTCGATATTGCTCGCTCGCTCAAGAAAAGGACGCGTCAGGCACATGACTACAGTCCGCTCAAGTCCGATGTACTCTTTAGCGCGGTTTGCATGCATCGTAAGAACAGGAGCGCAAGAGGAGCATCTCTGCGTCGGATCAGTGACCATTCGTGACTTCCGCCGTGCCGTTCAGACTGAGACCTTCGAGCGCCTGATCCGCTCGAGCAAGATCAAGCTTCTTACTGCCTGCCATCTTGTGGACTGGCTGTGTACCCACCGTTCCTCCCGGTGTGGTCTGACCAGATGCAAGGGCAGACGATGCACCTTTCTTCTTCAGGACGAGCGGGAAGTTGTAGGCTTCCTCGTCGTCACCACCTTCGGGCTTCATTGCTTGCTCCCATGATGTTCCCATGTAGTCTGTGCAAGCCTTGTCAGCTCGTTATCAATGGCTGACGAGGCAGTGCTTACCAGAGGTACCCAGACCTTGCTCGTTCTCCATCAGTGTGCCAAGATCGCCGGGAGTCATGAGGCCTGACTTGAGACTGGGACTGCCAGGTACAGAGAATGGTCGAGGAACGCGGATAGAAGAGGTCTCGAAATCAAAGTCGTCGTCGAAGCTCTCGGGGTATGCGCGACGGAGTGCGAGCTGACGCGCCTTTGCGTATTCGAGACCCATTCGTTTCCAATCAAGCAAATCCGAAAGACGTTCTGTGCGATTACGCTGGTTGATACGCTGGCGACGGGTCTTCGAGCAGAAGGAGAACATCTGATCTGTCAACTGCTGCACAGATTCCTCGACAGACTTTGTGCGTCGATCGGTAATGTAGATGCCGTAGTCTTGTGAATTCTCGATGAGTTCGTCCATGAAGCAGCCGAAACCTGACAAGTTGGTCGAGATGGAAGGCACGCCCATGACTGTGCATTCCGCGGGCGTGTACTGCGCTGCTCAATCAGGACTACTACACCGCGATCAGGTCCGACTTACACCCCAAGGCTCGTAGTAAGACGGGAACACGCCAAGATGGCAGCCTCTCACGAATTCTTCATAGTCAAGCGACAGGATTGGGTTGTTTGCGTTGAGAAATTCGGGATGGAAGATGACTTTGACGCGATCACTCGGTCTGTTGAAGAGTTGAATACGACGCATCTGGTTCAAGATCGGATCCGCGGCGTCATCTGCCATGTTGTGCGTGACAATGGCTGGCAATGAGTTGCGTCGAAGTGCAAAAACGCGTCGTTTGAGCATTCGCTTGTCTTCGTCTGTCATCAATGTTGCGATGTCGGGGATCTCCGTGCCATACTCGCTGCTCTCCCGTCAGCTCGGGTCAATGAGTGACGATGAAGAGGTCTCACCCGGTGTAGCGTGCAGTCTTTTCGAAGAGACGAGCACCGATCCTGTTCTGAATCTCGGTGACAGTATCGTGGAGCTGCTTGGTGACAGCCTGGCCTTTGAGCGCCTCGATTGTGTACGAATGGGTTGCAGCGGGCATGATGATGAAAGCGACAACAGTCATCTTTGAGCCTGATTGTTGCAGGCGGTAATTGAGACCTGTCCCGCATGTCAGCAATGGGCGGCTACAGGCTGGCCGAACTTACGGGCCAGAGACTCGAGGAAGAGATCTGCTCCTTTGTTGCGATACTCGTAGCGCCCGGCTGTGAAGAAGTAGAGCGTGTTGTCCAGATCAAAGTCGTAGTGGCCGTAGAAATGTCCCCGAACAAATTCGTTGATCTTCTCTTTGCTGACTGCGTGCAAGTTTTGAAATTCGTGAAGGGCAGAGAATTTGACTACGTTGAGACCGTTGGGCGTGACACCGTCAGGTTTTCGCTTGAGGAGGTGCTCTGATTCGTATGCAGTGATGTGACTGACAGTCGTGAAGACGTCGGCAGAATGAGTTGCAGCGCGCTCGATGCAGTAGCGGTGGTAGATACCGCGCTTGCCTGCTTCATGGTCGACATCAAAGTATGACAAGTTGTTGTAGAAGTCGACCGAGCCAGCACAGAGGTAGCGGCCAAGCAGGGTTGCGTGAGTCGTGAAAATGGTCGTGACATCAAGATGACGCTTTCGGCAGAGTGGAACAGCCAAGCCGGCGAGCCATTCATGAAAGTGAGCGACGATGGCTTTGGAGGTCTCGCGCGCTGAGAACTGCAGGACGCAGACAGATTGAGCACAATGACGTGAGCAAATGCAGTAGACCTGCCTCGCCGAGAAACCAGGCAACAAGGTAGCCGAGCAAGATGGTCTCGTTCGTCTCGGTGTCGTGGCTTGGTGTCGGGATGCCGGCGACGTTCCAGATGTCTGCCTTCCATTCGTCGAGACGATGGAGTACGGAGCCGGTGTCGAAGAGGAGGACTCGAGGTCCACCTTCGATGAGCCAACGACCGTAGAGATACTTGACGCCGCGCTCTCTCATTGAGGCAAGCGTGTCCCTGAGTTCGGGCGTGTCTGGCTCGGCAGCTTCGACTTCCATGGGGGCAGATTTGTAGGACAGCGGTCCGATGAGACAGTACCTGTTGCCATACTCTGCACAAGTGACGGGCGCCTTGGTCTTGATAACCGTGTAAATGCCTCCGACTGTGCCGCTCTGCTGTTAGTGGCTGATCTGACACACGTCAGAGGCATGCAGCTCACCCTTGTTGGCCACCTGCAGGACCAAATTGATGCACCATCAGCGCATGTCAGCTGTACAGAGGCTCCACTGACCTCCCAAGCTACTTCAAAGAGCAGATGATTCGTGACATCCCTGCGCTCCATCTCCGAACGCTCGCAAGCCGCGCACAGACCTCGCCCTTGAGCAGACGCAGTGCAGAGCGCTCTCCCTTTGACCTTGATGGGACTCGCAGCGCCCTAGAAGTGTGGGGTTCGTCGACCGAAAGTGCGCAATTGGTGGGCAAGTGGCGTCGTCAACCTGACACCAGCGCGCGATCGCCAGGCGCCATTGGGCCCACGGGGCTTCTGGCTTCCACGCGCCATGGACCGCAAGCCATTCATCCGTCGGGGTCGCACATCACTGCCTTCGACGGATGGCTTTCCTTCTCTTCATCTCATCGTCGAACATCACCTCTCAGTACCTCTTTCGCTGTGCGACGATCGTGCCAACGTGCCCGCGTTCCTGCCCGCTCAGATACTCATAGCAGACGAAGGCGTTGACTTGCTCGTCTCCACAACCATTGATGGTCAAGAGCTCTCGAGCTCCGAACTTCTGCGATCAGGATTGCTCTCGAACATCGTCGATATACTCTCACTAGACTCAGTGGCGCGTGGCCTTGCACTCGAATGCGTCTACTTCGCCGAAGAGCATTCGGAGGATGATGACAGTACGAGTGTGATCGTTCCGTGGCGTCATGCGCATCTCTCGGCAGACCTGTCGGCCTACCTGCCCGCGCCCGAGCAGCAGATATGGCTTTGCGCACTGAAGCTCAAATTGCTGTGGACGCGCCCTCGCGGCGTCAGCGCAAGTCAGGACGAGCAGAGCAGTCTCAGAATGGCCTTGTGCTCCTCGCCTCTACCTTTGAATTGTGCTGGACTCCTTCGCAAGGGCTTGTACCGATGTTTGCGCGCGCAGCTCATGCAGCGCTATCCTATGATCTTTCATGCTAGCTGGCGAGACGTACGCTCTCTAACTATGCAATCAGGGTAGCACTGAAGCTGAAAAGCAGCGTGTGCTGAGCGATATCAGACACTTTCAGTCAATCGCGCGCTCCCTGGCACGCATTGCCCAGCTTGCATGTGCTGCAGAATTGAAGCGCGAATGGCAAGAGCTTTCGCAAGTTAGTAATACTTGCGAGCACTCATCTGAGCACTCATCGAGTGTGTAGGCCTTACACAAGCGGCTGAAGTCGCTGTGCCGTACAGAGAAAGTCGTCTCAACAGAAGATGCCATTTGCCATGCGCTCTTTCTGCTTTGCACGCGTACCAAGCCTCCGCGGGCGACACTCAAGGATGTCAGTCAGAGCACTCTGCAGGAACCGATACTGACTGCCACAGCTACAGCTCGAATCACGCCGGATGCGGACAGCCGAGGCCGATGATCAGCTTCAGATTGCAGATCTGAGCGACACGGGCGAGCCGGCCGAGTCTGAGCCAGACGATCTTGTATGGGACGACGAGTCAGACGAGACGACAGGCTTGCCCTCGAAGGCGAATGCCCATCACATCGGTCCGCCATCGGATGAAATGCTGCTCAGTTCGCCCGACGCGCCGTGCACCGCGGATCCATCCGAGCTTGACCCGCTTGACTTCTTTGACCTGTGATCCATCGCAGCTCGCACCAAGGCATTTTCGATGGTCAGAGAAATCCGATCCAACAGCCGTCAAGTCACTAAGCAGCCTGCTAGTCCGAGATCTCCAACGATCAAACGGGAGTCTTCTCAAGTCTCCATCTTCACTCCTTCTCGCCGCAAAACGCGTGCCGAAGATATTGCGACCTTCTCGCTGCATCCTATCGGTCCTGCATGGTTCTCGCCTACCATATCTGCTGAGATGCGCGAGCTTTGGCGTGAGCCTTTCCATCACCGTCGTGTCGAAATGCTGACATGTTGCAGGTCTCTACGGAGGCACAACTGCAACCATGAAGCTCTTCCATGCGGGCATTCCGCCTACCATCTTCTTCACTTCTGATCACGCGTGCAATCTCACTCAAAGGTATGCGGCACCGTCCCAAAAGATCGCACACCGTTGATGGACTCAGCAGACTCCTCAAGATTGGCAAGGTCGTGCTCGATCAGCAATGGATTCTTGACCGTATCGCAGAGGCTTCACTCTCGTGTGATCACCTCGAACTGTACCAGATCCAACCCATCCCCTCGTGCACCTGCCAGGTCTCATCTCATTGCCGCAAGCGAGCATCTCCATTCATCACCAAGTCGCACAAACGCCATCGCACATACTCTAGCTCGAGCGATCTCACTCTTGTCGGTTCAGCCTACCGCACATAAACGAGATGGATCTATATCTGGTTTTGACGCATGACTGCAGAATGCATGATGATACACAGAGCTCATATCACGACCCTGCTCTACCGTGTCAGTGTGAACAGACCTCAGCGCGAGAGAAGACGTACATCGTCTGAGGCGTGTATCGCTTGGAGTTGTACACAGACTTGCCCGCCTGTCCGAGCAAGATCAGCATGGGTCGCGCCTAGGACAGAGCGCGTCTTTGCCTCCCAACCGTCGACGTCCTTCATGATCTCCTTCTCTCTGCCCAAAGCGGCTTGATCGCGTCGATACACATCTCTATCGCCCTCTGCAAGGAGCATGGGCACCAGATGAATCCTGGACCATGCTCGTTCTCGCGCCAATTCCCTGACGAATAGCAGTGTCAATCTACGTATTGTCACCCTGTCATGATAGCAGAGTCTACCTCTTCTCTAGATTGCCTTGTCCGACCTTGTAGAAGCCAAAAGTGCAGATGAGGAAGACGCCGCCGAAGATGATCACTCCCCCCGGTCCGCGTACGGGCAGATTCCGCTTGTACCTGATTGACTCATAACCCCCTTGCGGCGGCAAGTCCCTGCACATCCAGCGATGAGCTTTGCATATCAGTCTCAACAGGTCTGACTGACTGTTTGAACGTCCGTAGATCCGCCATCTTGAGAGCTTTGTGCAGCGAGGCAGCGAGGAGCAGAGTGACGATAGTGACATTTACTGCCCCGAATGCCGTCTCGTGTTCGTTGATGTGACGCATCGACGCAATGTCATCTCTAGAAAGTCAGTGCCGAGCCTGACTTGAGCTGCACAGTAGCTGACCAGCTGCTCGGACTGATCAGAATCTCTCTTTCAGCTAAAGGTCAGAAGCCTCGCGGGCGCGACAGAATGCCAACCTGCCAACTGACGCAGTGACGCACCCAGTTTACAGCGAAACAGCTGCAGAAGCAGTCTCGCAAAGCCGCCAAGGATGAGACGTCAGAGAAAGCCAAGCTCAAGAAGGCGCGTCCGATGAGTCTTGAGCCTCATTGCCCGGCTCTGACCCGTACTGGTGCGTAGGCGCTCGAGCAAGGCAACACAGATGGCGCAAGGATCTATGCTTCCAATGCGATACGCAAGAAGACGGAATCGCTCAATCTACTCAGGCTAGCAAGCAGGTCAGCTGATGGTCGCCATCACATGCGGATTGCAGCTCATCGCTCGCTCGGTGAACAGAATCGACGCGGTGAGTAGTCGGGTAGAGACAGCAGTGACGATGCGTCAAGTGACGGGCAACATGACCGCCGTCGTCAAGAACATGGACAGAGCCATGGAAAGCATGAATCTCGAAAAGGTCAGCCTGTCGCGCGCGACATGTCGTCGGCTGACATATGGACGCGGACAATAGATCTCAATGGTCATGGACAAATTCGAGACCCAGTTCGAGGATCTCGACGTCCAGACGAACTACATGGAAGGAGCAATGAGCGATACATCAGCTCTATCGACGCCGCAAGATCAGGTCGACAATCTCATGCAACAGGTTTGCTCACTCGCCCTTCGTCAGCAGCGCTCACATTGACACTTGCGCGTGACAGGTTGCAGACGAGGCAGGACTGGAGATGCAGCACAAAGTGGGCGAAAATACAGTGGCGGGCAAGGTGGACGAGCTCAAGACGCCCCTGCGAACGGAAGAGCAAGATGACCTCCTCGCTCAACGCCTCCGAGCACTCAGACCGGCTGTATAGATCCCTCGCATAACACGATCATGAATTTGTACGACAACAGTGTTGAATCTGTACACTGTACACACTTTCTTTGCCATGCAGGCATGACTTTCCGCTCGAGATCTTGCGTCTTGCAGTAACTGAGCCTCACTCATGGCACGCAAACGAGGCCCGATTGTCGGCTCGCGCACAGGATGACAAAGGGTGCCAGGAGCATGAGTGATCGAATCAGGTTTGGCAGAACCAAGTCTGAGATGGCCAGTGTGAACGTGATGAGTATGGCATAGGTCGAAGCGTGCGCTTTCTGACAGCCAAGCAAGATGATCGTCAGCCTGGCGAAACCGATGGTGACTTGCACAGCGCGATTGATGCGTCTGTGCGCTCTCATGCTCGCTCGACGCCGCAGAGAAGGCCGTCTCGGTAACGAGTCGAGCAGCAATGGCCGGCTGGTAGGCACAAGGGCTTTGACTCTCGTCGACTCATCAATGATGGCTAGTGCGCGAGGAGCAGGACTGACGATGTCTGCCAGATCGAGGGCGGCTATAGCTGCGAGGACAATAGCGGCCGATGGACGATGGTGCGGTGTCCGGCTGAGCAATTTGGACAGTATTGCAAACAGTCCTCGAGGCAGGTCAGCTCGCGATGAATGGAGGTGATCGTTCGGATCGCTCGAATAGCCTGGGTATGACTTGATCTCCTGCACGAGCTCTTCTCGGGTTTGCGATCGATAGGGTAGCTCTAGGTAGATCAGCAGATAGAGCAACAGACCTGCGCTACGATCAGAAGATGCAAGGGCAGAGCAAGCCATGACTGACCGAGAGACCAGAGATCGGTAGCAGAGTTGAGCTCCGCCAGTCTTCCAGTCAAGTCGTCCGGGGACATCGCTTCTGGCGCCAGGTAGTCAAGTGTGCCCGTGTAACCGGACCGCTGGTGTCGAGCGTCACGCTGGATTCGCAGCTCGCTCTCACCAAAGTCACTGAGCATGGCTCGCGGCAGCGTTGCATCCTCGCCATCGCAATGCAGGAGTACATTGGCAGCTTTCAGATCGAGATGGAGTACCCCCATGACATGTAGATGCTCCAGTCCGTGCGATATGTCAGAGAAGAGGGAGATGATCTCGTCAGCATTGAGCAAATGACGCGCTCGGTGCGCTTTCCTTCTTTCGCTCATACGTGCAGTATCCGAGCTCTCGCCCCTTCGCTGAGCGACATAAGACTCGAGACTTCCGCCATTGGCGTACATCATGAGCATGAACGCCGTCGGAACGGAAGGCGCAAAGTTGGACGCGGCCGACATCTCGATCCAGACGTGAGCGAGCGTGACGACGTTGGGATGACCGCGCAGCGTCTCGAGCCGCTTGACTTCGCTCTCTAGGAACCGTCTGAGTCTCTTTGAGCTGTTGCCGATCGCTATCCTCTTGACAGCATAGTGCCCCAAATCTATGCCGTTCAGAACATGGCGGCATAGATAGACTTGGGACGAGTGTCCTGTGCCTATGAGGCGTTCTTGCACGAAGAAGGTCTCATAGTACTTGTCTATCCTGATGGACGACGGCAGTGTATCATCGTGCGGCGGTGTGGGCGGCCTCGAAGAGCTCGGTGTGCCTGCAAGGGATTGCGAGAGCAATTTGAAGTAATCTGCCGATGCTTGAGGCATCGCAAATGCCTCGTCTACCTCGTGCACGCTCGCATATGTATCCGCTGGCTCTTCGGCTAGCGGCCATGATCTCAAACAGGTCGGGCATCGAGCTGATCTGATATGCGGAGTCTGTCTCGTGGGGAATCTATTGCGCTGGCGGGCGACCGTCACTTCGTCATTGCCGGAGTTGTGCAGCACGAGATGGCCCGAGCGGGATCGCAGGATGACCTGCCAGTCCTGTCGAGCCGCTTGCACCTGCATAGTGAGCTCCGGCAGGCTGTTGGTCTGGCTCTGCCTTGGCGCGTCACGTCAAGATGTCATGTCAACGACATGTCAATCTTGTCTCGTGATCAGGACACCGCCTCTCAGGACGACAGTGCACGGGCTCTCAGCAAGCAATTCGCGTCTATGGTCAGCCTTTGACGATACGCAGTCACAGTGCCTCCGGTAAATGCGATCAACTGAATAGTTGGGTCGTGCGTGGTGTAGCCTCTCGAAGACGCTCATCGATCTCGTACGGTCACTCCTCGCAAGGAGAGCAGCAGCAGCAAGGGAGCTCACAAACCGTCAGGTAATCTGGATCGAGCCAATGCGCGCCTGTCCCAGGTGACTTCGACTAGCTTTCGCGAATCGCAGCAAGCCTATTCAGATGCATACACGTCCTACAGCAATTCATCTGGCATCGGCGAGCAGCTGACCCTCAGCGATCGTTGTCTTCGACGCGACCGAGACGCATGTCAGCCTCTCAAAGCCCTCGACGCGCAAATCGATATGCACTGCACAAGTACCATCAATGAGTCCGCCTACCTGCCCGCTAAACTTCGCCAAAAGTACTCAGTCTGCTCGCACCTCGCAGCATGTGGTCTTGAGCCAGGTCCAAACGGTATCATTAGCAGACTTCGTATGTGCAAGCCAGTCGATTGCGAGAAGAAGCACAAGAAGAACGCTTGCGCCGAATGTGTAGAGCCTACATGGGCGAAGCAGTCGAGGAATCAGTCGCTTCTCCCTCCGAACACGCAAGCGATGACCACCTTTCGTCACATCCCGGCATTGTGACCGAGCCGATCGTGCAGCCTGTTCTGTCATCAAGCTTTCTGACGCTGCCGACGGAAACCCTGACGAGAATCGCCGTGATAACAGGGCAGAAAGATCTGCGCAATCTCTATACTCTGAGGCAAATCTCTCGTCAGCTCCGTACTCTGATGGACAGTGATTACATCTGGTGTCTCGCAACAGGCACAATCATCGGCGACGACCTCGAGACTGCTGGCAAGATCGCAAGAGGAACGGCCAGGCGCAAGTGCCAGTACGAATGCGTCGCTTGCAGACGAGAGGATCGCGAACCGAGCTATGCACCTATCAACCCGGCTCTGCCTTTCGGCCAGAAGCTATCGTTTTGCCCCCGCTGCTATGGCAGTGCTGTCGATCAGGACAATTGGAGCAAGAATCCGCGAATGTATGCTGTCGCCTACTGGACCTACATGAGCTCCAGACGCGCTGTGGGTCCGTACACTCCAACCGAGGTTGCAGCAGATGCATGGTCGCGTCAGCAGGATCTCTATCGCATCGGCTGCTTCGGCGTGACCTGGCAGCCCGTTTACGAGCTCGAGCCTTATGTGTCGGTCGAGTTTATCAAGCTCTGCAAAGAGTATGTCTTCCATTGCGGTCACGTCGAAGTCGCTCTTTCGCAGGTACAGGAGGCCTGCACTCGTGCGTCTTGCCGTTTCTTCGTTGTCTGCTGTCGGACTGACAATGGCGCAATAGTCCTTCGCAGACGACACGCGACGTTCGAAGCATGGGCCAGGCAGCATTTGCGCGCCATTCAAATAGCCAAAAGCGTCCGACCTGCTAGCTATGCCATCTGGCGTGAGCGCGCCAAGATCGATGACATGCGGAGTCATCTCCACCTCAAATCACTCGGTCTCGGCCTCATCAAGACGGACAATCAGCTTCTCTCGCGTCAATTCGGATCGCACAGCAGACCTCGCCAACCTGCCGTCCAATTCCTGCTTCAGGAAATCGTCTGCCTCTATTGGGATGAGCGAAAGCCCCTGCCCGGTCAGCTCAATTCGGTGTCTGGCTGGATCGAAAACTACGTCACTTCGGCAGAAGGTCCCTTGACATGTTTGCTGCTCAATTGCGGCCAGACAGCTTCACGCGGATGCAAGTGCTGCTTGTGTCCAGATCATTGCACGCCCATCAATCGCGATTACCTTCGTCGTCCGGCTACATGCGCCGTCCATCCCGATCGCCCTCACGCGCCGCAGCCGGAGCGCATCGCAAAGCAGCCAGCTGTCGTGCTCAATGTCGAGGCTGGTTCGTCGCGGTCTCCTGTCGCCAATACTTCGCAGGACATATCTGGCTATGTTCCTTAGGTCTGACAGCTTTGTAATCTTGGCCATCACGACGCGAGGATGGCGCATTGGACCGGACTCAGCAGCATCCACTGCATCCGTGTTCCATCGCCTGCAGACTTTATGTCTATGAGGTCAGATGAGATAGGTTGCAGTCGAGTCGCGTCTTTATATACTTTGTGCGCTTCGCGTGTAGCGCAGTCGCAGCAGGCAGTCGCACAAGCCAAGATGATGTACGAAACGTCGAAGCAGCAGGAGTCTATGGACTCGCGCGACAGAACCGCGGAGCTAGCATTCTGCAAGGCGTTCAGGGCGCTGCCGGCCAAGTCAGCGGGCACGCTTCGAATCTTTGAGCGTCAAGAGGATTATACCGCCCATGGCGACGATGCCGTCTTTGTGGCTACGCACGTCTTCAAGACCAACACCGTCCTCACCTATTGGGGCGGCTCGGGCAGTGCCGCCGTGCCCAGCTGCAAGATGTCACGCTCCGTTGCGACTAACTTGCTCAGAGAGGCATTGACGCTACGGCAGCTGCGTATCGAGATCTGGAAGGACAGCAGCAGCAAGACCAGCTCGGCTCAGCTGACACTCGTCAGACAAGCTTCTCCTGGCAATCTAGGAGATGTAGAGGATCTCCTCTTCGGCAACATCGATCTCGTCTCTTCGCCCGTCATCATGGCCATCCGTCTTTCCACCAAGGATGGCATAACGACCATCGGCATGGCCTACGCGGACACCTCTCTGCGTCGCATTGGACTCACAGAGTTCGTGGATAACGACCTCTTCTCCAATACAGAGGTGAGTTGCGTGACTGTGCGTAGGCGCATCTGACCTGCGCGTGAAGTCCTTGCTCGTACAGCTGGGCGTCAAAGAGGTCCTCATGGCCAGTTTCGAGAAGAGCAAGGAGTACGAGGCCGAAAAGCTGCGTCAATTGATCGATCGTTGCAGCGTCGTCATCACAGATCGCAAGCCAAGCGACTTCAATATTCGCAACATCGAGCAAGATCTCAACAGATTGCTGCGAGGCTCACCTGCAATAGCGACCCTGCCAGAGAGTGATTTGCGCTCTGGCATGTCCGCGGTCAACGCGCTCATCGTCTACCTGGGACTACTGACCGACGAGTCTAATTTTGGTCAATACGATCTAAAATCGCATGACTTGTCGCAGTACATGCGCCTCGACGCTTCCGCTGTACGCGCTCTCAATCTAGTACCAGATCCGTCGGGCTATGGCGGTGGCAACAAAAACATGAGCATCTTCGGTCTGCTCAACCGATGCAAGACTGCACAAGGCATGCGACTGCTAGCCCAATGGTTGAAGCAACCCCTCGTGAACTTACATCAGATTGAGAAGCGACAAGACTTGGTCGAGATCATGGTGGAGGACAACTTCTTGCGCGAGTCGCTCCAAGAAGACATCCTCCGCGCCATGCCCGACCTACAGAAGCTCGCCAAAAAGCTCCGACGAGGCGTAGCTACTCTCGAAGATGTCGTCCGTATCTACCAGGTCTCCATCAAGTTACCAGACCTCATCAATCATCTCGAGACTGTTGGCGAGGGCGCGCCGGCCAAGCTAGCGTTGATCAAGGAGAGCTATCTGAGCGCGCTCACGGAGAACAACACCGCTCTTGAAAAGTACGTCGAAATGGTCGAGACGACGCTCGATCTTGATGAACTAGCCAATCACCGTTATATCATCAAGCCAGACTTTGACGACGAGCTCAAGCGAATCCAGAAAAAGCTAAATGCGATCAGAAAGGGCCTCGACGATGTGTATCGAGACGTGGCCGAGGATCTAGGCGTTGCCATGGACGGCAAAGTCCTCCATTTTGAGAACAATCCTACCTACGGGCAAGTTTTCCGTCTCACACGGAAGGTAAGACTCCGTTACTGTATGTGAGCCAGTTGTGCTCAATCATGCCATGGCAGGAAAGCGCGAAGCTGAAGGGAAAGCCGGGCTATATCGATCTCGCAAACAAGAGTGTGTCACGAGGCCTTACAGCTGACTACATACTAATGTGATCTGCAGCAAATGGACTCACATTCACAACAAAGAAGTTGAAGGCACTTAACGAAGATCAGCAGGACTGCAAAGAGTCGTACACGCGCAAACAAAGCTCGCTTGTCAAAGAAGTCGTTGCTATTGCCGCATCGTACGACACTATCCTAGAAGATCTGAACACGACGATCGCCGATCTCGATGTCATCGTCAGCTTATCTCACGTCGCTGTCAATGCTGTTGGCCCTTATGTCAAGCCAAAGCTGCATGAGAAGGGTCAAGGCAAGCTCGTCTTCAGGGAAGCCCGTCACCCGTGCCTCGAAGCGCAAGATGACATCTCCTTCATTGCCAATGATCACGAATTCGTACGCGGCGAGAGCGAGTTCCAGATCATCACGGGTGCGAACATGGGCGGCAAGAGCACCTACATTCGCCAAGTCGGCTGTATCGCCCTCATGGCATGCATCGGCAGCTACGTACCTTGTACGGAAGCCGAGCTGCCCATCTTTGACTGTATACTCGCTCGTGTCGGTGCTGGCGACAGTCAGCTGAAGGGCGTGTCGACGTTCATGTCCGAGATGCTCGAGACGGCGACGATTCTCAAATCTGCTACGAAAGATTCCTTGATCATCATCGATGAGCTAGGGCGAGGCACGTCGACCTTTGACGGTTTCGGTCTCGCGTACGCCATCTCAGAACACATCGCAAAGGAGATCCGCGCTTTCACGCTCTTCGCGTCACACTTTCACGAAATTACCTCGCTTGCTCAAGAGGTGCCCTCCGTGCGGAATATGCACGTCCTGGCATTAGTCGAGGAGAAGCCCGACTCGCTCACCGGGCGCGACGTAACGTTCCTCTACAAGGTGGAGCCAGGCATCAGCGATCAATCGTTCGGCATCCACGTTGCGCAATTGGCTCGATTTCCAGATGAAGTCATCAAGCTCGCCAAGAGAAAGGCTGATGACCTCGACGATCTCGACAAGGATGGCAGCCTGGCAGTGCCCGATGCGACGCCAGAGGAAGCTGCTGCCGGTACGGCGTTGCTCAAAGAGATGCTGAGCGATTGGGCAGCGCGTACTGCCCACCTCGCCGACGACGCCGCGACGGGTAGCTCAAGCGACGACGTATCAATGACCGACTCGGCCGATGCAAGATTAGCACGAGAGCAAGCAGAACTCAGGTCCTGCTTCGAAAGCTATCGCGAGCGCTTTGACGCCGATCCATGGTGCTCGAAAGTGCTCATGGCGAAGACGTAGGCTTGGCATCTGGCGCGCGTCCGCATGTAATTTCTGTTGTCGTAAATCACTAGCCTGCTCTCTGGCCAAGATGAGCAGCCGAGCGGACGTGAGTGCGCCCATCACTACCTCAGATCTCAAAGTGTTCTACTGCGCATGCGGCGAGCTTGGGCTGGTCATCAACCGCAGCTTGGCGTCTCTAGCACGTCGACCGGTCGATAATGCCATGATTCTGCGGAATACGGGCAAGGACAAGATGTACTATAAGCTCAATGCTCTGCTGGATCGGGAACCTATCGTCTACAAGCGCCCGGACGGCTTGGAAAAGCAATGGCGACTGCGTTGTCAACGATGCGACCTGCAGGTTTGTGCATTTACCAAGCTCTTGAAGCAGACCTGACGAAAGCCTGAGCAGCTCGGCTATGAGACGAGCGATGCCAGAGAAGCCAGTACTCGAGGACCGTACACATACCTGCTGCACGCACGTCGTTGTCAAGCCTTGCGATAGCTTTGTGCTCAAACGGACGTACAGGGATCTGTGACGGAGACACAGAATGCCGTGCCAATCGGTGCGTACGACATCCCAGCTCATCTTACGTAGCGTCTATTCGCCAGCCATTGCGAATGATCTACATCGATCTATTGGCGGCGAATATTACAACAAGAGCAAACGATGAGGTGATTTGCAAAGCTAGATCTGCATGCCGAAGAAGCGCTTCAGTCGAGCGAATCGAGGCTCTTCACCGCTCTCGGCTCTCTGCAGGCCTTGCAGTAGATTGACATAATGCTTCGGCATCGATTGAGGCTGTGTGATGATCGGACCAACAGGATACTGCAGATTTAGCGATCAGTCCCGTCGATAGGCATGATGCAAGCTGGCTAGCGTACCCTGTTCTTTGCATCATTGCGTTGTAATCGCTGCAGCGAGGCTACCATGCGCTGAGCGGAAGCTTGCTCTGCGCTTGAGAGTGTCTCTTTCGATCCGAACGATCGCTCTGCGGCGGAGACGAAGGCATCGCAGAATTGGAACTGCGGCCTTATCCTGTCTTTGGGCCAAGCTTGCGCTAGCTTCTTCACGCTCGCTACTACTGATCGTCCACTCATCTTTCACTGCGACTCGGATCGGATCAAAGTCGTCAATATGACGCGCTATGACTTGAACATGTCAAAGTAAATCCACGCGAGTGCCCCCTGAGCATGTCAGGATGTGTAATGCAATGCAGTCTTCCACACTCCTTCAAGATGCATGCATGGCCTTGAGCTTAGTAATGAAGCCAGCGACATGGGCAGGCTGCGAGAGATCGAGGATGGGCTGACATCTGCCAATCTGCTGAAGCTGCAGTGTGCCGGCGATGATAGGCAGGCCAGGCACATTAGGCAGCAGGCTTGCCTTAGCTGCTTCCGTCTGGCCTTTCATCATATGATCGACCAGGAGAGGCTCGGCACAGAGAGGTCGCCCGATGCCGCACATATCGAGCGCGCCGCTTGCGAGAGCGGCGTTCATTGCACCCACCGTTCGGAAGCCGCCTGTGCATACAAGTCTGACTTGTACGTCAGTCGAGCTATGTCGAGTATACAAGACGCACCGCATGTTGCGCATTTGGGGCCGAAGCTGCTCGCACAGCGCAATGAAATAGCCTTCTCTCTTGATGGTCGACTCGCGCTGTAGGCTGTGATTGAAGCCGGATTTCTCATAGCTCCCTCCGCTAACTTCGACAAAGTCTACTTGTGCTTGATCGAGCATATGACAGACGGCGGCTGAGTCTGCCTCGGTGAACCCTTCGTCTACGAAATCTTGCGAATTGAGCTTGACGCTGATCGAGAAGTCCGAATCGCCGATGCGTTCCTTGACGGCGGCGATGACCTCGAGCAGGAGGCGAGCACGGTTATCCAAGCTGCCGCCATACTTGTCGAGGCGCTTGTTCGTACGATTGGACAGGAAACCGCTCAGAAGATAGCCGTGCGCCGCGTGAAGTTGGACGCCGTCAAAACCGGCCTTGTACAAAACATGGGCTGCGTGAGCAAATTGACCGATGATCTTATCGATGCCCGCTTGCTCGAGCGCCGTTGGCATTTCGTAAGAATGCATGGCATTAGCCGGCAGCTGGACAGCTGAAGCCGCAACAGGATGCTTTTGTATGTCTTTGCGAACGTCAGCGGCGGACCTCCATTGTGAAGCTTCGGAGCTCACCGGAGCTGCACTGGCGACCGACATGTGAGAGCTGGCCGATGATGAGTGATCCATTGGCTTTTGCTGCTTCGGCCACCTTTGCGTAGTCCGGCACAAAATTGTCTGATCTCTGAGCGTGCTGTACTCAGTCAGATCACCTCGGAACAGCACAATGACTTACATCATCGATGATCGCGTTGGTGCGATGCTCAAGATGCTCGCGGTCGATCATGATGTTGCCTGTGACGATGATGCCCGGCACGCCTTTTCCCCAAACGCGGTACAGCTCAATCAATTCTGGCGTAGGCCGACCTGATTGCGACATGTCTATCTCGTTGTACGCGCAAAGATGTTCTGTCATCGCTGCCTTGAGCAAGCGGTTTGTTGCGATCTTTTTGGAGTGAGGAAGCGAAAGTTGCGAGCTTATGTCGGCCATGTTTCTGATGATTGGATCTGACCCTACGAGACGAGGCAAAGTGTATAAGGAGAAAGAGTGGACCATGACATGATGTGGGACAGAGATGAGATTTCGATCGATGTCCAGACGGTGCAAGCGCGACACGTGCAAATGCAACGCGACTGCGCGACTTTGCAGCGTGTTGCCGCAAGTGACGACGCCAATATGACGGTCTTCAAGGCCATCTTGACAGAATGTAACGCTTTCGTCAGCACGCTCAAAGGGCAATCCGTCGAGCCGCAGCAGCCAGCAAGACTTCAGAAACGTTCAAGAAGCGATGCATCGAGCCTACAGTCAAAGTCGTCCATCCGAAGCAGACGGGCGGCAGAGGCTTCGAAGGCACATCACTGGGCAAACGGAGATGAGCCCTTAAGTGAGCATACGAAGAGAGACACGATCGATGCCGCCGTGGCCAATATGCTCTCTGCACCTTTTGCGACTGACAGCTCTCTACGCGCTCTCACGACCGAGCATGTCAGCAAGCGACTAAGGATGAGCTCAGACTCGGCAGAACCACGCAAAAGCGTCGCGCCGTCCATGATACGACGCGACAGTCAGCGCTCGAGCGCATCGCGACGACGTCAGGAGGTCCTACCCAGCATATCGGAAACCTTCAGTGAGCCTTGCCCTCGTCTCGATGTGTTGCGCGAGCCATCGTCTTCCTCGTCCGTCCGAAGCCTAGCGGACGAGCTACGAGATGCCGAGGCGAATCGTATCGACGTGCTCGAGCGCGAGAACGCTCGACTTATTGAAGAAGTGAGTCATCGCCACCTCTGCTAGAGCATATGTGCTGACTAGACTTTGCAGCTCGAGCGATCTCGCGAAGAATCCCGCATGTCATCTGCAGCCTCGTCTAGCGTCTGCACTTGCGGACAAAGCTTGACAACCTCGCACAACCTGCTATTTGGACTCGCGCACACCGACGCGCCGCCGCCGCCGCCGCCCATGCCAGTTCCTCCACCTCCACCGCCCGTAGTCACAGACTCGGATCCTCTGCAAGCACTGGCGTTAGCTCGTGCCGGTCTCAATAGGAACAAGAACAGCCTAGACTCGCTCTCGTCGTCCGAGAAACGCGCGACTGTGCCAGTGCAGAATATGGGCGAATTTCTATCTGAACTCAAGCGGGTCAAGCTGCGCAAGTCTTCGCCGATCGAATCGCCTGCGGGTGAGCATGCTGCAGAAACACAGCCGAGCGGGTTCTGTTCGTGGCCATCAATGTTGCATCTCGCTAGGCTGACTCAATAAACAGTATCTGTGCTCAGACGGACCGGCAGCCTCGTGCATAAGACGACACGAAGAGCTACGACTGAGCCACGGGATACACTTCTGCCGCCACTACGGCAGACTCGCAGCCGTACCATCTCAAGCGATGCAGAGCCGCTTGCAGCCGCGACTCGCGTAATCCGCGCAGGACATGACCAGTACGAGCGTCGACCCTCTTCCGTCAAAGCAAAACCGGACGGAAGTCTGGCTTATCACGTCATCGACACTTCGGAACCTCTTATACAGACACAAAAGCGGAGGCGCGAGCATTCGCAAGAGTTCGCCATCCATCGCGACCAGCCCAAGCGTGTGCGCAGAGAGCAGAAGACGCTCGCTGCTGATCATTCGACGTCGATGCTTCGCAAGCCCGATCACATCATGCCTTCTCTGACGAGCAAGCATGCAAAACCTCTTACGCCAAGTCGGCGGCGCCTCAAAAAGCGCAACCAACCTTTAGCGATCAGACAGAATCAGGAGCTGCAAGAAGAGATAGCCGAAATTGAGATAGAGTCTGAGGATGCAAAGGAATTGCTCGAACAGGAGGAGTATGTCGGCCGAGGTTCGCGACCGAGCGCACCAGACGATGTCGTCGGCTTTGGCAACGTGCGACCACCTCGCCAAGTCAAGAGTACGAGCGGAAGAGAATGGAGACAGCGCAGAGACGGTTCGTGGGTGCTCAAGTGAATGTCAAATGTACTACATCTTCTCGTCGTTTACAAAGATTTGCCCATGAATTTGCGTTTCTGCAGACGCTCGCTACAGTCAGTCATGTAGCGACGACGGACACGGCATCGGCTCACCTGAAAAGACATCCACCACTTGCTAGGCGTGCCCGTTGCGTATACCTTTTGGACTAGCCTGATGGCAGTCTCTTGTCTGGCTTGCAGGAGATATTGTCTCAGCAGATCTTTTCTATCTGTCAGTAGCAGCGCGCTAGGAGAGGAAGCCTACATACCAGCGTCTATCCGACTCGCCGGTGGCTGGTAGACCGAATTGAGAGGGAAGGATGCATCTCCCGGCAGGGCAAAGTTGTCTAGCGCGTGACTGGTGAGTTGCTTTGTCGCCTCATTGACAGACCAAGACTTTGCGGATGGTGATGCAATCCGGGTGAGGCAGTCTGAAATGAAGAGGATGAGGTAGATGAGTACTCTGTCTGCGCCGCCTTTGATCTCAAAGTTGCGGAACATCGAATTGGCCCGAAAGAGGTCGATGGACTCGTCGATGATGTCGGGTACCTCCGCGTCGGCTGTAAGCATAGCTCAGTCATCAGTTTGAACGTCTGCTTGAGACCCATTGCGCACCTGCAGGAGGCGCAGGACCTCTGATGCGTGTGCTAAACGGCAATATGGCCAGATTGCCGACTTGCTGATAGCCCGAGGCTGTCTCGTTCCAGATAGAGTGATACTACCGCCCTGTCATCAGTCAAAGATCTCTGCCTCAGTCAGTGTACCCACAGCAGGCATATTGTCTGACTTGTGACCCCGAACACCGCCTGGTAGTGGATGGTGACCAGCTTGGCTTGTCGCGCTGCTCGGCCCAACATCGATTGTCAGCCTGCCGTCGTCGAACATGAGCGAATGCTCGGCAGAGCACTGCATCGCCTGACGTCTCACACTCACTGCGCTCGAAGACGCATGTCAAGCTCGTACAATGGCTTGTCAGCCGCTCAGAAAACGCATGCGACGTCTTTCCAGACCACAATTTTGCCTGTGTGTGTAGATGCGATCACCTTCAATGGTGATGTGCCTGAGATCCACGATGCCGAATCGAGCAAGCATATCGACCGAGCAGCGCATGTTCTCAAGTCGGGCGGTATGGTTGGCCTTCCAACAGAAACAGTCTATGGCTTGGGCGCGGCAGCCTTGAACGAGCAGGCAGTACCTCATATCTTTGCCGCCAAGGGCAGGCCAAACGATAACCCGCTCATTGTACATATTGCCAGCCAGTCATGGCTTTCTGAGCTTGTCCAGCCCGACTGGCCCGTGCATGCAGCGTATCGCGCACTCATGGATGCGTTCTGGCCAGGACCTCTGACGCTGCTCTTTCCTGTCAGGGCAGACAGAGTGCCAGCTTGTGTTACTTGCGGTCAGAAGACTGTCGGTATCCGCTTTCCTTCGCATCCCGTCGCGCGCGCAATCATCCATCGCAGTGGTACGCCAATCGCAGCTCCCAGCGCAAATAGATCAGGCCGGCCAAGTCCGACGACGGCAGCGCATGTCATGACTGATTTGCAAGGTCGTTTGGAGCTCATCGTTGATGGCGGGCCCTGTCAAGTTGGTCTTGAGAGTACCGTCTTGGACGGCACGACTTGGTCCCGAGATCGAGTGCTCAATATACTGAGACCTGGCAAAGTCAGTCCAGAGGCAGTAGAAGCTTGCATGCGGTCCAGCAAGCTCGAAGCCACTGTTCGCTTGTATGCGCGCGATTATAGGGATGCTGAAACCGAAGCAAAGCCCTCGACGCCAGGCATGAAATATCAGCATTATTCGCCCTCGGTGCCAGTCTTCCTGCTTCGCAAGGCCGCGCATGATCAGGACGCTTCCAATAACGCTGCAATGATGGCTGCTTTACCGGCAAGCCTGAAACGCATAGGCGTCATGACGACTGATGGCTCAGATCTGCCATCAGCCCTCGCACACCGCTTCAATCGGCCGGTCGCATCTGAGCTGTATACATTAGGCCCGGCGACAGATCCAAATTCTCGCTCGCAACGCCTCTTCGCTGGTCTGCGTCATCTGGACAGCCTTGCTGTCGATGCTATCTTTGTCGAAGCGTTTGACTCAGCTGATAGCAATGTGGCCTACATGGAGCGCCTCAGGAAAGCAGCCGGAGCTCAGCGCGCTCACGCCTTGCTCATATGACGACACGCGCAAGTCTGCGAAGAGACCGTGCAATGGTGCGCTAAACGATACAGCCTGGTCCAGCGTGACAAGTGCGAAATGGCAAACAAGAGAGAGAGAGAGCGCGATGCGAGAAGTCTTTCGGCGGACTTCGAATACAGGTCGGTGCGAGGTTGCGAGAGGCGTGTATGAGAAGCCAGTCAGATATTGCCAGTCCAGACGTCGGTGTCCGGCTTGGAGATGACGATCACGGGCGGCGGCGTTGCGATTGTCTTGCGAACATTCTTGCGCGCCCACGTGTTGCTCACTGTGACGCAAGGCATTGCAAGCAGATTCTGAAGCGAGTCCTTGGCTTTGAGGCGATGTTCCTGAGGTGGCACGGGCTCGCCATCGACCGAAGCGTGCGAGGACGCCTGAGATTCCTTTTCGGGCGATACCTCGAATGACACTTCTGACAAGGAAGTCGTGTCGCTGGCCGCAGAATCTGCTGTCGCGGGAGTCGTATCACACACGACGCGTGCGACTGACGGCAGAATGGGCAGCGATGTCTGACCTTGTGCGCTGTTGCGTCTGAGCAAGGGGCGAGCTGCTTCGCGCAAATGAGCATACGTCGCTGCGCGTCGCAGCAATTTTGGCAGAGGCTGCGAAACCGTGCGCAATGGCTTGCTCGCTCCAGGCGAATCTGTCTCGATCGTGGGCACTTCGTCGTCGCTATCTAATGCCCCGGTAGCTCGAGGCGGTCGGTGCAAGACAGATTCCGACGCATGACGCCTCAGTGTCTTGAGAAGGTAGGATGTTCGCTCGCTCGCTGTTGGCGATGGAGGCGCACTAGGTCGATTATGCAGCTCGTGCGTTGATTCGACAGACTCCCGACGGCCCATACCAGGTCGCGCAATTTGTGAGAAATGGAGGAAGTCGCTGCCCATCTGTTTGGGATCATCGAGTGTGCTCGTCTGATGGCCTGAGCTGAGCACGACCGTCGCGCTCTTGGCATTGTAGACCTGTGAATGGGCAGCAAAAGGCGGCGAGGCAGCAATGCTGATTGCTCCTTTGTCGAGCAGCTCGTCTTGAGAGTCTTCTTCACCGCTCAATCTGACAAGCGTCGCTGAAGAATTTGTACGGGCTGAAAGCCGACCACTTCCTCTTCGCTCGGGCGGCGCATGCATTTCGTCATCACGACTAGAGCCGTCTGGCTTCCTTGCTGCCTGAGATGCTGCAACGGTGTGCTGAAGCCATTCCGAAGTGCGCAAGATCTTCAGCTGGTCGATTGATTCGACTTCGCGACCCGTCTTTGGTACGGCGGTGATTGACGTGTCAACGAGCAGAAGCGGCTTCGTTTGCGGCACTTTGCGACGGTGAGCAGCACCGGAATCTTGCGCGTCTTCCTCGGGCACGCCTCCGAGTAGTGAGAAGATGCCGCCGAGTGACATGAGCGAAGGACGGTTGCGGAGCCGCTTCGCATCTGCTGCTTCACCCTTGCGATAGCTCAATCCGCCAACGTTACCAACGCTGGATGGTGGCGTATTGGTAGGGTCCTGGATCGACTGTCGACGAGTATGACCGCCCGTTGGAGACCTGGGCGAAGTGGGCAGAGATGCCATGGTCGAAATGGAGGTCGTCTGCTTATGCGTTTTGGGACTGGCGGCTTGCGAATCCTTGAAGCCCATCTGCTGAAGCATCTGCCTCACACATGTCAGCTGCACGCAGGTCAATGGTATGGAGCGACGGACTTCTTCCATCGAGCTGTACGTCGCTTGGTCGAATGGCTTAATGACGGACGATCCCGGACAGGTGGAATCATTGTCCGTATCGTACAAGGGTGAGGAGACATGCGGGCGATTCGTGCGTGATAGCTGCGTCAAGCGAGCGTACGCTTGTTCGCGCAGTGCATCGCGTGCTCTCGCCCTGGCCGCCGGATCTGCTTGAGCGGCCGGAACGATGTCGGGCGATGGTTGCAACGCCAGCGGCCTCTCGGGCGCGTGGCTCTGCGCCTCGACGTGCCCTGCGATGATACATCAGATCGGTATGCGCTACGGTATGGATCTCCTTACTTTGCAAGACACCTTGCGCAGTCGCTTGTCGTCTAGCATGCGGCCGTCGACCGCTCGTCTTGCCCATCTCCGTGTCCGAAAAGTCAACGCTCGCCCGACGACGGACGACTGGCTCGCGTGGAACGTATCGATCGAAGTCTTGACGATGTGGCCGAGGCGCGTTACGCGGCATTGGAGGCGGAGGCATGGCGGAATAGAACATCTCTTCCTGAGGGTAATAAGATGGTTCATACGCTTGCCAATACTGTTGATTCGGATCTTGACCGTACGCGAGCATTGTCTCGTCATACTGCGGCTCCGGGTACGCATATCGTGATGGCGAGTCGTAGTACTGCGGCTCGTATGCCAGACGACGTGGTGATACTAGCTGAGGCTCATAAGTATACAGCGGCTGCCCGTCGAAGCTTTCCTGCGTCGCTTGCCGCCTCCTTCGCCTACTCTTGTCGCGTCTTCGCTCTTCCGTCTTGCGCCGACCGTGAGCTTTCGCCGGCGAACGCGGGGCAGAGACTGCATTGTGCTCCGGAGGAGATGCAGTCCGCTCGAGATCCAGGCCAAGGCCGACGAGCGCACCCGAGCCAGATGCGCCTGCCAAGTTGGAACCGGCTTCCTGGGAAGGTTGGTCCTCTTGCTCTGAGGTGACATCTGATTGCTGCAAGACAGGCGAGACGGGTGGTGTGCTCAGGCCGGGCAGATTGGACAGACCGAGCAAGGCTGTTGAGAAGCCTTTGCTTGCACGGAGGCTGCCGTCGTCCGCGACTGACCTCTGGGACGCTTGCAATTGAGCCTGCGACGGTCGCACGGTCGCGATCGAGGTCGATGATGACTTGTGAGAGAGAGACGGTTTATCAGTGAAACGGAGGAGATCTTCCTCCATGTCTGACAAATTCTCATCGTCGAGAGTCTGCTGAGTCAAGCTCACAGGGGCGCCTTGGAATACAGACGAGGCCGATGAGGATAGCGATGCCGCAGGAGAAGGCAGGTAAGCAGCAAATCGATTCGCGTGGGGTGAGGACAACCCGAGCGCAACACCATTGCTGGTCACGACAGGTGCTGCCGCCGTGGTTTTTGCCACAAGAGCAGGTGCAAAGATGGAGTCGAGCGGCATCTCGCCTTCGACCGTGTCTGATTCTCTGGCAGCAGATGCGCGGCAGAAGGCTGGATCTGACTGTACTTTACGCAAGGGCCTTTCGAAGTCGAACACGTTCTGCTCAGGTACTTCGGCAGCTTGTGCTGGCTGACTGATCTCGTCCGCTTCGAGCTCTGGCTCTTCGCGGACCTGGTCGATGCTCCTCCTAGCTTGGTATGCTTCGATGCGCTCCCAGTCCTCTTCAGGTTGCGCTTGCTGTGAGATCGGGACCTCGTCAGGGAAGAAGTGGATCTCGGTGCCGATGGAGATGCGGTTCTTCTTCTTCTGTGCTGCCTGCGATAGCTGCTGTTGCGGCGGTCTCTCTGCAGGATCGCCAGTACGGACCGTTAGCTATGAGCCACAAAACAGTCTACTGCTGGTGCGACTCACGAGCGACCGGGGGCTGAGGGGATGACGCTCCTAGGGCAGCTCTGACGAGTCGGCTGCCGAGGGATAGCTTTGTAGTTGCAGGCTGATTCTGCAGGGTATGCAACGAGTACGTCGAGGGTTCAGGATGTTTGTCGTCCTCCGAAGAGGCAGACGAAGCGTTGTCGGGCTGCAAGTCGTCGTCTGCGTTGAGATCAAAGATGTCAAGCCAAGATATCTTCATGATGTTGCCTTGGTCTGGCAGCCCCTCATGGCAGATCTCGGTGACAGATGACAAGCGCGAACGTGTAGCTTGGAAGAAGTCTCGTCGTACTTTGTTGCCATGACAGATGCGTCTCAGTCCATGACGATTGCTGCCACTGTCCGGTCGCTGCTTGCACTTGCGAGGCTTGCTAGGCAATACAAACGAGTCCTGACTTCAGCTGGGTCCGAGCCGCGCGTGTTGTGATTAGGCACGTGACTGATGAGATCTCGACGGCGAACCAGGCGAGCGGAGGATTCACGACTTGTTCAATGGCTTTCCATGCCGCCTTTGTCGAGGCTATCAATCGTTCGCTGCTGCTGGCCTGATTTGATCCAGTCCCATGTGACCTCCAATGCTCGCAGGTCTCAATGAACGTCTCCCCGATCGCACAGACACATCTTCAGCTTCGATTCTGCAGACAGATTCCGCGAATTTGCGCCAGTCGTTGGAAGACCAGCCGGCCCTGAACAAGTTTGCTCGGCGCCAGTATGTAGCGGTACGATAGATTTGCTCCTCGTCCAGCCTGCCTGACTCGCGTCAGTCAGCAATTGGACAAGTTTGACAAGGGTTTGCAAGCTGCCCTGTCGAGGTTACAGGAGGAGAGTCTAACACCAGCTGAAGGTGCTACCCTTCAGGATGCAATCCCGGTCAGAGCCTCGGCACCCTCGAGGTTCCGACTCACGCGCAACGAGGATCCCGAGCCAAAGACGCAAACTCAGGAGGACAGAGCCGCAAAAAGCACTTCGCCAATACCAACACTGACAGCCGGGCGACGTCGAGGAGCATATGTCACGTTCTCAGACTGTCTCCGCGATGCTCTATTGAGCAGCATCACCCTCGTTGACCTAGACGAGTGTTTCGTTGACTTGTCGACCGCGCCAGCGAACAAGCTGGCGGGCTTGCATCTTAAGAATCTACATCGCTGTCTGGTTTTCGCGCCAGACATTGCAAACAGCCTGATGCTCCATGACTGCACCGAGTGTTTATGCATTGTGCAATGCCAACAAGTGAGCGTGAAGACTGCTGAAGTCTTATCGAGTGCTGATCGCCCGCGCAGCTGAGAGTGCACACGAGCTATCGATGTGCCTTTGCGCTCCATTCTCGCTCCCCTCCTATCATAGAGAGCAGCAATACGCTCGTGTTTGACGGCTGGCCGCTCGATCTGTCGCCTGTAATGAATCAGACGCCCAGCAAGCATGCGGATGTGCAAGATTTTGATGATCCGCTGTCGACCTCATCCACACCGAATTGGCAGCTTGCAACGCTTGACAATAGGCTGACAGCGGGCTTGCGAGAGCTGCAAAGTATAGGCAGCGCCAACGGTCGTTGCGATGAGAGCGCTCTGCAATCTGTACTGTCAGCTTTGCAGACCGTCAAGTGATGCTGCAAATTGCCTCAAATTGCGATAGCCTGGCTCGGTAGCAGCTGAGCAGACGGTTGCGTCCATACCCGGTCGAGCTCTCCGATCATACCATGAAGCGCGCCGTCCTTCTCCAGGGCTCGCGTGCGTCTCTGTCTCTCCTGATAGGCTGCATCGAGCCTGGCCATCTCCGCATGAAGATCTGAACCATGTAGAGGCGAATGCTGTGGAGTTGGCGCAGACAGAGTCCTTTTGGGCGTCGCGGGCGGCACGACAAGCGTTGCACTGCCAGCAGCATGCGCACTACTACTCGCTTGAGAGAGGTAACCTGACGAATCAGGAAGACTCGCGACCGAGGGGTAGCTTTCTTCGACTGTCCTGAGCGCATGCCTGCGAGGCGCCTGTGCATCTTCCCTTGCTTGCGGAGCTAGGACGACTTTGACGATTCTTCTTTTGGCTGGTCCGAAGTCATCGTGGTCGTAATGTCGTGCGAGTCGTTGCCAGGGCTCAATGATCAGTTGGAAGAGCTTGACAGCGCCGTCTGTGTGACTGCTCATCGCCCATAGTAGCAGGATTACCTTCAAAGTTGGCCATCGATCGCCGAACCAGCCTTGCGCGAGCGAGATGCGGGTTGTGTTCGTCGTCGGTGGCAGGAAGCTCAGTGGGTACTTTGCGCTGCTGGACATGGCTGCAGAGACCTGGTCCCATGCTTTTGGCTGAGGAAAAGGCTTGCGCAGGGTCGATGGTGAAGTGGTCAGGGCGGCGGGAACACGACCGGCAGAACGTCGCAAGCTGCCCAGCAATCGAGGGAGCAGACTGAAGAAGCGCGTCAGTGTGCTCGCGGTCGAACGCGTCTGCATCACCGTCGGTGCAGGCGTGAAAGCCGAGTTGGGCTGATGTCTCTTGGGCGAGAGTTGGGCTGCTTCTAGCCAGGCAATAGAGACCCATAAGATCCAATAGGACAGTAATCGTTTGACTTCGTCCAGCACCCGTAGTATTGACGCGGGTTTGACGGCATCGCTGTGCAACTGACCGAGCAGCGTACCCGATTGCCCGATGAGCCTTATAGATTGCCATGCGGGCAGCGCAGTCAGAAGAAGGCTGAGGGCAAGCTCTTTCTGAGCAAAATAGAACCGGCGTGCTTGCCATCCCGTGAAGCTGAGGATTGCCAAGACGCTATATGGCTCGGGTAGACCAGCTTTAGCAAGCCACTGGACGAAACGAGTGCCAATCAGGGCATGCTCGGTCAGCGCTAGTCTGTCCAATGGCGCCTCAAGGATGTATCGTATCGCGGGTGCTAAAGGTGTCAAGACCGCATGATCCAGCACGGTCTCGACATGCTGATAGATCGTCGTACTGATGGGCAAGGAGCGACTGTCCGTGTCATCTTCTGCCGCTCTTTGCTTGCCCTTGGTGCGATCATTGACGGCCATCGTGGAGTGAGCTTCATTCGCGTCGAGCATCGTCGTCGACAATCGTCGGCGTTCCTCAAGTCAGCCGCCTGTCAGCTCCTCGAGTGTGCTCCCATGGACTCGGACGACGACTACGACTCGGTCGACTCGTTCATCGACGACGAAGAGGAGGCAGGCCGTTCATTCCACGCGCAAAAGGGTGCAAAGGGCAAAGCAGCTCAGGGCAAGGCGAACAAGCGCCGCAAGACGGCCAATGGTACCGCTAATGGCGAGGCCAACTACTCCTGGGAAGAGGACTACAAGCGGTCATGGGATGTTGTCAGAGAGGACGAGAGAGGCTCGCTGCAGGGCGCCGTCAAGGATATTCTCGAGCGTAGCAAACGGCGCCGGTACGCTCACTCTATCCTCTGCCGCCGTACAGTCCTGATAGCTTCGCTCTGACAGGATCATGCGCGACACGACATCGATACAGCGAGGCATCATACGGCATCTCTACTTCATCATCGATCTATCGGAAGCAATGACCGATAGAGACCTCCGGCCAACTCGCCTCGAGCTCACCATCAAATACGCCATCGAGTTCGTCAACGAGTACTTTGATCAGAATCCGATCTCGCAGATGGCCATTCTGGTCACCAAAGACGGCATAGCCGAGCGAATCAGTCCTCTCAGCGGTAGGCCTTTTGACCGCGCTTCATAGAACGCGTCTTATGCTTCGATATATGACAGGCAATCCGGTCGACCACGTGAGGGCCCTGGAAAGCAAGCGCAAGCTCGATCCATCCGGCGAGCCCAGCTTGCAGAATGTGCTCGAGATGGCGCGATCCGGTTTGGCTCATCTGCCTTCGCATGGATCCAGAGAAGTAGTCATCATCTTCGGTTCACTGACTACCTGCGATCCCGGCAACATACACACAACGATGGAAGCCCTCGTGAAAGATCGGTCAGTTCTTTACGCACCTGTGGTTCATCGTCGTGCTGAAGCCCATCCGGCAGGGTGCGCGTCAATATCGTGGGCTTGTCTGCAGAGATGAGTATCTGCAAAGAAGTCTGCAAGCGTACAAAAGGAGTCTATGGAGTCGTGACCAACGAGGCGCACTACAAGGATCTTCTCTTTGAGCTTGTCCCACCACCAGCGACACATCGACCCGAAGCCGGACCTGACGGATCACGCAGCAACAATACCGGCGCAGATCTCATGCAGATGGGCTTCCCCTCATTATCGAGCTCGACGTTCGGCGCGCTGTGTTCGTGTCACTCACGTCTGAAGACGACCGGCTTCAACTGTCCGCGATGCGCCAGTCGGCTCTGCGAGGTACCTACAGAATGCGGCATCTGCAGTCTCACCGTCGTGAGCAGCCCTCACCTGGCAAGAAGCTATCGGCATCTCTTCCCAGTCAAAAATTACCTCGAAGTGAATAACGGGTAGGTCTTCACCATCTCGGTAGCACAAGTCGCTTATGCGTCGTATACAGGCAGCCAGGCGAGGACTCTTGGCCTGCTGAATGTTTTGCATGCTCGCTCAAGTTCTCTACTGTGGCCGTTTCTGCAGCGACGACTGGCGCACCTCCTACTGCAGCCAGTACGGCTTCGCGAATTTCTTCGACTGGGCGCTACGAATGCCCACGCTGCCACAATCACTTTTGCATCGACTGTGATCTACATGCTCACGAGGTGCTCGGCGTTTGTCCGGGCTGTCTATGACAAGCTGTTGTTGCCATCAATCATATGCATGTACTGGTGTTTTGAAATCGTACGAAACCCCGGTGACATGTCGCGCGCTTGTCGATACCGAACTGCTTGTCGGTCGAGATAAGCTTTGTCCTTTTGCCTGCGTCAATGGAGAGATTCGATATCCTATCCGACGTGCGAGTATCGTTAAATATGGTCGCCATCAGGTCGTTTAAGTCGTGTCGGTTTTGAGCTGGTGCACAAAGTAAACGCGTCCATTAAGTTATGCGAATTCGAATTCCACAACCAACCGCGCTCTCTGGGCGCAAGTAAAATAAGTTAATTCGTTCGCATGCGCGCGGGGCTGCGGGGCCTCTCTTGCTGAACGTCCACGCCCATGTGCTACCGTCGGCATGGCCATTACCTGCGCCAGAGATGTTCATAGCGTCCCTCCCATACACGCTTCAAGTTTGAGCAGCAGAGAGACGCCGACTGCAAAGACGGCGCGCACGAGCGATATAGTCGAGTCTGTCGACAGTGCTAGCTTTGTGTCTGCACCTTCGTCGATCGTTCCGAGCCCTCTCAGGACCAGCGTTGATGACCGCAGCGAAGTCGACAGCGAGGCTGCTCGATATCCTCCGCGCAGCATCACCTTTGAGCTGCCGCCCGTTGATCGAGGCAGAGGGGCATGGCAATACCTCATCGCTTCTTTCTTCATAGAAGCGACGATATGGGGCACACCCAACTCATACGGCGTATTTCTAGCGGCTTACTTGGACAGGCCAATCGCCAAGTCAGCAGGCGCAACGACGCTTCTGCCTCTCGTCGGCGTACTAAGCTCTGGCCTCATGTATCTGCTCTCGCCATTGATCTTTGCATACATCAATCGATTTCCGGGTCATCGGAAACGATTGAGCTGGTCGGGCGCGATAATCTGCGCCAGTAGTCTGGTCATCTCGAGCTTTGCAAAGAGCGCTTTCCAGCTCGTCCTAACCCAGGGCGCAAGCTATGCGATTGGCGGAGCGCTAATCTACTATGTCAATATAGCATCTCTCAGCGAATGGTGGGTCGCAAAGCGAGGCATGGCCAACGGTATCGTCTTTGCCGGCACGGCAGCAGGCGGTCTCATCTTACCCTTTGTGCTCAACGCTCTTATCGACCGCTTCGGTCTCGAGAGGGCACTTCAATCGCTCGGCGTTTTCACTGGTCTTGCGCTGGCTTGCCTCTTACCACTGACACGCAACCGAGTGCCGCTCAGTAAAGCCACAGGTGCGCCACACGCAACATATGGATTTGCTTCCTTTCCTGTGCGCAACAAAGCGCTATGGATCTACTTCTTGGCCAATCTGCTCAACTCGATGGCTTACTTCATCCCTGCATTGTGGCTTCCAGCGTTCGCCAGTGCACTGGGACTACCGGCGAGCGATGGTACAGCAGCTCTGGCAGCCATCAACGCAGCTGCGGTCGTCTCTCGTATCGGTCTCGGCTTTCTGTCAGATCGCAAATCGCCTCATATCATCGGAGGCTTGACGGCAATGAGTAGCGCAGCTGCCATCTTGCTCATCTGGGGCATCGCTAGCGTCACTTTCGCCTGGCTGCTTGTCTTTGCGATTGCATTTGGCGCACTCGCTGGCGGCTACACGTCACTGTGGGCAGCATCAATTCGTGAGGTAGCGAAAGATGACGCGCAAGCCACCGTGCTCATCTATGGTATCTTCTCGCTTACACGCGGGATCGGAGACGTCCTCGTTGCGCCCATCACGGCCGCCCTTTTCCAATCAGGCACACATATCAGCGGCAGGATCGGACTCGGCGTCGACCCGGGTAAGGCTTTACCATGTGTGTTCGAAACGGAGCTGAACAACACGATGGTAGGCTACGCGAGCATCATTCTGTTTGCTGGCGGCGTCATGGCGCTCGGCTCCTTCGTCGAAGTTTTAGGCTTATACGTGCAGCGCAAGCAGCGCAAGGAGCAGTAAAATATTTTGTCTTCAGTCAGCTCTGACAGCCTCGCATCGACGCAGTATTGGTGTTCTCATCTCTCACCCTCAGCGCAACGACACTCTCATCAGTTTGATTGCTCGAGACCGCGCACAGGTCGCAGCTCTGCAATCATTTCCGGCGACGTCCGCCCTGCTTGTTTGCTTTGCTGGGCGCAATCTTGCGAGCTGACGATGTCGCGCTGCCCTCCGGCTCTTCGCTCTCGTCCGGCGCCATGTAGATCGCTTTTGATGGCCCTCTAGCACGGTTGATACCACTAGCAATCAGACTGGGCACCCATGTCCGCTGCCAAGAAGGCGCAACAGCAGCAGATTCGTCTAATGGAATCTCTGCAAGGCACTGATGAGCTCGAAATACGAGACCGATGGGCTACGCACCATCGCCATCTTCTGTTGCGATGAAGACCTGATCGCCTTGTACGATCAGGCTTAGCATATCGCGCGAGCCGCCACGAGCAGGTGCGGGTTCATCGCCTTCTGCTTCCGCCAGGCCAACATCGCGGATGGGCACTTTGACTTTCTTGCGTGTCTGCTGTACTGGCTTGCCTTTGCCATACGCTGTCGCTTTGGCCACGCTCTGAAACCTGGAGTGCGGTCTTCAGCATCGTATTACATCCTTGTAGAGAGGACCCCACTCACCGTCTGATGCGTTTGAGTTCGGATTTGTAGTTTAGACGGTGCACGAGATTCTGCACCATGCAAGTGACCAGAGCAAGAAAAGTGAGCGCTGCGCCTAGACCAGGACGATAGCGTGAGTAGAAGTCTGCCAAATCACTCTGTCAGCAGTAGCGCGAGGTGAGTGACGCGACGAACAGCCAGTTCCTGCGTCGTGGACGTCAGCTCCTTGCGATTCAGCCAGAAGCAGGACGAAAGCGCACCTTTCCACTTTGGCACTCCGTTCTCGTAGAAGTAGTGATATCTGCACCAGCTACATCAGCTGCTCACGACCAAGAGAGATGCGCGCGGTCTGACCTTTTGCGTTTCTCTTCGCTCCTGAGGATGTTGGCGATGACGCCCAAGCGAGCGAATCGTTCGGGTGCACCCTTCATGTGCGGGTTCTTGTCCGGGTGTAGCTCCAGTGAACGCTTGCGGTACATCCTGCCAATGTCGGCCGAAGTGGCTGTCGGGGTGACATTGAGGAAAGAATAAAAGGAAGTGCCTTTGCCTTCTGCGAGCTCGAGCGCCGATACGAGGTCAAAGATCTCGCTGTCTTCTTGCATCAGCAGCAGCGGTGTGCTGAGCCAGAAAGCGCTTTACAAGTCCTCTGCGTCCCATGCCAACACGCTGGGTGCGAGCGCTCATCAGCTGGCCGCAATGCCATCAAGCGTGGCATCTCGCTTACCTCCGCGCCAACGCGAGCAGTAGGGCCGCAAGGAGCGCCCATCGAGCGAGCCAGGACAGCATTGCGACGGTGTTCGGCTGGCGGCGCTGGCAACGCGCGACGTCGCGACTATCGACAGTGTGCCGCCCAGAAAATCGAGCGACAGACAGTGTCCATCGCAGGCGAGCAGGCATGCTGAGGAGCACGTCCGGTCAGCTTCGGCTTGCGAGCAGGAGTCTGTCTGTACATCAACTTGGCCCGGCACGCTGTTTGGATCAGTCTATAGCGCTATCGAGCAGACATGACGTAGCTAGAACGAGACGATCATTACACCAGTCGCTGGCCGTTCGGGCGACACGGCAACATGCTACGCTTCCTCTCATAGCTGCAAGTCAGCGCTTCGGATCGCGCAGAGGCTACGAACATCAGCGCACGCAAGGTGATCTGCCTCTTTATGCAGTCCTCGCTCTTCAGCCATTGTTTTTGACCTCGATCGACTGCGACAGTCTCGAGGAGCCAAAGATGGAAAGATCAGCCGAGAAGAAAGCGACGAACGAGCCGGAGGATATCGTCGTGCTCATTCACGAGGAGTCACATCACTCCAATGGCGTCTTTCATACCATCTTTCTCTTCTTTGACAAATATCTGTTCGAACCCATCTCTACGACCCGACGGTTCCTGTACCTCGGTCTGCTCTTCTTACCTGTCATCTTGTCAGCCCCAATCCTGTTACTCGAATGGACGGACCTGGGACGCGGCAAGGCACTGACGCGATCTGGTCGACGCCGTGCTGCCAATCGCCAGGCAAAGGGCATGACAGAGCGTTCGACGACAATCTGGTGGTATGGCTTGCTCGTACACCAGATGGAACGAGCTGGCCCGACTTTCATCAAGCTAGCCCAATGGGCCGGTTCCAGACGAGATCTATTCCCGGACACGCTATGCGCGCTCTTTGGCCGACTCCACTCTGGCGGCAAGCCTCACGCCCTGTCTCATACCAAGAAGGCACTCGAGCATGCCTTCCAGCGACCATTCGCAGAAATCTTCAGCGAATTCGACGAGAACCCGATGGGCATTGGCGCCGTTGGACAGGCATACAAGGGCACCCTCAACACCGATCTCCTGCCTGCACATTACCTAGGCCCGAAGCACCAAGACGTGGACGGACCGACGCAAAAGCTCAAGCGAGCTATTGCGCCTGCTACAGAGGACTCCAAGCCGCCTGCTGTACCTACGACCAGCGTGGCCATCAAGGTATTGCACCCTGGCGTGCGAAAGATGATTAATCGCGATCTCAAAATCATGTCTGTCCTTGCCAACATGCTCAATGCCGTGCCAGGTATGGAGTGGCTCAGCTTCCCAGAGGAAGTCGAGGTCTTTGGCGGTATGATGCGCGCCCAACTCGATCTACGAACGGAAGCACAGAATCTGCAGACATTCGAGCATAATTTCCGTCACCGCAAGACCGTCAGCTTCCCGCGCCCTCTGACAGACTACACCAGTCAGAGTGTACTCGTGGAAGAGTACGAAGATGCTGTGCCGCTCAAGATGTTTCTGCGCGAGGGTGGCGGTCCGTACGATGAGAAGATCGCCAATCTCGGCCTCGACGCTTTCTTGGTAAGCTAACATAACACGCTTCAGTCGGGTTGAGCTGAACAGCGAATGACAGAACATGCTTCTCATAGACAATTTTGTGCATTCTGATCTTCACCCAGGCAATATCTTTGTCAAATTCTATCCACGCAGCACAAAGGGTTTCTTACAGTCAATCTGGGCGAGCCTCTTCGACAAGGAGGAGCCCGATCCCGCTTCCGCAGCAGGCAGCGAGTCACTTGATATCGCACACCGCCTGAGAAAATTGTCGCACGATCACGAGCAGTGGGCCGCAGAATTGGATAAGCTCAATGATCAAGGCTACGAGCCTGAACTCGTCTTCATCGATACCGGCCTCGTCACAGAGCTCAATGATGTCAACCGGAGGAATTTCATTGATCTCTTTAGAGCTGTTGCAGAGTTTGATGGGCACAAGGCCGGCGTGGTACGTCCCGCGCTCTTTCCGTCCGACCAGACTGAACCACATGATACAGCTCATGGTCGAGCGATGCCGCGCACCTGATCTGGTCGTCGACGAAGACACTTTTGCACTCAAGATGCAGCATCTCATCTTATCTGTCAAATCGCAAACTTTCAGCTTAGCAAAGATCAAGATCTCCGACGTCCTCTCGCAAGTGTTGACCAATATCAGGGAGCATCATGTGAAGCTCGAGGCCGACTTTGTGAATACAGTCATTTCGATCTTGCTGCTAGAAGGTATCGGACGTCAGCTCAATCCAGAGATGGATCTCTTCAAATCCGCCCTGCCTATCCTGCGCAGTCTTGGCGGACAGATGGACAAAGGCGACGTCTTGCGAGGCGGCGTCAGAGCGAGTGACATCGTGCCCATGCTGAAGATCTGGGGATGGATTGAGATTCGCGAAATGGCAAGCATCGCAATCAGCGAAGTCGACGATCTGTTACGGTATGACAATCTGATGCCGAATATATAGACTACAAGCGAATGCATATTGATCATGACAACATGTCGTTACACTGAGATCTCAGACATGGGTGGCATGGCGGCTTCGCGCTTTGCCAGGAAGGGCTCTGGACTGAGAGACATTGCGCCGAATGAGCTGCCTAGGTCAGCCGATCTGCGCTTTGAGGCTGGCCAAGGTGCTAGATGTGGCGATACAGAATCTGCGGCTTCCATTGCCTCGGCGTTCGTCGACACAGAGCTGCTGATCTGCTCCATTTCGCTCACATCGTCCTCATCTTCGGTATCGTCAGACTCGTCTCGCCATTCTCTGTAGAGGTCGTTGACGTAGACGCCAGATAGGGGTAGTTTGAAAGGGTCGAAAGGAAAGTGGGTGTCGAAGCGCGCTTCTGCCAGAGCGTGCTTGAGCATCGCGTTATGTACTGGGCCTTGGTTGGCAATACCGACGGATCGCTGTGAGCCTGGCTTGGGCTTAGTAGGCGAAGCGTGCGACGACGTAGACGAAGAAGCATGACGCTTGTTCGTCTCGAGGACAGTGTAGCAGTACATCAAACCAGTTGAATGCGAGATTCTCGCAAACTGCTCGACGACAGGAGCCGAGCAGATGGCAAGAGGGTTGAGAGGTGAGTCGACGGCAGCTTTGAGAGCGTCAAGCTCGGGAGGCCAGACGCGTGCGCCGGTAGGGCCCATCTCTGGACTCATAGCCTCGCCGACAGGATCTTCGTCTTCGAGCAATAGCTCTCGCCAGCGGAAGCAGAAGATATACATGACCGCCTGTACGACCGCATAAAAGACGGTGTACTGAGCGTAGGCTGGTATGACGTAGCCACTCTGGGTAGGCTCGAGGTGTGATAGCTGCTCGGAGATGTACTGACACATGATCCTGACGACCGTGCGCGCCCCATCTTGATCGAAGAATTTGGCGCGACTGACGAACGAGCCGAGATACGCAGCGCTAGCTACTCTGATGTAGTTTGGAGCATCAGTCTTGAAGAGAATACGCTCAATGAGTGCGCCAGTGAAATCATCGGTATACTCTGGGCTAAGCGAGACGCTCCAGAAGAGCAGGAACTGGACATGGCGCGTATTGAAGGTCTGCAGTATGTGCGTATCGAAGCTGGTCAGCAATGCGTCGAAGACAGCTCGCTTCTGCTCGTTGAGATCTTCGGCGGTGATCGTGCGCGATCGTGGCTGTCTGAGTATCGCGCCGTCATCAGCCTCGCTTTCGCTTGCGGTGCTGCTGTCGTCATCCTCCTCAGCTTCGGTAAGCGGGCTCGATCGGCCTTGAGCGACGGTGCGCTCCGCACGAGCAGTGAGGAACGCGAAGATCTCTCGCAGGATACAATCGAGCTTGGTGACAGTTTCTTTGAGTCGAGTCAACGCTTCATCTTCCGCATTGATGAGATTCTGTGCTTCCTCCCTGAGATCCTCGTCATCGCTCAGATCCTCCATGTCGAATGCCTCGTCGCCGCTACCATTGCTGTCGTCGTCTGCGGAATCATCAGATTCACCGATTGGTCGATCAAATGTATCTCGCGCTGAGCACTGGAATATCTGCTCTGATAGCTTGCCCTCGTCGTCCGCCAAAGTCTCGACCTCTTGTGTGATTTCAGCCTGCATGAAATGTCAGCAGATTCGTATATTTTTGCCGGGAGTGACTTACATCAAGCTTGACGGCTTTGGAGATGACGAGACCGAGAACGGTAGACAGTAGATCGGGACAGTACTCGATCACTCTGAGCACGTTGCGATAGTATGTCATGTGGTATTCCTTGCGCTCCCGTCTGGGAGGAAAGTGCGTCTGCAGTATGGGCGCGAGCGTACTCGGCAGAGTCGGGATGTAATCGCACAGAGAGTGCAAGAATCCATGCTGACGATCGTAGACCTCTCGGCGTGTGAGAGCACCCCCGACAAGGCTGCTAGGTCGCGGCAGCCGGGCTCCTGCTGTGTCTTGGGATGATTTCACATTGAGCCCAACGAGCGTATTGTAGCGCAGTGACTTTACTGCACGTTCTAACACGCTGCCCAGCCACTCGCTACGCACGAGTACAAGCGATCGCGTGAATTTGCCCCACGCTCTCCGCGGTTGTTCCTCCCAAGTGAACCAAGGGAGCGTGAGGATAGCGTCGACGAGGACGCGATGTGATTTGTCGAGCTTGCTCGTGCATTCTGATAGCGCTTCGAGCCATCGCGCTAGTTGCTGAGACTGTTGCGATCGACCGGACTGCTGATTGAGAGAATCATCATTCGACAACCGCCGTAGCTCCTCTATCAGTTCATCACGCCGCCTCATCTTGCCCTGTAGGATCTATCAGCTTGCAACTCGTGAACAGTATGACCACAGGATGCTGACCATGTAGCTCTCCAGCAGGGCGCTCTGAATAAAGGAGGTAAGCATATTGCGATCAGACAGCGAGCCGCCTGGGCCTAGCGACGCGAGGGCGGCGAGCGAGTCGTTGGTGCTGGACGACGGCTGAGCTTTGACGAGGCCAGAGACATTATCGTTGAGTGCGAGTAGAGAAAGCGAGTCTGTGGGGGATGTCCCTCTAGAAGAACCTGCTCTGGAAATCGTCGAGGCCGATCGACTTCGAGCCGCAGTGGGCGTGCGTGTCTGGGATGAAGACGAATGCCTCTTCTTGAGCATCGAAGGCATTCCAGAGGGTGAGCCATCATGTTCACGAGTCAAGGAACCGGGCAGAGGCCGTTTTGTGCCTGCCAAGTGGCTCTCGTGACCGGAGGATTGGTGTCGACTCGGAGCACGGCTGATAGGCAGCGGCTTGCTCGCGCTGCTCTGCCGTGGTGACTGGACGGGCTGTGACATCTTGCCATTCGGCTTGCGAGGCGAAGCGATGCTCCTATCGCCCAGTGTGCCCATCAACTCGAGGATTGGACTTGCTTTTGACTTTTTCAGGAGATCGTCATTCCTTCGCGCGCGCTGTCTCGTGATGACGCTCTGAATCCGATCCGTCAAGAGATGCGGCTCAAGATGGGCCACACAAGGCTCGAATGGCTCTCCGTCCTGCTTATCGTCGCACCGCTGACAGTAGTGCATGCTCTCAGCTTGCGTCCACGGGCTATTCCTGGTCCGAGCCAAGATCAGCGTGTGCTTGGCAGTCAGCAGAGTGCAGGCATACACACCCAGTCGACGACTCTCGTGGACTTGCTCTCCGCCGACGCCGACTTCTCGCTCTTGCTCAGACTGGTCCAGCGAGCCCGACTTGTCCCCACGCTGAATGCGCTCAATGGTTCGACTTTCTTTGCGCCGACGAATGATGCCATCAAGAGAATCCAGAACCAGACAGCTCGTCATCCGTTCAAGCTGGACACTCCAGTGGACAACATACAAGCAGAGCTGAGAGCCACGCTGCTGTATCACCTGCTCAACTATACGCTCAACGACACTGCAAACGCCAATGATCAGGTTGAGATGCACGAGACGATGCTCATACCATCACGCAAAGCCGGTCAAGGCCGGCCCGGGTCACCTGGCATGGGAGACGGTCATGACGATCAGTTGGACACACGCGATCAGTATGAGGATGACTACGGCTGGCTCGCCGGTCAAGGTCAAAAGCTCTTCATCGCGCCAAGTAAGACAACAGACAAGCCATCCCCTTTGCTCGTCGGCGTCTCTGCACAAGGTGCAGGTGGTGTCACTAGCGGTATATCACGCAGCGCAACCAACGGCAACCTCGTGCCGCTGGATGGCGTGCTCGATCCGCCCCGAAACCTCTCGCAGCAAATTGTCGACCATCCAGACCTTGCGCAGTTCCGAGCTCTCTTCGGCACGGACGAGCTCAACAAACGGATGAATCACACGCATTTGACTCTCTTTGCACCCAGCGATAAGGCTTGGGATGCTCTCGACGAATACGAGGTCAGTCGCTGGCATTGCCTCGGATCTCAGCTGAAATGCGCAACAGAAACGATATCTTGCTTCTGGCTTTGCACAGGACGATCTCGAGAAGATACTGCAACATCACCTCAGCTCAAGCAAACAGATCGGCTACTATGCCAAGGTCAAGAACGAGACCTTGTGTAAGCTAGCTCTCTATGACCTACACGACTCAGCTCATGATCTCTGAAGTGCCGACTCGATCAGGCGCATCTCTTGCGCTCGTGGTGAACAACGGCGTGCCAGAAGTCAATGGGAGTGCTTTGGTAGATTACGACATCCTTGCGCAAAACGGTGTCATGGTGCGCAGCACGCACTAAAAGACCGTGCAGTCCTGATCGCTGACAAACAGCACATCGTCGATACACTGCTTCTACCGCCAGAGGACAGTTTCACGCTGACACCGGAGAAGTATCTCATTGCGCTCAACGCCACTCGTTTTGTGGCTTTACTGCGCTCGGCGGAGCTTTCCAAGCATGTCCAGTCGAGCAACGCTTCCATGACCATCTTGGCAGTACGAGATGACGTTCTTGAACGATGGGAATCGGGATGGGATAGGACGCTGCCCGCCCAAGGAACGCGCGCATTGACCGAAGCGCTTCAGTATCATCTTGTGCCCGGCAAGTGGACTAGCAAGGATCTAGCAGATGGCATGCTACTGCCTACCTTGCTCGAGCCCGATAGTCTCGACCATGCGCCCCAATTGATCACAATATCGGTATCACAATCAGAATCAGAACCAGCCAGTCTCTTCTCCAAGCCAAAGCCGGAGAAGCCTACCGATCTGGGCTTCAACACCGCCAGCGTTATCGCTTCGCCTGTGGTTGTGGGCAATTCTATCATCTACTTGATCTCTCAAATGCTCGAAGCGCCTCCAAACGTCATCGAAACGGCGGTTTCCGATCTCCGCCTATCGACGTTTGTTGCGAGCGTCTTCGCTGCAGATCTAGATAAGAAGCTCAAAAAGCAGCCGGCTTTGACGTTCCTTGCGCCCGACAACGATGCATTTCGCAGGCTAGGTCTCGTCATGTCTTATCTCTTACTGCCGACTTCGCGGCGCGAGCTCGTCTCGACTCTGTCATATCACGCAGTCAGAGAATTGGTCTACGAGGAAGACTTCCAGCCCGGCTCAAACGAATACATGACACTGGAAGGATCGGGCATCTATATTGGCAAGAACGACACAGGCGCTCTACAAATCCACGGACCGACCCTGAGCGGCTTCAGAGTCAATGGCGATACTCGCGATGCCCATTTATTAGAATCCAACATTCTCACCAAAACGGGAGTGCTCCATGTGACCGATCACGTCGTCTTGCCACCCACGGTCAGCATCTCGATCGATAAGCTCATGCGAGGTGGCAAAGCATCTACAATGGCTGAGCTCCTCCGACTCACCAACCTTACCTGGGTGGCAGACGGCTCTCCACCTCCCGACGAAGCAAGTGCAGCAATGCTTCGCAAGAAGCTCAACAAGGCGCCTTTCAGGCGACGCTCATACACTGTGCTCTGTCCGACCGACAAAGCCTTCACAGCACTCAATCTGACTTACTACCTCGGTGATATCCCCGCGCTCACTGAACTCATGAAGTTACACATCATACCATCAGATCCGCCTTCGCGGTCATCTATAGCCGAACCGCGACACGGCTTTCCAAGCGGACGACTACCTTTGGAACTTGCAGACTCGGCAGTCTACGACACTCTGCTCAGTGAAGACGATCCGAAAAGTAGCGGTCGGGTCGCTCTGAGACGGTTTGCCGAAGACAGCTGGCTCGTTGGCGTCGATGGGGCGAGGGGCGAGCAAGGTCGTAAAGACTGGGCGCGCATCCTCTCTTGGGGCAAGGCGACGCCTGTCTTCGCTACCTCCGATGACGCTAGCACCGGTGAGCATGATGCATCGATTCAACGAAGCAGGATGAGCTTCGGCGGTGGCGTTCTACTCATCGATTCCGTCTTGCTACCCTATCGACCTACATTCTGGCACAAGTTTGGCTGGATCATCGTCGTCGTCATCCTGGCCATCATCGGCTTGACGTGCGTCGGCTTGCTCGCGTGGAAGCTTTGGTCATCTCAGCGCGCGGAAGCATACATCGTGCTCGAAAACGAAGAAGATTAGACTATTTGTCGTGTTTGTTGTAAAACCCCATCGTGCATGTAGCAGTCACTCGCATAACATGCAATCTATGCATTCAGAGTCCACAAGCTGGCACCGGTCTGCTCAAGACAAGACGATTCAGCAATGTTCCCACCTGAAGCGACAAAACTGACGTAGGAGCGCAAAGGACAACAGCACCAAGAGGTTCTGGACACCAGAAGACGCTGCCACTGCTCTGATCCTGCGCATCAAACAACTCTGAGCCCAATCGAGAGGCTGATCGCGTTGCGAACCTGGAGATGACCGTGAGGGCAGGAGAGTTGATTGTGATTGTATGTCTGGCAGACTTCGAACATGGCAGGAGGAGTGTTGGACACATCGCACCATATGCTATATGAGTTCTTGAGGCCATCTTGGGACTGCAGAACTGCGCATACCGGCTCAGTCGGACTGCTGAGCTCCGTCGTTCGGCTCAACTGTACCGATTTGGCTCACTGTCGATGCGGCCAGACTGACGAGCAAAGTGATGCGTGGAATCATTGCCAATCCCGAAACTTTGCAAGTGTTCGCGGACAGAGTGGCTCAATGACGGCACAACGAGTCCAAGAAGCAAGCCGAGGCAGCGTAAAGGCAAATTGAACAATTCGCGAAATTGATTTGGCCAACGACGTCGACCAATCTCGCCGCCAGCATGCCAACAGCCTGTGGCTCGATGAGTGCACTTGCTAGTAGACTCACCAGACTAGCCATCATCCCGGTAGCTCGGCCTCGAGCAGCCCCTTTGCGAGTCTTGCGACCCCCGCCGATGCCTGTAGCCAGCACGAGTGCTCGTCCATTCAGCTCGACCTCTCCTGCTCTCACGACGCTCAATCAGGTCATGAAGCACCCGCGGCGGACACCGATCGAGAAGAAAGGCAATGTCGCACTCAAGGCTTGCCCCCAGCGCAAGGGCGTCTGCAGGTGCGCGCTGCCTGCCTTCAGCTAGAGTTGAGCTCATGCAGACTGCGTGCACTCAGTCGAGTCTACACGGTCAAGCCGAAGAAGCCTAATTCTGCCGTCCGTAAAGTAGCCAAAGTCAAGCTCACAACGGGCATCTCTGTGCTCGCATACATTCCTGGAGAGGGACACAACTTACAAGAACACTCTGTCGTTTTGCTCAGAGGTGGCAGAACGCAAGATTTGCCAGGCGTCAGGTCAGCATGAGACTGTGCTGATAGACCATGCTAAACGGTCACGATAGATACAAGGTCGTACGTGGAGCACTAGACTTCAATGGCGTAGCAGGCAAGCGCAAAGCCAGGAGCAAATATGGAGGCGCGTCTCCATTCCCATGCGCTCTGTCTCATGCTGATTTCACCGGAGCATCACAGCCAAGAAGCCCAAGGAAGCGATAGTGTAGTGCATTGCATCAGTCTGTACCAAAGAGCGCAACAAAGGCAAAGATAGAGCCAGAAGTGTCCTTGATGGGCGTTGCATGTACTGCCCAGCTTGTCAGCGTACACTTTGGTGCAAAGATGGCACGCACGCATGCCTGTCTTCCCCCGTCAGCTACTTCAGCCTCAAATGTATTGCACTCACCTCTCTGTCGGGCCAAGGTCTTCTTGCGCGGGCTATATGCTGATCAGCCGCAGCACGTGCAGGGGCGTGCGACCCACATGATATGCGATAAGCTCGTCGAGCTGATCTTGATATCTGTCAAGACGCTGAATGCTTGACCTTCTGCAATCGCTGCTCTGACTTGATCGCGCAATCGCTTCGTGCCTTCTGGCTTTGGCGAATGGAGCAAATCGGTGAGATCTTGGCGCAGTACCGCCGAATTGAATCGTTCTTTCGCTGTGCTTGTCGGCAAACCTAGATACTCCAGAAAAGGCTCACTTCCATCGCGTTGTCAGCAATACGCAATACAATCAGACTGAGAACTTGCGTGGCAAAGAGGATCTTGCAGCGGTGAGGCTCGAGGAAGATCGCCTTCGAATAAACGCTCTCGAATTCGCGCGATGCTTCGTCAATACCTTTGGCTTCTTTGACGCGGAACTGCTGCTCTGCACCTGGTCCGGGCGTCTGCTGTGGCTCTTTGCCATTTGCGAGACTGTCGAGTACGATGGCCGAACGAGCCGAAGTGTGGCGCGAGAGCTCGGCGCTCGAAGGTTGATAGCCGGCTGCAGACGGGAAGAGGGGATTACACTGTGCCGGACTCTCGAGATTAGACCGCTTGTGTGTGAGATATTGTGACATCGTCGGCGAAGGCTCGACTTCACTGCCTGCCCCATTCGGCTCTTCGTCTTCGATTCCGACCAGAAATCTGAGACTTTTCGATGACTTCAACGGCCCAGATACGTTGATCTGCGATGACGGTTATCGAATGACAGCAGAGCATGTCGTTGTGCGCTTGCCTGGCCGCCGCAATAGTACGAAACGCTGCCATCTGTGTCGCGCAAGGGGAAGATGCACACTGGTGCAGACTGTCAGCGGCAGCAAAGGGCGAGGCGCGGTACCCACGTAGATTGAAAAAGGGCTGTCCGTTCTGACGGTAATTGAGGAGCAGCTCGGTGCAGGCCTGACCGGTGTTAAGTGCGACTCGGATCCGCGCAACTGCTTCGCGCGATGTACTCGGGCCCTGCTAGCATTTGAGCGCCTCTATGTGCAAGACACGATGCTTACTTGTAAGAACCGACAGTTGCGGCTGCAGATCGCCTGACGGGAGTAGCCCTACGTCAGGCGTCAGCAATAATTACCGGCCAGGAAGATGACTGACGGTCAGCTCGACGAAAGCATCACTTGCGCCGATAATGGGATGATCTCTCTGCCTCGGGTTGGTGATGACGAAACAGTCGCCGAGTCCCTGGCCCTTTTCTTTGTCGCGAAGGGTAAAAGATCCAAGCTTGACGCGAGCTTGCTCGACTAGTCGCGTCTTGACGAAAGATTGGAAGTCAGTCTTGAACATCGTGCGGAGCATATCATCTTGTATGCGAGCTACTGGGTTGGAAGCAGTGGCGATGGAGTCGAGGACTAGCGAGGCATCACTCATCTTGTCGGAGCTTACGCCAACTTTGTCGCTGATTGCTACCGTAGGCTGAAGGTATAGCTCTGGCGGCATGTCAGATTCGGAATTGCTCCAGCAGGTAGTGAGTGACTCACGTCCAAAGTCATGGGCGCCCTGGCGAAGTGCGCGGAATTGGCGGGCAAAAAGCTCGGCATCCCACCAGCAGTCAAGCAGATAAGGCGGATCACCCCGCGTCGTCTTGAGGTACTCTCGAAAACGCCATCGAGCGAGCTGTGCAACACAGGCGTCCCCTTCAGCACATGCTTGCGCTGACCAAGGGTAGATAATGCACCGGATCTTCGAGGAAGTCTTTGAAGACGGCTTCAGAGAGTAATTTGCGCATGGCAAAGTCGAGATCTCGCACGATCTTATTGTTCGGGTCTGTGATGGCTCAGCCAGCGAACGTATTGGGTGCTACAGGAGACGCACAGGAAGTAGGCTCGTCAGCTTGAAGGCGTGACCATTCGGGCATATTGGCAGGCAGATCAGATCTATCGTGCATCGCCTCTCGATGCAGCGTCGCTGGAAAGCTGTCGGTTCTCGGCCACATGCTGAGCGACTCGGTGCTGGTGCTGTTGATGCTCACGCCTGACTTGCTCAGCCTGTTACCGCTAGATGCCAGAGCCGGATCTCGATGGATCTGAACTATGTTATCGGCTGAAGCGGGTGATCTGAGCGTGTGCTCTCGACCTGATGGCTTTTGCGGCGACTTGCTGGGATCGCTCGATCGAGCAGCCGTAAGCTCGTCGACTCTGCGCCACTGCGTCGAAAGGTCGGGCGATTGCTTGGTCCTGACGGGCCTCGTCGGGCCGTATGAGAACGCAACAGGTCTAGAGACAGTCTCGTCGGTCGAAGTGAGATTGAGGTCACGCAAGGCTTCCTCTGCAGAATCGACAGAGTCTCTACGTGCGGGAATGAGCACTTGGTCAGCTCTACCCAGTGGCGCGGGCGAAGAAGGTCTCCGAGGCTCTGTCATAGCTGATTCTGAGCTAGCATACTCTTGCTTCGAGTTCAGCTGATCGGCGAGATATTCCGTCGTAGGGTGCTTTGGCATGAGCGAGAGAGCGGCAGACGTAGATGGCCTCCTTGCTAGAGCAGAGCTTGGACCATATCCCGTTGGCGATCGAGACTGTGGCGAACGAGAGGATGGCGATGCGACCGCCGGGCTACTTGCCGGCGTCAGTACTCGGGATCCGGCCGGCTCCTTCACCAGGCTCGCCCTCGAGCCAACAGAAGTCGAGGCAGGTAAAGGGAATGAGAAGCGCTTGAGATCGGGATCAGCTCCGCTCTCTGCGTCTGTGTCGATCCCTTGACCGAGCGCACGTCAGTGATCTCTCGGCATGCGGGCAGCGATCGAGCAGCTCACCCATGCGACGTAAACAGACGGTGCTCTGTCTGCCCAAAACCGACGCCGGCGACGCGACGCTGTCTTGATCTTCCCGGGCGTCGTCGTATGCCGGGCTGGCATTGCAAACGTCAAACAGCTGCACGTCCTCGATCACGAGCGTCGGCCGAGGAATCTCGCCAGCCACGAGGTAGCGAGGTTCCGGTCGGCAAGAAGAAGTCAGGGTTGACAACGAGTGAGCATCACTCCCCATATAGCTTGGACTCGTGGCTTGTGGAATGGACGAGGCCCGTGAAGACATGAACCGGCTATCGAGAGTTGCCCTGATCGAAAGTGAGGGCCAACTGCGTTCCCGGGCAGATGTCTGCTGATGCGAAACTTCGACGCTGATCTGGCTGGCCGTTGAGACGGCATCCGTTGCTCCCTGAAGTGCATTCTTGCTCTTGACCGGTCTGAGCCAAGATCTCTTCCTTAGCTTGTCCATGATGGTATCTGAGCAAGCAAAGTTGCCAAGCAACTGATGTCAGTCAATCAGGGGTTTCGCATGTCAAGAAGGGTCAACATTGAGCCTCTCGCAACGCTCGCGGAGACAGCCTGGGAAACGGGTGCATTGCTCGCCCGACTAGAAGTTCTCTTTGCCGAACAGGAACTTTGTCCCATTTTCTTCATCGGCCTGACTGAATTTATTGCAGGCGACATGGAGCGCAGAGCCAAGCCTGCGCGACGTGTCAGCCAAAGGTCTGTGGGATGAAGTAGACGCACGGCTTCGGGCCGCAGAAGAAGACGCCGACCTCTGTACTCGGATGTCGATGTTGCACTGTGCAATGTCAGCCAGATTCAACTGACTCTCTGCTGGTGAACTGACGCGACTGAAAGATGGCCGACCAATTCGGTCTGCCAAAATGCGTCGGCGCTTTGAGCCCAGTGATTGAGTCTCGTTCGGATCCGACGTCAGCAATCATCAGATTATTGAGTTCTGCCTCTTTCAGTCGCTGGGTGACATAAGTGTGGATTTCGACGTATCCCTCGTCGTCTTGATCTTCGATAGCGGAGAGCAAGTTCTGAAACCAGCTCAGCGTCGTTGTGTCCCGACAGATCCTGTACAGCCTCACAGACTCAGCTTACTCATGCTAAAGCCGGTAGGCATTACCAGAAGAAGTAGACTTTGGTCAGACGAGTCTTCTTGCCGCGGCGACGAGCTTCGTTCTTCTGATACCAGATTGAGGACAAAATGCTTGCAAATGGTGTAATGCCAATGCCACTGTCAAAAGTTGCGGTCAGCGCTAGTCTCGGAGCGCTATGCATGCATTACTTACGCTCCTACGAGCACTACGGTGTCGAATTTCCGGTAGTCTTCCGAGCTTGAGCCGAACGGCCCGTCAATCATGATGCGGGGCAGAACTTGCTTGTTCGTGACCTGGATCTCCTGACTGCCTGCCTTTGCAGCTCCGCCCTTGTCTCCTTCAAGATCGCAGCCGAGAGCCTCGCCCAGTGCGCGGGTGAAGTCGCCCACCATTCTGATGTGGACGCTCAGATAGCCATGCTCGGGTGCAGAAGTGAGCGTGAAAGGATGCCATTGCCATAGCGAGATGGCAGGACAGTTGAGGAAGATGTACTGTCCCGGCCGAGAGACTGCACCTTCGCGTTGGAATTGAATCTCGACGACATTAGACGGATGCTGGATGACTTTCGTGATGTATGTCTTGTGGCGAGATCTGAGCTCTCGCAGGATACGCTCGTAGGAATAAATCGTGCCTCCGACGAGCCAGTAGCGCCAAAAGATGCCGATAGAGCTTGCTGAGCAATACGGAGGACGATCGGGCTGGATCATACAGAACATGCCATGGATGCTCCACATGAGAAAGAAGACCTGTCCTGCGCGTTAGCCCGAGAACTACGAACGATGTATAGCGTACTAAGCCCAGGTGATGAGCATACCAGAACCGTTCAAAGTTGGCTCGTCGGTTCTTTTCGATCGCTGTCCAGACCATCACAGCCAAAGCAAGGGTCATGATCCAGCCTGTAATGCCTGGACCCGTGGCGAAATTGGCGCCGAGGAAACCGACGACATTCGTGCCAGAGGCAATGCCGAGCTGGGCGAAGTTGACCATATGAGCTGTAACATGGACAGCCGTGAAGAAAACCTGTCGACACCGGTCAGACACGCTCGGCTTGCTGCACTTTAGCGCTGACCATGCTCCATGCTACAGCCTTGTGGAAGGTGATATTGCTATCAAAAGGGATGACAGCTCCTAATGGTGTGTTGCGCAGGAAGGATATCATGTTGCGACAGACAGGCAGAAGGATGAGAGCCAAATCAAAATGGAGCGTAAGTGCTGCTGCCCGTGCGATCGGATAAGTGATATGAAACGTCGCACGCGCATTGTCGAAATTGTCGCTGTAGGCATAATTGACGAAACCGAGCACAAAGACAAGGGTTTGGACGATGAGGAAGACACCGAAGAAGATTCTCCGACGGCCTTCGTTGACCATCCAGAGTGCGAAAGCTTCCCCGCGGGTAACGGGCGCGTCGAGCACTCGCTCGTCGACATCGAGACGCGATGGCGGTCGAGACATCTTGCTCAGCAAAAGGCCTTGCAAACGTAGCCTCTCGCTCTTGTTACGCGTCAGGTAGTCCGGCTTGACATCTTCCTCAAGCAGCTCTGGTCTGTCATAGCTGGCTAACCGACCTAAGCCGTACTCGTTCATTATGTCGCGGTCAGGCACATTCTCCCTCTCTTCGTCCATCGTCGTTGTGTCCGGTTGAGCAATCGGAGTCGTACACCCTTTGTCCTGCCCTCGGGACTGAAGAAGGCTAGACGAACAGCGAGCGTGGTTCGGCGACGAGCTTCATTAGGCTGAGCAAATGCATGGCGCCCATTCGCAGACTTTCGTGGGCACGCGAGACTTTGTAAAGTCGACTCGAGCATCGTGCCTGCGGATCATGAGAGTGCCCGGACCACCTTGAGATGCATGCCGGGCTTCGGCGATAGGTCGATGCGGAGTCTCCACGCGACGTTGACTGGCCCAGTGCGATCAATGGTCAAAGACCGAGACGAGCCGTCTAAGAATCAGCTGAGAGGGCTGTCGTATGTAGCAGGAAAACCAAAGTTCCTCCAGAATATCGCTGGTGCACTCGCTGGCCAGCCTGCCAGTCGCCGACCTGAGTTGCCAACTCGTGATGATCAGCCAGAGCGTGACGACTCTGACGAAGACGGCCTGGACTTTGGCGAAGATGGCCCCTCAGTCGTTGTGCTAGACGATCGCAAGCACAGAGGTCTCAGCAAAGAGGAAGCTCTCGCAGCTCGCAAAGGCATGCTGGTCTCACTGGGCCATGAGTTATGAGCTAGAAGAGCTCATCGTCGTCGCAGAGGGCGCTCTGACGCCGGCTCAAGCCAGAGAAGCTGCGCCTACAGCTTCTCGCAAGGAGCCGAGAGCGGGCACTCTCAACTTTGCTTCGTCGAATGACGGCGAGCCTCCAAAACGGCGCAAGATCTACCCTGCCATTGTGACGAACGACGATGAAGGGGATGAGGCTTCATGGCAAGACATGGTCAGCAGGACCAACACCGTTGTCGAACGCATACCCGAAGCAAGCGCGAAGCCAGCCGTGCCAGTCGTGCCAGAAGCGAAAGCGACGGTGAAGCCAGCAGCCAGCGAAAGCAGCAAGCCTTCGATGAAGAAGCCAAAGAAAGCAAAGCCAAAGACGCCAGGACCGCTTTCGTTTGACAATGAATGAGTAAGAAGTACGACATACAGGCTTACAGCAGATCCACGGATCACACATCGAATTCGTCCGCGTCGTAGTGCTTCACGACAGCACGCGCCTTCCGAGGTGTTGGCGCAAGAGACTCTCGCGTCGGCTTGACGAGTGACTGCCGCACCTCTTGGAAGACGTCGCGATGCGAGGCAATGACGAGCTCGTTGTCCTTGCCAAAGACAAAGTTGTCTGCCACGATCGTCTCGCCAACTCTGCATGCAGAAGTTAGCTCGGATTGTAACGAACATCGTGGATGTTTGCCTCTTGATGATATAAGAATCTAGCTTGCCCTTCTGCACCTTCTTGAAGTCCCAAATGATAACAAAATCGCCCGTCGACGTGATGATGTTCTGCTCCTTCGAATCCAGACCAGCATTGAATCTATGCGCAGATTAGCCAAACGCGATGACAACGAGAGAGACGACGAACCTAGCAACAGTGAAGTTGACGTCGCCAATGAAGCGACGGTGTTCGAGTTTGGGCTGTAGCCGACGTGGCATCGGCTTCGCGGCAGCAGGGAAACTGCGCTCAAAGCCAGACTGCCCGGCATATTTGCCATCCTTGATCGTCGTGTCGATGAGCAGCAGGTAGTCTTTGCAAGTAGCAAGTACAAAACGCCCGTCTGCAGTCGTGTCGACGCCTTTGATCGCATCACCAAGCGCGGGCAAAGCCGTCTTTGCATTCTTGCCCAGACTGTCGAACAGCCGAATGTCACCTTTGTCCGAAACGACAGCGATGTGTCCTGATCCAGTCGTGGCAGCGGCTGCGAAATCGGTCTTTGTAGCATACTGCTTGAACTGGCTCTCGACGAGCTTGCTGCCACTCAGACGGGGGTCGACCATGAAGAGACCATTGCGAGACATGCCCACGAATGTCTGCTCGGCAGTAGTCGGCGCAAATTTTGAGCCAGGCGCAAAGTTGTGCACCGCCATGTTGTCGGAGATCTTCCATTCGTCAACGACACGACCGGTGGCCAGATCGAGTTTGTACAGCGAATTCGGATTCATCGGATCTGCAAGGACCATTGTCGCGTCTTGGTTGTGTAGCATGACCTTGCTAGGCTCGAAGAGTCGCTTGCCGTCCGGCGTGCTGATGCCTTGGATGTTCGTTACAAATTTGAGCTTCTTGCGTCCTTCTGGATTCGACCGGAAGACGCCAATCTGGTCGCCCCGAACAACGAAGGACATCTCCTCTTTGTGACCCACTGCAAGCAGCTTGTTGACTTTGGCACCGACAGGCTTGCTGACCGCGTCAGACTCGTCTTCGCTCTCATCTGACAGAGCAGCATCCGACTCTTGCGCTTGCTCTTCCTCTGCCTGTTCGTACTTCTCATCCTCTTCGGCTGCTTCTGCTTCCCGCTCGTCGTCTGCAGTGGGCTCGTACATGTCCAGATCCTCGATCAGCGCATCCTGTGAGTATCGCTGTTCGTCCGTCTGTATTGTGCGATCGTAAGCTTGGACGTCGCTCGGCCATTGCGAGACTTACCTTGAGCTTCGCCCATTGACCAGCGCCGTTGCGAGCCTCGAAGAAGGCTCGAGTGAAAGCCTCGGACAGCTTGTCAAGCGATTCCTTATCCGGCAAGCGCAGCAGCCAAGTAAAGAATTGGTTTGTCTCGACGTTGTTGTAGTTGAAGACGAACGAGAGGCTGTCCTGTGATTGTCGGTGGGATCAGGTACGTGACTGCCTTACCCGCTAGGCTGGCCTACCTCGTTGAACGCTGCCGGCATCTGATCGTCAACCGGCAGACTGACCCATGTACGTCCTCCCGCTCCGCTGATAGTCAGCCAACCTATGAGTAGAGATGCTCATCAGCTGGCCAGCCTCCCTGGAAGCCTGCATGCTCACATGGGAATTTCTGTCCTTGCACAAGCCACAAACTTGCTTGTACTGCTTTCTCCTGAGGCATGAAAACGCCTGTTGCTGCATCGTACAGATTGAGATCGGCAGTCTCGCTCGAGATGAGGTTTCGACGATCTGGCGGCAGCGTGACCGCTTTGTCGATCTGGTCTCGTGTGTCCGCAGCGGAGGGTGCAGGCTCAATCTCGGAAGCCCGACCTTTGCCCTTTGACGAGCGCGGTGTAGCTCCTACGACGCCCGCTGCAAGAAGGTCAGGTGGCGCGCCGACCGGCGGCGCGCGCGTGCTGGCAGGCGGGCCAGACAAAGAGACATTAGCTAGCTGCGAGGAGACGTCATCGTCTTCCTCGTCTGACGAAGGCGGTCTGAAGAGGGGTTGCTGCGCTGACCTCGATAGCGTTGAGCTGCTTCGAGTCAGACTCGCGCAATGTGCATCCCCGTCGTGACTGACCTTCGCTTGTAGGATTCGAGATTAGCTTCAGACGCGTGGTCGGCCGACCGCGAGTACTGTCGCTCGTACATGGCGCGGTAGACGAGAGACTCGAAGAGCAGCAGCGTTTCTGGTCGAGTTCCCTCTGAGCGGCAGACGAACAGACAGACTTCGTCCACGTCGCCTGAGGATAGATCGCGCCAAGTAAAGCTCGTCGAAGGTCCGTCGTCTTGATCTTGCGTACGTGTCGGCGCAGAAGCGAATGCGATCTCTGCATCTATCAGGTACGGCCTCTCATCGTCGGCTGAGCCTGGCATCAGCATGTGCGATGTCGCGTGAGCAGGTGGACAGCGCACTTTCTTCTTCTTCAGACAGGAGTTGCTCGCCATCCTGGCCCCAAGATTTCGTCACAACGAGAGACCAGTTATACTCTCTCGACGTGCGTCTGATTGAGGCCACAGCATCCTGGTAGATGCATTCTTTGGATCCCTTGAGCCCTTGCGGTCGTGTCACGAAGAATCTGCCAGGAATCGAGACCACCTCTGTCTGCGCCGGATTGCCTGCGAAGATCAGACCGAATCAGTGGCTTGCACACTGTTCTCGGTGCTGCTGACTTGCCTAGAACGGTACCTAGCACTGGGTCGGGGAGATGTCAATCAGCACGCGGGCACGCGAGCTAGTCCTCCACGCACAGCTTTTGAACTGTGTAGCGATCACTATTAGCTGCTGCCAAGCACCATCAAGGGGTCGTAGCTCACCAGAAACATGTCTGACAGGCAGGCGGGCTTTGCTAGCTTTGGCGCCTGTGCTTCGCGCTGAACGAAATTTGACGCGCTCACGTGCATGCGAAGGGCGCCAGTCACTACATCCCGTCTACAACAAGAATATTACAGGTTGTTGTTGTTCCCGATACCTGTCGTGCGCTCCTGATAGCGCGTGAAGGCGAGATGCTGCCAGGCTTGCTCGGCAACTTGTAAGATCCGCCGGATCTCGGTTGCGATATGACCGCCATCCGCTCGCCAGACAGTATGCGCGACCGTGAGCGTCTCGCGGCATTGATCTCGAAGTTGTTGCCAATACTGCGCGTACTTGTGTCGTTCGTCGACCCCCTTGAGCGCCATCAGAGTGTGCGCCTGGTCGAGGGCAGCATGCATTGCCATGCAAATCTGAGAGCCAAGACACATTTCTTGAAAGAGCGTCGACGGATGAGGCGAGAGTTGTCTGCCGATCATGTAGACTTTGTAAGCTTGTACGACAGGATCGAACACCAGCGGCTGCCAGCCCATGAAAGCAGGCCCGACCATGGGCTCTTTGATGCGTGCTTCCAGTCTCTTGCACACATATTGTCGCAATGCAACGGCGCAAGGCAGCATACTGCGACTCAGGATGGTATACTCTGCTGACCAGGGTTCTCCCTGCCGAATCGGCGTATCGCTCGATGCTGATTTGACAGCCGCAATCTGTCTGTACATCTCCAAAAACTCGGTTCTGAAGCTATGGCCTGCCGGACAGTATACAAGAATCGATTTTACGTTCGGGGCCGGCCGTTGTTCTTCGCAAAGGCAGATGTAGGATCAGCGTGGTAGCTGGAAACGTCTGTAGAGATGCTCACCTTGAAGATACGCCCACTTTGCGTCTCCGAACCGTTCCGCCATGTAGCTAAAGTCCTTGCGTACTTCGCAAACGACACAGCGAAGCGCACGGTTGGAATGCGCCCATGGTTCACCACGAGTGGCTGCTTCGCAGAGCCTGCAGTCGCAGTCGAATCCATACGTTGCTTTGATGGTCTGCCGACGCTGCAGATTCTCCTCCTCGACATCGACATATGCGATGGTGATCTCATCACCCGCTTTGATAGGCCTACACGCTGCCACGCGCAGATATTTTGGCTTTTCGTCTGGCCAGTGTGAAGACATTGCAAACGTGTTAGGCGCACAGGAGTGATTGATCAAGGCGAAAGATGAACTGAGGGAGACGCCACAGGCCTCCCCAAAGGGTGTACAGAGCGTATGGGCGTTCATCTGCACCTTTGCCATTTGGAGCAGCGCCGCTTTCGCATTGCCCAGTACTTCGTTGAACAGAGATTGACCGACGAGGACAGAGGCCTCTTGTATCCTACGGGCCCACAGGGCTTTCTCCTTGTTGTCGAAGCAGTCCACATCACCGTGCAGATCATATCGATGTTGCGATGGATCGTGCTTCTGTGCCCAGATCATGCGTGCAAGCAAACGCGCTTCCGTCAATGGCAATTTTGCGAGCGAAGCGGGGGTGTCCTTGAAGCCACACCGTTTGAAGGCCGCACATTCGTACTTGTGGCCCTCAGGTGTCCAGCCTGCCTTGACACAGGCTGGCCCGCAGAAGCGCGCAAGCTGGCAGGACGAACATCGCTTCAGCTCGCGCTCGGGACTCGTAGGCTTCAGACAATGGAAGCATCGTGTCAAAATGTCGCTGTTGCCGACTACAGCGAACGGCGGACGGGTCTCAAAAAGGGTATCGCCCGCTGCAAAGGCTTGTCGAGCGTGGACAGAGCGCTTTTTGATGGGATGCATGCGCATCTCGAACTTGTCCGACCATTCTGGTGGTAACGACAGACCGTCTAAAGAGCTGCCCATTCCTGTGAACCTGCTAAATCCATTGATCAGAGATCGCCGCGCGACAGACGGACGGAGCCAAAGTCGTGTCAAATGTATCGGGCGCCACCGCCACGTCAACCCTGACGACACGAGACTCCTGGACAGGAGCCAGTCTTTACTTTGGTTTGAACCATCATGGCACAGCAGCCAAACTTGTTAGGCTCAAGGCCAGTCGGACAAGCGCTCGGAGGATCACCGCTGGGCAATCGTCGGGCATCAATGCAGCCGAGCTATGGCCCCGCCGGATCGCCCTTGATTGGCTCGGATCCGAACGCAGCGTACAACCGTCGGGCGTCGATGCATCCACCCTATCCTTCTGCACCTCAGCCGCCGACATATCAACTCGGAGGACAGGCTTCAGCGCACGCATCCCAGCGAGGCTCAATCTCTTATACGCCCAGTATGGCAGGATCTCCTTTTGCCAGCAGCAACGCTAGCCAAGCACGACCTGCGCCTGCCAACCCTGATGCGCCAATTGAGAAGATTCGTGCGATCAGCAGCAAGATGGAGGACTACCTTGAGCTGTTCTCGCAGCCCATCAAGCCCTATCTGCCCGGCCTTGGCCGCTTTCTCATCGTCGTCACGTTTCTCGAGGATGCGCTGAGGTAGGACGCAACCGCCCCGCCTCACACTAGGATGCTGAGAAGATGTCACAGAATAACGACGCAATGGAGCGAGCAGACCTACTACCTCAATCGACATCGCCATTTCCCCAAATTCCTCGCTTATATCTTCCTCGCGCTCAACGTTGCCGTAAGGGGTTCTCTGCTTGCCAGCACATCTGCTGATGGCGTCACTATTCCCCAAAGGTCATGTTCGCTGGCTCTGGCTTGGTCATCACGAAGCGCTTCCCGGAAATCGCCGTGGCAGGCCTGCTCTGCGTCGTCGTCGCCCAAGGACTCGGCTACGGCCTCATCACCGATCTCAATTTCTTCCTGCGTAACCTGTCAGTCATTGGCGGCTTGCTCATGGTGCTCTCCGACTCCTGGAGCCAAGCATCAAAGAAGATCTTCGCCGGCATTCCCAGCATGAGTGAGACCGATCGCAAGCATTATTTCCAGCTTGCCGGACGCGTCTTGATGATCTTCCTCTTCCTTGGCTTCATTCTGAAGTCAGTCATGCACTCGTCAGGTTCGATGATGTATGCTGAAGGCAGATCTGCAGTGGACAGATGACTATCTTGCGTGCATTCGTAGCACTCGTCGGTCTGGCGGCGTGCATCATGGTCGCTGTAGGATTCAAGGCCAAGCGCTCAGCGACTGTCCTCGTTCTCATCCTGAGTACTTTCAACGTTTTCGTCAACTCTTGGTGGACTCTGCACAAATATGATACCCGAAGGCGAGCTCGTACACGACTCCAGCCAAGATATTCTAACCTGAGCTCCGCAGAGATTTCCAAAAGTACGACTTCTGGCAAACGCTGTCCGTCGTGGGCGGATTACTCTTGCTTGTCAATCAAGGCCCCGGCGGTTACTCTGTAGACGAAAAGAAAAAGGGCGAGCCTCATGAGCATCCGCTCAGGATTCAAATAGCTGACCAGAAAAGCAGTCTTCTGAGCGGCGAGGACCTCATCTGCCTTGTGTGTACTTTAATGACGATGCAGACAAATCTCGCGCTAGCTAGCTTGCATATGGTCTCTCAACGGCAGAGCAACACCAGCATAATCGCTGTACGTCGCTTCGTGTGGTCTTAGCCTGAATTGGTACTCTATCCTGAGACTCTTGCGCTCGCCCATGGCCACATCCCAGAACTACACTTCTGTCAGATCGGGTGTGAAAGGAAGGAACAGAAGTACTCACGCCCATAATCTGCGACTTTGATCGGCCTTTAGGAATGATGAGCTGACCGTCGAGCACCAGCGCCTGTAAAGCGATCGTTACGTCGATCTCCTTCAGCTCAGCTGTTGTCACTTTCTGGCTACTAGTCTCAGACACGACGCCGTATACCGCGCGAGTGATCACGAGACCTGCATACCGCATAAGCTTGGCTCGGCTGAAACTGAACTCACAAACCATCTGTAGCTCTCTCCTGCGTCATCCGTCGATTCGCAAGATCGGTCAACAAGACGACAGCATCTTCTGCACCACGCTTGCGTTCCTCGAGCAGAGACGCGTGCTCTTTCCTCAGCTCTGCCAATTTGCTACGTTGCAAGTCAGCTTTGCCCGAAGTCTCTCGACAGAGAGCTCACGTCTTTGCTTTACTTCGCCGCCTTGGCACAAGGACAGCGTGGTGCATGAGGATGTATGAGAGACTCGGCAGGACGGAAAGCGATAGAGCGAGGGAGGTGTTCAGCTGAGTAGCCACGACGATGGGGAGGGCTATCTTTTGCCCTAAACGTTGCCATCTGTCTTATGATCAGTCAAGCGGTTCAGTATGGTCAAGAGGATGCTCGCCCACCTTATCCGGACAGTCATGACGCCCTTGCTCGACATTTCGAGCGCAGCGCCGAGCGTGACATGTTCAGTAACGAGCTTTGACGCACCAAGTGTCGTTTTGGCAATGCCATTCGTGCCTATGCTGGCATTTGCACGTATCGTCACACCGTCGAGAACTTTTCGGGTGACGTTCAGACTGAGTTGAGCTTGTCCTTGGCTCGTCATCGCATTGAGCGTATACCCACTTTGATGTGTCATCCCAAGTGCAAAGGTGGGTGATTCTGCATCTCTTTCCTCCTTTGAACCCCATGGCCCGATATTGAACGTTCCTGTCCGGACTGTGCAGAACTGCAATTTTGCATCAGCGATGGGTTAGATCACTAAACAGACGCATCGACTCGCGGCTGTTACTGCGCCGAAAACTCGTTGGCCTGCAACAAAGGTGACAGGCGGTGGGGCAGCAGGCGTGGAAGCCGATGTCTCTACTTGCAAGAATCGCAAGGGCGTGGGAGCATAAGTTGCCTTGAAGCTCGCTAGACGCGGCGCAAAGACGGTCGAAGTGACTTCGGTGGTGAGCTTGGGGGAGAACTGCCACTTGACGGTGCCCATGAGGTTTCCTTGTCCGCCGCCATTGCGTATCAGCGTCTGCTGAGCCAGATCGAGAGATCCTTTGGCGAGCGGTATGCTGAACTCGTTGCGCAAGCTCATCTGACGGAGCGAGAGAGCTTCGCGTCTTTCTTGCCATGATCTCAACCTGACATTGAGACCACGTCGCCGCTCGTAGCGTTCGAAGATGGACCTGCCGTCAATGATGCAGACGTAGTCGGATCTATGCTTGACCAAAGCATCCAAGGCAGCTTCCTTCCTCTGCCGCGCTACACGCTCGTACTCGCTCCGTAGCTGGGCAGCTGTTTTGAGTCGCGTCGAGACTGTCCAAGTGGCTTTGAGGCCAGCTTCCCCGAGCACATCGTAGACCGGCCGCTTTTGCGGGTCGGACAGAACCTCGTACGCTCGTTGTATCTCCTGAAACTGGCGAATGGCAGCTTCTCTGCTCGCTTCACTATGATGTCGATCGGGATGCAGAGCCAGAGCTAGCGCTCTGTAGCTTCGTTGGATCTCATCATCCGTCGCTTTCGTGGGCAGGTTGAGAAGAGCGTAGTAGCGCTCATTGTCGATGATCTCTCCGTCTTGTAGCTTGTCGTCGTCATCCAGAGAGCCAAACGAGCTGGGCAGGCCATTGGGGAGTCCGTTGCTCTCGTGCTTGCTCTCATGACTGCTCTGATCGTTGGTCAGATCGTCCAGCCCTGCGAATCTGGGATCGTCCATCTACTGCTGTCTGCTCGAGCATGTCCTTCTGGCAGGCAACCTCGATCGTTCGCGTCTCCGAGCCACTTTGAACGTCGAACTTTGTGTCAGCGCCTTGTCTGCTGACGACTTGTGGCAGGATGTCAGCGCAACGGACGAGCAAGATCAAGGCGGACGACGACTTGCCCGCGCCAGGATCAAAGTCGGAGCACAGTCCCAAGAGAGGGACACGTCAAGGCCGACTGATCACTCAACGCAGCTTGCTCGCCGCGGTCGGCTGTCTTGTCGCCCTGCTATTCCTCACGTTTGCGTTGTCAGTGACGCCATAGCTTATCTTCATCCTGCGCTGACGACTGGAATGCGTCGACAGAGGGGTCTATCCCTTTGATCTCAAGCACGAGTTCCATCCGATCCACCGCAGTCGACCCCATTTCAAGAAAGTACCCAGGCAGGTACAGACCGGCGGCCAGCTCCACAGAAGCTGACTCAAAGTCTATATGGTGCAGGTATAGCAAGGAACATCGATTCAGACCGGCCGCATCGCCCGTCATCACGCAGAAAGCCAGCTTCGGGCGCGTCAAGCTACACGGTGAATATGTCACCAAGAAGAGCCGCTGGTCTTAGGCTTGCACGGTCCACGGCGCTCGTTTCTGCACGCCACCCACATCGCTACACACTGTATGATTGCACTGTTGGTACACTACAAAACGCATCATTACCTCTCGTGTCGCTTCTTGCCAAGTCCCGGCTTTTGCGTGCTCTTCGAAGCACAGTCTTCCTTGCAACGTGACACCAGCTTACTGTGCTCATCGGCTGATGCTGTCAGAGCTTCGGCAACGCTTCAGGCCGCTTTGGTCGCCTCTTTCTGAGCAGCTTTCTTTCGACCCGTCCGGACGAGGACGAGCCCAACGAAGGCACCCGCTCCACTGAGGCCGACAATGAGCAACACGAGCGGTATCCTGATAGCCCAGACGCGTGCGGGAAAGAGCTGCTGTATCGGGTGATCATCCGGAAAGAATGGCTGTTCGTCCCGTTGCGTCAGGGGCGCGTTCGTGCTGTAGCAAGACGCTCTCGACTGACCGTGAAGAGTGCCCAAGCTGTGTAATAGGTGAAGGTGGCAATGGCTGTGATCAGAAGCGTAGCTGTCCGATGCGACGATGAGCTGTATCATGCAATGCGAGGTCATAGCGCACCTCCCACCAGCCTATCGCCTGCTCCCTGCGAATCAGTCTATCAGCCGTAGCATTGACCGGTGAGCAGCCTGTGCACCATGGTCAAGGTTGACTAGCGCAATCCTGTACGACGCCAGGCTGATGTCATGACGCGAGCGCGACGTTGACCGTCTCCCGTTTCTGGCTGGCATATCAATGAGTTACTCAAGTAAGACTGTCTTGACCTTGGCTCGCACCCAAGCATCTGACTGTGCATTGCGATGCAGGCAACGCCTACTCGCATCCCTCGGCGAGCCTGATCGAGAATGTACCCTTGATCAAGAACCCGAGCCTATGGCTGCCCCGACCTGTATGTTCGCTCCTTGTGAACGAACCCATCACGTCTGAGCATGCACAGATCGAGCTACCCCAGGACATTCATCCACTACCCGAAGATGTGTCTGCCTATGTGCGCTCATCTGCTTTGCTCGAAGCGCTGCTTATGACCCGAACAGTTTGTCTACCCCTGGACGCTCGAGACCCACGTCCTCTCACCGCCAGAGCCACATCCTTCTCATGCCATACTCAGATCCGAGCTCGCCTCAACGCATCAGAAACGACTTCGTGTACTCCAAGCTCGTGAGGATGAGAAAGTGAGGAGACGTAGAGAGGCACTGCAAAAGATGGCACCTGGCTACAGCGAGACTGCGGGGACAGGTAGCGTGCTACAGCCGAAGCGTATGAGCAGTCACAGTCAACCTCCTGCTGCATCCATCACTACTGTGGAAACAGTGGCTGCCAAGCCAGACGAGCCCGTGACGGCCGCAGACCTGCTGGCCAACCTCTCCTTCGACACGCCAGCGCCTGCAGCTAGCACAGCTAGTGACAGTACAGCCGACAATCGCAGCTTCACGTAGGCTCGCTCTACATGGCGCGCGATGGCGAAACATCGCCTTTCGCGCATGTCAAACGCTGAAATTAGCAGCCCCAAAGCCGCACAGGCTCGCTGAGTCATATCAGTATTCAAGCCCTCGTCAGGAGCTCGGTGCCGCTATCGGGCAATCTCTGGCGTTCGCTTCGATCGCGTTGACAGGCACGCTCGCCTTTAGCCCCAGAAAAGAGGATCTCGGACGACGCGAAGCTCCCGCTGGTGGCGCAGGATGCGAGTGATCGACGCGGCTTGAAACTAGTTTGGTTTACATCGACAATTGTTCTATGCAAGCGTGTCAAGCTGCTCGCGCTGCAAGATAGCCATGCCTCTCTGCCTGAGCATCCCATAGATCCAGTCATGGTCGTCGCCCTGACAACACGCAGGCGATTTGGCTGGCCCAAGGTACTCAGTCCGCGTTTCCTACGCCTGATCGCACTCGTCGTCGTCGTCTTCTGGGCAGCCCCAAAGACTTGGCGATCAAGTATCACCGAAAAGTCAATCGAGAATCTCGACAGGCTCGTCTCACGACAAGGCAGACCGAACGGGCTGTTCTATGACGCCAAGAAGGGTCATTTGCTCCTGCCGGCGCGCTTACCCCGGCATCCTGTCAGAGAACTCATCGAGCATGGCAAGAAAGAGTGGGCAGATAAAGTTGCAAGACAGAGCAGGACGCTCGAGCAGGCCGTTGCAGAGTATATGAAGCGGTACGGGCGTAATCCGCCACGAGGATTCGATCTATGGTCAGCCTACGCCGGCTCATACAAAGGCACTTGAGCTCATCAGGGGTTTGTGTACAGGTGGAACTACGCCAAGGAGAATCATGTGATCCTCAAGGATGAGTATGACCAGATCAACAGAGATATAGAGCCCTACCTCGCCTTGTAGGTCATCAGGCGATAGAGAACCGCGCGCTGAGTTAGCTCTGCAGACACTCGCAAACGATCAGAGAGAGAACCGCAAAGCTCGCGGAGAGCAAGCAGACGGGCACAGTCGCATTCCTGCCCGATCAAGATCCGCCATATGCCATTGAGCCTTTCAAAGCAAGGACAAAAGATCTAGTGGACATGCTCGAGCCAATCATACCATCACTGCCGGCTGCGTTCAACATTACCATCTCTGTACACGACGGTGGATATGGCCGGCTAGCGTACGACCACGAGCAACATCTCCGCAATCTCGCGCGAACGAGCCAGAGTCAGTCGCATCTCGCGAAAAGTCTGTACACGCTGACACATCCGCAGTTGTGGAATTGGGAGCGCGGCGAGATGGATGGAAGGGCTCGATGAACAGCAGCTTAGCCCCGACGGCCAAGCTCTGTCCGCCAGACTCCCCAATGCGATCCTTCACGCCCGACGAGACCAACAGACCAGACTACGAGCAGTATCGAATGCCGCCTTTGCATTCTTTCATCTACAAGCACAAAGCTGCCATGGATGTCTGCTATAGCCCCGAGCTTTACTGGGTACATGGCGCAGTACGAGGAAAACCAGATCTGCAAGAAGCAAAGCCGATGTTCACCTGGTCCAAAGTCTTCTCGCACTCTGATCTCACCATCGTACCTTTGGAGCAGTACAGAGACGACTATGGCATCGATGAGCCCCAGTGGCACGAGAAGAAGCACGGCACGCTAGCTTGGAGAGGATCACTGACGGGCTCCTCGTTTGTCGTCGGCAACGAATGGTCTTGGAAGCTCAGTCCGAGATGGCGGCTGCATCAAGTCGCCAATGCTGTCTCGGGTTCTCGATCCGTCCTGCGAGAGAAGCCAAATGGATCGGTGGACACAGTCGACAAGAAGGTTGCAGACCTCAACCGGGATTACTTCAACGCAAGCGTGGCTGGCAAACCACTGCAGTGCGACGATGAGACGCGAGAGCTCATACAGCAGACAATTGCCTTTGCGCCCAAGATGGACAATTCCGCTTTATTCGAGCACAAGTACTTGCTAGACGTCGATGGAAATGGGTGGTCCGGGCGATTCCATAAGCTCATGCGAAGCAATTCGCTCGTTTTCAAGGCCAGCGTCTTCACCGAATGGTGGGTCGAGAGATCTCAGCCATGGGTACAGTAAGTCTTTCGCCACACTGTCTTGGATCTCCGAGCTGATGTGCTGTGTAGCTATGTTCCAGTCAATCCAGACTACAGCGACGTCTACGACATCATGGCATTCTTTGAGGGCATCAAGGGAGGCACGCGGAATGAAGATCTGGCAGAGGAGATGGCAAAGGCCGGCCAGGAGTGGGCACGCTTGCACGTGAGTCTGATCTGTATCCCGCGTCACGTATCACGTCTGATGTAGGTATCAGTGGCGACGGGAGGACATGATCGCCTTTATGTGGCGCATGTTGCTCGAAGTGAACAGACTCTACAATCGCAGCGACCAGGAATCGTTTGACTATGGTCAAGACAACGACGAAGCATGGTAATCAGCATCTCTAGACACGCACGTCACCGCATCTTGTTTGTATCCGTCATGTTGCATCTTTGCCCAGCGTCACAACAATGTCTTCGTTCAGCGCTGCCGACAGCTCGGTGCTGAGCAGCTCTCGCATGAGCGAGTGATCTCGGGCGTAGAACCATTCGCCGTGTTGCGCATCGTAATCGTATCGTTTCGGCCCGCTACTATACTTCAGCCCGACTGCCTCTCTGAAGGGCGGTGTGATTACCTCGTCGGACTGGAAAGCCATATCTGAGCATTCGGCGGTCTGCAAGCGTGTCATGTTGTCGAGCTGTGCGATCAAGACGTAGCTTACTGCTTGTTGATGACATAAGTGCCTTTGCTACCGAGGGAAAGCGTCAAGACGCCTGACTGGACAACACAACTTCATCAATCTGGTGTGGATCGGAGCAGCGAGAGATCTTGCAGACCGAGTATTCGACTTCGCACTCTGACTCTGGCGGTTGTTGCTCCACAAGCTCTTCTAAGAAATCCGATAACGATTCCATTGCCAGGTCTGATGCTCGCTGGTATGTCTGTAGATCTAGTGTGCTACCGACATTGTGTCAGCTTGTGGGTCGGCCTCGTCTTGCAAGCACTTGCCTTATGGTGTAGCTCGGACGACTCGGCCGTGCAAAGGAAGCGCTGGCATGGAAGCATCTACACGACAGCGGTGGACGGGGCAGGACGAGAGAGCGTTTGTGCGCTATGCCCTGCCGCGCAATGATTCGCAGACTGTGCGCTGCCGTCCTGCGCATCTTCCTTCGAGGCTTCAAGGATGGAGCGAATGACGCGATGGCGGACAAAGCGCGAGGCCTGTATCGTGTGCAGTGGCTACAACAGAGGAGCTAACGTTGTTGCTTCTTGCGCTTGACTTTGGGCTGTATCCCGAGCGCTTTGATGCAGTCGTCGCAGTACCACGAGCCCGTGGGTGCCTCGGACAGACCCACGCAGGCCAGATGAAACTACTCGCCGGTCAGCTTCAGGAACCTACGAGGTCGATGAGCTTACCCATTCTCGCTGACAGTCATCATTGTCGCAGCCGACCATCTCGCCATATGAGACTGTGTCGCAGTAGCAGTATGTGGGCTCGTTGGGATCGACAGGCATATCGCGCAGATTCGGATCTTGAGCGGAGACGGCCTTCTTCTTGATCGAACCGAGGACGATCTCTTTGCCCGCTTCGAGCAGCTGCTCCCGATGCCTTGTGAGGCGTATAGCAGGTACCGTTTGAGGGAGCGCGTTCGCTGGTGCCGCCTCTGCTCGTCGTGCGTCGGCCTTTGCACGCAGAGTGGCGAGTAGGCTATCGTCAAATGTGAGCAGATCTCGGTCCAGTCGCTGTATATGCCTGTCTACCTGTGACGGATGCAAGTATGTCAGTGACTGAGCGAGGCATGTACCGGTATACGTACGTTTTGATATACTGTGATGGCCAGGCTGACTTTCTCTTCGCCTAGCTTGCTCGTTGCAGCTGCAAGACGTGCCATCTCTTGCTTTACCTGCCGCAGCAGTTGCGTCTTCTCTGCTGAAGGTGTAGGGGCACCTAGCATCAAAGGCGTCACCTCTCCCTTCGGCGCGTCTTTCGGGGCTGCATCCGTTGCGTCCTGGCTCGGTGCATCTATGTCCATCAGCGATCTTAACGAGTCGTCGTGTTGTCCTGCTGGCTCGTGATGTGGCCGTTGTCCGGGCAGATCGAGGCGCTCTGATCGAGGCGATACGCGGGGTGACATCGGTCGCGGGATTTCCTCACCGTCTGCGGGCGCAACAAGACTGGCTGCTTCAGGAGGAGCATGCTCCCGCTCATCGTGTGGTGCAGCTTCCCGCGGCTGATCTGTCCTAGCAGGCAGGGTCTCGAGATCGTCTGGGTGAGTTGGCCTTGGCGGTTCTGGATTGACGAGCGCGACGTATTCGCGTACGGCGGCATGCCACTTCCTCGTGCTTTCTGTGGTCATTCATGAGAGCCGTCTTGCTTGAGAATCAGGCAGCAGACTCGCCCTGCATCTCGTCCTCGAGCTGCCTGAGTAATCTGAAATTGCGATGGACTTCGAGCGGGAGCTGCTCCACACCTGCCCGTCACCCGGCTCAGCATGCATAGAGAACGCAGACGCTGAGGCGTGCTGACTGTCGTGATACTGCTCGGCAAAGACGTGCCATGCCTCGAGCTCTTCATCTATTTCCTCTGACTGCTCCTTGGCAGAATCTGCGGCTGCAGACTCGTTCGCTGCTTTCGTCGACTGCACGGTCCGGGTGCTTGTCTCCTCCTCTTCGTCCTCATCGTCTGATTGTATGATCCTCCTGCGCTTAGGGCTGCTCGGCATCGCGTGGAGAGACGGTGGTCACGTCGAAGAGTCGCGCGACTCGCTCTCTCCCTTCCCTCTCTCTGGCAGCAGTCTGAGCGCCGGCGTTGCATCCCTTCGATGGCGAGCAAGACAGCTGCGCTCATGCAGCTCAAGTCACACATCAAGCTCTCCTCATCAGCAACGCCGGCTCTCCAGAGCTCGAGCTGGTACCTCATCGCAGTACGTCATGCTTGGAGGGCATCCCACATCGTTCGGACTTATGACCCGGACCGTAGGCAGCCACAAGTACAGCTCTCGGCATAGCACCCGCATGGGTTCCTAGTGTCTATCGTACAGCTGTGGCAGATCTGCCGAGCCTCAAAGCACCGGCGACGCGCGCGTATGCCGACGATCCATCACCCCGGCGGAGAGTCGTTCGTCAGCTCAAAGAAGCCATCTTCAAGTGCGCGAGGCAGTCAGCCAACGAGCGTGCTCGTTCTCATAGATACACAGGAGTCACGTTCTGATTGGCATACCGAAGGCAATCGAAGCGAGCTTAGCCCTCAAGGCAGCCCTAGACGACGGTGACCGCGACACTACTTTTGTGCGCAAGGACTTTGCATTGGACGATGTCAATGCCAAGAGAGGCATGAGCGGGTTGCGCAGAGTATACAGATCGAACCTGGACGGGATATTCGATGCGTTCGGGGACGAACTGCAGGAAATGCAGTGGATCTCTCAGAATGTGACATACGGACTCTTCCTTGCGGCCACTACAGACGACCCGAGCACGCCTGCTGCGAGTCTCGACTGGCAAGAGACAGAAGTCGTCATACTGTCTTGTCTGATTGCGCAAGGTGCCAAACGAGAGACGCTCTGGCATCTCCGTGGTGCTCAAAGGAGCGGGCTCTCCAATGACGATATCGAACATCTCCAATGCGCCATCGAAGAGGCTATTCGCTCGCAAGGCAAAGACATCGTGCCTGACATGCCCCGAGCGAGAGATATCAAGGAGCAGGACGACCTGTCTGCCGAGAGCGAGGATTAGGCGCGCGTCATCCTTTGAGATCGATAGCTGAGCGCGGAGCAGATCGTAGACGCGCTTCAACCAGACTGTTGTACTCCACGCTTTGCACTGGCGCATGCAAGCTGAACAAGCTCTGCAGCAGGCTCTGCAGCAGCTCTGCAGAGGGGACGCAAGCCAAGCATCTCTGGCTGCTACAGCCGCAGTGGGTCGAGAACCAGCAATTGCCGATCACGAGCTTATGCGTTTGAGATCAGGCATGGAGCACTGTACAGGAAGCTTGCCAGCCAGTCGACAGGCGTACTACTGCACCCCTGACACAGCTCGATGCAGATCTGCTACAGGCTTTCCAGATTGTCGCAGAGGCGCAGCTTGAGCAAGACTTACTCGCTGACTATCTCGGCAAGTTGCACGAACTCGAGCAGTCTCATCAACGGAGACTGAGCCGCAAGGGTTCACAGACAATGTCAGCGACAGATTCGAATGGATAGAGCAGGACATCGCTGCTTTCGAGCAGGCGTGGTCTCAAGAGGCTACTGCAAGTCAGATGCACGCCTTTTTTGGCATGCTCCTCGAATGGAAAGACGCATGGCAAGCTCCTCTGCTTGCCCTAGGAGGGTCAGCCACACGAAGTCATAGACTGCGAACGATCTGATCGACAGAGCAGTGCCCAAGGTGTTCTAATGGCTTACATGACGCGCTTTACGGACACGCTCTTGCCGTGTCTGCCTGCAAGACTACCCGACGCCGTGCAATTGCTCTTCAGCGACCTGCTCTCCGATTCATCGTCAAGCGAATCGCTTCAGTCCCTCACGGCAATGAGGCAGCTCGGTCTGCTCGCTCGCTATGAACCCGTCGTCTACACCGTGGCTTACAGCAGAATCGAAGAGACCGTACGCTCGACATGCGCGAGCGTGTTCGATACACCAGGATTGCTTCAGCAGCTCAGAGACTGGATCGTACATACTCTTGCGCCCTGGCTCGGGCTCGTCTACGGCAGCGCAGATGTCGACGCGCGGAAACTCTTTGCGCCCGCTTTGTTGCGCTTCGACCACCATGTTCACAAGACCTTGTATCAGCTTCGCCGGTCAGAGATGTTCGATATCATCGTCGACTTCCCAGAGTCACAAGCCTGTCTCGCCGATCTAAGAGAGTGTATTGGCAAGGCAGGCGATAGATCAGGGCTAGCCGACGACTTACGAGCTCAGACCGAACGTCGCCTTCTCCACCCTGGTGCTGACACCAGAGACATCATCACCCAGTACATTTCGACCATCAGATGCCTTCGCATCCTCGATCCCACAGGCGTCTTGTTACTCCGCGTTGCAGATCCCATTCGTTCGTATCTGAGGTAAGCCTTGTGTGATTGGGACTAGCGAGCTCGAACTGATGAGCGAGTGCAAGGGCTCGTCCGGACGCTATACGTTCTGTCGTCTCGCTGTTGATCGAGGAAGATGGCAGCATGGCAGAGGAGCTAGGCGCAGGCGGCGATGTCCTTGTCGATGTTCGCGCAGAAACAGTCAGGCGAGAGGTCGAGGACTACTCTGATCCCAATTGGATGCCTGACCCAGTCGACGCGCCACCCCAGTTCAGAGAGCGGGCCAAGGGCGATGCAGTACAAATGCTGGTCAGCATCTACCAATCGAAAGATCTGATCATCAAGGAGTTGCAAGCTATGCTTGCTACACGACTGCTTCAGCTCGAACACTATGACTTTGACAGGGAACGAAGACAGATCGAAATACTCAAACTTCGGTTCGGTGAAGCGAGTCTGCAGATCTGCGATAATATGTTGCAGGATATTTCCGATTCGAAGCGCGTCGATGGTCTCATACACAGTGCTGGCAATGAGGTCAGCAGCTCGCTCGTCATGACGCGCAATGATTCTCATATACTGCCTTGCAGGCCCAAGAGACACACGCCATCATTGCTTCGAGAACTGCCTGGCCTGCCTTCAATGATCTTCCCATCAAGCCGGCTCGGCAGCTGTTGCGCGCTCAGACTGCCTACGAAAAAGCCTATAGAGTCACCAAGCCAGACAAGCGGCTCAAGTTCAAACACTCGCTCGGTTACGTCGTACTTGACCTGGAATTCGAAGACCGTCAATTTACGTGCGAAGCTACACCTATACAAGCCTCCGTCCTCTACACGATCCAGTCTGCTAAGCGCCCTCTGACGGTTGCAAACCTTGCCCACGCGCTTGCTACGAGGGAAGAAGCGCTTGTCCGTAGCGCGCTTGCTTTTTGGGCTCAGAAACGCGTGCTCAAGCCCGTCGGTGATGAGTGGCAGATCATGGAGAGTCTCGAGGGCGAGGAAGACACACAGATCGCTGCAGTTCCGATAGACGAGATTCAACCGGAATCTGTTGCTACAGCCGACGAAGAGCTAGAGACCATGCGTGTTCATTGGGCATTCATCAAAGGATTACTGGCCAACATGGGCGCGAGCACGACAGAGCAGATCCACATGATGCTCGAGCGACTCATTCCGACATATTCTGGCTCGAGAGTCGACCGAATGGCCGGCTTTCTCTCGATGCTGCAGCGTGAGGGCCTCATCGACGCGGACAAGGACAAGTGGCGTCTGATCTAGCGTCCGTGCACCTACCATGCTCCGCCGGAAGTCACCGCCTTTTACTCAAGGCGCTGAAGGACACGGACGATCGCTCTGACCTCGCATGACGATCCGATCCGAAATCCTGTCGTCCGCCTCATCTCAAAAAGACGTGAAGGCCGGCGTCCGCTCGTAGCGACATCCATCATTGGTACAAGCAACATGGACGCAGTCGACGTCGTCATCATCGGTGCAGGTCCAGCGGGCTTGACAGCTCAGCTCTGCCTGACGAAACTTGGCTTCTCCGTTCTTTGCGTCGACGCCAACTCTGAGCGTACGCAGACGGGCAAGGCAGACGGACTCCAGCCGCGCACGCTCGAAGTCTTGCGGAACATCTCGCCCGCACTCCACAATGATCTCACCCAACTCGTGCCTAGCTACAAACTCTACGCGTGCTCGTTCTTCGATGCCGATGAGCAGGGCAATCTCTACCGATCATCGCGGCACGAGGCCTGTCCGGACGATTCAGTGCAAGATCGCTATACTCTCATGACGCATCAAGGACATATCGAGTCCGCTCTGATGCGTGCTACCAATGCCATCTCAGGCGCGACAGAACCTGACACTGTCTTGCGCAATTACGCCTTTGCGGGCTTCTCGCTGTCGAAGCCGACTGCGAGCGCGCACCCGGTCTCTGTCACGCTCGACAACGTGTGCACTGGCGAGCAGAAGCAAATGAGCTGCAAGTATCTTCTCGGCGCCGACGGAGCAAAGTCTGGCGTCAGAGCAGCTTGTGGCATCCCATTTCAGGGCTCCTCAAGTGAAAGCACCTGGTCAGTCATCGACGCAACACTCGACACTGACTTTCCCGATATTCGCATCAGGTCGATGATCCGTTCCGCACACGGCACCATCATGACTCTTCCTCGAGAAGACGGCATCTCGCGATTCTACGTTCAGCTCCAGGGAATGGAGCGCGAGCAAGCGACGAGCGAAGCGGCCATTGCGCAGATCAAGAGAGTCTTTCAACCCTACCGCATGGACATCAAGAGCGTCGTCTGGCAAAGTAGCTATACCATCGGCCAACGTGTGGCGACCTCGTACACAGCTCACGACTATCGCATCCTGCTGCTGGGAGATGCCTGTCATTGCCACTCGCCAAAAAGTGGCCAAGGAATGAATTTTGCAATCAGCGATGCGCTCTCGCTCGCTCAGTACCTCTACATGGCAGAGAAGCTCGGTCACCACCGCGAGCTTATGCTACAGGCATACGAAGACGAGCGGCGCGGCGCGGCTATGTCATTGATAAAGTTCGACCAGCTTTATGCCTCGCTTGTTCGAACCAAGTCGACCCAGGGCAAGGACCTGATTCCCTTTTTTGCGAAGAACCAAGGCTTCACCACTGGCTGTGCTATCCGGTACGATCAGTCTGCTATGCTGCTCAACGATTATCACTGGCTCAGCGCAAAGAAAAGTCAACCGTCGTCGGCTGAGCAGCTCACAATCGGCCAGCGCTTGCTACGTGCACCTGCTTGTCAGCTGTATGATCGCACGCAAAGTTCACTTGAGCATGCTGTCCTCTTTGACGGCTCCTTCCGGCTCTATCTCTTCTCAGATAGCTCTCGCGATCGTCTGTCAGTTGGCGCGATCTGGCTCAGCTCCGAGCACTCGTTCTTGCAAGTCAGAAGCAAGTCCTCAGTCCGCATCAAGATCGTCGCCGTCCTTCCTGGCGAGGCAGAATTTGATGAATTGCCCGAAATTCTTCGCCAACGTCAAGACGGCGCATTCAAGTCGGCGCAGGCGTTCCAACTCTATGGCATATCTCCTCAGCAAGGCGCCATTGTACTTGTGCGCCCAGATGGCTTCGTCGCAGCCATCGAGGATCTAGAGCCTAGTGGCATGACGCGTCTGTCACACTTCTTCGCTAGTCTGGTACAAAGCAAAGATGCAATCTAGTGTGGTTGATAGAATCAGTGAAAGGAGCCTTCTGTTGAGTCTTTGCCCGACGCAGCTGTCGCGCTTGAGCCTGCAGAGACGGACTGGAGGATGCGATCGATCATCGAAGCGCCGCTCCACTTCTGATGGGTGAGCACGTCGACGCCAAGCTCCTTCTCTCTTCGCTGCACGAGCTCAACATAGGCGAGCATGCCGTCGGTCTTGTATCGTCGTGCGAGCTCGCAAGTGATAGTCGCGCCAGTGTGCAAGCCGGCCAGCGAGATCAGTTGCAGGACGAAGCCTTCCTTGCCGAGATCCCAGATGAAGTTTTTCAAGTCTTGATCTGAGAAGCCATGCGCAGCCCAATTGAACGACGGCGATAGATTGTAAACGAGCCATCTGCCACACTGTAAGCTCATACGCAGAGTCTCAGCTATCAGCTTACTTTTCAGGATATGCCGAACGAATCTGCCGAGCGAAGCCAGTGGCCTGCTTGAGATCGGGGCTTTTCGTCTCCAGCCAGAGCATGTCGGCATAAGGCGCGAATGCAAGCACACGGGCGAGAGCAGCTTCGACGCCGCCATTGTAGTGATAGTAGCCTTCGCGCGTGCGAGGCAGATCCCAGTCCCACAGCACTTCTCGCCGCAGAACCGCTTTAGCAGCAGCTCGCAGGTCACGAATAGACAGGCCCAATCCTTTGGTCCCAGCTAGATAGGTTTGGTAGGCGGACTCCTTATCGAGAATGTTGGCCTCTGAATCGATTGCTCGCTTGACGGCTGCACAACGAGTCAGCGCCATCATCCCGCCGCGGATGCTCATACACACCATCGTGGAAGGTGACGAGCTCGACCTTCTTGGTCCAGTTCACTTCGATTGCATCAATCTCTGGGCCTGATTTGCCATCTCGTTCTGCGGTTGCGATTTCTTCGGCCATAGGCTTGAGATCCTCCTTGCCTTCCAGCTCGACGCCAAGCATGAACTCGTGGTCGCGTATATCGGCAGAGGAGCTGATAAGCTTTGCACTCTCTGCATCCGTCCGAGCGATGAGAAGCGTCTCGAGGCCCATGATGTCCCATTGCATCCGTGCCGCTGCCAGACGACTGACATGCTCCGAAAAGGGCACAAGAACTTTGCCTGCTTGGTGACCGCACTTCTTGCCACCATGTAGTTGATCCTCGAAATGGACCGCACTGACGCCGGCTTCTCCAAACGCTTTGGCGAGCTTCATGACTGCCGAAAGCCCGCCGTGACCTGTATCACCATCTGCGATGATGGGACGCAGATAGTCTACATATGGCAGCTTCTCTCGCTCCTCTCGTGTCTTGGAGAAGCGTTCGTCGAGAAGCTTGCGATCGTGCAATTGCTGGGCTTTCACGAGTCTCTGCACTTGATTCGGCACCGTTGTATACGGATAGTCGCCAAGATCCGGACCAACCTCGTTGAAGCCCGTTGTCAGTACGCTCGAGCAAGCCCAGCCACTGACGTAGACGACCTCTTGATGTGCTGCCATTTGGGACTGTTGGACTGGATCTATCGCGCCCATCGTGTGCACGGGCTTGCCCTGCTGTGCCGCTCGGGAGAAGAGCGCAAAGAGCTTTTGAGCAGAGATGTTGGCCGAATTGAGCGGGGAGACGGGCAGTGAACCTCGCTTGCTCGCTACTTCTTCGGCGGTGTACGTTCGCTTCGTACCTGCGAACCTCGGCGTCGCCCACCAATCCTTGATAGACTGTACCGTAGCCGCGAACTGCGACTCTTCTTCGGCAATCGAGGGGGGATCCAATCTATAGGGTGGCACGGCAGACTGCGCCATGACTGAGGAGCTTGTGAATGAGCGCTGTTGGCGTGCCGAAACCGACGACGAGCTGACTAGTAGTGGCACTTGCGCTCTGACTTGCGCAGGCCTACATGTGCAGCGCTGCAGTGCCTTCGTCCGCGCTGACAGTCTCGCGCTGGACCTGAGCATGTTCAAGTGAAGAGCTGCCGACAGATGGATGATGACTCGCGCGCCGTTGCTCTTTCGGGCAAATCGCTACGTGTCACTAGTTGCGTACAACATCAAAGGTCATGAGATCACATAAAGGTAAAGCGCTCGGTATCGTCTGCCATGACCATTCGCCGCGCGTCTTCTGTACCGACGATGCGCTCGAGACGCAAATAGTCGAACCTGCTGAACGAGACGAAGGCCGTCACTTCGGAGGGGTCGAGTGAGCTATTCTGCTGATCCTCTCGCTGGTGAAAGGGATAGCTCAGATACTCCGAATAGAACTGCGGATGATCTGGCAGAGCATAGAAGCAGATTGTCTTTGCTCCTCGAATGCGGTACCTGCCATTCTAGTCAGGCAGATGCCACTTACTTACGAGACCTGTGTACCTCTTGAAGAAATGGAAGCGTTCAGTAAGTAGCAGAAAGTTGACTTTGCCTTGGAAGAAGAGCGTTCTTGCCCGGGCAACTTCGCTATTCGTCGAATACTCTGAAATTGCGGCGAAAGAGAGTTCCTCCTTGAGCGACTTTCGAAGGTGCTGTTTCACGCGAATAAAGTCAAAGTAAGACGGCACAAAGATGAGCGTGTTGGAGGAGGCGACGGCCGATCTCGTGAGCATAGGCAAAGTCTGCGTTCGGTGTCAGCTCAGCCGCAAGGATGAAAGACGAAGCATACACGCTGAGTAAAGACTTGGAAACGCTCGTCGTCCTCCTTGAGCATGTCGGAAACCTCGAAGCGATCAAAGACTTGCTTGATGCCCGATGTTACCAGCTTGATCGTGCCTTCGTGTGCGCGCTCAGTACGTAGCTTGCCAGCTCGATTGGTGAGCGCAGTACCGAAGAGCGATCTATGCTCTGGCAAATCGAGCGAAGAGAGCAGAACTGTCTGTCGCAGCTGTGCGGCTTTGCCGTCAAGATACCACGGCTTGACGCGGGCGAAATCGCATCCATGGGACTCCTTTGGAATCTGATTGAGATGCTTGAAGACGAACTGCACGTGCTCCCAATTTTGCATCGACATGACATCGAGCTGATCCGCCAGCACGATCTCAATGGAAGACAAGAAGTCGGCATCGTCCTCCTTTTCGATCGCTGTGCGCAGACCGAGTGGACTTGCCACGATGATATCGGACGAGTAAAACTCTGAGAAGTAGCGGATAGCTTTGCGGGTGACCTTGATGCCCATGCGGAACTCGTCATCAATGTTCCCCTTGAACGTCTCGACATGGTCGGCCGGGTATCTCGCCGTACCCTCTTCGGCAAGTCTATCTATCGCGTCCTCTGGCAGACCAAAGTCTTTGTCGAGTCGCGCAGCATTGTCGACCTGAGCTGCCAATGAGAGCTGGGTGAGAAGCTTGACCCAGGCGAGAGCAGCGTTGCGCAGCGGCAGGAGCACGAGCACTTTGGGTCTGGTGAATCCCTGATCGCGCGTCTCTCTCTCCTTGCCTTTCAGCGTCTCTTCCTTCTTGGCCAGATATTCGTTGTTCTTCAGGACCTTTGACCGGGTTCTGCGTGCCGATCAGACCAGTGCATGCGTTTGCGCAGATTGATGCTCACTTGTAGATATGATTCATTGCGTGCATCGCAGCAGCAGCCCGCAACGCGTCTCGCTCATCCAGATCTACAGTCGTGTAGGAGACATCGAGATAGCTTGCCAGCGTCTCCGACAACCACTTTGCAGTCGCGGGAGTTTGCGAGCCGTATCGCGCTTGGCCATACGTCTTGAGTTTGTCGAGCAGAGTCGGGTTGATGGTCGACTTGTCGCTCGGCAGACCCTTGCTGCCAGACGGGAGACACGTTGTCAGACGTCCCACGACCGCGTGATCAGCAGAGCTAGAACGCCAAGCTTCGTCGTTGTGCTCCAGCGCGGAGAGGAGTGCAGATTCAGGCGCAAAATGACTGCTGAACGCATCCTGCTCGCTCTCTGCCACTTTATCTTCCTTGTCTAGGGGTAGCTCCAGCACTGCAGTAGCCTTTCCGCTGGATCCAGACTCTTCGTGGCGAGCTGCCTGCTGCAACTTGACTCTTTTCGCAATGGCATACCAATCCCTCTCTGGGTCGACGTGTCGCTTCAGTCGAGCTGGCCTCGCCGCCTGGGCATTCAGAACAGTCAACAGCTTGATCTTGTGGGACTCGACTTGGCGCTGCCGCTGATCCGACGTCATAGGCGCAACCATTGTGCAGGCACGCCTGCTGTGGACAAAATTCGGCGCGCTCCTTGACGAGAGATGAAGTCATCAGAGATCGCGGACAATCTCGTTGATCTCTGATCTGACAGACGAGGATGTTCAAGGCAAGCAGGCTAGCCACCCGGGCAAGACATACAGCTTCAGTACAAGCACCTAGGCAACTAGCAAGGGCCAGATCAGTATGCAGCGGCTCATTCTTGTCGCATCAGCAAAGCTCGATCGCAAGTAGCAGAGCACCCTTCAGACCAGCCGGCTTAGGCGTCCTTTTCGCACTCTTGCTCGCCGGGGGCTTCGCTGCCAGTAACGGTCAAAGCAACATCAAGTCAGATATAGCGGTCGATCGACAGGGCACACTCTTCAAAAAGGACGATGTCACTGTCGTCTTTGTCTTAGGTGAGTCCCGTCTCGACGTTTCCCAGACACTGCTGACGACGGTACGCCTGCTACAGGTTCGCAAACCCTGTCCGGGGTGCTGTTGCCAGACTGAATGCTAGCATGCAGGAGGACCCAAGTCCGGCAGATCGACTCAGGTGCAGAACATCGGAAAGCGATTCGATGCGATCACGCTAGCAGCAGAGGATGATCTGTGGGCCGACATCGCCAAAGAACTTGCCGCCAATCGGGGCGAGAAGCTCAGGGTGGTCGTCGATGGGTTTCCGGGCAACTTGAGAGACGCTCAGTGGTTTGAAAATGAGGTCAGTTTCGCGAGCCAGGACGATCACTGCACAAGCTCACCGGTCTGGTACTACAGGTCTGCCCGATCCTATGCTTCGTCTACATCGATACGCCAGCGGACAAGGCAGCAGAGCGGGGCGCAGATCCGCAGAGCAAGGCGCGTTTCGACGAGGAAGCGAAAGATCTGATTGCCCACTATCGCCACAAGGGCAACTTCCTCGAGATCACGGGCGAGTGGCCAGCTGACGAAGTATGGGAGCAAGTCGAAGCAAAGCTTGACTCTGCCTTTGAGCTTGAGGAGCGGGGTGAGCTATAGAATCCAGCGAGCGGGTAGACTTTGTCCATGCATCAGGCTTTCTGCTTGTCACTCGTCTTCGTCTGACGAATAGGTGGGGTAATTGCGACTGATGCCTTGATCGAGGCGGGCGTAGCGGCGCACAGTCTCTCTTGATCGAGGGTAAAGGACATCGTGAGCAGACTCGAGCAGCGTCCGTAGCGGTCCTGCCAAACATGTCGAAGCGAGCAGCCAGAGCGTGAAAGACAGCAACAAGACTGACAGAGCAAAGATGAGCACGACGAGCGAGTGCCTCTCATCTGCCCTCGTCATCCGGATCCTCCCTGCCTACGTCACCTCTACGATCCACCCAGGTCTCGTCGAGTCTCGTCGCGCAAAAAGTCCAAGGCGCACCCTCCTGAAGGCCTGACGTTGACGTTGACTTGTCGCATGGCCAGCTATGTTCCTCGTTCGAGATTCCACTTCCCGGTCTCTGTTCCGAGCTGGTACATCGGTCACATGGAGCGGGGCATCCGAAAGATGGAAGCAACGATGGCATCACTCGATCTCGTCGTAGAGGCAAGAGACGCTCGTCTGCCCATCACATCAGTCAACACCATCTTTGACTCCCTCGTCGCCGGCCACTCTCGCTCGGGCACACCACGGCCCACAAAGGGCAAACGCAAGAGCCTGCCCAGGCGACCGGCAAAACCCGTTGCGCCCGTCGAGAGATTGATCGTCTATACCAAAGCAGACCTAGCAGACCGCATGTACGAAAATGCAAGCGCTCTGAAGCTTTCTCCCCCTTGGATACTAGCTCACGCGCTCGCATCCAGCCTTTGCGAAGAGCTGTACGTCTGCAAACCGGACGAGAGCCCCTGTTTGCAGACACGCGCTCAGACAAGGATGTAAAACGGATCTTGGACACTATCCTTCAGGCGGCCAGCCTACGTCCTGCACAGTCCGAACTCACACGAACCGACCTTGCAAAGACGAACAGAGCCAGGGAGATTGAGCTTCCCGTCGGTGCGAGGCGTGTCTTGATCGCCGGCATGCCCAACGTCGGCAAGTCCTCACTTCTCAACGCGCTAAGACGTGTGGGAATGGGTAAAGCCAAAGCAGCCATGACGGGACCCGTAGCGGGCGTGACGCGCAAGCTCACCGGCCTCGTCAGAGTCTACGAAGATCCTCCCATCTATGTGTACGATACGCCGGGCATCATGGTACCTTTTCTCGGCACGGGCGAACAGGGAGCAGAACGCGCTTTCAAGCTCGCCCTGACTGCCGGCATCAACGAGAGCTTGATCGATTCCGAGAGTATTGCCGACTACTTACTATACTGCTTGTCACTTCGTTTCTTCGGCCGCTCTGCTTCGCCAGACTTGCGTAAGCTCATCCGCGTTCTTGATGGCTGTTCTCACAAAGGAAAGCGAAGCTCCCTTTCTGCAGACTCTCACCCCGCCTCTACCTGCGGACGATATCGAGGTTGTACTGAGCGCACTAGCAAGCAAGACAGGTGCGTTACGCAAAGGGGGAGAGCCAGATCTACAGCAAGCTGCTGCTGCATTTATCGATGCATTCAGGAAGGGTCACATGGGTCCCTGGACGCTCGACAACCTACCACGCGACAGATCTGGCTCTGTCAGAGGTGAAGATGTCAACATCAGCGAACTCATCCGACTGCTCAAAGCTGGCGGTGGCAAGATGGCTGTGCCAAAAGCTGTCCAGAAGCGCGCAGCAGAAGAGGCGATACCTCTGGACGAATCCGACGAGGCGGATGTAAGTAAGAATCAGGTACGCAAAGCGGCGAAACTGCAGAGCGATACGGAGCGCGTTGAAAGAGCACGCAAGAAGAAGGAGACGAGCAAGAAGGACGCAGTCACATTGAGCGCTTCGGCCAAGACTTCTCGCAAGATGACGCGTTATCACGGCTTGAGCAAGACAGAGCGTGGCAAAGCGGCGGGCAGGAGTGCATTTGTTCGCAGTCAACAGCGTCGCCAAAACAAGCAGAGGAGACGGGCTTGATCGTTCATTGCCGCCTCGCTCTGGCCTCTGCACGCGCTTCTGCCTGTGCGCGATGATTCGTCTTGAGGCGATTGATCGTTGCGACGCAATCAGCTGCAATTCCCAGCATTAGCCCCATCCCTGTCAGGTCAAGGCATGCGCACCAGCTTGTCTAGAATCGGCTGCCTCAAAGTCATAGCGCTTGGCTTCCTTTGCGCGCCAGACGACCAACTTGAAAGACCGAGAAGCTTTCTTGCTCTGCTTGCAATCGGCGACGTTGCCGACGTGATAGCTAGCCGTTCGGCCCTTGTCTGTTGCACCCTTCGATTCGGACGGCAGAATGTGGATGTAGTCACCGTCGATGGAGAGGATACGTTCGTTGCGCCCGAGCGGCATGGGTAGCTTCCGCTGAAGCACATAGCGTTTGTACGTCGACGTAAGCTCTGTCGCAGATACGTAACGTGGCTGCGTCGATTCGGAAAGTCGCTTAAAGATAGACGCACTCGGGTTCGTGTTCTGAAGCTGACCCAGTCTGGACTTGGGCGTGGCTTGAGCAGCCGAGCGTGACCGCCTGATGAGGCGCAAGCTATGCATGCCTCGGAGACTCTCGACGGTCCGATCGAGGGGCACGACAAGCTCTCGATCGGCCACGGCAAGCGCCCATTCGGCAGGCTTTGAGATGCCTTTCTTTCTGCAGACAAGCTCGAGCACGTCTGCCAGATACATATCGGAAGGCACATTGATCGTCGTTGTCTGCGAATCGCGGCCGACCATGGGCAATCTGATGCGCAGATAGACCGGCACGCCCATTGCAGACGAGGCGCCCATAGTGTACGCCTGGAGCGAAGCTGCACTCATGGCAGGGTCCGGTAGTGCTGCCTTTTGACGTTCGCCCGCAATGGCATCGACGGGTACTTGCCGTGCGATGATGCGAGACGGTCGACGTGATAAAGTCGCTTGAGCTGCCTTGTTCTGATTCTCTGCAGCATGCCACGTGAGACTGCGTACCAAAGAGGGAGTCCGAGCACTCACGTTGATTGCCGCTCGCTCGAACGACTGCAAAGTCTTCGAAAGCAAACTTTGCGATAGGCCGCATTCGGTCCAGAGCTGTCATTCGATCTATCAGGCCTACTGTGCTCAGGCGAGGCCCAGTACTCACCGGGAAAGTCTTCATCGACCATGCCATCATCTTCGACCATTCGTAAGTTCCAGCCCGCAGTGTCTGTGTCGAGGTCGCTGTCCACGTCGAGCGCTGGCTCTCTGCCATCCTTCCAGTAGGCCCACAAGCCCGCGCCAATGACTTCCTCAGCGATCAAGTCGGGTTTGAGCGATAGCTTGAGGGGAGCAGAAGGTTTGGCGGAATGCGGGAAATAGACTGATAGCTGAATCGCATTGGCTTCTTTGCTCGATAGAGCGCCATATAGCCGATTGAAAGGATTCGAGTCGCCTTGATCGCTCTGTTGACTTGACAGTGCGATTGAAAGGAACGATTTGGCGGGCAAGCCTAAGGACGGCGGGACTTGCTTGCCAAAGACGATTGGCTCAGCGTCTGGCTTGCTCCTACTATGCGAGCGAGACCGCGAGGCCGAGTACTCCTGAGAGCTGTCTGCAAATTGCGACGAACCTTGTGAGCTTGTCCGACTGTGCTGCCTGCTCGAAGGGAACTGCTTCCCGTCATCATGCTCAACGTCATATTTTGATCCTGCCAAGATCTCTTGAGACAATCTTGAGTCTAGCCTTGGCTTGCCAACCGAAGGTGCTAAGGATGGAGAGCTGCCCGAACGCGAGCGCGGGCGCGGACGAATTGGCGAGTCACTCCTTGGGCTTACATTCTGTTCTGGTTCGAGGATGGGCAGCAAAGTCAGAGGACGCAGAGCGCTAATGTTGACCCGACGTCGTTGTCGTGCTCTAGGATATTGGGCGTTCTGTGGCGGTTCGATAAGTGGCGGTGAAGACTCAGCAGCGGCAGGCGGCCGCAAGTCTTGCTGCGGCACGCTGGCGGGAGGCTTTTGATCGCCTTGAGTCCTTTGCGTCACACTTGTAGATCGACTCATACTGTTGATATAGGAACTGTCATCTTCTGTCATCGGCACCGTCGAGAGCGAGTCGCCCGAAAGCTGCGGGTCAGACATTGTCGATGCAATCGCTATGGGCGCAGATGGGAGGACTTGAATGTCTTCGGCCGCCATCGCCTCTGTGAGGGCTTGCTCATGCGTCTGAGGCGCATGACTTTGTCGATTATTGCGAGTAAGACCCGCTTCAGCACTCTGAGGCGACGTCGGTGTAGGACTGGCCAGCGGCGATTGAATAGTCACTTTAGGTGGTTCGCGGCGTAGGACGGCAGTTGAACGTGTCTTCTGTGGTCTGCTTGCTGTGCTAGGTGACTCATTCGCGTTGCCGAGAGACGCATCAGAGTCATTATCAGAGTCGACAAGCTGATCTAGTGTCATTTGTGACGTGCTCGCATCTGCTCGATGTAGTGGTCCACTCGAATGAGCAGCGCGTGAGTGTGCCGGTGAGCTTGATGGCGCAGTGTCAGATTGAGCTGTCTCATGGACCGATCGACTTGTCGACGAATGACGGGGATTTCTAGAGCTCTTCCGGCCAGAGACTCGCATACCAGGTCCAGCATGACGGTTGCCGATTGTTTCGCTGTACCTGAGACTTGTGCCCGAGGCTGGAAAGCTTTCATTGCCCGGTTGCGCTCCGTTTCCGCGTCGTCGACCATGTTGCTCGTCGTATGCTAGCTCCGGGCTGCCTGCTCTTGCCAGCTCAGGATAAATATGATCATCATCTAGCCGTGCGAGGATAGAGTGAGCCGAAGGAGAGCCATAGGTATCCGCAGCCAGCAATGCAAGGCTGAGCCGGTCGTCGAAGCTGCGGTGGAATTGGATGCGCAGACTGCGCAACAAGTAGCTGCCAATGGTATATAAGCTTCCTCTTCTGCATCTGCATGCGCCATACTCACTCCTTGTCTGAGATCAGCGACATGACCTCATCGTCATCGTTCCATCTTGGTTGAGCTGCACATCTGCACTCGACGCGTCTTGCTTGCCGACCGGGCACCTCTCCTCGAGCAATCCGTCGTCTCTGTCGCTGATCCCAATCTCAGGCATATGCATCAACAACATATCTACGTGTATCGAGCGCGAACAGGTGCCCGCAAGGGAGCAGGGAGATCGCTTCCTTTGGTCGATAGCGAGCTCAAAGAGTCTGTGTTGACTTTCGATCGCGTTTGCCCGCCTCGTTGCCGGTCCCTGCTGCCAGTTGAAGCTGCAAGCTTTGAGGGCGCTCGCAAAGGTGGGCTCAGTAGCCCTATGCTGAAGTCCAGCGTCGTGCGAGCGGCAAGCGCGTGGGTTCCTTGCGGCTTCAGGTTGTCACCCACCATCTCCCACGAGCTGCCCTTCGTGTCGCTGTCCCATGAGCCTCGAGATGACGGCCAGTCAATCGCAGAATCCAGAGACGTCTTGCTACTTCGGGCGAGCTTCTGCTGAACCGATCGCATCTGCTTTGGCGAATTCGTCGAGGTCGGTTCGAGATCTAGGATCAGGCTGAACAGATATGCGTTGAAGATGAACGCGATCGCCCATGAAAGGCTGTTCGCGCCGTCATCTAGCAGCCTACATCTCTCGTATTCCGTGTTTGCGCATAAGATCACGCTCGCTACGTAGCCTCCGACACAGCCGACAGCGAGAATGACGATGAACAGCTTGAGCATCGCGCTTGCCTTGAGCAGCTTTGCACGAGGATTCTCGCTTTCGATCTGCAAAACTTCTACAGTCTGACAAAGGATCGACAATGAGACGAAAATGGCAAAAGTGCTGACGAGCGTCCAATGCGTTCTTCGCCAATCAAAGACATCGAAGATAGTCAAGCCGATGAATGCTATGGCTGCGATTATGCCGGCAGCAATGGCGATGTACTCCAATATGACCGTATAGCGCTTCTCCGAGCCTGGCAGTCGATTCGTTCGCCGAAAATATCGCTCGAGTATCAGCGCCGCAGTATACAAGGGAGCGACGACGGTCGAGATAACGATCGCGTCTGTCTTATGATTGCCGAGCTGCTTGAGCTGTCAGCTGTCGATACTATCATACCATGATCGATCGCTCACAACATATCCGATGTAGACGATACGAGGACCGCCAGCGATGTATGTCGTCCCGCGATCGCTGATTTGCCACAGTAGTAAGAGCGTGAGCAACTCAAGCAGCAGGAATTTCGAGGCGATGGCCGGAACCCATACTGCTCGTCCGTATGTGATATATCTCAGGGATCTCATTCGCTTTCATCGGTCTCTGGAGCACATACCTGTCTGCAGCTGGGGCGTCAGCTTCCGGATCAAGTATGGGAAACGCTACTTCTCGTGGCAACTTGACGCGTAGAACACAACGACATCGACTCGAGGTCCGTGATACAATCGGAAACGACAACAGCAAGGGGATTTGCGGTGTTCTGAATGCGGTATTGTCACAAGATTAGCGCGATTCGGCAGGAGAGATGCCATTCGCGCGAAGGGTATCTTCGAGCTCTTCCGTTCGGACTGCCTGAGCCTCGATAATCTGTTGTAGATGGCGGATGTAATCGACTGATTTAGCCAAGATGAGACCTTTGTTGGGGCGGCCGAGAGAAGACTGTTGGGCGATCTGTTGGACTGTCATGTTCTCAAAAGGATTCGATGGCAAGCCAGCAGTGACGAGAGAAGCGTGTCGAGCATCAAAGCTGCTCGTGCCAGGACCAAACGGTGACATGGGTGTTTCGGCCTCCGTCTCGGCAGATCCTGTGCGTCGTTCGCGCGAACGCGAAGGCTCTCTGCTGCCAGCTGTCGGATCGAGCATGATCTGAGGCAGAAGGGTGGCAAGTTCGGCAATCTTATCGTTGATGTTCGAGCGACGACGCTGTTCGACTGCACAGTGCTGCTCCTTGCGACGCTTCTTCTTGTCCGGTACAGCACGAGTGAGCAAACTGCTTAGACACGTCAGCTTCGTCTCGCTACAGGTATGTCAGCCTCACGCTCTGCTGTCATCGCGAGGCTCCTGCTTGATTGTACGACCGCGCAAGGTCTCGCGTGTTGCAGGTCTACCGAGACTGGTTGGTGCGCTGGCGGGTATGAAGTGCTGCTGGTCAGAGCTGTCACCCTCTGCAAATGAAGAAGGCGTCGAATAATTCGTGTTCGGACTCGAATACTGGGGCGAGTTGAGCGAGCTACCGTATTGAGCACCGAAGCGAGCGGGGACGGACATCGGATAGGCAGAAGCAGAGGAGGCCAGTGTTGATGCTGCCGAGGCGTACTGCGGATGAGCGGCAATATGTATCGCAGCTGGCGAGGTCGTGCCGCTCTGTCCGCGACGAGTGGCTGAAGCCGATCGACGAGCGCCGAGTGAGCCAGCCCCACGGACGGGCGATGGGCGTCTTGCGCTGCCTTCCAGAAGCGAGCGCGTCTTGAAATGATCGACTGGCGAGGTACTGATCCTCTGGGCAATAGCAGCCACGGTAGGACTTTGGGCAGACTGCTTTGGCGAAAAAGTGACTGCAGATGCCAGAGCAGCACTGATGGATGTTTGGCCGTAATCACCCGGCTGAGGGCGACTGCCATGATACACACCCGAGACGGAAGCTGGCGAAGGCGCATCGTGGCTGCTCATCGTGCTTGATGGCTGGCTGTGAACAGACTCGGATCTCATCATGAGCGAGTCCATGAGATCGGCATCGTTGGCCATCGCCTGGCCATGAGAGCCTTGGGTCAGACCACTAAATCCGAAGTGTTGACCAGTCGCGCCCGGATGTCCAAGAAAGGGCGAAGCTGCCATTCCGGGCGAGTGTACGCTGCCGTAGTGGTCCATACCGTCTGGTAGGATCATGTTGGGGTCGATGAACGCGCCCATCGCGATGTCTGTGTTCATTGCAGACAACGAATGAGACGATGCTGATCCGTGGGAGTTCTGATGGATGTGCAGGCTCCCATTGTGGCTTGGATAGTGTTGATGAGCCCAGACTCCGCCAGCATGACCCGTTGGAAAGCCTGGCTGAGCCGGCGAGGCGGTGTGTGTGTCGTTGGGCAGCTCGAAGCCGTGCTGACGAATCGTAGGGGAGTTCATCGCGGCTTGAGCTCCTAACGACGGACTTTGTCTCGCGACAGCCTCAGCCACTGATGTCTGCTTCAACTGACAGAGGCTGACCTGGCTTCTAGATGGGCCTCGTTGATGACAAAGGGAGCTTAGCAAGTGATGACGGCACCGCTTTGGGCGTCTGACTCGGAAAAGATGATTGCGTCTCGGTCTGACGCGTTGCCGGGTGTCGCTGGCTCGGTAACCGGCGTTGAGATCCGATCGAACGACTCCGTGCTCTCTAAAAGACGTCTGCTTCGTTCTTTTGTCAGACAGCAATGACAGGCGAGCGCGGGAAGACAGCAGCAGCCAAGACAGTCCGGGGTAATATTAATAATACAGCCTTCGACGCCACCCGTGACATCGGCCTCGCCCGACTGAGCCAAATCGCTATACATGCAAGGAGGCTACAGCATCACTGAGCGCTTGAGGATCCTCACCTCGAGCGATGGCTGCATCACGCTCTGCGATTTCCGTCATCGTCTTCTGCTTCCTCCTGACATAATCGGCAGCCTGTTCCTGCAGATCTGGCCGGATGTGCGACTCTTTGAGCCCGGCAGACGCGAGTTCTCTAACCCAAAACTGGATCGTCGTCTCCCACAACAGGTGGACCTGCTCATTCGGATCAGATAAGACGCGCAGTCGACGGAAGAGACGTACGTTGGTGGGATCCTCACTGATGTAGTCTGGCGAAACGACGCCATCTTCTGCTTGATCGGCAGGCTTGCCAAGCGAAGTGATATATGGATTGATATCAACAAGCTGGTATACATCTGGTCGGGTAGCGCAAAACTCCCTGGCGAGCCTAGTGAACGTCTTGGTCATGTCTTGCCGCATCTTGATGTTAGCGAACTGCATGATCTCTTCTGTTGGTTTGAGAGGCGGCAAGTCGGCAACCACCGTGCCTGGAGCTATGCGATATTTGTCGATCATCTTGCCTAGAGCTTCGTCAGGTACGATTGGCGGCACCGAATTGGCGATATAGATCTTCTCAATGAATTTTGGCTTGATGCGACTGTTCAGGCTCTGTTTGATTGGCGTTGTGCTGTTGACCAGCCTGGGCTCGAGCTCATCGCGCATGAATGCAGTATACGCTTCGAACATGTTCTTCACAAAGTCGTCGCCAATCAGCGCCGGCTTGCCGTCCTTTCGCCTCAGAGCAAAGACGTAGTTGATGTTGATGTCGACATTTCCGAACATCATGAGAATTTTGGGCACTCTAAGCGAGTCAATCGATGCTAATAGCTGGGGCGCGACTGCTGGGCGTGTCAGTCACTGCTCAACAGAGCAGAGATCATGAGCTTGCCTTGACGGGTCGAATTGGGATTGTTGAGACCCTGATGCGAGTGATGAGCCGGAGCGAGCGACACACACGGAGACCTACCTTGGCGCTCGCGCCCGAGTACCAGCCCAAGTCGACAGTGTTCTCCCTGAGACATCTGAACACGCCCACGAACGAGTCCCCGTGTACGGATAGTATCGGCGGTGCATGCGTGTAGACTGCAGGGGGACGCCGTTTGGCAATCGACACAAAGCCACTTTTGTCCTTACTACTCGCGCTCGAGCTATCCCAAGGCGTAGCACCCGCTCTCCGGTCTGCATGACCCTTTGGACTTGATGATGCGTAGGATGAAGGACCTGATGGTAAGGCAGTAGGCGCAGGTACGGGACTACGAGGCCGGCCGCCTTGCCAGCGTGGAGCAGCGTAGGGTCGTTCCTGTTGAACGACTGGCGCTGCTGCGCTGCCAGAAGGGACAAGACGTGCTTGCGCAGGCGGGGAGGCTACTTCTTGAGCTGCATCTCTGGGCTTGCGAAGATGAGGGGGCACGTATTTGCCTGCTGACATGTGGCTCTTCACCAATTCGCGTCCGTGTCATTTACGCCTGCCTCTTCGAGTTACAACACAATTATGCTTTCGAAGCTTGAGCGGCCTGGGCAGAGAAGACGGCATGCTCCTTTGCGATCAGGTGGGTTGACTTGTCGATCAGGCCCTGCCACCACGTGAGCGAAGCAAAGGAGTATAAGTGATGGCGCGTACCATGAGTTTGCTGATATCGCTCGACCAGTCATTGAGGATGCTATCTGTCGACTTCTTCTCGACGAAATTGACGGTGCCTTGTGGCCTATCGATTTTGGCATACACCATCTTGGAAACGACCAGCTTGGACAGCATCGTCTCTGCATTACTGGTGTCTAGATCGAGCAGTTCTGCCAGTCGAGCGATCGTAATGCGAGTATAGTACTTGGCGATCGTTCGGATATTCTGCCGAACACTCAGTCATAGTCTGAGCAGAGTACTAGCAGACTCACATGTTCGATGACGCGGTTATGGAGCGCTTCCCAACGCTTGTCGCCCTGACCCGCATCGATAGTCTCGTCAATGTCATTGGTGACGCCTTTGACGCCGTTCGGTCCAAAGACCTTGGTCTGTCTCAGTTGAGGTCCGTAGAGCTCTTGTATTCCCGGCCATCGCATGAGTTCGGGTGATGTGAAGCATTTGGCAAGGTTACTGCCCGACCTGTCAGCTGCGAACCAACGCAGGGGCAGAGAGCACTCACTAGCATTCTGGGATACTCTGCAGCTTGCTGTCCTGACTGATTCGCGCTAAAAGGTCCGATTGTTCGTTATCGTAAGGCGCGAGGACGATGAAGTAGACGACATTGCGCAAAGCTGCTTGCCACTTTGTTTCATCCTCGATGACTGACGGTGTATCGTAGATCTGTCGGTAGTGCTTGCAGAGATCGAGATATTTATCACCGTGGAGCGCTAGTATGATGACGAGAGCATAGTATCTCAATTTGAGATCCTGTGCGGCCAGTCAGTCGTGACGAATAAGCTGACGCGTCTGCAAGACTGACTTCGTTGTCTTTGTCCTCGATCCACTTGACGTTGACCTTTTTAGAAGTGATTGCCATCTGATCCCAGTCTTGCTTGAGATGAAGCAAGCGCATTTGTTCGAGGATGAAGTCGATCTTCTCTCGCCTGCTCATGCTACCAAAGGTCTCGACTTGTAACTCAACAAGGAGCTCTGTCGCTGAGTCGATCTTGCCCTCTTGCTCCCTGATCTTGGACAATCGTCGGGTGACACGAGCTCGCTGTACTTCAAGGTAGATCTGGACACGATCGCACACCTGAGTACAGCGTGCAGCGTGGTATGACAAGTGCGCACCTTGCCCTCTGTCACTTCTCGGAGGACCTCGATGAGCTTGATCATCTCCCCCTCGGGAAGCTCGTCGAGCCAGGGAAGTGTGGCATCGACCATCATCGTGACAGACTGTCTGATCTGGCCGTGCTTCTTTGACAGGACGGATATGTTGGCGAAAGCGAGTTCGAGGTTCTTGTGCTTGTAGGGCAGCGTGACGAGGGTCATGAGCAGCCTGCTCGTCGATGGTTGATCGGACGCCTGTCAGACAGAGCGCACTCTCAGCATGAATGAGCTGCTGCATGGCTCATAGACGGACATTGCGAGTGCCTTTCTCGAGCGCGAGCAGCTTGTCGATGGCTTCCTGTAGCTTGCCATCGCTCGCCAGACTCTCCGCTACTGGTAACAAATCATCGACCTCCTTGGAGTAGTCCTTCTCCTGCTTCCGAGGCACCACTTCCGACATTGCGCGAGGAAGGGCAGCGTCAAACTGTCAGGTGCAAGCTCGAGCCGAACGGGCGAACGTCGCGCCAAACGCAAATCGCCACGCACCTCGAACGGCTGTGCAGGGCTGCAGGCACATGGTCGCAATGACAGACTGGTCTTTACACGGAGGCGCCGAAGCTTTACCAGTCAGTCATGCGAACGAGAGCGATGCCAGCATGGCCCGAGGATCAGGAACACGTTTGCATCAGCCTAGCATCAAAGACTTGTCCATTCGACCTGCAGCGCTCACTCACAACGACTCGACACCCTCTCTGACAGACATGTCTGCGCAGAGTAGCAGCAGTACGAGTGAGGCAGGCAGCGACAGCGAGCTCAGCCGATCGAGCAGCCGGACAACCCTCACTTCAGGCAGCAGCGACCACGTTGACGACGAGAAAGCCTTGCACGAGCAGCCTCAGCTACGTCAACGACACGTGCAGAAGGCTTCAGACTCCCGCAGAGCCGCGTTGGACGAGCTAGCGAAGAAGCGAGCGGCTCATTCGGCAGGCGTACGCCAATTTCACATCCCCGTGCATCTCGAGCTGATATCTTCGCAGGCACGCGACGATTGGCTGTGGACCATGACGGAAGAGCCTCATCGGACTCGCCGCATCGCCATTCTCAAGGATCACCCTGAAGTGAGCCCTGCTCACGACGTCTGATTATCTGAGACTCACCTTTGCTCGTAGATTCGCGGCCTGATGGGACATGAGCCATTGACGAAATACGTCGTACTTTTCGTGTTGGCCGTTCAATTTGCTTGCGCCTGGCTCTTGCGAAATTCACACCCATTCTCATGGCCATTCTTCCTTACTGCCTATATCATTGGAGGCACCGCCAACCAGAATACCTTTCTCGCTATTCACGAGATCACACATAATCGTGCGTCCTGCTCCATCACGCTGTCTCTGCCTGCTGATAGCATACAAAGTGGCATTCCGAGGCGTCAAGGCGAACAAGCTATTTGCGATTTTAGCGAACTTACCTATTGGCGTGCCTTATGCTATGATGTTCAAGGTAAGTGACACCCCTTTGCGACTGACAAGGGCTCACCTAACTCGTAGCGCTATCATATGGAACACCATCGACAGCTGGGAGGTGCGAAGTTCTGTGTCGCAGCCAAGTGCTTTACTGAGACCATGCGACAGAGGACGGCGTCGACACCGATCTGCCGACCAAGATCGAACTGATGTGTCTGCGAAATGTGCTGGGCAAAACCTTCTTTTGGTCAGTTCGTTCTAGCATGACTAGGCCAGCGCTGAGGGGAAGAGCAAGCAGCACGTTCCAAATACTCTTCTATGCGCTTCGACCGGGCTTCGTACGATCACAGGCCTTCACACGGTGGCACGCGCTCAATTTCCTCGCTCAATTCGGTTTCGATGCCTTGCTTGTTCGATACGTCGGCGGGAATGCCTTGACGTATCTGATTATGTCATCCTTCTTTGCCGGCTCGTTACACCCTTGCGCTGCACACTTTATCGCAGAGCACTACATCATCGACGAGGATGGCCAAGAGACGACTTCGTATTACGGCCCGCTCAACGTTTTGGCTTACAACGTGAGTCGCCGGATCTGCCTCAGCTTACCAGCTGACACAGAGATGGTGACCAAAGGTTGGACTGCATAACGAGCACCATGACTTTCCCAACGTGCCCTGGACGAGACTGCGAGAGCTCAACAAGATCGCACACGAATACTATGACGATCTGCCTTCGCACACTTCTTGGCCTATGGTCACCGTCAAATTCATCTTTAACGATTCTGTAGGACTGTTCAGTAGGATCAAAAGGCTAACCAAGCAGGATAGAGAAGCCGCCTTGGCGGAAGGAGACGCAGATAGAGCAGTCTCAAGCGCTGTACGCTTGCACGAGTGAATGTATACTTTTGACGTGCTGTTTTGCATCGAGGTGGCGGCGCTCCTTTCGCAGCATAGCCGTACGTATCAGCGCTGCTGTGAATCAGATACAGTGTCCTTCGTGACAGCAGCACATTTGACGACAATCCGAACAGTCAGACGCAACGCAATGGTCAAATCTAGTGACATCCTATTGATCCTGCTCGCTGTGCGTCACAGCCCCATTAACAGTCACATGCCGCTCAATTGACACTGCTTGCAGATCCTCTTTCCACCGGCGGCAGTAGCAGTCCTCACGGGCTGCTCATGCGATGTGCTGAGTCAGTCAACCCCCTGCGCCAACGCGCTCGAGCTGATCCGTTACGCAGTCAATGTCTTGCTCACCTTGCTCGGATACATTCCCGGCCACATCCACGCATTCTACATCATCTTCAAGCACATGAAGGCTGAGGAAAGCTACGGGCATGGCGGATATAGATACGCTGGCAATGCGACTTATGGTCCGTCGACGCCCAGACTCCTGATGTGCGATCGCTGACGTGTGCAATGATTAGAGCCAATCGGTGCACCTACTCAACAGCGATTCCCAGCCCAGCCTCAGCAGCAATACGAAGCGCCACCGTCGTATGGAGCAACGAAATAGAGCCCTCTGCTTGTGTTAGCCTGTTTGATTGTCACACCTCATTTGAACCATCAGCAATCTCGAAACCAAATTCATTGTTCGTCTATTGTGATTTGGAGATTCAGCGATGCTTCTGGTAAAAGTGAATGAGGCCCGTGGTCGAGCTATCGTGACCGGTGACTTGATCGGGCGACTTGAGCTGGGGCAGGATCTTCTTCGCCAACACCTTACCAAGCTCGACACCGAACTGATCGAACCTGTCTTCCTGTTCAGCTCTACCTGGCTGCATCCTGACACTACTGACGAGTTGATGTTCCAAATTGCGCCTTGCACAAAGATCTTTTGCTCGTACATTGCGATGAGAGCGCCAAGTGTGGCAGGCGTAAGCTTGGTGAACATGATCGAATTTGTTGGTCGGTTGCCTTCAAACGCTTTGCTCTTGACCAGGATCTCGTTGCTTGCCTCTGCACCCAGTTCCTGCTTGACTTCCTCTTCCGTCTTGCCGAAGGCGAGGGCTTCTGGCTGAGCGAAGAAGTTGGACAGCAGAATCTCGTGGTGTTTTCCACCAGAGATAGGGTTTTGTGTCTGGGCAGGCGCAAGGAAATCGGCCGGTATGAGCTTCGTGCCTTGATGGATCAGTTGGTAGAAAGCATGCTGTCCATTGGTGCCACTTGCGCCCCACAGGATCGGTCCTGTCTGGTAATTGACGGTCTTGCCATCCTTGGTGACGTGCTTGCCGTTGCTTTCCATATCACCTTGCTGGAAGTAGTTCGCGAATTGGTGCATGTATTGGTCATCTGGAGGGATGAGCGTGATGAGTAATTGAATGCTGCAGCAACATGGGACATACAAGGAAGCAGAGCTTGCGTTTGAGCGCCATAGAAATCGTTGTACCAGATGCCGATGACGGCTAGGATGACAGGTAAATTTTGCTCGAGCGGAGTCTCTTTGAAGTGTAAATCCATTGCGTGTGCTCCCGCCAGGAGCTGGCTGAAGTTATCAAAGCCCAGATAGATCGCGATTGAGAGGCCGATCGCAGACCAGAGCGAGTAGCGACCGCCGACCCAATCCCAGAACTTGAACATATTGCTCTCGTCAATGCCGAAGCCTGTGACTGCCTTTGTGTTCGTCGAGAGTGCAACAAAGTGTTTGGCAACGTGCTTCTTGTCGCCAGCAGTCTTGAGGAACCATTCTCGAGCAGATTCTGCATTGGTGATCGTCTCTTGGGTGGTGAACGTCTTACTCGCGATGATGAAGAGCGTTGTTTCCGGATCACATTCCTTGAGAATCTCGGCCATATGAGTTCCATCGATGTTGCTGCAAAAGTGCGGGTGAATCTTGCGGTCCCCGTACGACTTGAGCGCTTCCGTCACCATGACGGGGCCAAGATCAGATCCGCCGATGCCAACGTTGACCACCGAAGAGATCGTCTTGCCTGTGTATCCCTTCCAAGAGCCGGAACGAATAGCATCGCTGAACTCCTTCATATGCTTCAAAACGTCTGCGACCTCGTCTACGCCAGGCTCATTGATTGTGAACGGCTTCTCGACGCCAGTGTTGCGCAGAGCGACGTGTAAGACCGCTCTGTCTTCGGTCGTGTTGACATGCTCACCGGCGAAGACCTTGTCACGGGTCTGCTCTACGCCCGCTTCCCTAACGAGCTGAATGAGGGTGGCAAAGATCTCGTCATCAATCAGGTTCTTGCTAAAGTCGAGCAAGATCTCAACGGGCTCGCCGGTGGGCGATGTATACGTCCTTGAGAGCTTTTCGAATCGCTTGACATCCGAGCTGAAGAGCTGCTTGAGACTGAGCGAGGCATGTTTGCTGTCGTAAAGGCTCTGTAGCTTGCTCCACGCCGATAGCTCTGTAAAGCCCGCAAGGCTCGCGTCAGCTCCTGCACAAGCTCTGCAAGGCCGGAACGAGTCTGAGGAGACATTATGAAGCCATACTAACCTGATGCTAGCTTTCCCTCGGCCATGACTTGCTCCACAACAGCCGGTGCGAGTTGGATGTAGCTATAGCGCTTTGGCTGGCGGTTTTGATACTTTTGACGCGTTCAAGATCAGCCCGCTCTCTATAAAGGCCGCCGCGGGATTGTTGCACCCACTGCGCGCCGAAATTGGCGTGAAGATTTGTCTGGCGAGGTCAAGCGATCAAGACTGACACTCAGCAAGGCGGATGCTACCTTGCTACGACTCGATGCTGATGGCTGGATCTGCTGGTCACGTTCATGCATGTAGGCTCGTCGCTCTGGCTTGGGTCCCCTGATTGGCGACACTCTGCAAATAACCGTCATGTGGCGCAACTCTGAGTACCTGTCGGGGCATAGCCAGCATTGGCATGCAATCTAAATAGCTTGTAGAAGCAAAAGGTCAGTGCAGCTGTCGAATTGGGCACCTAGACCGGCGATGATCTTGCTCTTTGCGCTTTGCTCTTGTACTCCTTGCAATGCAGACGTACACTATCTCTTCGCTTTGCTGCCTGTGTCGAACGAACCGCGTATCGCCAGGCATGTCGGCTATCGTCGCCCTTTGCGAGACGCGTTCATCTGTACAGCTTGCTCAGGTCTTTCCTATGGCGTGCATTGCCATGCTAGACCGATCATCTCGTTCTTGCCGATGCAGGCTTGCTCACATCCCACGAAATGAGCACCGCCAAGGCCTGTAGCCGTCAGTAAGGATCTGATTCGCGGTCACGCCCCGAACCATGTTCCGCTCACGTTGCTCCCTGCAGGAGACTCGCTCACTGATCGGAGACCGTGCTAACAGAGACATAGCAGAAGACAAAGGGATGTACAGATCTGCAAG